GGAAATTTTTTTAGGTAAACAGAGCAACATATTGTGTGCCACAGCTTTCGTGTTACATAGAAATAATCATGTAAAGGGGTTCAGTTAGTAAACCTTGAGTATTGCCAATCTGATTTCGTTGAAAAAGACCTTTACCCTTATTTGAGAGTGAAGCCAACCTTTTTATTGTGGTATGCAGAATTAAAGGAGCCGCGGGTAGATATCCTTTTCGTCAAGAATATGATTTTTCCAGGGAAAATATTACTCAAATCATCCATCTGTGTTTTCGATTTGATCAACTCTTACCTCACAAGTTGTAAAGCACTTTGGCCCTTCACTGCTTTTGAGGTAAAAGTGCTTTCTTAAGCTATGGTTATAATAGAAACACCTGGTTTGAAGCCAAAACGATTATTTATTTTAGATAAGAACTTCCATGTTCCCTTCATAATGTCACTGAACCATGGTAAAATTCAAATGTTTGTTTTAGAAAAATTAGCGTAATTTTCAGCTGATAGCGTTGATAAATTATCATTATTAAACATCATATTCGGTCTAAAGTAGCTTTTAAACATTTTTTAGGAAGATTTCCTTCAAATTCTCAAATAATCCAGTGTTTACCAAAGGAAATTCCACCTTGTGCTAATAAAGGATCGCTAATGAAAATCTTGTCTTTGACAAGGAAATATTGCAAACTGCAGTTTTTTTTTCTTTTTCCCTTAAGAAATATTGCACTTGTTTGTGGTTTTGAAAGTTAGTTCTTTAATTAAGAAAGGACTTCCACCAACCTGTCGCTTAATTTTAATTTAAACACTTGCTCTGGCCTCGAGGAAGTCTTCCAACAAATACTGACGATTCGTGTTTGAATTTATCTATCAAAGTTTATGCGGCTCCATCTTGCACGAAAGCCACAATGACCTTAATTCACGGACGTCAAGCACATGCAATACAAACGATTTGCTCGAACCTCTGGTGCTTCAGAGCTACAGTACAAATTCAAGTTGACAATGAGGACAAACAGATTAAACAAAATGCGATGTAAATTTACGCGGATATGCCAAATCCTTAAATTTTGTTCGCTAAATATTTTTTAGCATGACAGTTTTTAATGAGTCGTCGACAGGGTAGTTCAAATAAATTAATGGCGCTGCAAATATGATTTTTTTTTCGTCATACACAGTTTCTTGAAACTTATTTCTCATAGTTAATTGCATTTGTCTGCTGACTTTTCCCAAGAAACGTCAAAGAAACAAGTAACAATGGCTCGAAATTATTCAAAAGTTCCTATTCATATACAATTGTTCGTTCCTCTTGATCTTGTTTTTTTCAAGCAGCTGTTCTCGCCAAGTGTTTGTGATACCCACATTTGGAAGCTCGGTAAATTTCATTTTCGTTTTATTTCAACTACACAGAAATAGGAGTTAAGGCTGAATATCAAATCTTACCATGGGGTGAAAGTCAAACTCAAGTTTTTCATGCATTAAGTACAGTCATCTCCTACCTTCCAAGATCCAACGTTCTTTGGTGCCCAACACTAGACTTATTTAGCCAAACGCGTTTTCTTTTATTAATCTGGTAGCTATGGTTACGATAGAAACTGTTGGTTTCAAGCCAAGATGAAAATTAATATTAGAAATGAACTTCCCTCTTCCTGTTTGGGCTCTTTGCACAAAAAGCTAAATTGGTAGAATAATACGCGGCGAATAATTTAACTTAGTGCAACGGATTGACCGGAGTAATGTGTCTTGGACTATAAAATGTCATTATTAATTCCTTGAAAGTGTCGCACGTCACGTCAGGTGCAAAGGCATTATAATTATAGATCGTCTTTGGTAATTCATGTCAAACAAACGCAATGCAGGTGAATTTGAGAGAAGAAACGAGAGACTTTAATAAGAATTAAAGGCAAGTCCAGCAAAAATGGTTTTGAGACTCACACAAACATAGATAAAGAGGAAAATTTTGCACTTCGTACTCCTTAGCTTGATGAATTTTATCAAATTGATTACAGTGTGCATATAGTTAATCTATGTTAATGAGACTGGAAAGACAGACGTTTTCTTTCTGTCATCCATAATTTTCTGAAACGTGTTTATTTTCCTTGTATGATTCTTTAACTTATTTTCTACAATCAGTTTATAAAATAATACAAAGATAAAATAATAAAGATTTGAACGGCTGCCCATGCACTAGAAGTGATTATCAACATTGTCTGTGTGCGTACAGCGTTTAAAGTCTGGTTAAACAGGTGTTCTTAGGCAATATTGCCTGATGCGTTATAGTTAAACAAACCCACCAGAGACAAGGGCTCCACGCTATGGTAGACCAAGCACACACCAGGGTAGGTGAGATCCAGATATAGAAACTTCTTTCCTTAGTGTAGAGGCAGTAAAATCATTGTGTTTTCGCTTAAAAATTGGGCTGAAATGGCCGTGACCAAAAGTTGCACTTGCTAGGCTTGAAATTTTGCGGACTATGTTTTGGTCAACCAATCTAAAGTCAAAGTTTTCATTGTGTCCTTAATGACACGGTAGACCCCATAATTTTGGCTTGTTTAGTGGGTCGACCTGGGTTGTTATTTGTGGATTTTAGGTAAAAAGTAAATACATGAAGTTCTAAAGTAATGATGAGAACTTGTTTAGCGTCCGTCTGCGACGACGGACGTTTTGGTTAATTACAGTGAGGTTTTGTCGACTTTCATCAAAATGTCTCCATTCAAAGCGCCGCCTTTGTCCTTTCTTCTTTTTTTTTAAAATTTTAGTTGAACAAATTGAACATTTTGAACATTTCCTCGACCAAAACAAACTTATTTTCACAATATAACATAGCACCCAATGACGAAGGTCTCCGGCCCTCAAACAATTTTTTTGATCTACGCACTGTTAAGGAACCTAGCTAAACACTAGACTTTTTTCATTCGTAACATAAACATTTTATCGAAAACTTTTTAGCCAATACGTCACCGTCATTGGTTGCATCGGCGCTACCTCCTCTACCAAGGAATTTCAATTCCTAAACCTGGTTTTAAATTCATCCTCACATCCATCACACGTCAAGAACTCCATACCTTTTTTTTACAGTTTCTCAGACTTTTACAAAATCTGATTTTTCCAAAAATCGATAAATTTTATAAACGATCCTAAATTTTAATCGATCGACAGGCAGCACTACAAACGGATGTCTGTTCTTTACCAATTTCATCACCCACGCAGTTAAATCATCATTCTTAAAAATTTAAGAGACTTATCTTTTCGCATGACCAAACGCCAAAAACTTCCTTTTAGTTCATTTCTATCTCTGGAACTTTTAAATGCGCTCGCTCAGCAAAACTTGTTTAAATTCTTAACGTAGTTCCATTAATCATTGATCACTTTAGTCGTTTATTTACTATAACTTGCCTTATTGCATCATCGGCTTAAAAGACGACTGGGTGAATTCAAACACCTTCGCGATGTGGAAAGAAATGACAAGGACGCATCCAAACCAGTAAACTTTAATCTTCCTCATCATTCTACGTGTTTGCGGCCTTTCCTTACTCTAGTTCGGAAAGCCGTAAAACACTAGAACAAAATTTATATTCCAAATCGGCACCCTAATCCCCACGGAATCAGATTTTCATTCAACAATTTAGGGTCCCTAATGCGACGTGGTGGCTCAGCTTTTTTTACGGCTAACGGTTTCAATTTGGCCATTTTACCTGCTTTCCAAACAAAAGTCCTGGTTTGGTTTCCTGCTTTCCGTTGCGATTCAAAATTATCGGAGTGACAATTTTGCTGCGCTGTGGGATGCACTAGGTCAATCTCCATCGTAAATATGAAAATTGCCGAGAAAATTATCGCAATTTTGCTGCTGTGGGAGTGGGTAGTGTAAATATACAGCTTACTTTAATTTTTTCTGTGGAGAGCCTCAGGCGATTAAAACTAACGGTTAAAATGTTAATTTTTTTCCTTCTTTGCGGATAAAAATCTTGAGATATGTCCGGAAATGCATGCAGCAATGAAAATGGCGAAAATTCCCCAAAATCGTCAAATCCGCCCAGCTGATTTCGCTTTGACGAAGTTGACTGAATCGTCAATCCATCAAATCCGACGAAATCGTAAAATCCATCAACATTTACTCGGTTTGACGCAAATTTCGTCAAATCTACCATTTTCGTTACTCCGTGCAATACTGGACTTAAATGAAAATCTTTGTCGTGAGACCCTTTTTCATTTCTTTCATCCGATCGTAATCATAAATACTACTCAATCGTACGTGGCTCAACCATTCGGTAATTTTACGAACATGTTAAAGGGACAACTTCACCTGTTTTGCCTATTTTCTTTAAGACCTCTACAATACTTGGCCAAACAAAGGTATCTTAAAGAAGCTTATGGCTTCAATAATCTACTTACTCAACACAGTTCGCGCATTACCTCACCTTTTCATCCTCGATAAATTCCCTTCATGGTCTTAATTGGCCTCGAGCATAATTTCGAGTTTACGACTCGCTAAGTTTTTAGAAACAAGCTTAGACGATTCTCAGTAAATGTTGATCATATATCATGGCAATTACGTGTCTTACATTCGCTCTCTATACAACACCTGCACTGATTCAAACTCCGCCCTCCCTAAAAATTCTACTCATGTAGGCGTGCACAAATTGTCCCACGATTGTCTGAATTCGTTACTCTTTAGAAGGAAAATATACGAGGCAAGCAAGCCCACTTGAATTACGAAAGAAATCACAAGACCATATTTTGTTAATCGTGATCTTTTTTTTATTCAAAGTTACAGTAAGAAGTAAGTTAACAAAGTAACCTACATCATATAATCATTGAATATCGTTCCGAATAGGGGAGAAGTCATTAAAGCTTTAAGTATACATTTGTTTTTACTTGTTTATAATTTTACACCATACTCTTACTTTTAATAACACAAGGCAGTTCATCATAAATGAGTCACTCTAAAATCTTTCTGCAATAATAAGCGAGAAACCATGTAATTTCTGTCCACTCTTATGGGTGAAAAATTTGGGAAAGCACAGATCAAGTTTCTGAAAAGAGGAAATCAGTCCTACTCAATGACGAAAGCTATTTTTAAAATTCAACCATTACAGAAAAACTCCTAATGGGAATTATTAATGGAAAGAGCTAAAAACTACAATAAATTTGCTTTGTTTCCACCAGTCCAAAACAAAAGAAACTGCTCTCTCGACAAAAATAACTGCAGGCAGTTTGGCGACGGGTTTGCTGTCCATTTAAGACGTCGCTACGGTTTTAGTGTGATATCGTTCACAGGAATCATTGCAAAAAATCCGTTGCTCAAGTTTTCATGCAAGCTTACGAAGTGTGTTACGTAACATTATTGAACAGCGGCCTGGTGACAAAACACATCGTAAAATCAAGTAACAAGACATCTAATCGGACGAGAATTAAATGATTGTATAAAACTTGGAACAAATTAAAGATTTATTCCAGTTGTTTAAGATCAAAATGACGAGTCCACCGTTGCTACATCTGTTTGCCTCCACAAGGCCTCAGGATGCTTAGAATGGCGAAAGAAAATTGTGTTTAATTACATCCAACCATCTTGTAACTGCCGAAATGTTAAGAGTTCTCAAAGAGGTCTAGTCGATGCTCATGACAGGAGAATTGCTTTTATGTCCCAAATCTGCAAGAAAACACATATTCCACGTCAAAACAACCTGAAGTACCTGGAAACGAAAATCAGTTCTGAGCTTGTACAGAGATATCGAGAAAGAGTAGAGAGCTCAAACAAAGACATTCAAAAGGAGACGCCAAACTGACCTTAATTATCCTATCACCACCACAAGTCAGTAATCTTCCTTTACTGAGATCCAAATGTAACGAACGAGTTGTATGTTTTGCGTCGTGAAAATCAGCTAGAGGTTCTCGGCTGAAGTAGAGATATAAGAATATCTAAGTTATTTAACGGACATATGGACTCTGTTCTTTAACAGGGTTGTTAATGAGGTTGACAGTTTGTTTTTACTTGACTAAGTTCACTGAGATCAACAGGAGGTTTTTTCTCTCTCTGGGTAAACACAAATTCCAGTTCACAATTAGTGTTGAAACCAGACCGAGCGTTGTTTTTTCTTCCTTAAAACAGCGTAATTCTCACACAAGGGCACGAATCACTCGCTGGCCCTGTTATTTGAGCATGGATACATCATACATCAAAATCTTCGTTACATTAAGAGGATTTTCTTAGGTACAGCCTGCAAAGAAAAACCTCCTTTAATCCTTGCCCATTGTGTCCCTAAAATGCCAGTGTATCGAACGATTAATTGGGAAACATGCCAGTCCCTGACGCTAATACAGTTGAACCTGTATTAAGCGGTCACTCACGGGGAATGGTGCTCAATACAGGCTGACCACTTACGAAAGGCTCCATAGAATAGGAGTATTATGAAAAACGGTAAAAAAACGCCATTTTATGCCACGGTTGACAAAAATTAGACTAACGTTCATTTTGGGAGATAAACATGGATTAAGTTTTACTTCAAAGATTACTTCTTAGTTGTACTTAAGTAGTTCCATTTTAAATGTCCATTCAATACGGGCCGGAAGGACAATACAAACAGGCCGTTGGGACTCAGTTAAGGGTGACCACAACCGTTTACGAAAGGTGACCACTTAATAGAGGTGAAAATGACATTAATCAAGGAGAAAAAAAATCGAGGCTTTGAAAACCGACCTATATGTAATAATACAGGTTCGTCTGTAGTTTTACCATTGAAGGGGTTTGACAAGTCCATACAGTACACATTGACCGAGCATGCTGACAACAACTTATCAGACTTACTCCTCATCTGTGATATCTGCATAACACTCAGTGCAAAAACGGACTGAATTTTCAAAGCCCATGATTGGATAAGACGATTCGTTGTTGCTGCACTCGTTACACACCGCTCTACCACATTTCCGACAATGATGCTGAAAAAAAAAACTAAACAATATTTCTTTTTCTCGTACATCTTTCCGATCAGTTTAAAGTTAAATTCCCTATATTACGTTGGCCCACAACTGTCACGGCAAAAGAAATAACTCGCGGCAAAAGAAAAAGACTCACGGCAAAAGAGGAAAGACTCACGGCAAAAGAGAAAAGACTCGCAGCAAAAGAAAAAACCTCACGGCAAAAAGAAGAAGACTGACGGCAAAATAAAAAACCTCACGGTTCTTTTGCCGTGAGGTTCTTCCTCTTGTCGTGAGTCTTTTTCTTTTGCCGTGAGTCTTTTTCTTTTGCCGTGAGGTTCTTCCTCTTGTCGTAAGTCTTTTTCTTTTGCCGCGAGGTTATTTCTTTTTCCGTGACAGTTGTGGGCCACCGTACTATATGAATATCAAACTTGAAAATTTAAAAAAAAATCCTGCCTTATTTTAATTTTTTTTAACAGATTCATCATAGCAATAATTTTTTCTAAGAAGCCTTAATGCACGGGTGATAGCAGAGCTAAAAAGAACTGTTTTAGATTACAGTTACAAAGGTTTTAACGACCAGATTATCAGAGCGACCCAGTAGAAATGTCGAGGGCTACTGCTCACTTCACCTTCAGCTTTGGTCAACTCGACGACACCACTTGTCAACTCGCCGACACTAATTTTTGTTACTGGATTTGTTACCAAAGACCAAAGACGACTTTGGGCAAGTTGATTAAAAGTGACTGCGAGTTGGCAGACACCAACGAATCAACACGTTGGTAAAGTGACCGGGTACCATGTCTTAACATTAGTTACTGCTGCAGACTATAGTCCCTCTAGGGACTATTCTCAACGACACAATCATATTTCACGATTAGCTATTACGCCTTCAACCAAGGACAAAAAAGTTTCCACATTTCCATTGAGAGCGCAACATTCAAGAATAGCACTCCAGTTGTACCCCCGGTAGCTTTACTTTCACCCGCTCTCACCCTGTACTTTTTTATCTAATCGTTTTCTGTGGTTGTACAAAATTGAGTGATTAAAGATAAGAGGTGTTGTAATGAGGTGCAGTTAGTTTCAAATTTTAATTTCCTGGTACCTCCTCAGAAATGGAAAGATGAATGTCATGTATCAACTAATTTTGTTCCAGATTGTGGGTTCAAAGCATTTACTGTAGGGAATTATCATCATACCTGCCTGACACCGACTGCTTTTTGGCTCCACATTCCTTTAAAGTTCCAAAAGAAAGGACCTCCGCATCTCTCACAGACATCGCTTTGTGACCATTCTGGAGTCTACCAAGAGTTAAATAACAAATGTCAAAATGGAACGAGAAATCCTCATTGGCATCCTTCCTTTGTAACAAATTGATTTGATACATGAATATTAAATGATTCTAACTCAAATAAAAGCACTTGTAAACCTAAATCGGCAATATTCATTACGTTCAATAAAAACAAAATCAACCTATTGACCAACCCCAATACATGGACTCAAACCTGGATAAAATTTAGGAGTGATGGAGCTTGCATTTCAAAACTCAGAAAATTTGCACCATCCATTTTATATTAAGCTTTTACACCCTGACATCAGTGTGTATATTCTCCACACTGTTCTCTAAACATTTCCTAAGGTGCTGATAAGGAGAATTAGTTCAATGATCAAGAGCTTCTTTAAATGGTGATCATTTCCTTTATTCTAGTGACCTAAATGTGTGATTCAGGGGTGATATTGTAGCTGAGAAATAAAATGCTAGTTACTCTAAGGAAGTCAAAGAGTATATAAAAGAGAGAAAAGTGTACGGAAAGGATTGTTTGTGGCAGAAAGTGATCTGTGGGATTTAAGTTTCTTGCAACAAACAATGATTCCCGTAAGGGCTTAGTCCACATTTGGTCTCCTACTAACAATAAATCAACCAACTGACTGACTTAAAACAGATTAACTAGCTGATGGGCTGATGGGTGAGTGAATACAACTGACTAGCTAACTACTTGTAATTTATTGATCAAATGAACTGCTTGTTGCCAACTTATGCTATGGGTGCTGAGCAAATGCACATGAAAGACACATACACTAAGTTGAACATAAAGACTGATTCATTCATACCTCTTTTCGTTTTACATTCATATCCCAAATCCTAACAATACCATCTTCACTACAGGATATCAACTTCTTTGCATGTGGAGCATAACAAAGGGATTGAACTTTGGTTCTTGAAAAAACAAAAACAAAAACAACCAAAAAAACAAACAAATCAACAATATAGTAAAAGACAGTAAAGGTTATCAATGCATAATTTCTTTAACTCTTTCACAGATCTGATTGGATATTCTCCCTCTAAGCTGCCATACTCTTTCTTGTATGTTCATTCAGAGAATTTGGTGTTACAACAAGATGACAGTGAGCATCTGATGCTTTTCCCTCTTCTCATCACATGTTCGTTACAAGACTTAAAATTATTTGAAGGAGGTACATGTTTATCAAATGAATTGAAAAGTTAACTTTGATTGTACAATCTCGTATCATTTGAACAAGGTCATAATGGCACCTTTACAAAAGACACATCAAGTGCAAAACAAAACAGCACTTTCCGTAATGGGTAAATGTATCAGCATGTATTATCTCTCTCTTGGAATTCCAAAGACTTGGTAGTAAAAATGACAAAATTTTTCCATGAAGATATGAAGAAATTAGAATTAACCTATGGGCCAGGGGAGTTCAATCTAAAAAAATTTGTAAAAAAGTAAACCTTACATATGTCCATGAAGTTCCAAAGCAGTTCCTTTTTGTCCTCCAATGTCCCAAACAATAATGGATTCATCAAAACTACCAGAGAACAACAGTTTTGACTCAGCATCCCAAGCTAGTGATCTTACACTTCCTAAAAACAAAATGGATAATGATATAGAATAATGGCAACTACTAAAGGAAAATTTTTAAATGGCAATAAAGTTCCATTCATTGTTTACTCTATGAATTATATTAAACATGAAGGGGAAACACACTGTCTTGCTCCCAAGTGTGGAAGACTCCAGATGAGAGGAGCCTAGTTCTAGCATTGACTGTGGCAGTTTTGAGCAAGAAAATTAGCCCCAAGTCTTTTTCTCTTGCTATAGACACCTGGTTTAATGCTAGGATATACCCAGAATGAGCAGAATCTCATCCAGGAGATGTAGCCTACCTAACTTCATTTTAAAGAAACCATAGGAAGCCCTTGAGGCATGGGCCACCAAAGTTCCTGTTGAGACTTTGCCTAATTTTTTTTCAGAAAAAGCAAATTGTTCAGGAGCCTCCATAGGGTTTTTGCTTTATGTTAGTGCATGCATCAGCATAATATTTTTCTAGAAAATTTTCATGTTTTTGCTTTTTGAGGTCACTAAAAGCCATCAAAAGGCAATGAGCAAGGTTCTTACTATTGCAGTAAATATTATCAAAATGATTTTCATTGTTATGCTAAGGCTTTAAGAGGAGAGGCGTGCCAGCCATAATTTGGCTTTGCCTTTGGTTTTCTACAATTTGCTCCAGTGAAATCTCTCAAAATTTTTACAATTTGTGGAAGTCGTCCAGCCGATCATTCAATCAGTATCTGATCATGTGTAGACTTTTGAATCTGTCGCCTTCTGGCAATCTTTCCCACTGTGTTTTCTTTTCAGTTGACCTCTTTTTCAGAAGAAAGCTTATGAATATTACAGGTGCAGTTGCTCCTGGATTCCATCACAAAAAGAACTGTATTGTGTTGAACTGTTTTTAACACACCTTTTCAGGTAATGATCATGCAATTGTATCAAGGTGCTATGTTTGTTTTGCATGTTGACACTTAATAAGCTTGTGCTATGTTCGCACTCAGATCTTGCACAGACAAAAAAGCTTATGGAGCCTCCTTAACCCTTTAATCCCTAAGAGTGACAAATTTCTAATTTCTCCTTACAATATCACCCCTGAATAAAAGGTTTAAGTCGTGAGAATAAAGGAAATGATCAGCAACTAACAAAGCTCTTGATGGTTTTACAAATTCTCCCTGTTGGAACCTAGGAAATGTATGGAGAACAGTATGGAGAATATGCATAATGTTAAGGTGTAATGGGTTCAGTGCTTGAAATTGTGTTGTAGGCTCATGTGCTTTTTACTTTACACACGACCCAGAAAGATTTCAGTGGTTAATTTTCAATTCAGTGTAAAAAGTTTCTAAGAGTCTTCAAAACAGCACAGGACACAAGCTAAATCACCTGTGCCAAACCATGAGTGCCATGGACGTAACTTGCCTGAGTGGCCATTGAGTGTCGTCACTAGTGATAGTGAACTTGACTCCAGTTTTATAACGCTAATATGGCCACCATAGTCTCCCACAAAGACATGCTTGGATTCAGCATCAAATCTGAAACGTGTTAAGGAAGACTGCAGTGTTGCAGATGCTCATTTTAAGACAGCTACATCAGGGTTTGAGTATCTTGGAGGTCTAACATAACCTTTTTCTAGAAGGTAATTTGTAATCTATAGTTGTAAGTTACTGTAATCCTCTCAGGGTTCAACAGCAATATATATATGGTAATATAGTATAGTAACAGGAGAATGTTCTCTATGTCTGATAACCCTACCTCTCCAAGGACTAAAATATAAATTATCCAAACTGATTGCTTGACATTTCTCAATTTTAAATGAAAGAATTTGGTGTTCAATCAAGGAATATTCCCTAGGTTAAATTTTTCTTACTTCTCCTAACCTTTCTGCTTGAAATGTGTTCATATTGTGATGAGAAATGCATTTTTGGTCATTCCTGAGGCTAAAAGGGTTTATAAATAGCTCAGGGAATTAAGATATAACCAGATTATACTGCCTAGCAGCCACATAATTCTCTGATCTCCAATGTCTGATAAGTATACAGGGAGAACTTGTGTACATTCAAAAGCTCCTTTTTTGACAATCATTTCCTTTGTTTCCATGAGCTCAATGTTTAAGTCAGGCTTAAGGGTTAACCTTCAACTCCAACAAGTGACCAAGACAATTTCTCCTTACAATATGAATACAATTTGAAACAAGTGAGTGATGAGAATAAAGAAAGATATGAATTGGTGGATTATCAGTTGATCCAATACTAAATTATCAGGACCAACACTGTAAGAATTAAATGGCAGACAGTAAGGAGAATTACTAATGAGATCTTGGGAGTAAATGGGTTCAGCCATTAACATTTTGATTGCTCAGGATACTGCAATGATGTGCACCAAGCTTCAGTTTGAAATCCTCCTAATCTTTTGCCCGTTGTGCAGTCATGCCACTGTAAATATTTATCTCTTCCTACACTGAGCAGCCATTCATTCTCCAGTGAAAACACAATTCCTGTCAATCTGTTCATGTGTGCTAAACAAAAATAAATATAAAATGTAGGTCTTTTACTAAAGCTCATTTATGTAGCTACATACCACCCAAGCCCATAGGATTTAGAACATGAAGCCACTCAGCACATTGCTAGCTCCTCTCCTTCACCCTGACTTACATTAATTTTTTAGCTGTTGTATGATTGCTGCAGTTGATCAAGCTATACTGTGCAAGTAAGTGATATCAAAGGGCAGCATCATCTAGAAAAGGATCACTCTGAGCAGATCTAGTTAGAGCCCTGAGTTTTGTTTGAACAAATTAATGCCAAGAAGGTGCCAATAATTGAGAAACAATGTCCCATTCCAGGATGACTGTTTAACTCACACAACCCACTAGAATGTGAAAAACAGACTTTGGAACCAACTTTTGCATGGTTTGTATGGAAACTTGAAGAAATTGATTATAAATGTATCCTTTCATCTTTTTCTTTTCAACAAAAGTTGAAAAGTCATAATTTCAGTACATGCAAATATCCAAAGCAACCATCCACCGATCTTTTTGTGACATTGTGCACTTACCTAAATACTTCCTACTAGCATGAAGTCTGTTAAAATCCTCAGACACTTCAAACTCCTATTCAGAGGTAACACACAAATCTTCAATTTTTTTCTTCTGGAATAATTGGCATATACACAACTATGCACTCTAAAGAAAGTCTTTCTTGCCAAAATGCTGTACTTGATGGATATTATGTTTGGTTAACGAAACATTTTGTGCCAGAATTTAATTTTAGCCACTTCGGGTTTAGAATCAACTCTCTGAATCTCAATTTATGACTACGATTTTGACGAAAGTTCAAAGGGGAAGTTTTCCAACACTCTTCCATCCAGGTAGCAGCCCTAGATATACTAAGGATTTTCACAATAGTGGATGTACTGTTGATCATTATCGGCCTGAGCCAAACATGATTCATATGCACTTACAGAAATTGCTCCATCGTCCAGTCCTACGAACAATCTCCTACTTGTTCCATGATAATCTAAGGCGGAACATTCGGCTAAAAAAGAAATTAACTGAATACTTGAAACCAGATTTCACCAAAATATAAAATGCATGTAAATCTCTATCAACAAGAACTTTCATAACGAGCAACCCACTCGTACTTAGCAAGTCAATTCAGTAAGTTTAAAAGATTTTCAGCAAACATTAACAAGGGAGTAGATGTCTTCGAGCGAAAAGGCTATGAACGTATCTCTGAAATATACAAAGGAAATGAAAAGAACGCTCTCTGGATATACATGGAGGAAAGTCAAGCAAGTAGATGTGAGATACAATTTATCCATACTTACACTCCATTACATGGCAAACGCTTGGCCAATATTGCCCACTTTCTCGTTTGATCCAAAGCCTTATACTCCTGGAAGGGAAACAAAGCACATGAAATTAACCTTCGACCTAAACTGAACTTACATGGGATACGATTTACAATCAAAACAATCGAAAATTGCACAACTCTTCAAAGATCGATCCATAAGCAGCTTCCACTCACTTATCGTCAGAAACACTGATTACTGCATCTTCGTGTGGAATAGTAACGGCCATATTTACTACACCACTGCATCCTTCCAGCTTATTCACCAATACAGCTTTGATATGCTTTCCTTTGGGCCTAGAGGAGTCTTCCTCTGGATCTTTAATAGTCGCCGCCATTTCAGCTTGCTTGAGAGACACGAAAGTTTTCCCAACATGCAACAGACTAGATTTGTACCGGAAGTGATCTGATTAAAAAATGACGTCAAAAGTCCAAAACGGCCTGGAACCTCATTGACAATTTTAGAATACTTATCAAATAATGATGGTGGCTAAAATTAAGTCCTCGAAGACTCTCTAGTGTACGGTAGTGTCAAAAAAAAAAAAACCGTTCAAATTGTATTTTAGCTCATCGTCGTGATACCTATTAGGTTTGAGGCGAGACAGATTTTAATGAGCTTGAACATGGTTTAATCACAAATAATATTCTTAATGAACAAATCAAGTTCTGTTAAAGCAGTGCTGATCGTTCAAGGTATTCTAAGTAACGCTACAGAGCAGTATAATGTGCAATAGACGTCGCGTGAGTGACAGCGTGACTGCAAATGTGACCAAAAAAATAATAATAATAATAATTTGCAAGCATGGTCAACTGAGAATCCCAGCTGACTAAGCAGAGCCTGCAGTACAAGCATCTGTTCAAGATGGTGAGTATTTCCTACATTACCACTCGATCGAAGTTATCACTTCTTTCCTTTAAGCGTTTTTGACAAAGTACTTAAAAAGGAGGTTAACCTCTCTGCAATATTTTAGTTTCAGTTTATGCTGCTTTTCAGCCGTCAAGGTAAACTTCGACTGCAGAAATGGTACACGGCCTCTAGTCAGAAGGAGAAGAAAAAGATCACACGGGATTTGATCACGACTGTTCTTGCTCGGAAACCGAAGATGTGCAGTTTCCTTGAGTATAAGGATCTAAAAGTTGTATACAAAAGGTAGTTTAGGGCAGTTAGGATATTCTTATACGAGAAACTAAATGTTTGAAATGTGTCCATTCCATGTCTAGTGACTTGAAACTTAGGCACGTCTGGTTATGGTCAGACAAAGACAGGTGATTGATTGGTGTTCTTTTTAATGCCCCGGCTAAACGATCAAACATTTTCGATGGACATCGTGTTTGATGTACATCGTGGGGTGGCTAAACAATCGAAAATTTTCCAAGGGTTTGATCAGAATGTGATCACAATGTTGGATGAAAAGTTTTAATGCGAGGCTCAGAAAGACGGCTAGACAAGTTAAACATGCTCTTCTATCATGAAGTTGAACGAAAACTTTTGATCGCTTAGCGGAGCTTTAGGATTCCTTTGTTGAATTTGTACATGAAGAACAACTTTACACTCTTCGCGTATCATGCATGTGTATATATGATAACAACTGTACTGCGAAACACCTATACTCTTTCAAATACTTTCTAAACGTAGGAGTTTCTTGCTACACCTTCGTCAGAAAATTGGATGATGAATTGAAAAATTTTGTGTTATCGTTTGAAGTGAAATGATTTATCGTATAATTACTTGTTAACTAAGCGAATGAAGATATTGATCCCAAATGAATATGTTTAATTCTAAGATTCTGTTTCCTTGTATTGCACAGATACGCCAGCTTATATTTCTGTGTAGCAATAGAGAAAGATGATAATGAACTTCTCACACTGGAGATAATCCACAGATATGTTGAGCTTCTGGACAAATATTTTGGAAGTGTAAGTACAGTAATCACAAATTTCACTGTGACTAAATCAAGAAAACCTTATGTGATTATTTGTTTTTTCGGTTTGTTGATATGGAGCATAAGTTTATGTCATTCATGTGTTGATTTTGTTTACCGAAAGGTTTGTGAGCTGGATATCATTTTCAATTTTGAGAAGGCTTATTTTATGTTGGATGAACTGATTCTTGGAGGAGAGATCCAAGAAACAAGCAAGAAAAATGTCCTGAAAGCAATATCAGCCCAAGATCTTCTTCAGGAGGTAGGTTGAGACCTTCTTTTTTGATAAAAAGTTACAATGCTGGTTTCAGAAACTTGCTGCATTGATTTAAAAGGAAAGCTTCCTTGTTTTCAGTGTTCTTTTGATTATTTTAAAACCAAAGCCAGAGTTATGTAATGACCATTCAAAACAAATGCAAATATCAAAAGGAGCTGACAAGAATTCAAAATATTTAAACAGAAAAGGCCTTAGTCTGGAAAAATATGGGTTTTTTAATAATTGGTTTTTTGATTTTTGTATAATGTGATTGGTTGCTGTGACTCAACTTTATAGGCCAATCAGAGAGTACAGGGAAACACAGGCAATGACACATTGCAAATCACTTTTGACACTTGACTTGAAATTGCCATGTCAGCAAAAGTATACACTGTTTGCAAACAGTAAGAAATTTTGTAGTAGTGTTGTTATCCTCTTAGTCATCTTCATTTTGATCAGGTGATATTTTATGCTGTATGTTGATTGTCTTTTTTGTTCAGTTTTTATAACTGTACCATGTGTTTAGCAACAGGTAAACCTCAGGAGCTTACATAGTCCTTTTTTTAAGGCTTGTCTTCTTTAAATTCTACTATTTTAGTCACCAGTGACATCCTATTAAATCTATTCATGTCTGCATTATGTCACTTCGTTGTATATTGTGAGATAGTTCAACTGTTTCAAATGTGGTGGTACTATTAACCAGATTAGTGTTGAAAAAATGAATAACCTAAAACTGCTCAAGTTGATTTCCAACTGAAATAAAAGCTTCAATATAAAAGCTGCAAATGTAGAATTTTTACTCAACTTTGTTGTGAGAAAATTGTTAATACTAACAAATAGATACAATATAATTTGATTTGACTTCTTAAATTGCCCTTAATTTTGTTCAAACATTTTAACATTTTAAAGCAACACAATGAAATAATGGTAAAAGAAATAAGGTAAAAGTAAATAATAAAATGTGTGGCTTACATCATTAAATAAACCTTTGATTGCAAAATCTCTTTTTGTTAAGTTACTTAAATTAACAAGTTTTTTTCATTGTCACATTTCAGACCTTCTGTGTTTTCACCTAGACACCGGTCTTTATTTTTTTTGTCTTCAACAATGTCAACATATAGATTCTCAAAACCACACTTCATGTCCTATACCCAATCTTGTAAGGGAGAATGTAGATATAACTGAATCATGAAATGGGTAGTGTTTAGTAATGAGTTTCTTCTTATCATCACTTACCTGAGGAGGCCATTTAAAATATTTGGTGAAATTTTCAACCATCAAAGAAATCCTCTTCTTTATCAACACAACATTTGGAATGGGCAAAGGCCCATCAGGTGATGTGAAGGCCTGTGGATGAAGATGTCCATGTTTGTGTTCTGAGCGGGCTCATTGTTTTGTATTCCTGAACAAGACAATCTATATTCTTCCAGTGCCTTCTCCACCCAGGAGTCATGAGTTTGAAAAAGGTATCAGTGAATTATCAGGGAAACCTGATAAAATTCTGAGGGAAACTAATCATGGACTAGCATTCCATCCAGGGGATGGGGTAATACCCTTATTTTTTTATGTTGCAGAAATTGAGGTGAACTATAACAACAAGGTGTTTTAGTCTTTGCATGCCAAAATACTTTGATTTCACATAGTGCCAGCAGATAGTGTCACTTTCCTACAGACATCTTTATACCTTTGATATCTTTGCTAATCCTTTCCTCTGAGCTTCCACTTTGCCTTGCTTTCATACTTTTTCCACAGGAAGCAGAACTGCGCAGTGCTTTGGAGGAAATGGGTCTTGCCTGAGTTCTTTCATCTGTAAAATCTCTACCTCTGATACTTTTGTTCTACAGGAAGGTGAACTCCAGCGCACGCTGGAAGAAATGGGTTTGGTCTGAACTGTCTTCTCTGCTGCTTATTCAGCATCTGGTCTAACTATCTTCACTTCCACGAATTCTTTTATTACCATGATGGTGTGCCAGTCACAACAGAAGATGCTATGTATCATGATTAAACCATAGTTTACAGTCCAATATTATTTATAACCGTATATTAGTCAAATTGTACTCTAAAATTACATTGTAAAACTAACATTTTGTTTAAAAGTTTCTATATCAGTTTCTTTGGTCTAAATGTACAGAATATTTCTTCTTTGAATATTAATTAGTTATAATCTAGAAGTTTTCAATCAAATATAGTTTGAAGTATTTTTTTTAATGTCTCATGTTTCCTCTTTGCCTTTGTAATGAATACACCATTCTAGGAACTGCCATAACTGCATTCTAAATGTACCTCAAAGTTTTTTTTTTTTCCTTTGCTCTAGAGTGCTTTTCTCTTAGACTAAAATCATCTTAAATTTATAGAGTTGAAACTAATATAAAATGCAGAGTTAGAGATATTATTTAATTGACATGAAATATCAATTAATAGCAGGTTACTAAAATTTGTGTTGTGTTTGATAATAATTACTTATTTATAAAACTTAATATAAGCCTCTTGACTCTTTTACTCCCAAGATCTGAATTAAATTCTCCCTTCTTACTTCTACACATTTCCTTGTAAATTAGTCACAAGAATTTCTTGTTAGATCAAAATAACAACTTCTACCTGATGAGTTTGAGTTTTCTCATTACTTGTTTGCTGGATATTGTATGGAGATTATAGGGAGAAGTTACATGCTAATCACTAGTGGGAGTTTAAGGGTTAAGTCACATGGATTGCAAGGTGTATTTTAATGGTCACTTGATTTGTAAGGAATTGTATAATGAAGCCAGTGAAGAAATACTTTTCACCTTATGCAAGGTTTGATAACTCAAAACAAAAACAGACAGACTGATAGTGATTACAACCTACCAAATAGGATTCTACAAGTTTGTATTGATGCACTTCTAGCAGTGATTCCTGAAACATTAACCTGCTGTAGTTCATGTGGTTTTGTTTGATCAACAGGAAGGGGAACTTCAACGTACATTGGAGGAAATGGGTCTGTCATGATTGTACAAGTTACCTGCTGAAGGGAGGGGAGGCTGGTGATATTAGTAATAGCTTCCTTTTCTTGTCCCTGGCAGGGTAGGGGTTTCAGTATTTTTTTTTCTCAGTACCCTCTTAACCATTGTCAAAAATTTAAAAAATTGTACTGAGCCAAAGGAGTTTGTTGATTGAATGAATGAATGGATGCCACGCACTTTCAAGTTTCATTTATCTGAAATCCTCTAATGCTCTGTATCTCTGCAGTAGGTTTCTTAGTGAGTGGTTGAATTAATCAAACACAATTGTTATTCATAGGCTCGTATGCAACTTAAACGTTGTAAATTTGTTGAAATGTTATTAAAGCTATGAATAAAAAGTTGAAATTGATAGTTCGTTTCATTAGGGAATTCCTCTACAGGTCAATGTTTGTCCTCCTTTTTGAAGCATTCTTAGAAAATGCGACATTGTTTCCTCATAGCGGATTACTGGCGGCCTTTTATTAACCAAAGTCTCCAATACTTGGAGAAGTTAGAAGTATTGCTCGGCCTCCTAGATGAGATCCCACTCCATTGCAGGCAACCTCTCCTACTCCACCCACCCTCTCACTCGCCCTCCATTCCATCATATTCCACAATGGAGAGCCATAGACCTAATTTAGTAAGCGTGCTTACCCAAAGTCTGTGGACTGTTTCGTGTCAAATTGTAAGTATTCCGTAAAGACTGTCAGCAACTTTCAAGTATTTCATTGCACTATGTACACTTATGGTATTGCTTGCCTGTTTGTTTATTTCCCTATACAAATAGTATTCTATGATCTCATGGGAGGGTAGTCCTGTGAAGAATTATTAGCGGAGAAAGTGACCTCTGACGTGTTACAGCCGGAGCGGAAATCGTATTTCACATGGTTACCTTGATAACGTCCTGATACGCACTCGGTGCTTGAATTTTTCTTCTCAAATATCCAGTAAAGATTAGCGGCAATTGACCTTGTTTCGAAGTACGCTGTAATTTCAGGAGGGAAGAGTTAATCTGATTATTGCTCGAATTAAGGACACGTATGGCCTCTTTTGCGAATGACAGTAAGAAACACGTCTTGTGGAGTTTTCTGTAACCATCGTTTATTTCAGGCTCCTTATGCTGTCAGTCACCTGTTTTCTCCAATTGTTCATGTTATTAATCATCGCTTTCGGTAATTGGCCAGAATAAACACGTGCCCTTGATGTAAAAACAAATGTTTTAATAGAGAACCATTTGGTCACTTTTCTTAATTACAATGTGACATTTTTAAACCACAGAGCGCTGTTTTCGGAAGCCAGCTATTGCGACTTCAATTGATTTTAAGTAACCTAATTTGATTAATTTAAGGAAAATGGGCAAACAAAGGCTGACATTTTAATTTAAAAATCAAAAGAATTTACTTTGCTTGACAAGAAGAGCCTACCACGTTTTCTAACTGGGGAGCAAGCAGTTCTCGTTAGTTATGAGTCAGGTAAGACTGAATCGCCCGCAAGGCTGACTAAGAAGTGTAACCGAGATCCGTTTACAACTTCAGTATCTATGTATCCATCATCAAGTTGCGTTACACGTTTGAAAACACAATAAGATGACGTAGGAGGCGGTGGTACGGGTCACGAAGGGTTGAGAGTCCCAGAACTGAAGATATGTGGTGTGGATAAGTGACTTACAAGAACTCCATTATAGATATGACCACTCCACCACCTGTTCCTTACAGCTTCAGATTCATGCAAGCTTAGAACGAAGTTCAAGTCTAGTCTTCATTTATTTGCCGACTCTCTATGCTCCAACTAATAAGTTGACGTATTTACGCGAGCGCCGGAAACTTGGAATGCGCGTCATTAGCACAACAAATCCGCGGGAAACCGGATATCATGGGGGTATTTTGCTGAGCAATGTCACGAATGGAAGTGAATGAGGTCACGAAATGAAAAGACAAGAACGAAACGTCTTAAATCTGAAAGGAGCGCTTGTTTGGTTATAACATGCAAAGATCTGGCAATACTATTTAATACTCTGAATAATTTATTCGTATAATATGCATATTTTCTTACAATTTGGGTGATTAAAATATTTCTGCAACATATTGCAGTTAGTCCAAGAGGTAATTTGATACCTTCCAAGGTAGGAGATCAGTCCGATATTTGTTATTTATAATAGTGGTTTGCGTTATAAGGCATCATAGTAGATGTGTCTTGCGTAATATGATTAGCGCCATTAGCAACTCAAATCTGTAAATAAACATTGCCTTATTTGAACAAGTTAGCTCTGGAGAAAGATTATTGTGGAGAAAAGCACCTTGAGGGCGATACGTGTCAATTAAACCAAATACACCTGCATAGTTTTACGACCTAACAAAAGACAATAACGACCTCGCTTGATTCGGCTCGAGTTCTGCATACTTTACGGGTCGGAACGCATTCAACCTCGGAATTCAACCTCGGAAAGCAAAATCGTCAAGAACCCGCGTCACCAAAATATGTAAATAATAATTGCTTTTAAGTGGCATACTTCGAAATTATAAAGTTAATATTTTGAGCTTAACGTTTCTTCTTTCCTTTCTTCTTGGCTTGGCGTTGCGAATCATCCGCTTCACGATTTTTGTCCACGTTCAGTGCATGTCCAAGCTCCTTAATGTGTTGGAACATTTTATTTCTTGTCGGAAATGAATCTTGGCAGACGTTACACTTGAAAGAATTTGCTGCTGGCTCTTTACTCGCTTGTGGCGATTTTTTATTACCTTCTTTGGGCTTTCTTTTCTCTGTAACGGCACCAGTCGTCTGTCTATCGCCCTCAGATTCTTGTGATTCCAAGTTCTCTTTACCGTCTTCCGTTTCTTTATTATCAATATCACTTGTTGTTATCCTGTTTTCGTTTGACAAATTTTGCGTCGTTTCCTCCACCTCTCGTTCCTCTGATTTTGCTTCCATTCTATTGCTCTCTTCGTTGGCGGCTTCCTTCTCTTCCTCTCCCCTTTCCAAATCTCCCTCTCCGATTCCTGATAGAGCTCGTTTCCTCTCGTGCAACACCTTTACTTTGTACCGGTTGTTACCTTTAATTCTCATAGTAGACAGATCTACGGAGTCCATCAGATTTAATTCTCCAACACTCACAAAATCTGCGCAAGTTTCGTCGACACTGTGTTGTCTCTTACTCAAATACTCTGACTCTGTTCTGGCATCGTAATATTCATTTACGCCGTTTTCTCCATTGTGTAACGCAAGTTCATCTATATCTTCACTGTCGGCCATTTCTCGTTTGATTGCAGCGACTTTGTCTTTGTGTTTCCGCGACTTCTCGTGGTTAACTAACGCCTTCTCTGTTTTAAATGCTTTATCACAAGCCACACAATAATATTGTTGCACTTCCTCTTCATCTGATTGGCTCTCACTGATGTCATTATCTCTGCCGAATTCACTGTCCAGATGAACATTCATTTGGACCAAGTCCTCCTCCAGTCCAGACAAAGAGGCCCAGCTTTCTTCTTTGTACGCTTCAAACATCTTCTCCCTTTCTCGCAAGGCTTCTAGACGTTTTTGTTTTGTAATTCGTTGCCTTTCCTCGTCTTTTTCCTTAAGTAACTCAAGATATGCTTTGACACGCTTGTCCCTTTTACGAACGAATTTTACCAATGCGCGAACTTCTTCATTTCTCTCTTTTTTTACGGCATCTCGGATTTTCTTGTTGTCTTTTTCCATCAATCTTTGAACCCTTCGATTGGGTGCTTCTCTGAGGTCGTATTTCTCTAACCATACATAAGATTTCAGAGTCGAGTAGCTCTGCCAGTAAGCGTAAAAAGGTTGAACAACTTCTTCATAATCACTCGTGGATGTTCCAAACTCAGGTACCTCCAGATCTTGACCATCCGCAAATTCAGCATCTTCTTTAGTAATAATTTCGAAAACATTGGCATAAACCGCATAAAATCCTTGTGCGTCGTCTCCGAAACCGCAATACACACTGGCACTGAAGTACTTCATCAAATTAATACTGTTGTCTACATAGTCATCTCCTCCTCTAATGATTTGTTCGCGATGTTTATCATACCATGCTCGCTCTTGTGGGTCTATAAGCACTTCATAAGCTTGTTGGATCTCTGTGAATACTCGAGTACTTTCCTCGGAGTTGTCAGTATTTTTATCTGGGTGCCATATGAGAGCAAGTCTTCTGTAAGATTTCTTTATCTCAGCATCACTTGCGTCTCTTTCGACCCCCAATATTTCGTAACAACAGCGGGGCATTTCAAAATCGTGGCCCTCCCAGATCGCGGAAATGAAAAACAAGTCCTCTTCGTAATTATGATTTATATGGGGAGAAAAGATCCCGTCAAAATGAATATTTTCAAAGTGACCTTCTCATACCACGTTTATCGATGATGGCGAATTTGATATGGCGGACCGCTGATTGCGCATGCTTACGTGACCGCTGTTTCAAAGATTGACATTGCAAAATCAGTCGCTAAGCAACGGTACGCCAGGAGTTACGGTGAAATTGTCTTAGTCTCTTCATCTGAAGTTATTGCTGTCTCTCTCTTCAGCTCATATTTGATTTTCCTCATCACTGAAAATCAAGATGCATAGATCCTACCAGCCAATTACGCCTGCCAATAACAAGCTTCTAAAGAAAAGATGGGACATGAATAGCTATAACACGCACAGAAGAAAGGTTTGTTTCAGTTTTGTGCGCGTCCTAAATTATTTCGCGGCACAAACCGCGGTTTGAGCTTATTTGCTTTAATGCCTTTCCTGATGTTTTGTATTATCTCTAGGTTCAGTCTGCCAAAGCAGTCATCGACAACAAACCTCCCCAGACTTATATGCATTTGCATCTAAAGTTAAAGAAGTTACAGGTATTGTGAATGTTTGAATTGAATGGCGCAATAGCGCAGAATCTTTTTTCGTATCATACCAACGTATAGTACATCTAAAGTTGTGTAAACAGACGTAGAGAACTCTCTGTCTGATTAGATTGTATATTCAAAAGAGGTTTGTGTTTGGACGATTTTAAGCACAGATTGGGGTGTAGAAGAAATACGTGCAGATGGCCGTATAGTTGCTAATTTTACGGGCGATTAGCGTGTATTGTATTGACAATGAATTGATGTTTGTTGCAAAGTAGTTAAAATTGCGAAAGGAATCGTTGGCTCTAATCGTCCACTCTCTGGTAGAAATTTCATGGCATCCTGCTGTTTAAGATTATTGTACCATTACACCACTTTAGTGCTTTATTTCGCGCAGAATTGTCGAAAATCGCGAAGGTATTTCGATGTTTTCACGCCAGCTGAAACACGACGGGTAAATTTTTGCAGTTTGTTCCTGTTTGTTCAGAGTCAAGTTACTAATTGAAATGATGAACTCACTTCCCCGTGTCATCGAAATAATATGCTCGCGTTAGAATACAGCTTTGTCTTCATTGAATATTGTTTACTGCTTTTGAAATGGAAATTTTGATCGAACAAAGCGAAGCAATGTCCAAAAATGTTAAAATCTCATTAGCACATTTTTCTCAACGCGTCGAGGCACGTAAGAAATTATTTAGCTATGCTAATTTACAAACAAACAATGCTCTTCGTCCTTAAAGGGAAACCTAATTGAACGTGCTTTCAACCCGCGTCTCCAAGGCTTTAAAGATGGAGTCCTTAGAGCAAAACTTAAGTGAACAAAGCCTGAAGTTCATGCATGAATTGAACGGCGATCAAATTTTGGGAAAAGGAAATGACATTGGAATGAAACAGAGAACAGCAATTTGAGTCCATTTCAGTTATCTCTTGTTTAGAATGTTATACTGCTAAATTTAGTCGATACACACGAATATTTTTGTAGGCGGGATATTTCTGATAAAAAAAATTTGTTTTTGAGTATATATCAATTTTCTGAGGCACATTATCAAGTAGTTTTAATCTCCTTGGCAACGGTTCAAGTATTTTTGTTATTTTTTATTAACCTATAACAATGACTAAAATCATTCTTTTTAGGTGGAGGAAGAGAGATTAGCCACAATAGAAAGAGACAATCGTATTCTGCTGGAAAAGATGTCGTTTGTTATGAGGACACGAGGCAGAGTTGACAACAGAAATGATTATGAACACAAGAGTCTGAACAAGACAAAAAGACAGAGAGAACTCCTTAGAGTTACTCATGAAAATCAGGCAAGAAACAATAATGGTTTATGGAAAGGGCTTTAGACCGCAAACAATGCCTTTGATCTTGTATTATTTTTGCTGGGTTGCAAAAGAGTTAAGCTAAGTTGTACCCTTTGTCAAGAAAAAGTTGACTCATGAAGAGTAAATTCAATGCCAGATGCTGGTGTTTACAACCTTTACCAAAAAATTCCTGGCAACAAGGAAAAGGGGGGGTGGGAGGATGAGGAGTGAAATTCTCCACATCCACATTTATCTCTGACTCTCATCTCCCATCCTGTACTGCAAAACCCTACAAGTTTTTTTTTTGTTTTTTTTACAACACTTTAAGACAATGTGTTGGAAGTGATAGTGTGCTATTATGTCTTTTATGACAAGATGAAAATTCACTCATTTTCATCAAGTTTTCATTGATATTTCCACAGGCTATTTTGAAGAGGATAACTGCAAAAGAACCACATTATAATCATCTTCAATGGGTAAAGAAGAGTAACTCTGTTGTACCATCATTTTTTTATTCTTGTAATCATGTTAAGTAGACAGATACTTCAAACATTTCCACTTCATTTCCCAAACAAGGGCTGGTTATTGAGGCCTTAAAAATGATGACTGCACAGGAAATTGCTTTGAGTGGGTTTTTATTCTGAGGAGGGTGGGGTCCCTGGGTAGGCTGTTAAACCCCTAGCTACTGAACTGAGTATTTCTGATCATGCTTTTCAGGAGGATGAATGGCAAATCAATGAAACATATATGGACAATATTTCCAAGTATCCAAAGGATTGGTACAAACAGCTGATGAGCAAGAAGAAACCAAAGGAAGGAGAGAAAACTGAGCAAGCTAAAGGAGACAAGAGACACAGCATATATTCTGTGGAAAGTGGAAAGGAAGGTAAGAACAAACCTGAACCAACTGATAATGATGAAGGTGCAGACAATGGAAACAAAGTTGAAGAAGACAAAGAGGCTGTTAAAGAATAATGGCAGTAATTAATTTATGAATTATGAGAGTGCAATGTTTAAGATTTATCATTTTATACCATTTTAATTGTACAAAAGATTTTTTATCAGACAAGTGTGATAATTTGAAGTTTGTTACCTTTGCATTTTTGTTTTTTTCTTTTCAAAAAAGCAATTTTCATTTTTCTTATGACTTTAAAAGTCTGCACCTCAATATATTTCTGTGCTGTAAGAGGAAATAAAGTAAACTCTTTCCACTTAATGTACAGTAAATATGTAGTTTCTATGACTGTTAAAAAAAAACCTTAGAGCCTGCTGAAATACTTTCTGCAGCTTTGAATGAGTGAATTAATTTCTTTTTAGAACTGAATTTTTGCAACTTTTTTTAAAGGACAACTAAACTATTTTTCAGAGTGAGACAATGAAGCCTGAGGCTGACATGAAATAAAGTGTGAACAATCCCAAAGCTTGTGTGAATTTATTTCATTATATTTTTTTACTTTGATTAATGTGAAGCACCAAAAGTTTGAATTTGGTTAGAATTACTTACATTGAGTAACTGTTTGAAAAAAAAAAAATTTTAAGAACCAAGTGAGGGTAGCCAATTTTGTCTGAAATTGTGTCATAATGCAAAAACTGGGCAGTACACCCTTGTTGAGAATTCCAAAGAGTACCTCACCTAAATTCCCACCCAGAAGTAGGAAATCTCCTAACAGCTTCATGACACAGAAACCAAGGATACACTCTAATTGTTATTACTGCCCTAAATTGTCCCTAGAAATTGGAGTCCAAAAAGATAATTTTTTTTGCGATCTGAACCTTATTTGACTTCTCTACTAGACAAAAGTGGTAAAGGTGGAAATGCTCTAAGCTTAGACATGAAATGTCAGAAAAGCATTCAACATTGCTGCTTTTGTGTCCCTTTATGTTGAACACACCAACATGCTGATGAGTTGCATGAAGCAGTTTGCACAGTATATGTCGCACTTTGTATTCAACAACACATACCATCATTGCTAAAATCATTGCTGGTTAAACAGTGCAAAACAGAATTCTGTATTTATTTCATAAGATTTCCCACATCTAACCCCTCAAGTCATAAGTCAGCAAATTATGTACAAAATTTAGGAAACTTACGATAAGTGAGCATATTTCAAGAAATTTGCACAAACAACATCCTGAAAATACTCAGAAGACTGTTTCACTTGCTTTCTCAGTGTAACTAGGTAAGATTACATGCTATAGCATCAATATTCAGTTAAAAATCTCTGCTGATACTGAAAGAAAATTTTAAAAGAACCTCCTTTAAAACCTTCACTAGGCACTTGTTATGGGCTATGAATTACTCTCTTTTTCATAATACATGTGTTTATCAATGCCACTCCAATTTTGTCATGGGTAAGAAGACTTCCTTGCCTTAACAAATGGCAAACATTGGGCAGACCAACAATCTGAAGTATTTAAAAAGGTGCATTTCTGTACATTTCACTGACATGCAAACTATACACGATTGGAGAGGCATCGTAGGAAAAACCCTCTTACACTGATATCAATCACATTATTGACAATCATAATGACAAATACTACTACTTCTGGCTGAATGGACAACACTGGGTAGTCCTTTGTCTGAATACTCTTTTTTATTATCAGTTAACAGCCATATAACATAACCTTTAAATGCATCATGTCCACCAGAAAACTAAACAAATGTACATCTTAAACCAGACAAGGCATAAAAAGTATTTTATACAAAGAGTTAAGTATGTCTTAAAATTACATTTTATATACAACAATTTGCTGCTAGACTTTGTAAAATGAACAATTCAGGAACTTCCATGAGTTTTTTATGACAACATTTGATGATTTGAGGAAAATAATCAATTCATCTTTTACATGCTGCCAGGTAATTCTGTCTTTGATGCTTGTCTTGGTTTTTTAGCAGGAGATACATGACACTGAAAATAAAATGAATTCCCCAGTTCAGAATGGTGTTTATTGATTAACTAAAATGGGACTGAAAATTAAATACAAAAAGGGATATAATTACAAATTTTGTATTTCATTCTTAATTAACAGGCACAATTCGTATGTTGAATACTAGAGATGTCTGCATACCCACAGAATTGTTCATTGTAACCTCAGCAACTTGACAGTGCATGACAGGAAAAAAAATGTTTCCTACATTCAGAATGCCAATCCAAAGACAACCCCTTTCGTAATATGCTCAATTCAACATTAACATGTATAGAGTTACTCTACATTGAACAAATATGCATAAAACATTTCACATAACTGTTACCTTTTCCCATCTCTCTAACATTTTTGCATACTCTGCTTCATAAAACCTGAACACTTCCTCACAGTCCTGCAAAGAGAATTTATAAGTAACTTAGAATAGATTACAATTTTTGCATTATGTTTGAAAAACTGCATCACTTAGCATGTTAACAAGGCTGTAACAATTTAGATTTGGACATATTTTTAAGAGGTATTCCAGAAACACTAATAGAATAGAGGGTTTCTTCCATGTTTACATGACCTCTAATCAATGAATCACTACGATAGTCGAGAGAATTCTTGCAATTTCTGCAAACCTGACACAGTAACTGTTACCAGTTTGCATAAATGTCCTGAGTTCTCCCTTCCTTCCAAGTTTAGATAAGTCTATGTAATCATGGAAAAAGTCCTCCCTTTGCCTGAAATAAGACAGAAATCAACTGACCTGTCGGACATGATGGCCAGGAGGGTTGTATTTTAAACAGTTTGACTTCACCAGCAGCATATCAGAATGAAATTCACTGTACTCCTGGTATTTCCCAGACTAAAAAAACACAACCATATATTATTATACCATCAGTAATCAATTCAAAGCTTCAACATCCTTCCCCCCCCCCCCTCTAAGCAACCCACAGGCATTTGACCATCGTCTGTGCCCAGCGGGGGGTGGTTTAAACCATTTACTTACCACTTAAGTATGAAATTAAACATAACATTTATTTAAACTGTTGTCTTCTGATGAAAAAATGTGTATAAACATTTTATATTCAAATATTTGACCATTTTCAGAATGGCAGCAGAAGTTTTGACAGAAATAATATCTGTCATGAGCCAATAAGATATAATCATGCAAAAAAAGTCTTGCAACAGACAGCAGGTAATGGTACTAACCTCTAGTTTCACTCTAACCGTTCCAAAATCCATGGGAGTTTTTATTACTTTGTAGTAGCCAGGTGCATCAACTGGGTCCACTAAAAAAATAACAACAACAACAACATCAACATCAACAACACAGCTAAGTCACAATGTACAGTAGCTTGATTCATAAGAGGGATGTATGACAAAAAGGCATTCAGATGCTGATAATAATACCATAGGAAAACATATCAATTTCAATCATTATATAAACATTAATAGTTCTTATCATTATATGATTAACAAAGCTGAAGGATGAACAGAAGCAAGCTGATGAGAAAAAACATTTAAGAAGACAAATACAATTCACTGTACGAAGGATGCAACTAAAAATTCATTACATCACAAGTTTCCATAACCCATCCAAGCTTGGCCCTGTCCAAAAGTGTATTCCTTCATCATTTGCATGTGAGTTTTGCAAAGAACAAAAAATTCATTTGGGATCTCTTTTTTAGCCTAGTTAATTTATTACTTGTTGTCAGTCTACTTTACCTGGTTTGAGGAACCAAGTGGCAGCACTGAAATCACCTTTCCGTCTTCCTTGGCCACGATAGCTGGCAACTTTCTGCAGGAGGCTGAGGAAATGTCACCATAGCTTTATCAGGATCAGTCAATATCTAATGAAACACTCAATAACTACAATATGACCAATGGCTAATTCATCATGCACAAAACCATCTCAAAAACAGTGATGACTCTGAAAGCACCTTGGATGACAAAATTTGACCAATATCACAAGATCATGATAGAGTAAAAAATTGTTAGAATAAATCATTTTTATAGATGAATTGCTCAAATAAGGGTTTTAGTAACTTTTTCCATAAGCAGCTGCCAATGGTGTAGCAGGCAGCTGTACTTGGCAAAGGAGCCATACAGCAAAACCAAAATACAAGAGCCTGCTTGCCGGCTAAATAGATGGTGGTACCTGTAAGAGGTCTCATAGGCACTGGTAGACTGCCAGTAACCATCTTTTTTGGAAATCCCCACTTAAGATAATGTTTAAGGGAGCTCTTTCATCATTTACTTTGGGTCATTTTTGCTTTTAAAATTGTCTTCAGAAGGAAAGGAGAAGCTAAAGAAATGCAAATGAGCTAAAAGGAGAAGCTAAGGAAATGCAAATGAGCTAGGAAGTAGTTAACAGAGAAAATTGAGGTAGCAGATGATGGATTGCAAATGAGATTTTAAAACATTACCGTAACATGCTTCTTTATCCTACTTTGTAGATTATCAAATCATCATGGAACTCCCTTGAACATACGATTATTTATAGTCTATGTGACTAACAGATCCACCTGAAAAAATTAACAAACCTGAGAGCACCACGCACCCAGCCACTAATTTGTCTTGGTGGTGACACATCAAGGGATGAAGGAGGTTTTCTCTTCCTTCCACTGGTTCTAACACTACCAAAAGCCTCGAGAGCTTTCATTTCCTTCTCTGTAAGCTCCAATGTGCTTTCAGGGATACTGTTAGAACTACTTGTGGATGTTGACAAAACATCAATGGGTGCGTCAGAAACATCCCAACTATCATCTTCAGATTGTGACAAAACACTCAGGCTTTGTCCTTCATCAATGATCTTTCCAGAGTGTGACACAGTAGGTGATGGTTCAGTTGCGTCTTTTGTTTTTTCCTCCAATGTAAATGCACTGGGAACAAGAATGGGGGTTTCCTGACTAGAGGATGGTAATTCACTTAAAAATCCTGATGAATCATCAAGCTGATGATCATTTGTTGTTGTATGTTTTACTTCTTCATGTTTTTCAAATGAACTTCCTTCCATGCTTTCCACAAAGCTTGCAATTATTTGAAGGGCATTTTCCACAGGAGGCCCATCCTCTGCAGATGTCCCAGTCACATTCTGATCATCTTCCTGAACACCTTGAAGTGATGACTGAACATCGGACTCCAAGTCAAATTTAAAAGCATTCTTATCCTCATTATCCACTTGTGAAGACTCTGAATATATATTTCCAGGTAAACAATCTTTTACTAAATCAGATATTCCACTAGAATCATCCAATCTTTGAACAGTAACATTTTCCATGGATTTCTTAGCGTAATTTCCTGCTGTCTCTATGTCTTTAGTTGGTACTTTCTGCACATTTGATCCATCTATATCCAGGAGAGAGACTCCACCATCTTGTAAAGATACTGGATCTACAGCTGCTTCTTGGCAGTCTTCCACAGTTTGTGGCATTTCCTCAGCACCATTATCTGCTGGATTTTTAACAGGTGTGCTTTCAGCAATATTTTTGAAAAACTCCGCAGCTGATGGTACCTCAGGTATGTTGCAGCCTGCATTGTCAATTGTTTCAGAACAGATTAGAAGAGAATCATCCTCCGATGACGTATTGTTATCACATTCAGTCACAACGTTTTGTTCATTTGTCACTGCCAATTTGGAGCTCACTGCAACATGTGTCTTAGAGTTTTCCATTATGTCTGAACATTGCGATTCAATGGTTGCATTACTCTGATCTGTAGAATCAAGACCACAATCTTGTCTTTCTGGTACTCCAGGGGAGGGCTGCTCCCCTTCTTTGTCAGGAGGCAAAACTGAAGCTGCTACACCCTGAGAGACAGCTGTATTTACAGCTATTGGCACTGAAGACTGCAGCTGCGATGCAGCGTGAGCAGTTACTCCAGTAGCCACAGGAACCAGAACAGTTGGAATAACAGCTGGAACATTCTTAACTGGTGCTGGTAAGATAGTTGGAAGCTTCCTAATGTTGCCCGAATTGGAAACAGCAGTTGATGCCACAGTTGATGGTTTTGGAGGAGCAGGAAGAATAGTAGGGAGGGGTCTTGATCTCACCTGTGTAGTGACAGTTGCAGTTGTCAGACTGGGTGCGATCTGTGTTGGAGATGATTTAGGACAGACAGTGGCTAATGCTGGTGATGTTTTGGCATCTTTCTTGGAAACAGGTTGAGAGTGAGAGGCTGATGAGGAAGTCAGAGGGATCCCTAATAAAATATCAGAGAAGGCAATGAATAACAGAAAAAACCACACTTACCAACCATTAATTACATATATCTATTACAGAAGGCTACATGATTCAATGCTTAGTCTAAGGAGGCTGAAACAATCCCTCTAGAGGGGGCACAGCTGAGTGACTAAAACAATTATACTTACCTTGTGTCTTGGTTATCACTAGCCCCTGAGAGGATGTGGATGGAACGATATTGGAACCAGGTTGTAAAGGGGCTGGCACAGAGAGAACCACTCTCTTTGCACCACCTACTAAGGTTGTCATAACAACTGTTTTGGATGCTGATGAAACTGACTGAGTAACAGCGCTAGACACTTGAGTTTTTGATGGAGCTTGGGATGTGACTGTGCCAGCAGTTGTGACTACTGCTTTGTTCACTGAGGTGCTTTGAGTTACCACCTATTAATACAGCATACATAAAAAATGTACATTATATCGCATATTGGTTAGACTAACATGGCTGCTATAGCCATTTTCCATGGGGTGAAACCACTAAGAGTATTAATATTCCACTTGTATGAAATACTCTTCCATTCCAAGTTATACTCCCAGCATTTTGTGAGGTCTCCTGGGAGTTCCCTTGGTATAAATTTAATTTAACCTTTGGTCCAGAGAGCCATGGTGAGAGTAAAGTATCCTACCCAAGAGCACAACACTGCCACCCAGCCAAGGCTTGCACCCAGAACTTTCAACCTTTCAACCCATCCAGCAGGCAAACTACATGAGGGCCCTACTGTCTCCCATCAAAGAGCAAAATTATCATTTAATACAAATTCAAATTATAATCTGGGTTAAATTCATACAGTAGAACCTCAAAACAGGAAAAAAGAAATCATGTATGACTGACAAGGAAGCAGGTCTGGAGGAAAATCTTACCAGTGTGGATGCTCACAGGTGTACATTGTATGAGTGAGTACCACACAAATGATCTCATATTCATTTAGCTGCAGCTATTATCGTGTGTTGTCACTGCTTTGAAGATCATGAGTTGTTACTGCTTTGAAGATGATCCTTCCTTGTTTGTTGAAATGCTTGTTATTGTAAATGTTGGGCTGGTGAGAAAAAATTGTAAATAAGACTATCTTTTACTTACCTGAGAAGTTGACTTTGCAAGACTAGAAGGACTACTGCTTCCAGGAACCACACCAGCGACAGTTGTTTTACTGAGACCTGTTGTCATGACAACAACAGGTTTACTCCCACCAACACCTCCAGTTCCTGGAACATGAATGACACGGACAACTGGCTGTGTGTTTGACACAGGTAAGGTAGAGGAGGCTTGAGAACTAGGACTGGGTGTTACCATAGTAACTGTGGAACAGGTTCCCATAGTGGCTGGTGTGACTGACTTGAACTTCACAGTTCCTGGAAGAGGTTTGAATCTGGCAGCTGCAGGTTTCACTTTGTGTCTTGCCGCTAACTGAGCTGCTGTCAAACCAGTTTTGAGTGTCAGTCCAGCAGGACTTGCAGTGGCTACTGGACTTGAAGCTCCTGTTGAGACATTCTTCACTGCAGTGGACAATGGAGCTTTTGAAGTAAGCACTGTCTTGGGAGGCACTCCAGATGCAGTTTTTGTTTGAGTCTTTGGTGATGACTGTGTCACAGCTGTTTGGACTTTTGCAGGTGATGATGTTGTCGATGTCATTGCCTTATAGCTCAGGATTGTCTTGGTTTGGGATACTGCCACTGTCTTGGTGAGTAGTTTTACTTGTGCTGCTGATGTAGGAAGATTTGTGGTACGTGGGACAGCTTTGATTGTCCCTGCTGGACCAAGAGATTTACCAGACTTAGTCATAGTGCTCACTGATGTGGTCTGTTTGGTGAAAGCTTTTGACACCAGGGAGGGGGTGGGGATGGTCACTTTTGTAACTGGCTTGTTGAGGCTCGTCACACTTAAACGTCTTTTTCTCTTTGGCTTTCCATCATCATCATCATAAGCATCAGTATCATTTGATGGAGTTCCACCTATAGAACAAAATAAAATGATTAATTTTAAAAACAGTCTAGTGGCCTCCGCCACATCCATGAAGTTCCACCTATGGAATGAAATAAATACAATAAATTTGAAAAACAATCAGTTGGCATCTCTACATCCACCAACAATACTTCCAGAGGTGATTAGAATCTGGGCATGTATCAGAATATCATGACATCATCTGGCAAACAGGTCATGGGAACGGCTATAGATGTACCTATCAGCTAGAGTATATATCCTAACATATCTCCCAAATCTCTTAACCCTTAAACTCCTGGAAGTGATGAACATGCAACTTCTCCCAATAATATACATACCTTATTTAGTAAACAGGTAATGAGAATACTCAAATTAATCAGGTAGAAGTTGTTATATTGATGAGTAACACCAAATTCTGATAAATAATTTACAAGGAAATATGTAAGGCAAAAATTAACAATCAGATCTTGGATAGGAATTGTACAGCAGATCTTGGATACCTGTCTGAGGTTGTTTTACGGCTGCCGTGGTCTTACTATTTTGCTGGCTTGTCAGTGAAGATGATGTGTTAACAGATGCACTTGAACTACTACCAGCTTTATTAGCTAAAACAGAAAAATGAAAACCATACAACTCAATGAATTCAGTAAAGCAGATCATCAGAATCTGAACCTGATATGGCAATAAAAGTTATTTGATACCCAATATATGTGCAAACATTGTATTTACAACTGAATAAATCTGAATTTAAGCTCTCTTCCCTGAGTAAAGTAGCAAGAAATAATTTACGAACAACAGTGATCAGAAGAGGAGGACATAGAGTAATTGATAATAGAATCAGTTTCCTTTTTCATTTGAGATTATTGGTTCCAGATGGCAATGTTTTCACAATTTTGTCATTGATTGTAACTGACCAGGCTAAAGCCATGACAATGATTTAGGTTAGATAGAAATCAAGAATATTCTGGGAATGACAAAATACATTAAAATTCTTATTGTTTGGGTTTCTCCTAAAAATTTTGTTTTGGATGACTTTAGTAGACTGTGCTTGGATTAAAATCAGAGTGGATTAACCCCCTACATTACCTGATGAAACAGGAAGTTTAGCATTTGCTGCAGCTGCAGAATTTGCAGCAGCAGTTGCTGAGGAGCTGAACACTGTTTGTGGAACAAGGCGTGGCATGAGTGGTACAAGCCTTCTCCCCTCTGCTGCCCATTCTGCACAGCTGCCTGCACCATAAATACTAGAACAGTATAAGAGAGAAAAGTGTCTAGATTGTGTTTAAAACAGCAGGTGTTGGACATCTATTAAAAATTGTGAAAGGAACTTGATTCTGTAACAGATCAGACAACGATAAGGATGACAGACTAATAGTCTGTCACTGCTAGAATTTGGCCATGAGTGATTAAGAGTATTGTTTCTCCTCTTCAACAAGATGTTATCCATTGCAGAATACCGTCTGCAATTTGTCAGGTTTTGCTAACAGTTTACCAACATCCCTTTATACTCCAGGGTGAAGAGATTCACTGAAAGAGTCGAGTGTCTTACCCTAAAAAAACTTATTTTTGTGAACTATCTGCCTATTTGTCCTACCTGTAAGGATAGCAACTCATGACAGAATTACTTATTTTGATACAATGTGCTTAATTATTTCTGTACCTCTCAGCCACAATGCCAAGTCTATCATCACTGTAGGCTCTTCGGACTTCAGCCCTGTGACGCTCAGTTGAAATACTGTTGGAAAAAAAAAGATCTTCACATAAGTTTTAAACAATACAATTAACTTTGCAGTGGTTAACTATATGTAAGAAATGTAGAGAAAATTGCAATATAGCTTTTCAAACCATTACCTCAGCTGAGTTCCAAGATCTTGCAAGATCTTCTTTTTAGCCCTGTTAATATTCAGTCAATGATGGATTTCAATATGGAGAAAAAAGCAAAGGTGTAGACTATATTTAAAAGACATTAAAAAAAATAACAGCTTATTTTAAGGTAATTTGGTATATTGAAATTAAGGATGGAATGAATGGAAGGCTACTCTATTGTTCAAGGTAAGTTATTCATAGCAGTCAAACTCTTTCACTCTCAACAATACCAATCAGAAATCTCTTCTAACAATACCATTACATTACTAAGCAGAATTGTCAGAAGAAGAGACCCAAAAGATAAAAAAGGAGCCATTGTTTAACTCACACCAAATTCTCAAAGCTGAAAAAATTAGAAATGCATGGCAGACATAGTATATGATTGATTTAATTCAAATCTAAAAGGTTTATGACCTAGTGGCTTCACAGTTTCAGCATTTCCCCAAAAAGATCTCTGAATCCTGACTCCACAATTTTTGACATTACAACTATTTATTGCTAAAACATAACTTCCACACTCACCGACTTAACTCTCCCTGGGCCCTGAAAGCACTGATAATGGATGAATATGCCTCTAGCTCTGAAAATAAGTATTCAAGTCGTTTCAGTATAGTCTGACTTGTCAAGCATCATACACATGTGCAGGAAAGATATAAGGTAACATCCAAAAATACAAATTCAGCTTACCAAGCCTCCTGAGAATCCGCTTGGCTTCATCTCGACTAACATCCATCATTTCTGCACACATTTCCTTTACAAAATCTTGACCATCCCTATCAAGCATGAAATTTGACCAAGAGAAATATAAATCTAAAATCTCCTGACCCCTTTTAAAAATAATGTTTTCAATCAAATAAAGTCCAAGCAAAATCGAAAGAACTCTTGATCTTCTAAAGATACGAAAGTAACACAGAAGAAAACCTTTCTCCAGTCTACAGCTGATCACAAAAGTTAAGAAATTACGCTATCTTAAATAACGTTTGAGTAGAAAAATCAGTATTATTCCAAGTTTAATTCCAATGCCAACAGCACGTGCAAATATCAAAATTTGAAGCATCGATAATTGCACTCATCCGCGTGTTGCTCACTTCCCCTCGGTATTACAAATAATGTGAACAAAGCAATGAAGATCAGCTGTCTTCTTCGACTTCGGAGAAGGTTTTCGCAAAAACAAAACTCAACTTTTTAAGACCTTTAAAGCCAAAATTCTCGAAATTTCTAGTGTTTCTGTTATCAATAATTCTACTTGGAAGAATCAAACAATAAAGGGTTAAATTCTGAGCCTGATATAGGAGCTCCAAGTTACAGGTTAATAACCTTCACTCCACATCTTCGATGGCTGGTTTCTAGCCCGCGGGTGAATCAAATTTGAATGGAATTCGTTTGAAACATTGCAACGAAGCACAATGAGGGTAAAATTACGTGAAATCACAATATCATTTAACAACCGTAGAAGTAAAGTAACAGATTGTGACATTACCTAGAAATAAGGCGTTACTACCATTGGCAATCAACGAAGGCAAACCGTCCGCCATATTGATTCATCACATGTTATTACGCGTGCGTTATTGTTATTTACAAAGGCATTTTCCTTGCGGGCTCAGCGTCGACTTAAAGGAGCTGTCAAGTTTATCCTTCTAAGGCTTTCTTAGGCGAACGAAGCATTCGAGAAGATTTAGTGGTTCGATTGAGCCCAGACATAACTCGAAGCTGCTTTGAAGGTAAGAAATTTATCAAGTAGATGATATGGTTCTTATCCACCGAACAATGCCTTCCGATGATGAAACAGTTCAAGTCTCCGTGCACACATATGAAATTGTTTTTATTATTTTTCCATGACCGGGCACAAAATCAGAAGAGGTTCAAGAAAGCTATTCCCTGTAATTTTAGTGGCTTTATATGTGATAAAAGAAATCCAAGCTCTGTGAGGGTTCTAAGTATAAATCCAGGTCAACAGTACATAAGTTTTTGATTTTAATTTTGTGAGCAAGAATACAGTTGATCGGGTTTTGCCAATGAAATGTCTGGATTTCATGAGGGCGTCTCATGCATACTTGCATACAATTTAATAATGCACACACCTTCTGCTATTATTACTCTTGTATCAATGCTTACTTGGAATCTTCAGGGTAAAAAAATTCTAACACTATTTCTACCCATTTTTTGGTCATGTCATTTGCCATTCGTCAGCAATATTCAATGTCTCTCTTCAACAGACATTGTACGTTTGTCATAAATTATGCATGCAGCCTTATTTGTGTTGGTAAATCTAGATCTATTCTTGGATTCCTCGGTGCGTAGGTGGCAACCTCAAACATTTTGATAATATGATGTTGCTTCTTCAAAGAAGATCAAAGTATTTTTCCTCTTGGAGATTGGAAGATTTGGAGGAACTAAACTTAGATACTTAATTGTGACAATTACGAGAACTTGACTTTTTTTCTGCTAAAAGGTTTCATCACCCAATCAAATTCAAATTTCTTCGCAGCATTAGTTGGGTAAATATGTACAGAAGTGATTTAATTATTTGTATAAATCACGTAATAGGTTTTAATTTATTGATTTATCAGCCAATTCAAGTTAAATGACAACTGAGCAGAGCTAGAAGATTTTAAATGTAACACATACTTTCTTTTTTTCAACCCAGTGGAGCCCATAATTTATATCAGCCATTTTGAATTAAAGAATCCATAAACGATGCAAGAAACTGGTGTAAAGATTAGAAAACTGTAATCACAAATACTTTTGGTGTGTTTCATTTAAATATACAGGTGTATATAACCTACATAAAAAAAAGACAAAAGCTTTGCTGGAATTCAAAACATTTTTTATCAAAGCAGTTAATTGTTCAATGACTGTTGCTTACTTTCGGCAGTCTGTTTTTAAGAGTGATTTCAACAGCTTTCAGTGATAAGGATGGATTTTATTTAATTTAAAATAAATCATTTTTTCAATAGCTTTACAATAAATGCAATTGCTAAAAAGAGCCTCCTATAATTAAGTGCAACATTATGAGTACTGTTTTTCAATAGATGGTATCTTTTCTTTGAAGCTTTCCATCAGTTTTCCATGAGTAAAGTTTAGGAAAACTGGGGATATTTTATTAATTCTGCAATATGCAGGAATAAACATTTTCAACCAGCTGCTCTTGGCAGAAAATTTTAACTTTAAACCATTCTCCTTGAGGGGTTAATCAACAAGAAAGTTTGTTTCTTTTTCTGAAGTGACTGCAGAATTCTTTCTTACCTCAAAAATGAATGCAACAATTGAAAATTCCCTGAATTTAGCCCAGTTTTAACTGGTGTGTGTCTGGTCTTTTGACATGATCTCGCAAACTATCAAGGATGAAATCACAGAGAAAGAAAAGATTAAATGAGCTTAATAGAGGCAGAGCATATTGGTTTAATTAGCTCTGAAAACTTTCCCAGATTAGGTATGTTTCATAATTTATTTTATGAAATTATCACTTATTAGGTATTTTGAGAATGTGATCCTTAGAACTTTTTTTGAGTGGAAATTATCTTTTTTTGTCCTTTTCAAAAGTTATCTTCTATCATTTAACACTCTGATTAAATCTTGCTCTTGAAGAAATTGTAAACTAAAGATAGAGATGAGTTCTCTTTCTCTTAATGTTTTGATGTGTGTCACTGTTGTGATTATTGCTGTCATGATTGTGCAATGTCTTGACATGATATGAGCCCCTGGTAGTGTGTTCCCTCATACAAACAAAGTATTTGATGGATCCATTCATTTTCAGGTTCCATATGAGTGCACATTATACGCATATGTGATGGGGAATTCTTCTTCCTCGTCATCATCAGCACCAAAGCACAGCTGTCAGGTGGTGATAGTAGGCGGTGGTTATGCTGGAGTGAAGCTTGCAATAGACTTGGACAGCTACTGCAAGGTCGTTCTCATTGATCCTAAAGATGCTTTCCATCACAACATGGCAGGATTACGGTGTATTGTTGAACCAGCATTTGTCAACAAGACTCTGATTCCTTATGAAGGTGTTTTAAAGCATGGGTCCTTTGTAAAGAATCGTGTAGTGAGTTGCAACATCTCCAGAAAGGCTGTGACACTGGCTAGCAGTGAAGAAATCAGTTATGATTATCTTGTCTTTGCTTGTGGCTCATCTGTACCATTTCCAGGTAAAGTGTATTTAAGCATGTTGGTGTATAATTGCAAAGCTCATATGTGTATTGTATTTATTTGGCAGATAATTTTTAACCTGAAAATAAAAGTGAGAGATCTATACTGATTGAAATACTCACTGCCATGCTTTTTGTTTAAAACTATTGACACAATCTTGATATCCAATGTGATAAAAAAATGTGGCTGATACATGGAAATTTTGGATACAGGGAAATTTTGGATAGTCAGATTTCAGGCATGTTTGTCCAGTAAGAAAGGCATTTTAATCAATCCAATTCTACTTCAGTTTGTGTTAAATGACAATTAGTTTAGTAAATGAGGAGCAATAACAATATTGTTTGTAGTTCAGTGGTTTGCATTTGTATCCTGATTTCCATTATAAATGGCCATAACTCACCAAACATTTTTAGAAATTTCAGTTATGTTCACATTTTTGTTGTTAGTTCGTTAGTATTGCATATTTGATTCAACAAAGTATGATATCTTTGTCTACTAATTCTTTAGGAGAACACCAAATTTCATTTGTTTTGTACATCTCAACAATCACCATAAAGGAAGTGCTCAAAAATTTTCCCTCCACTTTTTACAGGTAAAGTTCCCCTTGGAACAAGCATGAAAGATGCTGAAAAGCTCTACAGAGATTGCGCCGACCAGGTATGTTTCAGAACCTAAAACTTCACGATACTCTTTTATGGTTCTGTTCCAAAAGAGTGCAATGAAACTCTCACCCTGTGTCTATTTGACAATTTTGAAGTATAGGTGGCCTGTATTTATAAAGTAGCTTATTCAAGATTAACTGTATGCACTTAAGATGTGACGGTAATTTAAAACACAAGTAATGGCATTTAATAAGGCAATAACAGTGGGTGTAAGTACTTCTTCAATACTTAGGTCTTAATTTTGTTATTTAACAGTCTATACCATGGTGAAAAACAGTAAATTAATTTTTGACAGTGCAACAAAGAAGGTGTGAGAGAAGGGAGCCACTTTATCTTGTTTGTGCATTTTCAGGTGGCAAAGAGTAACAAAATTGTCGTGATTGGTGGTGGTCCTGTGGGAGTAGAATTAGTTGGTGAATTAGCCTCAGACTTCCCAGACAAGAAAGTTACACTAATGCACAACAGGGAGCAAATACTGGATGACAGATTGTCACGCAAGTTTGTTAAAAAGATTCAGGATGGAATGAAAGCTCTGAAAGTGGAGACAGTCCTTGGGGAACGAGTTGACATGGATGACCTGAATGTGAGTTGAGTCGCAAAAAATATCATCTTGGAAACTTTTGGCCAGATATGTTTCCAGAGGAATTTGTCAATGTCTCTCTACATTCCCACTACCTCTGGTGCTTTATTTTTACACTCCCCTCAGCTCTACTAAAATTGAATTTAGTTACTTTTTACTGAAAACTTTATGAAAATGATTTTCATTTACAGTTTGATTCAGACAAACCATGGATTACAGGGCCAGTGACACTTACTACCGACCAGGGAACCAGTGTGCCTGCAGATCTAGTATTCCGCTGTACCGGACTCAAGGTCAATTCAGTTGCTTACCAATCCAAACTCTCAGACAAGATGGAAAAGAATGGAAGTCTTAAAGTTGACAGATTCCTTCAAGTGGAAGAGATTGAAAATGTGTTTGCTATTGGAGATTGTAACAACACCCCTGAATTGAAACTAGCGTACACTGCAAAACTGCATGCTGGTAAGCTTGATCTTTAAAAAAAAAATGGTAATAAATGATAACTAAATGATGATCATACAGATTTTGTTTTCTAGTTAAAACTTTAAGGATTTGTTGTTGTAAACAGTATAAATGTCCAAGATGACCATTTTGGAGACCTTGTAATTTACCTTAAATATGTCTTAAAAGGGGTAACTATCTCTGATTGATTTTGATGGAAATGTTAAAAAGTAATCAAGGGAGGGAAATTTCGCATGCAAAATTGGTCATGACACTCCCACTCCCAAAGGAAACCTATTTAGCAGGTTTTGTGACTGTCATCAGTATTTATCACAACTTACTTTATATTGGTATTCTGTCTACAGATGCAGTTGCTGAAAATATCAAACGGCTCAATGAAAGCAAACGCCCAAAAGAATACAAGCCTGGTAATGCAGCCATGGCCCTGCCTCTTGGACGGAATGGAGGAGCAACACAGCTCCCAAATGGAATGGTGGCTGGGAGTTTCTTAACTAAGTCGTTCAAAGGGAAGGACATCATGACACCAAGCTTCTGGAAGTTAATGAAACAGAAAATGCCATCTAATTGAATGGCTGAACTTTCAGTGAACTATTATGGACACTTGAAATAAAAAGACCCCTGCATGACTTGATCACAGCCTTGTGGATCATGAAAGGTTGCTATGGTATGCAATAATTTAGAAGGCACTAGCATTTCTGTGCAAAATTTTAGCTAAGTTTGAAAGTTTGACGTTTGTTACAAATTTGTATGCATGAAGTCATCTAGCAACTTTTTTTCTTCCTATCACTAAAATGATAGAAAAATCTTGCATTTAAATATGAGACTTCAAATTAGAGGTCTTACTGATTCATCAACCTCTTTTCATTTTGTGCTGTTTTGTACCTCAACTATTTTCCATGATTGACTGGGTCATATGATCAAGTCATGCAAAAGTCTCAACTCTGTACATTTGATGTTAATAGTGATATCAGTTACTAAAGGGCATGAGTGATGCCACTTGTGCCTTTAAGACAAAGTTATAGTAGTGATATTGGTTTGTAAAGGGTGTGAATGACACCACCTCTGCCTTAGACAGAAAGTTACAGCAGTAGTGAAATGAAGCATGTCTCCAACTTCACAAAAGGCTACAATCAGCAGTGAAGTTGTTCATGCATGGACATTTTCACCCCCACTTTATGTTATTTGTATTCCTTTTGACCTTAGTACCATAATCTATTTGCCCCCCTCCCCCTCCCCCTCCCCATCTTACTGCCTGTGACCTTCTGCTAAAAAAAGCAACGCTGAATAGGAGGTGACTATTTTAACAATGACTTGGTACAAATATCTGTATTCTGTGATGATGCCTGTAGTGTATTATTCAGGCACAAAGCATCCACTAATTTTGTTTTGGATTGTGGCCTCAAACATAATCCATGTGGCTCTTCAAGAGCAGACATTTTAGGAACTGTTGGTGGTCCTGTTTTAATAATGAACTGCACAGTGTGATTTATAAGTTAAGCACTTGTTAATATTAAGTGGGAAGGCACCTTTTATTTATTTTGAATAGCTAGAGCCCGTACATAGTAATATTTATTTTTTACTATTTTGAGTGTTTTTCACTTTAGTGTGGTAAAACAGAAAAAAACATATTTAATTGCAATGGCCAGTTAGAAGGAAAACAAATGTCTCCAGGAACTGATGGAAAAATCTGATTAAGAGAATGTTAATGCCTTCTATTCATAAAAATGCAAGTGAGAAAGAGGCAGTTGGTTTTAGTTCTGCTTCTGAATGGTTGAGAGGATTGTGCTAGTTTTGTCAGATCACAAATGACTTAGTCATTTTTACGGTTTCTTTTTACCCTAAATTGAAAATTCCTCAAGTTATTTATTGTCAAATTTCTTCTCCTTAGTTAGACACAGTTACTTGATGTTCAGTGCGTTGGACTTAAGATCCGAAGGGGTCTGGGTATGTGTCCTAGTTATCAGAAGTAGCTGAAGTAGATTTTCCCATGGGGTAGGGGGTAGGGAAGTGGGCAGGGACTGTACAGAAGTTTTTATTTGCAAAGAATTGAATCCTGATAGAAGTAACAAACGATTCTGTAAATGCAACCCACTGATTACCTCAAGATCTAATTGTAAGATGTTATTTCTGGGCATCCTAGTAGAATCCTGATAGAGGTAATAAACGATTCTGTACATGTAACCCGCTGATTGCCTCAAGCTGTAATTTCTGGGCATGCTAGTGCATTTGTAGATCATTGCCAACCCTTTCTTTCCATCTTAAGGAGCTGCTACTCAAAGTATCGTGAATTTTCACTTCCACTTCGAATGTTGTTAAACCTGAACGTAATCTCAATGGCCAACTGGAACAAAAGAAGATATTTAATTCTGTGCCACAAATGTCATTAGTCCTCTGTTCAACTGTTCTTCATCCGAAGCATGTTTAACTCTCTTGTTGGGCTACATTCAAGCTACATACGTTGCTTCATAAACGCGCTTAAGCTCGGCAGAGAATCTGGGTGAGAAATCAGAGGCTGAGAGGTTCGAAGCGTTCGAGTATGGCCGGTTCCCGATTAGTGTTCGTCTTACTTCTGATTAGTTTAGAAGGTGGCGTGGTTTTTCGAAACCAATATCAGAGCAAAGTGATAAAGGTAATAAAAGCAAAATCAATGCAATCCTAGAATGCTTTCGACACTCAACTAGAACACGCTTTGTGTAAACGGAAGACGGAGAGTCTACTATGTTGTGTACTGCTGGGATGTAGTGATCACGAGTAAAAAGAATTGAATATCGTGAAAACTCAATATAACGTGTGTTTCCTCTAAATTATCTCCCAACAAAGGCTTTGTTATTTAAGCACTGAAGATTGACAAAGCCTTGGACTCATACCTCAAAAGGGTGGTTGAACCTCGCACGAAAAACCGTCAAAGTACACAAAAAACTGCCAGCCGCGCAGGTCACCTTTTTGCAAAAAGTTCTTCCTACTGACTTTCGACGCGGGCTGCTTTTTGACGTCACGGTTTGTAACAAGAAAGAAAACATTTTATCATTCAGTCAATCATTTATGAAATCAGTCAGAACATTGATCAAATAGAACAGTATTTTCATTTTCAGTGACTGACGTCGCCTTGATCACTTAGATTTAAAGTGTTCCTTGTCTGAACGGAGGAAAGATGCTGAAAAACTGTTAGGCTTCTGGAACCACGACTGGAAAAATAGGGTTATTCTCAAGAAATCAATACTTCAGTGGAAAAGTCATCAAAGAATAAACACCCCGTCTTTGAATTTGTGGAATATATTTTTTACGCAAATTTTTAGGTATTTTTTGTTTCTTCCGGTTCCTCGTAGGCATATATATCACATAAAAATGTCAAACCTTGTCCAGCTAATTCATTTTCCTAGAAATAGATAGTCAAGTTTACTTACTGGCTAAAATTGGAACATTCCTATCCCCTTGACTCAGTTCATGATTATCCTAATATCAGACTTAGCAATATGTTATGTGTGATGAATGTTGTTTAGTTGAAGGATGCGGATAGATTGGAGCTGTACACCAAACCCGTGCGCTTAATTACATTTTGTTTATCTAAAAAATTCAAAGAGTTTAACCAGCCGCAAGTGAAGTGAATCGTTTTCCTTTTAGAATTAATTGAAATATGATCCATGAAATGACAGCATGAGGACTTGCAAATAAATTAGGAAAACTTTCATTGGTGATCTTTCCATCTTCGTACAACTTACAAGTTTGTCTGCAAGTCATTTGCGTCAAAGTGGTAAAGAAGTACAGCAATAAGTTGCCGTTTTGATCTGTGATACTAGCTGTTTCATTGAACGCATTCATATATCAGACAGCAACTGGCCTTTTTCTCTTCAGGTAAGTCGAGATCAATATGAATTTAGAGCAAAAATAACACTGCAGGGTAATACTCAGAAATGAAGGAATGCATCATAGAACATTATGCAGAACTTGGGACGTGTTTTCTTCCTTTTATTACCAGCGTTCTTCTATATAGCAGGTGGTTTTCATAGCTGTTTCGTGGTAGAAATGCGACTCTCTTTTAAAAACCAATTTTCGTGGCCGTGTACGGTTAAATGTGTTAGAAAGGGAAATCCCAACCAAAGGGAGTTTATTTCACACATAAAGCTGTCTTTGAACTCGTTTTGAATTTGTCGTTTGGGATATGAAATGCATGTAAAACCAAAATGTAGGGACGATGTATGCAAGATGTCTTCTACACAAACCAGAATCAGTTTTGTGCCCCTTACAGTAAGTATCTAGTGAACAGTGGTGCAGTTTTTTTGTGTAATTCTTGCTTGTGAAGAGAATCTATTATAATTTTCAATTAAATACTTGTGATAAGTATAGAGACAGATGCATTTTCGGTCACAATTTTTTGTATTTCCGCAAAATTCTATTGCGACCTTTCAAAACAAGGTAATATCATAGAGCAGGTTTTAATTTTTTGAAGTTGCAAATGACGAAAATGTACAATTAATGTCTGAAAACAGAGCAAGTTTCTCCTGATCTAATCATACCAATAAGATCCAATAATTGAGGCCGTGGTCATCTTACTGACGTAAATGTTTAATCTTCAAAAAAGACAGGCACTGAAGATATATCAAATTTACATATAGATTAATGTTCCATTGTCGAGGGTGTGTATTAAAAAAGAGCAGCTTTGTAGAATCAGTTGCTTTCTCTTTTAGTAGGCTCCGAAGCGATGGCAGTGGATATCCTTAGTTTCTCTGATTTTAAATGGAAGATGGGGAGACTATTCTACTGAAATTGGTGGAAAAAAAAAGAAAAAAAACATTATAAGGGATAAAAATCAGAAGAGAGAGGACTAACATACCGCTGAATCTGACCGGTTAGTGTAGAATCTCGTGTATTTGGAATCAAAAGCGAATTCAATGTTATTTTGGTCGTTTGTAGGTATCGCATCCATCCAACGTTATTGGAAATGGCTCTGGAAGAAAACTGCTTCGTTATATTCTGTATTTGCCTGTTTTTACGAACAATATTCGCCGGTGAGCAATATTGCCGAACTATGCAATCAGTTTCAAACCGCGCACTAGAAGGTCACGTGATAGCCGTGTTAGTAACTTCGTCTGTTGAAAAGTGCCAAGCAAAGTGTGAGAGACACCCAGACTGCTACAGTACAAATTACTTGTTTTCCACAAAATCTTGTGAGCTGAACAAGGGCACCAGATTGTCGCATCCTGAAAACCTCTTACCGCGAGAAAATGCGGTGTATTTTGACAATCTTTATCGCCTCTATCACGCATGCGTGCACCCTCCGTGCCAAAATGGTGGCAAATGCGTATTACGGACGCAAAATCCTGGTTACGAGTGTCAGTGCCCACCAAAGTACAGTGGAAATAACTGCCAAGGTAAGACAAAAATCATGCTATCAAGTATAACTATCATTACGTCGAATCACAAGTAACTCAAACTACATCCATTTTCAACCGATTTTCAAAATACCGGGGATATCCTCGATTTTGCTTAAATTCTTTCTCTGATCGGTTCAGAAAAAAAAAAAAACTTGCAACTCCCTCATAACCGATCACATGGAAAACTATAACCTGGATCGCGGTTTTGTTCCAACTCTTCAGTCTCAGTCAGTTTTCTTTTTTTACGTTGAGTTTTTCGTGACCTCTTTGACTTTCTTAGTTCAGATCAGCCATGCACTGCCAGTGGTCACTTCACGGTTTTATGATTGTGAATCAAATGCGTTAAAAGGCGAACCAGATTTGTGTCAATATCTCTATAACCAAATACGGACTCTGATATTGACTGAAATCTGTTGCGGGAGCACTACCGTGTGCATATGGACCTTTACTGAGAAAAAAAGTTTGATTTTTTTTTCTGCTTTGCCATAGATTGCGATGGTGATGCACTGGGTATTTATGACAAATTACGCAACTTTACAATATCTGCATCATCGTCTGAACCCGACAGCCCACCAGCCAGCGGTCGTATTTATAAGCCTGGAGGATGGCGAGCGCTAAGAAACGATTCGGATCCATATTTGGAGGTAGGTTTTAAACGAAGTAATTATTTCACTGGTTATTGGTGTGAGCTATGTATTTCAAACCAGGTAATCATTACTCCTTTCTTCGTTTGATTTAAAATATTAATAGGTTAATAAATGAAATAAAGAAACTGAAAAGGCGGGGATAGTCTCGTACCCAGACCTTCCACGGCCAACTCGATGTCTTAGTTAAATGTATAGACTTCTTTAATGAATGGCAAACCAATTATAGTTATTTTGTTTGCACTTTTATCAGCCTTCTTACTTTGTCGACGTGTGTGAAAACGTTATAATTTTTACTCAAAAATATATTGATATGTTAGCAGCAAATTACATATCTTGTATTTCCTTTGTAAAGATTAGATTTTCCGTTGTGAAACTCATAACAGCAGTAGCCACGCAAGGCTGGAGAGATGCAAATGACCTAGTGCCAGACTGCTGGGTGAAACAATATTTTCTTGAATACAGTGAAGATGAAAAAACTTGGATGAAACATAAAGATGGCGCGAGTAGGAGGGTAGGAATTTTAGTGTTCATACATAATCACTCTCATGGAAGCTCATTTCCAACCAGTTAAATTAGTCAAGTTAGTCATTGGTCGAGGAAGATTTTTTAGCTTTATTTTTTTTCGCTTAAAACATGTCTAACGTGCCTTAGACATATGAAGTAGTTTATTGCAGTGAATAATTTAAGCTTTATCGATTACTATAAGCAGTTAACATTCTGATTGAGTTAGAATCGCTTGCAAGTTGATCAAAGGCGGAGGAAATACCGGCTTGCGTAACTGATGACTTTTTTTTTGCGCTTTGAGGTGTTGAGGGGTAAAACCGAGAGAGCATGCCACGAAATCGCGACAAGTTTGGCACGAAATTATGAGAGGCGGAATGGATTCGCTGCCAATAGTCGAAGCTCTGTTTCCTTCGCTTTGCATCTAGCGCTAAAAAAACGCCAGATAGGCAGGCTAGAAAGATGTAATCGTCTGGACAATTTTCTTTGAACTGGAAAGTAGTTGTGTCGTAAGATTTTTTACGACCGCAACCAAACTAGTGATCCGCTGCCTATATCACGCGAAATACCCAGGAATATATTTTCGACTCTTAATAATTGTTTTCCCTTTACTGAAAAGGTTTTCCTAGGAAACAAAAACGCAAATGGCTATGTGAAGAACCTAATTAGCAAACCATTCCGATGTATGGCGTTAAGAATTCGCCCCATTGGTTGGGAACAACGACCAGCCATGCGCACTGAATTATATGGGTGCGACGTCTTTGGCTCATAGAAAATCACGAGAAAGCATCATCAGTTCCCAGGCTCCGGGACGAGCGAAATTTCAAGATTCTCACATATGCACACGCGAATTTGAGTAACTCAGTTCTTCTGCTGTTTAGTCATTAACCATTCAGAAGTATTTAAATATTCTGATGTTGACAACATCTGGAAGTGAGATGCTATTTTCAGAACGACATGGCAAGACAGTTTTCTTTGTTGAATCGCATCCAAAGAGTGCCGTGAATGTCTTATTGGAAGAAGAGGAATTGGAATTTACACAAGTCGAATAACAAAAGCTGTAACAAGTTAGATGAAACTAGAACACCAAAGAAAGGCGAGTTAAAAGCAGGTGGAATTTCTCTTCAAAGGTTATTGACATAGACAGTTTTGGATGGATACTCAATACAAACAATTCCAATTTTTTAGAGATTTTCATTTGAAATGCTTTTACGCCTGGCTATAGTGCTAGTTTCGTTGAATAACTTCTATCGATGGAAATGACTGAATCTTCAAATAGTGAGTTTCAGAAAGCTAATTTTGTTTGTCTTAGTTCGCTATCTACTTTTGTCTTGTGCCCATCTGTGAACAACGTTGTCCTACAACCGTTAAAAATATATCTAGCCATATTGCTTTTATACTTTCAAGAGTACCAATGTTAACTACATCGAACTCAGTCACCTTGCTACTTCGTTTAGTTTTAACACCTGTAACATTAGGTCAATACCAGAAAATTTCCGGTTACTCAACCAAATGAAATAAAAAACCAACGTACACCATAGTGTATCTTTTGCTGATTGACGATTGATGTCCCTCCTGAAAAGGATTTAATTAACTTAGTATACGATTTGAGATATCTTGTAAATTGCTACCCTGCGATTGGGTCATAGAGGGGCATCTGTACAATCTGTAAAAGGCTGTACAATTAAACTGACAATCAAAACTGAAACTAAAAAAAAGTGATAAGCTAAATCCAACACAAGTTCATCTTGGAATACGAATTTTGGATTTCATCGAAGGAAATGTTTTCGAGCCGCTCAAATTTTTCAGGTCATTAATTTACACCAATAGACAATGATTCAATTTTCTCAGCGGATGAAGTTGTCATCTCTTTCGGTAAGTTCATGGCTTATATCATGATTTACTCCGCCTCTTCTTACTAACGAAAAGGGGCAATTCACTGATTCACGCTAAAACAATGTTACTTTCTGTTACATTTCTGAAGCATGACAATTAATGTTATAACAAAATGCTCAATTTTGCAAATATTGCAAAGCCAGCAAATTGTTTCTTACACGACCGACAGCCGAAGAGGTGGTTTCGGGTGAGTCACTAGTAAAACGAAATTTCAGTTTTAAATGCGGTCTTTTTGGTCACATTCTTAATTTATTCTGATTTTCCTGAGTTTTGGTAACCCCAAAACCTCTCATGTTTAATATACAGGTTGAGATTTTGCCACTTTTTCAGGGCCACAGTATCTTTTCCGATGTGAAGAATAAGACTTGGATAACTTGTATACTTCTCATCCTGTTTCAACATGTTACCGGTCAAACTGGAAAAACCGGTTGTCAAGATGTTCATTCTATCTCTGGGTACTCTCTCATCAGTCACGTGTATCGAATGATGTCACAAGTAGGCCTGATCACCTGTATCACCGCGTGCCAAAATTACCCACAATGCTTCAGTCTTAACTTCAAGTACACTTATCAACTATGCGAGCTGAACAATGCATCTCGTCTGAGTGCTGAGCCTAAATATTTTGTCCATTCGGGTGATACGGTGTATTTAGATAACTTATATCGACCGTATAGACCGTGTGATAATTCACCGTGTATGAACGATGGGGTTTGTATTTCTACTGATTTCTACCCAGGATTCAAGTGTGCATGTAAAGAAGGATTCTTTGGACCAATGTGTGAAGGTAAGAACTTGGAGAATCGATTTTGATTTTGAATACACGACTGATCAGGAAAGTAACATTTTTCCTTTCAGGTAGCGAGGAGGAGCAAGAGTGAAATTCCTCTTCTCTCCCCCTCCACCCCTGCTCAATCTCCCCTCCCCCCAGAGGGACTAAATATTTAAAAACATACCACCCAAAGCTCGTTGATAATGATGACAATGTAGATGCCCGTAACTCTGTATTTTGCTCGTCATGAATTATAACTTTATTTTGCTAGACTCAGTATCACCTACGGACTGTTCGGCTCCTTATCGACCTTTGGGAATGAAGGATGGCAGTATAACGGACGGTCAAATCACTGCTTCTTCTGAAGTACCAGACTTTGAGGCCTTTAAGGCGCGGTTTGATGGCTCCTCGTGTTGGAGAAGCGCTAACAGTAGCCTTGGAGAGTACTTGGAAGTAAACTTTGGACGAAAAGAGTACGTCAAAGCAATTAAAACTCAAGCCGATCCATTGCAAGACAACTGGACAGAAATGTACTACTTAGCGTTTTCCCTGGGGTTAGGATGGAAGAATGTTACTCGCCAACTTGGACGAGTTGCGGTACGTAGTAGCTTTCAATAGAAATGTAACGGACAGTTGTTGAGATATGATACACAGATGATGTACACCAATTTAACCCTTTAACTCCCAAGATCTGATTGTTAATTCTCTCGTCAAGGTGCTTCACATTTCCTTTTACATTAAATCACTGAGTTACGAGAATGTGGTGTTAGATCAAAATAACAACTCCTGCCAGATAAGTTTGAATATTCTCATTACCTTTTTGCTGGGTAATGTGTGGATATCATAGAGAGAAGTAGAATGTTGATCAATTCTGGGAGTTAAAGAGTTAACGCAGTCTAGATCTTACTTCGAGACTCTGGTTTTGAAAGACAGCAGTGGCACAACCAAGCGAGGAAGCTGGGTGTGAAATCCGAAATTCACCGCGCTTTTAATTTAGTGTCATATGATCATAGAAAAATAAAATTGAAAGGAAGGAAAATACCTAAAGAGCCGAAAGATATCTTGAATTACAAGCGCACTGCTTCAGGCGCGGAAAAACTCGAGAGATCAATTCGCGTTTAGTTTAAGTTTTGCCTGATTGGTTGACGGAGGTTGTGGCGAAACTTGAATTTTTGACAAATGATAAAGCAAAGCAAAATGAATACAATCCTGGACAATAAAGGATTACTTTCGACTCTTTAGAGATAATTGCTACGTTGACTACGCCGTGATTCAGTTTGAGTGCCATATTTTCACCCAGAGGCTACACAGTGAAACTTGTGGCAATTTTATCGCGAAACAGCTAGAATTAGGGTCATGTTTTGAGTCAAAATCCCAGAGCAGGATATATTTCTTTAATATAGTACACCTTGAAATGGTTAGAGTGTTTCCTGAACTTCAGTACACTCATCTTTCAGAATTATAATGGGAACACAGGGCCAAACCATATCATCACCAACTACTTGGGAGAACTAAGCTTCCACGCGACAGCTATCCGAATCTATCCTCTGAAATGGCATGGATGCATTGCACTACGGCTGGAGTTGTACGGTTGCTAGGAATCTATCATCAAGAATGGCATGGACGCATGGAACCAAGGTTGCTAGAAATCTATCGTTAAGAATGGCATGGACACATGGCACTAAGGCTGGAGTTGTACGGTTGCTAGGAATCTATCATCAAGAATGGCATGGACGCGTGGAACCAAGGTTGCTAGAAATCTATCATTAAGAATGGCATGTACGCATGACACTAAGGCCTGTTCCAAACGTCGTGCTACTGCCGTGCCGAACTCAAATGAATTTGGCTCGGCAGTGGCACGACGATAGCACGGCAGCGGTTTCAAACGTCGAACCTAATGCAGTCGCGCCAAATTCAAAAGACAAAACAAACCATCCATCCAGCGGTATCGCCCCATCCAAATTTGTTTAAGAAAATTTTAAATGCCAGAAGGCAACGCAGGCGAATGCAACAGTCCATATTGAATACTGTTATTGCAAGGAGAGGATTACTTTTGAAAGTTTTTTCATTTATTCTTCTTCTGGTTTCCCTTGACGAGAGCCAGCAAGTTACTGTATTACGATCGTGCCGGCGTTTCCAAACCCTAACCCTAACCCTAAGCAATTTATTGTCACCGTCGGATTCCTCTTCTCTCAAGCTTTCGGGCAAAACGGGTAGATTTGTCTTTTTTTTATTAGTGCGCATGCGTAATAGTATGCAAATAATGCAAAATCCGTTAAATTAATTTATGAATTGAGTTCGGCGCGACAGTAGCACAACGTTTGAAACCAAGTCGTGCTACTGCCGTGCGGCACGGCAAGGCCTGCCGCGCTAAGTAGTCGTGCCGAACCTAATTCAGCCGTGCCGCGCTTAATGGTTTCAAACGGCGTGCTACTGCCGTGCTTAAATCGAAATTACTATTTCATTTGAGTTCGGCACGGCAGTAGCACGACGTTTGGAACAGGCCTAAGGCTGGAGTTGTACGGTTGCTAGGAATCTATCATCAAGAATGGCATGGACGCGTGGAACCAAGGTTGCTAGAAATCTATCATTAAGAATGGCATGTACGCATGGCACTAAGGTTGCTTGAAATCTATCGTCAAAAATAGCGTGGACGCCTGACACCAAGGTTGCTAGAAATCTATTATTAAGAATGGCATGTACGCATGGCACTAAGGTTGCTTGAAATCTATCGTCAAAAATAGCGTGGACGCATGGCACCAAGGTTGCTAGAAAATGAAATCTATCATCAGAAAGGGCATGGACGCATGGTACTAAGGCTGGAGTTGAGCTAGGGTTACCTCATTGGAGTTTTTTATTCTGCTTTTGAAAATACTTAGACATACGAATGGACAACAGCTTTTAAGAAAAATCTTGCTTTAAAAATATATCAAAAATGGAGAAAAAGTTGTCTTCGTAAGTCATTGCAACTTATAGTACTTCTTCTCTTGGCAGACGTTCCGAATATAGTGTGTTGTGCGTAGCCAGACCATGACTATGGCACATATAAACAAGAAAGTTGTATATAAAAAAGAGTTAATAAAAAACGTAAGTTAAAAGAATTTTGAATGTGTTTTACGTTCAGAAGGTACATGATTCATGTTTGCGTAGAGGCAGACATCACTCGAGGTTCCCTTGGGGACCGATTCCCCTTGCTTACAGATGTAGCGTTTTCGTTTGATTAGTAAATTTGTAATCACAACATGATATTTTTAACCAATGCTTGTCAGCAAACGCGTAAGCTGTTCATTCAAGTTTTGCAATGCTTTCTTGGAAGAGGAGAACTTTTTCTCTGTTGTTTTGGCATTCAATTGATGAATTGTCTTTGCCACGATGAGAAGACAGCGTTCAAATAGGTACTCTTCAACATAACTAGCACCTCGTTCCGCAGCGAGTCTCTTAGAAGGAATGATTAAGCGATGTTCCTTGACGTTGCTTCGAAGCAGCTCGCGGAGAAGTTTCTGGTGTTGGTCCCAGTCCTCTCGACAAGCCTCAATTTGTCTCCTCAAATCTTCAAGGCAAACGTTCTCGCAGTCTGCCAAGAATACGGCAACTTGGTTGTCGAACTGATGTTTGTCTGACAATAACAAAGCTTCTAGACCAAGCTGTTTAACATAGATGTACGAGCTGTTGATGGCATTTTGATCAACAATCACTTGAACTTTTTCCAACATTTCCTCTGGAAGTATTTCAAACAAACGTTTTTTGCTCTCCCGAAAAACTGGAATGCTATCACCGTAAAAATTAATCATACTGCTGGTCACATTCTTTGCGAGCTTCAATTGAGTGTTAGTTTGCGGTTTAAGTCGTCGGAGGCCTTGCATATCAACTGCAAATTGCGTGAATAAATCAGACAAATCCAAATGGTATTTGGCGAGTGTCTGAGTTGCACTGCTCTCAACAGGCACCAATCCTTTCAAATCACTCTTCGCTTCAACGGCGTCGACAAGTAACCCATACTTGGGGAGCACATCACTTATTTTTCCTTGAAGTCGTGTAAGAGTTGAGTTGGTTTTGACTATATCATCTAATATTGACCCCACAGCGGGTCCATCAATGACGGTATTTCCCTGCAATTCTGCGGCTTCCCTATGGCAAGCGTTACAGACTCGCAGATACAAACAACCAGCTGGTTCTTTATCCGGGGAACCAATAATGTTGATGAGAGACCACTGTACGGCAGCTGATTCTCCCGCGGGATACAAGATAAGAGTTTCTTGTGAACAAAATGAACATATTATTGATCCACAAATTCTGGAAAGGCAAAAAAAGTTAAATCAATTTCGAGATAAGCTTCGGAAACTTGCACCAGCTGTTCAACCAATCTGATGAAAGAATGAAATTCACCAAAACCAAGAACCGGTCAAAGGTGTTTTTCCGTATGAACTGATGGATAAATTCCGTAGAAAACCACCAAAAGCTGAGGGGTGGTGTGAAAGTTCACCAGGGTACTGAGGTGATAATTTTCATATTCCCAAGGGAATAACTTAATTAGCCCCAGGCCTCCCTGTTTCACCTAACTAGCTGTTGATTTACCTTTGGTTGTCATATGGCCACTTCGTTTTGTCCGTTCAATCAGTCCAGAGGTTCTTTTATCATCATGGGATTATGGTTCTTTCCATGGCTTGCAAGAGATGTCATGTGGGAGAGTAAAAATAAATCTCCTTAAGCCTACAAGGAGGGGGGGGGGATGGGCTCATCATGACTCCCAAAGTATGTTGGCTCTCACATGACAAAAACCACTCATCCTGATTTGCTGACAGGTTTTGTCAGTTGGCATGTAACAGGAGCTTCTACCTACAAATACTATGTACTTACTTGCAGTGAGACTTTGTCTCAGTTACTGAAAATGCTTTATTACACAGTGTACAGTTGCTCCTTGATGAGCTTGGCTGAAAAGAGAAAGAACATAAACAAAATAATGTACTCAGTTTTGAATGACTTGCATTCAGAATAAAGAGTCTATTTAAGGGAAGATGGGCATTTTAATAAAAGACACAGTTTGAGAAACTTAACCAAATCTTATTCATGGAATAAAATTGAATTTTTGCAGCATCTTCAATTTTGGGGATTTTTTTTTTCTGCAACAAAACTGCTTTGGGAGATAGAGGACAATCTGCAAAATCCAAAAGTTAAGAGAGTGTCTCTGTAAGAGCGGTCCGGTCGATTTGGCTTGAGACACGGATTTCCCTCATTTCTTGTGTGTTGTAAGACATTCATGTACCTATACTAAAACCACAATCCGTTTGATCGGATCTCTTTATTTTTATTTACTTCCTAGCTATGTTAGTTGGATCAGTAAAGAACGCCTCACTTTTTCAAAAATTTACCTTGAATTTGATCGGTTTTCGCGTGCGTGACTTAAGCGAACCGATACGGTGTCATTCAAGTCTTCCTGTTTCCTTGATTGAGTGGTTTTAGTATAGGTACATGAATGTCTTACAACACACAAGAAATGAGCGAAATCCGTGTCTCAAGCCAAATCGACCGGACCGCTCTTGCAGAGGCACTCTCTTAAACCTGCATAATTCTTCTGTGGCACGAAAGTTTAAAATAAAAGTTGGAAAAACACTGCAAACTTGACATCACTACTTGATGAAAATCTTCTGACATACAACAATGCTTTTGCCTGCTAAATATGATATTTATCCACCTAATGTTGCTAAGAAAATTAATTAGCTCCTCACCATCCAATGTTTTGATCTTTGCCAGTCTGGGATCTTCACAAAGCTAAATGTTTCACTCACAAAGCACTTTAATTTTGACTGGCCAATGTGCTTGGCATAACCATCAACAAGGCGTTGTAACTCTTCTTTTATGTGTGTCACAAGGTGACCAGTCCCATCTTTATGATCATTGTTGTTTTTCCTAGATTTCGTGAGGTTTCGAAATTGGTTGAATTCTTTCCATAACGAGCGGAAAGCTCCATCCCTCTGTGGTCCAACATCAAAACAGCTTTTACATACCTGATAAGAGAGAACCATGGCAACAGTTTATAAGTCATCATTAAAGTTACCACTACCACTTCTCCAACTAGTGGTGTATCCAGTAACCCAAGTGGCCTGAGCAAAATGAGGGGAGGGGTAATTCTCTGTAATATTCCCTGTAAAAATGGCACAGGTTTAAAATTCTTTCAATTGCACCAACCATTAGGTTACAGCATCTCAGTAAAAGTAAATTTACTAAAAACAAAAAGTTAAGAGTTAAATATTATTTCTTACTCTGTAGCTAAATCCATTTGGATCTGGAGTTCCAAATACTGACAGCCGACGCCTGTATTGAGAGCACTTGCCACAAAATACTTCCCCACACCTTAAAATAAAAAGTATGGTAAACAAAAACAGCTTTATTTTGAATTTTTAAAAGACACTTTAAGGACAGAGTAAATAGTTTGAACCCACGATTCATGGTTGACAATGTGGTCTGACTAATGAAAAGACTTCTATAAAAGGCAACTCCCCTCCAGATGACCAGACCACAAGATTGATAAGCTCTTAGAATAGCTGCAGAGTGATTAGCAAAGCTGATGCAGTCATGGACAAAACTAGTTGAATTGAGCAATTTATCTCCTAGCCTAAGAATATCTCATCTTGAACTTTATGAACAGTTTTAAAGGCTACAATCTAGAAATTATCCTAAAAATAATTCTATAAAAATTGTCGAAATCATAATCATCTGAGATCATGATGGCTGTTTATTGAGCTAACATCAGTAGGCATATTCCCCATACTGTTTTCTAGACATTTCCTATGGTACAGACAAGGAGAATTTGTTTAACAATCAAGAGCTTCTTTAGTTGGTGATCATTTGTTCTATTCCTGTGGCCTTAATGAGTGATGCAGGGGTGATATTATAATGCGAAATAGATGCTAGTCATTCTTTGGGGTTTAATGGGTTGAGAGATTTATTTTGGTATATTAACTTTAATATTCTGTTTCATTATTAATCTAAAGACAAATATATCACAATAAATATCAACATAACTTTGAATTCAACCAAAAGCAAGTTTTGAAACAAATCTTAAATTCAGAGATACTTCCTGTTGCCAACAGAGTTTCAAATACGTTTTTACATCTGTTTACCCATCCTAATGGACTTGAGTGCCCCCTTCCCCTCCTGGAGGAAAATAATAACTATTGCCACTATTACAACTGCCATTCCCCAACAGGAATCTGAAAAGTGTGGGGTATAATTTTCGCACAGCTCCATACTATTTTAAAACAAATCTGTTTTCCCGATGGCAATGTATTGTTTTTGTCATTGTTTTCTCTATCTAAGAGCTGAATGCATAATGTAGTATGGGGCTGTGCGGAAATTTTACCCAATCTCTTCCTCAGATGGTAAAGAAAGCAAGATAAATCTATTGAATTGGACTCCATATTACTGATATTAGGATAACAACGCGTTATTTTGTAGTAGCCAGAACTTAAGCCCGCTAGCCAGCGTTTTACATACCTTCTACAGTGATGCTTTCTCTCCGTTAACGTAAATTTCTTCCGACAGCTCCCATCAGCACAGTGAGTACGTTCTGAACTGTTCACCCAATGCCCTGTCTTAATCTGCCCAAGACTTTCCGCCTTCGGCGTTGGTTCCTTGTGCTCGTTCAAAAGATAACTTACCGAGCAACTCAAATCTTCCCATTGGGCATTAAGAGACTTTGATCGATAATAATTAGAACTTTTGTGAGCCATGGTGCTGTAGGAGAGGCAAAGAGTTAGGCTAAAGGTTTTGCCAAAGGAATGGAAATGGTTGTTACACAGCTATATACGGGTGTAGACGCCATGTCTGAATGCCAAGTAGACGACAAAATGTTTGACAACATTTATATTATAGACTTCATGTTTGGCTCACGATATGTCCTAGTTAACCTTGTTTTACTACGATAGCCCACTTCTGCCCCGAGTTAACCATCTTCTACCACGTTAACCCCCATCTACCCTAAGTTAACCATATTCTACCACGTTAACCCACATTTACCCTACGTTAGCCGTTTTTTACCCTTTTCTACCCCATTTTAACGTCGTATTTTCGTGTTGACCGACGTATACGTCAAGTTAACCTTGTTCTCCTTTGTTTAGGCCTACCCACCCCAAGTCAATCTCGTTTTAGTTTGTTCACCCATAAAAACTCTGAGTTAGACACGTTCTTTCACATTCACAAAACTCGTGACAACTAATTAGGGTTTCACTATTGATAAATGAATAAAGGGGTAAGTTTCTAAAGAAACTGTGGTGTTGCGTCGGTGGGAGAGTATAGCAGGTAATTTAGTGTTAACAACTGAGTTGAAAACGTAAATTAGCCACCGTAAAGGGTAAAAAAGCTGACGTTTCGAGTGTTAGCCCTTCGTCAGAGCAATTGGAGGAATTGTGGGTTGTGTGGGTTTATATCCAGAAAGTGGAGCTACGCCATTGGTGGGAATATGGTGACGAGAAAACAGGAATAAATTAGTTGAATGAAAAGCGCTCGTTGATTCCGTGGGGATTAAGGGCGCCGATTTGGAAGATAAATTTTTGTTCTAGTGTTTTACGGCTTTCCGAACTGCCTAGATGTAAGGGAAGGCCGCAGACTGCCATATACTGTTTAGAATGATTGGGGAGATTAAAGTGTTTAGCGACTGGTTTGGATGAGTCCTTGTCATTTCTTCTCACGTCGCGAAGGTGTTCTCGGAATCGGTCACCTAGTCGTCTTCCTGTTTTGCCGATGTATAACTTATTGCAATAAGTGCAAGTTATGCAGTAAATAACATTGGCGGAGGTACACGTAAAGTGATCAGTTATCTTAATGGATCTCTTGGGTCCCGATATTTTCTCTACGTTACCCTTTACGGTGGCTATTTTACGTTTTCAACTCAGTTGTTAACACTAAATTACCTGCTTTCACTATTGATAGATAACGATATGATTGATGGCTTCTTATTTACAGAAGCAAAGAAAGATTTTGATACCATGGACCGTAGAAAGTTTTGCTTTAGAAATTAGGGTATTACGGGTTTAATGGCCTTCTCTCAAGTGGCTCTACTAGTGGCAAGCAAACACTCAAGCTATATATTTAATTATCAGCAACAAGAGTCTGATTGCATGATATTGAAAAGTAACATTTGGGATATTGTCAACAAGATATTCTTAGAACTAGCAAAAACGAAATGCCGCTCATCATTTGATTCGTCATCAGAAATATAGCAGTATAGTTTCCTAGTTAGTTTTATGCTGTACTTTATCCATGCAGTTCCTAAAGACTTCATCCTTTTTTCTTAACCCTCTTTCTGTTCGCTGCGTCTCCCTTTCCAGAATAAGATCACTTGTTATCGTCGAGTAATTTAAAAACTCTTAAAGCAATTATCTGCCATGGCTTTTATGAGTTAAAGGTTATTTGGAAAATAAGGGAGTAGAAATTCGATAAATAACGCAGTCACAAAAGAATTGATAAATGATTTTTTCAGGGGAAACGAAGTTTTACACGCATCTTAATACTATTTTTTAATAATTTTTTAAATTAATTTTTAAATTAATTTTTAAATAATTTTCAAACAATTTTTTAAAATCATTTTTAATAATTTTTTTAAAAAAGTTTTTTAATAATTTTTTAATAGATTTTTTAATTACTTTTTTTTTTTTAATTTTCAATCACTTTTTTAATTTTTTTAAACAATTAAAAAAAATTGTTTTAAATTTTTTTGTTTTCGTTAAAAAATCGCCATGTGGCTCCCTCTAGTATTGACTTGAACAATTTGTTTAAAACTGAACTCGTGAGCAGCACTCTGCGAACAGCAGTTGTAAAATTTCTCTATTCCCTGACGCATTTCGTCTACGGTAAAAACCCGCGTATGGAAACCTAGAATTTTGGAGTTCAGGCTGAACAGGTTCTTATATTTTGGGGTATTTTTTCAAATAACAGGCTGATTAGGTTCTTAGTAGGTTCTTATTTGCAAAGTTATTATAGTGATAGCATTCGGGGAACTGCAATAGTACTAATATGCTATAATTGTAAAGCATTTATAAAAATGTCAAGCCTTGTTGTCGAAACAAGTCCTGCATAATGGGCCTGACCATATTTACAGTTATATGATCACCATGCAAATTTCAACAGGAAAAATATGCCTGCCTTGTTTTCAAGTACAGAAGCAGAAACATAAATTGTTTATTCTCGTTACATGTATTACTGTCACAGTTGGACTGAAAAATCTTAGAGAAACCTGAAAGTATTTAAATAGGGTTTGGAATTTTACACATGTCAGATGAACAAAGGAAACCTTCAAGGACGACATGTACATTCTTTTCTTTATTGATATTTTGTCACATGGACTAAAATCACATCTGGGCACTTACAGAATCAAGGTCCAAGAGAAAAGTTCTGTATTTTTTTTATATTCTGTATTAAAAAAACTATTTTGATTTTTAAATGTCTGTACAGTATTTGTGACTGTATTTGTAACTACAGCAAAGTTTTATGGAATGAATAGTATTTTATTAGTAAGACTAAAAAGCAGTACGCTACAAAAATTTTCACAATTAAAATCCAGAATTTGAACATCAAATCTGGAGTGTTTATTTATATAAGAACCTATTTTTCTTTGTCAGGCTGAATAGGTTCTTATATATTTGGGTATTAAAATGCAAAATTTCAGCCTGTAGGTTCTTAAATCACTAGGTTCTTATACGCGGGTTTTTACTGTAAATGTCGTAGACGTCCTCAAGGAGTTTTACATGTTGAAACGAAACGCCTGTATTTATAAGCCACAGTTAAAGGTTTTACGGGGGCCAATGACTAAAAAGGCTCGGCCAGACATACGAATAGGACCGGACAAAGATGTGAAAAATTAGTGGGCAAGAAAACATATATTTTTTTGATCATTTTAAAAAATTTATTGCAAAAATGAGTAAAAAAAATGGTAAAAAATTAATTAAAAAATTGATTAAAAAAATATTTTAAAAATTAATTTAAAAAAATTGATTTAAATAATTAAAAAGAAAATTAATTAAAAAAATTGTAGTAAGCAGTCAGATAACAAGCGATATATTGTGGAAGTAAGGTGAGGTATTTTTATTGAGAATTTGAAGTATTTTTTATTCCTTAGAGCGGTAGTAAATATTGTCACATAAACTCTAATTCCGCCATGACTGTTATTTGGCAAGATGTTCATCTTACTGCTGAAGCTTGGGCCGCCTTTGGTTTCACCTGTAGATCTTAGATTAGATGACGTCATTTCAAGACGTCTTTTGGTTGGCCAGCTGTGAACTTCATGGAAAGGAGAAAACGTTAAATAGCGTGAAAACTCAACAAATTTTTATATTCTTCGGCGACAATGATATCTGCGGTGAGCTTTTTTATTTTCCTTACTTCGACGATTCTCCATATCTTCGTCACCTCCGCTGCATCTGGACCTAATATCTTATTTGTTTTTGTGGATGATCTTGGATGGAGTGATGTAGGCTTCCATGGTTCGAAAATTCAAACCCCAAATGTTGACAAATTGGCTAAGGAAGGAGTAATTCTAGATAATTACTACGTCCAACCTATGTGCTCTCCATCCAGAGGAGCATTGATGTCTGGAAAATACCCGATTCACCTTGGTTAGCATGATTTCAGTTTTCTGTGGATTTTTGGCCAGTTTAACACTATTACTCCTAATATAAAGCTGGGGGGGTGCGGCGATATTTCCTTCAGTTTCCCATTACTATTTTTCTAAAACATCATGTGACGACCAGTATGTCACTTGCACCCTAGGGCTGGTCTGCAATAAATTCACCACCTGCTCAACAAATGGTGATTTCAGTTTTCATACTAGAAACAAACATAAGTACATGTATAGAAATCCTTCCTTGAAGTGAATGATAGACAAACCGAAAGTTAAAAAGGGTGTGACATTAATCATGAGCCATCGTAGATGTTAATTGTTTTGGTACTTACAGTGATAAGTTAAGCCCTTTGCAGTTTATAAATGTAGATTTAGATGGAAACATATATTACAAACTCTAGATATTCTTTCTTGCACATGGAAGTATGTAAAATTGAAAGTTGATGATTTAAAAAGCCCCAATGTCGACATGTAATTTCTCCTTACTATGATTCATACAATCATTGCAGACGTAGCTAGGAGAATTCAAATCGTGTAGAGGTAGAACAATTATTTCTTTGCAGGAATGCAGCATGGAGTCATTCGTAGTGAGTCTCCATTTGGTCTGCCGTTAAATATCACTACACTTCCCCAAAAGCTCAAGGAAGTTGGTAAGAATTTGCTCTGTACTTACGAGTCCAACCTTCTCTTGAGAGTGATATAACAATTCTGTTAAAAGTGAACTCTGTGTGACCTAATGCTATAATTGTTTATTCTGGGTTTGAGTGTGAAATAGCGATTTCGTAAAACTTTTGACAATGAAAATGAACAGTAAAACAAGACGTTTCGACCAAACTTTCGTCATTTTCAAGTGAATAGTAAGAATGTCACGATGAATATTTATATGCCTGTAAGAAGTGTAAAATTTTTTGGAAATGTAAACGGACAATAAGAACATATAAAGAGAAGAAATAATCAAGACATAACATCAGCAGTCAATTTCCACGAGATTTTAAACCAGTGCTATTCCTCTATTAAGTTTACCTTGGAGACGGAGAGTAAAAGCATGCTTCCTATTTTGTTCCACTTCTCAACCGGGCACACAAAGAGTTGATATCTGGGCGCATTGGCCAGCCAAGCCACCGTTTATTTAACGCCAAATCGATATGCTTACAAAAGTCTTTTACGATTGAAGTAAACTAAATGCACCAAAGCCGGACACGAAAACCCCAAAAAAACCAGCAGGTGGAAAAAACGGGGAACGTGTACCCTCAACCAAGGCAACGTGACAATCTTACCATTCACTTGAAAATGGCCGAAGTTTGGTGGAAATGTCGTGTTTTACCGTTCATTTTTATTGTCTTAAGTGTGGAAGCCTTTGAATTTCAAACTCAAAACTGGGTTGTGTTTGATACATATAGTTGTTTATTGGTCAATAGTTCAATTCAAGCAACTGATTAATGACTTTGCCAACACATTTCGTAGGTGGTAGAGTCATTTGGAAGGTGAGGGGGGTGTATGATACACTAGCCAAGCTAATCAGTTGGTGACAATGCACAACAAGGCACTTGCTGAAAGAAAAAAACTTCTAGACCACATCATTTTGCTTAGCATCATCCCTTTGAAATAATTTGTGGAAAGATATACTAATTTTTTACTGCAACAGAGGAAATTTATGTACCAGAACGTAGAGGTGCTCTGCCTCCCAAATTGAAATTGATAGTGGTTAAAGCCCTTCCCTCCCTCCCCCCTCCTGTCCCCCTGGTTATTCTACCTGTAGGTATATTTTGTTTGGAAAATTTCCCCTTAAAACACTAAAGGGTTGCTCTTCTTGTTGTTGTTGTTATTATTTTTTTTTAGGATACAGCACCCATATGGTAGGCAAGTGGCATCTTGGTTTCTACAACTGGGACAGTACTCCTACCTACCGAGGCTTTGATACCTTTTATGGATTTTACAATGGCGATGAGGATCATTACACACATGTCGTTGACGATTTTCTTGATTTCAGAGACAATGAAGAAATTGTCAGGGATATGAATGGGACATACTCTGCTTATGCTTTTACAGAGGTAAACCATTTGTGTTTAAAAAGAATGGCAAAATGTTTGCATTCAAAGGCACTTAACCCTTTAACTCCCAGAAGTGATCAACATGCAACTTCTCCCTATAATATCCTTACATTATCCAGCAAACAGCTAATGAGAATATTCAAACTTATCAGGTAAAAGTTGTTGTCTTGATCTAACACCAAGTTCTCATTACTAATTTACAAGGATTTGTTTAGCAGCTGGAGGGGAGACTTACTAATCAGATCTTGTGAGTAAAAGGGTTAATCATAGATAAGTTAGATAAAAGAATTTCTGAGTCTGCCCAACAAAATCCGTGCAATAATTTTTTCAAATTTGATAAGTATGTGTTTGTTGTTTTGCAAGTGCACCTGCAGTAATCACTGCATTTCTATCTATTTTTGAAATGTTTGGTTTTTTGTAGTTTATTCACATGTAATCTCTGTTTTTTTTCTTCACACTACAAGTTGATTGATTTTAGATATGAGCTACACTCAAGAAAGAAAGATAAGCATTATTTTTATCTTTATCATTATCAATTACCTTTGTTATTGATCAATACTTTTTCAGCGAGCTGAGCATGTCATCAAATCACATGATGCATCAAATGGTCCTCTTTTCCTTTACATGGCATTCCAAAATGTCCACTCTCCAGTCCAAGCTCCTAAACAATATGTAGATAAGTACTCCTTTATAGACGACACAATAAGACAGACTTATGCTGGGATGGTGGATATCATGGATGAAGCAGTTGGTAATATAACAGGTGCTTTTAAAGAAGCAGGGTATGTGTGTATATCCTTTTTACCCTAAATAGAGAGCATTTCCAGTCATAATTCCCTTGACAAGGAAGGTCCTCAAGGGAGGGAAAATTTAAATAATGGCAAGTATCTGCCAGAGGGGTATCACTTTCAGCTCCAGGGTTTATGGAATGTAACATGTTAACACTTTGAGTCCAAAGATCTAATTGGTAATTCTCCTTACAGTCAGCTAAACAGTTCTTGAGATGTTGGTTTGGAGAACTTGAAAAATTGGATCAACTTATAATCCCCTAATTAATATTTTTCTTTATTCTCATCACTTGTTTGCTTGATATTGTATTTATGTTGTAAGGAGAAATTCTGTCTTGGTCACTCATGGGAGTTAAAGGTTAAGGTACTGGAAAGGGTAAGCTTAGGTGTAGTGGATGTGTTTACAATGGTCCAAGGATAGGTTAAACTTGTTCTTGAAAGAAAAACAAGCAAAATTTGCTTAAAGTTTAGAGGTAAACCTTCGATTTGTCTTCACTTGACATTACAAGATGTTTTAAGGATGTGCTAACCACAGGGGATAAATATAAGAGTAAACAATTGGCAAACAGGAAGAGTATCCACATCATATTGGAGGGAAGCTAAATAAATATGATTTTAGTACTGGAAACCTACCTCAGGCACTGAGAAGATGAATATTTATTTATGTCTTTGTTCACTTTAGTGTTATTTTTGAAGGATAAATAAAAATTCATTTGAGGAGCGCTATGGGTTTCATGTTGATAGAAAAGCTATTAATTAAAAGCAGATATCACAGAAGAATGACAAATGATAATTCTTGGCAAACTAGGTTTAGAATTTACTTAACAATTTCTTGCTCTTTGAAGGTTATGGGACAACACCTTGATGATCTTCAGTACTGACAATGGAGGGGTCCCAAAACATGGTGGATATGACTACCCCCTGAGAGGACGTAAGGGCACTCTATGGGAAGGAGGAATCAGAGGGGTGGGGTTCGTACATGGAAAAATGCTGTCTAGAAGTGGGGTGAAATCTACTGGGCTGATTCACGTGACTGACTGGTACCCAACATTGGTTAATCTTGCTGGTAAGGACAAGTGCATGGGTGTGCTTAATGGAACAACTTACTCTGTGCAATACAACTGTAAAAGTTTTCACTGCCCCTTGAATGAAATATTTTGGGTGATGTGCTTTTAAAGAGTATATGAAAAATGGACACTACTTAGACCTCTCATGGGTTCATTTGTTGGCTGACTTGAATTTCATGAAGATTGGGAGCCTCCACCCAGGTTCGCATTTTAAGGAAAATACATTTCCACCAAAAGCCTATTTGAATCTTTTGAATTCATCCTCGCATGTCTGCTTTCAAGATAGAAAGTCAAATGAGGACAAAGCCTGTTACGTCTTCATGTTGATAGAACCTCTGTCAGTCCAGACAATCAAGGGGGAAATTTTATTAATACTTTTATTATTGCTAATATTATTGTTTTCTTTGAGCTACAAGCAAGCCTCATTCACAGCTGTTCTTTGGGATGTCACGCAGGGGAACTTGAGGGAGAGTTGTGCGACATTCCAAAGAACCGCTGCAAAGGAGAGTAACTAACAATATGTGTTTTAGTAAAGAACGTGAAGTATTTAAAGTGAATTACCTAACGTGAATTACTCAACGTGAAGTACGTGAAGTTACTTTTGCTATATTTAGGTGGTCATCTTAATCACGAAGATCAGCCCCTCGACGGTTATGATGTTTGGAAAACCATTTCAAATGGCGAGGCCTCTCCACGTACAGAGATCCTTCACAATATAGACATTCCCATTTTCCCCAATGAACTCGGTTTTGCGTATCAAGGCATTGGTCTTCGTGTAGGAGACATGAAACTTTTGATGAAAGTTCCCAATATCTCGTACTTCATCCCTCCGGAAGAGAAGAATTCTTCTAAAGTGGACTGGCTGACCGACTTGCTACAGGATGCGAAAGATGTGAGTGTGAGATATTGAGCATTTAACAAACTGAGCCTACTGCAGGTCCATTTTTGGTCAACAATACAGTCATGTAATCTAAGAATCCAAATCATACAATTGAACAGCCACTGTAACTTTATTAGCATTTTTTAAGGTTTCCTTGAGCTGAGTCATAAACCTCTGTATTTCATATGTAAAACTTATCTTCCAGTGCCTCTTAATGTGACTGTATTTTCGAAGTCTAAATGATTTGTTGAACTGAATGACTGATTTCCTACCTTATTTCAGTCCTCAGATGCCACCATAAATGTTGCACTGTACAACATCACTGCTGACCCGTATGAGAAGAATGACCTCAGCAAAAAATGCCCAGATGAGGTGAAGAAGCTTCTAGATCGATTGAAGTATTACATGAAGGGTTTAGTGCCGCCTCCTAATGAGCCACCCGACCCAGAGGCAAGGAGAGTAGCGATGGAGAATGACGCTTGGACTCCATGGATGTGAAAAGACAAGCAAATGGAACGACAAATGCTGATAATTATGCACATGATCCTTACTCTGAACACAATAATTTTCAGTGCTTGAAGTAGAAGCGAGGCTTGATTTACAAACAATCATGTGATAAAAGTAAATTTGCACAAAATTTGCTCGTGAAAAAATCTCTTTATTATGAAGGAATAACGAGGGGAATAATTTTAATACAAGGAATAATAATAGGGAATAATTAAGGAATTTCATTAAGGATCAATTTAGAGGTTGGCCCAAGTTTCGTAGAGCATAGTTTATTGATAAGTGTACTTGTAATTCGGCCAATAGCACATAATACACCAACTCGAATTGACAATTTAAAAGATGAGTTTTCTTTGACTAAGCTTCTTATGTCAAATAAAATATAACAGTTTTCAAATTGCTTAAGAATCCAGCATTCAGCAAGAGGGACAAAACAAGACTGGAGGAAGGGAAGGGAGGCAAGGAGAAAATAAAAGATTAAACCGTTCATGTATGGTGCTGTTTTTTGTGAATTTTCTTACTGATTGTTTATTTGTTAAGTTTAACCTCAGAAGAACTAGAGAACAGTTCTGATGTAAAATAAACTGTTTATTGGTCATGTTTACAGATCATTTTTCATTCAGTCATGGATTGGATTTGATTACTCGTTAGCCCCAAGTTATATTGTTATGAGTTTGCCTGGTGCTGTATCTACAATCACTTAATTTTAACAATTTTCCATTGTCAAAAGTAATTCGGGATTGCATTGCTTCTGTATTGCTTTGCTCTGATTGGTTAAGAAAACTTGATCCCTTCCTTTCACCAATCAGATGTAAGACTAGAACTGAATGGTGACTTAGTCACTCTCATTTTACCGCGTTTCCAGAGAGACTTAGAGTTTTTGTCAGCCCCTCGTGATTCACTTTCCATTTGTTCTGACTGGCTCTCACAATAACATCAGTTTTGATTTTTCGACAATTGATCAAAATGTGCTCTATTTCAAAGGATTACATATTTACATAACTTACAGCAAAATCACAATTTTACGACTCCAGCACAAATTACAGAACTATAGAACTACAATCCTTGATTGCAAAGTCAAATGTGTAAAAGTTGTAAGTTCCAATTTTCTTTCTATCTTTAACTTTACAGACTGATATCACAGATTATACCCTTCACATAATAGTTGTATTGAGACCGATTACTTAGTAAATGACATGCTCTTTTGGTTCATGTCTAATCTTTAATAACATCTATATTAATGGAGAAATAATCCCTCATCTGAAAGAAGAGTGTTTACTAAAATTAATTTCATAAGGAATTTTTCAGCTGCAATTCATCCCTCTTCAAAATGAGGGTAGAAAATAGAAGCCATGTTCATCTCTGTGGTTTTTGTTTAACTCACAAGAAAAGTTCTGTCATCTTTCAGGTTTAATAAACAACTTGTTAGAGTCTTCTTGGACCTTTCCCTTAGCTTTGAACACCTCTTGAACAGACAAATAAGTGTTCCTGGTTATCTCTAGTAGATATGTGAACAGTCCCAAAATATTTACTGTGGGTGTCATTTGAGGGTGCCGATGTGAAAGACATCAGTGCAGTCTTTCCCATTCCAGTGACATTAACCTCAGCTTTATTCGCACTTACTCTGAGATTCAAATAAACTGAGTACCAGCCCCCTAGTTCAAGTAGAAGATGAAAAATGACTGGTCCTCAGGGGAAAAAAAATTTGTGTGAGGATTTCTTCTGTTCAGCTTCCAGTTCAAACAAAAATGCATGTTTCCTGGAAATAGAAACTCATATATTTACACATTAAGACATGGTAACATTATTATAACTCTGTCTTGGAAAATGGGTCATCAGTATATTAATAGGATAAGAAAAGAAATTTAAAAAAGATACGATTCTCAGTACATTCTTTCTTACATGAAGGCCTGAATATCAATTATTACACACCTTGAGTAACAGTACCTCATTTCAATACTCTTTTGAAATCATCCTTGTTTAGGCTGATATTAGACACTTGTATAAATGCTGAAAAAGAAAATTGTTTTCAGATAACACAGCTAATACACACTACTATCAATTGAGACTTTAGAATTTTCTTCAGGTCTGTAAAGTTACTGTAACTTTCGGGAAGTGAGTTGTAATACTAAACAGACATCCTGTGTTTTAATTGGCTACCAAAGGGTTTTGTGTATTTCCTCTGTATCTTGATATTTCCTATACTGTAGTCTAGACATTTCCTATGATACTGACAAGGAGAATTTGTTTAACAATCAAGAGCTTCTTTAGTTGGTGATCATTTCCTTTATTCTCATGACCTTAATGAGTGATTCAGGGGTGATATTGTAATGAGAAATTAGATGCTAGTCTCACTTAGGTGTTAGAGGGTTAAGAGATTTATTTTGGTATATTAACTTTAACATTCTGTTTCATTATTAATCTTAAGACAAATATATCCCAGTAAATATCAACTTAACTTTGAATTCAACCAAAAACAAGTCTTGGAACAAATCTTAAATTCAGAGATACTTCCTGTTACCAACAGAGTTTCAAATGGTTGCAACATTTTATGGATAATCCAGTTTGATGTTATGGAAATGGAAATGTGACATTCCTTACACATTAATATGTTTTTACATCTGTCACCCAGCCTAAGTGACTTGAGTGCCCCCTCCCCCTCCCGGAGGAAAAAAATTACTATTGCCACTGCTATTACTATCACTCCCCTACAAGAATCTGAAAAGTGTGGACCCACAGTAGAGAGCTGATAATGATATCTGGTTAATTACTTACTATTTTATGGCTGAACGTTTACAAGGAGATATTACTGCAACAACTCGATGAAGAATTGATAATTGGGATTAGTTTTAACTCTTTCAACTATTTTCCTTCCAATCTCTTCCTCAGATGATAAAGAAAGCAAGATAAATCTATTGAATTGGACTCCATATTACTGATATTAGGATAACGACCCGTTGGAACTTAAGTCCGCTAGAAGTGTTAGCCAACTTTTTACATACCTTCTACAGTGATACTTTCTTTCCGTTAACTTAAATTTCTCCCGACAGCTTCCATCAGCACAGTGAGTACTTTCTAAACTGTTCACCCAATGCGCCCAAGACTTTCCGCCTTCGGCGTTGGTTCCTCGTGCTCGTTCAAAAGATAACTTACCGAGCGACTCAGATCCTCCCATTGGGCATTAAGAGACTTTGATCCATAATAATTAGAACTTTTGTGAGCCATGATGCACTAGGAGAGACAAAGACAGTTGTAACACAGCTATCTGCGAAGCTTAGATTAAATAACGTCATTTGAAGACTAAAAGGAGATGGCGTGACATAGCGTGACAACTCAACCAATTTTGGTATTCTTCAGCGACAATAATGTCTGCCGTGAGCTTTTTTATTTTCCTTGCTTCGACGATTCTCCACATATTTGTCACCTCCGCTGCATCTAGACCTAACATTTTATTTGTTTTGGTGGATGATCTTGGATGGAGTGATGTAGGCTTCCATGGTTCGAAAATTCAAACCCCAAATGTTGACAAGTTAGCTAAAGAAGGAGTAATTCTGGATAGTTACTACGTCCAACCAATTTGCTCTCCAACCAGAGGAGCATTGATGTCTGGAAGATACCCGATTCACCTTGGTTGGTGTGATTTCAGTTTGCTGTGGATTTTTGGCTAGTTTTAACACTATTGTTCCTAATCTAAAGCTGGGAGGGCGATATTTCCTTCAATTTCCCATTACTATTTTTTGAAAACATCATGTGACGACCACCACGCCACTTGCACCCAAGGGCCGGTCTGCAATAAATTCACCACCTGCCCAACTTTGTTTCTGCTCAACAAATGCTGATTTCAGCTTTCCAACTTGAAACAAACATAAGTACATGTATATAAATCCTTGCATAAAGTGAATGATGTGATAGACAAACCGAAAGTTAAAAAAGGGTCTTTCCATTGAAATGTGACAATAATCATGCGCTATCATAAATATTAAATTTTCTTTTGGTATTTACCTAGATTAGTTAAGTCCTTTGCAGTTTATAAATGAAGATTTAGATGGAAATGTATATTAGAAACTCTAGATATTCTTTCTTACACAGGGAAGTATGTAAAATTGAGAGTTGATATGTCGTCATGTAATTTCTCCTTACTATGATTCATAGAATCAGTGCAGATGTAGTTAAGAGAATTAATATTGCAATATAGAGGTAGAACAATTTATTTCTTTTCAGGAATGCAACATGGAATTGTTCATACTGGGTGTCCATTTGGTCTGCCGTTAAATATCACTACGCTGCCACAAAAGTTAAAGGAAGTTGGTAAGAATTTGTTCTGTACTTATGAATCCAACCTTCTCTTGAGAGTGTTATGTTAACAATTCTGTTCAAATTTAACTATAAGTGACCTAATGAATTTCAAATTCAAAAGTGGGTTGTGTTTGATATATATAATTGTTAAGTGGTCAATAATTCATTTTATCCAGTTTATTCAGATGGCTTTGCCAACATATTTAATAGGTTGTAGAGTTGTTTGGAAGGTGAGGGGGGTGTATGACACACTAGCCAAGCTAATCAGTCGGTGACAATGCACAAAAAGGCACTTGTTGAAGAAAAAAACTTCTAAACCACATCATTTTGCTTAGCATCATCCCTTTGAAATAATTTGTATAAAGGTTAACCAATTTTTTACCTCAACAGAGAAAATTTATGTCCCATAACATAGAAGTGCTCTGCCTCCAAAATTTAAATTGATGATGTTTAAAGCCCTTCCCTTCCTCCCTCCCTCCCTGTCTCCCTGCTCTTCTACCTGTTGGCATATTTTGTTAAGCAAATTTCCCATTAAACACTAAAGGGTTGCTCTTCTTGTTGTTCTTGTTTTATTTTTAGGATATAGCACCCACATGATAGGCAAGTGGCATCTTGGTTTCTACAACTGGGACAGTACTCCTACCTACAGAGGCTTTGATACCTTTTATGGATTTTACAATGGTGCAGAGGATCATTACACGCATGTCCTTAGTCATTTTCTTGATTTCAGAGACAACAAAGAAATTGTTAGGGATATGAATGAGACATACTCTATTAATGCTTTTACAAAGGTGAATCATGTGTGTTTAAAAAGAATGCTAAAATGTTTGCAGTCAAAGATGCTTAAACATTCATAAGTTAGATGAAAAATTTTCAAGTCTGCTCAACAAAATCCATGCAATTATTTTGTCAAATTTGGATGGGTAGGTGTTTGTTATGTTGCATCAGTGAACTTGCAGTAATCACTGCATTTCTATTTATTTTTGAAATGTTTGGTTTGATTGTTTATTCATGTGTAATTTCTGATTTTCTCTTCACACCATAGTTGATTGATTTAAGATAAGTGCTACACTCGAGAAAGAAAGATCAGCATTTTTTTTATCTTTATTATTATTAATTGCCTTTGTTATTGATCGACACTTTTTCAGCGAGCTGAGCATATTGTCAAATCACATGATGCATCAAATGGTCCCCTTTTCCTTTACATGGCATTCCAAAATGTCCACTCTCCAGTCCAAGCTCCTAAGCAACATGTAAATAAGTACTCCTTTATAAACGACACAACAAGACGGACTTATGCTGGGATGGTGGATATCATGGATGAAGCAGTTGGTAATATAACAGGTGCTTTTAAAGAGGCAGGGTATGTGTGTATATCCTTGTTCTGTAAATAGAAAGCATTTCCAGCCATAATTCCCTTGACAAGCAAGGCCCTCAAAGGAGGGAACATTTGAATGATGGCAAGTATCTGCCAAAGGGGTATCACTTTCAAGCCCAGAGTTTATGGGATGTTACATGTTAAGGTACTGGAAAGGGTGAGGTAAGTTGTAGTGGATGTGTTTACAATGGTCCAGGGATAGGTTAAACTTGTTCTTGAAAGAAAAACAAACAAAACTTGCTTAAAGTTTTCAAGGCAAACCTTTGATTTGTCTTTGCTTGATGTTACAAGATGTTTTAGGGATGTGGTAACTACAGGGGATACCTTTAGGAGTATACAAATGGCAGACAGGCAGACTATCCACCTTATATTGGAGGGAAGTTAAATAAATATGATTTTAGTACTGGAAACCTACCTCAGGTGACGAGAAGATGAATATTTATTTACATCTTCATTCACTTAAGTATTATTTTTGGGGGGATAAATGATAAATTATGGGTTTGTTGTTAATAAAAAAGCTAATGAAGCAGATATCACAGAATGATGAAAGAAGAATGAAGAATGACAAATGATAATTATAAAGTTAATTCACATTTTGTTGGTATACTAGGTTTTGAATTTACTTAATTTCCTGCTCTTTGAAGGTTATGGGATAACACCTTAATGATCTTCAGTACTGACAATGGAGGGGTGCCAAAAAATGGTGGATATGACTACCCCCTGAGAGGACGTAAGGACACTCTGTGGGAAGGAGGAATCAGAGGGGTGGGGTTCGTTCACGGAAAAATGCTGTCTAGGAGTGGGGTGAAATCTACTGGGCTGATTCATGTGACTGACTGGTACCCAACATTGGTTAATCTTGCTGGTAAGGACAAGTGCAGAGCGTGCGTGGGTGTGCTTATTGGAACATCTTACTCTGTGCAATACAACTGTAGAAGTTTTATCTGCCCCTTGAACGAAATATTTCGCGCGATGTGCTTTGAAATGGTAGTTTTCTTTGAACTACAAGCCAGTCTGATTCACAGCCGTTCTTTACGATGTCACGTAGGGGAACTTGAGGGAGCTTTGTGTGACATCGAAAAGAACCGCTGAAATGAGAGTAACTGACAGTGTGCGTTTTATTTAACTACGCGAAGTATTGTATGTGAATTACCTAACGTGAATTACTCAACGTGAAGTGACTTTTCCGTATTTAGGTGGTCATCTTAATCACGAAGATCAGCCCCTCGACGGTTATGACGTTTGGAAAACCATTTCAAATGGCGAGGCCTCTCCACGTACAGAGATCCTTCACAATATAGACAGTCCCTCTTTCCCCGACAATGAACTCGGTTTTGCGTATCAAGGCATTGGTCTTCGTGTAGGAGACATGAAACTTCTGATGGGAGTTTCCAATATCTCGTACTTCATCCCTCCGGAAGAGAAGAATTTTTCTGAAGTGGACTCGCTGACCGACTTGCTACAGGATTTGAATGATGTGAGTGTGAGATATTGAGCATTTAACAAACTGAGCCTGCTACAGGTCCATTTTTGGTCAAAAATACATGTAATTATTTAACAGTTCAAATCGTACAGTTGAACAGCCAGTGTAACTTTATCAGCATTTTTTAAGGTTTCCTTGAGCTGAGTCATAAACCTCTGTATTTCATATGTAAAACTTATCTTCCAGTGCCTCTTAATGTGACTGTATTTTTTGAGTCTGAATGATTTGTTGAACTGAATGACTGATTTCCTACCTTATCTTAGCCCCCGGTTCCAACCATCAATGTTGCACTGTACAACATCACCGCTGACCCGTATGAGAAGAATGACCTCAGCAAAAAATGCCCAGATAAGCTGAAGGAACTTCAAGATCGATTGGAGTATTACATGAAGGGTTTAGTGCCGCCTGCTAACAAGCCAAGTGACCCAGAGGCAAGGAGAGTAGCGAGGAAGAAAGGGGCTTGGACTCCATGGATGTGAAAAGTCAAGCAAATGGAACGACAAACACTAATAATTATGTACACGATCCTTACTCTGAACACAATAATTTTCAGTGCTCGAAGCAGAAGCGAGGCTTGATTTACAAACAATCATTTGATAAAAGTAAATTTGCATAAAATTTGTACGTGAAAAAAATCCCTTTATTATTTCACTAAGGAATTTCATTAAGGTTCACTTTAGAGGTTGGTCCAATTTTCGTAGAGCATAGTCTATTGATCAGTGTACTTGTAATTCGGCCAATAGCACATAAAACACCAACTTGAATTGACAATTGAAAAGATGAGTTTTCTTTGACTAAGCTTCTTATGTCAAATAAAATATAGCAGTTTTCAAATTGCTTAAGAATCCAGCATTCAGCAAGAGAGACAAAACAAGACTGGAGGAAGGGAGGGGGGGGCAAGGAGAAAATAAACGACTAAACCGTTCATGTATGGTGCTGTTTTTTTGTGAATTTTCTTACTGATTGTTTATTGGTTAATTTAACCTCAGAAGAACTAGAGAACAGTTTTGATGTAAAATAAACTGTTTATTGGTCATGTTTACAGATCATTTTTCATTCAGTCATGGATTGGATTCGATGACTCGTCAACCCCAAGTTATATTTACAGATAAGCTACCTATTCTCACTTCCATCCTAATTATCTTGTCCCCAGGACAACGCAGTGCATACCGTGGGAACGACATAAACACCTCGTTACCGCGTTGGGTGAGTCTGCCTGGTGCTGTATTTACAATCATTTTATTTTAACCAATTTCAATCGAGTGTCGAAAGTAATTCGGGATCGCTTTGTTTCTGCATTACTTTGCTCTGATTGGTCAGGAAAACTTGCGCCATTCTCTTAACCAATCAGATGTTAGACGAAAAACAAATGGCGACTCGATCACTCTCGTTTTACCGCGCTTCCAGAGAGACTTAGAGTTTTAGTCAGCCCCTCGTGATTCATGCTCTATTTGTTCTGACTGGCTCTCACAATAACTTCAGTTTTGGTTTTTCGACAATCAATCAAAACGTGCTCGATTTCAAAGGATTGCATATTTACATAACTTACAACAAAATCACAATCTACGAGTCCAGCATTTTAACGTAACTAAGCACAAATGACAGAACTATAGAACTACAATCATGGATTTCAATAAATCCAAAGAGCTTGCAAAGTCAAAAATGTAAAAGTTGTTAATTCCACTTTTCTTTTCTCTTACAGACTGATTTCACAGATAATACCCTTCACATTATATTCATATTGAGACCGATTACTTAGTTTGACCTGCTCTTTTGGCTTATGTCGTCATTAACAGCATTCATGTTAACGAGGAAATAATCCCTCGTCCAAAAGGAGAGTGTTCACTAAAATTAATTCCATCAGGAATTTTACCGCCGTGATCCATCCCTCTTCAAAATGACGGTAGAAAATGGAAACCACGTTCATCTCGTGGTTGTGTGGTTTTTTTTTAACTCACCAGAAAAGCTCCAAAGTTGTCTTCTTGCCTCCTTGGATCTGATCCTCCACAATTGGGAAATAACTCTTTAGGGTCTTCTTGGACCTTTCCCTTAGCTTTGAACACCACTTGAACAGACAATATAGTGTTCCTGGATATCTTTAGTAGTCGAGATATGTGAACAGTCCCAAAATATTTACCGCTGGTGTCAATTGAGGGTATTGGTGTGAAAGACATCGGCTTAGTCTCTCCTGTTCCATTGACATTTACAACTTTAACCTCGGTTATGTTCGCACTTACTCTGAGATTCAAATAAACTGAGTACCAGCCCTCTAGTTCAAAAAAGAGTTGTTCCTTGTCAGGTGACTTGATTTTGTTGCCTATTAGAGGATCGTAGTTGACCCAACGCAATATAGTTTTTCGATTGCCTGAAAGAAGAAGGACATTTCGAATTGAACGACACCATGAAAATCCTGATAGAAAATTGTGTGTCTTTTCCTAAGAGACTGGCTGTTATTTATCGCCCAAGGGGAAGTCTGAGGATTTTATTTGTGTCATGATAACATTTACCTGATTCCCCTTAAGGCTCTGTAATATTCGTATGACCTTTCTCCTGATTGGTAGTTAATTGGCAGTCATTCTTTTAATTAAATATTTTCTATAGTCCCTCTTTTCACTCTGTTAGCGACGTGTAAAGGATTTCTTATGTCAAGGATTTCTTATGTTTAACTTCCGGTTCAAACAAAAACGCATGCTCTCTAGAAATTAAAACTCATATATTTACACATTCAGACAAGGCAACACGATTATACCCTTGTCTTGGAAAACGAGTCATCATTATATTAATAGGATAAAGAAAAGAAATAAAAAAGAAATATACGAATCTCAGTACAATCTTTCTTACATGAAGGCCTGAATATCAACTACATCTACATTACACATCTTGGATAACAGTACCTTGTTTCAACTTTTTTTTGATTTCTTCCTTGCCTAAGCCGACTTCAGACATATGTATAAATGCTGAAAAAAATTAGCGTTGGAAAAAGTTAGTGTCGTGCGTATTGGCTGATAACACAGCTAATGCATATTACTATCAATTGCGATTTTAAAGTATTTCTTCAGGCCTGCAAAGTTACTGCAACTTTCGGGAGGCGAGTCCCAAAACTAAACAGAGATTCTGTGTTCGAATCGGCTACCAAAGAGTTCTGTGCATTTCCTCTATATACTGGTATTTTTGTTAACTAAATACTTTATAGAGAGAGAGAGAGCAAGATTTAGTTTTTTCGGTCAAACTGATATCAAGGACTATTTTCCTAGCTGCTGAGTAAGAAAGTTCGCTTACGTACGTTGATGAAATCTGCCTAAAGATCATATCTTTTCTGTGCTAAGTGATGCGTTTAAACTCAAAATCGTCATGAGCTGAAGTGGTGTGCCTCTTTGTCATATTGCTTACTGAAATGTATGGCTAAATTAAAGCTTCCATCGTCTTAGAAAAAAAGAGATAACAACTTTTCTATGTACCTTCTGGTTGGCATTTCATAACCAAAGTGCAATTTAATCCTAAATTGAAAAAAAATATGAGTATGTATTAGGAATCTGTTCTATATGATTAACATGCGGTGCGTGTGTTCAAGTTAGATTTTAAATCATTTTAATTATCTTAAATAAGCACCTCATAATTACTGAGTACATGTGGAGCGCATCACACATTAGTGATAATGCTTCGCTGCGTCTCTAAAAATCCTAATAATACACGACCGACCAAACACATCTATTAAACACATTATATATTTATTTTACGTTGCTTCACTGAGATCACGAGTGACATCAAACAGTAGCTGGGAATCATTCGGCTCTGTGCTTTAAGAGTTGTCTGATTTAACCCCATTTGAGCAAACAAATTCAATTAAATTGGTAAGGAATGCATACCTTCAGCAGTTTTATGGTGTTTTTTCTTGCAGTGCTTCAACAAATGGCAAGGGTGATCTGTATGACAAGAATGATACAATTTCATCGTTACAGTAGGATTCAAACGTTTGAATTCTGGGAATTGCAACGTGAAATTATTGTGGTACGTAATAGATATGTATTAAACCTTCTACATTTTTCATGTGGTTTTTTTTACTCTAACTGACGATTAATATTTCTATGTTTATTTGGGTTGGGCAAAGAATAACACTGGATACAATCCATAGATACGTTAGTGTGATCAACATGTGCTTTTCCAAACAATGCAAATTGCACAGCGGACTGAGGTTCGATTACTCATGAGGACTCAGACTTTTTCGGTTAACTCACGCTCGTGACACGATAAACAAATACCTTCCTTTCACATCTTTCTCAACACGAAGATCGAGCTGAAAATACGCCAAACTGTCTCTATCTAACTCTTAGCAAATGGTTTTTCGTAGTTTTAGTGGATGGAACGAGAGGGACTTTCTTTGAATCTCCTTTGCGTTTACTTAGGAACACAGGATGTTTTCGAGTGTTTTTTTTTATTTTTTTTTAATTCATTTATCATTCATTGCTTTCAACAAATGTTCTGGTCGCGGCGAAAAACAGTCGTTTCCTTCCGTCTGAAGCAAAATCTTTCAACAAATGTTACCGCCAACTGAAATCGCGTTTCTAAAAGGAACATGTATGGATTCTAATGGCAGGAAGTTGATAATAGCTCGTGCAAAATCAAAGCTGGCTGCAAACCAACAACATTTAATATGATCCGATTCACATCAAATTTCAACATCGACTAGGCCTTCGGATCTTTAGTAATCTGTTTATAGGCCCAAAAATAAACCGACTTTCCGGTGTAATTCCCGGTGAGTACGGTATTCAAGAGGTCTTCTGAGCATGCTCAGCTATGACATTGGCGTTGTATTTCATTGATAGTGGTTTGTAGAGCGCTTTAACAGAAGTACTTAGACTCGACCGCAGTGTTAATCTTTTTTTGTCTCACGGGACACGAATCTTCAAATGAAACTGGTAGTCAAAGAAACCCAACTTTCGGCTGAATTAGAAAATGGTTAACTAAATTTGTTCCACTTAGTATGCGCTGGAAGTACATGAAAATATCACAGTGTTGAAGATCTTTACAAAAAAATCATTAACAATGTTTGTGCAAGGTTTTTTTTTTTCCTATTGTGACCTTATCCTTTCACCTAACACATGAAACCGAATAACTTGTTCGTAAACTCTGTTTCATTGAAAACACGGAAGTAGGACAAAACATGCAGCCATCTGCAATAGACTTTACATAATCACGTATTCTGTTGTAAAAAGATATTCACTGTTAATGATCACGTTTACGGAGCATGCGTGAAAAGTAAATAGCTGAAAAAAGCTAAAAGATTTTTAATATGACAACGCGGATTTATTTTTGACCAAAGGTCGGGGACAGAGAACTACTTATTGACTCGAACGTGAACTCGCCGCCGTGCACTAATCAACCACTCACCGACATTCGAAATTAACATTATGCAAAACTAATTATATCATTACTTACGATTAGGATTCCTTCGCTGGCGGGAGATCTGCAAGATGCAAAACAAAAGAGTTGAATAAATCGTAGTTCGAATTTTATCGATGTCAAGAGACTTGATGATAACTTTTAGGATATACTTCAAGTTTGGGCAGTCACTCTTTGTTAGTTTGCCTGAAGAAAGGAAAGAGGCCCATGTTCGGTGAATATAGAAATCTGGAAACTTCTACTGCAAGTTCTCTAACTTTACCTCTGTGTTAAAGAGCTCTTCTCTTAAATTCTCGTTTTCTCCCTCTGTTTTAGCTACTTTGGAAGACAATTCCTCCACCATTTTTCTCAGCTCCTTCAATTCTGAGGATAACGAATGCTCTTTGAAATCTCTTCTGATCAAGACGTACGAGTGTATACCAAGAGCAACAAGAATAGCACCGAGCAAAATGCTGATCCATCGAAGAGATTTGCTTTGTTGGAGAGAGTCCTGTCGTAGTTCAATCATCGCGTTCCGTATTTCCTTGAAAATGACCCGTGGAGTCTGCTGCTTTTGACTTATATATCTCAAGGAAGCTGAAGAATTTCATTGAATTACGATACGTGCATCGATTGCTCTGCCGCATACAACATTGGACACGTGACCAATGTTTATTACGCCATCATTTTTGAGTCATGGTTTCATGAGGGCTGCGGACTCCATTTTGACATCTATTTTCACCGAAAGGCTACGATTTCTGAGAAGCCTAGAGCTACCTAAGTATTATTATGCAAAGTGGCTTAATGTTTACCTTTGACTCAGCTACCAAAGATAACAATGGAAGATCAAAACAATGTGTATATCAAACGTAAGACATTGTCAGCTTGTAGCTGTCACAGGTCATTTCATCGCACAGTGGATTTTTCTAGTAAACGGATTGAATCACGAAATTAAGGAAGGAAAAGAAATGCATGATTTCACATCAGCCAATTACAACCTATTTAATTAGTACACAGAGCTCCTTATGCATATCATTCAATGTATTCGAGCTTTGCGTTGTCACGTTAGAGATCATTTCAAAGTCGTAGAAAGCAAGAAACCTTCAGTATATAGGACCGACGCGTTCAGATAAATCACACCAGCTTAATGGTTCCAAAGAAGAGTTCGTATCCGACCTTGTCGATTAGCGCTGTCAACCGTGGAAAATTTCAACCAGAATGGATTGCAGGATTGTGGACGGAGAACCAATTCCACACAAGATCAATTCAAAACTTCGCATGCAAACTACATTTCAAACCAGATAAGGATTTAGCTATGAGTTGAAGTTTTAAGCCAGAGTGAGATATTTGAATTTTCATGATACTAAACGGAAGCGGAAACCGTAGATGAGATAACGCTTGCGCACTCGCAAATTTTTCATTATTTCTTAGAAACCAATGATTGATGAAAGGTATCAACCTTGATAATGGGAATTGCGTTAAAAAGATATTTTTTAAAGCACATGAAATCGTTTTCTTTCTATCAACAGCCGATTTTTTAAAACAATACTTGGAAAGTGCATTCAAAGCTGACTGAAAGGACATTTTCTACAGCACAGCGTTGTTGTGTAATGTAAACTCTTTGTAAGATAAATCATTCAAGACCCTAGCTCAGCTCCTGTGAAACCTGTCAAATCTGTAGCATACAAATGGAATAAATTCTAGCTGTTGGAAAGAGAAAAACACAATAACAGAAGAAAAACTTTAAGCTTTGATTGCGTGAGCAACAGCCCGGAAATGGCCAAATTCTACAAATCGCTTAGTCGATCGCTTTTAGCTTGGAGGAACGTTTCATCGCATAGTACTCGACGGGTTCCGGATGTAGTTGGTTCCTTTTCACTTCGAATGTCCTAAAACGTAGGAAATTTAATAAGTTATATCATATCATGATGAAAGAAGTGCTTACCTTTGGTCCTGCTCATGAATGAATTACTATTATTCTGAGAAACTCAACCAAGCGGTGACATGCAACTGCCCTTATTTTTAGTTCTTTAAACTCAATTTTACCTTTAACCACAGTTTCCAAAGAACATTTTAACAACCTCAAAAGAAAAAAGAGACAACCATAACTTAAATTGTACAGATGCTAAATTTGCCTCCTTAAACACATCCTGAGAAAACGCTTAGCCCTTCAAAGGGTGTAGTGATAAAGAGATGAACGGAACGAGGAATAGAAAGTGAAAGTGGTTTCTCTATTCAAATAAACGTAACAATAAAATTGTACGAACCAATCAATGCGCGACGTTTAATTAATTCGAAAGATTTCAGTCCAGTTCAGCGGGTAAGACAGGATCACAATACAGCGTGAATGCTCTAAATAGTCCACCGTCAAACTCTTAATTCTCCTGACAGTTTGCCAGAGCTTTTGATATCACTTCTGGGATTTTGCTGCTTCGATTCAAAATTGGCAAATTCTTGAAGTTTCAATCTCATCAGGGGTTTGTAGTACACTGTGGAGAGAATTCAGAAGATGACGGCAGACTGACTCACACTTCCTGTATCTCTGATATTCAAAATTGGCAAATTCTTGAAGTTTCAATCTCCTCAGGGGTTTGTAGTACACTGTGAAGAGAAATCAGAAGATGACTGAAGACTGACTTACACTTCCTGTATCTCTGATATCGAACGTAACTGCATGAAATGTTTTTGCTTTTGCCTTTTTTTTAGTTATAGCCTGCATGAATTGACTCAACACTCATCCGTTGGTCTAAAAAGATTAATTTCTCATACTAGTCATTTGTGATCAAATCTGCCGGGGTGGAACAAAGAGCTCCCGTGTTAGGGTGAGCTTCGAGCCCCATGAAAGGTCGAAGCCTAGTTTCTTAAGCACAACTTTATAAAAATTTTAGGGGACCAATGTCATCGCCCAGGTGGAAATAACCTGAATTTGTGTCTCAGAATGTGTTAGCGAATTGAACTAAATGTCATTTCGATCTTATATGTGTGTTAAGCCATGCATGCAAACGTCTAGTTAATGTTAACAACTGAGTTGAAAACGTAAATTGGTCGCCGTAAAGAGTAAAAAAACCGACGTTTCGAGCGTTAGCCCTTCTTCAGAGCGATTAGAGGAATTGTGGGTTGTGTGTGTGTTTATATGAAGACGTTTATATAACGTCTAGTTAGTTCCAAATGTGGTCTAATGGACAACTCTATGCGATTGATTCCCACTTTTTTCTTTAGTCGGTGTCGGCCACGTCATTGGTTTCTTCCAAAGTGAAATGAAGAGATTTATTTTCTATCAATATCGAAATGAAAATTATATTCTGTCTCTTGAATAAGACCGGACGCCTAAAATACCTATTTCCGCACTTGAATTCGATCTTTCCTTCAAACCTTTCGTACCCTTTTTCTCCACGTCGATCTCAACGCATCGCTTTTTGGTTCAAACGTTCCTATTCTTTCAGCAAATTAATGATTTTCTTTGAACTGTGGATCTGAAAATCCCGCTGAAAGCCGGCAAGTTTAAAAAATTTTGCTTACAAATAATCTCCAACCCCTTGATCGACCCAGTACCCCTCGGATAAAATAATAATTGACCATCAACTGGTTGGGGAATCCCCCACCCAAGTTAGAGGAATGTACTTTGTCAGCACATATGTATTTCGTCTTCTCGTACACGAGGTAAAAAGGGCTAATTTACCTTAATTTCTGACAAAAGGACATGTATGCTGAAGTGTTTTCAAGGTAAGATATGTTTATGAATCTTAATGCGGTGTACATATAAGTGTTCTGGGCGGAAACTCTTATCAGTCACGAACAAACTTCGCTAGGTTCGACTGTCTCAAACGTCCGGTCCTCATTTAACGGTCTCTATTTCGTTTTAGGCTTTTACAGCAAACTCTCGGGCTGTCTTAAGATAGATAATTTATTTCGTCGAACCCTTACATATTTGCACGGTTGTTCGATTAGAAAAACATAATACTTCACGAATTGTTCTTTTTTTTTGCATTTATCGTCGATAAAACTCTTAACAGTTGCCTTCGTTTCGTTCGATTTGTTATTACAAATACGGTTATGATTATCATTGACCATCGAATTGTTTATAAAATTGTTGTCTTCCAAGACGTGAAAACCGTTTGCCATAGAAACACTGTCTAGTCTATTTAAACGCAAAATTTTAACGATCTCAGCACCATCTTTCCGCAAAAGATCACAAGAGACATTATTATGCTAACGTAAGCTTTAATTTCTGCGTGACAAACAACTCGATACTGCTTGCAAGTCTACAATCGATTGTAATCGCAGTAAAGTTATTTATGAACGTGCTGATTATTGTTTAAGAAGTTCAACTCCATGTTCAAAAGGGAATTGAATCATACTTTCCGTTCTCAACCTCAAACATGCAGATTGAAAATGAGTAAATTACCGAAATGCTGATTTTACGAAGATTTTAGGACGAAAGAAGGCGTTTAAATGAGAAATATAATCCTCCTTTGTTTGAGCTCAAGAGAGAGTAAAAATCGTCAAACATTACACAAACATCAAAGGAAGAAGAGTGAAAAAAGTAATGTGGAAGAGAGAAGGGACGAACATTCTCATCGCTCGAAAACGTGCGGAAATGACTTCTACTCTGACAGGGTATGAACCCCCTGCCTTCAAATTGCGATAGAGCTTTTTCTTAAGCAAAAATAAAATGGTTTATCCTTCTGTTGCATGCAAATATAAACACATAGTACCTCTCGCCCAGAGAGACAGAAAAATCAGAGAAAAAAAATGAGATGTATTTTCGTTAGAGCAATGAGAACTGAAAGCACACATGCTAAATTATGCAACACGACGCATTCCCCGGTTATTACGCAAGTTCTGCTTCTGTAATTTTTCTGGTCTTGAAGAACAACGGAGCCCGCAACATTCCTTGAATTTTTTTTACATGGACAACCGACGTATACGTATTCTTGTGGGTAACCTCACCCTTAAATTTTCTCACCTCAATTAATTTGCTTCTAATGATAGTGAAAAGAAAACGAAACACTAGGTAATACTCTGTTATGCCTAGCGTGACAAGTGAAGGCACACACTCTTGTAAAACTTGTGATGGTAGGCATTTACATGTGTTTATTTACAACAGAATTTTAATTAGTGTGCAATCATCCGAATGACGGTTATCAAAACCGACAGGTCTCCTCTACTCTATATTGACAAACCCCTCACCCCTCATTTAAAACCAATTTAAGTTTTTGCAAGATATACCAACACCAAAACTTACAACTGATTCTGCAAGATTTTCCCTCAAAAATATATAATTATATTGTATATAATTATATATGTGTACATAATTCCTTGCAATTTACTAGGCACCTTACGCACACTTCGATAATTTTAAAACATTATTAAGGTCCCGTGTTTCTTTTGGCAGACGTATAACTTATTCACTGTAAGGGTCACAAGCATTGTGCGTTACTGTAAATACAGACAACGAAGGTGACCTTAAAGTTGGATGTCCTCAAGAACAACAATACTAAAAACATTGACGCATACCCTTGATGTGACTCACACACAACATTCCTCAAGCCCTCCCCGTCGCCTTTCCACCTCCTCACGAGGGGTGGGAAGGGGAGATGCTATTAATGTTTGCATCACGCAACTGAACGATTACAATTGCACTGTATACGTCCGCCAAAATAAATACGGTCATGTTTTAAAGACATAAAACTATTGTACTAATTTCTTATTTTTGTACATTGTGATAACTGCAGAACGTAACATGCGAGAAGTAACCTGAAAATCGAAATTCAGTTGTCAATGACCACCGAAACTTTTTTTTTTCTTAAGTTTGGGAACTTGAAGGAACTATTGCACTTTTTTTGGAATCTTGAAACTTTGGAGTACGTTTTCAAGAATCTCATTAGAATTTTTTTAAATCTACACCATTCTAACTGGCTTATTCTTTCCATTTTTTTCCAACTTCCCGAAGTTATGTTGTCGTCTCCTTCACTTGGTAGGAAATTTTGCACGTCACAAAGAGCAAATAAAAATGCAAAATAATCGTCGAATGCAAATAGCAGGTGTCCGCCCGCGAGAAGTATTCGCAAACGCAGATTTGTTTATATTTGAGTTGAACAGTGCACTATGAAAATAACTTTTCCCTTTCCTAACACTTTTGACTTTCTGTATGTGACGTTATTCAAGTAATAGAAACTCTGCTGATAAACCTGTTACTAGATAAAGTTTAAAACATTTAAGTCTACAAAATAAACGTATAACTTGTATTTCAAGGTCATTGCGCATTTCGATCGAGTGTCGCTAAAACCAAACCAAAATAATGACAACAGCCAATCAAAGCAAAGTAATACTAGAGGAAATGAAAATCTGATGTAAAAACAAGCTTAGGGACATGTCTTTATTTATCCCCTGAGGGCTGGGGGGTTCGGAAGATTTTGGTTGTTGTACGATAGATTTACCTGATCCTCCCTTAGCTCTGTAATGTTTTTCACACCTATCTCCTCTCCCTGAAAAGCATGAGATCCCCAAAATCTTCCAACCCCCCCCTCCCCCACCTTAATTGCTTGAGGCGAGCTGGAGTAAAAGGTGAATGCCAAGTCAACGATTTATTTTTGTTTTGCATCTCATTGGTCGAGAGAGTGGGACAAGATTTTCAAATCAATCACGGTGCGAAGTAAAAAAAAAACATTTCATTTCCGCATTACTTAACTTTCAACACTCGATTGAAAACCGCTCTATGGGAAATCCTGAGTTGTGTTAGTCGTTCGAACAAAACTGGTCGTGTTTAACACGGGGCTGATAAGGAAAGCACCAAAATAACTGGTTTCCTTGTGCATGAAGTAGGACTTTGTGAACGGGATGCGCACAGATATTTTGTCACCGCTTCTGAGCATGAACACTGCGCCGTGATAATTCGTGTTGTACTTTCTCTCCTCGCTGACGACACTGCTCAGACTGCGCATGACCGGTTCCTCGTTGATGTATGTGTAATGGCCCATAAGGAGAGTGTCCCCTGCATAATAGAAGAGTTGGCTGTACACGAAGTAGTAGCCAGTTGTGCCAATCACAAGGAAGCTGTTGCTGACGAATTTGATACTACCGGTTATGTGGCCTAATTTCCAGTTCGTGATGCGGTGGACTGAGGAGAGCAGAGAGAAGAGGGTGTTAATTTCAAAATTGGTACAATGGGCGTTGTTAGGGGTACGGAGGAGATAGGAGGTTAAACGCTATCGCTGGAACCTTCCTTCCCCCCCCCCTTCCTCCTCTCTCACCCCATGTGCGTCTAGGAAAGAATTTGAATTTGTAAAAGTTAAAAGACAAACATGAATAATCATCATAATTTCACCATAACTCAGGGAAATTGATGATTTCAACGAGTACCTATTCCTAATGTCATCTCTCTAATAACATCGCCTTTGAAGGATCGATGATAAGGATTTTCCTTTGCGCGCTAAAAACGAAGGTTGTTCACAGTTTGCAATGATCAGATCGCCTGACGTTGTAAGTCAGCTCGACTTTGCCTTAAAAATAATTACGCGTAACTTCGAGGCTATTATATAGTGCACGTTCACAAAAACCCAGAAAATAGAAAAGAGATTAACACTAACATTTTGTTGTACCTCTTGGGGGATTTATATGCTCACCATAACCAACGATGTGAGCCGAGTCTGTGGACTGAATTGAGATACAAACAAAAGTTTGAGAAAATGAATTCAAGCAGGATAATCTTAGTGGTATCATCAAGACTTAAAATTTAAAAATTAAGAAAAAAAACCCGCAGAGAGTTAGTGTTTAAGTATTTAGTATAAAACCAATGGGCGAAAAAAGAGGCATATCATCATCAATATATTGTAAGAAACACTCACCCGAAACATTGAGCCTGGTTGTCCTGTTTTAAACGTAAAGGCAAAGAAATTGTCAATAAAAACTATTTGATTACACTTATGACTGGTGTGCAAACACTCAGTGCAGTAATATAAGAAAAGATAAACAGGAAAAGTTAAAAAACTTGGCCTTTATGTCGCTCGTTTTCTCAAATTTTGCTCCGGTTTTTTCGTTTTAGTCCACAAAATGTGTCATGTGTGTCATTCCTATTAAGATTGAATTACGCACTTGACGAGACAGCCGCTTTTTTATATGAAATGGTAAGTGGAACTGATGAATGGTGCATTTCCAAGAAAAAATTTTAATCAGAGCTATCATATATTTTGTGTAGGTGCCCAGTAGAGACTTCTGCACTACCTGGAGGCCCAGGCTCTCCTCGCTCACCTGAAAGAGAAGCAATAGAGACCTAGGTAAGAGGTTATTCGTCCATTGTCTTTTAATGTCGAAGAGAAAATATCTTATCTTGAGGGGATTGATCAAGACTAGTATTTTAAAGTAAGGAACGGTGGTATGAGACCATCTGAAGCATTAGACAAGATTCCTAGGGGCAGTCTTGATGAGCTGCCACTACTAATTAAAGTAAACACAACGCTCGTACCCATTTTCCCTTTCTGTCCATCCCTTCCCGGCGGTCCAGTGTTGCCGAGTGCTCCCGTGTCACCTTTAGGTCCTGAGGAAAAAAAAAAAAAAAACGAAACGAATAAGAAAAGTGCTTTCGGTTTGGTAACCGCGCCTGTATGATATGTATACACGTTCTACTCAAGTTGTTGATTAAAGGGATCCGCTAACGATAATGATAATGATGCTGGTGATGATGACGATCACTGATGGTGTTGATCTTTCATGACCCTGATAACCATTCGTAAGATTGTAGGTTACTCAACAAATTATATTTTTCCTGCCACTATCATAACTGGATGCAGTATTTAAAAGAGATACAAATACTTTTTCTTTCTAATTTTGAAAAACAAGTTTTTTTTACCTGCCCTTCCCTTTCGTCCGGTCGATCCTGCACAGAAAAAAAGCAGATTGTTATTTACACACATTAGAGCCTCTGTTGAATTGAATATAACAAGTTTCTACACAGGATCTTGACCTAGAGGCTACTCCTAATTACATCCTAGTCATGCGCTTAAACAGCAAGTGAATCACAAAGGCGCACACATAGGGAAAGATACCGTGAGGATAAATGTCCTCTTTGCGTATGTCCGCGCGTGTCTATTTGCAAACATTAAAAAGACTCGCGCTCAAATATACGAATAATTTAAGCACTTGCTTTGCTGGCTCTGACAACAGTCTTAAGTTTCATATACCCCATTCACACTAGTAAGACATGTTTAGTTAAATCCGGATTAATTGAATGAAAATAAGATACAGAGAGCTGAAAAACTGAATTTTCCATCGGCTTCAAGTAGTCACTAACTTGTACTTTAATGTGCTAAATTTGAAGTCGACAAACATCGGTTTAAGCTGCTTCTATGAAGAAAACAAATTTAAATCGTGTTTAACAAAACAGCTTTAAAACACGTTTAAGCTTTTGTGTGAATGGAAAAATAAATATGAAATTCGTACGATTAAGGGTGACTTTTCAAAATTATACCATCAACTTCCTCCTTCATTTAACATCACCTTTCTGTCCTTTTGGTCCCCGCTCTCCTTTACGACCTAAAATAGAAAAACTTTTTTTTCACCGAAAGACTTGTGTAACGTGAATATACGTGTCTGGTCACTCCGTATTTTTTGTTTCGCGTGACAAGTTATCCTTTACAGTACGTGACGTTTAAGTCATTACGTGAAGTACCAAAACATGCATAAACTGACATTAAAATTCGTTTAAGACTCATTTTATAGGACCTTACTTTCTTTGGTACATGAAGCTTAAACCATAGTCTTTATCAAAAAGAGCTGCTTTCAAAACAGAATTTCAATTTTGCAAGGCAAATTGATATTGCTTCTAGACATTGTTTAGAATTGAGACTCCAAGGTCAAGAACGTGCCAGACCACATCTAACCTGTATTGTCTTACAGGAACAATATCCTTGGTAAGCTAATAAAGCTTTGTTTCGATATATATAGTTTCAAAATAAACCACTATCCAAAGTGACCCAATACCTGACCTCAAGTTATGTAACTGTATATCATAACAACAAAATTTGAATCATCCAGACAAAGTTATAAAAAGCAAATTAGGTCGCAAGTTAAAACTTTTTTTTCCTTTCTTTTAGAATTAATTGGAAAACGAACAGCTTTCTTATTTTAGGCCTGTCGCAGCATTGAATTTCACACCTCGTTCAAAAAGCGATTTTTGATGTAAGAGAGGACTTCCGAGAAATAAGCTTTTCATGGACTTCAGCCAACAGCTCGAGTAAAGGCAAAATAAGCATTATGCGAACAATTGAAGAAGTGCCTCATTTTACAAATCTCTTCTTGTGGGCTGTGTATTTAGACGGAAAAAGTGAAACGCTAGAGTAAGGAATAAACTGCTAGGAATGCAATTGAACTGCAGCCGAAGGTCGTTGGGGGGGAGAGAAAGGAGGGGGAAGAGGGGTTGGAAAGGGGAGAATTCTGGGAATTGTCTGTTCCCAGGGAAAAGCATAATTTGTGTGTGCCTCTAGGATGCCTCATTGCCGAGAAAAAGTGTTTTAAGCAAAAAATATGTATGGCCAATTTTTTATCATTTTATCACGAACCCCGGGCTTTTTGGACCGCTTATTTGGCCGCTTGTCTTCTCATTCAGAATGAACATTGCTGCTTTCCCTTGCGCCCCAGACTCTTTACAAAAGGGGAAGGGTATTGGGCAGGGAAAGGGGGGAAAGGGGATTTTATAAACTCGATGCACTAGCCCTCTATCTAAGGCTGCTAAATAACACCCCAAGCCGATATTGACTTGCGCCTAGTCCCATTCTTTTTGTTATATTTTGTAGTTTTGCATAAACTGGATGAAAATCTCAGTGATATATCTACCTCGCCTGCAGCGGCATGAATCATTTTTTCGTGAACCAGTGTCCCTCCTCTGTCTCATCAGTCGTATTTCGCTTTCCTAAACAATGTACAATGCGGAAATGACGTTTAGTTTTCCACAAATAAATATCTAGCTTGGTTTTCTTGTAGATACCTATGTGGACGACCTCTGAGTTAGTGTAGAAACGATGTCAATTGACGTTAAGGTCGTGTATAAACCCGATAAAGAATGAGTAATTGTGCTTTGCGTTCCTAAGTAGCTGCCAAGCTTTGACAATTGTGTGTATAATTGAGCGACCGGTTTCTAAGACCTCGAGGTCGTTCAAAATGAAAATTGTCAATCAAGTAAACGTAAAAACGTCAAACCTTCCATTTCATTAAACTCTGGTAAGCCTCTTGCGTTTCGCCGCTCGAGAAATCGTTTTCCACAGTTCTGCGTTGAATATGCGCTGTGACGTTTTCTAAGTACTCGATTGTCTGCTGTTGTTGCTCAAAGCGTGATTTCAGCACTACAATCTCACCAATACAATACAGTAACGCTGGGAATAGGCCAACTAGTGCCGTTACAAGGACAGCAAACGTCCAAAAAGGCAAAACAATGACCCGCGTTTGGGATTTCTGCATGTTTGTCGTCTGTGAGGTATCAGTGATTTCCTAGAAACACCAACTGGGACGTCAACATTGATTGAAGAATTTTTCTAGCAAAGTCCACCTTGTCACGTGACAGTGATTCAATCAATGGCCCATTGTTCTCAAATTCAACAGCTGATTCGTTTAATTTTATCATTCATGTTCAATGCGCTCACTGGACAGGCTGCCAGTTCGTTATAACAAGGGTCGGGATAGTTAAGTTTAGCTTGGTTTCGAGAGTTTACAAGCTTCCGAGAAATCACGGCTAACTGTGTCACACAATAAGATAACGGTAACGCTTTTGGTAACGGTAGCATACGCTAGCTAAAACTAAACCCAAAATAACCCGAACGGCTAATCGGGACAGGGTAAAATGCCTCACGGAACCAATGACTGCTCAAAGTTGAAACAGGAATACTGTTCGGAGTGCGAAAAAGCAAGAGTGCCAAGTCAATATTGGAATTAGTTTTGTTTCTGATTGGTTGATAAGGTGGCGCGAATTTTCTTGACCTATCAAATAGGGAAATAAACTAAACCCTGCAAGATTAGCGACCACTATCGATTAACAATTGAGAACTTCTCTTAAGAAAGAAGTTAAATATTTCTTATTAGAGTGGGACAAATAGAAAACAAGCTGCGTGAGGATTTCGGGGCGTATGCATACCATATTATCTGCGCTGCAAAGATAATTCAAAGTTCAGGATAAGTGAAGAGGCGTCAAGAAGCGAATGCGAAATGATAATAAAAACAAGAAAACTGTCTGAAGAGCCGAAAAACAGGAGGGCAAAGTCACGATTGGATTTAGTTTTGCATCTGATTTGGGCAAACTGTCTCGACCAGTCAAAGAGGGAAATCAACTAAAATTTATGCGATCACGTATTACTCTCAATATACAATTGACAAAAAAAACTTTCCCACTAGAGTAGTACAAAGAGAAACTATATATATTCATAAATTTATCTGCGCTACAGAGGTTAATGTACTGGCGAGCAATCACCTTTAAGGTTCATATTTCTAATTCAAAGTCTTGTATACTGAAAGGATAAGTTCAGGTAAAGTGCATAGTGTTGCACTTTTTTCCTTGGGAGTGAGCCGATTACTTATCTAAAGCACCAACGCAACTGGAACAAAAACTAGTTTTCAAGCAAAGGTGTAGCGTTTTAATATGTTTTAAAAATGAATCGAAGACCAAGGGGAAATGATGAAGGTCGATGAAAACAAGACAAGCTCAACCAAGAGACGCATTTGATTAGTTTCATTCTGTTTTTATTCTTGATGCCAGTCTTTCTACATGTCTTCGGTTTATGAGTTAACGGTTTGGTTTCATATCCATATTATCGATAGAAATTTTCATTTCAAAATTACTCCATTTACTGCGCATGTGTGTTCTCTGTTTCTATCCATGATCTTATAGAATAGTGATAAAACTTTCCACAGAATTAGGCCTCACCTGGCTGGTGTTCAGTGGAAGACCTTTTTTATCAAAACCCAAAATCCGCCTCTTACCACTAAGGTATGACTTTAAATAAAAGATCTCACTCCCACCTACTCTGGATACTTTTCGAAACAGAATTTCAGGATAAAGACGTTTCACTTGTTTAAAGGTGATAAGACTTGACAGAGATGTCGACAGAGTCTAGTAGAGAAAAAACACTGAATTAGTTCTTAAACCAGATAGGGTTATATTATTGTTAGAAAGTCTCTAGGAAGCGTTCAACTTCACACATTGTATTCAGTTAGTAATTTCCAGCTTCCTTTAATAAATTTAAGCCGGTTATGTGTCAGCATTATTTCCTTCTATTTCCGAATGTGTCCAAAAGTAAGAAAAGCTAAATCATTTCGGTAAATGAATTTAAGCCGGTTATGTATCACAGTTATCTCCTGCCATTTCCAAGTGTTTCCAAAACTGAGGAAAATTAAATCATTTCGGTAGCAATGAAAGTAATTGAAGCTTTTAAACCAAGCGGATTTGATGCTTGGATATTCATGGACCTCGCACAATTCTCACCGGAGGATGGACTATCAGAAAAGTGACTGGGAGGGGAGGGGGGGAAGGAGGGAGGGATGGAAGGGGGGGGGAGGATGGGGCAATGAGGGCTCCAAGAGATGCATGAATGTTCTGACTATTTTTGATTAGTAAATAAATTAAACTTTCCTGACCCACACCCATTAACGTTCCATCCCCGTGAGTGGTGATACCTTTACAAAGACGGTGTCATCTATTTTGTTTACGGTCACTGCGGTTCCACCGCTGCTACTCTCCAAAATAATGATTTGAACTGCTTTTTGACCAATCATGTCCATAATATGATGAACCTTTAACTGAGCTGTCAAAAATAACACAAATTGATATCAATGGAAAGGCAGAAAATGATCGATTTGGATTCGCTTTGTTTTGCTTTATTCTGTTTTTTTCATTTTCTAAGCATGACTAGTCGAAAGCGTTCCATGACATTACCCGCACTTTTACAAAATAAGCGCCTTCCATGTTATTCTTAGTAACGGCCATAGTTGGATTTGCCTCCTATCCGAAGACTGCTGCATTTGATTAACACTGAACTTTTGTTTCTTGGCCGTTTAACTCGACCTTGTTTGCAAGAAAGCTGTGAACATGTTCCAAAACTTGAATATCTACTTACTTTTTGGATCTGTCCTTGTGGCATATGCAACAACAGATTTTCCGTCAATTTTCAGGAAGTGACCTGGGACCTGACCAACTTCATTCTCGGAATACATTTGGACAGTCTCGCGGGCCCACTCGTCGTTCATCGGCTAAGCGATTTCCTCGATGCTTTCCTAAAACGTTCATTTTAACCATTATCAATAATAGTCCATCTTACAATTGTGTGCTTGGTTGCCAAGCCTTTGAACAGGAGTGAGGCTAAGGGTGACCTTGTTATGATACAAACCTTGTTGCTTTTAAAATGTAAATTACTTTGTCATCATGCTAACTAAATATTGGTCTCTATCACAACAAGGTCACTTTCAGCCTCATTCCAAATCAAAGGCTTGGCGACTAAGTGCACAACTGCAAAATGGCCTATTCTTTATTTAGCGAATCTATCAGATATTTTTCCGAAATATATCTCTTCTTGATCACAGATATGACCTCATTAACATATAAAAAAGTTGCAATTTGAAAACATTATTGAATAAACTATGCGCCATCTCGGACAAAGCAATGATTAAAAAGATTTATAAAGACAATAACAGGGATATCTTATATAATCACACAACAGTGGACACTGTAGTCGACAGATGACTGAAGACTTATTTCATGTGTTTCGTTTAAGCCAAGTAAGCATTTAGTTTCCGTTTGGAAATCAAGAATAAAACGCTCTTAGTTAAGGAGGAACTCACAGCGCGCGCTGTTTGCTAACCTATCCAGCGTAGAAAATATGGTCGTGACATCGCTGCAACTCTTTAGCATGCGCCATTAGCTGCGTTGTGAGTAGTTTATTGCAATGCATACAAAAGTGTGAAGAAATCTCGGTGGTCGAACGTCTGCGCATGTGCGAATGGGGATGTGGCTAATTAAGGGCATTGTGTTTCGGGCTGTCAGGAACAAGTTGTGTTACAAGAGCCATAAAAAACACACAAGCCATTTAGTTACAGTGGTTTAGAACCGTGTAATGTTTTCCGTAAAGCTCAAAACAAAATAATGATTCAGCAGGATACACGTAATTTATTAGGCTTTACGTTCTAAAGGACCTAGAGCTCTCGTTTTCTCTACCTTTGTTTCCTTCTTTGGACGTTTTATTTTCTCGGCTCATTTTGCGTGACAAGGGTTGTGTATTACTGTTTTATTTGAAATTTTGCGCGAGAAATCGGCATGCGGCAGTTGATTGCCTTGCGCATGCCCGACGTTTGACAGCCATGTCGCGCCATGTTTGGAAATGTTCAAATGAGTAGTAGTTCATTGGGAGATAACACTTAGCCGGCCCAGATGAAAAGGAAATAAAGTAAAGAACTCTCGAGTCTCTCTAAACTACTGTATGATTTTAACTCGAGATTGCATCGGCTCGGTAAACTTTCGAGTACTTTGAGTTTACCGTTCTTCGTTTCTCAAGCCGAGGTGAACTGATGCTTGAAAAATAATGCAAACTTGCCGACCTCAAGGAAGGCTTTGCGCCCTATGGACTATTCTACGGCCGATAAACGTTGTTTTCAAGTGTTGATGTGTCTAAAATCTTTATTTTAAGGGAAGAGTTTGTGCTTAATTCAATAACTTTTAGAATTTTTGAGACAATAATCAAGAAAGTTTCACACTCACCTTTGCTGATCCGTCGTGTACATCATGGTGTCCTGTGTGAAGAACATGTACAGAAGTAAAATCATAAGTGATGTTTTGCGTAAGTTGTCTTCATGTTTACACCCTTGAACCGAAACATCAGTCCACAAAGTACTAAAAGCATAAGCGCTGTGTAATTTTTAGAGGTAGTTGTTGACAACTATGAGAGGAAGTGAAAAAACCGTGGCGAAACATGACAGGACGTTTACTCACTACAATTAATAGATATTAGCCATACCTTTTGCCACGGAGGGATTCAACGACAACTCCAGTAACAGGAAAGTCCAACCAGCCATGAAAAGAAACGATAAGCTTTTTCCAGTCATTTCTTAGTTCTGAAACACATGGAAGAATACGTAAAACTATCGAGTCATTCAGTTTAAATCGTAGTAGACAACGTATTCAACTCACAATCCGGCAGAGTTCCTAAGCTTGAGGGTATCCTTTGGCCTCAGTTTATTCTCAGATAGTCCCGAGAGTAGGTCCTTTACTAAGTCGGGCTGATAACGAGCTATATTTCTTTCTGTCAGGCAGGATTTTTAACCATGTCGTGTGAGGTTATGTCATATCATTTCATGTCAATTGATGTCAAATCTTGTTAAGTCATGTCAATTTATGTTTAGTGACGTCACCTCAGTAGTCAATTTGATGGAACGCCTGCCAATTTTATAATGGGCTTATTCTCATACAAGTAAGTCTTATTTCATCTGATCAGCGGAAAGTGTGACACAAGGCATTAACATTTTGACACTTATTTTGACGAAATGCCGTGAAAAATGCGAAAAAGCCACCAAAGAAAAGGAGCAACCAGTGTGGCGTTATGTGAACATGTGTAAAATATTCCTTCCGTTTTTCGGTCGTTTGCTTGAGTAAGTAAGGTTTTTTAGTACAGATAAGAATCGGAAAGTTATATATGTTGCATGCGAGAAATATTTCTGGAAAGAAATAAACGTGTTTGTAAAGAGCGGTATATCCTTCTCAAGGGAATTGTACTGAGATCTAACAATGGAATTACACCTCGAGGTGACTTACTTCTAAGCCACATTATTAAGAACTGTTCCCGTGTTAAATTACTCTGAAAGCAGATGTCAGACCATGCAAAAGCTTTCTTAATCATAAAAAGCTTTGAAGCGAAACCGATCGCGTGATAACCATAAAGGAGGAGAATCCAAATAACTAGACAAGTCATTTAATTTCTGCCTTCATTGCCAGATAGCAGAATATGCTCGGGAAAGAATAAACTACTTTCTTTGTTTCGCCGCATTTCTCCAAAATTTGGATCATCCATCTGTAGCTTCAACTTGACTCGATACAAAAAACAAGACATATTCTGCCCTCAATAGCAGGTTATTTATTTCCATTTGACAGTTTACACATGGTAGCATTTTGTGGTCCCCACTCAACTAAAAAAGAAAAGCTACCGCGAAACAAGATAATATCCAAATTGCCTACATTTCCAGCTTCCTAAGTTTGTTTATCGTGTGGAAATGAAAAGAATAGAGAAGGTCCCAGCATTAACAGAAGCCCAAATGTCCACTAATTTGAACGGTTACATTATTAAAATAGCCGTGAATGGCCACTTAGAAGATTCAGTAAATAATTGTTATCCTGCTTTGAATACTATCGAAAACTAACACGATCTGATATTAAGTTGTGGAAAGATGGTGACTGGCATGATTAGAAAAGCTACGAAATTTGGACCGGTAACAGCAGCATTCGATTCCAAGTTAGAGTTCTTTTCTAGTTGTAAACCAAAACCAGAATAATCTAAACAAATCAGGATAAGTGTAAAGGCGTCATGGAGCGAACGCGAAATGATAATAAAAACAAGAAAACTGTCTGAAGATCGGAAAAAAACAGGAGGACAAAGTCCCGATTGGATTTAGTTTTGCATCTGATTTGAGCAAATTGTCTCGACCAATCAAAGAGGGAAGTCAACCAAAATTTATGCGATCACGCATTACTCTCAATATATTATTAAAAATAAAACGCTTCCCATTAGAGAAAGACAAAGAGAAAACTTTATATATTCACATATTTATCTGCGCTGCAGAGGTTAATTTACTGGCGAGCAATCACCTTTAAGGTTCATATTTCTAATTCAAAGTCCTATATACCGAGAGGATCATTTCAGGTAAAGTGCATAGTGTTGCGTTTTATTCCTCAGGAGTGAGCTGATTACTTATCTGAAGCACTAACGCAACTGGAACAAAAACTAGTTTTCTAGCAAAGGGGAAATGATGGAGGTCGATGAAAACAAGATATACTGAACCAAGAGACGCATTTGATTAGTTCCATTCTGTTTTTATTCTTGATCCCAGTCTTTCTACATGTCTTCGGTTTATGAGTTTACGGTTTGGTTTCATATGCATATTATCGATAACAATTTTTATTGCAAATTACCTTATTTACTGCGCACGTGTGTTCTCTATTTCTATCCATGATATTATGGAGAAGCGATAAGACTTTCCAAAGAATCAGGCGTCACCTGGCCGGTGTTCATTGCAAGACCATTTTCATCAAATCCCAAAACCCGCCTCTTACCACTAAGGTATGACTCAAAATAAAAGTAGTAACTCCCAACTTCTCTGGGTACTTTTTTTAACAGAATTTCAGGGTAAAGACGTTTCACTTTATCCAAGGTGGTCAGACTGCGCAAAGGTGTCGACAGAGTCTATTGGAGAAAAAACACTGGATTAATTCTTAAACCAGATAGGGTTGTATTATTGCTAGAAAATCTCTAGGAAGCATTCAACTTCACGCATTGTATTCAGTTAGTAATTTCTAGCATCCGTAAATGAATTTAGGCCGGTTATGTATCAGCGTTATCTCCTGCCATTTCCAAATGTTTCCAAAACTGAGGGGAAAAAAAATCATTTCGATAGCTATGAAAAGGAATTAAAGGTTTTAAACCAAGCTTATTTGGTGCTTGGATATTCATGGACCTCGCACAATTCTCACCAGAGGATGGACTATCAGAAAAGTGATTGGGAGGGGAGGGGGGGAAGGAGGGAGGTATGGAAGGGGGGGAAGGATGGGGCAATGAGGGCTCCAAGAGATTCATGGATGTTTTCGGTTTTTTTTGTTTGTTTGGATGGTTTTTTTCTTTGTGCAACTTGATTGAAATCTTTTCTTGTGTTTGGTTTTTGTTGTTTTTCTTAATCCATATTTTGACTTGTTTTCTTTAGTAAATAACTTAAATTTTCCCCCCCCCCCCCCCCCCCCCCCCCCCTTAACGTTCCATCCCCGTGGGCGGTGATACCTTTACAAAGACGGTGTCATCTGTTTTGTTTACGGCCACTACGGTTCCACCACTGCTACTCTCCAAAATAACAATTTGGTCGAATTTTTTACCGGTCATTTCCAGAATAGTATGGACCATTAGGTGAGCTGTCAAAAATAATACAAATTGATATCAATGGTAAGGCAGAAAATGATCGATTTGGATTTGCTTCGTTTTATTTTATTCTATTTTCTTTTCTCGTTTTTTAAGCAAGACTAGTCGAAAGTACTTCATGACATCACTCGCACTTTTACAAAATCAGCGCCTTCTATGTTATTTTTAGTAACGGCCATGGTTGGATTTGCCTCCTATCCGAAGACTACTGTATTTGATTAACATTGAACTTTTGTTTCTTGGCCGTTTAACTCGATCTTTTTAACAATAAAGCTGTGAACATGTTCCAAAACTTGAATATCTACTTACTTTTTCGATCTGTATCTTTGGCATATGCAACAACAGATTTTCCTTCAATTTTCAGGTAGTGACCCGTGATAGGACCTTGATCGTTTAGAGAATACATTTGGGAACTAAGGCGGTTCCACTCGTCGTTCATCGGCTTAGTGATTTCCTCAATGCTTTCCTAAAACGTTCATTATAACCATTATCAATAATCCTATATTTAGCGAATCCATCTGATATTTTTCCGAAATATATCTCTATGGATCACAAATATGACGTCACAAACATATAAATAAGTTGAAATTTGAAAACATTACTGGATAAAGTATGCACCCTCTTGTACAAGGCAATGATTAAAAATATTTATATAGACAATAATAGGGATATCTATATCCCATCACACAACAGTGGACACTGAATTCGACAGATGACTGAAGACTTATTTCATCTGTCTCGTTTGAGTCAAGTGTGCATTTAGTTACTGTTCGGGAATGAAGAATAAAACGCTCTTAGCTAAGGAGGGACTCACAGCGCGCGCTGTTTGTTAACCTGTGCAGCTTAGACGGTCGTTACATCACTGCAACTCTTTAGCATGCGCCATTAGCTGTGTTGTGAGTAGTTGATTACAAAGCATAACAAAGTGTGAAGAAATCCCTGTGGTCGAACGTCTGCGCATGTGCGAGTGCTAATGTGGCTAATTATGGGCGGCGTGTTTCGGACTGTAAGAAACAAGTTCTCTTACAAGAGCCATAAAAAAAAACACAAGCCATTTAGTTACAGTGGTTTAGAACCGTGTAATGTTTTCCGTAAAGCTCAAAACAAAATAATGAATCAGCAGGATACACGTAATTTATTAGGCTTTACGTTCTAAAGAACCTTGAGCTCTCGTTTTCTCTACCTTTGTTTCCTTCTTTGGACGTTTTATTTTCTCGGCTCATTTTGCGTGACAAGTGTTGTGTATTACTGTTTCATTAGAAATTTTGCGCGGGAAATTGGCGTGCGGCAGGCCAAATTGATTGCCTTGCGCATGCCCGACGTTTGACAGCCATGTCACGCCATGTTTGGAAATGTTCAAATGAGTAGTAGTTCATTGGGAGATAACACTTAGCTGGCCCAAATGAAAAGGAAATAAAGTAGAGAACTCTCTAGTCTCTCGACCTTTGGACTATTCTACAGCCGATAAACGTTTTTTTCAAGTGTTGATGTGTCTAAAATTTATATTTTAAAAGAAGATTTGTGCTTAATTCAATAGCTTTAAGAATTTTCGAGATAATAATGAAGAACGTTTCACACTCACCTTTGCTGATCCGTCGTGTACATCATGGTGTCCTGTGTGAAGAACATGTACAGAAGTAAAATCATAAGTGATGTTTTGCGCAAGTTCTCTTCATGTTTACACCCTTGAACCGAAACGTTGGTCGCAAAGTACTAAAAACATAAGCGCTGTGTAATTTTTAGAGGTAGTTGTTGACAACTATGAGAGGAAGTGAAAAAACCGTGGCGAAACATGACAGGACGTTTACTCACTACAATTAATAGATATTAGCCATACCTTTTGCCACTGAGGGATTCAACGACAACTCCAGTAAGAGGAAAGTCCAACCAGCCATGAAAAGAAACGATAAGCTTTTTCCAGTCATTTCTTTGTTCTGAAACACATGGAAGAATACGTAAAACTATCGAGTCATTCAGTTTAAATCGTAGTAGAGAACGTATTCAACTCACATTACGGCAGAGTTCCTGAGCTTGAGTTTATACCTTAGCCTCAGTTTATTCTCAGATAGTACCCAGAGTAGGTCCTTTATTAAGCCTGGCTGATAACGAGCTATATTGCCTTCTGTAAAGCAGGGTTTTTAACCATGTCGTGTGAGGTTCTGTGATATCATTTTATGTCAATTGATGTCAAATCTTGTCAACTTATGTCATTTTATGTCAAGGTACATCACCTCAGTAGTCAATTTAATGGGACGCCTGTCAATTTTCTGATGGGCTGATTTTCACACATGTAAGCCTTATTTCATCTAATCAGCGGAAAGTGTGACACAAGGCATTAAAATTTTGACGCTTATTGTGACGAAATACCATGAAAAATGCCAAAAAGCCACTAAAGAAAAGGTTTAGTACAGATAAGAATCGGAAAGTTATATATGTTGCATGCGAGAAATATTTCTGGAAAGAAATAAACGTGTTTGTAAAGAGCGGTATATCCTTCTCAAGGGAATTGTAGTGAGATGTTACAATGGAATTACACCTCGAGGTGACTTACTTCTAAGCCACATTATTAAGAACTGTTCCTGTATTAAATTACTCTCAAAGCAGATGTCAGACCATGCAAAAGCTTTCTTAATCATAAAAAGCTTTGAAGCGAAACCGATCGCGTGATAACCATAAAGGAGGGGAATCCAAATAACTAGACAAGTCATTTAATTTCTGCCTTCATTGCCAGATAGCAGAATATTTGATATATTTTTCTGTTCTGCTCGGGAAAGAATAAACTACTTTCTTTGTTTCGCCGCATTTCTCCAAAATTTGGATCATCCATCTGTAGCTTCAACTTGACTCGATACAAAAAACAAGACATATTCTGCTCTCAAGAACAGGTTATTCATTTCCTTTTGACGGTTTACACGTTGTAGCATTTTGAGGTCCCCACTCAAAAAAAAGGTGATATCCAAATTGCCTACGTTTGCAAGTTCCTATGTTTGTTTATTGTGTGCAAATTAAAGGACTAGAGAAAGGTCACAGCATTGACAGAAGCCCCAGTGTCCCTTAATTTCAACGTTCACATTATTAAAACACCAATGAGTGGCCACTTAGAATAGCCAGTAAGTAATTGTTATTCTGCTTTGAATACTATCGAAAACTAACAAGATCTGATATTACGTTGTGGAAAGATGGTGTTGGTTTGATTAGAGAGTCTACGAAATTGGGGCTGGTAAAAGCAGCATTCGATTCCAAGTTAGAGTTCTTTTCTAATTGTACCCCAAAACAAGAATAACCTATACGAGTAATCAGGATATGTGAAAAGGTGTCAAGCCAACGCGGACTGATAATAAAAACAAGAAAACTGTCTGGAGAGCGGGAAAATAGGAGGGCAAAGTCACAATTGGATTTAGTTTTGCATCTGGTGCAAATGAAAAAAGGAAATCAACAAAAATTAAATGTGATCACGGATTACTCTCAAGATACATTTGAAAATAAAACGTTTCTCATAAGAGTAGGGCAAATAGAAATCTTTATATATTCATAAATTCATCTTCGCTGCAAAGGTTGATTTATTGGCGAGCGATCACCTTTAAAGTTCAAATTTCTAGCCCAGTGTCCGGTACAATGAGAGGATCAGTTCAGTAAAGCAGGTAAAGTGCATAGTGTTGCATTTTTTCCTCTGGAGTGAGCTGATTACTTATCTAAAGCACCAACGCAACCGGAACAAAAACCAGTCTTCTATCAAAGGTGTAGCAATTCAATGTGTTTTAAGAAATGAATCGAAGACGAAGGGGAAACGATGAAGGTCGATGAAAACAAGACGTACTCAACCAAGAGACGCATGTGCTTAGTTTCATTCTGTTTTTATTCTTGATCCCAGTCTTTCTACATGTCTTCAGTTTATGAGTTTACGGTTTGGTTTCATATGCATATTATTGATAGCAATTCTTATTTCAAAATTATTCTATTTACTGCGCATGTGTGTTCTCTGTTTCTATTAGTGACATTAGATGTAAACGAGAAGACTTTCATCAGAATTAGGTATCACCTGGCTGGTGTTCAGTGGAATACCATTTTTATCAAATCCCAAAATCTGCCTCTTACCACTAAGGTATGACTTTAAATAAAAGAAGTCTTTCCCAATTTGTTTGACTACTCTTTTAAACAGAATTTCAGGATAAAGATTTTTCACTTTATCCAAGTTGTTCAGCTTGCGTAAAGGTGTCGACAGAGTCTATTGGAGAAAAAAACACTAGATTAATTCTTAAACCAGATAGGGTTATATTATCGTTAGAAAGTCTCTAAGAAGCATTGAACTTCACACTTTGTATTCAGTTAGTAATTTCTAGCATCCGTAAGTGAATTTAAGCCGGTTATGTATCAGCGTTATCTCCTGCTATTTCCAAGTGTTTCCAAAACTGAGGAAAACTAAATCATTTCGGTAGCTATGAAAAGTAATTGAAGGTTCTAAACTGAGCGGATTTGGTGCTTGGATATTCATGGAACTTAGCCAATTCTCACCAGAGGATGGACTATCAGAAAAGTGATTGGGAGGAGAGGGGGGGGGTGAAGGAGGGAGGGAAGAGATTCATGAATGCTTTCGGTTTTTTTTGTTTGTTTGGATGGGTTTTTCTTTGTACTACTTGATCGAAATCTTTTTTTGTGTTTGTTTTTTTTTTTCTTAATTCATATTTTGACTTGTTTTCTTTAGTAAATAACTTAAACTTTCCCCACCCCTCCCTCCCACCCCCTTAACGTTCCATCCCCGTGGGCGGTGATACCTTTACAAAGATGGTGTCATCTGTTTTGTTTACAGCCACTGCAGTTCCACCACTGCTACTCTCCAAAATAACAATTGTCTCGACGTTTGGATAAGTAGTAACGTGCAGAATAGTATGGACCATTAAGTGAGCTGTCAAAAATAACACAAATTGATATCAACGGAGAGGCAGAAAACGATCGATTTGGACTCGCTTTGTTTTAATTTTTTTTTTCTCTCGTTTTTTAAGCATGACTAGTCGAAAGCGATTCATGACATCACCCACACTTTTACAAAATAAGCGCCTTTCATGTTATTCTTAGTAACAGCTATTGTTAGATTTTCCTCCTATCCGAAGACTGCTGCATTTGATTAACACTGAACTTTTGTTTCTTGGCCGTTTTAACTCGACCTTGTTTACAATAATGCTGTGAACATGTTCCAAAACTCGAATATCTACTTACTTTTTGGATCTGTCCCTGTGGCATATGCAACAACAGATTTTCCGTCAATTTTCAGGTAGTGACCCTTGATAGGACCGTTTTGCTTTAGAGAAACTATTTGGGAAGTAAGTCGGTTCCACATGTCGTTCATCGGCTTAGTGATTTCCTCAATGCTTTCCTAAAACGTTCACTTTAACCATTATCAATAATCCTCTATTTAAACAAACCATCAGATAGTTTTCCGAAATATATGTTTTATTGATGACAGATATGACATCATAAACATATAAATAAGTTGCAATTTGAAAACATTTAAAACTATGCGCCATCTTGGACAAAGCAATGATTAAAAAGATTTATATAGACGATAACAGGGATATCTATATCCCATCACACAACAGTAGGCACTGAATTCGACTGATGACTGAAGACTTATTTCACAAGTTGTATTACAAGAGCCATAAAAACACACAAGCCATTTAGTTACAGTGGTTTAGAACCGTGTAATGTTTTCCGAAAGCTCAAAACAAAATAATGAATCAGCAGAATACACGTAATTTACTGGGCTTTACGCTCTAAAGAACCTAGAGCTCTCGTTTTCTCTACCTTTATTTCCTTCTTTGGACGTTTTATTTTCTCGGCTCGTTTTTCGTGACAAGGGTTGTTTGCGTGATAACCATAAAGGAGGAGAATCCAAATAACTAGACAAGTCATTTAATTTCTGCCTTCATTGCCAGGTAGCAGAATATTTGATATATTTTTCTGCTCTGCTCAGGAAAGAATAAACTACTTTCTTTCATTTTTCCAAAATTTGGGTCATCCTTCTGTAGCTTCAACTTGACTCGACACAAAAAACGAGACATATTCTGCCCTCGAGAACAGGTTATTTATTTCCTTTTGACAGTTTATACGTAGTGGCATTTTGAGGCCCCCACTCAAAAAAAAGGTGATATCCAAATTGCCTACGTTTGCAAGTTCCTATGTTTGTTTACCGTGTGCAAATTAAAGGACTAGAGAAAGGTCACAGCATTGACAGAAGCCCCAGTGTCCCTTAATTTTAACGTTCACATTATTAAAATATCAATGAGTGGCCACTTAAAATAGTCAGTAAGTAATTGTTATTCTGCTTTGAATACTATCGGAAACCATCAAGATTTGATATTAAGTTGTGAAAAGATGGTGACTGGTATGATCAGAGAGTCTACGTTTGGTCCGATAACAGCAGCATTCGATTCCAGGTTAGAGTTCTTTTCTAATTGTACCCCAAAACAAGAATAATCTGAACGAGTAATCAAGATAAGTGAAAAGGTGTCAAGGAACCGTCGCGAACCGATAATAACAACAAGAAAAGAGCGGGAAACAGGAGGGCAAAGTCATGACTGGATTTAGTTTTGCATTTAGTGCAAATGAAAGAAGGGAATTAACAAAAATTAAATGTGATGACGGATTACTCTCAAGATACAATTAAAAATAAATATATATAATATATATCACACTATATATTCATAAATTCATCTGCGCTGCAGAGGTTAATTCATTGGCGAGCGATCACCTTTAAGGTTTATATTTTTAGCCCAGTGTCCTATATACTGAGAGGATCAGTTCAGGTAAAGTGCATAGTGATGCATTTTTTTCCTCGGGAGTGAGCTGATTACGTATCTGAAGCACCAACGCAACCGGAACAAAAACCAGTTTTTTAGCAAAGGTGTAGCGTTTCAATATGTTTTAAGAAATGAATCGAGGGCCGAGGGGAAACGATGAAGGTCGATGAAAACAAGACATACTCAACCAAGAGACGCATGTGCTTAGTTTCATTGTTTTTATTCTTGATCACAGTATTTCTACATGTCTTTGGTTTATGAGTTTACGGTTTGGTTTCATATCCATATTATCGATGGCAATTTTTATTTCAAAATTACTCTATTTACTGCGCATGTGTGTTCTCTGTTTCTATCCTTGACATTAGCCTCGAGTGAAAAGACTTTCCTCAGAATTGGGCGTCACCTGGCCGGTGTTCATTGGAAGACCATATTTATCAAATCCCAAAACCCGCCTCTTATCTTTAAGGTTTGACTGAAAATAGAAGTAGTCACTCCCAACATCTCTAGGTACTTTTTTAAACAGAATTTCAGGATAAAGACGTTTCACTTTATTCAAGTTGTTCAGACTGCGCAAAGGTGTCGACAGAGTCTAATGGAGAAAAAACACTGGATTAATTCTTAAACCAGATAGGGTTAGATTATTGTTAGAAAGTCTTTAGGAAGCATTTAACTTCACACATTGTATTCAGTTAGTAATTTCCAGCTTTCTTTTATCAAGTTAAGCCGCTTATGTGTCAGCATTATCTCCTTCCATTTCCAAAATGTGTCCTAAACTAAGAAAAACTAAATCATTTTGGTAGTTACGAACAGGAATTGAAGGTTCTAAACCAAGCGGATTTGGAGCTTATATATTCATATAGGTTGAAATCTTTTTTTCTTTTGTTTCTTCTTGATCCATATTTAAACTTGTTATATTTAGTAATTAACTTGAACTTTCCCCAACCCCCCTCCCCCCCTTCTTCCCTTAACGTTCGATTCCCGTGGGTGACGGTACCTTTACAAAGACGGTGTCATCTCTTTTGTTTACGGCCACTGCGGTTCCACCAGTGCTACTCTCCAAAATACAAATTTCCTCGTATTTTCGTCCTGCATTTTGGCTTCTGGTCACAATTGTATGGACCTTTAATTGAGCTGTCAAAAATAACACAACTTGATATCACTGAAAAGACGGTAAACGATCGATTTGGATTTGCTGTTTTGTGGCTGGTCGAAAGCGTTTCAGAACATCACTCACACTTTTACAAAATCAGCGCCTTCTATTTGGTCAACGTATGAATTATTATGTCTTATTGGAGGGTTTATATTCAAGAGGAACTAAAAAAAAGGTTGAAAAGCTGAGGCAGATCAAGAATATTTCTTAAGAAGGGTGTATCACTGAGGAATGAAGTAACTGATGGGTGACGTAAACCAATATTTTGCAAAATTCTAGCTACACTAGAAAGCGACAGGTCATCTCAGGAAGGGGGAAGTGCACACTGCGCCCCTAGATTCGCCCTTAGGAAGGGGTAATCATGAACATGATTGCACTAGGTTCAGACGGAGGACGCACTCAACACCAGAGTTTCAAATTACAAAGTACCGACAGGTTGGTTTATACCGGTTGATTCCCGAGAACTGGAATTTTTCTAATAAAAACAATCTAAAGGCCGTTCATAGATTTAGTATCTTTACATGTTAAAAGCCTATCCTGGGGTAGTTTGAAACTCAAGAATGCCAGGCGTGAAGACCAGGCTTTGTTGCAAGGTCAAGGTCTGAACTGATAAAAAACTATGAAAAGCGAAAAGTGTGAATATCAGGCCGGTCTGTAGATGTCTGTAGAGATTGTATGGTAAATTTTTATTCGTAGTAACGGCCATGGTTAGATTTGCCTCATCCGAAGATTGCTGCATTTGATTTACATTGAATTTAGTTTCTTATCCATGTACCTCGATCTTTTCACGAATAAAGCTGTGGATATGTGGCCAAACTGGAATATATACTTACTTTTTGGATCTTTCCTTAGGGCATACGTAACAACAGATTTTCCGTCAATTTTCAGGTAGTGACCAAAGATAGGACCGTTTTGCTTTTGAGCCACGAACCGCTGATTACTTCTGCGGTACCACTGGTCGTTCATAGGCTTAGTGATTTCCTCAATGCTTTCCTAAAACATTACCAATAATGTTGTCTAACCATTATCAATAATCCTTCATTTAGCGAATCCATTAGATATTTTTTCGAAATATATCCCTTACTGATCACAGATATGACCTCATAAACGTTTAAATAAGATGAAATTTAAAATATCATTGGATGAACTTTGCACCATCCTGGACAAAGCAATTATTAGAAGGAATTATTTAGAAAATAACAGGAACATCGAATATCCCATGACTGTAGACTAATTTCATGTGTTTCGTTTAAGCCAAGTGTGCATTAAGTATCTGTTCGGAAATCAAGAATAAAATGCTTTTAGTTAAGGACAACTCACAACGTGTGCTGTTTGTTAACCTATCCAGCTTAAAAAATATGGTCGTGACGTGACTGCAACTCTTTAGCGTGCACGATAAGCTGCGTTGTGGGTAGTTGATTACATAGCATAACAAAATTGTCTTCCAGGAGCTATAAAAACCACACAAGTCATTTAGTTACAGTGGTTTAGAACCGTCTAATGTTTTCCATGAACCTCGAAAGAAAATGGAAAATCAGCAGAATACACGTAATTTACTGGGCTTTACGTTCCAAAAATTTTGAGCTCTCCTTTTCTCTACTTTTGTTTCCTTCTATGGACGTTTTATTTTTCCGGCTCATTTTGCGTGACAAGGGTTGTGTATTATGGTTGCATTTGACATTTTGTGCGGGAAATTGGCGCGCGACAGGCCAAATTGACTCCCTTACGCATGCCCGACGTTTGACAGCCATGTTCCGCCATGTTGGAAAATTATCAAATGAGTATTAGCTCATCAGAAGATAAACACTTTACCGGCCCAGATGAAAAGGAAATAAAATGAAGAACTCTCGAATCTCTGAAAAGTACTGTAAGATTTCAATTTGGAGATTGCATCGGCTCGATAAACTTTCGAGTACTTTGAGGTTACCGTTCCTCGTTTCTCAAGCCAAGGTTAACTGGTACTTGGAAAATAAAGCAAACTTACCGCCTTCAAGGAAGGCTTTGCGACCTTTGGACTATTCTACGGAAATTTATACACCCTTTCTTCATAAGAGAAACCTTATATGAAAAATAGGCATTTTTGTCCTGCTTCAGTTTACCGATTTTCAAATTTAAGGTTAATCCAAGAAATTTGCATGTTAACTCTCAAACTCGATCCACAACCGTGTTTGTCCGAGAGCAAAACTAAATTCGACCGTGTTTGATCTTGATTTCTGAGTAGCATTCTTATACACATGTATTACCTTTTAGTTTTATATCTCCGTTGTCTTTATATGACCTTGCTTTAGAAGCAGAAGATCTAAAAATTATCTATTATACATGGTATTTGCCTTTTCTGTGTCCTAAACTTTCGAGTTATGCAAAGGTAGGTGAAACACTCCTTTCACAGCAAAGAGAGAATCACCCATCAATAATACGGCCCCTTCGATTTGAGAAGGATAGTAGAGAAAGTTTCACACTCACCTTTGCTGATTCGTCGCGTACATCGTGGTGTCCTGTGTGAAGTATATGGTCAGAAGTAGAATCATAAGTGATATTTTGCGTAAGCTGTCTTAACGCTTTTACCTTTGCACCGATACATCGATCGAGAAAGTACTAAAGGCATAGGTGCTTTATAACCTTAGAGCTGTTCAAGTTGTTTTTATAACTTTTAGATGTTGATAGCTATGAAAAAAAAACCGTGGCGAAACATGAAAGGACGTTGTGGACAATTAATAGATATTAACCAAACCTTTTGCCACGGAGGGATTCAACGACAACTCCAGTAACAGGAAAGTCCAACCAGCCATGAAAAGAAACGATGAGCTTTTTCCAGCCATTTCTTAGTTCTGAAACACATGGAAAAATAGATAAAACTGTCGAGTCATTAAGTATAAATCGTAGTGTAAAACGTATTCAACTTACAGTCCGGCAGAGTTCCTGAGTTTGAGTTTATCCTTTAGCCTCAGTTTATCCTCAGATAGTCCCGAGAGTAGGTCCTTTACTAAGCCTGGCTGATAACGAGCTATATTGCCCTCTGTCGAGCAGGGTTTTTAACCATGTCGTGTGAGGTTATGTCATATCATTTCGTGTCAATTGATGTCAAATCATGTCAAGTCATGTCAATTTATGTCGAGTTACATCACCTCAGTAGTCAATTTATGGAACGCTTGTCAATTTTATAATGGGCTGTTTTCACACAAGTAAGTCTTATTTCATCAGCCGTAAGTGTGACGCAAGGCATTAACATTTTTATGCCTGTTGTCACAAAATGCCGTGAAAAATGCGAAAAAGCCATCAAAGAAAATGAACAACCAGCGTGGCTTTGTGTGAATCATGTGTAAGATATTCCTTCCGTTTTTCGGTCGCCTGCTTGAATAAGAGATATTTTCTTAGTACAGATAAGAATCAGAAGTTATATATGTCCCATGCAAGAAATATTTCTGGAAAGAAATAAACGTATCTGTAACGAGAGGTGTTTTCATACAACAGTGAAAAATTACACCTCGAGGTGACTTAACTGTATGTCACAACAGAAAACAGAACTACACAACAGTAACAGAACTGTTCCCCTGTAAAATGAATCTGAAAGCAGATCTACATACAAAATTAGTCATAAAAAGCTTTTAAGCGAAACCGATAACGCGATAACCATAAAATGCGTAGCCAAATAACCAGAGAGGTTATTACATTTCTGCCTTCATTGCCAGAGAGCAGAATATTTAATATATTTTTTTCTGGTCTGCTCTCTGCCGACCGTTGCCCTTCGGAAAAAAAGCGGAGTTCACTAGGTCCCTTTCTGAGAAGAAAATGATACCGACATCGGTCCTCTCATTTATTTTAGCACTTTTATAGTCGACAACTTTTGTGACCAAGAGTCTGCCGTTTTTTTTTTAAAAAGAAACCTAGTTCCCCCTTACGAGACTATTGCAAAGGCCTTGAAGGACTTATTTCTTCGGGTTTTTTATTATGTGGTGTGAAGCTGTGTCAAGTCATGTCAAATCTTGTCAAATTATGTTAATTTATGTTGAGTCACATAACCTTAGTGGCCCGGCCTTAAATAGAACGCTTGTCAATTTTTTAATGAACATATTTTCACACAAGTAAGTCATATTTCATCAGCGGAAAATATGACACAAGGAATTAACATTTTGACACTTATGTGACGAAACGCTGTGAAAAATGCGAAAAAGCCACTAAAGAAAATGAACAACCCGCGTGGCGTTATGTAAATTATGTGTAAGATATTTCATCCGTTTTTCAGTCGTTTGCTTGGGTAAGCAAGATTTAGTTCATATAAGAATTAAAACTGCATGGAATATTGCTCGTGTTCAAATAGACATCTCAGTCGTTCGCTGCACTCACTCGCGAGCTATCGAGTTGAACACTCGGAGAGAAGTTCTGTATTGTTCTCTATTTCTGTTCTGCTCTTGAAAGAATAAGCTACTTTCTTTGTTTTGCCGTATTTTTTCAAAATTTGGAGCATCCTTTTGTAGCTTCAACTCCACTTGATATAACAAACAAGACATATTCTGCCCTCAAGAACAGGTTATTTATCTCCTTTTGACATTTTAAACGTAGTAGAATTTTGAGGTCCCCACTCAACTAAAAAAAAACCTTCCGCGAAGAAAGATAACACCCAAATTCCCTACGTTTGCAAATTCCTATGTTTGTCTATCGTGTGCAAATGAAAGGAATAGAGAAAGGTCACAGCATTGACAGAAGCTCCAGTGTCCCTTAATTTGAACGTTCACATCATTAAAATACCCGTGAGTGGCCACTTAGAATAAGAAATGATTGTTATTTGCTTTGAGTACTATCCAAAACTAACAAGATTTGATATTAAGTTGTGGAATGATAGTGACTGGTATGATTAGAGAGTCTACGAAATTTGGTGCGGTAACGGCAGCATTCGACCCCAAGTTAGAGTTCTTTTCTAGTTGTAGCCCAAAACCAGAATAATCTAAACAAGTAATCAGAATAAGTGAAAAGGTGTCAAGGAGCGAACGCGAAATGATAATAAAAACAAGAAAAGAGCGGGAAAACAGGAGGGCAAAGTCACGATTGGATTTAGTTTTGCATCTGATTTGAGCAAATTGTCTGACAAATCAAAGAGAGAAAATTAAACAAAATTAATGTGATCACGGACTACTCTCAATATACAATTGAAAATAAAACGTTTCCCACTAGAGTAGGACAAAGAGAAACTCTATATATTCATAAATTCATCTGCGCTGCAGACTTGAACTCATTGGCGAGTGGTTTCCTTTAAGGTTTATATTTCTAGCCCAGTGTCCTATATACTGAGAGGATCAGTTCAGGTAAAGTGCATAGTGATGCATTTTTTTCCTCAGGAGCGAGCTGATTACGTATCTGAAGCATCAACGCAACTGGAACAAAAACCAGTTTTCTAGCAAAGGTGTAGCGTTTCAATATGTTTTAAGAAATGAATCAAGGGCCGAGGGGAAACGATGAAGGTCGATGAAAACAAGACATACTCAACCAAGAGACGCATGTGCTTAGTTTCATTGTTTTTATTCTTGATCACAGTATTTCTACATGTCTTTGGTTTATGAGTTTACGGTTTGGTTTCATATCCATATTATCGATGGCAATTTTTATTTCAAAATTACTCTATTTACTGCGCATGTGTGTTCTCTGTTTCTATCCTTGACATTAGCCTCGAGTGAAAAGACTTTCCTCAGAATTGGGCGTCACCTGGCCGGTGTTCATTGGAAGACCATATTTATCAAATCCCAAAACCCGCCTCTTATCTTTAAGGTTTGACTGAAAATAGAAGTAGTCACTCCCAATTTCTCTGGGTACTTTTTTAAACAGAATTTCAGGATAAAGACGTTTCGCTTTATCCAAGTTGTTAAGACTGCGCAAAGGTGTCGACAGAGTCTAATGGAGAAAAAACACTGGATTAATTCTTAAACCAGATAGGGTTAGATTATTGTTAGAAAGTCTTTAGGAAGCATTTAACTTCATACATTGTATTCAGTTAGTAATTGCCAGCTTTCTTTTATCAATTTAAGCCGCTTATGTGTCAGCATTATCTCCTTCCATTTCCAAATGTGTCCTAAACTAAGAAAAACTAAATCATTTTGGTAGTTACGAACAGGAATTGAAGGTTCTAAACCAAGCGGATTTGGAGCTTATATATTCATATAGGTTGAAATCTTTTTTTCTTTTGTTTCTTCTTGATCCATATTTAAACTTGTTATATTTAGTAATTAACTTGAACTTTCCCCAACCCCCCTCCCCCCCCCTTCTTCCCTTAACGTTCGATTCCCGTTGGTGACGATACCTTTACAAAGATGGTGTCATCTCTTTTGTTTACGGCCACTGCGGTTCCACCAGTGCTACTCTCCAAAATACAAATTTCCTCGTATTTTCGTGCTGCATTTTGGCTTCTGGTCAAAATTGAATGGATCTTTAATTGAGCTGTCAAAAATAACGCAACTTGATATCACTGGAAAGACGGTAAACGATCGATTTGGATTTGCTGTTTTGTGGCTGGTCGAAAGCGTTTCATTATATCACTCACACTTTTACAAAATCAGCGCCTTCTATTTGGTCAAAGTATGAATTATTATGTCTTATTGGAGGGTTTATATTGAAGAGGAACTAAAAAAAAGATCGAAAAGCTGAGGTAGGTCAAGAATATTTCTTAAAAAGGGTGTATCACTGAGGAATGAAGTAACTGATGGGTGAAGTAAACCAATATTTTGCAAAATTCTAGCTACATTAGAAAGCGACAGGTCATCTCAGGAAGGGGGAAGTGCACACTGCGCCCCTAGATCCGCCTTTAGGAAGGGGTAATCATGAACATGATTGGACTAGGTTCAGACGGAGGACGCACTCAACACCAGAGTTTAAAATTATAAAGTAGCGACAGGTTGGTTTATACTAGTTGATTCCCAAGAACTGGAATTTTGCTAATAAGAACAATCTAAAGGCCGTATATTTTCTGTTTCATAGATTTAGTATCTTTACATGTTAAGAGCATATCCTGGGGTAGTTTGAAACTCAAGAATGCCAGGCGTGAAGACAAGGCGTTGTTGCAAGGTCTTGATACTATTCTTTAAAAGCGCTGATTCGCAAAAACTGAATTGATAAAAAACTATGGAAAGCGAAAAGTGTGAATATCAGGCCGGTCTGTAGATGTCTGTAGAGATTGTATGGTAAATTTTTATTCGTAGTAACGACCATGGTTAGATTTGCCTCATCCGAAGACTGCTGCATTTGATTTACATTGAATTTTGTTTCTTGTCCATGTTCCTCGATCTTTTCACGAATAAAGCTGTGAATATGTGGCCAAACTGGAATATATACTTACTTTTTGGATCTGTCTCTAGGGCATATGTAACAACAGATTTTCCGTCAATTTTCAGGTAGTGACCAAAGATAGGACCTTCTTGGTTTAGGGACACGAACTGCTCATTGTTTCTGCGGTACCACTGGTCGTTCATCGGCTTAGTGATTTCCTCAATGCTTTCCTAAAACATTACCAATGATGTTGTCTAACCATTATCAATAATCCTTCATTTAGCGAATCCATCAGATATTTTTTCGAAATATATCCCTTACTGATCACAGATATGACCTCATAAACATTTAAATAAGATGAAATTTAAAATATCATTGGATGAACTTTGCACCATCCTGGACAAAGCAATAATTAGAAGGAATTATTTAGAAAATAACAGGAACATCGAATATCCCATGACTGTAGACTAATTTCATGTGTTTCGTTTAAGCCAAGTGTGCATTAAGTATCTGTTCGGAAATCAAGAATAAAATGCTTTTAGTTAAGGAGAACTCACAGCGTGCGCTGTTTGTTAACCTATCCAGCCTAAAAAATATGGTCGTGACGTGACTGCAACTCTTTAGCATGCGCGATAAGCTGCGTTGTGGGTTGTTGATTACATAGCATAACAAAGTTGTCTTCCAGGAGCTATAAAAAACACACAAGTCATTTAGTTACAGTGGTTTAGAACCGTCTAATGTTTTCCATGAACCTCTAAAGAAAATGGAAAATCAGCAGAATACACGTAATTTACTGGGCTTTACGTTCCAAAAATTTTGAGCTCTCCTTTTCTCTACTTTTATTTCCTTCTATGGACGTTTTATTTTTCCGGCTCATTTTGCGTGACAAGGGTTGTGTATTATGGTTGCGGGAAATCGGCGCGCGACAGGCCAAATTGACTCCCTTACGCATGCCCGACGTTTGACAGCCATGTTCCGCCATGTTGGAAAATTATCAAATGAGTAGTAGCTCGTCAGAAGATAAACACTTAGCCGGCCCAGATGAAAAGGAAATAAAGTGAAGAACTCTCGAATCTCCGAAAAGTACTGTAAAATTTCAATTTGGAGATTGCATCGGCTCGGTAAACTTTCGAGTACTTTGAGGTTACCGTTCCTCGTTTCTCAAGCCAAGGTTAACTGGTACTTGGAAAATAAAGCAAACTTGCCGCCTTCAAGGAAGGCTTTGCAACCTTTGGACTAGTCTACGGAAATTTATACACTCTTTGCTCATAAGAGAAACCTTATATGAAAAATAAGCATTTTTGTCCTGCTTCAGTTTACCGGCGGATTTTCAAATTTAAGGTTAATCCAAGAAATTTGCATGTTAACTCTCAAACTCGATCCACAACCGTGTTTGTCCGAGAGCAAAACTAAATTCGACTGTGTTTGATCTTGATTTCTGAGTAGCATTCTTATACACATGTATCACCTTTTAGTTTTATATCTCCGTTGCCTTTATATGACCTTGCTTTAGAAGCAGAAGATCTAAAAATTATCTATTATACATGGTATTTGCCTTTTCTGTGTCCTAAACTTTCGAGTTATGCAAAGGTAGGTGAAACACTCCTCTCACAGCAAAGAGAGAATCACCCATCAATAATACGGCCCCTTCGATTTAAGAAGGATAGTAGAGAAAGTTTCACACTCACCTTTGCTGATCCGTCGTGTACATCGTGGTGTCCTGTGTGAAGTATATGGTCAGAAGTAGAATCATAAGTGATATTTTGCGTAAGCTGTCTTTACGCATTTACCTTTGCACCGATACATCGATCGAGAAAGTACTGAAAGCATAGGTGCTGTATAACCTTAGAGCTGTTCAAGTTGTTTTTATAACTTTTAGATGTTGATAGCTATGAAAAAAAAACCGTGGCGAAACATGAAAGGACGTTGTGGACAATTAATAGATATTAACCAAACCTTTTGCCACGGAGGGATTCAACGACAACTCCAGTAACAGGAAAGTCCAACCAGCCATGAAAAGAAACGATAAGCTTTTTCCAGCCATTTCTTAGTTCTGAAACACATAGAAAAATAGATAAAACTGTCGAGTCATTAAGTATAAATCATAGTGTAAAACGTATTCAACTTACAGTCCACAGAGTTCCTGAGCTTGAGTTTATCCTTTAGCCTCAGTTTATCCTTAGATAGTCGCGAGAGTAGGTCCTTTACTAAGCCTGGCTGATAACGAGCTATATTGCCCTCTGTCAAGCAGGGTTTTTAACCATGTCGTGTGAGGTTATGTCATATCATTTCGTGTCAATTGATGTCAAATCATGTCAAGTCATGTCAATTTATGTCGAGTTACATCACCTCAGTAGTCAATTTATGGAACGCTTGTCAATTTTATAGTGGGCTGTTTTCACACAAGTAAGTCTTATTTCATCAGCCGTAAGTGTGACGCAAGGCATTAACATTTTTATGCTTGTTGTCACAAAATGCCCTGAAAAATGCGAAAAAGCCATCAAAGAAAATGAACAACCAGCGTGGCTTTGTGTGAATCATGTGTAAAATATTCCTTCCGTTTTCCGTTCGCTTGCTTGAATTAGAGATATTTTCTTAGTACAGATAAGTATCGGAAGTTATATATGTCCCATGCAAGAAATATTTCTGGAAAGAAATAAACGTATCTGTAACGAGAGGTGTTTTCATACAACAGTGAAAAATTACACCTCGAGGTGACTTAACTGTATGTCACATTCAACAGAACTGTTCCCCTGTAAAATGAATCTGAAAGCAGATCTACATACAAAATTAGTCATAAAAAGCTTTGAAGCGAAACCGATAACGCGATAACCATAAAATGCGTAGCCAAATAACCAGAGAAGTTATTACATTTCTGCCTTCATTGCCAAAGAGCAGAATATTTAATATATTTTTTTCTGGTCTGCTCTCTGCCGACTGTTGCCCTTCGGAAAAAAAAGCTGAGTTCACTAGGTCCCTTTCTGAGAAGACAATGATACCGACATCGATCCTCTCACTCATTTTAGCACTTTTAAAGTCGACAACTTTTGTGGCCAAGAGTCTGCCGTTTTTTTTAAAAAAAAAACCTAGTTTCCCCTTACGAGACTATTGCAAAGGCCTTGAAGGACTTATTTCTTCGGGTTTTTTATTATGTGGTGTGAAGCTGTGTCAAGTCATGTCAAATCTTGTCAAGTCATGTTAATTTATGTTGAGTCACATAACCTTAGTGGCCCTTTAATAGAACGCTTGTCAATTTTTTAATGAACTGATTTTCACACAAGTAAGTCATATTTCATCAGCGGAAAATGTGACACAAGGAATTAACATTTTGACAGTTATTGTGACGAAATGCTGTGAAAAATGCGAAAAAGCCACTAAAGAAAATGAACAACCCGCGTGGCGTTATGTAAATTATGTGTAAGATATTCCATCCGTTTTTCGGTCGTTTGCTTGGGTAAGCAAGATTTAGTTCATATAAGAATTAAAACTGCATGGAATATTGCTCGTGTTCAAATAGACATCTCAGTCGTTCGCTGCGCTCACTCGCGAGCTATCGAGTTGAACATTCGGAGAGAAGTTCTGCATTGTTCTCTATTTCTGTTCTGCTCTTGAAAGAATAAGCCACTTTCTTTGTTTTGCCGTATTTTTTCAAAATTTCGAGCATCCTTTTGTAGCTTCAACTCCACTTGATATAACAAACAAGACATATTCTGCCCTCAAGAACAGGTTATTTATTTCCTTTTGACATTTTAAACGTAGTAGAATTTTGAGGTCCCCACTCAACTAAAAAAAACCTTCCGCGAAGAAAGATAATACCCAAATTCCCTACGTTTGCAAGTTCCTATGTTTGTCTGTCGTGTGCAAATGAAAGGAATAGAGAAAGGTCACAGCATTGACGGAAGCCCCAGTGTCCCTTAATTTGAACGTTCACATCATTAAAATACCCGTGAGTGGCCACTTAGAATAAGAAATGATTGTTAGTTGCTATGAGTACTATCCAAAACTAACAAGATTTGATATTAAGTTGTGGAATGATAGTGACTGGTATGATTAGAGAGTCTACGAAATTTGGTGCGGTAACGGCAGCATTCGACTCCAAGTTAGAGTTCTTTTCTAGTTTTAGCCCAAAACCAGAATAATCTAAACAAGTAATCAGAATAAGTGAAAAGGTGTCAAGGAGCGAACGCGAAATGATAATAAAAACAAGAAAAGAGCGGGAAAACAGGAGGGCAAAGTCACGATTGGATTTAGTTTTGCATCTGATTTAAACAAATTGTCTGACCAATCAAAGAAGAAAATTAAACAAAATTAATGTGATCACGGATTACTCTCAATATACAATTGAAAAAAAAACGTTTCCCACTAGAGTAATACAAAGAGAAACTATATACATTCATAAATTCATCTGCGCTGCAGACTTGAATTTAATGGCGAGTGATTTCCTTTAAGGTTTATATTTCCAACCCAGTGTCCTATATAATGAGAGGATCAGTTCAGGTAAGGTGCATAGTGTTGCGTTTTATTCGGTTTATAAGTGATATTAGTTTCTATGCACGATTTTAGACTTGAGAGAAAAGACTTTCCAAAGAATTAGATGTCACCTTTCCAGTGTTCATCGGAAGACCTTTGTTGTCAAATCCCAAAATCCTCCTCTTGTCAACTGGAACGAAACAGCAGTTTTCCAGCGATGAAAACAAGACATACTCAACCAAGAGACGCGTTTGCTTAGTTTCATTCTGTTTTTATTCTTGATCACAGTATTTCTACATGTCTTCGGTTTATGAGTGATATTAGTTTCTATGCACGATATTAGAATTCAGAGAAAAGGCTTTCCAAAGAATTAGGTGTCACCTGTCCAGTGTTCATCGGAAGACCTTTGTTGTTAAATCCCAAAATCCTCCTCTTGTCACTAAGGTATGACTTAAAATAAAAGAGGCTACTCCCAGCTTCTCTGGGTACTTTTTTAAACAGAATTTCAGGATAAAGTTTTTTCACTTTATCCAAGTTTGTAAGACTGCGCAGAGATGTCGACAGAGTCTAGTGGGGAAAAAAACACTCGATTAATTATCAAATCAGACAGAGTTATTAAGCTAGAAAGTCTCTTGGAAGCATTTGACTTCACAAATTGTATTCAGTAAGTAATTTCCAGCATCCATAAATGACTTTAAGCCGGTTATGTGTCAGCGTCCTACCATTTCCAAATGTGTCGAAAACTGAGAAAAACTAAATCATTTGGGTAGCTATGAACAGGAATTGAAGGTTCTAAACCGAGTGGATTTGGTGCTTGGATATTCATGAAACTTGAACAATTCTCCCCAGAGGATGGACTACCAAAAGAGTGATCGGAGGGGAAGGAGGAAAGGGTGGAAGGGGGGGGGAGGATGGGGAAATGAGGGCTCCAAGAGATGCATGAATGCTTTGTTTGTTTGTTTGTTTTTTTTTTGGCTGGGTGGTTTTTTCTTTACACCTGGGTTGAAATCTTTTTTGTTGTTGTTTTTCCTTAATCCATATTTTGACTTGTTTTACTCAGTAATTAGGTTGAACTTTCCCCACCCCCTCCCTCAAAGTTCCATCCCCGTGGGTGGTCATACCTTTACAAAGACGGTGTCATCTCCCTTGTTCACAGCCACTGCGGTTCCACCTGTGCTACTCTCCAAAATAACAATTTGCTCAGCTGTTTCCAGAATACTATGTAACTTGAGTTTAGCTGTAAAAAATAACGCAACTTAACATCAACGAAAAGGCAGTAAATGATCGATTTGGATTTGCTTTGTTTTGTTTTGCTCTGCTTTTTTCGTGTTTTAGGAAAGACTAGTGGAAAGCGTTTCATGACATCACTCACATTTTTACAAAATCAGCGCCTTCTGTTTGGTCAGAGTATGAATTGGTATATCTTATGACAGGGTTTATATTCGAGAGGAACTAAAAAAAAACGATTGATAAGCGGAGGCAGATCCGGAATATTTCTTAAGAAGAGGTCTATCAGGAATGACGTAACTGATGGCTGACGTAAACAAATGTTTTGCAAAATTCTAGCTACATAAGAAAGCGACAGATCATCTCAGGAGGGGAGAAAGTTCACACTGCGCCTCTAGACCCGCTCCTGGGGACGAGTTTGAAATTGCAAAGTTTGGACAATTGGTTAATACTGATTGGTTCCCAAGAACTGGAATTGTTCCAATAAAAACAATTTACAGAACGTAGATTTTCTGTTTCATAGAAAGCTGGAAACTCAAGAATGCACGGCATGAAGACCAAGCTTGTTGCAAGCCAATTCTTGGTACCTTTCCTCAAAGGGGCTAATTTGCAAATTGCATTAATAAAAACTATGAAGGGCGAAAAGTGTGAATATCAGGCCTGCCTGTTGATAGATTTCTGAAGAGATTGTAAAGTGAATCGTTATTCTTAGTAACGGTCATTGTTAGATTTGCCTCATCCGAAGACTGCTGCATTTGATTCACATTGAATTTTTGTTTTTTTGGTCATATATCTCGATCCTTTCGACAATAAAGCTTTGAACAAGTGGCCAAACTTGAATATATACTTACTTTTTGGATCTTTGCTTGTGGCATACGTAACAACAGATGTTCCATCAATTTTCAGGTAGTGACCCATGACAGGACCGTTTTGGTTTCGGGACACGAACTGTATATTATTTCTGCGGTACCACTCGTCGTTCATCGGCTTAGTGATTTCCTCAATGCTTTCCTAAAACATTAATTCTAAGCTTTATCATTAATCCTTCATTCTAGCAAGTTAATCAGATTTTTTTTCGAAAGGAATTATTTAGAAAATAACAGGAACATCGTATATCCCACCACATAAAAGTGGACACTGTGTTCGAAAGATGACTGTAGACTAATTTCATGTGTTTCGTTTAAGCCAAGTGTGCATTAAGTATCTGTTCGGAAATCAGGAATAAAATGCTCTTAGTTAAGGAGAACTCACAGCGTGTGCTGTTTGTTAACCTATCCAGCTTAGAAAATATGGTTGTAACGTGACTGCAACTCTTTAGAATGCGCGATAAGCTGAGTTGGGGGTGTTTGATTACATATCATAACAAAGTTGCCTTCCAGGAGCTATAAAAAACACACAAGCCATTTAGTTACAGTGGTTTAGGACCGTGTAATGTTTTCCATAAACCTCAAAAGAAAATGGTAAATCCGCAGGATACAAATAATTTACTAGGCTTCACGTTCTAAAAATCTTGAGCTCTCCTTTTCTCTATTTTTGTTTCCTTTTATGGACGTTTTATTTTTCCGGCTTGTTTTGCGTGACAAGGGTTGTGTATTATGATTGCATTTGACATTTTGCGCGGGAAATCGGCGCGCGGCAGACCAAATTGACTCCCTTACGCATGCCCGACGTTTGACAGCCATGTTTCTGCCGTGTTGGAAAATTTTGAAGTGAGTAGTAGCTCGTCAGAAGATAAACACTTAGCCGGCCCAGATGAAAAGGAAATAAAGTGAAGAACTCTCGAATCTCTGAAAAGTACTGTAAGATTTTAAGTTTACCGTTCCTCGTTTCTCAAGCTAAGGTGAACTAGTGCTTGGAAAATAATGCAAACTTGCTGCCTTCAAGGGAGGCTTTGCGACCTTTGTACTATTCTACGGAAATTCATGCATCCTTTGCTCATAAGAGAAACCTTATATGAAAAATAGGCATTTTTGTCCCGCTTCAGTTTACCGATAGTTTTCGGGTGGCTTTAGATTTTCAAATTGAGGTTAATCCAAGAAATTTGCGTGTTAACTTCAAACTCGATCCGCAACTGTGGCAAAACTTTATTTGACTGTGTTTGATCTTTATTTCTTAGTAGTATTCTTATACACATGTATCACCTTTTAGTTTTATATCTCCGTTGTTTTTATATGACCATGTCTTAGAGGCAGGAGATCTAAAAAATGTCTATTATACATGATATTTGCCTTTTCTGTGTCCAAAACTTTCGAGTTATGCAAAGGTAGGTGAAACACTCCTCTCACAGCACAGAGGAAATCACCCATCAACATACGGGCCCTTACGATTTGAGAAGCTTTGTGGAGAAAGTTTCTCACTCACCTTTGCTGCTCCGTCGTGTACATCGGGGTGTCCTGTGTGAAGTATATGGTCAGAAGTAGAATCATAATTGATATTTTGCGCAAGCTATCTCAATGTTTACACCCTTGCACCGATACATCGATCGAGAAAGTGCTCAAAGCATAGGTTCTGCGTATCTTTAGAAGTATTCAAGTTGTTTTTATAACTTTTAGATGTGGTAGTTGACAGTTATGGAAAAAAATCGTGGCGAAACATAACAGGACGTACTGGACAATTAAGAGATATTAACCAAACCTTTTGCCACGGAGGGATTCAACGACAACTCCAGTAACAGGAAAGTCCAACCAGCCATGAAAAGAAACGATAAGCTTTTTCCAGCCATTTCTTAGTTCTGAAACACATGCAAAAATAGATAAAACTGTCGAGTCTTTAAGTTTCAATCGTAGTGTAAAACGTATTCAACTTACAGTCCGGCAGAGTTCCTGAGTTTGAGTTTATCCTTTAGCCTCAGTTTATCCTCAGATAGTCCCGAGAGTAGGTCCTTTACTAAGCCTGGCTGATAACGAGCTATATTGCCCTCTGTCAAGCAGGGTTTTTAACCATGTCGTGTGAGCTTATGTCATATCATTTCATGTCAATTGATGTCAAATCATGTCAAGTCATGTCAATTTATGTCGAGTTACATCACCTCAGTAGTCAATTTATGGAACGCTTGTCAATTTTATAATGGGCTGTTTTCACACAAGTAAGTCTTATTTCATCAGCCGTAAGTGTGACGCAAGGCATTAACATTTTTATGCTTGTTGTCACAAAATGCCCTGAAAAATGCGAAAAAGCCATCAAAGAAAATGAACAACCAGCGTGGCTTTGTGTGAATCATGTGTAAGATATTCCTTCCGTTTTTCGGTCGCCTGCTTGAATTAGAGATATTTTTTAGTACAGATAAGAATCGGAAAGTTATATATGTCGAATGCAAGAAATATTTCTGGAAAGAAATAAACGTGTCTGTAAAGAGTGGTGTTTTCATACAACAGTGAAAAATTACAGAGGTGACTTAACTGTAAAATGAACCCGAAGGCAGCTCTATATACAAAAACTCTCTTAGTCATAGAAAGCTTTGAAGCGAAACCGATAACGCGATAACCATAAAATGCGTAGCCAAATAATTAGAGAAGTTATTACATTTCTGCCTTCATTACCAGAAAGCAGAATATTTAATATGTTTTTTCTGGTCTGCTCTCTATCGACCGTTGCCCTTCGGAAAATAAGCGGAGTTCAGTAATTTCCCTCAAAATCGATTTATTTTCTTAAAAAGAATGATACCGATATAGGTCCTCTGACTCATTTTAGCACTTTCAAGTTCGACAACTTTTGTGGCCAAAAGTCTGGCATTACTAAGCTAGTTCCCCTTACGAGACTGTTGCAAAGAGCTTGAAGGAATTTTTTCGTTACTAGGGATCACTCACTCAGCATGCCCGAACTCTTAAAATAAGGGTGTCTTCATTAATAACAGACACAGAACAAACTGCGTGTGAACAACGTACAAAGTAATTTGTAGAATCAAATTACAGTCGTAAGCTCTATTTCAGAAAGCATTCTATTGCAGAAAATAATTATTACCATATAGACTTGTGAAGTTTTCATAAGCATATTGTTAAAAGACAAAATTGGTATCGAGCAAGAATTTTCATTATAGGTGTTTTTTGACTTATTTGAACGTTAAAAATGAATGGAAATAATATATTAGCATAAGCCGTGCAGTAAAAAATATAATAAGCCAGTTGATCATTTCTTATTCCTTTTAGTGGTCTTATCTTACAGGTAGAATTTCGATCACCTTTTTCTTATTGTGGTCGTGAAATTGACATGGAGATAGATGTTTCTACGTAAACTACAATTTGTGGCTAAATATTGGTAAATTTTCATTATGTTGTGAAAAGATGTTTAATTACGAAGAAGGATGACTTCACCATAAGACCTAGTCCAATATAATAAGAACCATTGTTTATCTTTTTATCATTTGAAGTGTAAATAATCTCGCGATGATTTTATCATAAATCCCTTACTTGCCCTTATTTTACGATTCATGTTGACTTCTGTACAGTGGCTCAGCTTAGTCAGTAACAAGTTCACTGATACCCAGTTCTTTGAAAATTCGGCTGCGAAATCGGAAGCCGAAGGTTTGATAGGGAGAACCGACTGCTCTATTTGTCTCGCCGCATTTTTCCAAAATTTGGATCATCCCTTCATAGCTAAAACTTGACTCGACACATAAAAACAAGTTATTCTGCCCTCAAGAACAGGTTGTATATGTCCTTTAGACAGTTTACACGTAGTAGCATTTTGAGGTCCCCTCTCAACTGAAAAAGAAAAAGCTACGGCGAAAAAAGATAATGTCCAAATTGGCTACGTTTGCAAGTTCCTATGTTTGTTTATCGTGTGAAAATTAAAGCAATAGAGAAAGGTCATAGGAAGGGCATAGATGGGGGGGGGGGGTGCATTATTTCATTATGGGCCGATTCCCGCATTGACGTTTTGACGCTCATTGTGACAAAATGCCTTGAGAAATGCGAAAATTTAATTTAAGGTTTCTACCAAGAATAAAATCTAACGAGAAATAAGATAATTTCCAAACTCCTTGCGTTTACCAGTTCTTATGTTTGTTTATTGCGTGGAAATAAAGGGACATAGCTGAGGTCAGGACATCGTCAGGAGCCTCCATCAATGGCTCCTATGTTAAAACGTTTTTATTTAATTGAAAATCCCGTAATAGCCAGCTGAATAAAATTGGTCTTTTATTCTACTTTGAATACAAATTTAATTGACAGATTTGATGTTAAGCTAAGGAATGGTGGTGACCTGTTTGATTAGAAAACTTACAAAATTTGGTTTACGACGCTTAAACCTTAATGCGCCATGCGTCTTTATTTTTGCAGGTTTTATGACAAAGTGTTAGTGGCTTGGACGACACGCGGTTGTAAAGTTGTTGTGGTGATGGAAGGCAATAGAGCGGTTTAAAGTCACTGTTGGAGGTAAATATTCAACATTCTTGCTGTTACAAACAATGGTCTGAGCTCACTGTCCTAGGTCGGCTGGACTTTAGATATTCAAACTACTAGTGTGGGAAAGAAATCCCTTGTCAGGCTGATATTAGCTAAGAAAGTTGGAAAACAAGTAAGGAAATGGACAGTAGGAATGACATGAAGGCGAGAAATAACGATATTATTTTAAAATCTTTTAAATCCAAGAATGTTAAACTTTGTTTAGGGAGAGTACTGTATTTGAAAAATGAGATGATGTTTTAATTAAAAGACAGAATATTTTATAGTTGCGACGTTTGATGATCAAAAAGGTTCGATCAGTTTTCAGCTTCGGAGGGGTCACTTATGGAATCGCATTCTGCTAGCTTTGGAGATAAAATAAAATAGAATAACCCTGATCTGACCCACATGTAACAGATGGGGTCGTTTACACATGTTATTCCCGGCTGAGAAATTTGATGAAAGTCCGAAATTAACTCCAGTTTGGGTTGTCTAGCTAGTAATCCTAGAGTGTCGTTACCTCCAAACTTTCCTTTGCATTTTTCAATGGTAGGGACGCCCGCTAAAATCACCATAAATACTTCGTATGTAATGTTGTCTAATTAGTAAATTGGCATGAGGCACAGCTGAACTTCCAAAAAACCTTCAAATGTTTTTATTTTCTTATTGTGCTATTGCATTAGAAGTTGCTAATCATAACGTGGTGTTTAACAGCTTTGGGAAAGAAGTGACCGCAATTAAGAACTACATATATAACACCTTACATGCTTGTCGTTCTTAATATTTTAACACAAGCTAAAATCAAGGCAAACATAAACTCTAATTAGAGAAAAGAGACTAGATGATTTTCGCGGTACTCTAGATGAGGAAGACCCCCAAAAACGAGCCCTTCGCTGACATGTAGTATTGACCAGCCGCTGTTGGCTTCACGGCGATTGTGTCGTGCGCACGCAGATAAAAGGCGCCGCCATGATAGCGACAGGCCACTGTTGTGTCTTGTCGGCCAATCACGGTTGTCATCTTTTCTTCGTGGTTTATAAAAATGCGATGGCCAGCCGTGTCCTGATTTCTGTTTCCAGAAAAGCACATTTGGCTGTAAATAAAGTACAGCCCATCTCTCATCACCTCGACGCGGCCTACACTGGAACGATAAGCAATCTTGTTTCCATTTTTGTTTGCCTTGGTCCATTGCGTGACGACATCCGTTTCTTAAATTACAGAAAGAAAGTCACACAGTCAGTATGACACCGTTCCTTAACCTTTTACACGCAGGCAAATTTAACTATCACAATTCCTTTCTGAGGTATGCGCAGATACAATTCTTGAATGGAAATGGCTAGGATCTTTTATTATTAAGGGTAAGCAAGGGGGAAGTATTAATATTTATATGAATTATCTTTTTTTTTTCCGACAAGAGAGTCAGTCACTTGAATCCAGTAACCTTCGTTTGCCCAACTTCTTCTTTTTCGAGGTACGGTTGTGCGGCATTTACAGGATAAATTTACCAACCTACTTAGCATCCGTTCTTTGGTATGTCTCCAACGATTTTCCGTCAAACAAATATTTCAGAGATTACTTACTCTGCAGTGCATATCTTTTTCCATTGCCATAAAGAAGTATGCTTTCAGGAATCTACAAAAACAAAAAAAAGAGACGTTAAAAACGACACAGAATGATATACATAAAAGTTGGATTGAAATTTCCTTAAGTACTGTGAGATCTAAAACTCTACCAAATCGTTTGTACTGTGAAAGGCAGGCTTGTAAACCTTTGTTTTTTCTGTGTTTGTGAAAGGAATTTACATTTATCGTCATCGATCGAATTTCAATAACAAATGAATAGAGGGGGTAAGTTTCTAGAGATACTGTGGTGCTGCGTTGGTGGGAGAGTATAACAGAGGTGAAGGTGTTATTGAAATTGACAGGGTGATTAAGTAATATCAACTGAGTTGATCACGTAAATTGGCCACCGTAAAGAGTTTAAAAGCTGACGTTTCGAGCGTTAGCCTCTAAAACTAGCTCCTAGTTTTTTCTATTTACGTTATCAACTCAGTTGAAACACCTCTAGCATTTGAAAAGAAAACAAAATTACGTAAAGAAGCAGAGCTGGCCAAATTCCGCTACGATACTCGATCCGACTTGGCTTGATCAGTCACCAGCCCCCTCAGCGGCCTTTGATTAATCCCTAGGACGCGTTGAGTTCCAGGGCCAAACAACAACCGCTAAGGTGACTAAATCATGTTTAAAGTAAAAACTATTTGACTGTAATATCAACACTTTGTTAACTAATGTTCTATCTAATCATTTCGGGCTTCCCATTTCATTCAAAGGAATGAACTGCATGCACTAAGCTTTCGTGCTTACCAAGGATTGTCGTTCGCCTGGGAGTTCTGTGTAAGTAAGGATGGTGAACATTGAAAAAATCAGTATTGCGTAATTATATACAGTCAAAAGTACTGTCAAGGACAGTGATTCATGCGAAAAAGCTCAACAAAACTAAATGAATCGAAGATTCCTACCTTAAAAAATCAATAATAGAACAGGAAGTGAAACTAAACAGAGAACGTTAAGATGCTCGAAAAACTGCAGCTATGAAACATGTATTATATAGGTTTTGACTTACGAGAGCGATGTTTCCTGCTGCTGTATTTATCCACCTCCTGACGACAAAAATATTAAGAGCAAAGATTATTTTAGCTATGCGAGCAAATCGCGTTTCTACACAACTTGAATAAGTTAATAAACGGCTTAATTTAGAAGAACTATTGCGATTTTCTTCAATAGATTTGACAAAAATAGATTTATTTTAGTACGAAGGAAGCTTGCAACTGACCATTTACATTTCCTTTTCATCTTTTCCAACTTCAACCTTGTTTTTTTCAATTTAGTATGTTCTACTTATTTGGGTGTGTTCCTTCCGGTTGGAGAACTAACATTGAGTAATTTCTTTATTTTTGAGGGAAATCATATTTATCTTGCCTTGGTTCAGTTAAAAAAAATTGAAGCCAATTCACAAGAGGAAAAAGTATGCTACGATGATTTTTTAAAGATAATTTCAACAAGTTTGCGTTTGTATTTTTAAACGTCTTACACTGAGATTCTTACAAACACGTGGCAACAGTTTAGAGGCAGTTCTCTAAAAATCTAACTTTGCACTTAGATATTCTTTTACATGCTCGTGGTCGTCGAGATTTTTAACAACTGCATTCAGATTTTTTTCCCATTTCGTTTAAATCTCTGGAAACTCGTAGATCAGGAAGTTAAAGCGATTCTTTGATTTAAAAATCTTACGGTGGCCACTTAAGAAGAAATTGACTCAGTTTTGACAAGGCAAACTATTTACTAACCTTTCCTTCAGCCACTTTTCTATCTGAACTGGCGACTTGTTCTTCTTCTTTAGCTTTCAACTCAGTTCTTGAGTGAAATTCTTTATCAAGCGACAACACGCGCTTGAAAGAGTACACGCTTAATACAAAAGATAGACAAACAACGATTGACAAGAAAACGCAGAAATAGATCAACCGAGCTGGTGTCTGAGGAGAAGAGCCCCTCTTCGTATTCTGTGGATTCTCCATTCTCAACTGCGATAATCTGACCAGGGCGGGTGGATGAAGTGAATGAGCGGTAGCCGTCGCACTGTACTAGTTATATACCCTGCTGTTTCCCCAGACAGTTTCAATTAAAGGCTATTATCGCTTTCCTTTGTCAAACCATAAGTGACAAAAATAGATAGATAGATGAACGATTTCGATTCAGAGGGAAACAGCTTTAGGGAACTTTTTTTTTCGTGTCTTCCTGAGTTTCTGTTCTCTACTCGTTCCATTCAATAATTACCGGTAATATCAGTTTCCACTGTGTAGAAACTATGTAGTAAGGAAGGAAAGATTGTTACGGTAGAATGGTTGCGGTGTTAATAAGACAAGTCTTTTGAAATCTAAAAGAATGTTGATATGTGCGATCAAAATCGATTCTCACCAAAAAAATTTTTGATTTTATCTCTCTACTATACTCTGTTATACTTTCAAAATGAGTCGGAGTCCCTAGTGAGTAATGCATTGATGATTAAAACGAGGTTTATTTATAATTATTTCCACTAATTCCGTCTGAAACGAAAACCTGTCTTACACCTTTGGCCTTTGCAGGGAAAAATCAAAATATCTTAATTGGATTTGAAATAGCATCTTATCAGACCTCAAATAAAATAACAGTGCCGGGAATCAACCCAAATATTTCAGGGGGTAAGTTTCTAAAGAAACTGTGGTGCTGCGTTGATGGGGATATTACACGATAGACTGGTTTCATCAATTGAATTAATAATGTAAAATACAAAATACAATAAAAAGCTCATGATACGCATTATTATTTCTAGAGTATTACAATGTTCTATTAAAAGGAATCAAAACCACTGAATAAAAAAGTGAAAGAAAGGGCTGGCTGCCAATTTCGGAAGTTTTGAACGAAGACAAAGGGCGCTTTTCGATAGATATTCCTCTTTCAGTTTCTGAGCAATTCAGGGACAGTTATCAATTGGCAGTAAAAACACATTTACTTTTCAAACGGCTGGAATTCTGGTCAAACTCGACAAACGTAAAAGCCGGATGACCCATACAGTCCAGAATTTTGTTTTTTCATTTCCATTTCGGCCCAACACATGGCCAGCTGTGCATCAGAGACCATGTAAAAAATTTCCGGTTTCTGGCGTAGTCGAACTTAGCAGGCATGACCCTGAATTAGACATTTGCAGATTTCCTCCCCTGAGTTGCCAGAGTTCCTGTGTTTGTTTATCGCAGGGAATTTATAGGAAATGGGAAAGGTCATTTTATCGTTAAGAGCCCCAATATTAAAGTCTCTTATTTTTTCAAAACATCCGTAAATGATCTATAATTCCACTTTGAATACTAACTAAAACTAACAGATTTGACGTTGAACTGTAGAAGATGGTGACTAGTATAGTTTTGAAAAATACGAATTTAGCTCACTACGATTTAACTTAACTGAAAGCACCATGCATCTTTATTCTTTACAGATTTCGTGAGAAAGTGGTAAAAGCTTGAATGAAACTTGTTTAAAAAGTCTGGGGCGCAATTGAGTGGGTTGAATCCGCCGTTGAAGGTAAGCACTCAACATTCTGCTCTTTACAAGCTAACGTGTGTGTAACACGAGTGTCACTCGATGGCAACTTTCCTCGGTCTTCTTTGACAGCAGGGGCGCATGCTCAAATTCCTCTAAATATTTCTTAATGTTATCGAGTTGGTAACTTTGCTTAGAACCAAAGATAAACTTGAGCAAAATGTTCACATGTTGTAGAAACCAATCCCCCTCCTAGCCCCAGTCCTCGCGGATATTCATCATGAGATTGACTTTCGCGCGGATCATGCAAATAAAACGTGTGAGTGCGAGTTCAAATTTAATCGCGAGTACGTCCTTATGCCAGCTATATTCCAAAATCGTCCCGTAAATTGCCCTGTCGTCGAGTGTCTCGTATTTATTACGTTACTAGTATTTCCTGTTATTTGTATTTCCTGTTATTCGTATTTCCTGTTATTCGTATTCCCTGTTATTCGTATTCCCTGTTATTCGTATTCCCTGTTATTCGTATTTCCTGTTATTCGTATTACCTGTTATTCGTATTCCCTGTTATTCGTATTCCCTGTTATTCGTATTCCCTGTTATTCGTATTCCCTGTTATTCGTATTCCCTGTTATTCGTATTTCCTATGTTATTTCCAATCTTGTAATTAGTTGTTTCGTTCTTAATGTATCTTGTTCGTAATACTTTATTAAGAAACTACTGGCAATGACGTGTAAATAGAAGAGTTCGGTCGAGTCGTAAGGAAATTAAACTCCTCCTAAATGTATTACCGGCCGTTTGGTTATACATGTTTTTATTCTGCTTATGGTGCTATTGCATTAGAAGTAGAATATCACATCATGGTGTCTAACAGAAAGAAGTGACCGCAAGAAAGAACTACAGGCTTATTTTCTGCTCTTTTTAATACCGTGTTGCACTAATGACATCTGAAATGCTTATCGTTTTTAAACTTTAACGCGCGTTAACAAGTTTTCAAACAACAAAATCTGGGACAACTCTCAGTAGAAAAAATAACCTGACGTTTTCGAGTGGTTTTAGATAAGGAATACTCCGAGAAATGAGCTCTTCCTTGACATGTAGTATTGACCAGTCGCTGCTGGCTTCACGGCGATTTTGTCACTCGCATTCAGATAAAAAGCGCCGCCATGATAGCGACAGGCCACTGTTGTGTTTTGTCGGCCAATCACGGTTGTCATCTTTTCTTCGAAGTTGATAAAAGTGCGATGGCCGGCCGTGTCCTGATTTCTGTTTCCAGAAGAGCACATTTGGCTGTAAATGAAGTACAGTCCATCTCTCATCACCTCGACGAGGCCTACACTGGAATGATAAACTATGTTGCGTCCATTTTTGTTTGCCTCGGTCCATTTCGTGATGGCATGCGTTTCTTGAATTACAAAAAAAATTACGTAGTGGGTATGATAGTAGTCTCTATTGCTGTCTTCACGATTAAACCTGAATGTAATAAATCCTTTTGAGACAGGCACAAATCATTAAGGGAATTAAGAAGGATTTCCTATTCGTAAGGTTTCCTAGTAACATTTGGGGAAAGGCTGGTTTGTCTTTACCATATATTAGCATGAATTTTCCCTTTTTCTTGACTAAAAGTTGAGTACACCTAACAATATTTATCGAGATATAGTTTATTTGACATAACTTACCTGGCAGGATACTTGTATCTCCATTGCCATAGAGCAGGATGTTATCAGGTGTCTACGAAAAGAAAACAAACACATCTTGCCACAGAAATGATGAACAAAACTATTTTTAAGCGAAATTTGGATTTAAATCGTTTACCTTGTAAGAGGCAGAGTTGCGACGTTTCCTGCTACCGTGTTTATTCACCTCCTGAAAAAGATATCAAAAAGAGCAAAGACTCAGTGGGCATGGAGAAGAAACCGCGTTTCGACACAAACAATAAGTTCATAGTAGACTTGAATGGGAATAACTATCATGATTTTCTTCTGTAGATATGATAAAAATTGCTTCATTACGATAGGAAGCTCGATAATCATTCATTTACATGTCCACCTCATCTCAATTCTGTAACCGTAACCATCCTTGTGCAGTCTGATTGGTTTTCTTTGTTTATGTGTGATTTATCTTGTTGAACTAAAATTATGTTATGTCTCTTATATTGAGGACAATCGCAAAATCATCGTGAAACAATTCAGATAAAAAATTAAAATTCATATAGAACAGGAAATAGAACTCGACGATAATTCTTTGATAAATAATTTCAAAAGTTTCCCCTGTATATCTTGGCCTCCGATAAATCCCTTTATTACCAACACGTAGCAACTTTTAAGACGCAGTTCTCTACAAATCTAATTTTATCACCTTCATGTTCTCTCTCATACTTGTGATCGTCCAGACTTCAGATACTGCGTACAGTTTTTCCCAACTTATTTTCTCTTAGGAAACCCTCAGATCAGTGAATTGAGGAATTTTTGGTTTCAAGCTCTTATCAACAATTCACTTACCTTTCCCTCAGTCAGCTTACTATCCGAGCTGGCATAGTGTTCTTCTCCCGTGACTTTCAGCTCGTTTATCGAATGGAATTCTTTATCGAGAGACAACACGCGCTTAAAAGAGTAGAAACTTAATGCAAAAGAAAGACAAACAACGATTGACAAGAAAACACAGAAGTAAATCAACCGAGCTGGTGTCTGACGAGAAGGGCCCCTCTTCGTATTCTGTGGATTCTCCATTCTGAGCTGCGATAATCTGACCAGCGCGGGTAGATGAAGTGAATGAGCGGTAGCCGTACTATACAAGTTATATACCTTGCTGTTTCCATAGATAGTTTCAATGAAAGGCCATATCGTATTCCACAGATAAGGAAATGTGTTCGTCTTCCTCGCTTGGAGGATTAATATCAGTTTTTTAAGAGTTCTATTTCAGTGTCGGTTCACAAAGGAAGGAAGGAAGGATTGACTTATGATGGCCGGGTGTGGTGATGATAACATGGGTCCTTTAAAACCTGAAAGAATGTCCGTTTGTGCCATCAAAATCGATTCTCATTGTGTCAACGTTAACTTACTTTTCTTTACCATAACCCAGGCTGCTCTCAAAATGAGCCTGACACATCAGTGTCCCCAGTTGTATATGAAATGCATTACTATTTCCGTCAATAATTGCCCCTCTGGCCACATATGGGTATTCCTATCGATCAGGACATATTTCAGATGAAATAGGGGTATTATAAGCAAAGTCTTAGTATGAATGATTTTTGCATGATTTACGCTGAAAGCTTTTCAATATTGGTCAAAATCTCAGAGAACCTAATCTAAAAGGTTAGAAGTTTATGAGAAAAGTTTACGATCGCATAATCTTGAGTCTTAAAATCTATCAAATATTTTCGCTCGGGCGCTATTGGTTTAGAACCGAATATTATCTGCTAGAACTGGGGATTGGCGGTGCTTCCAATACGGTGGAAGTCTTCTTTTAAAGTTGATTCAAGTTAGGAGAGAGAGTTTTGTTAATGTTACAGAAGATGAGGGAAGTTATTTGTTCATGAATTCACTGCAAAATTAAAATATCCGCATTCCACGGTAAACCCTTTGAAAACGGTTTGTTTCGCGCGCTGAAAAGTTTCCACGATCAAATTTTCAGGCTCAATTTTGCACCATCATTCCACAAGGACAGCAATTGGTCGATAAGAACACAGCACTCTTGTGTTTGACGTTGTTGTTCTAGCAACAATTAGCTAGCAAAAAACACAAAATCCCTCATGAGATATGAGTGTGCCAAAATCACGCCGGAATACCGGAACACGACAGAAGACCCAGACAAGCCTGAAAACCAAAACCAGTAGGAACACTGAAACAGGCAGGAAGACCTGAACAAGCCGGAATACCGCAAAATACAAAAAAATGACAATAAAGAAAAAAATCGAATAATGTATACAAGAATGTATAAGAGCAGGCGATAAAACAGGATGAACGCATTGCTGATAAGCCAATGGGAAGATTGTGACATAAGTCACACAATATTGATACGGGCGTGACATAGAATGAGAGCTTCAGCAACAACATTACCAAATAGTTCATTCTGCGCTTAGGCCCCTGACCTAAAATTTCGACCAAATGAGGCTTAGTCATTTTTGTGCACGACGCCTTTGTAACAGCTATATGTACGATTGGTGAATGAAACAGAGTATTCCAAGCTTAGATACCAATGGACCGCTGAAAGCAGAAATTAGACCGTAGACTTATCTAGTTATTTCAGTTATTTTTCTTCACTCACACGTTGATACTGTATTGAAAGCAGGTTTTTTAAAAATATTTTTATTTAGGAAATGGTCAGAAAATCCACGAAAGGAATTGTTGTATAAAGTTAACACGGCACATGGTAAGCTTTTAAATAAAAAGCTGATTTGAAGTAGGATAAGTGGCAGGTTGGACGGAATTTTTAAGTATTATGGTTGTTTGTGACTGTATTGTGATATACATTCCAATTATTTGACTGAGAACACAAATTTTAATCCATTTTCCACCAATCTGGCCACTAGCAAATACAAAGACAAGACACTAAACACATAATAAGTGAAAATGCCCACAAATCAGCAGCAATGTTAATATCTGTATGATAAAGTAATGAAAGCTTTGAGGAAGTCTATCGTCATTCGGGACATCCTATCCTTCAGTTAAATCAGTTCGATTCACCAGAATACAACAAGAACGCTCCAAAGAAACTGGCACCAGATTTCATGCTGTAATGTCGAACGTACGGTATACGAACAGAGATGGTGTCGTTGGCTTTGAGCAGAAACATTCCACCGTGGTATTTGGTACTAAACTTCGTTTTGTCGGTAAGAGCGCTCCCCACACTTTCCAAAACCCTTTCATCGTTGATGTATGTGTGGTGAGCCATCACGTTAGTCCGAGCATCGTGATAATACATTTGGCTGTATATGAAGTAATGTCCGGCTTTGACGACTGTAATGAAGCCTCTGTCGTAGTGAATATAGCCCAACTTATTACGTACAACCCAGTTGGTTATAAGAATACTTGCTGTGTAAAAACAATCACAGTAAATTTTGGCACAATGACGTCACAAGTCTACTGTGTCTCCCCTCCCTCTTCCCGCTCTTCTCGTTGTTCCCCTTACTCCGTTAGTTTGTAGAACGTCAACAGATGGTTAAAATTTTTATGCAAAAAGAATAAATCTTATTCCTTGCGGTAGCAAAACTTGAAATAATTATCAGGTAACAACGAATATGTCTCCAGTTCTGCTGGACTAGTTAAGCTTATACAAGAGAGCTTGAGCTATCTTCTCTTGGCTTTGAGATATAATGATATTTTAATGATAAACTGCTACTCACAAGGATTTCTTAGGATTGTGTTGTCTCCGACCAGGTAGATGCTTTCTCTAACCTGTCCAAAAAATGTAGGTCTGCTAAAGTTGCAAAGTAGGTAGCCTTATTTGGTAACAGAACATAGTTGCCTGGTGAAAGGCCAAGAGTATGTCGGGTGCAATATCTCGATCTCTTACCCTTGAGGAAAAATTATGTTGCGAAAGTTTCCCCGGCCAGGCATGCTATATGTTCTCAAAATGGGTGTAATCTATTCACAATAGAAACTAAATCCAACGATATTAGACGATATTTAGTAAAATCAAAAATGCCTTACAGGCTCTTGTGGTTGTATTGTCGCTCTGTGACCTAAGAAATTCAAGAAAAATAGTTTATTTCGACTTTAAGAAACAACTGATATCGCTTTTAAAAAATAAATGCACCTCCTTTCAAAACTTCCGAACCATTAATGACTATACAGCATGTATATACAAAGAATGCCGAGGGAAAGCACTTTGGAAGTTGTACTTAAACGGGCTGATTTTGGTAAGAGGGCTGTTTGGGTGGTGCGGGCCCAAGTTGATAAACGACAAACGACGAGCATCAGTCTCAAGATGGTCATCTCGTTTTTATTGTTGCTTTCTTCTCTCCCTTTTTTTTCAAAGTTTTGGCTCTTGCGCTTTGAAATATTCCAAACTTGGTCTATCTACACGGGGCATAAATTGAAATAGCGCTATAAGAAATTTTACAACTTGAGAGGTGCACACCTGTGGCTAATGATCGATTGGTCGTGTAATCATGTAGGGCAAAGATACTGAGATTTTGCGTCTTCATAGACTCGTAGAAAGAAATTCGATGTACACGAAAGGATGTTCTTTGCTGGACTCGCTCTGACCAAGGACAAACGATCGAGACTATAAATTCTCTTTGCTGTGGCAAATCCACGTTATCAACTTAGTTGATAAAACCAAATTATATTGTAACAACTCCAACTGACGCAGCAACACAGTTTCTTCAGAAACTTACTCTCTTTAGATACAAACTTCTAACAGAAGTTACCTTATTCAGATTTCTCTAAATTTACGACGCTGGGTCTAGGGAGAAGAACAAGGAAAAGAAAATCCACTTGGCCAGTATTGAAGCCGCAAAAGAAAACGGTGCAAAAGCCGAAAAGGAATCGTACAGAACAGGTTAACAATCCTATACAGAACTACTTTTTGAAAGATACATTACAATCAAAAGGTGAAATATCAAGAATACCTGGGGGACCAATAGGACCGGAAGGGCCTGGTACACCTGGCGAGCCGAGTTTCCCCGGGGCCCTACAAAAGAAAGTGAAAACCATAAAGTACAGACACTAATTTAGTTAGCTGTTGCTAACATATAACAAACACCATTAGAGTCTTAAAACCAACTGATAACATGAACCCAGAATTGTTTTCTAAGTAATAGATTTATGCAAGAGATTATAAACTCTTGATTTATAACATTCGACCGGAATGACTTTACCCAATTCGTCACTTGACTCTGATAATAAACAGTAATTTTCACCGAAAACAGTTATCAGAACCACTTTGTTCGAAAGATTACACTACCTGATTAAATGAAGCTATAAACGTAACCAAGAAAAAACCGGATGGTCCTTAAATTTATCTGAAAAAGCTCTATCTACCAGGAGGCTTATTAGCATTGGCTTTGAAACCAATAGAACCCATTTTCAAGAGGATGTGAAGGATATACATCCAAAAAATAAAATTCTAGGAAAACAGTACCTTGGAGGCCAATAGGACCAGAGACCCCAGGGGGGCCGGGGGGGCCAGAAGGACCGGAAGGACCAGGGGGGCCGGGTATCGCCTGCTCGACCCGTCTACTCGGTTCTTCTGAAAATGAAAGAAAAAGGAATAAAATCTACCTTGAGGTAAATCATGATCAAGTAAAAATATTCCAAACTTTGAGGTAAAGTGCATAAATGAAAACATACGATGATACCCCCTCAGTAGGCGAAAGAAGAAGCTTACAAAGAGCCTAGTGCAGAGTAATGATTAATTGGGAGACGTAGATGAACCTTAAAGAAGTATATTCGACCTTAACTTCCCCGGTCGGGGGGAGGGAGTTAACAAATAGACTGAGTGAAACACAGAGACAGATAAACAGACACACAGACATGCAAATGGAAAGACAGACAGACAGTGAAAAGATAGCAGGTTTTCAGCTAGATTCTTGAAAACAAGAACACATCCGCGGGCCATTGTCAAGATAGAATATGGGTTAATAGTAATTTTAAGCACCCCCAACGATTAGGCTAATCAGTAAACTTTACAAAGAGTTTATTTTTTGCGCAACTTGATACAAAATTTAGCGAAATTTTTCGATACTGAGCTCTTCTAAGTACACTTTAATGCCTGTACAGATGTTGGAAAGTATGATCAAAGTTGCCTTTATTTTAAGGGTAGGCAAACCTGAGGATAGAAGATCTCCAAGCAAAAACGCTCCAAAGAAACTGCCCTCTCTGTCCATGAAGTAGTGCGTAGTGTAAAGTATGTGGACCGAGATGGTGTCGTTTTCCAGCAGTAAGAAAACTCCACCATGATACTTGGTGTTATACTTCCGTATGGGACTTATAACGCTCCCGGCACTTCCCATGACCTTTCTGTCATTGATGTACGTATTATGACCCACTAGCATTTTGGAACCATCAAAATAGAACATCTGACTGTAGATGTAGTAGTAGCCTTTTCTCTTCACTTCTATGAATCCAGTGGTCGGGTGATATTTGATGCTGCCATCTCTATGCCTCTCGTTCCACTGGGTTATGGCTTTAGATTCTAGAGATAAAATCGTACCTAGTTGGCTAAACCATCGCATTAGTAATTATTGGCATGCATTCGGTACACTGTACTCATTATGGTTTACATATTACGTAAAAGACAAGGAAAATACTTTCATTATAAATTTGAACTGTCGGCTATAGATGAAATATTAACCGGATCGTTTGATGTAAATGACTCCTTCACTGTCAGCAAACGTTAACTCCTCCCTTTTGCGTTTCATTCGAGCTTGTAATCCGTGGAACTGCCACTTAAAATTTCTCAATGACCTAATTTTTATGATTGGATGCTTTAAAGATTGTCGGAAACATGGAGACGCCCCCACGCGAGAACAATTTCGTTACCTTTTGAAACCAGATACTTGTTTTGTTTGTACAGTAATTTGTTGATTGATGGACACGTAAAATTGAACTACAATAATCGCATGCACATTAGACTTTGATCAGTCCTTCTTTCGAAGCGAAGACTAGGTTGTGTTAGTAGGTTTTACGATACGAGATCAATTTTGTTATAGCAGGACGAATTAATTAAACGAATCAATTGACAAATCAATACAAGTTTAGAAGTTTATGACAAAGATTTCAGAATCTCTTAAATTCAAAATGGTTTCGTTTTTTGTGAGGTGACAGCCGAAAAAAAATGAGTCGCAGCTTTTACTTTTGGAAGCGGTACACACGAAGCGGTTTTTCAATCGACTTATCGCCACATGTGTCCCCGGCGGTAGATCCGTTTGTTCCATTGGTTAATATTCTTATGCTTTTCTCCACCTCAACTCATGAAATCTTCTCTATTTTATATACCTCTAGTAGGAGAAAGGCGTTCCTTTTAAGTGGGACAGTCTTGTGCACCTTGCTACTGACTTCTTACCAACCGAGCGTGAGGGCCGTATTACGAAAAATTTGGCTCGAGGTCGAGGTAAAATGGACCGAGCGCAGCAAGATAGGTACAAAACAACTGAGTGCCACTATTTCCCAGTACGGTATGAGCAAGTGAAGCTAGTAGTTTATTATATGCCACTCGGAGCAACCTTATTTACCTTGAATTGGCCGGCTTTCACGACCGTTAATTTCCTATAGTAAAGAAGATCAGCCTATGAGAACCTTCGACGTCCAGCGAAGGTTCTCATAGGCAAATAAGCGGGCAATCAGTTCTAACTATGAAACTAGCTTTTAATAGTAAATAGAAAAATGAACCAAATTTTTTATTACTCGTCGTCCGCACTTTTTGTCCATCACCAACCAGATGAATACTTTCATGGCTCTAAAAGATGAAAAAGACTGTTTTGATAAGAAAGTAACCCCACTTACCACTCATATTGCCCCAACGTGCTGGTGCTTGAAGAGTGATAAAAATAAATAAACCCCTTTATTGGGAGGGTTAAAAAGTGAATAGGCCCCCTTCTGGCTCGCTGGTATGTCGGCCGATAATGCCCGCTGCTGAGATATTGTCAAAAAGTTAATATCTGGCCGAAGAGCCAAGCTTCGAGTGCAAATGTGAGATTTTGAGGACAATCTCTCAGCCGCGGACATTATCAGCCGAAATACCAGCGAGCCAGAAGGGGGCCTATTCACTTTTTAACCCTCCCAATAAATTTCGCGTAGTGTGTTGACAGCAAATTTTGTTGACATTTTTGTTCTTTCCGGAGCAACACTTGAGATTAACTGTTTAATGTCACTACCACTGGAAAACTATTCGCATCTCGCAACAATTTATGTCCGCGATCAAACATCCGTGCATATTTTCGCGCCAAATGGAGGCTGTTGTTTATTTATACCACTCACCTGATATCCTACGGGTCCACGTGGTCCTACGAAATGGAAAACGACTGATTACAACATAGAAATAATGAATCAAGTTGCAAACAGCTGTGCTGCTTATATTTCTTTCCTTGACAGAGTCATAACGAAGTCAACCGATGATTTCGTAAAAGGGTCACAAAGTTCCTATGTACTCGTGTGAAACATCTCGATAGAACATCAGTTCTACCCTAACATATGAAAGCATGATGTCTCAGGGAGGGATGCTCACTTCGACGGAATCGTCAGTTCGTACATGAAACAAGGTGATTACTCACGCTGTTTACGGTTCACGTATTTAAATATCGTCTCAAATCTCGTATAATTCTTAGAATTTAAGTCACCTGCCGAGAAGTTTCAGACTCGGGTTCACATCAAAGTGCTTTAAACTCGATGCTTTGTGCTTCTGCGGTTTTTTTTTCGGAAGTTTACCTGACACGAGAGAAGCTCACAAACGCTGTCAAGTATCTAAACATTAATATCGAACATCGAATTGTAGTGTGATCCAAGCGGAAACATTAATTCCTATCCCCAAAGGTTTATACGAAGGAACTCGAGTGTTTTTTTTTTTCTTATACACATGGCCTTAAGTGACCTCATTCGATATCCATTGATGTCTATGAAGCTCAGCTAAGCTAAGAGAAAGAGGAAAGGAAAATTCTCTAGATCAAGTAATTGTGGACTGAAGTGAACTCTTCACCTGAGGATGATTTCCACCAATGTGGAAAGGACCATTCTGACACAGATGGTCACAGAAAACACATAACGACTAATGAAAACATAGAAGAAAAACAAATGAATCGTAATGGAAACATTTGATTTATTTAGATAATAAACGCTTCAAGTCTTGCCTTACACACCTGCAATAAAAAGCCATTTTCAAAAGGCATACCTTGGGGGCCTATAGGGCCGGGGGCTCCGGATGGCCCAGGTGGACCGGAAGGCCCGGGTTTCCCCTTCTTCCCGCGTCTACCAGGAGCTCCTGGAAATTAAGGAAGGAAACTCTGAAAGGTTAAATATGTTTTACGCTCTACAAGTTTAATACAAAAATTTGATGGTAATCCTTCAACGTGTCACCTAAAGCGAGAGTAGAAGCCTGTTTGAAGGGCTCCCTTCTGTTTGCGACTAGACTCAAGTTAATGTGCATGAACGCTTCTGACTCGTTCTCGTATTTTATCGTCTACTGATGAATTAGAGAACCTAGGATGTACAAATCTCAACTTTAGCAGACATAACTGAGGAATTTTATGCTGCAAATTTTGACGAAGATGCACTTTTAGTTGGGTCACACAACAGAACAGTGCCTCACTTACCAACACAAGTACAAAGGTCTGGAGCATCCTTCCGAATCCGAACTGCTTTTGATCCCTAAGTAGACAGCGCGATTACTTAGGAGGTAACATGGTGAAAATCAAACGTTGATTTATGTAGGAATTACAAAGGAGTGCAAGCGTAAAATGAGGTACTAACCTGAATGTCGTAAGCGCTGTTATGGAGTTGTAAGTTCTGGATAATCTTCTGATGTTCACGGATTTGCATTTTGAGCAAGGAAAGTTCTCTGTGCGTGTAAACAGCGAAAAAAATCCCTGCAAAAGCCAACAACAAACAGCAAATTACAACAGGGAGGAGATATCCTTCCTGGCCGGGTCTTTTCTTTTCCATGATCCTTAGAGCGCGACAACAACAATGGAAGCAAAAAGGCCTTGCTGTGGAGGGAATTTCCTCTTTGAAATCCGAAATCAACAGATCGACGCATTGGCCATGAGCCCATTGCAAAAATCCACGTGACAGAGGTCACACACCGTCGCTTTATGCGTGCACGGATCTCCGGCCAAAGATTTTCTTCTAAGATTTTCCGCCAATATCTCGATGCGTTGACCATTTCTGACGGTACGACTTCTTCACTTTGAAATCCGAAATCACTAGATCGACGTATTGGCCATGAGACAATTGCCAAAATCCACGTGACAGAGGGCACACACCGTCGCTTTATGCGTGCACGGATCTCCGGCCAAAGATTTTCTTCTAAGATTTTCGCTAATATCTCGATGCGTTGACCTTTTCTGACGGTCCGACTTCTTCACTTTGAAATCCGAAACCACCAGATCGACGCATTGGCCATGAGCCAATTGCCAAAATGCACGTGAAAGAGGTCATACACCGTCGCTTTGTGCGTGCACGGATTTCCGGCCAAAGATTTTTAGTCGGGCGACCGACTATAGGTTTACCCTCGGGTTTCTCCACAAAGAGTCACGTGCAATGGGGAATACCGCAGACACGTAATAGAGGCGCAACCTTCTTTCCACCATGTCGAACATGGCGGATTTGTCGAATATCCTAGCAAATGGTGTCATCTTTTGTACGCTTAAGCATTCAGACTCACACACCGTTCGCGGTAGACCTACTCTAAAAGATGGCTTGTGTAATAAGCGTATATTTCGAAACAGGTCGTTCCGCGAACTCAAAATAGCAAAAGAATCAAATGATTTAGCAAAGGTCTCACTAGAATCTATAAAAGCGGGAATCTTTAAAACGGGAAATCTTTAAAAGCGGGAAACTTTAAAAGTGGTAATCTTTAAAAGCGGGAATCTTTAAAAGCGGGATTCTTTAAAAGCGGGAATCTTTAAAACCGGGAATCTTTAAAACGAAAAATCTTTAAAAGCGGGAATCTTTAAAACGAGGAATCTCTAAAAGCGGAATCTTCAAAATAGGGAATCTTTAAAAAAGTAACAATTTTTTTTGCCAGATGGCAGTATCACTCGATTATCATTTCTTTTATCAGCCTGAGAGATAAGTCAGTTATCAGCCTTCTAAGCAATCATGATTGAATACTCTGATCTACATCGTTTTCCGGTGATCTTCAGGGTTCAAAATAACAGCCGGCTGCCGTTTTAAAAGCTTTCAGGAAACGTAAACAAGTAAAAAGTTTCGAAATTTGAAACGTGCTACAGGGAGTATTTTTGTTTACAGTATTTAGCTTTTACGTATTTGTTCAAGCGTGAAACATGCAAGTTTGTCTCCATACCGTCAATTTACCGTGTTTATGTTTCTGCACGTACATACTTCTTTTAATCAAGATTTATTTTCCGCCAAATCCTGTTTGATGTCGTTTGTATAGTCTTCTCACGCGTTCAAATTAAAGTCGGTGCTTGACAGTACGGATTTCTGTTCAGCCTCAAAAGGTCCACAGCAGCAGCCTCTGTGATACCTGTCATGTCAGGGTATTGCACCAAAAATATGTGACAGTGTGTTGTTGTAGAATTGGTGCCTCTCAGGGGTGAAAAAATTTTAAAGCCACGCCCACAAACCAGGACCATGGTACCTCTGTATTTCTTTTACAACCGCTGGGCACCATGAATGGTCAACACTTGTAACAGCGCGTCTACCTGTAGCCCGACTTACGATCTTAGATCGTCTTGTCTTCTAAGATTTTCGCCAATATCTCGATGCGTTAACCATTTCTGACAGTAAGACTTCTTCACTTCGGCATAACATGTGAATATGGTGTGAGTTCAAAGTAAAAACGTGACTCGATCGCTTTTGACGTTTTATTGCTAAGAGGACATAAAAATTGGTGTTTTAACGTTTAAGCTCTGCATGGGACGGCTAGGAAAAGTACTCGTATTTCGCTTTTGCCTTTTTGTAACATGAACGCCACCCCGCTAAGGCAGGTCACCCCACCTATCATGTAAACGTGATCAAGATAAAATAATGGATTATCTGGACAGGCGGGTTACCTCACCTACCTGGGGTCCCCACCTCCATGTAAACAGGCCTTAATCAAGAACGGGGTGCTTATGGGAAGCAGGGCATTTAAGCTAGACGAAGGGCTAACGCTTGAAACGTCAGCTTTTTTTACCCTTTACGGCGGCCAATTTACGTTTTCAATTCAGTTGTCAACACTAAGTTACCTGCTATACCCTTCCACCGACGCAGCATCACAGTTTCTTTAGAAAATTACCCCCTTTATTCATCTAAGCTAAAGGTGCGCATATGATTGATTGTTAAATTTTCTCTCAATGAAATGTTACTTTGCTTCAGGCTGATCAAAACATAATTGGAATATGCAAAGTTTATCTTGGCAAGAATATCGCGTTAAACACAGGTCACTCATGGGAAACTTCTGATAAATAAAACAGAAAACGCACATATACATAAGCAAAAGGAAAATAAATGATTATGTGACACATTCTGTTATCGATGATGGTTAAACTCGAAAGATTACGGAGAAAAGTGCAAAGTGCTGCTGGTTTTCTCCTTAACTCCAAATTAGAAAGTGAAGACAGGAGACGCTAGTCTTATTTTGTGTTCCTAGAATGATCGAAAATTGATCTCTCCTTACGATATCGATACTTTCGTACAGAAAGGTTTTGAGAGGAAAAGAAAGATGTCAACAAGGGGATATTGCCTGATTTAGCTCCAAACTCTCAGATCTAAGATTGTGGGAAATGTATGGCAAACAGTTTGGAGAATTCATGCTTAGATTTTGGGAGTCAACTGTTATGGCCTCAAGTGCCAATCAGACACCAGCCTTAAGCACTACTTCTCGGGGAAAATCCCTCTCTTGAAATGAATATAATGAACTTTGAAAAGGCACGTGATAATTGTTTCATCAACTGAAACTACAAAATTAAAAAAAATGTATACACACGGCAGTACCACAGAGATATACATCGCACTATTTTGCATCTCTCCTAGGATTTACATAACTTGAATTTGAAGCGCATGGGCTTAGTTTATTGTATGCAGGAAGGTGGAAGGGGTATGTGTTAGAAATTCATGTAGGCAGAACATAAGTAAAAGCTTACTTTATTTCGATTCCAGCAAATATTTAATAAAAAAATACAACCAAAACAATGATTACCGAAAAACTTAAAAAATATTTGACTCAGTATTTTAACACAATGGTAAGGTGAAATTCATGTAAGATACTTGCGCATCTTGACTGAATTTGCCTAAGTTTCATTTTTGTTAGTTATAAACTGGGTTCATGTTCTTGAAACTTTACCATTTGCATTCCTTTTGGTGATGTTCATCCTTCTCTTACTTTCGCTCATCAGTTTAAAACTATAGGCTGGGCTTTCTTCCGTTTAAGAAACGTATTAAGCAAAATGATGTAAAACATAGTATCGCACCTAGCACTATTGAGAGATTGGCACACCTCCATAAGTTCTAAAAATCCAACGAGCCAAATCAAAGGTACTGAAACAATACTGGGTATAGTCGTCCAATCAACAATATCAAAAGTGAACTTGCATAGCAGTCAATTTCCTTTCTTGTAAAAAAATCAATGATACTAAAATGCAAGCAATATAATACAAATACCTTTGAATATCAAAGGACTTTATGTAAGCTATACTGACAAGAACCTAACTTACACCATCTTTTGAGACAAGGCGAGTCCACAAAACATTCGTAATAGGCCGTTAAGTGTTGTGTTCACGAAAAATTCAGGAATGAACTATTAACTAAGACAATTTCTGCGTTAGAGAACGCAGCAATCAAGCCTTAAAAGGAATAACGTTTGCACTGGTTGAAAAACAGCTACACACCAACAAATTTCCTAAAAATTCTATGGATTTGATATGACAAGGAACAGTGTTACAGTCATAGACGAGTGGTCTTTGATCTTGAATCTTTAGTATTATACACGTGAAGTTTCTCCTTTAGGTGTAAGTACGATATCTCGCAGATAGGTTACAAAAAGATCAATCAAAATTAGCGAAAACCACACTGAGTCGTGATCAGCTGAATGAAGACAGTTTCTTCAAACTTTCTACGTTTCTTGTCACAGAAAATTTCAGAAAGATATAAATGTTGCCTATAAAGGTATTGAAGCTGCCCAAACATGATGGAATTGTAGCTGTCTGTAACGCGAAAACATTATCTGTGGGTCAAGGAACAGTAGCATGGAGTAAAAATGCGCCGAAATAACTCGAACTGGGATTCATGAAATAGTGATTTGAAAAGGGAGTTTTGATTGAAACGGTGTCAGTGCTGTTTAGAAACACCACACCACCGTTATAGTTTGTGTTATATTTTCGGTCCTCGCTAATAACGGCAGATGTGCTTTCCATGAATTTTTCCGAGTTGACGAACAATTGATGGCTAACTTGATATGGTAAACCGTCGTGGTAAAACATCTGCGAGTACACGAAATAAAATCCAGCAATTTGTATTCGAATGAATCCTTGATTGAACTGAAGTCTGCCTGATCTGTATTTCAATTGCCAGTTCCTCACCGTGCGTCTTGTTACTGAAATGAAATAAACGCAGTCTTGATGGAAAAATTACTGCTAAATTTTGTGATCAGAAATTGAGATCATGAATGTTCGAGAAACCAGTAAACCAATTGGGATGATGATTTTCACTACTATGTTACTTGAGTAGAAAATTTCACTCATTATCGATTGATGTGTAATTTACTCCCTCTTGCATGCTTTGAAAGGCCTCCTAAATACCATTGTAATAGCTGAATCGGTATCACGATTTTTAAACGAATCGCGTACTACGAAACTTGTATCAGTTAGTCATATATTTGATCAATGAACGTATCTGTCAATGGTTATGTATTCTCTCTGTCCCATACTACTATGTAACATTTGATCACGTGGTATTGTTCTAACAGCAACCTGGATAAATACAATGTCCTTTTGCCTTTGGGAACAAGTTCAATACAAATCTTGCAAAGTTGAAAAAGGCGTGTCTGAGGAACCAGCAAGAGGCACAGATCCGGCGGCATCAAGACCACGTGACAAGTGGACAAAACATGTTCAACTTTAAGCCTGGAACACGGAAAAGTATCTCTGCATTGAGGCCTATCAGACAGCTACAAAAAACTAAATTTGCATTCCGTGGAAAGATATCAAATACAGGGTAATTTCCTCGTGTGTATCGGCCTAAACTTCAAACAAATCTTAAAAACTAGCGTGACTTGAAGCGACCTACGTAAAGTACATGTAAACCCTTTTGCTATCTGGTAAATGATAAAATTCTACCATAAATGAGTACGGTCCCTTCTTCAGACTTTTTTTACTCAAAAGGGAAATCTCAGTCTGAAAGAACGAAGGGCCTAAGTCGCCTACCAAGTCACAAACAGACTCAAGTGCTACGGAATGGTAGATTATAGACATTGGAGGGGCACAAAATTCTCCCTTCAAGTTTAAAGGAGGTATTGTTGTTTTGCCATTCCCTCTATTTAGTCGATATAATGGAGCAGAAATGCCCCAAAGAAACTGCCCTCACTATCCATGAAGTAGTGCGTAGTGTAAGGTATGTGGACTGAGATGGTGTCGTTTTCCTGCAGTAAGAAAACTCCACCATGATACTTGGTGTTATACTTCCGTTTGGGACCTATAACGCTCCCGGCACTTTCCATGACCTTTTCGTGATTGATGTACGTATGATGACCCATCAGCACTGTGGAACCATCATAATAGTACATCTGACTGTAGATGTAGTAGTAACCTTTTTTCTTCACTTCTATGAATCCGGTGGTCGAATGATATTCGATGCTGCCTTCTCTGTGCCTCTCGTTCCAGTTCGAAATGCGGTGGAAGCCTGCTGAAGAAATCGTACCTTGTTAGCTAAAAAAATTGAATGCAACTTACTAATTGATTAAGGTTGAAACATTATGTAAAGATAAGCACATTACTTGGATTTTGAATTTTCTGTCCGTCACCAACAAGATGGATGCTTTCACTCATCTAAATAGCAATAAAGAGAGAATCCTTTACACTAAATTTAAGATAAGGTATTGGAAACAAGATAAGGTACAAGTCAGACGTTTCTTCTTAAGTCTGGGGATCTACCAGTATATTTCACCGTTCTTTGACGACGTGGTTGGTTGGGTTCTCCACTTGTCCTCTCCAATCCGAAGAGTGTTCAATTTTCAAGTATCCAACATAACGAAGTATTTATGTATTGTTGCGAGGTTATTAATAAAAGTCAAATAGAGAATGTTCAAATCAAAATACAAATAGCTGTTTTTGGCTGATTTTTTACCTCACTTTAGTGTTCTTCCTCCTTGGCAAACTATTTATTTAAAATTGAACTGTACTTTGAGAAAATTCACTATGTCTAAAATTACTCAAAATACAATGACGTAGCTCCTTGAAATCCTTAGCACACTCACCGAAGCTCCTGGTGGTCCTGTTAGAAACAGAAAAAAGAAAAAACTCTGAATGCCTTAGATAAAGAAATACATGTTTCCTCTCCACCCACCACCGATTAGACCCCGGATAAAGGGAGAAAACTAATGCACTACATTCACGGAGACTATTCACAACAGCACCAGAAGGCCCACGTAGCTGAGGTGCATTCTGATTTTGATAGCATGAAGCAACGTGAAATATTGCTTCTCTTCCTGAATAAATGCAAATCCACCACAGGTCACTCCTAAATATTTCGTTACGTTTCCCTAGCAGTTTGCTAGTGTTTATTTACACTTTTGGGTTGAAAAAGAAAACTTTGAATGTAAAATGTCACAACCGTGAACACAATCAGGGACGCCTTGCAGGGCTGGAACAAGGTCTTCTAATGTCCTACCTCGTCATTACGTAGCCCCATTGAGCCAGTGTGTTAGTTTCAAAGAGGCAATCCACAAAACGGCACAAATCCTGTAACTTACAATTGAAGAAACAGTTCACTACAGTACCAACCTGGGTCTCCTTTAGGCCCTCGAATGCCTACTTCTCCCCTGTCTCCTTTAACTCCAGGGGTACCAGGAAGACCCGCTGGACCTTGGGTACCATTCATTCCATTCAATCCTTTGGGACCTCTGGGCCCTGGGTCACCTGTGGTATGAAATAATATATATGAAGCATGTTCTTGACGATGTAATGTTTCAAACTTCTGTTTCAGGCTCAAGAGGGACGGATGGTGATAGTTAGATGGTGTCCTAACTGCATCACCAGTGGATGGAATGTGAATTAAAGTGGAAAAGCATAAATAAATGAAAGAAGTGCAATCGCAGTAAGTAAACCTCTGATTGTTCCTAAAAAGCAACCATTTAGACTAGGTCGCATTGAGTAAATTTAGTAAAAACAAAATACATATTTGATTAACTTATTCAGATAATTGATTTGGTACTTTTGGCTCAATCACTCAAATACGTACAACGGTATGTCCCAAAATATGTTTAGAAACTTCGTTAAGGGAAATGCCATTTTGTCAATTGCATTTTGCATACTGTTACCTAAACATATAGCAAAGTTTTGACGTATTCCATCGGTGATGTGTTTTTCTCTTTACCCTCTGACCATCTCCTGACTCCTGTGATGCACTAAGTGTATGAAGTTAGCCTTGCATCAGCCATTCTGTTTATTTCCATCAAACTGTATCGTTATCATTATTTTCTTGAACTTTTACGACAGACTCACCTTGCTGCCCCTTAGTAGGCTCCCCATTTGTTCCTGGTTCTCCCTTAGGACCCACGGGACCAGCTGGTCCTTGGTCTCCCTTGTGCCCTACGAAAAAGGTGCCGTTTGGTGATTACCCAATCGGTTAACCGCACCGCACTTCTGTTACTCGGTAATGCATTGCACGTGAATCATTTCATGGGGGAAGAGGGGAGGTTGCTGGGATGACAACTGAGGCAACTTTTACTTGATCGTCATCACTTTTCACTAAACTAACCTTTTTTACCTTTCTTTCCTCGCCGACCTATGATAAACGAGAAAAAAAGTTAGCTGTCGATTTATTCAGTTGAAGAAACTATCATACTTGACAAAAATAATTGCGTTATTGTACTATCGTTTAACCATGATCTTGAGAAGGGAAATTCTCAACACGTTTCTCAGACTATGTTGAAAACAATCACTGTCGGAAAAATGATAAAATTAATAGCGTACATTTAAAACACTGTACGGAAATGTTCTTTGTTTGGGTATTCAATAACGAGACCAAACGGATCAGTTTCCTCAGATAATGAGGACAAAATACAGACAAGGGCAAAAATCTATTTCTATCATGGAACAGTTAAAACATGATCATGAACTGTATGATCAATGTGTGTGTTGTTTTTTTTTTTCATTTACATTATTAAAAAGTAATAACATTATTTCGCTTGCAATTTGGTGTACTAAGCACTGATGAATTTTTCAAAGACTACACATTACCCTTGCCCTGCGGGTTCATGTTATTACCTACACATTAACGGGAAGAGCTAGAAACAAATACGGTGTAACAAATTAAGCCGCTACGTTTCAAGCGTTTTTTTTTTAATGACGGGAGAGAAAAAGGGATGTGATGCAACTCTTACCTGGAGGTCCAGCATCTCCTTTAGGGCCTGAAAAAGGAAAAATAATATTGCAAAAAACTACAGGACAAGCATGTGCCAATTGTAGAATGTTTAGGTGCTCCTACTTTTTCTAAGTTTATCTTTTTGTGTGCATTATAAAATCACAATATAGAAAATGGTACACTCTGAATTTGGTCGAAACTCCACTTCATTTAAAACCATGAGCTATTTTCTTTACATGTAATTTGTCCCGGCAATATGTCGTTTATTCCTAATCTTTATTCAGAAAAACTAACTCTGCTCGATAATTATCGATTGTTTTCAAAAACTGCTTCAAACTTATAGGGAAAAAATATTGAAGTCACTGTGGAATGATATTCTCATCTTCCGACGCTCCCATTTTGCCAGAGTCCCTTGTCTCATACAATATTTCATTAGGAATCGGCAGGGTCATCCATCAGTCACGAAAACAATTGCCATTTGTCTGGCACATGTCTATCACTATTGAATAGGGGTTGAAAGCTTATTTCTGACCTTTTAGGAAAATCCATTGAATTGGAAGAGGTGATGAATTGAAAACAATGTGATGTTTCCTGTTGAGCCGAACCTGAACAATTCTCAAGGTCAAATTATCAATGTATGCAAATTGTATAAAATGTAAATTAAATTGTAAGGTCTTTTGTTATCTTTGACGCACTATTATCGCCGGTGAGTCAATATTTTCTCCGGGTTTTACACCGACAAATGTAAAATGATGCTTTAAAGGTCAATTGAACATAATGTTTCCCAGTTTGTTGAGCTGTCATTGATGACATTTTTAAGAACTCGTTTGTAATTCATTCGCTCGCGTTATCACCTTCTCAGACATACTTGACGAGACATGTTATTTTGGTGGAAGTTTGCCAAAACTTCAAGAGGCAATTGTCACGCCAACGTCTTGATTGAGATGAAGCCCTGCCGGCTGTGAGGTTCTTAAATTTGAGCCAATCATTTAAATTGCTTCAGCAACAAAACATTTCCACCAAACAAAATTTCCCAGGGAAAACTTTGATGCTGAAATCTATCAACGACATAGTTTCACGCCTGATTTAGGATCAAAAGGTCACAAAATTGAAGTTTACCACAAGTAGGTTACCGATATAGAATGCTTATAAACAGTTGTTTTTCTCGTCACCAAGAGTCCAATTTCAACATGCTTAAATACTAAGAAAGTGTATTTTTTTTGTGGGGGCTCGTAAAAGCTAATTAGTTCATGACCAAGCGACTTTCAGGCACTGAACGCGGAAGTAAACAAAGTCTAGAGATCAAACAGTGGTCGATTTGTTTATCCTTCATTGTTCTGCGAAAATTTTGGAATTCTTTCATAAACAGGCACGACGAAACTGTTCTTTACGTGAATCTCCTTGTATTTTTCAGACCAATCGTTGTTCTAAATGCACCTCTTTGTGTAATCATAGCTAAATATGTAAAATATGTATTTCTAGCACTCAAAGATTACCTTGCAAACACGGGCAGTAGCCCTCAAACTGCCTTTTGTCTCTACCACGAGGAAGATCAGGAACGGCAAGCTGTAACAACGAAAAGTCATTCTGTTTCATTTGGCTTCACGAATGTATCAATTCTCAGAACAGCGATGAGCAACATCACAATTCACGCCAAAATTTAAGTAAACAATACGCTTTAGACTTTACTAATTGCGCACCGTCAAGCCGGCTCTCTAACCTTCGTTTTTAAACGCGCAGATTTCCCCTCCATAACACGATCGGCCTCACCCACAGAATTTCTGTCCGTTTTCTGAGCTGTGAAGCCGCTGTTTTCCAACTTTTCAACACGAGCTTCAAGTCGCCGCACGATGTCGGATTGCAGGACTGCCAACTGGTGTTGATGAACCACAAAAAAAGTCACAATTATGATGTATAACACTGCTAAAACAATCACAATGTTGAGGAAAACGCGACGCGCATTTGATTTTTTCTGTTGGTCCATGGTGGAACGTGCATTTGCCAAGCAAATTCAAGTGCTCGGCTCGGGATTTTGTTTCAGCGATGCACAATCCGTGAAGAGCTGAACTCTGTCTTTCCACGCTTGGTTGAGCTTAATCTAAATTTCTGGGAAAATCAAAGCAATATTGCGCATGTGTTGAAAGTGATTGACAGCACTAAAAATACTGAAACTTTTGGGGTAACTTTCAAAGTTCGCACGTTGCTCTGTCAACCAACTTCGCAAAACTATTACAATAGCCTAATAATACTGAAACTTAATCCTTGCTTTAGGAGAGAGTAGCAAAAAACGTGTCTATTTGAACCTAGATCCTCTGTATTCGAGTCCAATTCTAGGAATTATGAGATTATGTAAACTAGTAAAATAATCAACGCAGCTACAACTTCCCGCTGAAAATGCTTCTGTCAGGTTCAAATGCAAGTACAAAGCCTTTGTTTGCCTGTTGATATGGCGTTGAATTTCAAGCTTGATTGCCAGTTGATTCATCAATTTTATTCTTATTGCATTTGACAAAATGCCAGTATTATCTTTGCAATAGGATTAGGACAGGACTGTGGCCAAAGTCTACAAAAGCTTTCACCACCCGACTTAGGACTGCAGAAACCTCTGTTATTCACGCTCATGTGGTACTAACGGTCAAGAGACATAACAATTGTGAACCAAAGCCAAATATCTTAGTTCTCGCTAGGTTTCCAATTGAACATTCCTATCAACTTGTGAACGAAACGGCAACAATCGGCTAATAACGCAACTGATATGTTTATTATTGGAAACATACAGCTTCAGTGTCTAAAGTGCGTTTCAGCCACTTCCGAAACAATTATTGTTGATGTGCGACGCGACAAAACAAATTAGAAACCCAAAAAAGGCCTCTAAAATAGCTCACATTTATCTAAGGTACTTGATCCGAAAGCAATCAATTACAATAAAAACAAATTTCAACTGACTCCAATCAATCATGTCGCGTCGTAGTATAGCTCTTGCGCAGGTAAATTCTCCTCTTCGTGAATCCCCCACCCCCATCCCCGAGAAAAAAAATTTAAAAATCACATTTGATAGTCAATAAAGAGAAAAAGTAGAGAGAGACTTTATTCACTATTTACCGTAATGTATTTACAGTGTATATCGGTGGGCAGGACTTCAAACATGAGCACTCAAATCTTGTAAGGAATTCAAGATTGCAAATAAGGTTGTATTTACAATGTGTAAAGCGACTTTCACTATGTAAGTGGGATATTCTGATAGCCTCAAATTCTACTCAGAATATACTTCGTGGTAGTGAAATTTATTACCAGCGACTTGGATAAAATTGTAAGAAAATGGTGGTGTATGTTTTCTACTAAATATTCAACAATGATACAAAACAACTCAAAAACTCGACTGGTAAAAGGAGTGCCCAATTGTTTTGACACTCGTTCGCCGACGCTCGACGAAAGTTAAGCACATTTGTGTAATAAGTATTGTCCTTTGTACTAGACAATTGTGATCCACCTCTTCAGTGAACTTCGGCTATGAAGTTTAAGGCACCTTGTTTTCATTTGCATATGAGTGCTGATCACCAATGTAAAATTACGCGCAATACGAACTCACGATGTAAAAGCGTAGTTAGAGTAGATTGAGGGACAAACACCCTTCCCTTCCCCACCCCCTTAGTTTTAACCGTGGTGGAGCATAAATGCCCCAAAGAAACTTTCTCTCTCTCTCATGTAATAGTGGCTAGTGTACGGCACACGAACGGAGATAGTATCGTTGAGTCGAAGCAGGAACACTCCGCCGTGAAACTTCGTGTTGTATTTTTTCGTTTCGTTAATGACACTCACCATGCTGCTCAAGACTTTTCGGTCGTTGATGAAAGTTGAGTGGGCCATCTGGATTGTAGAGCCATCATAATAAAACATTTGACTGTATATGAAGTAGTAACCTTCTCTCTTAATTTCCACGGTTCCCGTTGACTCATGGTACACGATACTGCCAAACGTGTGGCTCAATTTCCACTTGGTAATGATGTGATTTTCTTAAAAAGGAAGAAGAGGACTGAATGTTACTATGAAACTCGTAAAACTCTGAACACCACAAATACACATGGAATGCTACTGTTTTCCGAGGAGAAACCCTAACAGGCAAACAGCAACGGTAAATTAACGTGCTATTTTAAAGTTTGCTTGCGTCTCTCCAAATTTTATTGTTCTTGGTCAGTTTAAGACTGATCTTTCAGCCTAAAATCAAAGTGTTCGTGGTTTTCTAAGTCTCGGGGTAAACGACCATGGTGCGACCAAGTAATATGTATACATATGTATTTTGTGGTCGCTGAAACATGCCGATAATTGAAATAAAGGGTAGGAACATTGCAGCAGTTCCGGCTGGAAATGCATTTTCTTGTATTACTGCACAAGAATTTATTTTTAAATTCTATAAAAAAATTCGAGTTGTATTTTCAATTGATTAAGACTTACTAGCTTTTATCCTACCGCCACTTCCAACCAGGTGGATGCTTTCTCCTGCCTTAAATTAAGAAAGTAAATGATTCTAGTATTGATCCACTGTCACTGTCAAGATATACATGTTTATCATTTATTGATCATCGTTGGTTTTTTATCACGAATGCAAGTATCTGTAAGGACATGAGCCTATTCTCTCCTTATTAACTTCATAGGTAGAAAGGAAGCTACAGTTTATGCTTCTGTTATGCTTGTCGAAATTGTAGGACGAGGGAAAACCAGATTACCCAGAGCATTTGTAGAGTATCATCTTCCAGTATTTACAATCCCTGGAAGCGAGGCTACAAAGCAAAAAAACCGTCTCGCTTGTCAACCTAGCTCCCAGCGTCTCTCTTTTCCTTCCCCCTCTCTTCCTCCAGGAAGCGGGAAGAAGACGGAACCTGGTAACTAGTTTGCACACTTACCATTACTCCGGGTGGGCCGGGAGGTCCTAAGGAAAGATAATACAGATTCATTTCAGTCTAGTTTATTTTATGGTGCTAAATATCGTGTCTCCAAAGGCATTTTTTCCTATCTGTTTGTATTCTTTGCTGCGTAAAAATTCATCATTTTCTCACCATTGCTATAATCACTTATTAATGAATTGAATCCAATGATGTGAGATGTGACTCGTCTATTTCCCGAAACTTCATCCCAGATTTCGCACGGATAATGAGACAAGAGATGGAATAAACTGACAAAATATCAATTTCATCAAGGTAGTACTCGAGGTAACTTTCAGAATGGGCGAAAAACAGTTCTAAACACTGGATACGCAGCTGAATCCAAACATACCTGGCGGACCTTGCTCTCCTTTAGGTCCCATGTCACCCTTAAGACCGTTCGCTCCGCGTGGGCCCTGGGGACCTGCCCGAAAAAAAAGAAAAAGGTAACTGATTCAATTTTGTTTTTGTTTGTAGCACGTGCATAGTGTCAAGGCTTTTAAAGATGACTCCGGATTTTTGTTTCATTAGGTGAGTGGAACAACACCAATTTTAGAAACCTACTATGTTAATTACGAAGAACCATTTTAAAAGAAATAAAAATTTGTGAATAATTAGGATAATGTCAGAGGCACAAGAAAAAAGTTGATGAAACGAATTTGAGGTTTTAACGGTAGAACAAGAGATAAAATAACCTGTTCCGCCATTGGTTCCATTCGTCCCAGTCGGTCCGGGAGGGCCCGGGTCGCCCTTTTCTCCTAAAAGGATAATACGTAAATCAGGTTTTTGCCTAATCGTGGTATTTGGATGTAAATGTTCCTAATTGTATTCAGGTCTTACCTCCATTTGGTGTCGGATAAATAACCCATGGAGGGTAAGTGATTTAGATCGTTACGGGAAAAGTTACTTTTGACGATGTTCACCGACTACTTGATGAATGTGGACTAAAAAACATCTCTAAACAAAGTACGACACACCAAACCAAACGTTTTTTGCACAAGACTAGTTGAGTATTTTAAATAAAGGTAAAATGACATAGTGGCAGCTTACCTTTCTTGCCTTTGCAGCCTATGAAGAAGAAAAAATAATTTTTCAATCATAGTTTTGAGTAGGGTATGATTTCGTGTGTCGTAAGACAAATAAACATCGATAGATCAATAACGTTGCACACTTACCTTTTTTACATTTAATACCTGAGGAAAAAAAACCAAGCGACAGATTTAGGCTCATCAAGTGAAATCAACCTCTGCGATTGAGTTTACCTTAAAGTTTTGAAAATTTAAACATGATAAAAGGACTTATATTCATTTTTGTTTGTAAATGATCGCCAAATTTCGTTTGGCGTGTTTTCGTTTATGTCACGTATCCCAAGTTTTTCAGAGCAAGTCCACTTTAACTGCACGGAAATTTCACACTCAGAACAGTAAAATGAATCGGTTAAATAACTACGATGATACTGAGCCGCGTTGGTCCTCTAAAATTTTCAGCTCAATTAGACTTTCTTTGATCGGATTCGACATCTCTTCCTTTTGTCTCCCATATTGCTTTTCCAACTGTTGGCCGATAAGTCAACTTAGAATGAAAGCATCTCCGCAGTATTAGGCTTGCTGATTTTGTTTTATTATAAATGAATGAGGACGATTAAGAACTAACGCAAAAAATTGAGACGAAGTCATTGTATAGCCAAAAGGATAATCATCTGATGCAAAACTTACATGGAAAAACCAATCAGTGAAGAAAACATGCGGAAGTGAAGCTGGGCAAAGTTCAATGAATTGATATCAGCCCAGATTCGATGATTAACATGACAAAAGATATTTTCAAGACTTTTACCTCCCAGTGTTGTTCTCAAAGGAGTGAATAAGCTTTGCTTTATTATTAACATTTTTTTTTTCGATTTCATGGCAGTCGGTTCCTCTTCTAATTTTGTTTGTTAATTTTGTCTTAAAACATGATGCCCTTTTTGTTCATAAATCGTTTCTGGTCGTTTTTCAGTGACAAGCATCTCAGAAATCTTTTTGTTTTACTTTGCGTAAGTAATCATTTTGAGTCCGATGCAGTTTAGTGTGCAATGTTTATTCATAGTCGAATGTAATATGGCTTTCAACATTCATTACACAGTGTAAAAAACAATGAACGACTAACCCTAAGAATAATTATGCGAGTATCTTCGACACCTACCGCCGTTTTCAACTTTATAACCGTAAAATTGTCGTCTGCCTCAAACAACGACGCGGATTAGAACGTTTAAACGCTGTGTTAATAAAGCTGTGGTTTCATGATCGTAGCTAATTTTTGCTGATTTGGAATGTTTGCATAAGGAATAATGAATGCGATCTCGAACGCCGTGTTTTTACGGGCGCCTTGGAAAGTGGCTGTAGAAAGGGGTCTTGCCTAAATTTGTTAAAGCTATGTGGATATTCATCGGTGATGCTCAGAAATTAAACTACTTCAGGATGCAAATCTAGTATTTCTTCGCTGCTGTGAGTCAAACTTTGTCTCTCAAGGCGTAACTGCTACCTGTAAACAATGGGCACATGGTCAAAACAGGCTGTTTTCATGAAAAACTACTGTACAGTTCTCCAAGTCTTGATTTAACTCCTCGTTATTACCTTCGTTGCAAGATGAATTGGAACAAACAAACAAAACCTTGGAAAAACAAAACAAACAAAAAGAGTAAATGCCAAGCTGACTCTGTCAAACGCCAAACATTGGTAGGCAGATCTATTTTTATTAGAAATATGAATTTTTACAACTCCATACACAAAAACAGTATAAAAAGCAAAGTAAAGCGCGTTTGATGACTTACTGTGGTTAACTTGACTAACTATTTGATTTAAACTAGCCAAAATGGAAACAATTATGCGTCAAACTACTTTCCACATGATTTGAGCCTGATTTACCGAAAAATCATTTAAGCACTATTCGGATACCGAAAATAAAGTCGCCTTTCTTTTACTATAATTAAATCCATAAATGATGACTAAGACTAAGACTAAGACTAATACAATTTCGAAGAACACCCTAATTTGTAAGGTCTCTTTGGCCGTGAAGGCTAACATTTTAACGATTTACAATTTGTCTGTACGCTAACGTCTACAGGAAGGGTAACTGTTCACAGGATCAAAATTTGGATTTCTATATCTAGTTAACATGATAAACATTACCAAAAAATTGTGAAAATGACTGAAATTATCGTAAAATAATGAAAGGAAAATTTTCTGCGAGCTGTGATATATCTAAGAACCTACAAAACAAGGTCCGTGCAGCAAATTTTAAGTGTGGGAGGATCAAAGGCGAACTCATAAGCTTCAACCGAGAAGGCAGGGGGATTAGGGCACGCTCGGCAGGACAAGTAAGGCCCCCCCCCCCAGTCCTTACACGGCGCGGTTCCTGCATTATGATAGAGAAGCGGTCGTTGCTAATGAGGGACTAGTCATTATTCATTATCAAGGGAAAGGGGGGGGGGGAGAGGTCAGGGGAGTTTTGAGGATCACATGGTTCTCAGGGGGAGATGAGAGGGGATCAGACGTCTCTAACAGATTTTACATGGGGGGGACAGTAACATATTGACTGCCACTTAAGGAGAATCATTTGAATACTACAGAGCCTTATGGGGGTAACAAGTAAATTTTATTGTGACACAACCAAATACTTCGACCCCTCCCCCCTAGGCGATGAGTAATGATCAGTCCCAAAGTTTACTTGCACCGGTCATGCGCGTGGCTTTGGTTCTGATTTCCTTTTCGTTTTAATTTCACCCATGGTGTAAATATACTTAAAGCGAGTGCAACGAACTTGACTTTCCACTAACGAGAGGCTAACAGGCTAAGTATGAAATGTATAAAATCGAAAAAAAAAGGACTGACCACTTCTTTCAAAAAAAACAGTGCATGAGGATGAAAGGCTCAATGCCTTAGTCAGGATACAACATGAACACTCCAAAGTAACTATAAGGAGCCGCCATGTAGTAAATCTTGCTCCTGTACACTTCCACTTTAAGAATGTCGCCTCGATTCAGATGAAAAACGCCTCCCTGGAAGTTTGTGTTGAACTTTCTCGAGCAATTCACTGTGCTTGAGACGCTCCCGAGGATTTTGTGGTCATTTAGAACAGTGTAGTGGTTCATTGAGTAGCTGGTGCAATCGTAGTAATACATCTGGCTGTAAACATAGTACATTCCAGAACGACCGATCACCAGGTGACCCACATGTCGTCTGTACAAGATACTTCCATTGACGTGGCCTTCCTTCCAACGATGAACGGTGCCTACCCAACAAAGTCAACACATTTATAAACAATCCACAAGTTAAATTTTGATTGTGTAGAGACGTGCATGGTGGCCTAAGAGTTAATACGTCGAGGGCATCAAATCGAGAGGTACGAATTCGAACCCTGACCGGGTAGTGGCGTGTTATCAAAATGGCATTTCTCATAACAACTGTTCCTGATATAAAACGAATATTATTCGTATTGTCACGAGCGTTGGATAACGGAAAATCTGGGTCATCCACGAGAAATCGACCCCCTGATCTTTAGATGACGCCCTCCGATGCTTAACACTGAGCTATACATAGAACTCTATTGTGAGCCAGACCATCGATGGCCATAGGAGGGTCTCAATGGGGTTAACCGTTAGCCGTAAAACGGCCAAAATATTTAGCCGTTAGACGTAAAAAAATTGACAAATTTTAACCGTTAGTCGTAAAAAAAGTTAACCGTAAAAAATATGTCTGGTGGAAACAATGGAAAGGTGTTAACCGTTAGCCGGAAATTGGCCAAAATTTGAACCGATAGCCGTAAAAGCCATCACCCCATTGAGACCCTCCCATAGGCCTTTTTTATTAGCTGAGCCAGCGCGGAAGCTGGCTGAGGAGGGTAAGCTTGAGGCGCACGCGCTGGAACGAGTGAATGGCACACCAGGTGTAGCAAAATTACTAACGTCATACTGCGCCATATGAAGCAGATTATTACAACAATAATACTTATTCGCTGCATGAGTGCGGAGCGCGTTCAGCAGTTTCAAACTGTATTTCGCTTGCGAAGATCAAGGAGAAAATTGACCCACGGTCACGAGACTTAACTAACCAGCATGATGTACTCTTTTTCCGTCGCCAACCAAGTGAGCACTCTCTCGCATCTGGAAAAGAGAGAAACATGTTGATGATGGTGTTGTTACAGTTCAACTTGTGAGAAAAACAGAAGAAAAGGGAAAAAAAAAAAGGAAAAAAAAAAACACGAGTTGCGAGAAACTCAAAAGAAAAGTCAAAAACGTTTTTAGAGTCTCACTTTGAGATATATTTTGAATCGAATTAATTTGAACAGAATGCTGTTGATGCAAGGTTTACAAAAAACAAAAATTTGAGCAAGATTCCTACCATGAGTCCTGGGGGTCCTCTCTTTCCTGCAGACACACACAAAAAAAAATAATAGGGTGAGCCTGCACTCATGTAATTTGCTTGTACAGCCGTCCCTAATGTCTGAGCTTGTATCATGTACGAAGTGTGACTTACCCAATTCTCCTGGGTCTCCCTTTGGCCCAGGTGGACCTACTTCGCCTGAAGGACCTGGTGGCCCGTAGGGTCCCTGGGAACCCTGTGGACCTGCTGGTCCTTTTTGACCGATGGGACCTTCAAATTGAAATGAAAATAGATGAGGTTTTTTTATTACGTACAACTGGATATCACTAGTAATCCTGATTGGCTTCCAACAAGGACAGTTATTTAAAAGTCGCTCCAGTTTTTGCTCTCAATCGTATCTTTTTCTTATCCAATGAAAACAGAAATCTAAAACAACACGAACAATTAGATTTTTCCGATTTTTGATTTCGCAATCTTTATTTTCGCGACTGAATCAGTAAAATGTTGGCACTGATTCATTTACATTATTAAAAAGTAATAACATTATTTCGCTTGCAATTTGGTGTACTAAGCACTGATGAATTTTTCAAAGACTACACATTGCCCTTGCCCTGCGGGTTCATATTATTACCTACACATTAACGGGAAGAGCTAGAAACAAATACGGTGTAACAAATTAAGCCGCTACGTTTCAAGCGTTTTTTTTTTAATGACGGGAGAGAAAAAGGGATGTGATGCAACTCTTACCTGGAGGTCCAGCATCTCCTTTAGGGGCTGAAAAAGGGAAAATTATTATTTCTGACCTTTTAGGAAAATCCATTGAATTGGAAGAGGTGATGAATTGAAAACAATGTGATGTTTCCTGTTGAGCCGAACCTGAACAATTCTCAAGGTCAAATTATCAATGTATGCAAATTGTATAAAATGTAAATTAAATTGTAAGGTCTTTTGTTATCTTTGACGCACTATTATCGCCGGTGAGTCAATATTTTCTCCGGGTTTTTTACGCCGAGAAATGTAAAATGATGCTTTAAAGGTCAATTGAACATAATGTTTCCTAGTTTGTTGAGCTGTCATTGATGACATTTTTAAAAACTCGTTTGTAATTCATTCGCTCGCGTTATCACCTTCTCAGACATACTTGACGAGACATGTTATTTTGGTGGAAGTTTGCCAAAACTTCAAGAGACAATTGTCACGCCAACGTCTTGATTGAGATGAAGCCCTGCCGGCTGTGAGGTTCTTAAATTTGAGCCAATCATTTAAATTGCTTCAGCAACAAAACATTTCCACCAAACGAAATTTCCCAGGGAAAACTTTGATGCTGAAATCTATCAACGACATAGTTTCACGCCTGATTTAGGATCAAAAGGTCACAAAATTGAAGTTTACCACAAGTAGGTTACCGATATAGAATGCTTATAAACAGTTGTTTTTCTCGTCACCAAGAGTCCAATTTCAACATGCTTAAATACTAAGAAAGTGTATTTTTTTTGTGGGGGCTCGTAAAAGCTAATTAGTTCATGACCAAGCGACTTTCAGGCACTGAACGCGGAAGTAAACAAAGTCTAGAGATCAAACAGTAGTCGATTTCTTTATCCTTCATTGTTCTGCGAAAATTTTGGAATTCTTTCATAAACAGGCACGACGAAACTGTTCTTTGCGTGAATCTCCTTGTATTTTTCAGACCAATCGTTGTGCTAAATGCGCCTCTTTGTGTAATCATAGCTTAATATGTAAAATATGTATTTCTAGCACTCAAAGATTACCTTGCAAACACGGGCAGAAGCCCTCAACATGCCTTTTGTCTCTACCACGAGGAAGATCAGGAACGGCAAGCTGTAACAACGAAAAGTCATTCTGTTTCATTTGGCTTCACGAATGTATCAATTCTCAGAACAGCGATGAGCAACATCACAATTCACACAAACATTTAAGTAAACAATACGCTTTAGACTTTACTAATTGCGCACCGTCAAGCCGGCTCTCTAACCTTCGTTTTTAAACGCGCAGATTTCCCCTCCATAACACGATCGGCCTCACTCACAGAATTTCTGTCCGTTTTCTGAGCTGTGAAGCCGCTGTTTTCCAACTTTTCAACACGAGCTTCAAGTCGCCGCACGATGTCGGATTGCAGGACTGCCAACTGGTGTTGATGAACCACAAAAAAAGTCACAATTATGATGTATAACACTGCTAAAACAATCGCAATGTTGAGGAAAACGCGACGCGCATTTGATTTTTTCTGTTGGTCCATGGTGGAACGTGCATTTGCCAAGCAAATTCAAGTGCTCGGCTCGGGATTTTGTTTCAGCGATGCACAATCCGTGAAGAGCTGAACTCTGTCTTTCTACGCTTGGTTGAGCTTAATCTAAATTTCTGGGAAAATCAAAGCAATATTGCGCATGTGTTGAAGGTGATTGACAGCACTAAAAATACTGAAACTTTTGGGGTAACTTTCAAATTCCGCACGTTGCTCTGTCAACCAACTTCGCAAAACTATTACAATAGCCTAGTAATACTGAAACTTAATCCTTGCTTTAGGAGAGTAGCAAAAAACGTGTCTATTTGAACCTAGATCCTTTGTATTCGAGTCCGATTCTAGGAATTATGAGATTATGTAAACTAGTAAAATAATCAACGTAGCTACAACTTCCCGCTGAAAATGCTTCTGTCAGTTTCAAATGCAAGTGCAAAGCCTTTGTTTGCCTGTTGATATGGCGTTGAATTTCAAGCTTGATTGCCAGTTGATTCATCAATTTTATTCTTATTGCATTTGAAAAAATGCCAGTATTATCTTTGCAATAGGATTAGGACAGGACTGTGGCCAAAGTCTACAAAAGCTTTCACCACCCGACTTAGGACTGCAGAAACCTCTGTTATTCACGCTCATGTGGTACTAACGGTCAAGAGACATAACAATTGTGAACGAAATATCTTAGTTCTCGCTAGGTTTCCAATTGAACATTCCTATCAACTTGTGAACGAAACGGCAACAATCGGCTAATAACGCAACTGATATGTTTATTATTGGAAACATACAGCTTCAGTATCTAAAGTGCGTTTCAGCCACTTCCGAAACAATTATTGTTGATGTACGACGCGACAAAACAAATTAGAAACCCAAAAAAGGCCTCTAAAATAGCTCACATTTATCTAAGGTACTTGATCCGAAAGCAATCAATTACAATAAAAACGAATTTCAACTGACTCCAATCAATCATGTCGCGTCGTAGTATAACTCTTGCGCAGGTAAATTCTCCTCTTCGTGAATCCCCCACCCCCATCCCCGAGAAAAAAATTTAAAAATCACATTTGATAGTCAATAAAGAGAAAAAGGTAGAGACTTTATTCACTATTTACCGTAATGTATTTACAGTGAGTATATCGGTGGGCAGGACTTCAAACATGAGCACTCAAATCTTGTAAGGAATTCAAGATTGCAAATAAGGTTGTATTTACAATGTGTAAAGCGACTTTCACTATGTAAGTGGGATATTCTGATAGCCTCAAATTCTACTCAGAATATACTTCGTGGTAGTGCAATTTATTGCCCGCGACTTGGATAAAATTGTAAGAAAACTGTGGTGTATGTTTTTTACTAAATATTCAACAATCATACAAAACAACTCAAAAACTCGACTGGTAAAAGGAGTGCCCAATTGTTTTGACACTCGTTCGCCGACGCTCGACGAAAGTTAAGCACATTTGTGTAATAAGTATTGTCCTTTGTACTAGACAATTGTGATCCACCTCTTCAGTGAACTTCGGCTATGAAGTTTAAGGCACCTTGTTTTCATTTGCATATGAGTGCTGATCACCAGTGTAAAATTACGCGCAATACGAACTCGCGATGTAAAAGCGTAGTTAGAGTAGATTGAGGGACAAACACCCTTCCCTTCCCCACCCCCTTAGTTTTAACCATGGTGGAGCATAAATGCCCCAAAGAAACTTTCTCTCTCTCTCATGTAATAGTGGCTAGTGTACGGCACACGAACGGAGATAGTATCGTTGAGTCGAAGCAGGAACACTCCGCCGTGAAACTTCGTGTTGTATTTTTTCGTTTCGTTAATGACACTCGCCATGCTGCTCAAGACTTTTCGGTCGTTGATGAAAGTTGAGTGGGCCATCTGGATTGTAGAGCCATCATAATAAAACATTTGACTGTATATGAAGTAGTAACCTTCTTTCTTAATTTCCACGGTTCCCGTTGACTCATGGTACACGATACTGCCAAACGTGTGGCTCAATTTCCACTTGGTAATGATGTGATTTTCTTAAAAAGGAAGAAGAGGACTGAATGTTACTATGAAATTCGTAAAACTCTGAACACCACAAATACACATGGAATGCTACTGTTTTCCGAGGAGAAACCCTAACAGGCAAACAGCAACGGTAAATTAACGTGCTATTTTAAAGTTTGCTTGCGTCTCTCCAAATTTTATTGTTCTTGGTCAGTTTAAGACTGACCTTTCAGCCTAAAATCAAAGTGTTCGTGGTTTTCTAAGTCCCGGGGTAAACGACCATGGTGCGACCAAGTAATATGTATACATATGTATTTTTTGGTCGCTGAAACATGCCGATAATTGAAATAAAGGGTAGGAACATTGCAGCAGTTCCGGCTGGAAATGCATTTTCTTGTATTACTGCACAAGAATTTATTTTTAAATTCTATAAAAAAATTCGAGTTGTATTTTCAATTGATTAAGACTTACTAGCTTTTATCCTACCGCCACTTCCAACCAGGTGGATGCTTTCTCCTGCCTTAAATTAAGAAAGTAAATGATTCAAGTATTGATCCACTGTCACTGTCAAGACATACATGCTTATCATTTATTGATCATCGTTGGTTTTTTATCACGAATGCAAGTATCTGTAAGGATATGAGCCTATTCTCTCCTTATTAACTTCATAGGTAGAAAGGAAGCTACAGTTTATGCTTTTGTTATACTTGTCGAAATTGTAGGACGAGGGAAAAGCAGATTACCCAGAGCATTTGTAGAGCATCATCTTCCAGTATTTACAATCCCTGGAAGCGAGGCTACAAAGCAAAAAAGCCGTCTCGCTTGCCAACCTAGCTCCCAGGGTCTCTCTTTTCCTTCCCCCTCTCTTCCTCCAGGAAGCGGGAAGAAGACGGAACCTGGTAACTAGTTTGCACACTTACCATTACTCCGGGTGGGCCGGGAGGTCCTAAGGAAAGATGATACAGATTCATTTCAGTCTATTTTATTTTATGGTGCCAAATATCGTGTCTCCAAAGGCATTTTTTCCTATCTGTTTGTATTCTTTGCTGCGTAAAAATTCATCATTTTCTCACCATTGCTATAATCACTTATTAATGAATTGAATCCAATGATGTGAGATGTGACTCGTCTATTTCCCGAAACTTCATCCCAGATTTCGCACGGATAGTGAGACAAGAGATGGAGTAAACTGGCAAAATATCAATTTCATCAAGGTAGTACTCGAGGTAACTTTCAGAATGGGCGAAAAACAGTTCTAAACACTGGATACGCAGCTGAATCCAAACATACCTGGGGGACCTTGCTCTCCTTTAGGTCCCATGTCACCCTTAAGACCGTTTGCTCCGCGTGGGCCCTGGGGACCTGCCCGAAAAAAAAAAAAGGTAACTGACTCAATTTTGTTTTTGTTTGTAGCACGTGCATAGTGTCAAGGCTTTTAAAGATGACTCCGGATTTTTGTTTCATTAGGTGAGTGGAACAACACCAATTTTAGAAACCTACTATGTTAATTACGAAGAACCATTTTAAAAGAAATAAAAATTTGTGAATAATTATGATAATGTCAGAGGCACAAGAAAAAAGTTGATGAAACGAATTTGAGGTTTTAACGGTAGAACAAGAGATAAAATAACCTGTTCCGCCATTGGTTCCATTCGTCCCAGTCGGTCCGGGAGGGCCCGGGTCGCCCTTTTCTCCTAAAAGGATAATACGTAAATCAGGTTTTTGCCTAATCGTGGTATTTGGATGTAAATGTTCCTAATTGTATTCAGGTTTTACCTCCATTTGGTGTCGGATAAATAACCCATGGAGGGTAAGTGATTTAGATCGTTACGGGAAAAGTTACTTTTGACGATGTTCACCGACTACTTGATGAATGTGGACTAAAAAACATCTCTAAACAAAGTACGACACACCAAACCAAACGTTTTTTGCACAAGACTAGTTGAGTATTTTAATTAAACGTAAAATGACATAGTGGCAGCTTACCTTTCTTGCCTTTGCAGCCTATAAAGAAGACAAAATAATTTTTCAATCATAGTTTTATAGCACATGAATAGGGTATGATTTCGTGTGTCGTAAGACCAATGAACATCGATAGATCAATAACGTTGCACACTTACCTTTTTTACATTTAATACCTGAGGAAAAAAAACCAAGCGACAGATTTAGGCTCATCAAGTGAAATCAACCTCTGCGATTGAGTTTACCTTAAAGTTTTGAAAATTTAAACATGATAAAAGGACTTATATTCATTTTTGTTTGTAAATGATCGCCAAATTTCGTTTGGCGTGTTTTCGTTTATGTCACGTATCCCAAGTTTTTCAGAGCAAGTCCACTTTAACTGCACGGAAATTTCACACTCAGAACAGTAAAATGAATCGGTTAAATAACTACGATGATACTGAGCCGCGTTGGTCCTCTAAAATTTTCAGCTCAATTAGACTTTCTTTGATCGGATTCGACATCTCTTCCTTTTGTCTCCCGTATTGCTTTTCCAACTGTTGGCCGATAAGTCAACTTAGAATGAAAGCATCTCCGCAGTATTAGGCTTGCTGATTTTGTTTTATTATAAATGAATGAGGAAGATTAAGAACTAACGCAAAAAATTGAGACGAAGTCATTGTATAGCCAAAAGGATAATCATCTGATGCAAAACTTACATGGAAAAACCAATCAGTGAAGAAAACATGCGGAAGTGAAGCTGGGCAAAGTTCAATGAATTGATATCAGCCCAGATTTGATGATTAACATGACAAAAGATATTTTCAAGACTTTTACCTCCCAGTGTTGTTCTCAAAGGAGTGAATAAGCTCTGCTTTATTATTATCATTTTTTTTTTCGATTTCATGGCAGTCGGTTCCTCTTCTAATTTTGTTTGTTAATTTTGTCTTAAAACATGATGCCCTTTTTGTTCATAAATCGTTTCTGGTCGTTTTTCAGTGACAAGCATCTCAGAAATCTTTTTGTTTTACTTTGCGTAAGTAATCATTTTGAGTCCGGTGCAGTTTAGTGTGCAATGTTTATTCATAGTCGAATGTAATATGGCTTTCAACATTCATTACACAGTGTAAAAAACAATGAACGACTAACGCTAAGCATAATTATGCGAGTATCTTCGACACCTACCGCCGTTTTCAACTTTATAACCGTAAAATTGTCGTCTGCCTCTAGTTTGAGGAAGATGGGAGCTCATTTGCTGCAAAGGAAACAACGACGCGGATTAGAACGTTTAAACAACTTATGTTCACCCACACAATTGGATATGCATAAATTTGGACAACGAGCTACAAAGTACTTCGTAAGATTCAAACAGACCTTATTACCCGGACGTTTCTCCTTCTCCGTCTTTTCCTCTGTCTCCGCGTTAGTTTCGCCCAAAAATTTGTCATCTATCTTCCGGGCGGCGAAACTTGCCTCCAACTTGTGGATACGAGTAGTCAGTTTGACAATAACTGCTTCTAGCGATTGAACTCTCTCAGACTGCAATAGCGTAACGCGGTACAGAGTCGCAATAACAACCGTAACAAGGACGACAAAAATCGCCAGGATGAGAACCACAAACAAAGTCAGAATGCTACGACGAGCACGCGAGCTATCGGGTTTCTCCATATCCGCCGGGTAGTTTCAACGCTGTGTCGAAGCTCCGAGCTGTGTCTCTTGTTTCTGAGAGGGGGCGCTAATTTCTCAGAACTGTTTGATTTATTATTGTCTCACGCTTCGCTTAGCATTTGTCTTAGAAGTTTCTCGGAAAGGAAACAGCCATTTAAACACGTGCTCGTGCATTCCGTTTCCTTAGGAGGGTCGTCTACCTTAGTGAATAAATTTGGGAGGGTCATCATTCGTCTATGAGTTAAATAAAGCTGTGGTTTCATGATCGTAGCTAATTTTTGCTAATTTGGAATGTTTGCATAAGGAATAATGAATGCGATCTCGAACGCCGTGTTTTTACGGGCGCCTTGGAAAGTGGCTGTAGAAAGGGGTCTTGCCTAAATTTGTTAAAGCTATGTGGATATTCATCGGTGATGCTCAGAAATTAAACTACTTCAGGATGCAAATCTAGTATTTCTTCGCTGCTGTGAGTCAAACTTTGTCTCTCAAGGCGTAACTGCTACCTGTAAACAATGGGCACATGGTCAAAACAGGCTGTTTTCATGAAAAACTACTGTACAGTTCTCCAAGTCTTGATTTAACTCCTCGTTATTACCTTCGTTGCAAGATGAATTGGAACAAACAAACAAAAACTTGGAAAAACAAAAACAAACAAAAAGAGTAAATGCCAAGCTGACTCTGTCAAACGCCAAACATTGGTAGGCAGATCTATTTTTATTAGAAATATGAATTTTTACAACTCCATACACAAAAACAGTATAAAAAGCAAAGTAAAGCGCGTTTGATGACTTACTGTGGTTAACTTGACTAACTATTTGATTTAAACCAGCCAAAATGGAAACAATTATGCGTCAAACTACTTTCCACATGATTTGAGCCTGATTTACCGAAAAATCATTTAAGCACTATTCGGATACCGAAAATAAAGTCGCCTTTCTTTTATTATAATTAAATCCATAAATGATGACTAAGACTAAGACTAATATAATTTCGAAGAACACCCTAATTTGTAAGGTCTCTTTGGCCGTGAAGGCTAACATTTTAACGATTTACAATTTGTCTGTACGCTAACGTCTACAGGAAGGGTAACTGTTCACAGGATCAAAATTTGGATTTCTATATCTAGTTAACATGATAAACATTACCAAAAAATTGTGAAAATGACTGAAATTATCGTAAAATAATGAAAAGAAAATTTTCTGCGAGCTGTGATATATCTAAGAACCTACAAAACAAGGTCCGTGCAGCAAATTTTAAGTGTGGAAGGATCAAAGACGAACTCATAAGCTTCAGCCGAGAAGGCAGGGGGATTAGGGCACGCTCGGGAGGACAAGTTTTAAAAAAAAAAGGGGGGATGCTAAGGCCCCCCCCCCCCCAGTCCTTCCACAGCGCGGTTCCTGCATTATGATAGAGAAGCGGTCGTTGCTAATGAGGGACTAGTCATTATTCATTATCAAGGGGGGGGGAGAGAGGTCAGGGGAGTTTTGAGGATCACATGGTTCTCAGGGGAGATGAGGGGATCAGACGTCTCTAACAGATTTTATATGGGGGGGGGACAGTAAAATATTGACCGCCACTTGAGGAGAATCATTTGAATACTACAGAGCCTTATGGGGGTAACAAGTAAATTTTATTGTGACTCAACCAAATACTTCGACCCCTCCCCCCTAGGCGATAAATAATGATCAGTCCCAAAGTTAACTTGCACCGGTCATGCGCGTGGCTTTCGTTCTGATTTCCTTTTCGTTTTAATTTTACCCATGGTGTAAATACACTCAAAGCGAGTGCAACGAACTTGACTTTCCACTAACGAGAGGCTAACAGGTTAAGTATGAAATGTATAAAATCGAAAAAAAAAAAAAGGACTGACCACTTCTTTCAAAAAAAAAATGCATGAAGATGAAAGGCTCAATGCCTTAGTCAGGATACAACATGAACACTCCAAAGTAACTATAAGAAGCCGCCATGTAGTAAATCTTACTCCTGTACACTTCCACTTTAAGAATGTCGCCTCGATTCAGATGAAAAACGCCTCCCTGGAAGTTGGTGTTGTACTTTCTCGAGCAATTCACTGTGCTTGAGACGCTCCCGAGGATTTTGCGGTCATTTAGGACAGTGTAGTGGTTCATTGAGTAGCTGGTGCAATCGTAGTAATACATCTGGCTGTAAACATAGTACATTCCAGAACGACCGATCACCAGGTGACCCACATGTCGTCTGTACAAGATACTTCCATTGACGTGGCCTTCCTTCCAACGATGAACGGTGCCTACCCAACAAAGTCAACACATTTATAAACAATCCACAAGTTAAATTTTGATTGTGTAGAGACGTGCATGGTGGCCTAAGAGTTAATACGTCGAGGGCATCAAATCGAGAGGTACGAATTCGAACCCTGACCGGGTAGTGGCGTGTTATCAAAATGGCATTTCTCATAACAACTGTTCCTGATATAAAACGAATATTATTCGTATTGTCACGAGCGTTGGATAACGGAAAATCTGGGTCATCCACGAGAAATCGACCCCTTTAGATGACGCCCTCCGATGCTTAACATGACTATATTTAGCCCTCCGATTGACAAATTTTAACCGTTAGTCGTAAAAAAAGTTAACCGTAAAAATATGTCTGGTGGAAACAATGGAAAGGTGTTAACCGTTATTGTGAGGCCAAAATTTGAACCGATAGCCGTAAAAGCCATCACCCCATTGAGACCCTCCCATAGGCCTTTTTTATTAGCTGAGCCAGCGCGGAAGCTGGCTGAGCAGGGTGAGCTTGAGGCGCACGCGCTGGAACGAGTGAATGGCACACCAGGTATAGCATAATTACTAACGTTATACTGCGCCATACGAAGCAGATTATTACAACAATAATACTTATTCGCTACATGAGTGCGGAGCGCGTTTAGCAGTTTCAAACTTTATTTCGCTTGCGAAGATCAAGGAGAAAATTGACCCACGGTCACGAGACTTAACTAACCAGCATGATGTACTCTTTTTCCGTCGCCAACCAAGTGAGCACTCTCTCGCATCTGGAAAAGAGAAAAACATGCCGATGATGGTGTTGTTAGAGTTCAACTTGTGAAAAAAAACAGAAGAAAAAGGGGAAAAAAAGGAAAAAAAAGAAACACGAGTTGCGAGAAACTCAAAAGAAAAGTCAAACACGTTTTTAGAGTCTCACTTTAAGATATATTTTGAATCGAATTAATTTGAACAAAAAAAACCAAAAATTTGAGCAAGATTCCTACCATGAGTCCTGGGGGTCCTCTCTCTCCTGCAGACACACACACACAAAAAATAATAGGGTGAGCCTGCACTCATGTAATTTGCTTGTACAGCCGTCCCTAATGTCTGAGCTTGTATCATGTACGAAGTGTGACTTACCCAATTCTCCTGGGTCTCCCTTTGGCCCAGGTGGACCTACTTCGCCTGAAGGACCTGGTGGCCCGTAGGGTCCCTGGGAACCCTGTGGACCTGCTGGTCCTTTTTGACCGATGGGACCTTCAAATTGAAATGAAAATAGATTAGGTTTTTTTATTACGTACAACTGGATATCACTAGTAATCCTGATTGGCTTCCAATAAGGACAATTATTTAAAAGTCGCTCCAGTTTTTGCTCTCAATCGTATCTTTTTCTTAGCCAATGAAAACAGAAATCTAAAACAACACGAACAATCAGATTTTTGCCATTTTTGATTTCGCACTCTTTATTTTCGCGACTGAACCAGTCAAATGTTGGCACTGAGCAAAAGCTTGAAATTCTTTAATTTTAAAATGAACGTGAGTTGATGGATTTTGAGCTTCGTGTGGTGCAAATTTGTTATAAATCATACGATTATCCCTCCTTCGTATTAACAATTATCCCCCCTCCCTCCTTCGCATTTAAACTTATTCCTCTCCTTATCCCCCCTCCCTTGGCATTTACAAGTGTGCCCCATATTAGCATTTACAATTATCGGTGCCTGAGACACAAAATAACCTTGTTGTCCTTTTTTTCCTCTTCTTCCCTTGGCACCTGATAATGAAACACAGACAGACAAGTTAATCTGACCATCCGTTGGAATTTCATGGCAAGAAATTGAAGACCTCGTAGACATAGAATTGAACCGAACGCTATCTTATAATCATTATCTTTCACCATCGTGGTTGTTTTAGTTTTAGGATATCCAGGCAGGAATCCTTGTCGAAAAAGTAAATGACAGCTAAAATTAAACGGATGCACTACAATTGGTATTGCCTATATAACCATGTAAAAATATTGTTTTCCTTTTTTTTTCGGTCTTATTAAGATTTCCTAATTGATCAATAATGCCGAAAGAACGGTCAAATGTTTTTGCGTGAACTTTTGGATCGTTTATTCCCAGTTTTATATTCCAGAATACGGTCAAAGACAAAAGCTGGACCTGGATGATGCCTTACCTGACGGTCCTGGAGGGCCGGGGGGTCCGCTAGGACACATAACCTTCCCACAAGCGCTTGGAGAGTTTCTTTTGCGCCTCTCATGGAAAACGTTCTTGATGTCAACAATTTCAGTCATCTGTACAAAGTTAAAAAATTCGAAGTTATTGAGCCTTTAGCTCGTCATAAACATGCTTCATTAGCCGTAAGTGATTTAGAATGACAGGCGGGTGGGCTCCCCGCGTGCGTGTTTCTCGTATTCTGGTAGAGCGACACAGACCAATGCAGGATAAGATCTCGGCCAACATATTTGGGTTCCTGATGTAGCGGCGATCAATTTGTGATTTCACTTTACAAATTAACGCTATAAAATTATCAGGTAAAGCGAAGTTGTCCTGTTTATTTATCTATCTACTCTCTTGTTTGTCCAGGTGGAATCACAGACAGCCGGGAGCCCTAATAATGATAAGAAGATACATGAGCTACCTGTAGCGTCAAACACAACCATCTCGTTAAAATTGTGGTTCATTAAGATGTTCTAAAGTGACTACTTTGACCAAGACTAACCCTGGAATGTGCGGCAAGCTTTAACGATTTGCTCTTTGGGTCAAAAAAGAACTGGTTGCTGCGATAGAATTGCGAGGAGAATGCTCTTGACTGCGAAATTAACAGCCGAAAGAAGAGAAAAAGAAAGATGACTGAGAAAAACGAGAAAACGGAAATGGGAATGAATGAGTGAGTTGTATATGATGTTTCCAGTTGGAATGCAGCAGTTTTTTTTTTCACGATTGAAAACTTCTATATGAAAAATGGACAAAGAACCCGACACAGGAAGATAAAATTGGCTCAACATCGTTGAACTTGCTGAAGACCGGGGTCATTAACAGCGATTAAATATCAACTTTGCGGTGTTTGTACACAATACCAACCACGGGAGGCTAACTAATGATGTCGGTGTTACTATACATTTGCATTTAAAGATGAATTAGCGGTGAAAGTCTCTTCCTTTCCGAGAATTTTAGCTTCATGCTGTCTGGCATGAAAATCCGGAAGGAAAGTAAAGCTCCGTATTAGACAACAATGAGCAACATGATATCCGTTTTTCCTTCGCGTGGAGATAATTGATGACCCCGTTTTAACTGATAATTGTGGAGAATTCGAATGATCATTTCTATCAGGCGACAGAAAGTGACATCTTACTCCAGAGGGAGGTTTTATTTTGGTAACGTGACAGACAACGATCAGGAGTAATGGATGTATGCAGATTTATCTTCAACACGCAATCAAGGATGACCTTTTGTTCCAAATTTGCATCAGTTGTCAACAAGGCTGGTTTTGTGGAAAGAGACATCTCGTCGCGCACTAAGTATTATCGATGACATGAATTAAAATATCTGATTGCGTAGGACGTAATCGTCGATTATTTAAGACTTGTTGTATTACCTGAGGTCTTTTGTCCTTGTTTTCACGTTGGTCCTGGGTGCTTGAGGGCGGCACAGTCGTCTTAGAAGCGTTAACTGTTCCCTTCTCCAATAAAACAACTCTACCCCGCAAATCTTGGACGTAATGTCTCAACTCGTTGTAATCTCGCATCAAATAAACGACCAAGGCACTCAGTGACACGCAATACACGAGTAACAACACCAGAGCTAGCGCTACAAGAAGCCGAAGCGAACTTGTTTTCGCTTTTTCCGCCATTGCTGATGAGTTCCGCGCTGACTCAATGCGGCCGAGTTGGAATCGACATGGCTCACGGCGTCAGGGCTGACTGGAGCTGTAGCGGGGTGGTCAGACAACTTCCTGTCAGCGAGGTCATTAGTTGAGTTCTTAGAATTTACGCACCGGGAGTAAAATTGGATCACGTGACCTTCTTGTCTGTTTATTTGTCTGCATTGTGTTCTTTGCGTAGGTTTTGCTGCCTAAAAGGTTGGGAGGAAATCCGACAAAATACCACGCAGAGGTTGGGAAATTTCCTTAGCCGGATGGAAAGTAATGTTGAGGGAAGCTCCGATATACAAATCGATTGCAAATGTTCGGAGTATTATGAATACTTTTTCAAACCCGTCAAACCAAGTTGCTGAAGTGTGATGTACGGAGGAATTCTTGGTTAGATAACAGGGCTGGTCAGTAGAGCACGAGCGCTATTTTGAAAGTGACGGGGGGGGCGGGGTGGGGAGCGAGTGTGAAACAATGCTTGTTTCTCCTCTGTTTGTTAAAATAAAGTAATGGTTTTTAATGACAGCAATAATCATTTATAAAACAACCTGACATGCTTCGAAATGCCACAAGACGCTAGTATGTGATCTCTCCTCTTTACTGGGAAATCATGCTCACACCCTGATGCCGAAGTATACTTTATCTTTAAAACATAGAAGGTTATGAAGTCTCGCACCCGCAATGATGCTCAATGGAAGGGAATATCCGAGAGCGTAGAGGACTTGGGGAGATTCTGGACCTTGGTTTGCTTCTGCTGTAATTACACCTCACAGCCTGCTTCATTAGGGAATGTCGGAGAAGGGGAGGGGGGGAGGAATGCTCCGCTCGCAAGTCACGAAAACCAAGAACCACGAAGCACCATCATAAGCGGAGTACTAAGAAATTTGAAGAGGGAACACACCAAAGCAGCAAAAACAGATGCCGATAAAAGTAATTAACCTCATAAACTTTATTTCAATTTCAAATTAAATGTATCCAAATGAAATGAGAAAAATCACATGCTGAGTACCATAAAATACGAAGGCCAAGTTTATCAAGAGCGTCTACTTTCATTCCGTTTATATCTTTCCAATCTTCAAGGAGCCTTGTTCATAATTGGCTTATCAGTCCATCATCCTTTTTCCAGCTCACTGGACTAGTGTTTAAAATTGTTTATCAAGTTAAACATACATTCGTACGATATAAAAAATAACGCAAACTGTGTTGACCTAGCTTACGTGAGATGGTACTTGAGAAACGTTAAGTAAAAGCGGCGTCTGCATCCTAATGACGATAATCTCCTTAGCATCCGTTCTCCAAGCCCCGGTAGTTCGAAGATCGGATAACACTATCCACTGGATAAATCTCTATCCGGTGAATAACGATATACGTTTTTCTATCACTTATCCGCTGGATAGTGATTTATTCGTTGGATGGCGTTATCCGCCCTTAACGCAACTGAGCCCAGGAAGTCACGCAACGTAAACACCGCGGCTGTTTTAAAGGAAGAATAATGTAACTTGCCGATGAACGGCCTCAAAGGAGAACGATAAAAATTTATACTTGAGAATACTTTACTCCAGCAACAAACTATGTTTTGTCAACGATCAGCGGTAATCACTTGAAAACATCTACATTATTACAATCATTATGTTTTCAGACATGCACATATCTTTAGGGGGTCAAATTTCCATTAGCAACTGTCCGAAACGGCAGTCTCGAGGCAGTCTTTCAGTTTCAAGATAGCCCTTTCTTTCAATTACTTCTCCTGGTTGTTAAAAAACTTAGTCAAATGAAAACATCAAAATCAACGAGTGTCAACCACGAACGACTATAACCTTGTAAACAAACAAAAAAAAAATGAAATATTGATCTCGTCGGGATTTTACGAAGAGCGTGATATGATGACTATCTATGACACTTGCGTGATATCACACCACCACAAGGAAACAGCCTTGTGCGACAAAACGGTTGTTGAAACGGTTCGTTAAAAAAAAAAGAAAAAAAAAGGTATACAGCTTCAGTGAAAGGCTGGATTGCCCATGTCATTGACAATCTCTATATAGCAATAAATCACTTTTCTCTGCACTCCTGCAAAACATTACGTATACATGCTCTTTTCTGGTTCCTTCCCTGCTAAACTTGATAAACTTTTCTGGTGGTACTGATTAATAACTGCTATTATCCTGGTTCTGTGCTTGCTCAAAGAACATGAAATCCTATGAAGAGGGAAGTAAACGGATTTCAGGAACAAAAATTGCAAGATTTTTAAAACCACCATACAATTGAGTTACAGAGGTATACACAAACACTACATACATTCATTTTTAACTTGAAGAAAGGTAAGTTCTCTTATAAGTAGCATTGTTTTCATGAACCCTTTAATCCCTAACATCAGTATGCATCTTCTCCATACTACTCCCTATACATTTCCTTGGGTTCTGACAAAGAGAATTTGTTCAATTAGTAAGACCCTCTTTAGTTAGTGATCATCTCCTTTATTCTCATAACCTTACTGTTAATTTAAGGGTAATTTTGTAAGGAGAAATAAGATTTTAGTCACACTTAGGGGTTAAACTGTAGCATCAGGAGAATTGTGTACAGTGGCAGCAGAAGAAAAATCTATTAGTTGAATAAAATAGCTCAGGTAATCAGAATTTAGGTAGAGAATTTGGCACAGTAGCTGGAGAATTCTCCCACCTCCAATTCCTCATTAACAACTTCGAGCCAACATCCAAGTGATGTGTCTAATAACCTCTAGCATGGGGAAGTGGCTGGACATTGAGTCCTGCTGGGAACACTACCCATGAGTGACTGGACATGAAATCATACTTGGGATCAAACCCATGAGTGGCCTAACACCAAGTTGTGTTGAGGACACAACTAAGGTGGCTGGAAACTGAGTCGTGTTGAGAACACCACCGAGGTGGCTACTGACACTGAGCCTAACTTGGGGTACCAACTACAAGTGGTTGGACACTGAGTCATGCTGGGGACACCAACCACTAGTGGTGATGTGTGACTGAGGACAAAATTAACATGTAATGTGTGAATTTTCCAGTGAGGTGAGCAGGATTTGTGAATTTAAGAACCAGCCTGACATGTATTTGCCTCCAGAAATTTTCTCTTTCACACAAGATGAGAGATTTTAAGTTTTCCTCTCATAAACACGATGAATTAATTTTCCATAAATGTGTGTAAAACAGGATCAGGACCCCACTCCCCTTAGCTATCCTCTACTAGGTATAGTTCATACAGAAAGTGACCAGCAAGTGTACTTACAATGAGAAAACAAGCACCAAGTACAACAGCCTTCATTTTCACATCAAGATCCATAGGAACTGCAAATTTAATAAAAAAATCCTTAAAAAAATGCTAGCCACTTCTATAAATAGACATAATCTGTTCTATGTACCTCTTTTTCCAAAAAGAAAAAAAGATCACTTTTATTCACATAGAAATAAAACACAACATTCCTTTTCTGCCCTGTAACAGTTGAAACACAAAAGTAAAATAAAAGCACTTAACTTAGTAATGAAAAACTCTTATTTTCAAGGAAGCTTTAAAAAGCATCCAGAGATCAACCTATGGGCCCTTTCAAACACAATTAAATGAAAACCATTTCTTTCTTTTTCCTATACCTTAGATAATGAATTCCCTACCCTTTGATATACTGCTTCACCTGAAAATGTATCCCTAGGCTTTTTGGGAGGTGCATCTCATATAATCCATATAATAGGAAGTAAACAGAGTTGAGAGTACTGAGCTGGGGGTGCACTACCATTGAGAGTCAAAACTGTGCAACCAAACCACTTTAACCCTGTACACCCTAACATCAGTATGCATATTATCCATACTGTTCCCTACTCATCTCCTGAGATGCTGACCGGAATAATTTGTTTAACAATCAAGAGCTTCTTTGGTTAGAGATCATTTCCTTTATTCTCTCATGACTTTCATGTGTGATTCAGGGGTGATAATGTAAGGAGACAATTAGATGCCAGTCACTCTCAGGGGTTATAGGGTTAAGTTAACATGTGAGAGAGGAAGTCAGAGATCACTGCTGGCAGTAATTTCTCTCAAATAGTTAAGATAATAACTTACATGTGATACCAAAGTTGTCTGCATCAGTAAACGCCTCCTTTACCAAACCAGTCCACTGTTTAGAAATTCTTCCAACCTGATTCTGGCCATCTGCAGAGAGCACCTGTTTCATTCACAAAGAAAACATAACATTACCAGTTAACACAAGTGATGAAGTATCATCAAGTATTCCTCAAGCAAAGAGGTCCACCTCAACAACCAGTCACTCTTGTTGCATAGAGAAAACTAGCAGCATTCTGTTGGAATGTCACTATTCACATCCAAGGGGCTATTACATTGTGTGACAGTAGAAAACCATTCCTAGTAAAGCATGGCCGATTGAGATGAAGTAATTTTAAGGCAGATAGGGAAGGAACCATATAAGAGGCTTCAGTGGTTCAATGTAACCTTGTTTTAATCAATCTTAATCCTTTAAACCCCAGAAGTGATTAACATGAAACTTCTCCCTATAATGTCCATACATTAGTCAGCAAACAGGTTATGAGAATATTCAAACTCATCATATAGAAGCTGCTATCTTAATCTAGCACCAAGTTCCCATAACTAATTTACAAGGAAATGTGCAGCAGCCAGAGGGAAGAATTGACAATCAGGTCTTGGAAGTTAAAGGGTTAAGTCAAATACAGTGTGTTGAATGCAAACAGATTTGTAAATATAGCCAACTAAAATGCAAACAATCAAAAATTCCACCACAATGTTGCAAGCTGTTACCTGAAAGTCAACATCTCCACAGAGATTGCACTGGCAGAAGGGTCCTTCAATTCTAAGGACTGTTTCTCTATCAGCATTCTGGATTGTAAACTTAGGAATGCATATTGACCATCTAAAGATAAAATAATATTTGCGTGTACACCTTAATTCTAGTTTGCTAAAAGCATGTGACAGACATACTTAAAATTGAAAGAAAGGCTGTCATAACCTCTAACTATCACAAATTTTTCAGATTTATTTTTATCTCAAGATGCACTTATTTCCCATAATGAGTTAAGCAAGGACCCACATAGAGCTATTTTCAACAGAGTGTCAAAAGTAATATGGGATTGTTTTGATTTAGCTCGATTTCCTCCAAGATTGGTCCAAAAGACTTTTCCAGCCTTTTCACCCATCAGATTAGAAAAAACCCAATTGTGACTAGTTCACATGAGTTTTCCCATACTTCCTGCATTTTGCTAATTTTCATTATGGGTTGATTGGCCGTTGTGATTACTGAGGTTTTGGTCCCATGATAATTCTCAATCAAAATGCCCTCTCTTTGTGAGTAAGCGATAAGTTTTCTTACTCTTGAGCACAGTAGCCAAGGACTGTCCCAGGTGGTGATTGCACTTCAATCTCTTGAAGACAACAAGGAAATAAGCAAGACTGACAACGCAGAGGACGAGTCAAATGCACAATTTCCTGCTGATGATTGTCCAGGATTTTCATTTCAAAAGGTCTTCCTGGGCCACAACACTGTCGTGTACAGCAATCAGTATCTAAAACACATCAACAGAAAAATGTATCATTTATAATCTTATAATCAGAGTTTATTAGATCTGAATTCTCAGAAATAGGGTAGAGTCAGCGAAAAGGGCAAAGAGATACTGGGAAAGGAAGGCCATCCATGTAAATAGTATAGTTAAATTTTTTTTTTTAATATTTAACCATGAAAAATTGAGTTAAATGAATATAAACCATGATCTACCGAAATATAATTATTGCTCCACTCTACTTAAATAAGCTTGTATAAATATTAACAAGCCTTCGTGATTCATCAGGGAAAATTTCAAGCTAATTTCCCTAAAAAATCCAGCCACTAAATTATGATTTAAAACTAATTAAGAAACTTTAATATGAAATTACACTGCACATATCAACCAAAGCGTATCAAAATAGAACAAAATTTCAAATTTTCATGCGCCTTATTCCAGATCATAATTTTAATTAAGTTAGCTCTGTCTCGAACTTCACCGAACAAATAACGAAAAAATGTACAAAGTAAAATCCAGCCTAACACGCATATTTCTTATGATTTGTTATTAAAGAATGCGGAAAAATGTTTTCGCATGCTCATTATAAAAAACGGAAACCGCGAACACGAATAATGATGGAAAAAAAAAGAGTTCCGTTGAAACATGAATTGGCATGTACCGCTAAGTATTCCTTCAGTTTTTTAAAAATTAATGAGAACTGCATATATCTTTCTGAATTAATAAGGTGTGCGTTCAATTCGTTAGTGGAATTCTGTTTTAATATATGAAGCCTCAAAATATTACTGCAAAATTGTAGTATACGTGACAACTAAATGTACTCACCTTCCGCTGCGAAAAACACCTGCTGTCCCATGCTGTTCAAAATCTTGTATTTGTTGTTGGTTTCAAAGCCAGTGAAAGCTGTAAAAGTATCCAAACAAATAAATATATATGTGCATGCACATAAGTCTGAAAAGATTACTTGTAACCATATATTCAAAGAAAAAACCAACGGAATAAACAGCCGAGTTCTAAACATTTACCTTCTAGGAGTTCGACTTGCTGTTTTATTAAAAGTTGATCTATTTGGGTTAGATATTCCAGTCCTGGAGGACAGTTCGCTGGAACTGGGGGAGGAGGCATCCATTGCATTTGTCCATAACCTGCAGGAGCTGGGGCTGCAAATCCTTCGACAAAATAAACAAAGTTTGTATTTTTGTAGTTTTAACACTCTATATGAGAGCTTCTGCTCACATTACATTACTAAAACGACAAACAATTCCGAGGTGATTCTCCATGAATCTCGTTGACAGTACATTGGAAAACCTTACGAAGTGTATTCTATATTTTGATCGAATTTCTTCGCTCTATTTTCTAATAAAATTAAATTAAACTAGGTTTAGTAATCTAGAAAGTATTTTTTCCTGTTTTAAGCACGGTGTAGTTTCGAGCCACCGACGAACAAATTTCGTTATCACGTATGGCGGGGTGAAGAACTTTTTCTGAATTTGATCGTAAGCAATAGTTAATGACCTGAAAACTGATGTTAAAGAGTGACAGCCCTGATTGAAAGCAATTCAAAAAGCCGTCAAAAACTTAATTTTTTTACCAGGTTGTTGGCTAACAGGCGGTGCATAGCCAGGTTGAGTGGGAGCATATCCAGGTTGTGCTGGCGGTGGATAACCTGCTTGTGGTGGGGGATAACCACCTTGAGGTGGTGGATAACCACCTTGAAGCGGTGGATAACCTCCTTGAGGTGGTTGATAACCTCCTTGAAGTTGAGGGTTACTTTCCACAGGCGGTGGGTACCCGTAACCTGGCTGTGCCATGATGTTACAAAAGCGTTCAAACGGCTGGAAACATTCCCATGACACTCCTCTGGTCACTGTAAACAAATGTACGTACCTTAACCTATCCCTAGGGGGTGAGGATCAACGCTTAAAAAAAAAACACTCACTTCCTGCCATGCCTATTCAATTCAGAATGTGGAGGATGAATGAAACATGAATTAATTTCTTTTTCAATTCAAAAACTAAATTTTCAACCGCACAGGGCCCGCTGTTCCTTTTTTTTCCCTAATCGTGACTAAGTTACTCGGGTAGAGTCCCTTGGGAGTGTTGTTTTGTCAACAGCAAGCTGCGCGAAGTGGCTTGTGGGCTGAACAAGATGGCTGCCGAAACTTCGGTCGAGGAGTCACAGGACGTGACAATGGAGGAAAACACTCCGTCTAAAGATCAAGGAGTACAGAAAATGTTTACTCTCAAAAAGTGGAATGCCGTAGCCATGTGGTCTTGGGATGTAGAATGCGATACGTGTGCCATTTGTCGCGTGCAAGTAATGGGTGAGTTTAGATCATGTAATTTTTAGTCTGTTTCTGAAGTTCAGCAGTCGTTTGTTTGTTTCTTTTTTTCCCAAAAAAATTATTTTATTTTTTCATCGAATTCTTTGTATTCCACGTGTGTAGATGCTTGCCTCCGATGCCAGTCTGACAACAAACAAGAAGAATGCGTTGGTAAGACAGTTTATGTCGTTGAGCACTCTAACCGCTTGGGACTTGCTAACTAAACTATGAAACTAACATTATGTTCTTGAGCTCACCATTAACAGATCTCTGGTATTTCTGATTATTTATCCACACCTGAACTACTTATTGAAATAGTCGAAGAAGAGGAAAAATAGGTCCAAGGAGAATTATATTAGTATGGTTGTAACCCTTTCACTCCCAAGATCTCATTACAAATTCTCCTTACTGTCTGCCATACAATTCTCATACTGTTAGTTTGGAGTATTTGCTACTGGATTAATAAATATTCCCCTAATTGATTATTTTTTATTCTCACCTCTTGTCAGCCTGAAATTGTATTGATATTGTGTTGATAAACTTTGTCTAGGTCACAAATCGGAGTTAAGGGTCAGAGACACCTTACTTTTTCACAAAAAGTTGAAAATTGTTCTATGTCTTTGAAGCAGTGTTAACATTAAAATTTCTCTTGTTTCAGTTGTGTGGGGAGAATGCAATCACTCATTTCATAACTGCTGTATGTCACTCTGGGTAGTGCAAAATAACAGATGTCCACTCTGTCAGCAAGAGTGGATTGTCCAAAGAATTGGCAGATAACATCAAAGCAATGTAAACAGCAGGAATATTGATTAAAGAGACTTCTTGGACGATTTTTTTAAAACTGAATTCAGCATTGGCAGAATGCTAGTCTGCCTTTTAACAAAACTGTGTGTTCTTGGTCATCAAATTTTGTTAACAATGTCTGAATTCCTTAGGGTAATTTAGTGTTATCAACTTGGTTGAATGCGTAAATTGGCCATCATGAAGATTTAGAAGGGTGAAGTTTCAAGCATTAGCCTTTCATCAGTGATTGGAGGAATTGTGGGTTGTGTGTGAGTTTAAATACAAAAAATGCAGCTAAGCTATTGGTAGGGATGTGGTGACAAGAAAACAAGAATACATTATTTGAATGAAAAGTGTTCATTGATACTGCGGGGATTAAGAGTGCCACTTTGGAAGATAAATTTTTGTTCTTGAAAGAAACCCTTAATGAATTCCTTACGATCTAACTAGATGATGAATCACTGAAAAGATAAACTTTAATTTTACTCAGTATATGGAGATTACAGTATGTAGAGGAAACTTATTGCAAAGAATTGTCATTTCTACTTGAGAAAGTTGCTCATTATCAGAAGATTTCCAGTCTCAGAACATTGCACATTTGCCTTGCTCAATAACCCACTATAATTCTCTCCTAAATAAAGCAAGTAGTGCCAAGGCTTTGAACAAGTGGGTGGAAAAAGTTAAAAAACTTGTGGTGGTGTAAATGAGGCTTAAGGTGAATTTTCCGTGGTATGGCACCCATTGTTATCATCTCATTTTCACCAGGTGGCTAACTCCCATACTTCTCGATCACCTTCCCAAGTCTTTTTTACCTTCAGTGAAATTAACAGTACGAAATCTCTCTGCCTTAAATTAGTTGGAAACTTTGATGCAGTAAAATGTTTACAGAAGTATACAGTTTATCACTAAAGCTTTCTATATGTTGCTGTTGTGTCTGCTTCAGATAATTTGCATGATTCCTCAGAGTTCTCTCCTACTTGCTGTAAGAAATGTTTGAAGGATTTTCTCCCTTACAGAAAATATTACAGAACTATACTGGGAATTTAGGGGTAAAAAAAAAAAAATGTTCAGTGGAGTGTAGGGAATATTACTGTTAACAACCCTTCAACACCCAGAATCTAACCACCTCTAGCTGTTGTACATACCCTGGTAAACTGGATACAAGAATTTGTGCTAGTTTAAGATAACTTCTACCCAATAAATTTGAGTATTCTATTTTGCAGAATAATGTATGTATATTGAAGGGAGAAGTTACTCGTTTATCGCCTCTGGGAGTTTAGGGGTTAAAAGAATTAATTTTATTCCCTGTATTTTTTTTGATGGTGTATAGAAATCATGAAACAGACAAAAGTGATAGAAAATGTTGGTTTACTTCCATTCACAACCACAATACTTTTTCACAGTATTCACAGAGATAATAATATTTTAGTTTACATTGCGAAAAGAGATTATTAACTAAAAGCATTGATTTTGCTAAAAATTTACAATGGGAGCTAGTGTTACCTCTTGTTTGTAGAATATGGGATAAAGAGAAAGGGTTTGTTTAATATAGGAAGATATGCCATCCAACTACTTAACAATATCATAACAAGAAAATTGGTATGAAAATATTAGTCTGGTCACCATTATATACACCCTGAGTACATATCACTGCCTTGACAGTTGTCTAGCAAGTGAAACTTGAGGAGAGTCCCAAAGTTGAGGTATTTGCCTCTGTAGTTTAGCTTAAATTTCAAGTAGTCAGCTCTGGAACTTTCATGAAAAACGAACAATTTTCCAGTTTCATGTAAAAATATGATTACAGGAAGCCCATTATGAAGTACTACTTATGCAAGTTAAGATCTTATCATACAGTTGTCTGCTTTCCAGTAATTCTAGGTTTTGCATACTCTACAAATTCATCAATTAAAACTGGCCAAGCTCCTGCAATAAAATAAACAATACACAATCATTAAAATTTATGATATTAAAAAGACAGATTACTAATAAAAAACTGTTTTCATCTTTGAGAAGACAACTCACTAACATGGCTTGAAAACTTAAAACCTTGCTGAGAATGAAGGTGAAAACAAAGGAATCAAAGTTGAGAGATGTGGGGGTGTGATTGGTAAATTTAGTATTATTTTCAGAATTACAAGCTGACAAAAGATAATTTCCCTTAAGATCTCTACCCTACCAGCCTAGAAGTAAGTTTACAACCCTGACCATCAAAGCATTGTCATCACACATGTTTCATTACAATATTTTGCCAGTAGAAGTAAAGTCACAAAATACAAAGGTACAAGATCTTCGTATCAAAACACAAGGAACCCTAAATAAAGAATATTTTCTGTTATTAAAAATTTAGGTAAGTGTCCACTACCATTTTTTCAGTAAGTCATAGAGATACTCAAATATTGAAATACTCCTTGTAACACAAACCCTCTTCATCATAGTTGCCCATATCATCCTCAATCATGTTACTGAAGTCTAACAAGAGGTTCCATGTGTCTTTAGATATCGCCTTTTTGTGATGTAACTATCAAGAAAAATAAATAAGAACATGATTTTTGTGATTAGAACAACAAATAGACTCCATGTTGCCAGTGACACCACATCATCAATGCATCTGTCCCTGTCCTCAAATAGATCATAGGTACGAGCCAATAAAGATGTGTGCATAATTTTTGGTGCTAAGGTGATCTGCAACTGCAAAGGGTCTATACAACTTAAAAAGCCAAGAATGGTTTTACTTACCAAGAGAAACTCACACCAGATATCAAGGAATTTAAATCTTCCATTCAGAATTATATTCCAATATGCTATGGACATGTCTAAATCTAGGGGCAAAAAAAGGTTGATAAAAACATGCAGCAGAAAAATGCTGTTTACAAACTTCTGTTAACTGAGGCAAGAAAAAGAGGAAAATTGACAACACACTTGAGAAATAGAGTAAAGAGGACAAATGAAAGCCTTGAAATGGGATATATTAGAGGCTTAAGAATGTGGGTATGTTTTCCCTAACAAAACTAAAATCACAGAATTAAAACTCTTCCAAATCAACACTTGGTTAATACCTGTAAACTTACCTAAACTCTTCTGGCCTGGATTTTTGGCGAAGTTGAATGTGAACTGGTATAAATCTTTAAATTTACCATTATCTCTAAGGTCTGCCTCCAGGCTTGGAAGTTTACTTCGGAGTTTGTCGATGGAATCACAGCTACATTAAAAAATAAGGAAAACTTGACTCTATCCTAGACTTAAAAATATATAACATAGAAATATTTATGCATCTTTTCACCCATCAGAGAAATAATTTTGAAGGTAAATGAACCCTTTCCAACCTAACATCAGTATATCAGTATGCATATTCTCTATACTGTTCTATATACATTTCCTACAGTGCTGACAGGGAGAATTTGTTTATAAATCAGGAGCTTAGATGGTGATTTTCCTTTATTCTCCTAACCTTAATGTGTGATATGGGGGTTATACTGTGAGGAGAAATTGGATGCTAATCACTTTTAGGGTCCAAAGGGTTAAAGATACACAGAATGGTTACCCGCAAGGAGTAACCCTCCTTACTTGGCCCTAAAAAACAGGGAAAGGTTTTTGGAGTTGTGAGTGTAAACAGGGTGTAGAAAATCGCTATAATTAATTATTAGGATGTTAGTTTAAAGAAATCATATCTAATCAATCAATGATCCCCTAATTTATATGTCCTTTGTTCTCAACACTTGTCTGCTTGATATTGTATTGACATTGTAAGGAGAAATTCTGAGTTCTTTGCTCATGGGAGTTACAGGGTTAAATATTTTATTCATTCTCCAGCTCACCCCAGTTCTACCATGCCATCAGTGAATTCTTTCCTTGAAAACTCGCACTGTGTTGCTGCTTTAAATTTCCAAGCTATCACAAGAACCTTGAGGCTTGCTGGATCTAACTTGAGATCTTCACAGAAACGCCCTATCCCTTCAGCCATGATTTTATCATCATCACCAGGATCTGGAGATGAAATAAAAACACATAAGAATCAAAATGCAATAAACAATGTATCCTGTAAATACCAAACTAGATACAGTCTGTAGGAGCCATCCAGTGGGGTAGTGATTTTAGGACTTCTCTCTTAGTATAGGTATCAGTTTTAAAGATTCCAGGAAAGGAGAATAATATTCCCACTAGCTGAAACCTTCAGAGAAAATGTGCACATTGAAAAACGTTGAGATATGCCATTTGGCATGTTGCACCTTGTATTCCACACAAAAGGTTATTGTATGGTAATATTACTGTATGATTAAACTTTCAGCATTATAATTTAAATTTCCAAAATTTCCCCTACCAAGATGGTAATAAATAGAGTGTAATTCATATTACAACAAATATGAATACAACGGGCAGAAAGTAACAGACCAAAACATAACCCTGGACCTTACCCAGAAAGCATATGGCCAAAACATAAAATTATGGAACTCACCACAAAAAGGGCAAGATCTCCTGTTAAAAAGTAATCTTGCCAAGGACTAGTTTATAAAATTTGAAATCCTCCAAGATGCACATACCTCTCCTACCGTGAAAGTATCTTATCTAGTTTAAGCCCCCAGGGAAATTCCAGTCTGGCTGTAAATAACTCTTTTAAAGCATTCATAACGTAATATCCCTCACCCTTGCAGAATTTCTAGAGCCACTTTATAGGTTGGTTATAAATACTCCCAGACTCCAAAAAAATATAAGTAAAACTGAAAGGTTATTAAAATACAACTTACAAAAAACGCACACCTTGTTTCAGATTTACGTATTTAGTTTACAGGTATGCACAGATTGACCTTGGAAAACGACCTACAGTAGCTAGCTTTTGTATAAGCTCGCCACACCGGAAACGTTCAAATCAGAGTCAAGATTTTGAAAAAAAGAATTTCTAAAATTAAATAATCTTTCTGAAAAAATGGAATAGGGCACTACGATCATCAATAAAACATTGAATAATCCTTAAACCGGTTAACACTCTAGTGAGTACAAAAACATGTACAACAGATAGGAAGTTCATTTCATACAGATCCCTTCTCCTACCTTTGTAACGATCAAACAGGTGGGTGAGCTTTTTCTTGTCTATCAAAGGTTTCGTGTCGATGTAGTATTTCTCTGGATTCTGGAAATACAGATCTGACGCTACATCTAATCTCCAATCATTTTGGCTCAGGCAGTTTATTGCTGTCTTTTCATTCGTTTCAGTGAAGGTAATAAACTGCCTCACTTTTTCGCGCTGGGAGGACTTTAACCTGTGCTGTAAGACATAGTATGAACAAAAGAAGATGTCAATTCTGTTATTATTCATCTGAAAGCTATTAAAGGTAGGATCTTCGTAACATAAAATAACAGCAAAACCCTTACCATATCCACATCACACTACCGCCCAAATCGTCCTTCGAACTAGAATCAGTGCCCGCTGTCCACGTAGGTCAGCACTCCATCCATACTCAAAAAAGATCTTAACCGGAGTACCCCTCAGTGAACTGCTTTGATTTCGTTTTAGTTTTATTTATTGTTTCTTTCATGGACGATAAACATAAGAGCTGATCCTCAAAACGAAAAAAAGACTGAAAATTAGAACAAAATTTCTTTTTGAATGTCATCGCTGAAATCATGAAAAAATATTTAATTTCTTTAGTCTCGAGCAATTTTCTACCCACTCAGCCCTTAGTCTCTAAGTAAAGGCAATCTGTACTCTGCAGGACAGGGTGGGTAAAAGTATGTTCGTTCAATGTCTAGCGGCGCAAAAACGCGCTGCAATGGAGCAATACGAAACAGCGCAATATCTGGCCGACTTATAACGATGATTGCTTTGTCAATTCCTTCGTTTAGGAAGCCTAGAAATGACAAGGAATATACAGTCTACGAAATTCACATCACGAAGCCCAATGGACGTGAAGTAATAAAAGAGCATCGCTACAGAGAATTTGACGATTTCCATAAACAAATCAGCAAAATTGTACACGAACCTCTTCAATTTCCTTCAATGAAAATACCAAAGCCTTTGAATACAAGCTCACGATTCTTGGAATCGAGGAGAGAAGCTCTGGAGAAGTACTTAAGGACAGTTTGTTCTTTTATTGGGATTAGCGAAGTTCACGACCTTTTAACGCAATTTTTAGACATTAGTTTACCGCAACACTTTCAAAATGTGGATGTGTCACGAGCAAGTTCGACTGAAGAGTTGGATGCCTATAACGATGAGGTAACGAGATTGACTCATCAGCCATTGATGTGCTTCATCAGTGATCCCTTCAAAGACAGAAATGGTAACAACCCTTTGCCAGATATTGTTTTGCAAGGCACACTCAAAGGTCTCTATGGATAAGGTATTGTCTATATTTGAGAAATCTTCTAAGTGGACAGTATTCATTTGATGATTATCAGGAGAAATTGATTTGTTCCAATGAAAGATTTAGGCCTGTGCTCATCATTGTCACTGTTTGAATTGTTTTCATTGTAGTTTGAGAGGGAGGCATGGAGAGAGGGGACCTGTCTCACTGGGAAACTTTTCAGGGTGTGTTTAAGTCTGCCATTGACTGCTGATTGCTCATCCATAGGAGCTTAAGCATAGATGTTTTTAGATGACTTTCCACATCCAAGAAGTGGCTATGCTTAACCTCCCTTTATAAAATAAATGATATACTACAAGCACCCTGATTGGTCTAAAACCTAATATCAATTGTATTGTAAACCTCTAGATATTTTATAGAAGCACCACCCACACTTTTAGTTGGTTTACCTAGCACTAACCCTCTTGGGATGTTAGGAGAAGACTTGCAAAGTTTGAGAATTACTTGCCCCTGGCTCATGATTTCCAAACTTTTCTCATATTCTCTAAACATCCCGCGTGGGTTTTTACGCTGGTAAACTGATATAAAGTACAGTCTGTCTCAAGTAATTTTTGTATGTTTTAGCATATGTTGAAAAAAACAAAACACCTAATATCATGGAACAGTAGACTTGATACTAAGGATTTTCTGGGAATTGTGGTTACTCCTGATGTGGCCCATCTTTCATTTTATCTTGTGTCAGTAATTTGATATTCCACACAACATCACAGTTATTACTGTAACACATCCCAATAATTTGGAGATATTTATTGTAAAAATTTAGAAAACCTGAAAAATTGGCAATGCAGATATGCCATTCTCCCAGAGCAAATATCCATGAATACCACATCAAACTCCTTCTTTCCTGCTAAATAACTAATTCAAAAAAACTTTTGGGCACCATAGAATAACAGATTTTAATGCACTTTTTTGACTTTTTAACTCTTTTTTTAGCAGTTCTTCACATATTTTTCTGCCTTTGTGAAATATTTATAAACATATAAGAAAAGAAATCCAAACACTGTTAGTTTTGCAGGCCTTTTTAAATCTTCGATTAAAATGTTATTTATGTACTGAGATTCAATTAATGACAATGTTGTAAAGTTTATTCAGAGTAACAGTTTTCTTAACTGCAATAATCACAGGAAATAGTTGTTACCTTATTTATAAAGGACTTTTTAAATAAATGATTTGATTTCCATGTTGGATAGCTTCTTTCACATACTGAAGAATAAGATTTTGCTAAGATTTCCAACAAGTTTACCTGTAGGAAGAACCATTGTTTCTTCTTGTAAGTGGTGCAGGAGATTTTTTGTAACTCAAAGGTGGGAAAAACAATTTTTGACCTAGGGTATTTTAGTATTATCAACTGTGTTGATAATGTTTCAAGCCTTAGCCTTTTGTCAGAGCAATCTTAGATTGTGTGTGTTCATATGCCTGGCTTGGTATGGTTTGCTGTTCTGAGATCTGTGGATTAAAAAATTCTAAGGCATGAGTTAGTGGTTGCAGCAAATAAAAGGAAAATGAATAAAGGGGGTTAGTTTCTAACTTAAAAAAACTGTGGTACTGCATTAGTGGGAGGGTATATCACATTACCACTGTAGAGTGACCAATTTACATCATCAACTCAGTTGATAATACTTAATTGCCCTGTTATACTTTGTTATTAATGCAGCACCACAATTTCTTTATTCATTAATTTTTGGCCTTGTCAGTTGTCATCCACAATCTTGCCTTGACTTTCATTATTTAGTTTTCTTCGCGTGGGGAAATAGGATACCTATATCAGAGTCTTGTAAATGGATGCCCAGGCCCCCAGGAACAAATCCCACCCATTTTGACCAATATCCTATCCTTCACACACCTTGAAATGCTACATCCATCCATCCATCCATCCATCTGGAAAGAGCAAGAGGCAACACCTTTTCAAAGCATTAAAGAACATTCTTCGATGATCACAATACTCAATGTAACTATCATTGTATATCTTTGACATTTGCTGAGGCTTCTTCCCGTCGTTAACGCAATTTTAAAATTTTCAATCCAAACTTTACTAGCGCTCGTACTACGATGATTAGAAATCGCGGTCTCCTACATGACATACATGTTTTTCATGTCAGCGGTAAATCAGCGTCTCATGTTTCGCTAGGGCCGCCATTTTTAATTTAATTTCACATCGACTATTCTCCGGACGTTCTGAATGTAGAGGATCAAGAGATATTTAAGGAAGAACAAATTGCGGAACTATGACCACAGCAGCAAGACCGACCTGGGACACCGCAAAGGGTGGCCGAGGAAAAGGAGAGGGTGACCTCTCGGCATTATCAAAGCAGTATTCGAGTCGGGATTTACCATCACACACAAAACTAAAACACAGGTTAGGAATAAGGGCTTTCGTTACTTTTAAGGGATTCGTGCTATGTAGGGGGAAAACTGTCTGAATGCACGCGCGAAATGGCGTTTAAATTCGGAATAAAAGAGAAAATGCGAGTGTGGGTTGTCGACAAGCAAGACCGAGAAACTCTTCTGCTGCTGATCCAAGATACTATCTTACCTGGAACCATTCTGTTGTAACATGAACAACGCAGAATGACGCCTTAAAAGTAACGAAAGCTGGAATAAGTGATGATGGTTGTTGTAATTTACATATTTTGACTTTTCAAGACTTCCCTAAACGCTTGTATTTTAAGACTAGAACTCCTTAGGTTGCTATTGATAATAAATCGTGCAGATGAATGTCATGAAAGTGTTGATGAAATAACGTCGGCAAAATTTGCGAGCAAGTAGAACAAATTGATGGCGTCCCAGGGTAAAAAAAATTGTGTCGAGTGTCAAATGAGTGGCTAGTTCTGGCCCCAGTGCAAACTGAGTGTTTTACATTACAGTGTATTCTCGTTAGTTCTGAACTTGACCAAATATACTTACAGAGGAAATCCTTGTGTTGTGTTTTTTTCAATACTTGTGGTAGCCTTAAAATGGACCCCTTCCACATTTTTTGTAAGTTTCCATCTAAACCACACCTTAATGAAATAACATCATTACTTTTTTTAATAATACTAATATTGCTAATCAACAGGCAAACGGGTCAAGACACTGTTGAAGAGGTCCGCAGCAGAGACTTCCGCAAAGATTTGGAAGAGAATGAACGTCAAGCAGCACGTGAGCGTGTTAAGGAGAAAGGAATCAAATCAGCAGTTGAACAACCGAAGAGACCTCGACTTGATCAACCACCTCCCTCAAATCTAGATGCAGATGATCCAATTGATGATGATGATGACGATGATGACGATGAAAGGTGTTATGTTTTTACATGCCATTGACCTTCATATTTTGTTGAGCAGACAATGAACATTTTTTGACTTTAAAGACCACACAGGACTTTGAGAAAAGAATTTCAAACAACATAGTACTTTCCATAATTACATGTAGAGACTCATTAGTTCATGTTGTAGGTCATTTAAGAAAATATTTTCAAATAGTTTATAAATTCGCATCTTTTTCCTAATCAATGGCATACAGTGATGATGAAGATGACACAGCAGAACTTCTCGCTGAGCTGCAAAGAATAAAAAAAGAAAGAGCCCAAGAGGAAGCCAAAAAGGTTTGATTTACTATTGATTACCCTGCCCTTTCTTTTTTTTTCTCTTTTTGTACATAAAATAGTAAGTTGAAGGTGTCCTGTCTGGGACATTCAGTAAATAAAGCAAAGCATGATTAGTAGCAGAGGTGTGGTGACTAGTTGGTGTGGTAATGTGATTAGTAGTCATGCTGTGTTAAAATATGATATACACTGTATTTACACAGTAATTTGAAGGTGCCCTGTTCTGGGCATTCAGTAAGGAAAACAAAGTGTGATTAGAAGCTGAGGTGTGAAAAAACTAGGCAGCTTTGGGTCAAGTGGTGTAATTAATATACTTTTTAAGAGTTTGTACTTGTCAGTGTTATCTCACATGATGGCCATGTGTTGTATGGCAGGAGAGAGAAAAGAAAGAAGAAGAGGAAAAAATAAGAATGGAAAATATTATGACTGGAAATCCCTTACTCAACACACAGAACAATTTCAAAGTGAAGAGAAGGTATTAAGTAGTAATGATAAAATGATCTTGTTGATACTGAATTTCTTTAGCTCAATTGTTTGGCTCATTTTTATACATTGTTAGTTTGTTCTTTGAAATCACCATTTCCTTTGTTGAGCCTAACGTTATCATATTCATTTTCAAATATTAAGATGGGACGATGATGTTGTATTCAAGAATTGTGCCAAAGGAGAGGATGGAAAAAAGAAGGTGAGATGAACTTCTGGAAATGCTTTGTCCTCATGACTGACAACACTTTTTCAGTAACTACCTCCTCTGCTGTACAGTTCCCTCTAAATTACCTGAGTTAATTTGGTATCATCAAACTAACAATCCCTACATGTAGGTGATGGGGTATTCTATTCTTGTCATCTTTTTTTTCTGGATTATAGAGAGAGATATTTGTTGAAAAGAAGTGTAATTATTATATAGTACACATGTAGCCCTTCTTCAGTGAGAACATTCAATAAGTGCAAGAGTACTCATTGATATTCTCCTCAAAGTTCTTTTTAATACAGCAATAGTGAAGTTCAATTAACTTCTTGCTTGAGAGCCTCTGACTTGGGTATAGAGAAATCATGGACTCACTGTTGTGGACCCAGCTGCAGAAAGAGTGGATAACACTATCCAACAGATAAATCGTTGATTGCAAACATATAGCTTTGTCCATCAAGTAAGGATTTATCCAGTGGATAGCATTGTCCAACCTTTGAACCACTGAGGTCTGGATTATAAACTCTTTTCTTTGTATAATTATTGTGCTTTACATAAAGAGCTAAAAGAGCTATTGTAATTATGATTTTTATTTTTGTTCTTGTTTGTCCTTATACAGGAACAACACTTCATCAATGACACCTTACGTTCAGAATTCCACAAGAAGTTCATGCAAAAATATGTTAAATAATGAAAAGATTTGACTGCTGTCTCGACAACTCTGCATGTAGGAATCCTATTCTGGTCATAGTAGAATGATGTGTAGCAACCCTTATTAGAGAGAACTTTGCTTTCCAAGAACTGAGAATGCTTTTATTGCAACCAGGGAAACTTGGGTTCATTGATCTCTGATATATGTTCCAGTTCACATCTTAAGATGGTTTCATCTAACATCCCTACATGGAAGGAGAATATATCCACTTGTGACATGTCTGCTTGGGATATTTGATTGATTATAAAACAAACCATTTTTGAAAGTGTGGTGAATTGTTTTGCTGAAGCCTTTTTTTTTGCTTTCACCTGTGTCTTAACAAAATATAGAGCAATTTCCAATGAGTGTCAAAAGTAATTTGAGATTGCTTAAGTTTTACTTTGCTTTGGTGCATGATCAGTCTGTAAAACTTGCACCATGCTAAAATCCTTGAGTCCTAATTTGCCAATGACAATGGAAAACTGTTATGATTAACTGTTGTGATTGGTTTGGTTCTACTATAGTCATTCAATAACTGCTCTCACAGGGGGCCTGAAAAACATAGCAGTGCAAATGTGAGAATTTGCAACCTTTTTGTAACTCTGTAGTTAATGTTGAAATATGGTGGTTTTTGTACTTAGACTAGTTCTCTCTTTTACCCCCCTTTGTGTGAGTTATCACCTACTCCAGTTAATCTATTCTATAATCTCTTCTTTCTTAAACAAACCTGAAGGATTTAAATTCCATTGAAATAAAAGTCTCTTTTGTTGACTTCTTAGTTGTTAACAATCATAACAATTTTATCTCAAGGTAACCGAGTCCCACCAAACTTAAACATTTAAATCTTCTTGGCCATGGAGTGTCACCCACCCTAAACAATCCTTTCCTGCTCCCCCTTGCCTCTAACTGCCAACCTTCTGGGTTAAGGCAGCATAGAAAAATTATTTCATTCATGTGGATTTCATTGACAAAATTTAAATGTTTGGAGTCTTTCACCATGGCTATATGACCAAAGTAGCATGTCAAGTTAAAACACAGATGTGAAAATGTGTATGTACCAGAAACACTCAGACATAATAAAAGTTGATCAGAAAAGAATATCTAGCTCCAGACTTGGCCATTAAATAACCTATTACAACCTAACATCCGTATGCATATTGTCCAAACTGTTCTCTAAACATTTCTTGAGGTGGTGACAAGGAGAATTTGGTTAACAATCACAAACTTCAATCAAGTGCTTCTTCAGATGGTGATCATTTCCTTTATTCTTGTGACCTTAAAGTTTGACGCAGGGATGGTATTGTGGGGAGAAATTGGATACTAGTAGCTCTTAGAGGTTAAATGGTTAAGAGCACCTATGGGAAATTACAGACATAATGCAGAAAAAGGATGAAACAGTTTGACTACTTTTGAAGTGTTTATTCTATGAATGAAGTCAGTTTACTTGAAGTAGATGAATATTCTGAGAGCTATTTACAATTTTAAAATTCAAAGTATTGGTAGTTAAAGATATCAGCCTTACACATTTAAATTTTCTTTTTTAACTGTTGCAGTTACATGTAGAATGTTTAGCCATAAAAAATTTACTATAAAAACTGGTGCTACATAGATATTGTGACATACATGTATACTATAAATATTACATTACCATGACAGTAAATTTGGTACTGAAAAGTAATGATGACTAAATGATCTTGCAAACGTTTAGAATGTTATCCATACTTAACAAAAGAATGAAAATGCTGGCTGAAAATGAACGTATAATGTATGGGGTAAATTAATCATAAGACTTATCCAGCCCTGCGTACACTTTATTAAAAAAACATTATTGCAAAGTCCCTGTATGAGAACATATGGTATGTAATATCACAAGCAGGACTAAAAAAAGTCTTATGACCCTGCAAGAAGATAGCTGAAACAAATATGGGAGAAAACATTCAGCCCCAATCATACAATGAAATACTTATGGGCTGATGTACGTTAGGTTGAGGGGGAAATATTTGTTCTTGGTCCATACATCATGTTCTTCAGAAAACAATTTCCCATCCAGCCCTCCTCAGTCAAGAGGTTTATTACCAGAGCATTTTTTACCCTTTCATTCCCAAGAGCCTATTTGCAATTCTCTCCTACACATTCTACAAATTTCCTTTCAACTGTTAGCAAAAATTATTAATTGGTGTAACATCACAATATCAGCCTCTGACCCTTAAGTTTGTTACATGTTCATCACTGCTGGGAGTAAAAGAGCCCAAGACAAGACACAATTTTGACTGAAATTACTTACATCTAGCTACAATACCCTGGCCTACTGCTCAATAAACCGCTTGGTAGAAGAAAACCTGGGACAAGCAAAAACCACACAACTCTTTACCACCCATATTTACAATCCATCATCATATTTACACAACTGGGTTCCAACAGATCTGCTTCATCAAAATTACCAACTTGCAACTCCATGAAAAGTTTGAAAATGTAACAACCCAACAACACAGTAACCACAAGTAAGTGTCCAAAAAAATCTTCACCTCAACAAACTGAAAACATCTTGGGAGTTTGACTTTTTAAAATGGTTCTACAGGGAAACATTTCAAAGCTAGAGATAATGGTTAAGATCAGATGGATAGCATATAGTCTATTCTAGATTTATGTACATCTCATAAGATTTATTTTTTCAACTAAACCTTCCTAAGGTGTCTTTGAAAAGCACAAAATAGGCAAAGGTGACTGGTAATCTCATCCCTACCTCGGTTGATGACCATTCCCAACGCCTTCCCTGATTATTTTTAGACACTTTACAGTCAAGGCAGGTCAAGTTCACCACGACCACTAAACCCTAACTTTCACTTTCATACATGCAAAACGAGCAAGGAGTTTTATGGTAGACAACATTTTACAAGAACAACCACAATTTTCATGAAGCTGATTTTGACAAGTGTGTTTGTTGGATGTTTCTTCAGTCTCAAGTATAGGAATGAAAGATGATTCACTCTGACTAAACCAAGGAAGTTGTAATCACTGAAAGTTACTGAACATTTACATTTAACAAGTGATTCATTCAAATTTCAAGTGATCAACTCACCAAAAATCTTTGTTCAGAAATTAAACCCTGCAACCAAATGGTTGTGAAACTTCAACTACAACTCATGACGAGGCAAATCAAATCTTGAAAATTGTGGTTGATCTGATGTATCTAAAATCCAACATACAGCACTTATATGACCTGAAACTAATGTACTCCACAAGCACAGCTGCAGTAGTTTTAATGACAACCTTTGCTATCATGCAAAACTGCTGCCTATTTTCTCTGAAATTAGCGACATCAGAGTAAACATCAAACTTCCAGAAGCCACCTACATTGTAGTTTTCGCTGTCTATTTCAAAACTTCTTAAGATCCCTGCAGATGCTCTGTACAGTCAATTTTACTGAGGAATTAACTGGACATGCAATTCAGAGAGCAGTTGGTACCAATGTCCAAAAACAACATATACAACTCAAAAATGTAAAACAACATAACTTGGTAATGGTTATAATTTCCTTGATACAGGTGTTCATGGTAGAAAAAAAAAGGTTGACCCTAAGTTAGTTGAAAACAAAGATTCAAAATTTATCAAAAGATAAGAGGGCAAAAACATCCACAAATTCAAAATAAATTTACATTTCAATCAAATAATTCCAGTTGGAAACCAAACACTCTAGCAATATATTTAGAGTGATTATCAAATAAATTTTTACCAACTTAGGATAAGGACTAACTAACTCTATATTTAGTTATACTATCTTATTATACATGTACAAAATGGCAATTGTTCTAATATTTATCTATTGCCATTGTGAAAATGGATCTATGTACTACTATAAAGCTCTAAAATACTGTCCGCTTATTTATTTTGGGGATAGAAAAATAGACCTGAGGAAAAAAAAATCAATAAAGGGTGTTAGTGAGAGAGAACACTTTTTCATATCATTCCTGGGATGAGTGTCTTTGATTTATATGTGAGACACACTAAGCATACAACAGACCCTTTCATGCCCAGTTGGGGTTTTGCTTGAATAAAATGTTTTCAGGTGATAAAAAGAGGGGTATAACCAGTGTTCTCCTTTTCAGGCAGTAGCCGGTAACATTTACCATCTGTAGTACCTCTTAATACTGTTTAAAATTGCTTGGAATTCTTGAAAATTTAACAAGTAAAAGGATTGCTTTACCGGTTTGAAAATTTATTTCACCTGTCATGCTTAAAATAAGGAAGAACATTGTATAAAGAAGAAAGCCTTTAAGAAAATAGTTATTAAAAACATTGCTTATGAGGGACAAACAACTTATATATTCTGAATTGCTTTAGGTTACTGAGTGAGAAAAAAATTTTGTTCAGGTTGCTCAGCTACCCAAGGCTCTCTTTTTTCTCTCTCTTCCTCATTAGTTCAGCAGCATCTTCACTCTGGCTATTGTTTTAAAGAACTAGCTGTACAAATAGGGAACCTTTTTCTGAGGTGTTATCTAAAACCTCGCACTACTGTTTGAATCTCAAGGGTAAATTCACTATTGACACCCCAACTGACTTATCTGCCAAACCAGAATACAGCTCTTTAACAAATTCTGAGAATTTGGCATCAATCAGGGAAAAATAATTTCCTTAACCTTTAACTCACAAGATCTGATTGGTAATTCTCCCCTCTAGCTGCTACACATTTCTTTGTAAATTAGTTATGAGAATTTAGTGTTAGATCATGATAACAACTTCTAGCTGATAAGTTGGATTTTCTCCAAGTTCCATGTGAATCACTTTTGAGAGTTAAAGGGTTAAGATGTAAATCATCACTTTTTAGAAAGCTACAAGAAAATCTCCTTTACTCTGTATTTACCTCAAACCTTTAAGCCACACCCTTGGAGGTTAGAAATAGATGTAACCCTGAGGGGAATCAGGAAAAAAAATTCAAAAGAAAAATGGATAACTACATGTACCTCTCAACTTGTGCTCTTATTAATCTTGAACAGGAGAAAAGGTGAAACAAGAAGGTGAGTTCCCTAGTGTTCTTGGTAGACTTTGGGTTGTCGATGGACCTGCCAGAGGTGATCTTGGAGGAGTGAATTTTGAACGGTACAGTGGCAAAGGTTGTCTAGGTATTTCTCCAAAGAGCATTGGAGTAGCAGTTGATGATGATGTTGAAGTGTCTGAAGCTGAAGAGCTGCCAGGATCTTCATGAATATTATTTTCCTCGTCAAAGTTTATATGCTCTGATTCAACTGGGCCATTTGGGGAACAGTTAAGTGGTGAAACATCACAGAGACGCTTTGACGGACTGACTCCAGGCTCAAAGCCTTCTGATGGCCCTAAATACAAAAATAAATTATAAAATGTATAATTACATAAATTAACAGAATACTTAAATTTGATTTTAAGCATTGCACATGCACAGGAAGATACTTTGTCCACTATTTTCAAGACATATTGAAATATCAACCACTGATTATGTTACTGTAGGGAAAAAAAAAAACCAAGCACATGGAGAAACAGCAATGGCAACAAACTCAATCAACATATGACACCAGGTGGCGGAATCAAACAACAGTTATCAAATCAAAATATTTGACTTTTAGGTTAACTAACACTAATTCAACTTGTTTTAATTTGAGACCAAAGACAACATTCCAACAATTTATTTTCATCCTAAAAAGTAACCACATAATAAAATGAATATTGAGATATCTGATGCACTGTGCAGTTACTTCAAAACAAAATCAATAAATCAAAAAATTTTATAAACATCCCATAGTCATCAACATCATGGTATGTTAACCTACATTTTCTTTTCAGTGTCAAGGTACTTGGCTTAAAATAAACAGGACTGAGACTTCTGCGCCTGCAATTTGGTATAAAAAATTAATGAACATTAAGTTCCATATCATACAAAATATAGAAGTGACAAAAAATCAAACTTCATTGCTCTTTAAGCTTACATAAATGTTGTTCTAGTAGGACTTGGTATAGGACTTGGAGTAAGACTTCTTGTGCCTTTCATTGCCTATACACAAAAAAGAATTGTTTTCATGCAAAATTAAAAAACTACAGGTACATTATAATCACACAAGAAAACTACAGGTACATTATAATCAGACAAGAACTGGTTTAGATATACAGTTACGTAAATCATAGTCAAGACATTGACCAATTTTTCATTCCACATTCAAAACTAGAGAAGAGCTTTTTGTGTAGAATTTGTAGAGAGTTTCACATGATAACTACAGTTTACTAGGAGTGCAATTCTTAGGCCTTTTGTATCAACTGCTTATTTTGACAACAATTGTAAATTTTTTATAAACACTGGTCAATAAAATATATTAATTTTGCATTATATCAACAATAAAGTACAGTAGTTTTTTCAGAAATCAAGTGCTCAGTCCAATCTCAGAGTGACTGGAGCATTCATTACTTAGAAACACAAATCCTGAATATTTTGTTTACATTAAACTTCAATGGTGTGATGATGTACTATGACTGTCAAGGTAAGAGCAGTCATGAAAACAACCACTGTCATTCAAAACAACTGCCATAAAATAGATTCTTGACTTGTATTATGAATTCTGCACAAACCATTGAAACATCAGCTTCCCTTTTCAGGGAAACTCTACCCTGAACAATCAAGCTAAATGATTTATTTATACTCTGCTTAATGTGTCATTTGAATTGAAACATTATCTTAGATTCTGACCTTCTGATTGTTTGTTGGTGATGATGATAAAGATGATGGCGAAGGGAATGGATGCCTGTGGTCATCAAAGGAGTTCCGTCGTTCATGCATATCTGCATCATGGTTTTTATCATGATCCTGTAACAAAGAAGTAAAATAAATATAGTCAGTTTTTTTAAAAGAGAAATTATCCTACAGAAGTGTAAAAGCTTTCACAACTATGATCAATGCATTTCATCCTCAAGGAGTAACTCTATTTCTATACTAATCAAAACTATCAGAAAATTCTCGAACATGACTGGTCATCATCTGGTAATGGGACTTTGTGTTGTCTGATTCTGTCTTTAATCATACTTGTGATTAACAAGTCGACTCCCACTCCGTGGTCATCCGATTTTGTTAATCACTGGTATGATTACAGACCAAGTTAGACTCCACTTAGTCCTAGTTCCATGATTTGTCCCATTACTACTTCACAGAAATGAGAACCAGGATCAGTCAATAGACTTTCATTACATGAGCTATCATGCTCTCCAGAAAAATCACTGAAGACTTAACTCTCTTTGATATTTTTTTGGTTTGAGGCCCCACGCAATACCTTAAGCTATCAGATTTTAAATTCTCCCACTAGAAAAGCTCAAACATCAGGCAAAAATAACAGTGAGCTGTTCAGAATCATTCAAGTATTTTATTATTTCAACATGCAGTCACATCAATAGTAAAGAACAAAAAAAGATATAAAATAATACATATTCTAAAAAGAAAACTTTGTCTCTTCTCACAAGACTCACCATTAAAGTCATATGATCATGCATTCCAATTGTAAGAGATAGTTCACTGTGAAAATATGCAAAACAAATTGTAATACTGGCACTAGTTTGGAAAGCATTCCATCTTTTGTCTGAAACTTATCATTACAAAAACAGTCATTATTTTCTCTTAAATTATTCAAATTAAAGAAATAACATATGAGTCTGGAGCAAAAATTAAATATTGACCTTGATTCCACAATTTCCCTCATCCAAAAAAAGAGATGAAAATCCATAAAAAACTGACTGACTCCTTAGAAAACCTGTCATGTACAGGTTAAATTGATACCCCAAGTAAAAGCTCTGTGACATGTGAGGAGAATCTTGTAATGAAAGTCTGACCAAAACATCCATTATTTTCCAGCACATATCATTGTGTGTGAGATAAAATCAGTTTTCCAATAATTTGTTCATTTTACTGATACTCTCACAAATGTCTTATAATTTCAAAATCAGGTAAACAAGTCAGAGACATTACAATTTCATTAAGAAAAAGTATTGCAACTGCAGAGGCAGAAAATTGCCGTTGCAGGGAAATTCTAAACATTTTGACACAACCCTGTGCCAATGCACACAATTAGATTTGCACCAAGGTGGTCTAGGCTACAGAAAGGAATGCAAAAACTTTAAACCGGACATAAATAATTTATGAAAATTGAAGAAGTCAATTACTTGTAAAATGTAAATGAAATGATTTCAGTAACATAAACTTTATTTCAAAGCCTTTATCGTCATCTATTTTTTTCAGAATTTGAAGCTTTTCATATTTTGTCGGAAATAACGAATGATGAGTCTGCCTTGTATCCGATAGGACTTGGTAGCATTTGGGATAAATACAGTATAAATGAAATTTAATGAGGAGCACTATCTAAATGAATTTCATGGAAATAACCTACTTCTTAGCAACTGAATCTCAAAATCTGACGAGCATAGTAATAGAATAGACGACATGAAAAGTCGCCGCATTGTAAATAATACTGCAAGTTAGCTGTTATCTCAAATTCCTCGCTAATCTCGCGTAAGTTAAGCATCAATGGATATGACACAAATACAACATACAAACAAGCGCTTCGGTAACGAACTGGAAAAACTGCTCAAAAGAGAAGTACACATCTCCTTCTGTGAGGTTATTTAATATACATAAACATAACTTTATGAAAACAAACTAAAACAGTTTAGCTGCCAAGCAATTACTTACTATGCGACTTACCTTTCAATTTGTCTTTCCCGACTTGCCTCGTCCATACTTTCAAGTTCTTCCTATAAAAGTTACAAAGAAAGACGATAATTTTCTCCTCGCATTTTTATGATTAGTGCTAAGAAACCTTTTTTATGGCAATACAAATGCTAGAATATACAGCATCATTTATAGAGAATGTATTAATTTAGGACTCAGCATGAATTGATAAAAAGACAAAGTACAGAGTGCTACCAGAAATTATTCCAAAAAACTAAACACAAAAAATATACCCTTTTGATCTGTGCTATTCTTGACGCAGGAGATCCCTGAAAAAATAATTATAGCAGAAGAGAACATATAGGTGCTTAGAACTGGAAAATAGTGCCAAAAAGAAGCAATTCTTTCGTGACATTTGTTCGCGGAATTTTTACTTACAATGTTCACAGCCATTTGACTGGTCGAAAATCGACGCTGCCTTGCAGTCTGCAGTGGCTGAAATATAGGGATGGCCTCACTCACTACAGCAGCGCTCACATTCGGTGCTGAATTCGATCGTCGCAGCGTACTTGAAGGTAAATGGCCTAAGTCATCGGTTTCCATTGCATTAGCCGCCATATTGCTTTACGGCTCTCAAAGACAACATCTGGAAGCGCGCAAGGGATTGTTCCGGTTTACCGCTTCCGCTCGCGCCAGTCTCAACTTCCTGTGCATTGATTGTCCTAGGTGCAGGAAATCAAAAAAAAAGAAGGCCAAGCTGAAGCATCCTAAAAAGTGCAAATCTAAAGTAGGAGATCGCTCTATTTCCTATGCTACCCGAGGTTACCATGTCCACAGTGTTAGCGTGGACTCCACTTACAAATCTACGCTCTTATTGCCCAGTGATGGGTTGTAATTCATCGAAAACCTGTGCTCGCGCACGATTGGTCTAAACATGTAACTTGACCGCTATGCCTTAGCTAGAATTGGGCCGGCATCTCAGCATATGTCAGCATCACGAAGGTCTGTAAATGAAAAATAATGCAGTTATTACCCATCACTCCCCATCATAACCGATCATTTTCCATCATTGGAAACCATTCAGAAAAAGTTGAAACATTCACCCCTTTATCAAGCACACTTATCCGTCAATTCTCGTCACTAAGTATCTTTTGTCGTCATTAAACACAATATTCACTGACATTAAACGCATTTTACCAACTTAGGGTATCAATTGCCGACGTTAGACGTCATCCGCCATCACTGGACATGATTCGCCGCCATTGAACATCAATTTCCGTCACTGGACATCATTACTCGACATCATACGCTGTCACCAGAAATAAATTACCGTTGTTAAATATTATTTACCGTCATTAGACCACATCTGCCGTCACTAGACGTCGTTTGTCGTCAGAAGACTTAACTTACCTTCATTATATATCATTGACCGTCCTTAGACATCATCCTCCATCATTTACAAACCATTCCCCATCATCAGACATCATTCCCAGTCATTCCCCATCATTCAACATCATTCTTAAGAATCCTTTATTGTCATGAAAGATCATTCACCATCGTTTGACATCAATCACTGTCACTAGACATCAACTTACGTCATTAACTTGGGAAAAGACTCGTGACGGGAGGGGGGGGGAGAAATTCTAAGGATAGCAAATGATGTTCAGTGACAGGGAATGATGCCTAATGACAGTGAAATATGTCTATATTGACGGGGAGTAATGTCTATTGATGGGAAATCTAGAACATCTAGGGCGGAATGCTGTTTAAGGACAGGAGTCATGCCTGGTAAGTTATGTCTAGAGACGGTGAAGGAACTCTGATGACAGAAAAAAAAATGCCTTATAACAGTGATTGATGTCCAGTGACCCTGTAAAAGAAGTTAATGACGGCGAATGATAGCAAATGACGATATTTTTTAAAAATATTGACGGTTAGGAAGTCTGATGATGGGTAACGTTACCTAGAGACAAGGCCGGAGAGAACAAATCAAGGGACTGAGATAGAGATGCTGCCGCAAAACCATCTTAAAAATCGTTGAAGACCTAAACAGACTGCAAGCGGTCGTACTTCATAAAAAACCGGTTAAAGCGACACGACATATTCAAAAGTGGAGGTTAAAATGTAGGTAGGACATTGTACTTGTCTTGTTAAGTTTCCTAGAAAATATGAAAACTCCTTTTAAGTTTGTTGCTGCCGAGGAAAATGCCTCGGAATTAGGCCATAGGAAGGGGTTTCTCGAAAAAAAAAAAAAATATTCCGGCTGTAGTTGTCAACTTCACGCCAAGGGCAGCAAAGTATGATGTACCAAAACTCAGCTCAAACGCTATCAATTTGGTTATGAAAGATGTACAATATTAGTTTTAAAGCATTTTTTTTCATTTTGACCTCTTTCTTGGGAAAAAAAAGACAAATCTGTTATGTAAGTGCATTTCTATTCAAGAAAATAACTACACAAAAAATCGCTGCTTCCAAGATTAATAACTTCGTATAAACCTTCACGGTATAGGAGATTGTCCAAAATTACAACACCAGTTTTCGATCAAATCATAACCACTAAAGGACAAAAATCTACTATTAAATGGTTAGAAAGCAATAACTGAGTTCTATTTATGAACGTCGTTGTGAGCAAGACAAGCTCTCTTTGACTTTCAGTTCTATATATGTGCAAATGGTACCACGTCTTCATCGCACAAACTGCCTATCTTCTCGAAGTTCTTTCAAAACGCGAGTCATCTTTTAATCTACTTTCTCTCAACCGATCGTCTTGCAAACGCAGGTATGGTGAAATAATCGAAAGAACATGATTTTGATCTAATTTTGGTTACATTAGCGAGCTTACCTACCTACCAAAGATAATATGTTCTAAGTCTTCGCGATCTGTCTTCGTTTAAGCTTTAGCCCTCTTCTTTAAGGGCTTTAGGAATAAACTAGCAGCTCCTCTCTTGTTACACTTACTTTGCAGAAAATTTACCAGCATAAAAAGCCAAATTGCATTTAAAGATTGCTCTGCGCGAATGCCGACTTCCGCAACCCACTTTGGTACTTTCGTATGCTTTTAATTACATCTAAACCATTATTTCATTTCTCAGTTAAAGAAATATCAACGGCTACCTTGATCGTCTTATACCTTATCTTAAACATTAAACGCTTTTTACTTCATTCTTCAAGGTTCTTCTCTGGTTACCATGTTTTATCATACGAATTCCCTCGGATTTTCATGCATCCCAAATTTCTACTTTCGTCATATTGTTCTTCAAGTAGTTCTTCTCTGCAAATAACGGTTTTCGGTTTTTCCTTCCTTCAAGTTTCTCTGGTTAAGGCTTTCTCCACCATATCGCCGGCGGTATCATTCGCTTCCTCTTTAACCAACACCAACGGCCTTCCCTCAGGATTTTCATGCAAGACTTGGTTCTCATTCGCTTCTTCATCAGGCGCGTTGTCATTTAATGAATGATTCTTTACATTGATTTCCTCTGACTGCTGTTTACTTTCAAGTCCCCCTGGCTTTAAGGAACCAAAGGTGAATGAAACTCCTGAGCTTGGATTCGACGTTTGCTTCGAACCCCCGAAAATAAAAGCTGGTTTTGTAACACCTCCTTGGTTTGTTCCATCGGAGCCAAACTTTATCACTATCGTTTGTTCACCATTTGCAGATGCTCTGCTCCTCCTTTCACATTCCCAAGCTGCGATCCCACTATCGTTGTTCACCATGCAGATGCTACATTCCCACGATCCCTCAGTTGGTTTAAACTTAGCTACAAGATCTTCTTTGGCATCTGTGGACTTCGGTTTTACTCCTGACTCCATCAGTGTCGAGTTCTTTAGCATTTCTTGGCATTCCTCAAACTTCTCCTTGAACTGCTTGGCGATGTCTTCTGATTTAAACCTCACAGCAAGTTGTTCAGCTCTACATTCTTGCTCTGAAAAATCTGCCATCGTGCTCCATACCCACGATTTCTCTGAACCTGCATTAGGCTTTAGTTTCATTTCAGCGGTTATCTGGTGATTGGCGCAGATTTTCAGCACTTGATCCCGCCGCATTAGAACTCTTATCTTTCCACTTCGCCTATTTTTCAAAAGCTTTATATCTCCAACTCCTCGTTCTTTCCACTGCTTGTCCTCTGCCACAAAACGATATAGCTTTGCCCTGTGGGAGAACATGATTTCTTCATCCTCTTCCCCTGTTTTAACATCGATCTTTTCAGGTAGAGGGATTATAGGCTCAAAGTGTGGTCCTTCATTATCCCCTTCCGTTGTCGACTCATCACGGTCTGCAGAATGTGGGGTTGTGAATAGTTTGGTGCCTGATCCCTGAAACCCAGACGGGGAATTACCGGAAGTTGGTTTCTTCCCAAATGGACTGTTGCTCAGAGACGAACTGGCGATTGACTGGAATGACAATGACGATACGTTGGGAGAACCAAATAGGAACTTTTGCTCCTTGTTTGGCAAAGTATCTTTTGTGTCTTGCATGGTAGGTGCCGAGTCCTTGTCACTGTAGCAGAAAAAAAAAGTAAAATTGTGTTAATTTTTGGATTTATAATTTCGATAGTACCGGTAACAACAATTTTATTGGGATCAGTTATCATTACATTTACCTTCAATTTTGGAAGTATTATAGGTAAAAGAGCCTCTTATGTTTTATATAGGCTTCTATGTGCTCCAAAAACAAAACATAACACAAAAAACAGCCATCACCAATAAGGTCTCGGACTTCGATTCCCATTCATCAGTTCCATGGGTTAGCGTTTAGCCCCGTTTCCCTGAAGTAGAGCGAGGACATCATTGCTAAAAACTTTGGAAACATGGACAATTCAATTTGTGCACCCCATTTGAATTAACATCTGTGCCTCTTCTGTCTTCCAAGTTTATTTATCTCGGAACTTTTTTAGAGCTACTTGATTTCGATCTAAACACGTTGCCAAAAACAACTCACAAAACTGACCTTTCCAAGGTTGAACTATCCTCTTCTGTGCTAACTTCTTCCTCTTGAGCTTTTCCTTTGACATCTACCCCTTCTTGAATATTCTGGTTTTGATCATCCTTAGTATCATCAGCTCCTTCATTGTCTGCTGGGTCAGTCAAGGAAACAGCTTTAGGGTTTCTTTTAGTCTCCTGTTCGCTCAAATTTTCTCCTTGATCTATAGAGCCAAAACTAAATGCAACTCCAGAGCTTTGGGTGGAAGCCTGGTTCTGGCTGCCAAAAGTGAAAACTGGTTTTGAATCGCCTTGACTTGTTCCACCAGAGCCGAATGAGAAGACTCCGCCATATGACGAAGCACCAAACCCAAATGGAAAAAGTGATTTTGAATCTTGCTTTTGTTCTTTAATGACTTCTGTTCCTGACGTTACACTTCCACAAGCTGCACATTCGACTTTATCTCTTTCGTTGTTCACCATACAAATCTCACACTCCCATGATCCTTCTGCAGGTTGAAACTTCGTCATGACGTCTTTTCTGGCATCCTCATTTATTCTCTCTTCTTTGGCCAGGTTAGCTGATGATTGGTTTTCCGAAAGTTCTTGGCGGTCGTGGTCATCTTTGGAGTCGTCAGCTTCCTCATCAGCCTTTTGTTCATTAAATAAAGAAAGATTGCCATTGCTGTCCTCTGTCTGCTGTTCACTTCCAGGTCCTGCTTGTTTTAAGGAGCCAAAGCTGTATGAAAATCCTGAGCTTGGATTTGATCTTTGGTTCGAACTACCAAAAGTGAAAACTGGTTTGGTATCACCCTCTTGACTTGAACCTCCAGAGCCAAACATAAAACCTCCACCAGAGGATGAAAGACTAGAGCTACCAAATGAAAACGACGCATTAGCTTCTTTCTTTTGGCCTTGACTTGGTTCTGCTCCTGGTTTTACATTTCCACAAGCTGCACACTGCACTTTATCACTATCGTTGTTTACCATACAGTCGCTACATTCCCATGATCCCTCAGCTGGTTTAAACTTGGTCACGAGATCTTCTTTGGCATCTGTAGTTTTGGGTGTTACTTGAAGCTTCACTGGTGTTTGGTTCCTCAGCATTCCCTGACATTCTTCAAACTTCTCCTTGAACAGCTTGGCGGTGTCTTCTGATTTAAATCTCACAGCAAGTTGTTCAGCTTTACATTCGCCCTCTGAAAAATCTGCCATTGTGCTCCACACCCACGATCTATCTGAACCTGCGTTCGGCTGTAGTTTCATTTCAGCGGTTATCTGGTGATTTGCGCATATTTTAAGCACCTGATCCCGCCGCATCAGAACTCTCATCTTTCCACTTTGTCTATTTTTCAAAAGCTTTATATCCCCAACTCCTCGCTCCTTCCACTGCTTGTCCTCAGCAGCAAAACGATAAAGCTTGGTTCGATGAGAAAAAATTACCTCTTCATCTTCTTCACCAGTTTTAACATCTATCTTTTCAGGAAGAGGAATAATTGGCTCAAAGTGTGGTCCATCATGGTTACCATCCCCTGCTTCGTCATCTTCGTCTGCATTTTGGGAGGCAAACAGCTGTGACCCAGCTCCTGAAAAACCACCAAACGTACCTTGTGTCTTCTGTCCAAAAGGACTGCTTCCCAGTGAAGATGCAACGATGGATTGAAAGGTCAAAGACGACACACTTGCAGAGCCAAAAAGAAAGCCTGTCTTGTTTGAAGTCGTGGTGGAACTTCCCTCGGGAATGGGATCACTTGTCGGCTGGTCTGACTGTCTGTCAATTCAATATCGCAGTGTGTTATATGAAGTTCAGACATATATACATTAACGTAACTTGGAAAGATCGAGATATCGATGCTGCATAACTATATCAATTCCACTACACTAACATAGGGTTACTCACCTCGCATCAGTTTCCGACAGATCAGAGCTGACTTCAGGCGCCGAACATTCATATCCGAAGAAGTTACTTGGCAATTGAAGCCGTTTGGCTTTCTCCTTTAGATCAGCCGTTACTCCTTTCTCGAACATTATCATGACATCTTCCTCAGGTTTTTCCGATGTTCTTGAGTCCGGAGGCTTGCTCTCTGGTTTTGATAAGGATGGACCCTTCTCTGGTTTTGATACAGCCGCCTGTGTACCAATGTCGAAAGTTTCTTTGAATTTAGCAGCAACCTCACTAGTTCTAAACCTCGCAGCTAAAGTCTCTGCTGTGGCTTCTTCTTCTGAGAAATCCGCAAGTGTTGTCCACAGCCATGCCTTATCAGAGTTTGGGAAAGGCTTCAGCACCATATCCGTAGAAATCATGTGATTAGCACAGAGTTTCAAGACATGTTCACGCCTCATTAAAATCCTGTTTTTATTAGAGTTTGAGTCACGAAGTATCTTGATCTCACCAACACCTCTTTCTTTCCACTGCGATGCACCTCCGTCATACCTAAACAATTTGCAACGTTCACAAAAAAGTACCTCTTGGCCTTCTTCTCCTGTTCGGCATTCCACCTTATCAGGAAGTGGTATCAGTGGCTCAAAGTACGGGCCATCATCTTCTCCACGGCTAGGACTATCAGGAGATGACGGTGTCGCAGGCGATGATGGTGATTTAGGTTTACGAGATGGAGACCCAGGTGAAACTGTCAAACTGAAAGTGAACTTCACAGGTGTTGTTGAGCCAAACGGAAGACTACTGGGTAAGTAACTCTGTCCGGGAGACGTTGAGGGCTTAATTCCTTGCTGACTGGGAGAAGATGTCTTGCTTGGAGACAGGTAAATTTTATCTTCTTTTTCTTCATTTGGATCTCCCCGTCCGATGGTAAAAAGTTTCGAGCTAGCCAGTGCCGAGCCATCGGGTGATTGGAAAATAGATGCAACTTGACAAGACTCCTTTTTGACGTCTTGAGCGGTGTTTGCTGGTTCTGATTGAGGGACTGCAGCATTCGACATTGGTCCTGAGGGTTTCAAATTTTCTTCCATTCCTATGGAAACAGTTCTCTGAGGTTCTCTTGCAGTCTTAACAGAGTTACATGCATTACATTGCAAATGTTCGGCATCGTTGTCAACGTCGCACACTTCACACGTCCACGAGCCTGGCGCAGGAGCAAATCTCGACATGAATTGCTTAAAAAGAGCACAGCCAGTCTCTTGTTCATCACCAGTTACTTCCTTTTCAGTGCTAGTTTCTGAGGGTAATGTCTCTCTGAGGTCATCAAATACCTCCTTAAACTTTCCAGCAATTTCTGCAGACTTAAACTTGATCGCGAGCCTCTCTGGTTTCGCCTCACCCTCGGCATAATCGGCTGGAGTGTACCACACCCAAGAACGATCTGATCCAACATTGGGTTTGAGCTCCATCCCAGCACTGATGTAATGATTGGCACACAACTTTTTTATCTGCTCCCGTCTCATGAGCACTCTTCCTTGACAAGACTTTGGATGCCGTAAGAGCTTCATTTCTCCGACCCCTCGTTCTTTCCATTGACTAGAATCACTGTCAAAACGGTACAGCTTGGCTCGCTCGCAGAACAGCACATCTAAACCTTCTTCCCCTGTCACAATTTGAATTTCATCTGGAAGAGCAATGATTGGCTCAAAGTGAAGTTTATCGTCATCTTGACCTTCGACGTCTTCACTTGTCTCAGCAAATAACTGTTTACCAGCTCCTTGAAATGGTTTAAAGCTTTCTTTTTTCTGAGTCACGGAAAATGCATCACCTTCTCTAGGCTTCAGGGATGAAAATGTCAGTTGACCAATCGAAGAGGACTCTCCAAACACATGTGAGGTGGGTAAGCATTGTTCCGGCCTTGAATCACTTTCTTGAAATTTAGGCATAGTGTTCTTTGCTTCATTCTCTCTCTTTGATATCATAGGCTCTTTTGATTTTCCACAACCATAGCATCCACTGCATGGTGCATGTTTAGTGTAATTAAAGAAATTTAACGGTAGACAAAGGCGACATGCTTTATCACGATCACTCATTGGGGCACGAACCTCATAAACGAGAACACAGTCTTCATCTTGCTTTTTCGTTGCTTTTAGTGGACTTTTGGCTGTCAAGAAACGTCTCCCAGTCATGTGAGAAGGAAGAGTGGCGGGTCCAACGCTCTCTGGTGGGGTGGAATGAATCGGAATTGGTTTCACTGGGGTTGTTACCACATTTCCTTTACTAGATTGAAACTGTACCTGCACTTGAGATGGTTGCATAACTGGAATTCTCGCGGGAGACTTATCTAATTCATCCTCTTCATCGTCGGTGGCAGAGTAACTTGAGGTTTCATCGTCAGAATCTTCGGATTCATCAAGATCTTCAACATATTCATCATCGTCGTCGTCATTACGGTCATATTCTTCTGCTTCAAACGACGTAGGCATGGTTGTGCCAAGTGAGTAAGACTCCTCTCCTGGCTCATCAACAACATAAGGTGTAAAGTCATAGCCTTCAGCCGGGGAGTCTGGAGCGACTAACTCTTGCTGTTCTTTCGCAGCAGCAAGGCATCGAAGTAACTCACTGCTAGAAAACTCCATGACGGGTCTACTACTTAAAGTAAATGCCCCTTGCATCTGAGCATGGGGAAAAGCTGTCAACGGTCGAGGCAACATTTCTGACGTCTGTGAAGTGCCCTTAAGTTGTATTTTAGCAGGGTCTGAGAGGGGCCCTGTTCCCCTGTGCCACCAATTAGCTCCACCGAGAGGCGGAAGGGACTGAAGTTGACCAAACTGAAAGCTACCAGTAGGTTGTTGCCAAAACAATTTCTGTTCGGAGATTCCTAAATTGGTGGTAGGCGTACTAAAAGAAAATGGAGGATAAGTTTGACCTTGCAAAGCATGTTCTGAAACATTTTGTGGCACTTGGCTGTCTACATCAGATCTCTCGCTTGGAAGAGGATCTGTCCGTGTATCGGATGCAGATAAATCTGGATCAAAAGTTGGGGACCTCCCAGTATTAAAGGAGCCAAATGATACGGTGTTTTCAAAGGCAGCTTTCTCTGTCGTCAAGGAAGGAAGTGATGATCCAGTCATGCTTGACGAGCCAAAAGTGAAGGCCGGGGAGTTTGATTTGTCAGCGTTAGCAGGGACTCCAAAGGGCGCCAACACAAATGATTGAGCCGTTGAAGGCTTTGTCCCTGCTGGCATTGTAAAGGCACCTTTATCGGAACCAGATGCCGTGTTACCAGCTATTCCTGCTGATGATGTACCAAACGCAAAAGGGGAACCACTTGAACTTGAGTTCTCCATTCTAGTAACACCTTCTCTGAGTGAAAACCTGAATGGCAAATTGCTCGAGGCTGTATGTAGCGTTTGCAGATCGCTCTCTCCAAATTCAACTTGCGACTCAGTCGCACCGGTATCAATAGTTTTTTGACCATCTTTCCCAAGTGCAAAACTAAAAGGGAAGCTGTTTGACGTTCCATCCGATGTTCCAAGAGCACTATTTGCAGCGGTAAATGCCGTCCCTGTCTTGACATTTCTAACTGTAAATGGACCGTCAGGTGAATGTTTTCCTTGTAAACCAATTGGCGAAACCAATTGGAAACCAGACTTGGAAGCCTCAGGGGAGACAGATGCATTTCCCTCTGACAACTTAGCAGCTCCACAGGCCATGCACACACATGTACGTTCCTCATTGGAGATCCAACACACAGAGCATGACCAACAGCCAGGTTTTGGAGCCAATTTAGTCATGAAGTCGGAAATCTTGTTTGCAGATTGTGCCGTTTTATGTACGTTAGAAGTATCTTTCTTTGGTAAGTTTTGACAGTACTCAAACTTTTCCTTGAACAATAGAAACTCATCTTGGGCTTTGAACCTCACTGCCAATTGTTCTGGTTTTCCAATCTCCTCTGAATAATCAGCAAAAGTGTTCCAAATCCATGCATTGGTTGTGCCTTTCTTTTCTGTCAACTTCATATCATCTGTAATAAAGTGATTGGCACAAATCTTATGGATTGCCTCGCGTCTCATCAATATTCGACTACGTCCCTTCTCTGAGTTATAAAGAATCTTTAATATGCCAATACCGCGCTCTTTCCAAGCAGATACATCTTTGTCATAGCGATACAGCTTAGCTCTGCTACTGAACATGACCTCTTCATCCTCCTCTCCTGTTTGTACTTCAACTCGTTCAGGGAGGGGTATGAGTGGTTCGAAATGAACATCTTCAGTATATGAAGTGGAAGAATCGTGTCTTGGCCTTCCAGGCGACACAGGTGATGTCACGAGCTCCTCAACCTGCTCTACTCGTTTTTCTGGGCTGTTGCTTGCGCTTAAACCGGCAAAGAAACTTGAATCAATCTTCAATGATCCCTTGATCCTTGGCGACGTCAGAGGTTTTCCGCCTTCTGATAGAGACATCTGCTTTGTACCAGCCGGCGTGGATTCGAACATAGGTCTACTCTGATCTTTTGGACTCGGATAAAGTGAAGTGGCATCAGGAAATGAGAGATATCCATAACTTGACGCCTGTAACATGCTTATTTGTTTCTAAAGGGAAACAAGATTTGTTCATTTGATTTTCATAGAGCTTGACGAAGGTAGTGCATTAAAAATATTATCAACTACAAACTCAATAACGTGAAAGCTTTTTGCGCTAACCTGCAAATGTTGTATTTGCTCAGACATGCTGTTCATGGCTTCATCTCTAATAGCCATTTGTTCTTGCAGGTAGCCATTATTAAGAGTCACTTCACTCAATTTAGCAATCAGATCTTTTGTGCTGGCGTCATGTGGCTAAAAATATTGAGGAGAAAACATTCTTCCTTTTAATCAAAAAAGAAAAGTATTACAACATTTTGAAATAAGTGAAGTGCTACAAATAACCCACAGCCTGAAAACCAGAAAAATCTACATTTTATACAGTTGATCGTGTAGTATTATCGCCCAGGAAATTTCTAAGAGAACTGTTTTACATGACTGTAACTTACGATTTGAAAACCACAGCGGAATCAAGGAAGAAGTCGTTGTGTGTTGTTAAAATTTAGTAGGACTGGTTCACGAAAACTCACTGTTCAGTTCTGCCATGATAAGTTCTCTTCGTTACTGAGAAAATATTCTTTTCTGCCTCGAGGACATTCAGAAGAAAAATGAATGAATCGATCAATTTCAACCTCATAAACAAATGGAACTCTAACCTGTTCCAACCAGAAATTGTCATCGGATTCCTGTACCTCTGATGCATTAGTTGAGCTGCGCCGGCTTCCTGGATAAGACGAACTGTGATGACTGTCTAGACGTTGGCCTAAAAAGAGAAAGAGAAAATTAATCTGGGCTCTTTTTTAATGTTGGTTTTAAGGCTGTCCTACTGTGTTAGGTTCAATACTTTCCCATAAACTTCCTCTATTGTAGCTTTCCTCGTTACTAGCGGCTAGTATTTTTCGAAAGACATTTAATACCATACAAATCTGTGAAAACCTCTGTTCCGGTCACTATACGTGGGATTCTAATGAAGACTTGAGGCTCTAGTATTCACACTGAACAATCCTTACTACCTGATGTTGGCTTGGACTGTAGAACTCCAGTTCTAATCAAGTTCTCTATCTCTGTAAGCTCATCCACGACAGCCTTTCGACCAATCTAAGAAAAGAGAATATCAATGTCAGCATTTTACAACGAGTGCCGGGTTGTAACAACAATATTTCTTACTTTGATCTTGTTCTGAACGTAAGCTCTGTTTGAGGAAATACATTACAGAGGGTCTGTGGGGAACATCCTATATGAGTTGTCAACTCATTATCAAGTGAGATATCCCTAACTTGACAACATGTCACCATTTATACCATATCAAGTAAAACAGATAAGAATTAGAGTAAATATGGCAAAGAATCGATGCTTGGAATCCGAATTCCTCACAGGAAATCTTTTTTTTTCCCAGCTCCACACTCATGAAAAGACGGAAAACATCTTTCTTTATGTCATACTATCGCAAACAAAGACTCCGTGAAAGAGACGTAGGTGGACAACTAAATCAACAGTTTCTCCATAAGACACTGGTACATGGATGTGCACATTTCAGTCGAAACAAAATATATTCTAGCCTGCACTGCAGGCGTCTTATTTGGGCGAACTAACGTTTTTATCTGACTGGCCATGTTTGATTTGGAGTTAGACTGGACGGCGAGGGTAGGGGGCGGGAGAAGGGCGAGTGGTTGATGTCTGGAGCTTAACAGTACCAATCAAGAACTCCGTTCGTGGGCGAACAGAGTTTGCAAAATAACAATGATCTCTGACATGGATAATCTCCACTCCCCTACCCTCATCCCTCTCCTTATTATTGACCGTTGACCGCCCCCTCGGTACAAATTTCTTTCTCTTCCCAGCCTTCCGCTGCCATTAAAATCAAAGAGGGTGGTCATAATTTTCATTAAGAAAATAATGAGCACTCGCTCGCCAAAATTACGCCCGCTCTGCAGGTTAAATAGCGTCATGATAGGTTCATACTTACATCAGAGGGGTTAGTCATCTTGAGATAAGACTGAAGTAATTCTCGCGCCTTCCGCAGATTTTGGTAATACTGGGATGGCAAAGTAGTTTCTGCCTCTGACTCCTCAGTTGCTGCACATTGCTCAACATGTGCAAGGTATTTGTAACCCTACAAAATAAAAAAAAACCAACAAAATGGCTTTGTAGTTAGTAACAATCCAAAGACCACCCTTAGAAATATTGGCACGGAAGCCAGGATTTCCATCTTACGCTATGCTATATTTTTAATTACCGTATCCTATTTTACCATTTGGGCATCGTAAATTCCTAATAAAGTAATTTGAAAAGAATTCAGAAGTGCAAGTCAACATGGATGATCCTATCAGGGCCAGCCTGGTGAAGTTCCTGAGAGACATTGCTAGCACTTCAACAAGTCATATAAATTCAAACACAGAACATGATTACTCTTTTCTCCCTCACCTGTGCAAGATTGTACAATCCTGGAGGTGTTTTGACCATTTCAAAGAGTTCCATGGCTTCAAAGATCTTTCCTTCCTTCAATAGGCCACCTCCTATTGCCAATCGGACAGACTGAAACTGTGTTTTCAAATCATTTTCCTGTGGATATGGTGACAGATACTTTAAGTTGCGAGATAATCAAGCAACAGAGAATAAATTATTTCATTCCACTCACCTGTAGTTCATCAAATACATGAGGAAATAAGGGATTCTCACAGTACGGTATAGACTCATTCCTGTGGACAACAAGGAAGCAATCAAGCAATCAGTGAGTTGTCAACTAATCAATCTCCCTGCCCAGTGGGAGACCAGTCAAGCACTTTGAAGTTCATTTGAGGAACATAACCCAATTTGAAATTGTTTCATGTGACTTATGAAGTAACTTTAATTTGAAGGAAACAACAGAATCACAGAATGACACAGCATAAAAAATGATTAGAGAAGAGACATGAGACAAAGAAGAAACAAGCATGAAAAGACTACCAAAGGTTGTAAATGACAAATGAAAATTTTGTTTAGAATTTAGGGTTCAGGTAGCATTGACTTGATGTGCCCATAAATAGAATCTCACAAGAAGTAGTAAAATGTCCAGAAAAAGATGAGGGAAGCTTACAGGAAGATAACAGTAGAAAGTTAGTAGGGGGGTTTTATACATAGTAAAAGGATTTCGACATGATGGCCATAAGTAATGTAACTCACTTTTCGTGCATTTCCAAGATTTTGGCTGCTTGTCTGAAGTAGTGTAAACTCCATTTTTCCATACTCTGAAACGATGAAATCAAGAAATCAAGCAGCACATTAAGTTAGTTTGTTAAGGAAAAGTAAACAATTCAAGTTTCTAAAATTTCATAGCTACTGATCTGTAATTTTAAGTATTAAAAAAAACTTCAGTCAAAGAAAAGAGACACATTTTAAGAGACTTGCAATAGTGCATTGTAATCACTATATAGTTTACTGATCAGAAGTACAATGTAAAATTACAGACCTTCCAATGTTCCTCATAGAACCATGGATTTGGGAAACTTCCCTTCAGATACGTTGCCTGAAACACCACAATGGATCTGTTGTGGTTCACTTTTATCCTTGGTTCAAATTTTATTTTCTTTTGTTTTTGGGTATTGTAATGTATGATAATGATTTTGAAACAAAGGAAAATAAAATTGAACCACAACAGATATATAACGTCTTGTAAACTAAACAAACACATTTTTCCTTAACACGACGCAACATTGAGTACATTGACATTTCATTTGCTACCTTACAGAAAGTGGTAATTTACAAAGTTCTAAAATACACATAGCCAGTTGTTGCTCTACTTAGTAAATTTGTATTCTGTCACCTGGTCAATGTGATTCTTGTGAGCTGAATGTTTTTTTCAGTTGACCTTAGAATACGGAAAAAACACAAAAAGAAATGATATTACTTCCTTTACACCAACCTTGGATCCAAAGGCTTTGGCAAGGTAGATCAGCAGTTGAACTTGCAGACCATGTCTCTCATCCACAGCTCGTATTTTCTCCATGCCACACTGAACAGTGTGGCAAGTTCTATTAGAATCTTTAACACTATATAACAAATTAAGTGTGCTTAATAGGTTTATATTTAAATCAATAGAAAATCACAGGGATACGTTTTATTCTTAAACCTTTCTACCTTTTTTTAACCATTCATAGGTTACTTTTGGCAAGGAAAAAAAGCTTTATTACAAAAATAAACCCTGTACTATACGTAGCAAAAGTTATTTCTTTCATAATTTGTGACAAGTAGGTTGTCTTGCTCTTGCTTGCCAAAATAATATCAATGCACAAAAACCAGAAGAATTTCCTCAACCCCTGAATAGGATGCTTTTTCATTGTTACCCTTTGTAAGCTGGCACACTCAGGGGTCTGTGTTTCAACTCCTGTAAGAGCAGGGAAAATTAAGAGGGTGGTCAAACCAACCCCATACTGTTACAAAGAACCTGTTAGTATTCCATTTTACCTGAATAATAAGAATAAGCTTTAAAGCAAAGAAATTTGCAACAACTGGATAAAAATACACCAGGTATGAAAACAGTTTGATCACAGCCCTCAACTTGAACAAATTTATACCTATATTTTCCAGTGTAGAGATTATAAGCACATGTCCACCACTCCTGTTGAACAGGTAAGCTAAGAGTATTGCAAAGCGGCTGAGGTAGAATTTGAGGCTCATAATCCTCATAAACAATGTCTTTGTCCTCCAAAACTCTAGCTGCTGAAGTCCTTACAATTGCATAAACAAATGCCTAGAAGTACATAAACAGTTGTTTTAGGGTATTTGTCAAATAAAAGGTTTTAAATGGTTAGATGATAGAGAAGAGAAACTGGTGTTAGGTATCTTTTACTTTTAAAGTTGTATCATCTTCCTGCCTACACCTTCAAGTACATGTATGGTTAATGAAAGAAATATAGCTAGCAAAACATGACAGTCTACCTTGTGAAATAAGCTGACAGCAAGTTCTTTTTTAAAACCTTGTCACGATTGAAAACTCAAAGGAACACATCCAAATGCTTATAAAATTAGCTACAAATGCATGTGTTACAACGTAAACACTCTCTGTGTTACCTCCAGGTCCCTCAAGCATAACATGTTAGGAGCAATCTGTTTCTGAATGCTTAGAACATCAAGTCTCAGCTCTGGAAAAATGTCCTTCACCATAGTACCCACTGAGAGATGAAAATCAAAGTTTAATCAGAAAGAATTCTGAGAACAAACATGATTAATAAAACAGTCATGTTTAAAGGAGCTTCATCCAACCTCCAGGCCTCATTTCCTTGTTGTATTGATACCAGTGTAATCCAATCCATGTGATCTTTTCTAGGCTGCGAGGATTCTCCCTAACTGCCACTACAAGTCAAGACACATGAGATTATATTACACCTCCTAATGGTAAAACTCTAGGGAAGATCAAGAATCATTTGTGCCACAGTTTTGAAAAATTCATAATTTATGTCTAATCTACAAAACTTTCTAATATTCTAACAACAGAATAACATGACCTTTAATCACTATCAATGAAACAGTCTACACTTTACCTTCATCCCAACTGACCAATTGATCAACTTCAGGTATTATCAGCTCATTCTCACAGAAGTCTTCATCACAAGCCAAGAAAGACTACAGAATGAACAAAACAGCAAAGTTACATGTGTATTCCAAGTCCATAAATTCCTTAATTCAGTCTTATCTCTAACAGCACTAGCAGAAAATGAACTCTTACAAGAGACAAGCTTGTAACTGTCTTAGTCCCAGAAAGAGTGACTTTTTTTTTTGGGGGACAAATTTTTTCTTTAGACTCCACTACAGGAGGTTAACAGGGTGAGCTTCTCTTAAATGTTAAAAGATAACAGAATCTCCAAACTTTGTTGAACACAACTTTGACTTAATACCAAAACTATTTCCATAATCATGTGGCACTATAAAATGCAGTTGTTTTCATGTATCTGCACTTCTCTTGTACTAATGTACATGTATGTTGCTCACAACTACCTCAAAGGCCTAAACATTTTGATAAGCTTACACCTTTTTTGTGCTATTCATCAACATTCCCCAAATGTATGTGTATCTAAACCTGCCAGTCTAACTGAATAGAACATATCTTAACACAATGACTCTTTTATTTACAGTGCAATGCTTACTTTATTTAAATCTCTCACATCCCTGTAAATTGTACTAAGGATGTCATGTTTCCCTTGCCTTGAACAGCAGTCTGTGTAACACATATCCAACCAGTCTTGACCAAGCTTGTCTCTTGTGGCCATAAGGAAATGTCCTGTGATTGAAAAATACTTTCAATGGAAGATTGGCGTAATCCTTTGCTAAAACCTATCAACAGAATTTCATTATACCTCTCCCAGACATGGTTGTTTCCAGCCCCCTCATCATACGTACTCATTTCAAGCTATGCAATGGTAACTGTAGTTAAAGGGTACAATAGGATATAAAACAGATATGAAACTAAAGTCTGAAAAACACTTAACCAGTTTGACTGAGCCGTGAGCAAGCCATGATGTACCACTTGAGAGGGTCTTTGTTTTTAGGAGCTCTAGCAACCCACGGTGTTTTTGTCTCAGGCGGTGGAATACTGACACTTGCCAAGTAACAGGCACATGCAAATCTCAGCCCTCTAGGCCATGTTACAAATTTCTGTAGAAAAAAAGAAAGAAAAATGATCAGATTCTCACCACATAAATCTGAAAAAAAACACTCTTATTCTACAATGACAATTAATAGACACCTGAAGCAATAAATATTTGTCTCCAGGTGGGAAACAAAAAAAAATTAATCCTTGTAAAAACCAACTTCTGACAAGTATTTTAAGACTACTGTTCAACATTTTGTACATGAATATGTACATAATACAACATAACACAACATTATAAAAAGGCTACTATTGGTAAATGTCAATTTTAATACACTTTTAGACAGCAGTAAGTTTAATCTAAGAAATACAGCTTTATTCCAAAACCTTTATAACTATGCTAAGCTTCATTTGTTTCTGCAATCACTTGGAAACAAAATTAATTTAAAGCAATAGAGATTATATGTAAGTTAGAGTGATCAAAATTATGTAAATGTCAAAATTGCATAGGGTTACAGTCAATCATGTGCACAATTTTGCGTGCCATGAATCTTCATGATGGCCACAGCTAGGAAACATCACATGTCGGTTCACAGGTAAATTATCAGATCATCTCCATCATTAACTTCCACTGACTTCAATAGCACTTTTTGGAAGATGCTCGAAATACCTCTTTGGCAAGTCGAATTAACAAAGTGCCACAGTACATGTAAAGCTGAGCTTTCATCTCTGCTAGGATCACTTCCCACTCAGTTGGTCCACCAGATGTGGATCGTCTTGGTGACTGGCGGATTTTACGTCCATCAGCCATAAACAAACAGTGATCCAACCTAATAAAGTTATTAAATAATATAAAGATATTAATTTTCATCATTTTTAATGAATGCTGCATCAGCTTTATAATGTTTAAATAAAGCACACAATGCCTTGTTTAGTTTAACAGGTGTCAAGAAATTTCACCAGCCTTGTTTTGTTTATGACAATGTCTACCATTTATTTGTTTGCAATCATCACTGTCAACTTGTGAACATAGGTGTTCACAAGTCTTTATGGATGGAAGGCTAAGGAGACTTCATCAAAAAATACAAAATTGAAACTGATGCAGAAATCCTACAGTGTACATGACGTCTGATGCAACATGTACTCCCAATCTTTCACCAGGAAATACAAGACAATTTGGAAGGAGAATCTCGCAGTATATAAAAAGTCACTGTTGGCTTTCTTCCCTCCTACCCCTTCAATAAAGCCACAACTCATTTCACACTGTCAGTTTTCATTCTGGACAATCATCCTTACTGTTCAGTAACACTTAACCGGTTTCTAAGTTTATTACATGTATGTCCTAAAGCCTACCTGAAGAGAACATTGATAACTTCACGAGTGCTACATTCATGGAGGTTAAGTTCCAAAAACTGACAAAGAGCAATCAGAAGGTAGGCATGAACATCAAGCATGCTGTTACCAGCACTGACTGCCTCATCTTCCAATACTGCAGGAGTACCAAGGAAAGAGAAATTTGAATAAATTTATCATAAAATGTAAACTTTAAAAAACAACGTCTCCCTAAAAATATAAAGGACTTGGTTAATTTCCAGTCTACATAAGTGTATACAAAGTTATCACAAATTATTTATAAAACTGCCAGTTGTAACATAGCTTTTTCCTTCTTCAGAAACAGAAGCATTTCTTGAAAAATCAAGTATTGAATACTTACTGTGCTTTTCTAGAGATGCAAGGTATTTCTATAAATGAACAAAGCAAAGAACAGGTTTAATGATGATATAATTCTGTCAAGTAACCAGTGTAGAGGAATTCTCAACTGCAAGCTGTCATGCTCTGGAGTCTCACCTCAAACATTTCCACACAACAAGCAATCCATGGTAGACTGTCTTGGAAGGCTTTTGTTTTTAAAACTGTCACACAATGAGTAAAAGCCTCATCAAGCCGTCCTGCAAAAAGCCAAATAATTTCTCCTTACAACATCAATACAATATCAAGCCAACAAGTGATGAGAATAAAAGAAAAATTTGGGGGAATATAAGTTGATCCAATAACAAATTCTCAGAATCAACATTACAAAAATTGTACGGTAGACACAAAGAAGAATTACTGATGAGATCTTGAGAGGGAGAGGGTTAAAAGGAATATAATCAATCAGTAGTAAAATACCTCTCACAGCATACAGTCTCACCAATCTTACATGTAAGTCAACCTCTCTGGGCCTTTTGCTCTAAATAAACAACAGAAATAGTTACATCATCTATTGTTTACAGCATGCAGACCAGTATGGTGTGTATCACATCCAGTATAGACAGACCAGTATAGCATGTGCATGTCACATCCAGCATAGACAGACCAGTATAGTGTGGGTGTGTCTCATTCAGTATAGACAGACCAGTATAGTGTGTGTGTGTCACATCCAGTACAGAAAGACCAGTATAGCGTGTGTGTGTCACATCCAGTATAGACAGACCAGTATAGTGTGTGTGTGTGTGTGTCACATCCAGTATAGACAGACCAGTATAGTGTGTGTGTGTCACATCCAGTATAGACAGACCAGTATAGTGTATGTGTGTCACATCCAGTATAGACAGACCAGTATAGTGTATGTGTGTCACATCCAGTATAGACAGACCAGTATAGTGTGTGTGTCACATCCAGTATAGACAGACCAGTATAGTGTATGTGTGTCACATCCAGTATAGACAGACCAGTATAGTGTGTGTGTCAAATCCTCTTCCTCCCACTTATTTGCACTGTTAATCATGGGAAGTGCAAGGAAATAGTCTAAGAGATACTTACCAGCTCCTCAGAAATCAAATCTTCAAGAGCATCATAATCTACAACTTCAGCTGACTCCAGGAGATGCAACTATAGTGTAAAGAAAACTTTATCAGTTAGTTTGTCAATTCATAACTAACAAAACAACATCAATATTACTTTGAAATGTGAGATACATGTAACATTAAAACATATCACTCAAAACAAAACTCACCCTTAGACTGAACACATCCGGATGACCAGGAAACAAACGAGCACCTCTGTCTGCCCACGCCTACATGGTAAATTACCAAAATTAATCCACATTACCCCTTTGACCCCTAAGACTGACTGGCACCTTATTTCTCCTTACAATATCACCCCTGAATTACAAATCAAGGTCACGAGATTATAAAAAATAATCTACAACTAAAAAGCTCTTGATTGTTAAACAAATTCTCCTTATCAGCACCTTGGGAAATGTATAGTGAGCAGTATGGAGAATGTGCATACTGACATTGGGTTGTAAAGGGTTAAAAAAGACCATTTTAAGGTGTCACCATTTGAGGTCAAGAGTTCAAAAGTAACTGACCTTAGCTCTTTCGGGGTGAACTGGTACACTGCAGTACAACTTTACCACTGAAATAGATATTATGTACAATAATTTCAATTGTTATTGTTCTTTTTCATTTGATCATTATTTGAAAGCTTTTTTACAAGATACAAAATAAGAAAGCAGACTAAATTGTAGTTTAAAAATATATAACTGAGGGAATGAAAAGCAATTCATTGAGCATCACCCTGACCTTTCAAAACCAGTTCCTTTTGACTGTTATTCAATTCCAAAGACCTGTAAGATTCATGCATTTACAAATTACTGTTATTATCATAATGACTACTATCAAAATTATTGTCATAATCATGACATAACCAATAATAGTATTTACTAAAACAGAGGCTAGCATGGAGGACATGCTCTGATTGGTCACTTAAACTCCAAATAACTTTAGTCATTCACCTCCAAACAACATGTGTGGAATTTGCACCAAAAATATTGTAATCATTGCAGGAATAAAGAGTTAAAATCATGTTTCCAAGCTACATTATCATACTGTTTCAGTACATACTAGAACAGCTCATTACTTCACCTTGTGGCTCGGTAATTATCCACCACTAGCCTCCTTCACTATGATGAATAGTTGCTAATTATTATTATCATCATCATCATTATCATTACTATTATTATTGTTATTATCATTAATATTATTATTATTATGATGATGCTAATGATGATGATAATAATGATGATGATAATGATGATGATAATAATGATGATGATAATGATTGACTCTAAATCCCAGGAAATTAATGCCCATTTTCAGAACTACTGTACCTTCAAGAGCATGACAAAATATGAGATAAAAAAACACATGGTACCTGCGATATGAAGCTACAGCCTTTTCTAGTTCACCCACTCCTTCATACAGCTGTCCCATGAGACAATGACCCCTACAGATTGGAAGGAAATGTCAACTGAGCAACTTTTAAATCTTGGTGTTCATTTCCTTTATCAAAACACAGGTTTTAAAAATGTGATTTGGGAAAGACAAGAGTATTGCATTCTGCAAGTATCATTTCTAAGGTTTTTTATGGCTAGTGCCATAACCATTACAAAACAACAAAATGTACATGCCATAAATAATCAAAAGGATGGAAACATTAAGTATGATTAGCACCTGACACTCCTGAGCACAAACCCAGATACAATTATGTTGCAAAAAACCCTTATAAATACATGAATACAGCTGTCAAACTATCTGAGACTGAGCTAGCCTAGAACTTCTCAATCAAAGTCAAGCACAATTTTTTTTTCTTTTTTCATTCTTTGACATTTGTGTAAATAATACCTACCTAAAGTCAGTCTCCTTTTCACTAATGTAAGCTTCAAGATATCTAACGAGGGAAAAAAGCAAAGACACTTTTTTATTTTAAATTATTATGGCAGTGCTCTAGATATATCATTACATCCTCACCAAACTTTCCTCATCCAGGTCATGTATTTGAGAGGCTAATCAGGGAAGTCATAGCAACACATTCACTGGATAACAGAGCAGTAAGGCCCTTCCTGGGCTGAGAGGGACCCTAGTCTGAGGGGAATCAATTGATTCAAAAGAAGTGAAAGTATCTATGTATTAAAATCCAATAATATTCCAACCACCTCATCAGGAGAAAAACCCTTGTTGAAAAGTTATTGGATTTTTATCAGTAGACTCTAGTTTTTCCAATCATCCAATATTGGAAATTTAAACCTTGGATTTTCCAATGATAAACCACATTGGAAGACATATTCTTTCCCTGTGATATTAAGTGCAGGGGTAACAAAATCGATCATGATCACCCACTGAAAAAGGCCTCGGTAGATTAATGACAGGATTGACTTTAAATTTTGCTTAGTTTCACCGGAAAACCATAGAGAAATATACTCGATCGCCAACGTACGGCTAAAGTTGTCCAAAACTCCTAAAATCCTATAGAGGAAGTGTTTCGAACAAGTTCTACATAACTAACCTCTTTGCACTCTCATAGTCCGATACCTCCTTGTACAGCTTAGCAAAGGCAAACCCTTTTTTATTTGACTGAAAGTTAAGCCGAGGACACTGTTAAAAATTCTGAACTGAGCTGGACATAAAACTGGAGGAAAATGCGTGCAAATGAGACATCTACCTCGTGTGCATTCTCACAGAGTCGCCGGACTTTCGCAACGTATTTATCGATCTCATCTTTCGTCCACTCCATACTTTCTAGATATCAGTACAAGAAAGATGAATTCAAATCAAATAGAAAGGTTGTCAAATTTTGTCGTACATTTCTACCATGAGAATCGAATTTCACTCTCGAGAGATTTTGAAGTACGAAGACCGCCAGTAAGCGTTTGACTGCACGCATGAATTACAACCATCTACCGCTGAGCACAATGATTGATAATGAGTGAAAGTAAGGTGTCCTATGTGTATGTTTGGTGTGTGGAATCCTATAATTCTCAAACAGCCAAGGAAGGGTTGCCGATCCAGAATATTTCGGTATGTGAAGCTTGCATTTTATAGAAATGTAATCGGTTTCGATATGGTTATCTTCAATGTGCTAATTCGTCGATAACTACTTGATATGCTAATATCCTTCGCAACTTGCACAACTTTGACTTCCGGGATTTCTCGGAAATCTCGTTAAAAAAGGCCTTCTATAAAAATATCGTTTTAAGAAAATCCGTACATGTTTTATCATCCCTCTGTCTTTATTTCTGTTGAGGTGGTTTTCATTTAGCCTGATGCTCGCGTAATTTTCACCGAATGTAACAAGTTGTCCGTGATCAAACATCCCTCACTTTTGATGAATTAATAACATAAAACTTTTACCTTGAGCATTATAAAAGGCGTTTATTTAAGTGGTTAATGTACTCAGTAGCTATTCTTTGCAAGGTAATGTGTCTCTTTCCCTATGTATTTTCACTGATTTGGAAAGGCTGGTAACATTCTTGATGAGGCATAAAGATAAGGCTGTTGCAGGATCGCTTCGTTTTGCCCTCATGTCTAAGGGGTTTTCTTCTCATTTTGTGTAGAGATCAAGATTTGGAAAATTTAAGCTGAGTGATGGCGTAATTCTAGTTTTCTTAGCCACAAAATGGATGAGGAGAAAAGTATCTCTGAGAGAGAAAAGGCACTTCAAGAGAAGATTGCTCGGTTGGAGAAGAAACTAGAGGGATGTCAGGCTCAGATAGGTTAGTAACACGTATGTGTTTACATTTACAAACGGCGAGATGTACCGCATCGACAAACCCCATATCTAGATTGCTTTACCTCTACCTTCACATGTAGTGGAAATAGGAAGGAAATCCTGCTAACGAAAACCCAAGTACTTCAATTCGTCCTTTTGTTGTCACTTGTGAAACCAAAATAAAAAAATAAAAATTTATTTTTGCAGTTTCGCTTGTTTGATCATTCTTATGTTTTGTTTTGTTCTCCTTGTGGAACTGAACCTCGATTTCGCTGGAAAATTGAGCAATATGGCTTCTCGTTTTTCTGCAGATATTATTGATGATCAACGCCAGCAACTGGAAGAAAGGGCAATCAAAATGGAGTCTGTTTTGGTAAACACAACCGAAGAGCTTTCGGATGCGAGAAAACAGGTGAGTTACTTCCTCTCTATAATTCACATTGGGACTCCATTGGTATGATTTCCACTTGTGCATCCTCGGGTTTTCTTCTCTTCCGCTGATATCCGCCTAAAAAATGATCTACGCTAAAAATCGATCTCTTATTAACTTCCATTTGTAGATGATAGAGAAAGAAATGTCAAGTAATCACCTGGCACAGAAACTTGAGTCCATGACACAGCAGATAGAGGAGTATAAGGTGTGCTTGAGGATCAACTTTGTTGGTTACAATATCAATTAAAACGTGTTGTTCTGATCGTTGTGAATCGTTGTGAATATACTGCCTTACTGTTTGAATCTTTACTTTAGTAATGCAAGCTTCTACCAACTTGGCTCATTTAAGACAGACATTTTTTTAATCCAAAATGTCGACAAAAAACAAAGGTAATTCACAACTCTGTAAATGTTCATTTTTCACAAGAAATTTCCTCTATTAAGTAACAGTAGATGAACTCCACCGAGGTCCAAACTCCATATCACCATTGCATTTGTTATCGTCACGGATGCCAGGACTTCGAAAAGCAGGAAGAAGGAAAGCATGATTAGAATGCCGCCAGCTACTACTCAGAAAATCTTTGATTCATGATTTTGAGCGAATGTGCTCAGTCGCAAATCCCGCCACGTTTCCTTTTTTTTCACAGAGCCTTCTCTACAAAGAGAGGGAAATAACTAAGTACAGCATGGGAAGACTGGAAACGATCCTTTCCAGAGTGGAGGTTGAAATGGCTTCGCGGAAAGAATTTCAAGGCTTCCTAAACGTAAAATAACTTTTATTGAAATTACAAAACATTTTGTCTTTTCCACTTAATATTTATGAATGTTTCCTATCGTTTTACACCTCCAAGCAGTAATACATACGAATATTTGACAACTCTATACCCTAAGGAGACTCTGCACCTTTCTAAAGCATGTACTGTAAAACATTTTCTATCTTTCACGATGAAAGATGTAGATTATTAATTTGATCGCTTTATACAGGTCCCAGGCACTTAAAATCATGCTCTATCATGGTTATCATAAAGTAACTATCCAAGTCAAGCACAAAGACATATACCTATCCTTTAAAGACAAATTCTCATCGAAAAGAACCTTTCTCATTCTCATTGCATTACGTAAATGGGGAAACTTTGAAATTATTGTAGAAAGTAGTCCGGCATTGCTTTGGAGTTTCCGGTTACTTCCAGTCCTACTGTGATTGGTCCAGAAAACTCGCGCAAGCCCACCTTCTCGACTAATCAGATGCAAACTGAAAACTAATCACGACTTGATCACTCGCGTTTTCCGGCGCTTCAAGTAGTTTATTTGTTTTTAATTTGTGTTGCCATTAGCTGCTGATGATGTCAACCTTAGTTCCCATCATCCGTTGTGGCTACCTTCGTTTTTAGCTCAATTGAAAACTTCCCTAATAAGCGTATTCTTTCCGATTACCTTTAAATTGTGTTTCCTTTTTCCCGCAATCGTAGGAGATGCTTGTTGCCGTTAAAGAGGAGTTACAGTCTCAGCTAAGGATTGTCTTCAACAAACTGACAGGATTAGAAAATAAACTTCACGAGTCACCTCAAGAAGTGAACCATTCAAAGTGTCAAGCTATGCCCAGCTTTGATCAGGCTCCACATCCACCAGATCCAGAATGCAAACCTCCTGACTCGAAAACCTCACGGAAGAAATCTAATTATGAAATTGTGACTGTCTTTGAAAAGGTAGTTACAAATGAGCAAAGAAAAAGAGCCCAACTGCTGGAACTGCCGGATAACTTCTTTGCATATGAGGACTCCTTACCTGAAACCAGCCTTTGTGAACCAGCAACAGTTGATAGGTGAGAAATAAATTTTTAGTGTAGGTATCAATGCTTGGCCAGCTTAGCTACTTGCATAATTTGTGGGAGATTCGCTACAGAATTGCGTTGGTGTAGATTTTGTTATGACATTTGCGTAACACTTTTCGTTTTGAATCACAGTGAGCACAGTCAGGCACCACTTGTGGACAATCTAACCCCAAGAAAGGGTTCAGCAGGCCTGAGCTCACAGCTATTTCCATCGCAAAATGAAGACAATGACACTGGAGAAGAAGATGGCGACCAGAATGGGCCACACGTAGCACTTGCCAAACACGAAACTAAAGATCCGTTGCTGAACAAGGAGAAAAAAATTCTATTTGGTTCTTCTAACACACTATCGTTGTCCTTCCAGTCGGTTGCCAGTTCTTCTCAAACCGATGACCCGTTTCGAAAAAAAATAAGCAGCTCACCTTGCCGGTTCCCATGTGCAGATACTAGGCCATTCACTTCCTCAGGTTCGGCAAATCGTGAAAAATTGGTGCAGTTTCAATCTGGTAAAGGAAATGTGGTAACAACCCCAGTAAAATCAGTTCCAGTTCATTCCACCACATCAGAGAGCGTTGGTCAACTGACATTTTCGCCCCTGAAGCCCAGAGATGATGATGCCTTTTCCGTGACTCAGAAAAAAGACAGCTTTAAACCATTTCAAGGAGCTGGTATACAGTTATTTGCTGAGACAAGTGAAGACGTCGAAGGTCAAGATGACGATAAACTTCACTTTGAGCCAGTCATTGCTCTTCCAGATGAAATTCAAATTGTGACAGGTGAAGAAGGTTTAGATGTGCTGTTCTGCGAGCGAGCCAAGCTGTACCGTTTTGACAGTGATTCTAGTCAATGGAAAGAACGAGGGGTCGGAGAAATGAAGCTCTTACGGCATCCAAAGTCTTGTCAAGGAAGAGTGCTCATGAGACGGGAGCAGATAAAAAAGTTGTGTGCCAATCATTACATCAGTGCTGGGATGGAGCTCAAACCCAATGTTGGATCAGATCGTTCTTGGGTGTGGTACACTCCAGCCGATTATGCCGAGGGTGAGGCGAAACCAAAGAGGCTCGCGATCAAGTTTAAGTCTGCAGAAATTGCTGGAAAGTTTAAGGAGGTATTTGATGACCTCAGAGAGACATTACCCTCAGAAACTAGCCCTGAAAAGGAAGTAACTGGTGATGAACAAGAGACTGGCTGTGCTCTTTTTAAGCAATTTATGTCGAGATTTGCTCCTGCGCCAGGCTCGTGGACATGTGAAGTGTGCGACGTTGACAACGATGCCGAACATTTGCAATGTAATGCATGTAATTCTGTTAAGACTGCAAGAGAACCTCAGAGAACTGTTTCCATAGCAAAGGAAGAAAATTTGAAACCCTCAGGACCAATGTCGAATGATGCAGTCCCTCAATCAGAACCAGCAAACACCGCTCAAGACGTCAAAAAGGAGTCTTGTCAAGTTGCATCTATTTTCCAATCACCCGGTAGCTCGGCACTGGCTTGCTCGAAGCTTTTTACCATTGGACGGGGAGATCCAAATAAAGAAAAAGAAGATAAAATTTACCTGTCTCCAATCAAGACATCTTCTCCCAGTCAGCAAGGAATTATCTTGCCGCAAAAGCCCTCAACGTCTCCCGGACAGAGTTACTTACCCAGTAGTCTTCCGTTTGGCTCAACAACACCTGTGAAGTTCACTTTCAGTTTGACAGTTTCACCTGGGTCTCCATCTCGCAAACCCAAATCACCATCATCGCCTGCGACACCGTCATCTCCTGAGAGTCCTAGCAGTGGAGAAGATGATGGCCCGTACTTTGAGCCACTGATACCACTTCCTGATAAGGTGGAATGCCGAACAGGAGAAGAAGGCCAAGAGGTACTTTTTTGTGAACGTTGCAAATTGTTTAGGTATGACGGAGGTGCATCGCAGTGGAAAGAAAGAGGTGTTGGTGAGATCAAGATACTTCGTGACTCAAACTCTAATAAAAACAGGATTTTAATGAGGCGTGAACATGTCTTAAAACTCTGCGCTAATCACATGATTTTAACGGATATGGTGCTGAAGCCTTTCTCAAACTCTGACAAGGCATGGCTGTGGACAACGCTTGCAGATTTCTCGGAAGAAGAAGCCACAGCAGAGACTTTAGCTGCGAGGTTTAGAACTAGTGAGGTTGCTGCTAAATTCAAAGAAACCTTCGACATTGGTACACAGGCGGCTGCATCAAAACCAGAGAAGGGTCCATCCTTATCAAAACCAGAGAGCAAGCCTCCGGACTCAAGAACATCAGAGAAACCTGAAGAAGATGTCATGATAATATTCGAGAAAGTAGTAACGGCTGATCTAAAGGAGAAAGCCAAAAGGCTTCAATTGCCAAGTAACTTCTTCGGATATGAGTGTTCGGCGCTTGAAGTCAGCTCTGATCTGACGGAAACTGATGCGAGGTGAGTAACCCTATACTGGTGAAGTGGAATTGATATAGTTATGCAGCATCGATATCTCGATCTTTCCAAGGTACGTTAATGTATATATGTCTGAACTTCATATAACACACTGCGATATTGAATTAACAGGAAGTCAGACCAGCCGACAAGTGATCCCATTCCCGAGGGAAGTTCCACCACGACTTCAAACAAGACAGGCTTTCTTTTTGGCTCTGCAAGTGTGTCGTCTTTGACCTTTCAATCCATGGTTGCATCTTCACTGGGAAGCAGTCCTTTTGGACAGAAGACGCAAGGTACGTTTGCTGGTTTTTCAGGAGCTGGGTCACAGGTGTTTGCCTCCCAAAATGCAGACGAAGATGACGAAGCAGTGGATGGTAACCATGATGGACCACACTTTGAGCCAATTATTCCTCTTCCTGAAAAGATCGATGTTAAAACTGGTGAAGAAGATGAAGAGGTAATTTTTTCTCATCGAACCAAGCTTTATCGTTTTGCTGCTGAGGACAAGCAGTGGAAGGAGCGAGGAGTTGGGGATATAAAGCTTCTGAAAAATAGACAAAGTGGAAAGATGAGAGTTCTGATGCGGCAGGATCAGGTGCTTAAAATATGCGCAAATCACCAGATAACCGCTGAAATGAAACTACAGCCGAACGCAGGTTCAGATAGATCGTGGGTGTGGAGCACAATGGCAGATTTTTCAGAGGGCGAATGTAAAGCTGAACAACTTGCTGTGAGATTTAAATCAGAAGACACCGCCAAGCTGTTCAAGGAGAAGTTTGACGAATGTCAGGGAATGCTGAGGAACCAAACACCAGTGAAGCTTCAAGTAACACCCAAAACTACAGATGCCAAAGAGGATCTCGTGACCAAGTTTAAACCAGCTGAGGGATCATGGGAATGTAGCGACTGTATGGTAAACAACGATAGTGATAAAGTGCAGTGTTCAGCTTGTGGAAATGTAAAACCAGGAGCAGAACCAAGTCAAGGCCAAAATAAAGAAGCTAATGCGTCGTTTTCATTTGGTGGCTCTAGTCTTTCATCCTCTGGTGGAGGCTTTATGTTTGGCTCTGGAGGTTCAAGTCAAGAGGGTGATACCAAACCAGTTTTCACTTTTGGTAGTTCGAACCAAAAATCAAATCCAAGCTCAGGATTTCCATTCACCTTTGGCTCCTTAAAACAAGCAGGACCTGGAAGTGAACAGCAGACAGAGGACACCAATGGCCATCTTTCTTTATTTAATGAACAAAAGCCTGATGAGGAATGTAAAGCTGAACAACTTGCTGTGAGATTTAAATCAGAAGACACCGCCAAACTGTTCAAGGAGAAGTTTGAAGAATGTCAGGGAATGCTGACGAACCAAACACCAGTGAAGCTTCAAGTAACACCCAAAACCCCAAATGCCAAAGAAGATCTCGTGACCAAATTTAAACCAGCTAAGGGATCATGGGAATGTAGCGACTGTATGGTTAGCAACGATAGTGATAAAGTGCAGTGTTTAGCTTGTGGAAATGTAAAACCGGGAGCAGAACCAAGTCAAGGCCAAAAGAAAGAAGCTAAAGCGTCGTTTTCATTTGGTGGTTCTAGTCTTTCATCCTTCTCATTCGGCTCTGGTGGAACAAGTCAAGGCGATTCAAAACCAGTTTTCTCTTTTGGCAGCCAGAACCAGACTTCCACCCCAAGCTCTGGAGTTGCATTTAGTTTTGGCTCCATGGATCAAGGAGGAAATTTGAACGAACAGCAGACTAACAGAAACCCTAAAGCTAGTTCCTTGATTGATCCAGCAGACAACAAAGGAGCTGATGATACTAAGGATGATCAAAACCAGAGTATTCAAGAAGGGCTAGATGTCAAAGAAAAAGCTCAAGTGGAAGAAATTAGCACAGAAGAGGATAGTTCTACCCTTGAAAGGTCAGTTGAGCCAGTTGCTTTAGGAAAAGTGTTAAGATGGCAATCAAGCACCTCTAAAAAAGTTCCGAGATAAATAAACTGAGTAAACAGAGAGAGGCGTAGGTGTTAATTCAAATGGGGTGCACAAAGTGAATTGTTCATGTTTTCCAAAGTTTTTAGCATTGATGTCCTCGCACGAGATCTCATTGGTGTTGGTTGTTTTTATGTTATGTTTTGTTTTTGAAGCACAAAGTAGCTTATATAAAACATAAGGGGCTCTTTTACCCATTACACTTCCAAAATCGAAGGTGCATGTAATGATAACTAATCCCAATAAAATCGTTAATATAGGTACTATCGAAATTATAAATCCAAAAGTAAACACAAATTTTTTTTTTCTGCTACAGTGACAAGGACTCGACACCTGCCATGCAAGACACAAAAGATACTTTGCCAAACAAGGAGCAAAAGTTCCTATTTGGTTCTCCCAACGTATCGTCATCGTCATTTCAGTCAATCGCCAATTCGTCTCTGAGCAACAGTCTGTTTGGGAAGAAACCAACTTCCGGTAATTCCCTGCTTGAGTTTCCGGAATCAGGCACCAAACTATTCACAACCCCAGACCGTAGTGAGTCGAAAACGAAAGAGGACCACGAAGGACCACACTTTGAGCCGATAATCCCTCTACCTGAAAAGATCGATGTTAAAACAGGAGAAGAGGATGAAGAAGTCATGTTCTCCCACAGGGCAAAGCTATATCGTTTTGTGGCAGAGGACAAGCAGTGGAAAGAGCGAGGAGTTGGAGATATAAAGCTTTTGAAAAATAGGCGGAGTGCAAAGATAAGAGTTCTAATGCGGCGGGATCAAGTGCTAAAAATCTGCGCCAATCACCAGATAACTGCTGAAATGAAACTAAAGCCTAATGCAGGTTCAGAGAGATCGTGGGTATGGAGCACGATGGCAGATTTTTCAGAGCAGGAATGTAGAGCTGAACAACTTGCTGTGAGGTTTAAATCAAAAGACATCGCCAAGCAGTTCAAGGAGAAGTTTGAGGAATGCCAAGAAATGCTAAAGAACTCGACACTAATGGAGTCAAGGGTACAACCGAAATCCACAGATGCCAAAGAAGATCTAGTAGCTAAGTTTAGATTAGCTGAGGGATCATGGGAATGTAGCGCCTGTATGGTGAACAACGACAGTAATAAAGTGGCTTGTACAGCATGTGGAAGTGTGAAAGCAGAACCAAGTCAAGGCCAAAAGGAAGAAACCAAACCTTTATTTGAATTTGGATCTGGAGCTTCATTCTCTGGAGGAGGCTTTACGTTTGGCTCTGGTGGAATAAACCAAGGTGGTGATACAAAACCAGCCTTTACTTACGGGGGTTCAAACAAAACAACGAATCCATGCTCGGGATTTTCATTCTCCTTTGGTACCTTGAAGCAAGGAGGAATTGTCAGTGACCAGCAGTCAAAGGCTACCAAAAGCAGTTTCTCTTCTTTGTTTGAACCAAAGCCTGGTAATAAAGCTGGTAATTCTAAATATGACAACGAACGCCAAGAAAAGCCGAAGAACCAAACGTCAGTTAAAGCGAAGAAAGAAGAGACAAAAACTCAACAAGCCGAGAAAGGCATTATGGCGAACTTTAAAGCTGATAAGAGTTCATGGGAATGTAGTGTCTGTATGGTGCAAAATAATAAGGATAAAGTAACGTGCCTAGCATGTGGGTGTGTAAAAGCAAGAGCCAAGCCAAGTCAGGGACTAAAGAAAGAAGCCAAACCGTCCTTTTCACTTGGATCTAGTTCGTTGACAATTGGTGAAGGATTTACGTTTGGTCGTGGTGGTAAAAGTCAACAAAGCAAGACAAAACCAGTTTTTAATTCTGATAGTTTGAACCAAACGCTTTATCTAGGCACGGGATTTTCATTTAAGCCAGGAGGAGGTTTTAGTAACCAGCAGTCAAAGGACATCAATGGCAGTCTCTCTTCATTATATAAACAAAAGCCTGGTAAAAAAGCTGATAATATTCAGGATGACCACAATCGTCAAGAAATGCTGAAGAACCAATTATTACTAATCACGACAAAAGATGAAAAGAAAAATGAAGACACTGGAAAAGGAGTTATTGCGCAGTTTAAAAATGCTACAGGATCGTGGGAGTGTAACATTTGTATGGTGAACAACGACAGTGATAAAGTCGAATGTGCCGCTTGTGGAAGTATAAAGTCAGGAGCAGAAGTCATTAAAGCACAGAAGCAAGACTCGAAATCACTTTTTCCAATCGGGTTTGGTACTTCGTCATCTGGTGGAGTCTTCTCGTTCGGCTCTGGAGGAACAAGTCAAGGCGATTCAAAACCTGTTTTCACATTTGGCAGCCATAACCAGACTTCCACCCCAAGCTCAGGAGTTGTATTTGGTTTTGGCTCCTTAGATCAAGGAGGAAATTTGAGTGGACAGCAGACTAACACAACCCCTAAATCACTAATCACGGCCAAAGATGGAACGAATAATGAAGACACCCGAAAGGACGCTATAGCGAAGTTTCAACCTGCTAAAGGATCATGGGAGTGTGAAATTTGTATGGTAAACAATGATGGTGATAAGTTCGCATGTGCAGCTTGTGGAAGTGTAAAGCCAGCAGTAGGAGTTCATAAAGAACAAAAGCAAGATTCAAAATCACTTTTTCCATTTGGGTTTGGTGCTTCGTCATCTGGAGGAGTCTTCTCATTCGGCTCTGGTAGAACAACTCAAGGCGAATCAAAACCTATTTTCACATTTGGCAGCCGGAACTCGACTTCCAGCCCAAGCTCTGAGTTTTATTTAGTTTTGGCTCCTCAGATCAAGGAGGAAATTTGAGTGGGCAGCAGACTAAAACAACCCTAAGGTCACTAATCACCACCAAAGATGGAAAGAAAGATGGAGAAACCCGAAAGGACGTCATGACGAAGTTTCAACCTGCTAAAGGATCGTGGGAGTGTGAGATTTGTATGGTGAACAACGACAGTAACAAAGTCGAATGTGCAGCTTGTGGAAGTGTAAAGCCAGCAGTAGGAGCTCATAAGGAACAAAAGCAAGATTCAAAATCACTTTTTCCAATCGGGTTTGGTACTTCGTCATCTGGGGGAGGCTTCTCATTCGGCTCTGGTAGAGCAAGTCAAGGCGATTCAAAACCTGTTTTCACATTTGGCAGCCATAACCAGACTTCCACCCCAAGCTCAGGAGTTGTATTTGGTTTTTGCTCCTCAGATCAAGGAGGAAATTTGAGTGGACAGCAGACTAACACAACCCCTAAATCACTAATCACGGCCAAAGATGGAACGAATAATGAAGACACCCGAAAGGACGCTATAGCGAAGTTTCAACCTGCTAAAGGATCATGGGAGTGTGAAATTTGTATGGTAAACAATGATGGTGATAAGTTCGCATGTGCAGCTTGTGGAAGTGTAAAGCCAGCAGTAGGAGTTCATAAAGAACAAAAGCAAGATTCAAAATCACTTTTTCCATTTGGGTTTGGTGCTTCGTCATCTGGAGGAGTCTTCTCATTCGGCTCTGGTAGAACAACTCAAGGCGAATCAAAACCTATTTTCACATTTGGCAGCCGGAACTCGACTTCCAGCCCAAGCTCTGGAGTTTTATTTAGTTTTGGCTCCTCAGATCAAGGAGGAAATTTGAGTGGGCAGCAGACTAAAACAACCCTAAGGTCACTAATCACCACCAAAGATGGAAAGAAAGATGGAGAAACCCGAAAGGACGTCATGACGAAGTTTCAACCTGCTAAAGGATCGTGGGAGTGTGAGATTTGTATGGTGAACAACGACAGTAACAAAGTCGAATGTGCAGCTTGTGGAAGTGTAAAGCCAGCAGTAGGAGCTCATAAGGAACAAAAGCAAGATTCAAAATCACTTTTTCCAATCGGGTTTGGTACTTCGTCATCTGGGGGAGTCTTCTCATTCGGCTCTGGTAGAGCAAGTCAAGGCGATTCAAAACCTGTTTTCACATTTGGCAGCCATAACCAGACTTCCAGCCCAAGCTCAGGAGTTGTATTTGGTTTTTGCTCCTCAGATCAAGGAGGAAATTTGAGTGGACAGCAGACTAACACAACCCCTAAATCCCTAATCACGGCCAAAGATGGAAAGAATAATGAAGACACCCGAAAGGACGCTATGGCGAAGTTTCAACCCTCTAAAGGATCATGGGAGTGTGAAATTTGTATGGTGAACAACGACAGTAATAAGGTCCAATGTGCAGCTTGTGGAAGTGTAAAGCCAGCAGTAGGAGTTCATAAAGAACAAAAGCAAGATTCAAAATCACTTTTTCCATTTGGGTTTGGTGCTTCGTCATCTGGAGGAGTCTTCTCATTCGGCTCTGATAGAACAACTCAAGGCAATTCAAAACCTGTTTTCACATTTGGCAGCCTGAACCAGACTTCCAGCCCAAGCTCAGGAGTTGTATTTAGTTTTGGCTCCCTAGATCAAGGAGGAAATTTGAGTGGACAGTAGACTAACACAACCCCTTAATCACTAATCACGGCAAAAGATGGAAAGAATAATGAAGACACCCGAAAGGACGCTATGGCGAAGTTTCAACCCTCTAAAGGATCATGGGAGTGTGAAATTTGTATGGTGAACAACGACAGTAATAAGGTCCAATGTGCAGCTTGTGGAAGTGTAAAGCCAGCAGTAGGAGTTCATAAAGAACAAAAGCAAGATTCAAAATCACTTTTTCCATTTGGGTTTGGTGCTTCGTCATCTGGAGGAGTCTTCTCATTCGGCTCTGATAGAACAACTCAAGGGAATTCGAAACCTGTTTTCACATTTGGCAGCCTGAACCAGACTTCCAGCCCAAGCTCTGGAGTTGCATTTGGTTTTGGCTCCTTAGATCAAGGAGGAAATCTGAGTGGACAGTAGACTAACACAACCCCTTAATCACTAATCACGGCAAAAGATGGAAAGAATAATGAAGACACCCGAGAGGACGCTATGGCGAAGTTTCAACCTTCGAAAGGATCGTATGAGTGTGAGATTTGTATGGTAAACAACGACAGTAATAAGGTCGAATGTGCAGCTTGTGGAAGTGTGAAGCCAGCAGTAGGAGCTCATAAAGAACAAAAGCAAGATTAGAAATCACTTTTTCCAATCGGGTTTGGTGTTTCGTCATCTAGGGGAGTCTTCTCATTCGGCTCTGGAGGAACAAGTCAAGGCGATTCAAATCCTGTTTTCATATTTGGCAGCCATATCCAGACTTCTACCCCAAGCTCAGGAGTTGTATTTAGTTTTGGCTCCTTAGATCAAGGAGGAAATTTGAGTGGAAAGCAGACTAACACAACCCCTAAATCCCTAATCACGGCCAAAGATGGAAAGAATAATGAAGACACCCGAAAGGACGCTATGGCGAAGTTTCAACCTTCGAAAGGATCATGGGAGTGTGAAATTTGTATGGTGAACAACGACAGTAATAAGGTCCAATGTGCAGCTTGTGGAAGTGTAAAGCCAGCAGTAGGAGTTCATAAAGAACAAAAGCAAGATTCAAAATCACTTTTTCTATTTGGGTTTGGTGCTTCGTCATCTGGAGGAGTCTTCTCATTCGGCTCTGATAGAACAACTCAAGGCAATTCAAAACCTGTTTTCACATTTGGCAGCCTGAACCAGACTTCCAGCCCAAGCTCTGGAGTTGCATTTGGTTTTGGCTCCTTAGATCAAGGAGGAAATTTGAGTGGACAGTAGACTAACACAACCCCTTAATCACTTATCACGGCAAAAGATGGAAAGAATAATGAAGACACCCGAGAGGACGCTATGGCGAAGTTTCAACCTTCGAAAGGATCGTATGAGTGTGAGATTTGTATGGTAAACAACGACAGTAATAAGGTCGAATGTGCAGCTTGTGGAAGTGTGAAGCCAGCAGTAGGAGTTCATAAAGAACAAAAGCAAGATTAGAAATCACTTTTCCAATCGGGTTTGGTGTTTCGTCATCTGGGGGAATCTTCTCATTCGGCTCTGGTGGAACAAGTCAAGGCGATTCAAAACCTGTTTTCATATTTGGCAGCCATAACCAGACTTCCACCCCAAGCTCTGGAGTTGTATTTGCCTTTGGCTCCCTAGATCAAGGAGGAAATTTGAGTGGACAGTAGACTAACACAACCCCTAAATCACTAATCACGGCCAAAGATGGAAAGAATAATGAAGACACCCGAAAGGACGCTATGGCGAAGTTTCAACCTGCTAAAGGATCATGGGAGTGTGAGATTTGTATGGTGAACAACAACAGTTATAAGGTCGAATGTGCAGCTTGTGGAAGTGTAAAGCCATCAGTAGGAGCTCATAAAGAACAAAAGCAAGATTCAAAATTACTTTTTCCATTTAGGTTTGGTACTTCGTCATCTGGAGGAGTCTTCTCATTCGGCTCTGGTAAAACAACTCAAGGCGATTCAAAACCGGTTTTCACATTTGGCAGCCAGAACCAGACTTCCACCTCAAGCTCTAGAGTTGCATTTGGTTTTGGCTCCTTAAGTCAAAGAGGAAATTTGAGTGAAAATCACACCATTAACTACTCTAAAACTGATTCGTTACTTGAGTTGGCATGTGAAAAAAGGAGCTGATGATGACAGAGATGATCATATCATATCATCTTGTGGAACAGGTGTAGCAGATAGAGACCAGTTTTCACCTCCTGTAACTCTTATTATTGGTTTCCAGGTGAATCTGATTCTTCATCATCAGACGGAAATTTTAGGATTGACTCTAGAGGAACAAGTCCAGTCGACAGAAAAAAAAAAGTTTCATTCCTCGTAACCTTAGTCAATCAGTATAGCACCGTTGTTTAGTTTGGGTCCAGAAAAAACATTCTGGTTTCAAAAGGTCTTAAAATAGTCTATCTATTCGTAAACGTCTCTACCTGGGAGGATGACTTTCGGGAACTCACGTGGGAATCTACTAGGTCTTGATCTAAATCTGCTGAAGTACTGCTTAGGAAAAATGGAAATATAGGGTTGATTTAAAAATTGAAACCCGATAGAGTGGGGTTCGAAGATAAGCAATGGCTGTTGAAATTAGCATTGACATTGAAAAGGAATTTCTATGAATAATACTATTAAATTTGATTGCAAAAAGGAAAAAAGACTTTTAATACCCAATACTTCATTTAAACGTTTATTTTGACTCGAGGAAATAACAAACAAAATGTCTATCTTGTCAAGTTTATGAAAAATTAGCGTCTTAGAAATTTACAAATGTGAGACCTGAGTTAGAGAATATTTACAAGTGAAAAAAAAAAGTTATTTTGTACCTAAAATTAAAGTAAAACATTTCAAAACTGCAAGACACATTGAAAAAAAAGCAATGAGTACAACGGTGAAGGCCAACGGAGTAAAAAATGTCTCAAATAATTCAAGAACAGTGCCCTTTCACATGTTTCACTCCTACTCTATGGACTATTTATCCTTTCTCACTGAACAAAAGTAATCTTTGTCCTATTGGAGTTGATTTGCCAAACATTCAAGTCCTCGTACTCCCCAAGACAGGCATCAAATTGATCTGGCGTAAAGCCCTTTGTCAAACATCGCTGCTGTGCGTCAGGAAGTCTAAGGTGAAAAAAAGGCATTAATCGTGTAAAAAAATTATCATGTAGCTCATCGGCATTATTTCCATCAATTCAACCCACCATATATAAAAGATAAACTAGAATAAAGTAGTCTTAAGATTAAATCCCTCAATTTTTCAGCGACGTGTTAGATGTGTTCCGTTCCTAACTCATTGACATCAAAACGTATCGTGTTTGTCTTTTTGCACGAAAAACATTCAAAACTCGACACCTAAAAACACTTTTTCGAAATATATCGACAACACATTTATAAAGTTTCAACACAGAAATTTGTTTGATCAATTGTGGAATAGTAGTTTAGTTCTAATCACTTTATTCAAATAATATTCAAATGACTTACTTTACACTGCTAGCATCTCCAGCCATTTCTTTTACAATTCCATAAATTGCATCAACTGGGTTTACAGTTCTGGCAAAGAACAAATACAATGGTTCAGTTAAAAGTAGAACTTTTCAACCACACTTCACAGATCCAATGCTTACTTAATTAAACAACTTATATCCAGGGAACCAAATAGGTGTAAAGGAATGAGCTTTTAACCCTTTTACTCTTTTCCTAGATCTCATTCATAATTCTCTTTGCTGTCTGCCACACAATTTTCATGATGTTATTTCTGATAATTTTGTATAGGATCAACTAATAATTCCCTTATTGAAATTTTTCTCCAGTTCTCATCAATTATCCGCTGGATATTGCATTGATATTGTAAGGATAAATTCTGTCTTGGTCACTCATGGGAGTTGAAAGTTTAAAGCAATCAAGTTAGCTTCTGGCAGGGTTATAGCCCCATCTACCATGGAAAATAAATTCTCTGGTGCTTTCACCATCTGCACAATCCCAATCTCCATGATACTATTCCTGGGACTTAACCCTTTACACCCTAGCATCAGTATCCATTTTCTCTATACTGTTCTCTTTACATTTCCTAAGATGCTAGCAAGGAGAATTTGTCTGACAATCACAAGCTTCTTAAGTTGTCATCATTTTCCTTAATCTCATTTCATTAATGTTCAATTCAGCAGAAATGTTGTTGATACTATTCCTGAGACTTAACCCTTTACACCCTAACATCAGTATTAATTTTCTCTATACTGTTCAATTCAGCAGAAATGCTGTAGGGAGAAATAATTTGCTACATGTAATTACAATTTGGGTTCAAAAGGTTTAGAAAAATGTCATGCAAAGAAATGGGCTGATTTTTGTCTTCATAGCTTCTGTATGATCTTTGTGTCAGGTGGATTTTCTTACCTTGTTTTTGTTTCATCTTCAATTAAGGAAGCCTTTGACATCTCCATAAGTCTCATAGCTTCATTCACATCTTCCTTCTCCACCACATCTGCCAAACGGAGACGAGCCTATAGACACATAACAGAAACATTGCATTGAAACTACAAACAGAGGGGCCAACATGCAGAATGTACACCATTTGTATGTGAATGTGTCCCCATAACTCATTCAAACATACTATCTCAAGTGCAAAGGTCTGAGATAATCCAGATGCACTCCTCACACAGTTTCTTTGTGCCATCCCAATGGGAATTCACAGAGAGGACTAAAACCTTGAACAGAACAAAAAGGAAGATAAAACTGATCATTGAACCTTTCCCACTTTCCTTATCTCAAAACTGTACCCTTGTGTCCACCATCTGTTTGACTTTTCCTTTTGTTTATTCCAATTTGTTAGTCCAATGTGAATTAAGCATTACATGTATAACAAGGTTGGAGATTTTTGGCTTGTCTCTGTGTAGGATCATCACCTTGGTTTAGCATTTTAATTGAGACATATGTAAGGTTTCTTCTTTATAAGCTGTCCAATAACTCTTCAGCAAGGAATTTAAAGCAAAACGACAGTAAGTAGTGCATGTACTAACCAAGGCAGTTGCAAGACGCAGAACGGCCAGAAGTGTTCTTGCTGAGGTGAAAGTTGTGTCTCTGTTGGTCCTGGCCTCCTTTCTCATTTCCACATAAGCACTGACAATGTAATCTGTAAGTGTCTCAGGAATCAGAGGTTGTTTTTCCTTGCATGCAGCTATATAACGCCTGTGGAGGAAAAAATTGTAATGACTTAATGTGGGAAAAAAGTGCACCTGCATTCAGTCCTGATGGGTTATGCAATCACACTGTTTTCAATTGTAAATGTATTGGAAAACCACTCCTTTCACCAATACACAAAGACCTTTGCAACACATGCCACTGTGTTAGACACTGTATGACAGCATTTTGAGATATTTTCTTTAATTCATTAAGCAAAAAAACTTGAACATTTTCAAAATTCTAAAATCAATTGTTCTTTCAAAAGCTTTATTTTCAATGCTTAGTTTTTATTAAAATCTTCAAAGGTACATGTATAAGTAGATTTTTTCAAACAAAACAGCATCAGTGTGAAGAGGAATTAGGAGAAACACTTTTGTATACCATACCTCATAAGGTTCATGTCCAAAGATGTAAACTGCATTGGAGGGTGTGAGCTGTGCTGATGGACATATGTAATGTGCTGTGCCAATCTGCAGAGTAAAAAAAAAAAAATTCAGCCAGATGATTCTAAGGCATTAAGATCATGCATCTCTGATGAGTGCTTTGGAGGCATGCATTTATTATTTGTCAGTTTTCTAGCATGTGCTCTACAATTTATTATTTTCTCTGAGGTCTACTGATCTGCCTGAACTCAACTATGTAGTGTAATCATTTGGGTGAGGAAAGTTCTGAAAACAACTGAGTTACAAGTGACTGTCACTGTCATTTGAAACAATAATTTCAGGACTGAACACTCACCTGAGTGATCACACTGCAAGATCAAATTTATGCAAAACACAATCATAGAGGTCAGTGAAGACCATCAGAGTGGACAACCTCTCACCTCAAGTCATTATCTCTGTCTGGTTTATCCTGAATCAGCCAAAGCAAGTCAAATCTTGATAACAGTGCTGCTGGGAGCTGAATATTCTGTTCTGCAGATTTCTTTGGATTATACCGTCCATATGCTGGATTGGCAGCAGCCAGGATAGACACTCGTGCATTCAGGCTTGTCATGATTCCAGCCTTTCAAAACAAGATGTTAACATGAACCATTAAATCAAAATAATATTTTTAAAAAAATTGTGAATACACAATGAGCCATCATGGTCTAAAAATATCACAAAATTTCCCCTGAAATAATTTTGCTAGCAGAATTATTGAAAAATACTTGTCAAAAAAAGCAAAAGATCATTGTCCTTCTTACCTTGGCAATGGAGACAGTCTGCTGTTCCATAACTTCATGGATTGCAGTTCTATCAGAATCCATCATCTTGTCAAATTCATCAATACAACAAACTCCCTTGTCTGCCAGCACTAGTGCACCTCCCTCTGAAATGATAAGTATGGACTTTTATTGAAGAATACTAGTCATGTAACCTGTGATCTGCATATTGTTCAGTCTCACATCATTCTTGTGTTCATTATTTGGCAATTTGTGCATTCATAATAACAAGAAATTAAGTACTAGAGGTCAGGGTACTCTAGTCTGTTCCTAGTAACCTGGATTCAAGCTTAAGATATAGCAGTTTTTTTTTTTTTTTTAAATTTGGCCAGTCTAATTTCCTGTAATCTCACTGCGTTTCTCCACCATGCAGTATAAATTGGTAATGGGAATTATCAGGCAGGAAAACTGGGGGGCAAACCTGTGACAAACAATTGTTTCACAGCCATCAGGGATCCCTCTTGGTGGCTTTGTTCTATGGATGGTCATCTTTGATGCTGATGAGCCATTCGGCTTGTAGACTGTACAGACACAAAGTTACAAATGTATTACATACCGAGAATCATTTCTCCTGTCAGAGGATCTTTCATTACTGCCGCAGTAAGACCAACCCCTGAGCTTCCACGTCCTGTGGTGTACTGACCTGAATAAGAATAAGTTCAACAATATAATAAATAAAGTACTAATGGAAAAGTAATTGATGTAATGTCATTTTTCAGAAAGAAAGATAACAAGGTTAAAAACTCCAACAGGCAGGAGCTAAACAAGTTCAATAGTTCCCTTAGCAGATTAATTCTGAAGCTCAATTACTCACTGCGAGGTGCAAGCCTGTCGATGTATCCCAGCATTTGACTCTTTGCTACGCCTGGGTCACCCATTAAAAGAATGTTGATATTTCCTAAAGGATGAAGAGAGATAATCATTTCCACTTAATCAATTGTTAAGAATAGTAATTGACCACAATTTTGAAAAGAAACAAACTATACTGACACACAGCAAGAACAAGGAATGTACCTCTTATTTTCATCCCTTGGGGAGTACAATCTACACCTCCTACCAACAACAGAAGTAATGCCTTTTTGATGTCTTCATGGCCATAAATTTCGGGAGCAAGTGACGAGGCCAGCTTATCATAAAAGTCCGCTTCTGTAAAAAAAAAATCATCTGTCAAGAATCACCCATTCATTGAGTAGCAGTGTCATCATTATCACCCTAATTGCCCTTGTTGTCATCGTCATCATCATTGAAAAATTGATAGGGACCTACACCCTTGTTTCATTATTAACACTTTCGTTCCCACAAGTGAGCAGTCACTAATTTATCCTTTCAATATCAATATATTTGTGCAGCAAAGAGGTGTTGGAAAGAGAAACAAAAAGAAAGAATGAGGGCTATTTTTCATTTTACATAACACTATTGGGGCTGAAATCATATGAAATAGACAGCAGGAAGTAAAGGGAGGTGCTAATGAGATCTTGGTAGTGAGAGAGTTAATTAGCCAGTGTTTGCAGATTTTAATTGAAAGTGCTTAAATATAAATGTATTTATGTCCTGACTTGCACTCATGTTGATCTACATTATCCTCGACAAACAAACAAAAGAAAATACACTTTCTCAGTGCTGCTGTTCAATAATCATGATCTTGGTGGTAAGAAGGTTAATTAGCCAGTGTTACACATCTAAATCAAAAGTGCTTACAGAATATATAGATTAAGCCAAGCCTAAAAGCAGAACTCGCATTTTTTTTTCCTCACATGTCTCAGGGGCACAACGCCTTGCCCCAGCCAGGACTAGAACCCAGGTCGTTTGACTCAGAGCCAGTGTACTGACTACTGGACTACTGAACAAAGCTGTGGCATTGGCGTGCCTGCAGTACAGTTGACCACCCATGTTAAAAGTAGCACCTTGTACCGTCGTGCGGTCATACATCCAAATTTTTTCGGCTTGATAGGTTACTACTATTTTGTATAATTATGGGGCTATGCTCTGCAAGCTCAGCTATAAATGTATTTATGTACCAACTAGCACTCATGCTGATCTATGTTATCCTTGACAAACAAACAAAAGAAAATATATTTTCTCCGTGCTACTGTTCAATAATCATGATATAAAAGAAACAAACCTTCAGACAATGCCCTGATTTCTTCATCACTTAGTTCTTCATTTCCCAGTTCATCATCTTCTGTCTTGTTCATTTTTACAATTCTCTAAAGCAAAGAAAAGAAACAATGCAATCAATTAACTTGTTCACATTTACCTAAAACTACATGTCTATATATACAAACCAGGAAAGATGTTAAAGAATTCTTAAGTGCGAGACTCCAAAATCAAACCCCAAACAGTTTTGAATTTCAAATTGATTGAAAAACAATAACTTTCCAGATAAGCAAATTTTTGGGAAACTTACATGAGCCTCTAGAAATGTTTCTGATAACAATCCCTGTGTAAGCTGCCTAAATCCAGTCTTCATCATAGGGAGGAACACTCCTGTAGCAGCGATGTGATCCCCAGGTACTGCAAGACGAGTTGTTTCACCTTTTGCTATGACTGTCATAGTCCTTGGGATGTTTCCCACAGGAACTTGATCACTGTGTTCTTGGATTTTCAGTTCTTGGAATTTAACAAATTTAGAGCCTCTTGTTTGAAGGTAAAGACGACCACCAGCCCTGAAAAGGAAAGATTCAGACAATATTAAGCCTTGAAAACATCTCATTCTGTGTCAGAATATATTCATGTGAAGAATTCCAAAAAAACATATTTAGTCCTTATTGGGGGTAAGTTTTCCCTTTTGCCAAAGCAACTTTTGTAGCTTATCTGCCTACTTAATAATTCTCCCAAAATGCCAATCATGAAAGGAGAGGAAGATGTCAGATACATGTATTTTTTAATCCCTGAGTTAATTGTACTCGACAACAGCCAAGAAAATAAATAATTTAGAAAATAATAATAATAATACTAAATAAATTTGTAGTGATGTAAAGGTTGGAGGTCAAATGTCAGAACTTACTTGTTAACCTTGCACTCCTCACTTGGGCACATCAGAAGTGGCATAAATGTCTGCGATGAAATCTGGAAAAATGAAATCAGCATTCAACATCTCAGCCACGTGAGAGCAGACACGAGATATCTTAAAAACTCTCCTTAAAATTTTCAATCATGTTTGAGATCAAAATAAAGCAAACAGTGTACATACTGGCTGATAAGACTCCGCACCACATTGATCACAAGTGTATGTTGCTACTTCAACAACTGGTTTTACTTCTGTACACCTTGTGACAATTCCCCGCACCACAACAAGTTTACCAATGTTGTCAGCTTTCACTTCACGCACAGCACTGGCCTTGTGTGTGCTTAGGTGCTTAAAATACACCTCACTAGAAACAAAAATTAACAAAAAGGAAAATAAAAAGGTCAATAAAAAGTGTGACAATCTGGAAACATTTATCCAAGGTAATTCAATTTCAACATAATGAAACCCTACAGAGAAAAAGACTCTCAATCATTTACACCCTAGCATCAGTATCTATATTCTCTGTGCTTTTTTCCACAAGTTTCCTTTTGTACTGTCAAGGAGAATTCATTTAACAATCAAAGCTTCTCAGGTTGGCAATAATTGCCTTCATATCCTCATGATCCTAATGAATGATTCCGTAGTAGTACTGTTGGGAGAAACAAGATGCTGGTCACTCTTAGGTTTTAGGAGGTTAAAACACAGGTAAAGAGAAGTATTTTGCTTGTTTTCCAAACCAAAGTTTGGGTCCCCCGTCAAAACTTCCTGCCTAGATCCACCCCACCCTCTCCCCTGATATAGACTTACTATCTCCTAAGAAGCTCTGGTGGATATTTGTTCCTTGGGTCTCTTGCCTCTGTATCATTTCTGTTCCGCTGCTCCAACAGAAGGCGATGTTCAATGTACACATCTAAGGCATCTTTCACTTGAACCTTGTAAGACACAAAATTATGTCAATTGTCATAAAACTGTTCACAGAACTGCACTGTGTACTGTTCATCAAGAAAATTGTGTCTAAGTTATTTAAATTTGTCATTTGAAAATCATCATTATATTTTGTGATTCTTGTTCCTTTTTGGTTTATTTAATTTGGTGTTATTTCTACCTACATGTAGGTACAGTGTGGTGATCACAGCTATTTCAAACTTATTTTCCCTAATATGCTTGTTGCTAGGGGATGTACATTGATGCTCATTCTTTTAACTTATTTGTGAAAATACAACATGTAAATGTACATGACTATATTAGTAGTTTTCAGCTTTGGCTCAACAACTTCTTCCCCAATAATGCTGACAATGTGACCTCAGCGACATTTCTGAACACCTGTCTTACACTGTACCTCTCTCTCCTTGTAGTCTGGCAACATTTCAAACACAGCATCCTCAAACAACTGTTTGTAACGACGTGCATTTTCCACAATGTTTTCTGACAACTCAGGATCAATCTAAGTGTAGCACAACCAAAAAAAAATGTTGTAAATAACGTTACTTCCTGAATTTCTCTTCATTCTACTAACACTTGTATAACCAGTACGAGGCCAATACTGAAATAAAGGTCAACTCAGTCTTGTGGCATGGAGTTAACTCCTAGAAGTAAAGGCTTTCACATCCGCTAGCTCGATCACCAAAAATTAACTTGAAATTTTTATGTCATATTTTGCATGACCATAGAATAGGCTGTGTACACCTCGAGCCCTCCTAGCTTTTTTCAACGCTTCGTTATGCACACGATTACTATTGCGACGGATTTACACGAACTATCTAAAATTCTGGACGAGTAAAATAGGAGCGGAATCGTATTTGACCATTGCAAATAACCTACTGATAAATGTTCTATCGCATGCAGTCAAAAAAATATTCTCAAAAGCTAACCTGATTAATTAGGATTCGGATCAAAGTCACTCTAGCAACATCGATCAAACGAAGTGCCTTACCTCGGCGATATCATCAAGCTCGATCAAGAGTTCTACCTGTTCGCGATGGGCAATTTTAACCTTGAAAGAGAACATTATTAAGAAACTTAATTAGTGGAACTAAACAGGATATTCTAAAATCAACTTACTCGACCATAAATCTATTTCTTGTTCGTTGCGTGGACAAGAAAGGCAATAAATTTCGAACAACTCAAGGCCAAGTTATCCACAGATTTCTACTCACAAGCTGTTCTCCGTATTTGAAGTGTTTTCCGCCGTCTCCGTCGAGGTAAAACTCTGCGAGAAACCGCTTCGCTTTGTCTGTAACGAGATCGATGCTAAATAAGACACATGAAGCTAAACCGTAACCGTAATCACTGTAATTGCTACACAAACCTCCAAAAGAGATCAAAAATCGTTTGGTTACCTTTTTCTGCTTGATAATCAGGCATACTCGGTGAAGAATTTAAACTCTGAAGCAAAAAGACGTGCTTTACTCGTCGCCTAACTGGAAGACTTGATCTGATCGGCTAAAGCGTCTTGGAACATGTGACGAATTTGGCGCGAAAACCTCAGAGCCTTGCTGCATTGTGGGCAGAATGAATTGGTTAGGGTGTCGTGTAAGCCAACATGTAATGTCTAAAAAGTGCAAGCAGGATATCGCCTATATTTATAGTTATGAGAGAAGATCAGTGCTGGTTAAACTTTTGTAATCTTCAAGAAAAATTGATTCCAGAAGTTAGATTGAGCAGTGATTTTTTAATTTGCACTTGGAAGGTAAGAAGTGCATTTCTTTTACGTATGAATGTGGTATGAAGTAAATAAACGACGGCAAGATGTGAATTGATCGTGTACAAACAAGCAATGATAAGAAAATGCAGTAAGATGCAAAGATTGCCTCAACTTCTAGTTTGGTCATATCATATTCCTAGATTCTCCAATCTCCAATACCTTCAAACGTCTTCCCCCCACCCCACCCCTACCCAACTTTTGCCTAATATATACGTCTTTTTTAGACCCACAGTTCCTCAAGCTTAATCCTTTTTATCCAAAGATCAATATGCACATTCTCCATATTGTTCTCTACACATTTCCCAAGGTACTGACAAGGATAATTTGTTTAACAATTAAGAGCTTCTTTAGTTGGTGATCATTTCCTTCATTCTCATGACCTTAATGTGTGATTAAAGGGTGATATTGTGAGGAGAAATTAAATGCTAATCACTCTCAGAGATGACAGACTAACATATATTTGGGTAAAATTTCCGCACAGCCCCATACTATTGTAAAACAAATATGTTTTCCCAATGGCAATGTATTGTTTTTGTTATTGTTTTCTCTATCCAAGAACTGAATGCATAATGTAAGATGGGGCTGTGTGGAAATTTTTACTTTATTTGAGACCTCTGAAGGAAAGAAGAATAATTTTGATGTGATGCCTTCACTTGATAATGTTACAGGAAGAGTGAAACTCATCTTTATTGAAAAATTTATTTAGCAAAAATTTGATGAAACACATTTAGATAAAAAAAAAGTTTAAGTTCACTTTTCAAATATACAGTAACTTTCATATTTTGCACAGAATGGTGATGAACACAGATGGATTCAAATAGGTAGGTGGTTGATGGTCATTCATTTTTTTTGTACCTGCTAACAAGTTGTTGGTTACAGTTATGGATGGAATGAAGGCAACATCTTCTGATGGAAGAAGCTTACACCATCAAAACTTGTTGCTCTTTATGTTAATTCATCAGCACCTCAGATAGAAAGACTCAAAGTGAGAGCAAATGGTTTTTCTGAATAATGTCAATTTATGTCAATTTATCAGCACCCCAGATAGAAAGAATTACAGCAAGAATAATGAGTCTTTCTGAAGAATGCAACATAATGACCTGCACCAAGGTCTCAGTTCCAAACCTTTTAACCTGTCATGGCATGCACTAGCCAATGGTTTCCAATTTTCTCAGATATTGTGATATCTTCATTTTTAGTTAAAGAAGCATTTGGTGAATTTGTGTCCGATTGGAGTGCAGAGAGATTTGTTGAGAGGTGTGCAATTTTATCATTTCTGGATGACTCATTCTGAAGTAATTAGGGTTTGATAATATTGTAAAGAATCCTCTGGGAGGCACTGTCCATATGTCATTCCCCTTAAGAGCTATTGTCAAAATTTTCTTTAACAAAGATTTGCTTTGTCAGTAAAAAATTATTTGCAACATAAAAACTCAAAAACAATTTCCCAGTGTACAAACTCTGCTCTAACCAGGATTACCTTTTATCACAAGTTTGGCATCAACAAGAACTGTTTATTAACCTCTCTGCATTTTACACCACATTGCTTTTTTACTGCAATACTCTACAACTATAGAGCAGTAGGCACATACAGTCATAGACTGTCTTTTATTTTGTACAGGTATGCATCAAGTCCTCTGTTTAAGGAAGATGGCTTTTTCTTCATCAGACATAACAAGAGATATGTAGCCACAGCATTTGCCTGGCAAGACAAATTGAACTCATTGGAAGGACATCTTCATTGGTTGGCAGTCTTGCCTGAGTATCACAGACAGGGCTTGGGAAGGGCTCTTGCATTGCGCGTTCTTCTTTACCATAAGGATCATGGGAAGGAATCAGTGAGTCTTATAACAGAGGTGTACAGACATGCTGCCCTTAAGCTTTACAAAGACATTGGATTTGTTTGTAGTGCTGAAGAGACCTGACAAAGCCACTGGCACAAATTGCCACTGCATTGGCAATGTAGGTTTTATACTCTGCCACTGGCATGCACAAGGGAAGGGAAATGAGATGCTGGTGCCTGTCTTCAAGCTGAGCTCTAGTCAGCCATATGGGCTAAATTCTGACTTCCAGGTTCTCTGAGCAAAGTGCACATTTCCATTTTTTTTTTCAATTATGTTGATTCATTGCAGCGGGTACTATTTTGCATAAAACGTAATAACTTGATCATTAGACTTCCGTCAAGAAAGGTCAAAGGTTGTAAGCTTCGGAAACAGTGAATTTTTATCAACTTTCTTGTTTTATGTAAATAGAACAAGTTTTTTATATCATATCCTCCACTTGTTGGTTAATTCATTTTATTTTTTGAAATGTTTGTTTGTCTATTTGATGTTTTACTTTTGTAGTATCAAAAATAACTTTTAGAGTTTTCTTTTTTTAAGTAATTCCTAAGTAAGATGAGTTCAATGTGTAATTTCTGCATTTCAATGCAGGCCATATTGAAAAAAGAAGTCTGTAACTGAAAAATCTAGTCTACTTTACCTTCAAAGTTACCCTGAAGGGTTTTATATCTAAAATAATTTAGGAAAATTACACCTTGAGATCGAAATATACAAAATATATACCAATAAAAGTATCTTTGAAGTTCTGTATTACATAGTCTTTGTTACCAACAAGCTTTTGGCATCTTGAGCTGAAGATGAAGGCCACTAAATTACGAACGTTAAAACACAACTGAGTTTTGAATAGTTTTACCGCTTTTAAATCATACGCATGGCGGAAAAGATATCATCACTTTCCGGTTTTTTTTCTGATGCTGTTCAATAAGGTAGCATAGAATCACGCATATGTCGTGAGTGATGCATGTAAATTATAATAGCAAACATACATGTGCTTAGTCGCCTTTTCGTCCTAACTGGAACAAATATCTAAAGGGTTACAATCATCAACTCAAATTCAACTTTAACTTAGTATCAATTCAAATGTTCTCTGACTCTTTAACAGGAGCTGGTCTCAAAATAATTACAATGTACAAGTAAACTGCCTGAATTGTGGGAAAACACGAGCGACCAAGTTGCGATTGATTTTATCTTACATCTGATCGGTAGATAGGTCAGTCCGAGTTTTCTAAAACAATGTCGGAACATCGTGAAGAGCCATCGGCGAACGTATCTTGGTTTACTATGGGTACTCCGTTGAAATTGCCTTCACTCCAACTTGACCCAGTAGACGGCAATCACATGACTGTTAATAAAGAGCAGTCCCAGTTTTATGTATTTCTTCTTCAAAGCCCGCATTCTTTTCCTCGCCCACTGTAACTGCTTTTCCATTAGACGAAATGTTCGCATCCTTGACATATTTCCCACTTCCTCTCTTTCTTGCCCTGGCATTTTTCTTGAGCTTTTTCAAAAACAGATGTAACATAAATGTCAAAAATGAAAATACCATTAAAAATCCCACAACGGCGACAGCAAGAACTAAACTTGATAATGGCTTCTTTTTTAATTCCTTGTCGCTACTAGGCTTGGATTGGTCTACAACAAAACAAAACAAAACAAGTATTTTAGATTATTTATGTGGATGCTAAAGACGGTTGTTTTAGTGTCGCGCACCAAGAAACTGACGGAGAACTTCAGATCATTTAGGTTGGCGTACAGTTTCTTCAAATGGTTCTGGATGTTTCATCACTCGGTGTGCATTGTAATATCATGCAAGTAGTCCTGTGCTGTTCATGCGGAATGAGAAATGTTCAGCTTAATTCGCGCCGGTACCGTTTTACTTTCTTAGCCAGCTCTATCAATACGGTCATTCTTAATTTATAGAAAATGAAAGTGGAGATTGTAATTCTGTGTTCCTAGAAGTAGACTATTAATTTATATTATTTACTATTATTTAGTATAAATCTGTATCATTATATCACAAATGCTGAAATCTGGGTGGCTCCACTACTCGGTGTCTATTCTGTGATGAAAAGTGAGTGGAGAGAGGCCCCTAACAGTGTGCAGTTGTCAACAAATTAGAATAAAAACACGAACCTGCCCGGTTATTACATTTTGAACGACTAGTAGATTTATAATAAAATAACTAAAATATTCGTTTCCCGTTTCTATCTGTGATAGTATATTCGGGCGTCGCCCTTGATCAGCTATCACGCGATAGAAATCTTGCACTCGTAACCTAGTTGTTAAATATATTGATTATTGACATTAAATAATTAGTTCATACTTAGCGTGCGTATATAGAGCACGCGGGAAGTTTGGAGAGTACGAGAGAAGGGCAAGAGGTGCTCAAGGCGCAGCCGAGCGCAACTCTAGCTTCTTAACTTGCGCCCGCGATATGTTTTTATACCTGTTGTGCCTGTCTTGCTCTCCATGTTTGAATCAATGTCAAATCCTTCGTCCACTTTGGAGATAACTGCAGGGTTTGTTCTAAAGATTCTGGGAGTTGTCTCTGAAGAGAAAACCAGTAAAAAGTGAACAGTTATTAAAGAAAAGAGTAGTATAGCGTAAACTCTTTTCTTAAAAAAATCCCTCTACTTCTAAGATCTAACCGCCAATCTTCTTGTTGATTGAAACTCAATTTCTTGACGGGTTGTTTATAGTTTTTATAATTCAGCGCGTTATCAGTACATCATCCTGCTGAAGATATATATTTTTTCGTACTCATGATCTATCAGATGGTTTTAAGTTATGTCTGGAACGCAAACGACGGGAAGATTAAAATTAAACCTTGACCTCTTAGCCCGGATTTATCTTTTCAAACGCCCATGCACGTGTATTAGCCTTCAATCTTGGTTTCTTCAATTGCGGTTTAAGCCGTTTTTTTTTTTTTTTTTTTTTTTTTTGTCGCGGATGCCAAAACATTATAATCGACACCTTAACAAACATTGCGATTATCAGGCGATATCCAATCACTACAAGTCCTAATATCCCTGCATTAGAGGAGTGCGGTCCGTTTGCTAATCAAGAGTAGAGACGCGTTTCAATGTTGTTTGTGGAGGGAAAAAACGATTTGCGGTTTGTGGATTTTGAGAGAAGTTCATCGATTATTGTGGTAAATTTCTGTTGTAAGGGTGCACAAGTTCATTTTTTTGCACTAACCATCAGAATTTATCCGCGGACAGAAATCGACGAGGGGTACATTATTAATGATACCAGAAATTACTTATCGTCATTTTTCACAGCAGGAAGACCGGTTTAACTGAATGATAAATTTGCGTTCCGTTATTGAAAACATGTTGTGCTAACATAAGCGAAATCGGCTCATATCCGTTGGAAAAAGAGTTTTTATTAGCTATATTAATTAATTGCTTCGTGTGCACTGTTACGGATGATCGGCAAAAGGAGGAAAACTATTCTCAGTAGAAGTATATTTTCAGCGCATTTGGATTTCGAAGGTTGCACAGAAGTGGATTTATACACCTTATTCGATGTTTAAGGGGGGTAGGGACGAGGAAAAATGTGCCCAATGAGCTGAGATGTTAAACCATCGAATAAGGGATTTATTAATTCACTATGATTTTAGTTTCTGGTATTTTGCTTCCAGTCTTCGAAATTAATCCCAAGGCCTCATCTGCGCATCGCATCGATCGCATAAGGCGTGCGCGGAAGAGGAAAACAACCAAAACGAAACTATCGAATTAAAAAATATCTGAAGCGCTGTTGCCCTGCTGTTCTGCAATGCAATACCGCACCTGATTTTGCGTATCCCAGTACCCTAATATGATACAATGGCATAGTTGTGGAATGATAATTAAAAAGATAACACTGCGAACTAAACTTTCAATGATCTGACACTAACCTAACACTTGTGTTCCAGTTGTATTAGGCCACGGTACAGGCCAACGAGAAAGCTTGCACAAACCATCTCCAGCAGGAATTTCAGGGTGATAAGGTATGCACTGTGGAAAGTCGATGTTATATTTCTTAAATTCCTCTTCACAATCACGTCTGACTTCCTGGCACATAGATGGACAGGCGTGAAGGGTGGAACCATCATTAGTGACGCAGGGTGCAGTCTCAATGAAGCAGGCTAACCGTCTTAACTTGACTGAGCAACTTGAGTTTAGGACTGGGTCGAGATTGCTGAGAAAAGACTGGAGTCGATGTCTTGTGTTGTTTCTCAGTCCACTGACATTGTCTTTCAAACAAGCAGGCCGACTTGCGGTTTCACAACTTGGTAATAATGGTTCTATAAAGCAATAAAAAAAAAAAACACCTTCGCTTTAGTATTCTAGTTTGATGTATTATTCAGTCGTTTTAGTTGTCACAATTCTCCAAATATCTGACGAACAGGAATTTAACGAATTATTGGTAAAACTTGACCTGTTTCTCCTTGAAAAGTTCTTCAGTGGCAATATTTCAAAACATTTTAAATTTTACTTGACAAGTCGCTTTGACACGGTCCTGTATCCAAAGTCCTAACATGCCTTTTTTCGGAAATGGAGATTTGTCAAGCGAAAAGCTAATTGACTTAACACTTGCTATAGGAAACTGTTAAGAGCTAAGGCAGAATTCCATTTTAATGGACTGCGGATTAAAGAGAATTTACTTTCAGTCTTCGCCAGCAAGTCATCCTTGTCAAGCACCTCTAAATCTTAATTTTGTCACTGATAGCTTAATTCTACAGCGAACAATTCATGCCATGCTTTTGTCACGTGTTGCCTTGCCGATGTGAATGTTGTTAGATTCAATATCTTGTAAGTGTGAAGTGGTACAACCCAAAAACCGTACACCTATCTTTAGTAAAAGGCTTGCTCTCGAAACTTCAGACTTTCAAAATTAATTGTGGTAATGACTTAACCCTTCTCAACTTCAAGTTGTTAACGACTATAGTATTCCGGAAATTCCGTCAGCCCGCCAACGCACCAAACAGTGTTTCAGGAAAAAATTTAATCGGATTTTTTACGACTTTTGTTTTTATGATTTTTAAAATCTCATGAAACACAATTTTTAAGCCACGAATAAGAAATAAGACAACTCTACAACAAAACATGCAACAACTCAGCATGCAGACATTTGAAATATCAACAGATTTCATTGCAAGCTACTGCTATTTTTGGCATGGAACTTCTTCAATATCGGACTGTCAATAGGGTACTTGATTTCACTCTTTCTTAAACATGTGTAAATCAACTTCTTTAAGCTAAAGTTTGAACTTGTAAGACAGCGGTGGCTGAGGGTTGAAGCAGACGTAAAATCATACAGCGATGTTCAAAGTCACAAACCTTCAAGACTGAGAAAAGGCGAGCTAAGTCTGTCAAACAATTAAAAGAAATAATTTTTTAAAAAAATTGAAATATGTCATAGTCTTGCGATCCTAAGTGCGATAAACACGTTAATTCTGCCGACTTTTTTTTCCTCACGAACGGAACTGAGAAAGGGGGATCGTTTTCATTTTCTAAGTCTTCGAGAACAAGTTTTGAATCAACGATTTATCCACAATCACTTTCTTGATTTTCGACGCGGTTTCGTGTGCTGAGCTGTTTTGTTCTCCAAAAACAAATATTAAACACTTAACCCGAAAGTCTGTATAACGTTTTATATTTTCACAGTTCGTTTTTTGTTTGCACTATATGTAAAAAGAGGTTGCCATGACTACTGTTGAACAGCGAAAATATTTTTTTTCATCGTCACGACATTCCAGACTTAAATACACGACGACGAAGCAATTTCCGAGTGTACAAATTCTTGCATCTAGAGCTGCCATCAGTCTTGAGTTTGATCAAAAGATACCTTTCTTATTTTTCTTTCATGTCAAAAAAATGCATGCATTTGATTTTTTTTAACGTTTCCAGCTCACCTGTTGAATAGCTGGAGTACTTGTAATTAAAAATATTAAGCCAGCGTGATTAGTTTTTTGATCGTGAGTGTCTCCAGAGGATTTATTGATTGGTTTAGACCTTTCAAACAGTGTTCAATGTTAACTGCTCACGTGAAATTATAAGACGCCGGTTAATGGTATGAAAATAAGTTTAAGAGTCATTTTTTGTTTAAGAGTGAATCTTTGTTGATTTTTTAATTTAACGAAACCCAGCGGTTGCTTTATCGCGTGTCCTCCGAAATGAATTTTGCTCAGCTGAGGTAGACTTAAATTAAATTACACTTGGTACTTTTTAGTAAATGAAACCATGGCTGAATTGTTTTAAAATACTTGGGAGTGAAAAAGATACATCATGATAAAAATATCTTTAGTTGACATTGGCGAATATTAATGAAGATGTTTAAAATACTGTCAAAGCAAAGATTTAAACGATTTGTAATCAATAAGTTAACATTATTTTTTTGCAGGAAAACATTGTTTGACAAAACGGTATGACTCATAATTGCAAAAATGCTACTTGGAATGTAGAAAATATTTTAAGCCAACAGTTGTCATTAAATTTCAGAGAACATATTTACCTTACACATAAGAAACATACATTGTAATGAAGAGAGTGTGCAGCTAATAAACTTCTTACAACATTGCAACAAAATGTGGAGAATATCATCCAATTTTATGAGCTCACCTTTTTTATTTGGTCGAGGAACAAATCCAGAAGGTTTTAAACACTGCATAGTTGCTTCTCTTTTAGAAGAGAGAAGTCTACAGTAGGCAACGTAACGTCTATACAGTCCACTGTCTTTCAATTCTTTGTGACAATCGTCCAAAAATTGATCACACACTTCTCTACAGGGGAGTATGGGGCCTTCAACCTCCTTGGAACACTTTGGAAGGTAACGAGAGCAAACGAACATCCTAGAATACGGAGAACAACTGTTGAAACGATCAGAAAAGTAGATGACTTTTGATGAGACATAGTCTTGATAGCTTTGTTCTCCAATTTGTGAAAAATTCGCTGTAGATTTGTAGCCAACGTTGGCGCATGCCGGAAGCTTAGTGAAGTCGATTTGTCGGCATTTGCCAGCGTGTGTCGAATCAAGAGTAAGAAAAAACGTACAGTAAAAAAATAGAAGTAAAAGAAACATGGTCGATAGGTTTCAACTTGACGAGGAACGAAAGTGATATAATAATTTTCAAGTCAGGCTGCCATTATAAACGACGGCAAAGGTAATTTGATATTGAACACTAGACCAATACTAAAATATCTCTGCTTCTTCTCAATTGAGATACGTGACATCGGTCGTGGGACAATGAGACTATGGGAAATGTATTGATCTCATCATGATCAGATTTCCAGCAGAAAGGGAATTTTAATATGAAAATAATAATCTTGAGTGGGATAGGCTGTAACAGCATTTCTACATCAAAGAAACTCGTGTGACTAAGACGCGTCTAGATTAATTCAATTCACTTTCTAAAAAAGAGGAAAACAATGATTTATGATGAGTCCTCAAAGTACACCTCGACGTTAAAAAAAGAATTTGACCGATGGTCTGGTATAGGAATGACATCGCTCGTATCTAAAAATAAATAACTGAACAAACAAAAACATACATTTTAAGTTGTTTTCCAGACTGCGGTAAGCCTTCGAGTGCTCTCCATTACCCTTTTGAAAAGTAACTCCAGAAACATTTTCATTTTCATAGACCGGACACTCCACACGAAAGACTTCTTTCACCTTTTAAGTAACTTTCGCTCAAATGACTAGTCCTCCGGACGAGGCTTCCGGAAGCTCTTTGGCATATTGTAACAGCGGGAAAAAAATTCTCACGATACAAATCCTTCACGACTTCACCACTATCAGGTGTAGAGAAATTTACAAATAGACTTTACTTATGCAAAGTGGAACAAATCTGCCCGAAGGATTTAGTTCTGATTACCACGATCATCATGGCAAGGTGAAGAGGTAAAGATAGTTGTTGAAGTTTTCTATTCCTTTCCCTCTCTGGAGTGACCAACATACTTTCGCGTAGGAAGGTTATGAGAAGAAAAGAAAATCATCAAATGGGGCACGTTGATTGATATGATATCAATTTCTCAGAACTGAGATTATACGAAAAGTATGAAAGAGAGTGATGAGAAAATGATCTTACGATCTTGGAAGCGAGAAAGTTGAAGGATGACACCATTTTTTGAATCTATTTTAGCGTCTTTGAGAATAACCTTAAAATAGCTTTAACCTTGAAGTGATCCTTTGCTTGGGTACATAAACATCAAAGATATAAAATAAACCAAAACAGAGGAGAGTTGATGGCAGATGACGAAAATTGACACAAATTGCGAAAGACACGAGAACCGGAGAAGTGACGAAATTTGGGCTAACTCTGACGAACGGCGATATGATAACATCTAGTCGAAATATTTCTCCAAACCAATAGGATGATGTAATTGCCGTCGCACGAACGTAAACTGTTTTTACATCGATTAAGATCTACGCAAAGCGTTGCACACAAAATTCCCGGCCGTCCGGCATTCTTTCCGCATCGGCGGGAGGGATGATAGGAAAATAGACATTTCCTGGTCCTTCTGCCGTGATCAGGCTTATGGAATATTCTGAAACTCTTCCCATTTCGTGTTGAAAACAAAAAATATAAATATATCTATAAATATTTATGTGTGTGTACTTTTATTATAGACAGTGACCAATCCTTGCCTAGGGAATATTTGTCTGATCGATTGACTGAGAGACCAGACTGGTGGACAAGCATAACTCTGATTTCGGCTTTTTTTTCCTCTCAGTTCTACCTGAGCCTGCTTTATTGGCTTAAAAAAGAAAAAGGATATTTTATTTGCAAAACAGGTTTATTAGAAAGCAAAATACAAGAAAAAAAAACACGAGGAGACATAAATCTTGAGACACTTACGGGAGTAAAGATCCTTGACCTTAGCTTTGTGAAGGAGCAAGTAAGTGACTCTTTCTTTTTTCCTATTGCATGTCAATAATACAGAGACAGCCTAAGTATTCTCTCGAGCCAGAAGCTCATGCCAAAAGTACTAGACAATACTTAAGATTCTTGAGCTCAGAATATCGAAAAAATGGTTAGTACATTGCATAATACACGAAGAAAGAAAATTATAAGGCAATTCAGCCAAAGAAACTCAGTAAACGTGTGGACCTCTCAGCTTTCGTTTATTTTTTCTACGGGATGGGCTGTGCGAACCGAGCTGTTCTCTGTGAAGTAAACTGTAAGCTTTATGAGATGGCAGCACTGAAGATCGAGATAAAGACAGTCACGCATAATTCATAACTATTCAATTTTCTAAAGGTAGGCTTGCCACCACGGACTTAATTTTGTACGCAGCATTCGACGTCAAATTTTATAGTACCATTCAGTCTAGTTACGACGCAATCGTTGTCCGTAAATGCAGCAGTCTTTTTTCGTTGTTTCATCTGAGCAAGTTACCATAGAACCAATCATGTAAATCGTAATAAACAGTGCCTCACATTTGTCTGTTTTAACTTCTCGATCTTTGATAAGGATTTGTGTCATTTTTGGTGGCGGGAAACTATATTCAGCAGAGGAGGACTATAGAAAATAATAAGATAGCATAACACAACAGAGACAACGATAAGTCAAGAAAGACGAGGTATGGCTAAGGATGGAAAAGATTGACAGATTTTAAATGACTCAAAAAGTTTTTCCTTGGTAAGATAGAAAAACACAAGAGCCAGAGGTGATAATAAACCAGAAATATTAAAGGATGGCTGAGGATGGAGTAGATTAGAACAGATTTTCAATGATGAACTCGAAACTATTACGCTCGCTAAATTTTCTTGGGACATATCGTATGTTTTGTTAAGGAGCAGGAATTAAATAAAAGCTTAACCAGTGTCACAAGACGTTTGATGGAAGAAGAGCAATGACCTCTCTTAAACAAAGACTAAGAAATATAAGAGCCTTGATTTCGCGTTATGCAGTAGGGTTATCAGGCTCGGTGTATGTTGATCTCTGCTGTACATAACCGCTTGTCCTCTGATGGTAACGCCTGCGCACAGCAACGGCAAGATAGATGAAGATCACTGCAAAGAGTGGCACCAAAACGAGGGCAGCAATGAGACCTGGGGGAAAGGACTGAGGCAATATCGTAGTGGTCCGTGAACCTGAAAGGGAAAGAACAAAGCTGGTTATAATTTGAGCCCCAAAGAACTCCAACAGCATGGACTGGACTGCTGGATAACGAAGACGACATTGATGCAAAAAGGATATTTAAATTTTACACTTTTACGTTAGATACTAGAGGATGACTAATATCTGCCAAGTGCCTTTTCTATCTTCTGATTTTAAGTTTTCGACTGAAAATGAAAATGAAAAAGCTTTAAAAAATTTCCGCCGGCGCCGCAGTTGACTCAACATTTATGATTCACGTTCAAAATGTGTTTGGCAAGGTATGAAAATAAATTGTCTTCCTGTATTACTTGGTTGACTGACTTGGTGTTGACCAACGTATTTTGTAAACGGAAAAATGACATGATCGTTATTCATGATATTGCGAGGTCTATATTTGTTGATAAAAAAGGAAGAAAAAGAAAAATCATGGAGGAAGTCCGTGAATATTGCCAGATTGCTTAAAATTTACGAAAGAAATGACCTAACTTTCTTTACACAAGTCGCTATTTTTGGCCGCATAAATTGTAAATAACAATTCCGTGTTAGTAAGGTTATGGGGGCGTCTGAACTGGCGCAGGAAATACGAAGAAAATTGTATTCTGGTAATATATAAATATCGACCAAAGATTTTTATATAGTGCACTGGTTAAGTAATGTAAAAAAAAAACAGTAAGACCTCAAAGACTTCGTACGAATGACAAGTTTATGCACGCATCCAAAATTGGGAAGCAAAGAGGATGTTGCTAGAGCACAGACACTAGGAGTTAAATTTAACTTTTAGAAAGTCTTAAAAAAATAGCTATGATGCAGAAAAACATGTCAATTGTGTCTTACGTAGATCGTTTAAACGAGCTGATATGAATAACACTTGAATTGTTGAAACTGGCGAAATCCAATATTCGAACTGCACGTGTTTGAGACATTCTACTGACAGATGATTTGGAATTTCTCGTGCTTTAGGCACTAAAAAGGGTTTTGCATTGACGCGACTGGAAAATTGAATTTTTTTTCTATATTGTTCATATATTGTATGCTGGAAATTTAAACAGGCATCATTGTAGTAAAAGTAAGGTCCGCTCCCAAGGCAAGGAATTATTACGTAAGAGTTCTTAATTGCAATGATTTTTCCTCGCTCTGATTTGCGAGAGCATGTACAGTAAACGAGCGTTTGTCAGAGAACGCTCTTTTTTAACCTTCACTCTCCGAAATTTCCTAAAGTTTCCTTTACGTGGTTCATGATTGACACAAGCGAGCGTCTTTCCAACCTTAAATGTGTCCAGTGTGTCAGCAATCATTTTGTGACGAGGCATAATTGGAAAGGCTTTTCTTCAAAAATTACGAACAAAACATTACGCAAGGCGCGTTCATTTTGAAAGGATTTGTTAAATCATAACGAGGCTGAATATCTTGCCGCGCTAATTAATGCTATGCAAATTTTATGTTCGGCACTAAAAAAAAATTCTTTTATTTTCCTGTGGGGAAGAGAGGGGGAGGGGGAGAGTTTCCAAGCCTCCCCACCAACCCCCCCCCCTTCCGCTACGTATGATGGTGTCTTAACGAATAGTTGTGTGCTAGTTATCTCACGACAAGCTAGCAATGACATCAACTCTTAATAAAAACCTACAATGCAGTCTTCATTTAGCTGGTTAATAATGGTAATTGAACTGAGTGGAGTGTAATTTGGGCTGAAATCATATGCGTGATTTCAAAATTGAACGAGCGCGCAGCGCGAGTTCGATTTGAAATCACAAGTATGATTTCAGACCAAAATTGCACGATATGAGGTTCAATTACCATTTTATTACATTCATTTTGAAATCGCTCAAATATAGGACTTGGTCAGTTAAAATATTTTATTGATGCAGTACTGAGCTGGTTTGAAATAAATTCATCCATTTCTAGGGGGAAAAAATAACAGTTTTGGAAACAAAAGTAGCAAAATTTGCCTCATGATACTCTTTGTCTCACACTCTACTGCAATTTGATTGGTTGTTTGGTTGTTTTGTTTTTAGTGTAGCCTCCTCGTTGGCTGGGAAAAAGATGGTGCAATTGGTAAATAAATCGCACCAATTTGAGCCAATCAGATTGCAGGGACTACCAGTGATTTCAAAATGGGTGTAATAAAGATATTAATCAACATGAGGATTTGGTTGCTCTTTTCAAAGATACATGCTCTTTGACAGAGCTCCCCTATTCTCTCACCTGTTTTCCAATGTCTCGCACTTGGCCACCTGTTTAGCTTGCAAAAACCGTTGTCCGAATATCCCTCAGCCGGCTCAGCGCAGTAGGCTACCACACCCGGAATATCAGCAGCACCTTGACAATTATCGAACAGGTAAACACATTCCGTTCTGCACAGCGTCTCCATCTTGTTTCTATTACATGGCGGTGTATATGATGCACAAGCCAGCTTCGCGAGAATTGTCCTACACTTCTCATTTGTGCTGGAGTTCATCATGCGTCTCATAGCCTCACTTTCTTTATCTTGGAAGGTTTTGGTCCGTTGTGTTTTTTCCGGTACAATAGTGTTCTCAAAGCTTTTACTGCAGTTTTCGTTTATAACCTTTGCTTTACAAGACAAACCTGTGCGTATTACAAAAGAAGAAGGAAAATGATCACTTTTGTTGACTTTGACAACAAGAACATACACGGGAGGTGGAGCGGTTTTGGTAATCGTGGAAGACGTAGATTCTCTCCGTTTTCCTATTCACTTGTTGAATAGTTAGGGAAACTTTTTCCTTGAAGCAATTTCAGACAAAACGTTGTCCATTGAAAATGGAGACGGGGCATTTGTTTGTTTATTTGTTTGTTTGTTTGTTTGTTTTAAAGTTATTGTGATAAAACAACGGTTTTTTCTCACCGGAATAAATATATTTTGAGCCCAACTCAGAGTCATTTTAGGCCGAGCCGCTAAGCGTGGGTTAGAATGACTCTGAAAAGGGCCAAAACATATGCTCAAGAATATAAACTGTACTACTAATACTACTATCAACACTTTGGAGGGCATTGAGAAAATAAAAACTGGCAGAAATTTTAACAAAACAGTCTGAACAATAACGCCAGTGTGCGAGCGGGTTAAAATGTTCTAAAATTCATTATAGCTCGAAAAATGTATCACAATGACCGACAAAGTGATGACAGTTTTCAGCTTAGTCTCTTTTACTTTTTAATTGATAAAGAAGAGACCTTTCCGGTTTTTGTCACGGTCTCACCATTTCACCCTCGATATGGATCATTTTTCTTGACGCTTTTGGTTTACAACTTATTTTCATTCCGGCTTTTAGCTTTAAAACGCGTTGATGGTAGTTTTGGTCAGTTTCCGGTTTCTGATAGACATCAATGCCCCCCTTATTGCAAAATGAACACCCAGATTTTATCGGTATTTGCTTGCTAGGAATGCTAGCCTAAAATGCGATCCTTAGTAGAACCCATTCCTTCTACGTATTCGTAGTGGATAAGAAACAAAGACAATTGTAAGGCCAACATAAGACTGTATTGTTGCATGATTGCAAAGTAATTTAGTGCTCAGAGAATTATGCAAATAGACTGTTTTCATTGTCATGACTTATGATGAAATGAAAGGAAACAACAAACTATATTTAGATATTCATGCATTGTAAAGGCTACTGGAATCCCTTTTTCGTCGCCCGTTGTTCGTTGTTTGTCGTTCGTCGATCTCGAAGAAAGACGTAACATTTCACAAAGAGCAATTTATAAACTACAAAACAGCAAGGTAAAGTTTCCGCACAGCCCCATACTATTGTAAAACAAATCTGTTTTCCCAACGGAAATGTATTATTTTTGTCATTGTTTTCTCTGTTCAAGAACTGAATGCATAATGTAGGATGGGGCTGTGCGGAAATTTTACCAACAGCAATTCCATGGCTTCTATTCAATTCAACAACGACGTGTTTGCCTACCTGTAAAGGTTGATTTTGACGGCGTGAAATCCTTGGGTTTAAAACATCCAGGTTTTTCTGTCTTGTTCTGTAGAACACTGCATAGCGATTTCAACCAGTTCAATCCAGTGAAATCCATCTTCGTGCCACAGTCTTTGACAAATTCCCAACAAACTTCTTGGCAAGGAAGTAAGGGTCCCTTCTCGCTGCTATTGCATCTCGGTACATACAGTGAACACAGCATGAATGCTGTGTACTTTGAGCAGTCACCGAGTCTTTCCATGACGTTTTTTATTATCCCCGCATAGCTCCTGGCGTAATACTTATTCGCAAGACTTATGACCGTGTAACTGAAGCCTTCTTTCACACAAGCTGGGAATGCTGTCGCATTAACTTGGCCACAATGTGATTTCGCCAAGATTGGGTCGCTCTGCTTCGTCTGTTGAGGTAGATTTGTGAAGAATACAATGAAAGATATGCATAAAACAACTTTCATATCCATCCTTGTTCACAAACGTTTTAAGACTGTCTTAATATGCCATTGGATTTTCATTAAAACTCATAACTTCGCATCATGTCGGACGGTTACTTTCATTACGCTCGAAGAATTTGCTAGCACAGCGTGACGCATTCCTCAAAATTGTTATTGACCTATTGAATGGATGAAAAGTAATTAGGATCGTGTGATGACAAAGGAAAATTTTTATTGCGTTAAATAGATTGACAAGGGTTATAAGAAAAAGGCGCGCCGCACACAAATGAGAAAACCGCAGCATTTTAAGACTTCTAAACCTAATGGGTAAGGGTTTAGCGTAGGGTTTATGCAAATACGGCCAATTAAATAACGCCTGCAATGAAATTCAAAAGCCTTAAAGGGTACACATGACAACCACACTAAGTGCTCCTGGTGAACAATGGAAGGTATCCAAACTTTTCTTAAAGAATCGCCTAAAAAAATTGAATTTAAAATCAACGTGTATTATGAGAAATTAAAACCACTGGTTACCTGATTAGGTAACTGTACAAATACTTCTCATAAAAGCGTTGGATCCTCTCATTCATGTCACAGTGATGGGCTCCTAGCATGGTTGTCATTTACTGCTGTACTGTCAAGGTTTTTCCAATCGAGTGTAAAACATCAAAACAAGTTAAGTGTCAGTAAAACCTTGTCTCACATTCTGTATCTATTATCTAGCTTAGCCCTCAGATGTACAATGAGGGGATCGGTGTATGAACCTCCCCTCCAACCCCCCCTTTTTTTCAACCCACATAAGAAGATTAAAGCCAACACCGGAAATTCACAACAGCTTTAATTCACATGTCAGTCATGCTCGCTGAGAATTTCGGTGGGAAATAATCGATGGTGAAGATCGGTGGCCCATGCGTCTCCAAAAACCCCCCTTAATCTCCTTCCAGCCGAGTCTTATTTGCAACCATCCTTTTTTTGTCACGCAACAAGATCTGATCAAGGAGATGTTGTGTTCCGTGACAAGCCCAAGTAAGGGCCTTGAACAGAATACACACATTTACAAGTTGGCCAAGGACATACTAACTGACAATAGGCAGACAGTTGTAGCAGTCAATCAGTCGGTCAGACAAAAAAGTTGAAGCAGATATGAATAATTACTTAATTTATTTCACTTTCTCCTTCCTCAGTACTTAAAAAAAATGTCAATACCCCACAAAAAATAGAATTTAAAAAAACTCATAAGAATATTTGCGAGGCCAGCTCATTTTATAGTGCATCGGAAATTTAAATTATTTTTTTCTCTGTGTAGAAATCTTTTTACCCTTTTTTTTTTTTTCAATCACGAACCTTCTGTTTGATTCAATCTTTGTCATCATAATATCTAGTTCAAGAAAATTAAAGTCTTATTTGTCCATTCTTATCACTTGCTGGCTCTTGTGGTACTCAGTTCTCCTCTCGCACGGGTCGTCTTTTTTTGATCTTTCATTTTTTCTAATCTTCCCAAAAGGACAATCATGAGCTAAAAATGACGCTTTTGATCAGTGCTTCCCTTGTCGTTGCGTCACTGATTCTAGCGGTTCAACTGAGCATGTGCAGCTCCTGGCCTGAAGGTGAACTGAAGGCCATCCAAGCTTTACGCCGTGCAGCACGAAACATTTGCGCATGCTCATGTTTTCAGTGCCACAGTGGTTTCCCATTCATTTGAGGGATGACGTTTGTACCCCAGTACCCAGCAAACCTGAGTATATCGACGTCGTTTAAGTAGCAAGAGGACAGCAGCAATTGCGATGATTGAAAGCACCACTACGACAGTTGAAACTATGATGGCGACAACTGGTAAGGAGTTCCCGGTGCGCTCGCGCAAAGGAACAGACCTTTCAACTGGTGAACCAAGGGTAAGTGGGGTACGTGAGGGCCTGGCTATCGTTAAACTGTGACTACGCGGCAACACTGAAATAGACGCAGATAAACAGAGTTCAGTTAAATGCCCAACAGTGTGGTAAAAGGGACATAGACAGAATGTTGCGGGGAGAGGAGTTGTCCGTTCAATTTACCGAAATTGCGCTGGAATCCAAGTCGTGAGGTGCTAGCTATTTTCTTTTATCTATCTGGTTCATAGTGCTATGTTCTTCTGTAAAGCACCTCCTCAATCCACCGGTGCTTCCCTCATCCAGGTATAGAACCGTAAAGGAAATCTAACGAGTTACTGGAGGAGGGGGGGAGAGGAGCTGAGATGGATTAGCGTCCCACGGAGGGGAGAGGGACAGCCATAATGATTATGCCAGTCGCTTCGCGTTCGCGGAAACCGGAGGACGCACTCGTACCAGGAGATTGGTTTATAAAGAAAAACTTTGGCGAATTATTAATTATAGAAATAGTTGGGATTTGATGAGGCATGAGCCACAACTTACCTGTAGTATTTGGTTCCGATGGCCACCGCCCTGCCGTCGGCCATTTTGTCAGCTTACAAAATCCATCTAAATCACTCTTTTCAGTCGCCATTTGCTCACAGTAACTGTTTACCCCAAAGTGTTCTCTGTACAATGCTGGACATTCCTTTTGCATGCTTTCACAATCGGACTTGCAAACTGTTCGAAGAACAATTTCAGTCTCATCCTCCGGAAAACATGGCGGAGCAAACTCTGCACAGAAAATCTTTTGAAGTAGTGACGAACACAAAGAATGATTTCCAAAGTTACGCAGCCTTCTCTTGAGTACGATGTCGAGAATCCGCTGTGATGCCAGAGATTGGGTTGTATGATTATAACCAAGATGGGAACAGGAAGACATCGTCAAGCTGGAGCAGCTCTGTGTAAGAGGCTCTGCACAACAAAGAAGGAAAAGTTACAGAAAATTTAAAAGAAAGTTAGACACTCGCACGTTTTAGATGCTGGTGTGGTTGAAAGGGAGCAAAAGGGATGCGTGTGATCCCTTTGCTGTCATATAAAAGATTTCTTATAAAAATGTATAATAAAAACCTTGCCGCTCCAAAAGCCAGCGGGACGATCGTGTAAAAAAGACTAGTCGAAAACAGGTGGCTCATGGCAAAACATTGTCAACAGGGTTAGTTTCGATGGATGAGAATATAGCCACCCGTGTAAAAATATTTTTGTGGAAGCGAGTCAAAAGCCCTCCCCTAGAAAACCCTAAGCACTTGAACTACAATCGCGGCGAAATTGCCCAAGTTTAACGTGCATGAAAAGACTTCGTCACTAAACCTTAGCAACTGAGCGTCTTCAAATCTACCTCTCGTTACAGCCAAGGAAACGAGGATAGATTCACACATAATTTACAGGGAAAAATCCATTTAAATTATTATACTTGACAAAGTTGGTTGTCGTGCTCGGCCATGAACGTATCAAATAACCTATAGGGCTGGCACGGGACTTGCTCGTTGTTTGTCAAAGGTTATAGTCGCCCACTTATCTGTTCAACCAAGACTTTTTGCAGTCTGTTATTTTCGGAGGAAACAATTAGTATTTCGCGAGTTATCTCACTGGTAAAAATACCCTAGTAACAAGCAATTTAACTGTTTATAAAGCTGTAAGGTAATTTATCAACAAATAAACGTTTTGGATGCTGAAACAAAGAAACTCAAATAGAAGCCACTCCCAGGTGAAAATTTATTTTGGGTAGAATGTACACAACATTTTCGTTAAAGATAAAAGGTCCGTTGTTCAATTAATTATTCTATCTGACTTACAAATTTCTACTTTTAAGCGAAGTAACCTCAATTGTTTTACAAGTGGGTGAGACTACGCGAACAAACTGAATAAAATTATCGCCGGAGAAGAAATTCACATGTCCACCGCGAGATTTTTTGCTTCAAATTAAAACAAAACAGAAAAACATTTGTCAACCGATACAAACTTACACGTGGTCTTCGTTTCCAATTTCCTTTTACGGTTTCTTTCGAAAGCGATAAATGCAAATATTTTCCTTTGAAAAGTAACCGGCAATTGCAAATCTCTGATTAAGAACAATTCGTGCGAACGAAGACTCATTTTATCATGAATGTTTAAAAGGCCATAACCTTAAAATAGATTTTTACTTACTTGTGGCGTTCACGTTGAGTCGCGGCTTGTAATTTCCCGGCAGATAGCATTTTTTTTCGTTGTTGTTGTTCTCCGATGACGGCAGCAGACGGCAAAGTCCTTTAATCCATTCTAGTTTTTCGTATTCCACTTTTGTCTCACATTCTCTGGCAAAATCTTCGCAGACTCTTCTACATGGCAAAACAGGGCTATAGTTTTCTTCCTCGCATTTAGGGACATAAATAGCGCACATAATGGTATCCAAATATTGCGAGCAATGTCCAAACTGATATACTTCCCGTTCCAGATTATGCGCGATGATGCTTTCGTGTAGCGTAAAATTACCGGGAAAATTGGCCGTGAAATTAAACCCCGCTACTTGAATACATCTTTGAAATAAATTCGGATTTAGTCGTTGGCATATTTGGCCGAAAATGACGGGCAAATACACCAAAAAGAGCGAAATTGTCGCTCTTGTCAGCGCTGCGTTCATCGCTGACCGTTGAGACAACCAAATATCAACACGTGTTAATCAAGAGCGCTTTAAATATGTTGGCCCATGATTTTAAAACTCAGCGGAGTGATGAATTGACTGAGTCACGCTGACCGCAGGGATGGCTACATTGCCATGGAGATAATGTTGGACAAATCAACGAGGAGCACGTTGGTCAAGTGACTAAGCTCTCTGACATGACCGAGCAGCCTGGCCAAGTTTTTAAGGCTTGGTTACATCCAGGCAGGTGTTTATTCAGTTTAAGCACGGTATGAAAACCACAGTTTTTGATCAGTGATTTGCATGTGATGGCTGACAGAAGGCCTGGGCAGTCACGCCAGAGTGACGAGATTACAACGAGTTTCTACGGATTGATCTGACAAAACTGCAAGAATTTAGCTGTAAGTTTCGATGAAAACATCGCGCGAAATAAAATTAGTAATCAATACCAGTGCACCCCTGAAGTCACGTATAATTTTCGACGCAAAGAAGTATGACTGTCACGCTTCAAGAAATTTGAGAGTGCGGAACAACCCCTTTGACTTTCTGAATGGAAATAGTCATACAGATTTTTATAAACTGTGCTTCTGAAAGATATTAATTTGTAAAATATGATTAAAAGCGCTGTTAAATAATTAGAAGATCATATGGAAATTACGGTCCAGCGATGTATAAAAAAGGAAAAAAAAAAAGAATTACCTTTATCTCAATCATCACACGTGTGAAGGTGTATAAAAGTGAACCTCATGACACCTGTTTGTACCTTGAAGTAAAAGAGGTACCGGAGTGGACTTTACTTCTTTTGTGACCGATTCCAAAATAATAGTATCATTCTGATACCGTTTCCTTGCGTTCACTGATGGAGTGTTCTTCATTCAAACTGCAAGAATGGTGGGACGACATTTCGATTGGGAGGAACAAAAAGCAGGTACTGATAGTAGGAACTTATTCCTTAACCCGAGGCCATCTTTTCCAATTCTCCTTTTTTTGTTATTTTGAGCGTAACAAATTGATCCAAAGAGAAAGGACAAATTGAGGTGATCTTTAGTAAGCCACTCTGAGATTAAAAATAATGATAATTGATTATGTTAAGTTGAATCATGAACAATGATAATCTTATAATTTTTTAAGGTGAATTACAACCATAATCACATAGTTTTTAATTTGTTTCTTGTACTTTCCTTCGAATTCACGAATCTTAAACCTCTCATGGGCCAAGCTTCTGCCATACATTCGGTTGGCAACCGTAATTCTGCTTTCACTGTGGACTGGGGCACTTTTAACTTGAGTCTTTTTTATTGATATCCTTTTGGTCTCTAACCCTGAGCTTATCAGTGACAAAGAATGAAATACAGCCTGTGGCACTATCATTTCAAGGTCTTTCAAACGTTGTTATTTCAGTTTATCGAGTCTAATGTCTTACTCTTTATATTACAGTTATCAACCCGGTTAAAGTTAAACAGTCTGGCGTGCGTCATCATGACCCTGGCCCAAGGTAATTACGTTCATAATCATGCTAATTCAAGCTGTTTATAAGCGGAATTCAATTGGAAACAAACACTGATATCATGTTTTATGCAAAAAATTCCATCAGTAGACCACGACGCCATTTCTAGACTGAAGTTACGTAAAAAGAAGTTGGACTTTCCAGAGTAACACGATAGGTGAACCGAGCCAGCACCTAATATGCCCCTGCTTGCTTTGAGCGTTATGCTCCTTTGCAGTTTGGATGCTGCTTTAAGTTCACCGGATCAGTGGCTCGCACAAATGAGGTATTCGCGATCAACAAGTGATTCCAAGTGTTACAGTTTTACCGATGGCCCCCTCAGTTTCTGCTCGAGGAGTGGTTACAACACTACGTTCAAATACCCAGAAGAATTGACGGATTCAATACTTAAAGGTGTCGCCATGTATGTCCAACAAGTGGTTTCGACTTTCGACAACTGTTCTATGGATGCCATTGTAGGAGAATCGTTAATGTGCTCCTTCTTCATCCCACACTGTTCAGGCGGAAAACGAATTTACCCTTGCAAGCGGGTCTGCGGAGAGTTTTTGAAGAAATGCTTGCATAGGATTCCTGCAAATTTTGCAGATTACCTCATCGCGATTTGTCATACGCTTCCAGATAAAAATGGTGATCGGGAGTGTTTTGAGCCACCGAACTTCAAAACAAACGACAGTGTCAAAGGTTAGGGTAATTCAGAGAATTAATCTAAATACTACTAGCGTCTTCATTAGGTTCGTTTAAAGTGAGAATTGAGTGCTTGCGCTAATTAGCTCGGTGGATATTCTGTGTGCACTTCAATATGTCGCTTAATTTCTAAGTTCTGAAAAACAACTCAACTTTTCACATGCATTTTCAAAAATTTTATTCAAATTCAATAAAAATACGAAGGTTTTAAAAGATGGCAAATTTGGAGCGTTGCAGGCGTAAAGTAGGTAAACTCTGCTAAAATCTTCCCCCAAAATGTTAGAAAACAGTGGCACAAAACACTCGACTGACTTGGTAGGAAAACATGCGATCTCACGGGATATTCCATGCATGATCGCACAAACTGAATGCTCTTTTGTGATGTGTTTAGTGTTCATGACTTTTACGTAGATGTTTTCTGTTTGAAAGATATGCTTTGTTTGTGATCTGATTGGATTATTTGCATGTGGAATTTCAAAGCAAGTCCAAATTCCAGTTCCGGCTGTATGCAGATAGATGTCGTTACTTAACAGGGCTCTCGCTTCTTACCTGATCTAATTTACTGAAAATAATTCGTAGATCTGTGCTATGGCCAAACATGACACTTCGTAGGTACTGATTTTTTCCGATGTGTCGTAAGAGCAGATACATGCGCAGAGAAAGTTATATTTTTTTGAGCGAGATCCTTCGTGATTACAACCATTCCAACCTTTTGCATCGATCAATTGAAAGCTTCAACAATCACCCCCACCCAACCCCCTCTGGGCAAACTTACAGGCATTTAACTTTTGAATTAAGGTTCGTTTAAATTTCCAAACCCTCCCCCCTCCCCCCTCCCCCCTGGCGAAAATTGTGTTCGAGAGCTCCACCCAAGTACAATTTTTTTAATGGAACGATTCTTTGTGTGATCAACGAAAGTAGTAGAATTTACCAAAATTTTTTGTTTGCCATTGTTTGGTTTTGGTGTTGTGAATATTTATATCTGATTAATTTGCTTACGAAAGCGAATTCTTACCTTTTAACTCCCTGTAAATTCAACTGGTATAAATTCCCAACCTTACCCAGGCAAGGTTCAAACTCCCCACCCCCGGGGCGCGACGACAGTCAAATGCTCATGTATACAGTGGATGGCTTAGAGCACGTTAGGGTTTCTATTTCGTAGTCGTTCCCATAACTGATACTTTAGATAAAGTGAGCAGGGAGGAATTGGAACGGACCCCCTCTCCCTTTAAACCTCGTAATTTCTCGAACCCTCCCTTTCCAATTCTCTCAGTTATATCCTTGGTAGAGACCACCTCACCTCCCAGGCTCCCCTGCGCTTCAAAAATAAAAAAAGCAGCAATCATTCTTAAAGAAATACCTTTACATTTTTATCACTATTTTTTTAACAGGTCCCTTAGACCGGGGCTGTCAAGAACTGATTCTTCCAGCATGTAAGAATCTTGGTGTGTCCAACCACACTCTCTTATCAGTGGCGTTTCAGAAAACATTGTATGGGTTCGCATACAAAAAGCCTTACCTTGCAGGAAACGTGGACCCAGGATTTCCACCAAACGTGCAAGAAGTTTTAAAAAAGTATCCTAAGTGTCAGGAAAATATCAAAAAGCTTTATTGTGGAGAGCGTTTCCCACCTTGTTTCAAAGAGGAGGGGAAAGGATTTTACTCCATTTGTAAATCGGTTTGCAGCGAAATTCTTAGAGACTGTCCGAACTTTTTCAGGTATCTATGTCTTCGTTGCTTTTTTTGCAGGTGGTTGGCGATTTAAGAAGAATTTATCAGTTACGAGTGGGGCTATTTATGGTCTCTTCGGAGTAGCAGTTAGGGAATGTCATGTTATTATATCTCTGTGAAGATTACATCAATGTCATGAGCTTGTGACCCTTACCCGATATATGTCTAGTTAAGGAAACAGTCATAATTTATCGCCGGGGGGGGGGGTGGTGGAGGATTTTGCAGTGAACGATGAATCTTAACTAATGCCCCCATAAGGCTCTGCTTTTTGTTATGACCCTCCCCCCTCGTCATTGGCAGTTAATTGGTAGTCAGTTATCTGTAATTCCCCCCTTTCTACTCTGTTAGCAAAGACTGGTCCCCCTCCGCTTGCCCTGAAAACCACGTGAACCCCCAAAATTCTCCACAAACCCCCCTTCCTCCCAGGCGTTTTTCAATGACTGGTACCTAAAAAAATCAAACAAAGTGTTCAGAGCTAGTATTAAATTTGGCTTATTGAACTGTTGAACTATTGAATCAGTTTAGTCCTTTTGATTTATTTGGACATTCTTTGGTAGAGATGATTTGCGAGAAGCCGAGTTTTGTGCCATATTGGGAACAGGAAATACAAGTCATGGATACTGTAAGCGTACGGAGTGGCCGGCGCCATTTAGTTGGATACGCTATGTTTCAGGTCAGTTCCAAACATTTTAGGCTCTAAAGGCAGCAACTAAAGGGCAATATTTTATTCGATCATTTAATAGGTCAGTAGTTCGTTTGGAGGTCTAACTGTCTTCCACCAGTCAGGATTTTTAGTGATCTATCTGTGTGTCAAGATCAGTCTGTGAAACAAACGTTTTTTTTTATAAGGTTACTTGGTCGGCTAGAAATATTTTTCGGTTGGTCTTAGTCAATTCGATTCATAGTCATAAGAAAGCGAACAAATATCTCTGTCCTATTTTCCAATTTCATTTAAATGTTTTCTGAAGTCGAACACCAGCAGATCACGACACTCGTTGGCTATGGTTCCTCATTCGGGTTGTGGCTTAGATTTGTATACGCTTGCTCAGTCGGTTTCTTGGCTGGGTCAGACAGTAAGTCTTTTGGTCTGTCAGTCAGTCAGTCAGTCAGTTTGTTGGTCTGTCAGCCGGTCAGTCGGTTAGTCAGCCAGTCAGTCAGTTAGTCAGCCAGTCAGCCAGCTAGTCAGTCAGCCAGCCAGTCAGCCAGTCAATCAGTCAGTCAGTCAGTAAATCAGTCTGTCTGTCAGTCAGTCAGTAGTCAGTCCGCCAGCCAGCCAGCCAAACAGTCCATCAGCCAGCCAGTCAGGCAATCAACCAATGAGGTTAAAGGATTCTGTACCACGTGGTAAAAATTAGTGGCGTGACGGCGAGATCGCCCAAAGTTACTCCATATACTTCTGCGGCTCATTTTAGCATGATGATATAAAGAAAATGTAAGACTTTAACAAGACTTCTCCTTCATCGTCATTTTTCAGAGGAGGCATGGCAGTCCACGAAAGAAGCTCCAACTGAAAGCACCAAGTCAAAAGGTTCTAAAACATGGGTGATTGTGGTGGCTGTGTTAGCGGCATTTGTCGTTGTAGGAATGATCATATTCGTGGCCTTGTATATGAAGTGGCGACGCGGTTCTCTGACCTCTGGGTACAAGAAACAAGAAAATGATACGATTACTCTGGAGAATTCAGTTGACCTCTGAATGCCGACATCACCTCCAGTAATGCTTAGAGAACTTAGAAGTAATAATAAGAATTTTCACGAATATCATGATGCACCCTTGTCCAAATATAAGAAATAATAAGAAGCAAGTAAGCAAATCTTGACGATTTTGAAATCTCCTTTAGCCGATTAGTGTTTTTGCAGAGAAATTACCGTAAAGACTCGCAGATAAGCCGCACCTACGATTTTGATCGCAAATTTTTGGAAAAAAAGGTGCGGCTTATCTGCAAGTCTTTACGGTATATCAATCTGTCAACTTAAAAAACTTGCCAATTTTAAAAATTAAACTTTTTTGTAAGACTAAACGATTCAACGCCGAAAAGGGAGCGTCACTCACGTGCTCTGATGGTACTAGGATGCTTCTTGTTAATTTTTCTCAAGAACTCTGCTGGAAAAACAAGACAGGGATGACGAGATATTCATAGCGTGTAAGTAGGTCTCGTCACCAGCGCTGCGGGTCCCAGACACAAGCTTTTCCGCCCGCGGGAAGATTTGAGACGAGTCGGGGAGAGGTTTTCCGGAGGTCCGGCACTTATTAATTTTTAGGAGTGCTAGACCCCTTTCAGACCTCCCTCTCTCTCTCTCTCGCCGGCTTGCAATGCTCGAGGCCTCTCACTAAAATTCTTGCAGGCGAAGAAACGCTTGCGCCGAAACGCTGAAAAAAGAGGGCCTGTCTGTTGGAAAAGTATTCAATAAATCAGTTATCCAGTTGTTATCCATCTCCTTGGAAGCAGACGAATAAACAAAACAGTAGTGTAGTGACTTCTGCATTGAAAAAAAAACATTGTCTGTCTCGCTCACTTGTCTGTTGAAGACCAATCTCAAGTTATATTTGATGTGGTCAATTGAGGCGATGAAAGCAAATACTCGTTTAAACAATATAATTAAGGTAATTTTTATTTAAAAGAAAAAACCTTAATGGACCCCCCTCTTATGATAAGAAATGGCATCGTTTATAATTTCATGTCTAAAGGATGATCCTACCAATTCATCCAACTTGACAAAAAAAATAAAAAATTCATCAGAATTATGAGCATGTGCTAATACGAGAAACCAATGATGGCCTTATAATTACTCTAAAATATTAGCTCCTCATCAGTGTAATATTTTCAAGAGCTGCCAAAATGAGAAGTGAACCCTCTCCGTGTTCATGTTTTGAAGTATTCTTGGGATTTTTGTTTAAGACGGTTTGAATCATGTTTCGCTGCACCACGGCTTTCGCTTTCGCTCTGCTTTGTGCAATGGTTATCGCGTCTTCTGCCCATCAAATGAGCAATCACTGTGTCAGTCTTAAAGGGACCCGTTTTGAAATGTGTATGAGCGCCGGTTATGACAAAACTTTTCCATTCAAAAATGATTTTACGGAGGCGGAGCAACAAGAAGTAGCGAGGGAATTAACAGAGATACTAAAGTCTATGAAGAACTGTTCGCACGACGGTCTCGCTGAACTTATCGAGTGCTCTTTATTCGTTCCTAAGTGCAACATGATTGGTGAGCCTGTGTACCCGTGTAGACAGGCTTGCGCTGAATACCTGAGGCGATGTGAGTATGAGTTATCCAAACACGCATTGGATTATCTAATCCCTTGGTGCCTCCTCCTGTCAAATGGTTCCGTTGGTCATGCTCCCTGTTTTCAACCTTCTAACTTCACAGCGAACGAAAGTGCGCCTGGTAAGTGATCTACATGTACGACTTTTTTCCTATTCTTATTGGGCTTGAGCTTGCTGCGTGAAACTGTCGCATTATTTGCCAAATATGGAGGCGTTATAAATTATCCGGCCAGTTTTTAAACACTGGCCTTTAAGTGACACACGGGAGAAAATATTATTAACAATGATAATTCGCGACAATTCAACACGTATTAAGAAGGTCTGATATACTGACAACATCAGCGCAAGCATTCGGATAGCTGTGCTGTCTGCGAACAGAATGAAAAATATCAAAAACTAATGATTTCAAAAGGTAAATTGTTTTTTAGTTGGGCGATAAGTACTTCAGCAGGTCATTCGTGGGAAGTTTATCAACATGCGTGCAAAACACGGGTTGAGATAAAATATCATATCCAGCTTTGTTGATTCCAGCCACACAGTTTAATATATGGAGTCAAGTATCTAACTGCGCACGAAGGTAACCTGAGGACTGTACTTACAGTAACCACCCTTAATATAATACCTCCATTTCTGGAAGATTGAAAGCCGAGTGTACGACTCTGTCTAACTATCTTATCTACAAATGAATAAAGGGGTAAGTTTCTAAAGAAACTGTGGTGCTGCGTCGGTGGGAGAGTATAGCAGGTAATTTAGTGTTAACAACTGGGTTGAAAACGTAAATTAGCCACCGTAAAGGGTTAAAAAGCTGACGTTTCGAGCGTTAGCCCTTCGTCAGAGCGATTTATCTACAATGAATCAGTTTATGAGCCTTCGGCATTGCCTATCGCCGTCGAAGCTTAACTGGTTCCCTCGCTGTCTCAGATTATTCAATCGTTACAAATTAAAATTACGTACATGCGTTGTTATTGTTTGAGGTGTCAGTTTCATAGTGTATGAAGAAGTGATGTCCGACTCATCTCCCTTCGCCCTAATCATTTTTTGGTGGTTGGACGTATAAATGCTTCTCTTCACAAAATTTAGCCGGACGCCTGTTGCAGAGAAGATCTCACTTCCACCGTCTTTCTTTTCTCAGGCCCGCTGGATCGAGGTTGCCAAGAGTTAATCTTTCCCGCATGTAAAAACATAGGTGCCTTCGATCACACTTTGATCTCCATCTCTATGCAGAAGAAGTTATATTCGTGGTTTTTTAAAAAGGAATATAACGCAAACGACACAGAAACAGAATTTCCTGGGGCCGTTCGAAAATTATTGGACCAATACCCCAAATGCCAGGAAAATATCAAGAAGTTGTTCTGTGGCGAACATTTCCCGCCGTGTTTTCCGGATGAAAGCCCACGGGTGTATAGTCTTTGTCAACCTCTTTGTGATCAAATTGCAACAGACTGCCCAGGATTCTTCAGGCAAGTCTGTAATGTTATTTATTTTTTCCAAGGTGAACCTGCGGGAGAGGGCAAAGATAGAGTTGGGGTGGGGAACATGTATGGTGCAGTGGTGAGATTCAGCCATCCTTCCCCCTCCCTTCCCCCTCCCTTCCCCCTCCCTTCCCCCCCCTCCCTTCCCCCCCCCTCCCCCCCTCCCTTCCCCCTCCCTTCCCCCCTCCCTTCCCCCCTCCCTTCCCCCCTCCCTTCCCCCTCCCTTCCCCCTCCCTTCTCCCCTCCCTTCCCACCTTCGTTCCTTCCTCCCCCCCTCTTCCGGTTAAGATCAGATGTGAGCAAAGAGCAACGCATAAAAAATCCTGATTCGAACTGTAAAAAGAAAATGAGAAGAGCCAGTTCTTAAATCTAGTCACATGCTAAATCTAATTCATTCTTGTATCATGTATCATTTTACGAATTGCTTGTTGAATGCTTTAGCTCGAGAATAAGTAACTCTGGGAATATATTGTTCCACACATCATGTCGCAAGCACGAGATTAGCGGTCTTTAAAATTATTTACCGTACAAGAGAAAATAACGAGTCAAGAATAATCAAATTTGGATCAGTGCAATTGATTATCTTTCTGTGTGTGTGTGTGTGTGTGTCGCAGCCAGGACTTAATCGCCTCAGAGTACTGCAGCTCAAAGGCAAGGGCGCATTCTATACATGGATACTGTCACACCACAGAATGGCCAGCTTCATTCGAATGGTTCCATCATGAAGGTAGGATTATTGAACCAAGCCGAAACAACCCACTGACTGACCAAGAGGCTGACAAGAAAAATAACAGAGTGACTGAACAGCCAATAACAGCAAATCATCTCAAAAGGCAATCATTCGGTCAATTGGTCAGTCAAACATACAAAATCAATCAATCTGTTTATCAGTCTCTCACTCACCCTTTTAGTCTTTAAACCAACCAGCCAGTCACTCAGTGCGTCAATCACTCTTTCTACTTGTCTGTTTATGCGTGGGTGCGTCTCTTTTCCTTTCCTATAAACTGATCTCAGTTTTCATAATCGATCATTTCTAGCTACAACAAAATCTCCGAGTCTAATTACTGAGAGCCATCAAGGAACCCAAGCGTGGAAGATTTTCATAGCCGTCTTCATTCCTGTACTAGTTGTGGGGCTCGTAGTAGCTGTGGCAATATGGATGAAGAAAAGAACTCATCGCAGTTTAGTAGCTTACATCAAACATTATGAAAAAGACGCTGATGATACCTTCCCCTTGGAAACATAACTGTTATGACATTTGGTTGAAGGGGGAATGGGAGGGCGGGGTGGTGTGGGAGGATGACTTGGAAATTATATACACTTCACGACGTTATCTTTGTTTTATGGTGCAAACGCACATGTAACCATTCTGGACATCAAGTTCACTGAAGGCGACCGATGTTAGCTGGGTGTAACGAGACACAATCAAAATTAAAAGTTGCCAAAATTACAGTGGACTTTCTCTGTGGTTGTGCTTTGAAATATTCGGCTGAAACTGAAATTTTTTGAAGGAAACAGTTCATATTTCTCCGTACGTAAGTCAGCTTTAAAAACTAGAGAATTTTCTAGACCAAATTTTGCTAAAGTCCCATTTCCCACCCAACACTTTCTCCAAACCTATCCTCCTCCCATTTCCCAGTCCTACTGGCCTGGATCTTATTTTCTCACAGAAGAAAAATCCTCTTTCCTTTTCAACCTCCCAGACTCCTATTTTCGTATTTTAGAAAAGTACCAAGAGTTACGATTGTGTCTAATCAAAATATCTACTTTTGAACCCCTATGATACTGTTGATATTTGCATGTTTTTGTCTACAAAGCAATCGTTGAGGCTTTGGGAAAAACCGAGAACCAATTTGTTTAAATCAAAACTTGAACTAATGCCCTACTCCTCGCCAAAATCAGGATTTCATGAATAAGAATGTTCATACGCGCCAAGGAAGGTTTAAAAAATATCGTGCGATTACTTTCAAAGAAAAGTTCACAAAGTTTCACGACACTCAAAATCCTCAAACCAAAATTATTTTCTTTATCTGATCCATTGTGCCCTTGTAGAGTTGTAAGATGCTTATGCTCGCACGCGAGGGAAAACTAGCCTTATATTTCAGGATGACGTAAGATATCTGTTTGGGCTAAATTGAAACATGACGGAGGTACATTTGGATAGGGGTATCGATGTAGGGAGATTTATTATCTTAAACAGGGCTTAGAGTCACCGTTTGTAGGATCAGTAGCCTACTACCAGCCCCCTATTCGCTCAAAGTCCACGAAATCACCTTCATCAAAGTGCAAACGAAACTAATTTTATCTTGCGGTGCCAGCTCTAAGAGAAAATTATTTCCCATCGCTCACTGGTGAGGTTGGATATTGTAGGGGCCAGCTACGCTTGGCAACTGAAAATAAATACGACGCAACAACTTCTTTGCGTCCAGATTCCTTGTAATCTTGTTCAGTATAATCACAACGAATGACAAATGAGGATCGATCCGGTGACGATTCGAAGTTATTGCTTCTCACACAGCCTAAAATCCTTCGCTGAAACAAACTCGGCAAAAACGGCCAAAAAAAAACACTTTAAGTAACGCTCAAGCAACGCACATGGCGTTGAAAACTGCGCCCTAGGTATATTCTCAGCGGCGTTATAGATAGTATGTAAATGTAACGAATCATGCAGATATCGTGACCTACAGCAGTGAATATCAGCCAATGTTGTTATCAAGTCACACCTCGCAGCAGGAATACGATATTAAATTACGAAGCACAAACATTTTGACGTGAAGAAAGAACTGTAGCATCACGTATTATGCCTGTTCATTCGCCAGCATTGCCAGGCTGCTTTCTTATCAAGATCATAGTGCTGTTAATATGCAGCTTGAGTATTCTAACCGTCGTCTGTGATGAATCGATCGAAGGCAAATGTGTTAGCCTTGCGAATGGACATTTTGACTTCTGCACAAAAGGTGGATACAACAGCACGCTATCATTTCCCAAGGTATTCACAGCGAAGCGTCAAGCCGAAGTCGCTGGTTTTTTGACGTTCATGATAGAGGAGTGGAGAAATTGCTCAACTCTTAGTCTGGTCACAGCGATGGAATGTTCGTTCTTCGTGCCCAAGTGTAGCTCGAAGGGAACGCGCGTCTATCCTTGCAGGCGAGTATGCGGAGAGCTTTTGAAGCAGTGTCAGAATGACACAAGTGACTACCGTGAACTCTACATGGACTTGCTTCTAGCTTCGTGTTTGATTCTACCAAATGAAACAGCGAGTAGTGAGAAATGTTTCGAGCCGCCTGGCTTCACTCCAAATAACAACATATCGAGTAAGTTTGTAGAGTCTGTTTGTTTATTTTATCCACCAAAATAAACCCAGTTCCAGGCGTTGAAAGCAACGGTGCATTAATGCCGGCGCAAAGCAACAGAATGGGTAAATAGTCCTCCTTCTTTTTTCCTCGCTTTACTACGCGTTCTCGTATTTCATTTTAACCCCGAGAACAAGCTGTTTTGTTTTTTTTAACTTCCTCTCCGACGTAAAATATGCAGGAGGTGGATTGGTTCTGCTGATAATCTGACTGAGAGAGGGAGGAAAAGATATTGTCACGGAAAAAGCCTTGCAAATGTTGGCAAGTTCAAGGCGATGAATCCCGATGAAGACTGCTGTTATAAAACTCGAAGTACAATTTTAAACAATTGTGTTTGCTTTACTTCACTTAAAGTTTCAAAGCTGACGTTTCGAGCGTTACCTCTCCGCTTATTCGCTCTGACAAAATGCTAACGCTCGAAACGTTAGCTTTATGACTTTTCACGGTGGCCAATTTACGTTATCAACTCAGTTAATATAAAACCAAATTATCTTAGTTCTGATGGATCGCTGATCGTCCTTTGTCATTGTTTCGTTTTTGGCCTAACGAAAGTCAGTCGGTATGCACTCTAAAAGCTGTTTGTTTAACTTTTTCGTTTTTCTTTGCTTTGACTGTAGGTCCTCTTGATCGCGGCTGTCAAAACTTGATCTTTCCCGCCTGCAAAAACCTGGGTTTTTACAATCATACCATATTTGCGGAGTCAGTTCAGAAGAAGTTTTACAAGATCTTCCACAACAAGACATATGGCGACGGGCAAGATTTAGATCAAGATTTTCCCTTTTTTGTGAGAATGCAGGCGGCAAAGTTTCCGGATTGCTCAACAGACATCAAAAAGTTATTCTGTGGAGACCTGTTCCCTCCATGTTTTCCAGAGGAAGGGAGTCCCAAATTAAAAACCTTGTGCAGATCGGTTTGTGATGATATTCAAAGGAAATGTCCAGATTTTTTCAGGTAAGCGTATATCTTATAAGTGTTGTAGAAGTACAGGAGAGGCGTTCCCCTAAAGTTTGGAGCGCTGAGCTTTTTATGGGGAGATCCGAGTTAAGGCAACGGCATGCTAAAAGGGGTGTGTTCCTGGATGACACAGTTGGATGACATTGTGTCACATCAGCCAAGAATATAAATGATAACTGGCGAACTGTTTGAAACATCCCCAAACAAAACCCCCCTTTCCCCCCCCCCCCACACACCACACACACACACACACACACACACACACACACACACACACACACACACACACACACACACACACACACACACACACACACACACACACACACACACACACACACACACACACACACACACACACACCGGCGTTAAATCATGTCTAGTCCCGTAGGGTTTTTTTTTTCCAAGGTAATGCTTAATCGCAATTGCGTCCGTGCTATTGTTTCAGTGACAATTTCATGGGTGCAGAAATATGTGCCTTCCTAGCACCGGGTAACACGAGTCATGGATTTTGTGATCACACAGACTGGCCTGAACCATTTTCGTGGCTGAGGTATTATAAAGAAGGTGAGCCTTTATTTAACATTTACACCCTAACATCAGTATGCATTTTCTACATACTGTTCTCTACGTATATCCCGTTTAATTAATAATCAAGACCTTCTTAAGTTAGTGATCTTTTCCTTCATCCCGGTGTGTTATTCAGGGGTGATAGTGTAGAGGACAAATTAGATGCTAAACACTCTTAGGGGTTCAAGGGTTTTCCTGAGTTTTGCTCTTTTGGCTTCTCAAATATTGTGCTAATCAAATTTAATCAAACCCTTTGTTGTGGTAAGGTTTATATCAAGAGGAACCTGGATATTAGTTATCTAACACAGTAAACAATACTTTCTTTGTTGAAGAATGTACCTTCAGTATCAAGCTTGCGTGATTTGTGGTTTTGTATCCGCTTTGAGAAATCAAGCGACAAGAGGCTTGATTCGAAATTTCGCCTTTTCTTTGGTCGAGCACACGAAAGACTAAATACTGGAACAAAAAAGCCAATGCTTTGTAAGCTTCTCGGGACATAAAATCATATTTTCATTTTTCATGGTTTAATTACTACTCCCTGAACAAATAAAAACTCGTCAAAATTGCGACGATTTCTGTGAAATTCTATGTCGCATAGCATATTGGCAATAATTTATTATTATTAAACTCTTTCACTCTTAGGAGTGACCAAGAGGTCATTTTCCTAACAACATGGAACGCAGGTGCACCAGCTTTTCGACTTGTTTTAGGATCTGGAAGCGTACTAACCAAGTGCTTTAACGTTCACGTTATGATATTTATACATGCTGTTTCTTTGTTGTTTAAGAACTCGACAGTATGTCGTAAAGAAAGCTCAATTTTTTTTTCAACATTTTCAAGAGTCATATCGCTTAGGTGAAAAAATAAACAATGATTCAACGCCAAATTCTCAGATCTGATATGCTAAGGAATGAATAACAGACAGTGGGGAGAGTTACTATTTAGATTTTGGGAGCAAAGGGCTAATCAAAGAATAGATCGTTTTACAGAACCCAGCACAGAACCACCATCAGTGGAACATATAGATGAAGGACCCAAAGGGTGGGTCGTTGCCGTGGCTGTCCTGACAACCCTCATTATTGTTGCACTCGGACTGGCGGCGCTCATCTGGTGGAAGTGGCGCGGAGTTACTCCTGCTAGCTGGCTAGGTTACAAAAGACAACAAGATTTCACAACCGAAGAGTAGGAATAAATTGTTTAAGGATTTCATTTTCTTTTTTTTGCAACATCAAAGTCTATTAAAATTACTTGCTGGAAAAATATAGACTCCTGGAATAGTTTCGTGTGTCAGGGGCGGATTCAGAGAGTTCCCCGGTCTCATTTTCAGACTAACTTTTGCTTTGTGATGTTAGTTCTTTTTATTTATGTTTTATATCTGTTATAAGTTTTTAATGAGGTTTGAATCAAAATGTTCCAGTTTATTCTTTCTAAAACGGCCTCGATCTTATCTAACCCCTCAACGCTGTGTAAGAAATGCTCGTGTTTATGTGTTTATTACACCGTATTATTGGCCGATCCATCATTGTAATAAACATGACACTTCCCCCTAGGCGCTCTATCAATCTACTGAACATGACACCTCCCCCTGGGATAAACCACCGTTTTATCGGTGTATCTACCATGTTACCTCCCCCTAAGATAAACTGCCGCTCTATTAATGTAATTACCATGCTACCTCCCCTTGGGATAAACCGCCGCTCTATCGATGTACTGAACATGACACCTCCCCCTGGGATAAACCGCCGCTCTATCGATGTACTGAACCGAACAATCAAGCTGCGACTTTCTTTTTCCATCAGGGCTTGGTTTGACTTTTATGAAGCGGGACATCACCAAAAATGTCTTTCACTACAAGTGTTTTATTTGAGAAGTGATCTCGTTTGACATTTAATTTAGTTTAAGTCTAAAACTTCAAGATTTGACGACAGACATCCTTTCGTAATTTCTCATTAAGTATAATACTATTCGAACTAAGGAATGATTTTAATCACAGCGTGTATTGCAAAACCAACAAATGTAAGATACCAAATTGCTCTCAAGAAAACCAACAAAACTAACCACAAAACAGAGTAGGAAAAAAAACCTTTTATCTGGGGGGACCTACGAATAACTAATCCATTTTTGCTTCCTCATTCCTCTTTTACGAAAACTAATTCTTGCTGTACCTAGTCAAACTGATGTAAACCTAGGGAATTAATTTCCTTCTGCTTCAAGCTGTCACGAAGACCATTTTAACTTGCCTTTGTATTCATGAAATACCATGTTCTTTTGGTGGAATCAACAGCATCAAAAAACGTGATGACTGCAAGATCAGAAAAGACTCGCATCTCAGTCGTTAAGTTTCTTACAGCTCGTCCATATCCACCATAAGACTGTGCATGTATTGGCTTTTAAATCGACGGTGCCTTCTGAAGCAAACAGCACCAGCTGCAATGGCAATAATGAGAGCGATTACACCAACCACAATACCCGCAATAGTTCCTCCTGAAATTTTGCCATCTTTACTCGCGCTCACTTTCGGGGACGAACCTGCCAAATAACAGACAGATACGTCAAATATCAGGTTTGTTTTGTGACTGCTTACTGATAATTGCCTGAAGGCTCGAAGGATTTTGGATGTGTCGCAAAAAGATTTTAAGCTTGCAGTTGTGATTTTCATGATTCCCCCCCAACCATGGCGCTCATGTTTCATATGGTCCTCCCCCCCCCTATTTACTCTGATAGTGACAATTGATCCCCATCCGCTTCCCAGGAATCTTCCGACCCCCCCCCCCCAAAAAAAAAATAAATAGTAAATGGTCTTTTATGAAGAAGACCTTTCGAGGGAAAGTTTACGCTTCAGGCTATGACGCAATCATCTCAAAGTAAACACACATGCTTCTCTTTTAAACTGCGATTCAATTAATTCCGAGGATGACATGACAAAAGTCTCCCTGATCGGGTCTTACCTTTTTCGGTTCCTTTGGTTCTTGATGTGGGCGTAGTAATAGGCGAAGGCATGGTTACATTTGTCGTCGAAGCCGACGTCTTGTCAGTGGTTGGTGGCGAAGATGTTGTTTTCTCAGTGCTAGACAGAGGTGTGCTGGATTTATTAGTAGGAGATGCAGGCGTGATTACCTTTTTCGTCGAAGCCGACGTCTTGCCCGTGGTTGGTGGCGAAGATGTTGTTTTCTCAGTGCTAGACAGAGGTGTGCTGGATTTATTAGTAGGAGATGCAGGCGTGATTACCTTTTTCGTCGAAGCCGACGTCTTGTCCGTGGTTGGTGGCGAAGATGTTGTTTTCTCAGTGCTAGACAGAGGTGTGCTGGATTTATTAGTAGGAGATGCAGGCGTGGTTACCTTTTTCGTCGAAGCCGACGTCTTGCCCGTGGTTGGTGGCGAAGATGTTGTTTTCTCAGTGCTAGACAGAGGTGTGCTGGATTTATTAGTAGGAGATGCAGGCGTGATTACCTTTTTCGTCGAAGCCGACGTCTTGTCCGTGGTTGGTGGCGAAGATGTTGTTTTCTCAGTGCTAGACAGAGGTGTGCTGGATTTATTAGTAGGAGATGCAGGCGTGGTTACCTTTTTCGTCGAAGCCGACGTCTTGCCCGTGGTTGGTGGCGAAGATGATGTTTTCTCAGTGCTAGACAGAGGTGTGCTGGATTTATTAGTAGGAGATGCAGGCGTGGTTACCTTTGTCGTCGAAGCCGACGTCTTCTTCGTGGTTGGTGGCGAAGATGTGGTTTTCTCAGTGCTAGACAGAGGTGTGCTGGATTTATTAATAGGAGATGCAGGCGTGGTTACCTTTTTCGTCGAAGCCGACGTCTTGTCCGTGGTTGGTGGCGAAGATGTGGATTCCTCAGTACTAGGCACAGGTGAGCTGGGTTTATTTGTAGGAGATGCAGACGTGGTTACCTTGGTCGATGGTGAAGGTTTGGCAGCCTTAGTGCTAAGTGCTGCCGGTATGGTTTCATCAGTAGAAGTTGCAGGCGTGGTTGCCTTACCCGATGGTGAAGGTATGGGTGCCTCAGTGGTGGACGCAGGCGACACGGTTTTGGAGGTCGACGTTTCAGGCGTGGTTACCTCGATCGTTGATGTTGGCGCGATTATCATAATCGATGGTGAAGAGGTATTTCCACTGATTCCAGATGTAACACCGGTGGGTCCTGTAGCAGAAGGTGCAGGCGTAGACATTTTTTTTGTTGACTGGTGCGCGGTAGTGGCAGCTATTGGTGAGGACGTAAGGGCATGAGTTGACCATTTAAGCGTGTTTAAAATTCGTGACATTTGATGCATGACTAGTTGAGTTGTTTTGGTTTACAGATACAGACATAAACAAAGACGTTAAAACTATTAACTACTTGCTTTTAGAAAAAATAGGTCTTGGAAGTTAAAAAATCCGTAAAATACCTTTCTTATTAAGAGACATCCACAAACCGCTGGGATAATAAACATTATCCGGCCAAGTCTTGAGTTGGCGCAACTCTTGTCTACTCGTGGTTGCATTCGGCAAAGCTGAGCAGTATCTCTGGTTTTTGAAGACTTTCATAAACTGTGAGCGTGACTCGTTAAATGCATCATTGCACAAAGACCTACAGGGAACTTGTAATTTACCGCTGTTTTGTTTATCGCATGGCGGCGCTATCTCCATGCAGATAACTTTTCGAAGCTTTGTTGAGTTGCTATCGACTTGATGGAAGATAGTACTTGACTCCACCAACTTCTGATATTTAGTCGTAACAGATGTAGAATTATAGCCCATATTCTGACATTTTTTCAAAACAAGCTTGTGACATGTGATATCTGAAAAATGAATATACATAAAGAACACAACAAAAGTTCAAATAACTTTATATTTTGAGGTCTTCTTTTGAGTGACGCTTAAGCATATACTTTTGGGCAAAAAGAAACTGTCTGCAATCAAACTTTAAAAATATATTTTAGAAAAAATTTATAGTAATTTCAGTTCAGTTAGAAAGCAAACAGCGAAAGTGAAAACAAATATGTCTTTATTATTTTGCATACGAGAGTAGGAGGACACCTGCAAAATTAAAAATACCTTCTTATCATGGCTTCGATTTTTGAAACCGCGCCAAATGTTGAGCGTAGAATCATCGATGCATGACAATCGCATGTTTTTAGCGTGATCCTCGAGGTTATGCACAATTGTTGATATTGCAATCAGTTTTGTGTAACGTTCAGCGGTAACAAATACCACGGTTGAAAGAAAATTGTTTAAATATTCAAATCTCCTTGTAACCCGCCAGGCATAATTGTATTGCACATCGAACCTTGGCCCGCATACACTACCGTGAAATTTTCGTTTACTTACCAGAATTATCCGTGCCACTGTCGTTAGAATGGGTTGAATGTGACGTACATCGGGTCGACGGAAGAACCCCGCAAAGGCCGCGGAATAATGCTTTTAATCCATCGTTTTCGCTTGATACGTTCCTACAGTCAGAGAGAAACTTCTTGCACGTACTTTTGCAAGGTAGCTTCGTCGATTGGCAAATTGGAAGATAAAGCGAACAAGTCATGAGATTAGTCAACGAAGAGCAGTTAAACCTCTTCTGCATGTTGAAAATAAGACTTGCAAGTTCTCCTTGTCTGCCAGAATCAAATGCGGAAGAATTATAATAACCCGCCTGTACGCAGCTATTGAACAAAGTTGTGTTGAGCGGCTGACATTTTCCACCAGAAGCAAAGTCGAGGAGTAGGGTCTCCAAAGAAACGAGTAATAAACCAGCGAGAATCCACATTGTCAACTTTTTTAGCGACACATTGACAATATGAGTTCCCACTCCACTCGACAATGAGGAAACGTTCGCTATGTGCGTGAGTAAGAATCCGCTGACTCATGAATTTGCTTGACAGGCACGCATAAATATCGAAATGAGTTGCGAGACCCACTAATCTCTGTTATCAAATCGGAAGTTCATGCAAAGGCCGAGCTTCGCTCGGGTAGATGGAGCAACTGATCATTTAACTAAGTGTTAATGTGACTTCCGCCTGATCTTTTTTAAGAATGAAAAATAATATATTGGCCTTATTAACCCCTCTAACAGCAATATATCGCGGTTGAAAAAACACAAGTTTCCAGACTTGGGTCTTTATTAGGACAACGCACAGTCTCTCAATTCATTATGGATATCAAGCAAATTAGTCGAGCCTCAAGAACATGAATAAAGAAATAAATTTACACTTGAATGAAATAAATTACATTTTGACTAGCGCCTGTGATAAACAAGAAAATAAATTATCTTCTGATAGACGCGGTGTCAAATTCCGTCGAAGCCTGTTTTTTTTTGGACTTCTTGTCGGCCAACTTCTTCAATTGCAGTTCACCTGCTTAGATAATTTCTTTTCTTGCCTACAATAGATGTCGGTAGCGAACAAAACCTTTGTACGTTTGACTCCATAAATTGTATATATTTCTAAAACAAGATGACGATATCATCAAATTTACGGTATTCATTTACAGAGCAAAACGCTGGCTTCACACACGATGTTGGAGAGGAAGTTAGGTAATCACAAACAGCTGTTAGCAATTAGGCAATCGTAAGCTCAGTTGTCGCGTTTGTTTAACCTCCCTCGTTGCGAAAGTCCAAAAGTTTAAAAAATTCCGCAACCAAACTCATGACTAAGAAGCATGACTTTCACGTGCGCTTCGTGTCCTCCTGCGAGGGATGACGTAGTAAAAAGCACGTGACTTTTCGGCTGTTCAGACAACAAAGACTCCACTGTATTTATGAGTTCAATTTCGGGCCAGCTTTTGGCTATATGTTAATGAATTAATCCCGATGAAATGATGAATAGAAGAAACTGACTACAAAAGTCAACTGAGCAATTTAATATTCGGTCAACCTTAGCAGGGTGCATGCAAATGTTTTTCTGTATTGGCAATATCTAAAAAGTTTATTTAATTTGTCTTCAAAGTAAGCCTCAAATATTAGTTTCCGGAAACTTTTATTAAGTTCAAGTAATCTATTCACCTTTGATGTGGTCGATCCGTCATGCCATTTTCATTGAATACTTTGTAAATTTGACTATTGTGGTTTAGAAGTACACATTTCCCCCGAGCTTCGATTTTGATAAGATATTAGGACTGATTTTAATTCAGCTGTCTTCTAGCGAAAGTGTTACTCTGACTGGTACAAAAATAAATACCGCAATAAACCGCGATCAAATTTTTACGGAAGGTAATATTGCGGCCTTCCGCACCCCTATATTGTTACGTTTTAACGTTACAAAATTAATACTTTTAAATAGTTTTGGGCGATGACTTTGTCTCCTCTGAACTCTTAATCAAAAAGAGGACTTTCGAAAACGACATCGAAAGTGAAGTCTTTTGGAGGAAGTTTCGTAATTGCCTTGGTCTGGTGTGAATTAGTCAAAACAAAGGTAAAAACTGAGACCTCTGCGGGTGTTGTATTGTGAAAAGCAGCCTGCTTTTCAAATGAAGATAGAGAATTTAGAACGCCCATCGAAGTAAAAGGTATCTATTTTTCACTGAGATTTACAGTATATAAATCTAATTCAGGGACCGCGCAGCAAGTTTTTGAGTGTGGGGGAGGGTGCTGTTTTTGGTTCCGTTATTTTTGTTAAATTATTTTTTGCTAAATTTACTTTATTTTTGCAAAAAAGTGAGGGGGCTAAAGCTCCCCCCCAGCCCCTCCCTCTGCGCGGTCCCTGTAATTTCAAAGAGAGGCCACAGAGTGAGAGGTCCATAAGGAAGAAGACTGCAGATCGATTGCACTTCGACGACGATTACAATTCTCAAGATTTAACATCGCGGACAGACCATTTACATGTTCGTTAATGTTTTCGAGCTCTTGAATGAAATAACTGAAGAGCAGGCTTAAAAGTTTTTTCCTAAATTTATTTCACCATTTTCTTATATTGGTAAAATATTACGTTTATGATGGCTCACTTAATTAATGAACGTGCGTGTTCGTGGAGAAGTGAATCTGTGAGACCAAAGTAAGTTTAACTTACCCTTAACAAGACGTTTTATTTACCAATGGCAAGAGTAGAAGTCAATCTTTTCTTGCTAATGGTAAACAACAAACCCTATCCCACTGGAACCCACACAAATGATGTGACCGTTTGCATATTTGATTTTCGAGAAATCTAGGGTATAATCGTTTCCGAGGGTAGAGACGGCGAACTCTAGCGATTTGAAGGCGGTTACCTAAAGTCACATTCGCTCTGACGAAGGCTTAACGCTCGGACCATCAGCTCTAGAAACTCAACGGTGGACAATTTACACTATCAACTAATAAAACCGTATAATCGTGTAAAACCCCTCACCGACGCAGCACTACAGATTCTTTAGAACCTACCCCCATTGTGCATTCCAGGTAAATTAAGTACGTTACTTTTCACGTAAAAAGAGAATAGTCGTTGCAATTTAGTTCGAATTTATGAAGCTTTTCGAAATTCCCATGCAATTCCTATAAATCTATAAATACAAACGGTCCCACAGTTTGCACAGGGTCCCTGTTTCTATTACAATATTCTCCAGTCATTTGAGTGATTTACTTTCAACGATTCAGTCCCAGTAAGCTTGCCAAAGTTTAAAGGCGATGTGCCTCATTAGTCTACAAAGACTATGGGCCTGTTTACATGGAGGTGGGGGACTCCGGGTAAGTGAGGTAACCCGACTAGGTGGGGTAACCCGCCTGTCCATATGATTTCTTACTTCATTTTGATCGCGTTTACATGATAGGTGGGGTGACTCGCCTAGGCGGGTTACCCGGTCTACCAGGTGGGGTCAGCCGGGGTGACAATTTGCCATGTAAACGTGTCAAGGTGGGGTAACCCGCCTAGCCGGGGTCGCGTTCACGGCAAAAAGCTCAAAAGCGAAACGTGTGTTTTAAAACTTTGTACATTTCCTAGCCGTCTCATGGCAGAAATCACCAGAAAACGAAACGGACACACAAGGAGTATAAAATTTTCACATTTCGGAATATTTAGCGTTGTAAATCGACCATATTTGGTTTCCCAAACTATTCTGTATATAACGTAAGTCAACGGTTTCTCGCGAAACCAAACACCGCGTAACACAACGCGTGACGCTTTCATAAATACATATGTGTCCAAGAATTGATCTTTCGTCTTTTTCGAGATGTGAGCTTGGGACGCCTCTGCTCAAACTCCTTAATTGCATGCGCAACAACACCCCAGCACCCCGGGGTTGTAAGACTGCATGTAAACGCGTTTTATTTTTCGACCACGGCTAGGCGGGTTACCTCACCTACCTGGGGTCCCCCACCTCCATGTAAACAGGCCCTACGATAATGTTATGCCTCGAACCTTGTTAAGGCCCTATCTTATCAGGTTAGAGAAAGAGTTAAAAAGCGAATTAAATCTACTGTCGGTTGTATATGGCGACAATTTTCATTAAATAACTTTTACGACCCTCCATGTTCTTATGTACCACTGACTTCCCTCAGTAAACGCCTGGTATATCTAAGTAAACTTTCTTGGCCTCGTTTTTAAAACGAAATCATTTGAACATACGTGTACGAAGCTAAGAAAACTGATCCATGCATATAGAAGAAAAGCTTTCAGTCCCATCAGCTATATGAAAGAGGTTTTATAAAGAACATTAAGAAACATCAAGTAAAAATTTCAAATTCGTCTGCTTTGCCCTCCGAGTAGAGTATTTGTTTCTGATAGTCAAATTGACGACTTCTTCGTTTCTTCCTGTAAAACAAAACCCCTACAATTCCTATCGCAATCACAAGAAGCACAATGAAAGTTGCAATAAGCCCGATTGCTACTTTGTTTGTTTTAGAGTCCTCGTCCTTAATTGATTTTCTTGCGTGGATCCCGGGATGTTGTTTTTCTGAGTGGGAGATAAAAAAAAAGAAGAAAAAAAATTTGAAATTAGCAATTTGGAATCTCGTAAGACTTAAAGATAGGCAAGAAGAACCTTCAATCAGAGGGCGGTGGGCACTTTAGTCGTGTGACCCAATTTCGGGATCGAATAATTACTTCTCCAGCTGCATAGAATCGAGAGATTTTAAGCCACTGTGATTGGCAAACCTGACATAACACGACGCGGTTTAACGTCGGGGACGCACAAGGAGGTCAATCATAAGATTTTACAACACCGTGACTAGTTGTCAAGAGAGATTCGCTCAAATCTCCATAAAAAGCAATCCGCTATATGAGTTGTTGGGGAGATTCTACTTCTCTCTTCCTATCCCCCGGAAACATATATGTTCATCAACGCTGACCAATGTAGGTGACTTCCCTAAAGTCAGTCAGTAAGATTTAAGAGGCAAGGGAGAAAAGTGTCTTGCCCAATACCGTAACACCATGACTTGTCCGGGGTTGGTACCAGCACTAGTGAGCCAGGCCAATCGTTAAGCCCAGTCATGATGATTGATGATAGCCATTCAACTATCGTGCGTGTTTGAACACGATTTGTCATGCACTATCATCAACTATCATCAACTATTATGTAGTTTGGACATGTTCGAATTCGACATAATAGTTGATAATAGTTTTTGCGGCCTTTTGAACGAGCGGATCATAATGAATGATAGTTTTTCGGTCAACAGTTTTGCCGAAAACGAGCTTAAACCGAAATGGCAAATGGTAAAACGATTACACTAGCCGTCAATATGTCGCAGAATATCACGTAGTTCATTCTCATCATCTTCTGGTAGGCTTGAGTATCTTTAACTCGCAGATTCTTGCCTAAAATCCCAAATGCCACCGAAATTGCCGACCTCAGAGCGCGCCATATCTGTTTACAATCTCATCGCGTGATTTTATCAACTATCAGGACCGTTTGAACAGGGCTTCATTAGTCACAAGCCGACTGTATCTAACCTCGATTCAATTAAGTATTATCACCTCATTTAGTACCTGTGTGTTTTGTGGTCCCTTTGGGTTGAGGTGAACTGAGGATATCTGTCCCTTGAGAATGGGCGAAAATTTTTGTAGGGACAAAAGTTCTTGTACCTCTAGTAGAAACGGATGAGAATTGATCTGAAAGGGAAAATCATTTGTTGCAAGGGGGTGATAATCATAAGCCTGGTTGCGTCACTATGTTTTGTTTTTGGGCACGACACTTTACACTTTCAGTGCTTCTTTTCACCCAGGTGTATAAATGGGAAAAACTCGTGCTGGAGAGGGCACTTGGTCCGAGAGCAGACTTTTTACCATATAACCCCGGGTCAGTTACTTTTGTCGTAATTCTTATTCAGCACCTGTATGTTTTGTAATTCCTTCGAGTTCATGTGAACTGGATGTAGTCGGACTTCGAGAAATGGATATCATGACACCTTCAGTAGAGGCTGTTACAGGTTGACCTGTGAAGGTAAATGATTGAAGTTTTTTAATTCAAGAATTTGAATTTGTAGGAGTCCCGACTGCTGGAATGCACCTAAAGTAACAAGTAAGATTTATATTATATATTATATTATGTATTATATTCATACCGGTCGGTGTTGCAGAAAAATTCCAATTCTCTGCACGAGGCCAGTGGGTCTGTTTGCATACCGATGCTGACTTAGGAGTGGACTCTCTGCTCGGAAATTCCATACACATATCTCTCTCATAAAAGAATGGTGATTTGCACGTATTAAAGAACTTTTCACAAGTGTCTCTGCAGAGGAAGGCAGCCGAGCCATCGATACATCCCGGCAAATTCTCAGCGCACACGATTTCTTTCCGTTTCTCGTAACAGGTGCCGTTGGTTCTCTGGCCGATGGTGCCATCGATGTACCTCTGGTATCGTCGTTGTATCGCTTCTGACACTACTGTTTGAGTGTAGCCCGGTATTCCTTTGCAAGCAGGGACAACTATATCTGAGCAGTTGTGTTTGTACGCTAAACAAATAACGAATGAAAAAAAAGGAGAAAAAATATAATCAGTAAACAATTTGGTTATGGCCTGTTCCAGGCTCTTGCATGAATGTGAAGCTCGGTTGTCATGGAATTTTTAGGCGCTCACTTAACCTTTAACTCCCATGAGTGACCAAGACAGAAATTCTCCTTACAATATCGATACAACATCAAGCAGACAAGTGAACATAAATTCCTATTTTTAATCGTAATTTCCACGTTTAGTTTGATCTTTTTAAAATAATTCAGCCCCAGTTTGAGAGAAACAAAGATTTTTTAAAACTTAAAGATACACTTACTACGCAAGGAACAATACCCTGGTAAGAAATAAAAAACAAACAAACAAACAAAAAAATCAATAAGAAAATTTGTATCAACTTAGAGAGAGTAGAGTCACATTTCAAGAGTTACTACATCACGGGCGACGTGCCGGGAAAGAAAAATAGTCCGAAATGTGAGTGGTCAGCAGTAAAACAACTTTTATACCTTACATGGTGACAGACCATTTGTGGTTGCAGAAAACAATCGTGTTGTGGAGCCGAAATGGTACCAAGTTCCACTTATACTTCGCTAATTAAAGTCGAGAAATTTTCCAAAAGCTTTGACTGTAACAATATTTTTTACTGCTACGTTAACCAACAGAGGCATCGGGAAAAGCATCTATGACTCTGGAAAAGGCATCAGGAAGAGTGATATGACGAAAAAAAAAGTATCTTGACTTCCTGTTGTGCAAGGCTTACTCATAGTTGGCTTGCATTTCACTTGAATTTTGCAATCTCGACTGTTTTTTCCGGAAAAATAAAAAGCTAAACAACCCTAAAAAAATGTAGTTTTTGATTTTTATATTTTTTGAGTCTTAAATAAGTTTGCATCCACCTATTGTTAAAAACGGTGAAAAATGGATGTACAGTCAACACTTATGAAATATTTGCTAAACTTTTTATTTAGCAAAGTATAGTGTTAACATTTTGGGATTTATAACACGATTATTGACTGGAACTACAAATGAATTGTTTCTACATGCGCTATTAAAGCTATTTGACCGCTGACCACTCGTATTTCGTACATTTGAATACCAAAACCGAAAAAACCGAATTTTTTTGGCACAAAAACCGAAAACCGATCTAAAAAATAGCCAAAACCGCAAAAACCGAAAATCCCCATGCCCCCCTCATTAACACCAAATTGGCCTCGAGATCATGTTATTACCTCTACAAACACGTAGAACCGGACATCAATCAGAAAAAATAGCAACAAGCTGTGCACTTTCAAGAACAGTATTTAAACCAGACATACAGGGACATGATGAATGAAAGAGCACTTAAGTTCACTCTTACATTAGAAACTCGTGTATGGCTGAAAGAAAATAATTGCACTTGATGTAGAGATTCCTCAAATGCCGCTATCTACATACAGGTTGTCATGGTTAGTGACATGTTTGGAGAGCTGTCGAGAAATTTTGGCGCCAAAATAGCGCTGACATCCTATAATGATGTAAACACATAGACAGCATGCATAATTAAAGTCGTCATTTTTCGACAATACCTAAGCAAGGAGACATATGCTTCCTTTTCAGTGTAACAGCTGATGTTAAGTTGACGATTTATCCCTTTGAAATTTTAAGTGTTAAAAGTCGAGTGTCGTCGGCCAATCGCAATTGGTTTCACAATAAATAAAATAGCTCGTTTTTATACGATGTTCTACAGTTAAGTGATTGCCTCCGCAGCGATAGCAAGTACACACAACACGTTTGGCGATATGAAAAATATTAGTGTGTGAGGGATTATTTTGATCACGAAGTATTATTGAAAAATAACGTTTAAAACGACCTTTTATAGAAGGAGTGACACATCGTTTGTTTCTTCTTTCTTTTCAATAGTAATCGTAATTTTCCTTCTTACCAAAGTATGATGCAATACTTTGAAGTGTTTTTATGAAAAAGATGCGTCATGCTCTATGAATTTTATAGAAACAGTTTGCCTTCTTTAAAAGACCATTAAGATAATTCGCTTACTTTTGCCGCTGTCTTTGAAATTCGGCGGTGTAAAACATCTTCCTCTGTATCCTAGTTTAGTATTTGGGTCATCTCGCTCAGGTAATATGTCGCACATGGCGACTGTCCATTGCAGTCCTTTCTCTGCGATAACGTCTCGGCATCTCGTTGCGTAGTCGTAACAGACAGCCCTGCAGGGTAAATATGGTCCAGGTATATCCTCCTCACATCTTGGTACGAACAGAGAACAGATCATAGTATTCACCGTTGCAGAACAATTCTTAAGGAGACGTATCAGGGTCGGTACGGCTCGCGAGGCGCTAGTGAAATGGTGTTTGTAGTCATATTGAGCGGTAAACTCGTAGCCACAGACTTTGTCAAGTCCGTGCTCGGTTCTGTTGACAAGACCACATTGCCCCGTAGCTTCCGAGAATTCTTTAGAAAACGACGCAAGAAGAAGGACGACGAGTTTAGGATACAACCTAGTGAAAATGTAAAAAAGTTAACTTGCCCCTCGAAGGACATTGAAGACACTCTTCATTGTTAAACTCGTTTTATCTAAACACTGAACAGATAAGCAATTACTTACATTCGTGAATATTTTGTTGAAAGCGTGCGTCACGTTGCTTTTTCACAACAGGTTGATCCGTAAGTTTTCGGTGATTAAGTCAATCAAAATTTGAAATAAATCAATGAAAAGTGAAATCCAAACAAGGGTTAAGAACGCGCGTGCTTACGGCCGTAAGGCGCTGAATGCAAATTCGGCTAATTTGGGGCTAAAACGGGTGGTTGCTTTTGAATACCACTTTGATGTTTTGAACAATAGGTCAGAGATAAAGAAACCTTGATTGCCTTCGAATTGTCTTTCAGACACCTTAGAATTAGGGTACCAACAGTTATCAATGTTAAGTTGCACTCCAATTTCGAGATGTTTTAACAGCTAAAATAAAAAAAACCGTAGTGGTGAATATTTTCAACGTTTATTGCAATTAGATCACTGGAATATCACAGAGAAAACGAGACACCTGACATACGTGGTACTGATAACTGTGACCTAGCTACCAAAATGGTCTAGATTAAAAGATGCAATCTATGTGTAGACAGAGACAAAGCGTCCGCAGGCCTTTATCATTTGATAAGGGACAGATATTAATCGAGACAAAATTCGTTGTTGTGCAAAGAAGCTCATCTCTTGATCAATAAGGCGCTCATTCTTTTATTCACGCATGCGTCTAACTGTTCGAGTTGATGAGCTTTGTCCAGTATTGGTCAAGTAAAATAGAAAACTTCACTTGACATATTCATGTGCAACTTAATATTGGTAACTTTCTTACTTAAATCTGCGTATCAGTGCTTGGGAAAGGCTTCTGCTAAGGTCATATCCCATAATGATGAGGTGTAAGCACCAGTTCTATATAAATTAATTTACAACAATTCCTGACTCATGGAAGCGTTAGGGCAACTTACTGCTGCCACCATGGTATCGCCTTCTTGGGCTGATCTGGTGGCATCCGTAAGTCGCTTAGGGGTTAGGTTTCGCTAAACCGACTCGCCCATTTCAATTGCACGCTTCTCCCGCTGCTTAGCGCACGGTAGAGAGGCATTCACACTATTCTCGTGTGCCCGGTTTATATGTATCCTCCATTCACACTGGCCTGCTTAGCGTTAGGATACTGCTTAGCTTTCTATTTCACGCTTCCATGGGCACTGCAAGTTGCAGTATGCCATTGTTTTGAAAATTAGATTTAAAGTTATTTTGCTTTTGAAAATTTTTCTATTTTGATACAATGACCATCCTCTGACCATGACAGAGATTACGATGAAAAAGAATCTACGCATGGAAATGCGTGTAAATTAAAGAGGTGAAGATGCCCATATCTCAATCTTTTCGTAGTCGGTTCTTTAGACCTCCAATGGAAGACTCACCCAAAATAGTTAAATTTCAAGTTTATTATGATTATGATCAATAGGTAAGTGTCTACGTTGCATGCGTGCATAATGAACAAAGTTGGTACAGTTAGGTCAACGACACTTGGCTGTGAACTTGATGACGGCCTTTCCTGTGCGACTTGTAGCAATTATTTGACTAGTCTCGCAACATTTTGATGGCCGAGCTAGTTGATTGTTCTTGACGAGTGCGTGACGAGTTATGCAAATGTTACTTGAAACGTCTGAGGAATTAGAAGGATTAGATAATTTGCAAAATTAAACAACGTTTAGTCGTTGTTTAGCAAACGCACGTTCTGAAACCTCTTATTTTGCCTGACAGTGTTAATTAAAGTGAAATTAAGCGTCGATTTCGGTTCGCGGTGTCAAGACGACTTAATCAGAAGCTAACGATGGACTGACAATCACTTACGTCTGATAATCTGCATGTTAAGAAATCTAAGTTAGGCATCATTTTACTGGTCCATATTTAGAGTTACTTTATCTAGGGTTAATATCGAGCAGCTGTGTTTGGGCATGACGTACCCTATGAATGATATTTTACGTACAAAACGTTAACTGTTATTGTTTAAGACTGTATCTACGATACACGTCATACCCATACTAATGAACTATTCTTAGAAATAAAAGCTTTAAGCTCTTTACTATCTTAAATTAGTAAAATGTCTTAAATGTCCAACGCTGTGAATATCTTCACTTCTACATCCAAAGTATGATCAGATGTGAAGAAAAATGAAGGTTATTTGTGCATAAGTTTTAAGCAGACACATCTACTAATCTCCAAAGGGGGAGAACTGTTTTCAAGGTTGATTGGCATTGCAGATAATTGTTCTTCGTGTCAAGGTAGATTCTAGTAAAAACTACGCTTTACTGAAGTTAGGTATGATGATGCTAGTGATAACTAGTTGATTTATCACGGCATGTATGGTCCAAAAATACAAACGGAAGAGTTGATGCTCCGTAATTGTAAGTGTCATGCGTCAAGTCCAGAAGCTTTCCAATTCTTGATGTTGTTAGATATTAAGTGTACAATGAAATAATCTCGGTCTGCTTGATTAGTTTGAACTGAAGATGGGTTGACTTCGCAACAAGTATTCCCAAGAAATAGCCGATGCTCCTAGAAAGGCCTAATATTTAGAAAATCGGATTACCACATATATCCCTAATAACAGTGTCTTCTAAATGAGCATGTATTTTTTTCTCTCTCTAATAAATTGAAGAGGACATAAAATACATTGCAATGAATCTGTGATGACGTCTTGGTCCAAACCATTCCATCTCAGATCCCAAAGAGCACTATCATGCCCTTTCATGCGCTCGGCTCTAGCTCATTCGTCACGTTATCAAATCGCTGTGCCGAGAATTGCTCGGCACCGCGGCGCCAGCGGTAATACATCACAGCGATGACAACAACAACAGTGAGGAAGCCCAACATAAGGACGATCCCAGCGATCAAACCACCTTTGTTGGCAGATTTCTTCGCCTGTACTGCAGTTGTCACTGAACAAAGAAAGGAAGAGCGTTACAATTAGTTTTACTATTATAATAGACAGTGTGACGAAAATAATGAGAGGTTGCAATACTGACGAGACAGGCCTGGCTTTAGCTAACGTTGCAAAAAACCTTTATTTCCTGGCAAAAAAAAAAAAAAAAAAAACTGCTCGGACACAAGTGCAGGTATTGTGATAAAAAAATTTTTTTTTAGCGCTTGCGTTGCCATGGATACTAAAGAAGATTCACAAGTCTATCATGTTCCTCATGTCTCTCCGATTGGAGAGGGTAGAGACCTGGTTTCCACTTTGGAAAGGAGACTGGTGATGAATATTGTTAAAGGTCACAGGTCCCCAAACTTACAGTTGTTTTCCACTCATCAACACACTCTTACCATCTGTTCTCTTGGCAGGCCAGGGAACTGGAAATTCACTCAGTTGGCATAATCCGTTAGTACCCTCTTCATCAGGGGTAAATCCAGGTGCACTCTGGTAACGGAAGACGGTTCTTTTCGAATTCCCCTCCACAATCTCTTCTCACCTAATTACGTGAAGAAAAGTATGAGAATCAAACAGGATTATTTAGAGTTATCAACTGAGCTGAAAACGTAAATAGGCCACTGTTAAGAATTTTCAAGGCTGATGTTTCAAGCGTTAGCCCTTCGTCAGAGCGATTTCTTTCGCTCTCAACTCCAATTATAACACTTAATTATCCTGTTATACTCTCCCACCGACGCAGCATCACAGTTTCTTTGGAAATTTACCCCCTCTATTCATATGAGAATCAAAATCAATGTATTTTGCTTTGTCGCTCAAATTCTTTGTTGCAAGATATCTCTTAAACGACTATGAATATATGAAAAATATATATAACACATATCATATGTAACACATATCACTTTCCTATTTGAGATATCTCTTATAATTGTATCTACCAGTTAGTCGCGCTCTGATTGGTCAATTTAGCGGGTCGTATTTCTCTGTGCGGCTCGCTAAATTCTGTAGTTTTTTTGAATTGAAATCTTCGCGAACTGTCCGAACCTAGAGATGCAATAAACATCTTGCTAACCTGGTTTTCTCGGTCCGTACTGTAAGTCACGGTTTTTCCGCTCGGATTTGTAACCCAAGCGTAAAGCAAGCGGGAAAATACTTGGCGCGTAACATACAGTACGGACCTCGAACTCGGTTAATAAGTACTTATCTCCTTGTCTCGAGACACTTGCACCGAGACGATTGACTGCTGACGCTTACTACCCTCTTTCCATTTACCTATTCCACTCGAGTCTTAGCTCTAGGGCCGACAAAGCTTTGTACCACAAAGATACTCAAAAATTTAAAATTCCTATCAACAAACCTGCTCACAGACAGATCTGCAAGGCACATACACGGACAAATCATTTGTCTTACATGGTGGGACGGTTGTGTAGCAAAGGTACTTCTCTAGGTCTGGGGAACACTTGGAATCCAAAATAGTCTGTAGGATTGAGTCACTCGTTTGCTCGTTCTCCACCACAAACGTCAGATTGTAATGTAAATCATCTGGGCAGAATTTTGGTTCTCTAATTTTGCTACACTGACCATTTCGCCTGTCGACTAAACAAAACGAAAATAAAGCAATAAAAAATTATCTTGGAGATCAATACTAAGCATAATCTCTTTCGATTTGGCTAAGGAGCTGCCATTGTTTGTAAAGGGGAAGAGTCTTCTCTCGCGCACGTGACATCTCTCTCGCTGTCTGTATAGCGCGCCTTTCAGCAGGCTTAACGTGACAATCTTAGCTGACTCAAGACAAATTCACATTCATATACTTGGGACTCATAATTAAGGATGTGACTGAAAAAACAAACAAACAAACAAACAAACAAACAAAACACTCAGGATCCTAATCAGTGCTCTTGGTCAAGTACTGAGCTAACAGCTTACCAGAAGTAGTGCTCGCTGTGAATCCCTTAGGCACGAAACATGTGGTCAATAATGCATCCTGCTCAGGCAACAGATCACAAAGAGATCTGAACAATCCTGCATGTGACGCCAGCGACAGTAACCTGTGACATTTGTTTACAAACTCCAGACAAACACTGCGACAAGGCATAACTGGCTTTGGATGTCCCTCCATACACTTCGGCATGAACAAAGAGCACATGATCGTGCTGCTGTATTTGGAGCAGACATTCAAAAAATCCAAGAAAAACTTCAAACTTTTTCCTTTGACCGTCTGATATGGTTTGCCATCAATCGGTGGAAAGTCTGCAGTGTAGTAATAACCGGCATTTGCACAAGACTCCACTCTCAGGGGAACACATTTGGTGGGACTATCTGTAGAGGTAAGACAGTTACAAAAGAGAGAAAAGAAAATTGCATAATAGAGATCAGGCAGTTATAACATAGAGATAAGGTAATCACATCATGGAGATAAGAAAATTATGTCCTAGAGATAAGACAGTAATTACATAGAGGAAAGAGATAACATAGAGTTATAAGATATAGATAAGAAAGTTATATCAAAAAAACTAACTAAGACCAACACTCTTTTTTTGTTTCTTGCAACATGAAATACGTTTACCAGTAGAAAAATTGTAGGATGGGAAGAATGGGCTATACAGTTTTGGATTCTGGTATGATTATTAAGAGTAAAATGATAATATTAAAATAATAATAATAACAAATTGAATGACAATAATAATAATAATAATATGATAATGATAATGACAGAGAAAACAATAACAATGATGATAATGATAACCATAATGATAAGATAACAACAATGAAGGTGCATGCACATTGAGAACTCATTAGCCAGACAGTTAACATGCTGGCATCTGGATCAAGAGGTCTGGATCAAGCACTTACTGGATTGTGTGTTCCATTCTTGGAGAAAGACACTTCACTCTTGCAAAGCCCCTCTCCACTAATGAGTGTAAATGGGTGTAAACAAACTCTCAAGGGAGGAATACCTGACAAAAAGGCTAGGGGGGAAATTGCAATGGTCCAGCATCCCATCCAGGGGAAGAGGACAAACTCAACATTATCTCATACCAGAGAAACCTGTATAAAAACTAGCACTGATGAGCAACTTGGCTTTTGACACTTACAACCATGAAGTATTGAGTAAGTCATTACCTGAAACAGGAGGAGATGGATCTGGAATTTTCCAAGGCCAAGGAGCAGGCCAACTTTTCAAGTCACACTGCCCAGTTGAACTACCCCCTTCAGGAAAAAAGGAATCACAAGGAAGGGGGACAATACGGTTAGCCTTAAACACTGCATCACAGTCATCATTTATCCTCTTGCAGAATTCCCTGCATGGCAAGTGAACCACAGAAGTATCTGCTGTGCACTTTGGCATGCGCATCAGGCACAAGTATTTTTCAATGTCCGGTGAGCATCCTGAATCAATGACTGGTTGGAGAATGGTGAGTTCTGCAGCTCTCTGATCATCCGTTGGCAAAAAGGTTTTGTCATAATGAAGGTCTTTGGAACACTTGGAAGATGTTACTTTGTAGCAAACATTTCTGGTGGAGACTACAAAAAAAAAAAACAACACTCATCTCAAAACATGTTAATGATCAAATACTAATGAATAAAGGAAGTAGGTTTCTAAAGAAACTGTGGTACTGCATTGGTGGGAGAGTATAACAGGGTCATTTTAAGTATTATCAACTGAGTTGATAATGTAAATTGGCCACTGTAAAAGGTTTTCAAAGCTGAAGTTTCGAGCATTAGCCCTTTGTCTGGGCAAATGAGATTAAACATACATAATTGCAAGGAATCTTTCATCTTAAAACTCTCTGGCATAATGCACTTGTTTGGTGTCCCATCATAAAAAGGAAGAAGATCACACAGTGCTATTGTCATTCCCACAGTTGACACCAAAGTCAATTTTGTCTTGCACTTGTCCGCAAAATCCAAACAAACTTGTCTGCATGGTAACATTGGTCTGGCACTACCAGGGACACATTTGGGCAGATATAATGAGCAAAGAATTAAACTGCTGTAAGGCGAACAACTTTCAATGTATGGAATAAGTTGATCAAGCAGTTTTCCTTTCTTCTGTTGGAAGGTCTCATTACCAACTTTAAGATACTTAGCAGTATATTTGTAGTTGGCTTTGGCACATGACTTCACAGTGAGCTCCTCGCAAGTTCCAATTTCTATCCATTAGAAAAAACAGTATCAGTGTCACAATAAGAGACCAACTGATTTAGGACTCAAATAGACTTATATGCATTTACACCTATAAAGGTTTGAAAAAATTGTATTTCATGGTGTTCAAAGTTTATTAGGATAACTGTTATCTTATGGTAGTAAGCCCAGGTAAAATAATAATGCCTCTGTGATTTATACTATGCTGATAATAGCCATTACATTAATGATACACTCTTTGGTGGGGCTAAGGTACAGCAATGAGAAAATCATTTAAACAATTATGCAAGGTTTCAAAAATCTTAGTACTTAACAGACCAGCTAGAATATACTCAACTGTATTAGTGCAGTTTCTACATCTTGGTCTCAATACCTTCTTACCAAAATTTTGAAATTCAAGGTATGTAAATATTTTAAAACTGACAATGACATGAAGTTATCAGATCAATGAGAGTATCTGAGCCACTGTGTACCTACTCCTCCCCTAACCCAATAACAGTCAACTGATAACACATTGGGGTTAATGTTGAATTAAGGGAGGGGTTGGTATGCAGTTGCTCAGATACAGTGACATTGATCCAAGTTATTTAACACTCACCAGGAGCTGGTGGCCTAAATTGTGCAGGCCATGAGGCTGGCCACTTCTTAACCTCACAAATACCTGTTGGATTATTATCATCTTCAGGGTAAACATAATCGCAAGGTGGAAGGGGTAGCCCAGCCTTGTTGAACTCCTTCCAACAGTTTTTGTGAATTCTAACACAGAGTGATTTGCAAGGTATCTGAATTGTTCTTGGCTGCTTGGGGTCGCAAGGAGAAAACTGTGCATAGCAAATAAACTTTTCCAACTCATCAGAACAGTTGCTGTTGATTATCGACTGGAACAAAGTTTCTTCTCCTGTTTGTAAGCTTGTTGGCATCACTGTTTTGTTATAATGTAAATGTTTCTTGCAAACTGGGTCAACAACATCATAGCACTTAGGAATAGGTTTTGATCCTGCAAAAGTGTAGCAATTTAAGTAGAAGGAAATTACAATTTAAACCTCTCCCCTTGGAGTTTCCAAGGAGAATTACTGATAGGGGTAAAGTAGAGATTTTCTTGAGGAAATAATCAATAACCTGACCTACTATGTTAATTGTTTATCACTTCTGTTACGAGAGAAATTATCAATTCTATTCAACAGAAGTTTGAAGATTGTTTCATGTTACTTTTGAGCTGGTTTTTTTGTCATAAATTTTCCATATTAGATCATGCAGAATTTTGAACTTTTTCAAGTAATATCATTATTAGTTGTTACTAAAGAGTTTCCAGTTTTGAAGATTACTTGATGATAAACTTACCGCATGTTAAAAAATTGAGCTAACAAGTCAACAGCCACATTACTTTTGTTTATCTGAACAAGAAATTCAAATTCCAAACTCTTTCTCAATTAGCATATTCAAAATAGTTACATAATATATCAAGTTAATGACAAGTTCGCTCGAGGTAAACAATATTCGAACACATTATCGCGCTACTCACACTAACCTCCAGATGACGATTGTTTAAAGTTTGGCGGATAAAAACATTCGTTTGAAGTTGAATTTCCGTCGGGTAGCTTATCGCACAGTACAGTGAAAACTCCAGCGAGGCCTGCCTTTTTAAGAAGGTCTTGGCATTCTGTCGCAAACTTTTTGCAGACTTTGTAGCACGGAGGCTGAGGATCTGTCCGTTTTTCTTCGCATTTCGGCAAATACAGCGAGCACAGGATCGTACTAGCGTAAGCTGAACAAGACTGTAGCAAAAGGTTATATAAATCCAAGCGTGGCGCTAGAAAGTCTTGGTATGGTGTGCCGTCTATATCAGGAAATCTTGCAGTTAGAGAGTAGCCTGCGTTAGAGCATGATTTAATACTGATCGGTTCGCACTTTTCACCAAATATCAGCGAAAACATCGAAGCCAGTGAAACAAATGCGAAAGTCAGATCCATTGAGATCTTCATTGAAGTTTCACAATCTTAGAGAAAAACACAGTGTAAGTTAAGCCGCTGTCTGCTTCGGCCCCACCGTTCCCAATGTCAACATTAGCCTGCGGGATCGCGAGGTAAACAGCGGTTACTCATTTGTGACAATGCAATTTTGTGGTTATCTCTAACAGAGGTCACTTTATTAACTATTGCCTTGAGCCAATTGTAGACGGCAGGTGTTGAAGCGTACATTACAAGCTCCCCAGCTTCAGAGAATGTTGCCGGACGAAAACTCAAAAACACGCGAATCAGTTTTTTTTTCGCCCTCTCGACGGAATTACTAAGACGGGCATCATTGCTCCCCATTGCGACCCGATAATAAATTGATATCGTGACTCTTAAGTCCTTTGAATGTTAATTTTTGGAAAATGAACAATTAAATGCCGATCTACTGCCGAACGCACAGAATGGAAAATGGGCGCTGAAATATGTCATGGTGTGAAAATTTGTAAGAACGTCCAGGCTGAAATTAACCAAAATTTTTAGAACATGCCAAGAACATTCCCAGGCTGAGAGTCAGTTAAGAACGACTATTTTGCCTCCTTCATTTTTTTAGAAGTATAGAATAAAGATACGATAAATATAAAACTGTAGTCTAACAGGACAATTAGCTCAAATACTTAGGGTGATAAGAACAGATTAATAAGAAAGTTTTCAGGCTCGTTTCGCAGTAAAAAATATGAATGTTCAGCCTCAGCCTCAGCCCCAAAATTAGACGTTCTCATGATAAAAAGAGTGTACTCATGATTTCAATACAATGAGTTTTGACACGGGCGGCCACGGTTCTTTAAGAGCTCTTTCAATTTGCACTTCACAAGAAAGTGTATGGGTACAAACCGTATATGGCTGCAAAAAAAAGAAAACTGAGAAATTTACAATTAAAACTGGTTTTCAATTTATTCACAAACAGTAGTATTTACAGTTACATTACAGCATTTATTCACAGTTACTGCATTTTCCAATAATTTACAAATTTTTAACACAACGTAATGTGGATTCTACTGAAGGTTTCTGGTGACAAATTTCAGTCCTTTTTCGTATTCCCAACATTTATTGCATTTTTCCGAGAGAAACTGTTCTTTTACACAATAGAGTGTCAACTCAGTATTAACAGTGATAGTGGCGTTCAGATCAGTCTGAAGAGGAATATTATCGATAAGAGTGACTGATGTTTGGGCAACGCGAATGGGATTTAGTCATCTTGACATCAGAACGAAGTGGGTCTAGCTTAAGTGAACACTGATTGGTCAATTTTATGCTCGACCGACAAATGACTCCCCTCTTGAAGCTAATGATAAATACCGCTGACTCGATTGTCACTGGCGGCTGTTGTGTCTAAGTTTTCTCTCATACAAACTATCGCCCTTGCCTACTCGATCATGGATCTTCTATTATTTTATTCACTTAGTTGATGCTTAATTCTCATGACTTATGACTGTCTCAAAATAGATCAGAGGTGCCCTCATGACATCGATACCACAGAGACCAAAAAAATTGTCTGAAGTTGCATCGCGTCGTACATGCCCCTTGACTAGTGGTAAGTACATGGCTGTCATGCTCAGACCATATCACTACGAACATGTGACACATCACCACGAGGCTCCACACGTGATGTCGGCCTCCATGGCAATACGTGCACAATACACAGATCCCAAATCTGAAAACAAAAGACTTCGGTAAAGATTTTGAGTAATGCTTGTAAATGTCACGGTTGGGTCGGAGATGGTGACGTTGATGAAATAATTTCGCCAGTGTCAATTAAGCGCATCTGTTTTCGACATCGAGGGCGAGATGCTTGTTAAATTTAGCAGTTAACAAGAACTGAGTATGTAACTGTTTTTCTTGCTCTTTTAACCCTTTATTGCCCCCCCTCCCAAGGGGAGGGGGGGGGGGCTATTATGAAGGTAGGTAAAGAGGAGCTGATGAGAATTTCGTAACTTGTCGTTTACTTGGTTACATTGTGGCTTTATCAGAAGTTTTAAGCAGGCTCCGCTCCAAGACTGGATTACAGATTCTATTGGACTCGTTCTTAAATTTATCTTTGGGATGATCATGAGCTTTGGGAGCTTCACTAATTTTTCGTTGCTGGCTATCTCGGTTATTGCGGAGAATTATTCAAGGTAATGCACCTGTGATGAAGACGGTGCAGTATTTAAAAAATCAGAGTTATACTTACTATAATAGCTAAGAGCAATAGAAGGATTACTCCCAGGACACTTGCTATCACCGTGATTATCGTCATACTTAGAATTCCTCGTATACGGGTAATTACCACTTTTGTTGGTGTGACATGCACTGCTGTATGTTTATACTGTGTGACAGGTATTGAAGACGTTAGTGTCACGCAACTCACGGAGGTAGTAACAGTCTTTGTAAATTTCGATTGTACGACACTGTTCGTAATGCTTGATGCGGGAGATGAAGGAAAAGTTCTTGGGGATGAATAAACAACGGAAGTCGATTGAAAGGAAGACGTGCTAGTTCTTACAACAGACCAAGAAGGCATCGTGGTAAAATCCCTTTGGAGTACTGATGAGGAAGACACCATTGAGCTGGGTAAAACTGTAATTGTGGTTGCTCGATTTACTTGTACACTGCTGCTTAAGACGACCACGATGGCTTAACAGAGGAAAAACAAAAACAAAGATCATTATGTAATCGAAAATTTTTTGTCTCAGAGTCTATACTTAAACAGTCTGTAGGGTATAGCAAGAGAAGCAAAATTCTTTCTCTTTAAGGTGCTATGCATGCCAAAATCATTGTTTCTCAATGGAGTTGTTAAATTTACTGGCAAATACTACAATCATACAAGAGTGAGTTTCCTTTTCCGGTCGTTACACGCAGTGTACGTGGCTAAAAAAATACTGCTACACTACACAGATTGGCCATGAAGCAGCTGTACATCAGATGATCGTTACTGCGGGTAGTGTACACTACAGTCAGGCGAAAGCTGGAGAATCATGAACAAGAACAGGGCGTGACTCATGAAGACTCACGTGACTCACGAATCTTCACTCTTGAAGATGATCTTCACGCGAAACACAAGCGTGACATTTCACAAGGAATACCGTCGGTTGCACGAACCGTGATAGAAAAAGAAAACTCTCTTTTAGTTGATCAACGTGTGAAAAGTACATTAAACTTTGTTGATAAAATCTCCAGAAGAGATAACTGCAATTTCCTTAAAAGACAACGGTTTTACTTTACGAGCTGTTGGCAGCACCTTTTATACTACCGTGACTCCAAAGAAGTGTAAATTCGAATTTCATTTTTGGCATAGTTCCGCTGAATAAACCTAAGTTCAGTCAACATAACCAATTTACATTGCCAGGGTCTTGTTTTCGTTAAACCTGAGAAGTTCTTTTCTGCTCTCGGGCGGTTTAGTTCAAGTGTGTGAGTTTATTTTCATTTTTAATTCACCAGCTGGAATTTACCTGTCAAAATGTCTTTAAGTTGTCATTGGAAAGTGTCAAACGGATTAAGGGAACGTGCGCATATTTGAATATTTTAAAAAATTGCATGTCTCTCCAACAACTCGAGGAACGCGAACTTGCATGTTTAACGTTGTTAATCGACTTAGATATAGTTTCAATCAATATAGTTTCAAGAATTCTCTCAAACTTAAACAAGTATGACACAACGTCTTAAACAGTTATGTTTAGGAGAGGAAAATAAAAAAAAAAATTACTGATCTCAAGACAAGAAGCCCTTTTAGTTACTCTCACGATTATAAAATTACCCATGTCTTTGTGATCTCTAGTCCAACCACTAGCTAAAGGGCTTCTCACCTTTTCAAAAATTCTAAAACGACCGAACACCGAGTCAAGTAAGGTATATTTGCTTAACCTTCGAGGTCATTGTTGTTGTACAATCTACTTTGTTTTTTACTTATTTTTGGTAAGATATACTCTCGGCTGTCGATGAGCGTTGATGAAGAATGATCAGGTGAGGTAAAAAGTTTTAAAAAGAAAAACAACTCGTTTTATTTTTCCAATGCCAAGTCTGAAAACTCATCCGTTACACATTTCCGTTGTGATTTTCCATTTTTAGAGCAAGGCAAAAATAATCTTACGTATCTTGTCAAGCCCTCTTGGTCAATACCTGCCAAGGCTTGATGCATCTAAAAAAAACCTAGTCGTTTGGTTGCGCAAGAGAAAGATCTTACCTTGAATGACTATGCACGGAAATCTTGGATGAAGCAAATTGAACAGTTCTTTTCCCGTCATTGCCTTATGAATAGTCGTATACATAGCTTTAGTTCCGACAACGCTGTTCCTTGGCTTCACGACTTCTAGAGGAGAAATCAATGAACCAAGATGTTCCGCAAATATTGTCGTCCTGATCAATCGGCCGCTCGACTGAACAATGTTCCTGTTGGCTCGCTGATCTTCGTCCCACACACCAAAAATTACTGTTTATGTTTTTCAATAAAGTTAACCAAGGCTACAAATAGGTAAGAAACTAATTAATCGGCGGTATGATGACGTCTGACCGCATCCGTTTAAGCTTGCGTTAAAATCTCTTTCCGTCAATGATCTATCGGTCTTGCGTCTTCTAGAACAAGCTCGAATTTCAGTCCATGATCTGTCACACCATTTAGGGAGTTATTTTTACTTTCAAGAGTACTTTTTTCGTCGAATACTGCAGGCAGTTAATGTCATATATCATAAATAGCGTATTCCTACCGAAATCATATGGTTTTTCTCTATCGCTTACCTTAGTAACAGACTATTAAATTCCCGGGCGATAATGCATTTTTAATCGCTGTGGCGTCATACCCTAGTTTACAGGCTAATTAACCCTTTAACTCCCGAGATTTGATTGTTAATTCTCCCCTCTACCTGCTACACATTTCCTTGCTAGTAAGTCACAAGAATTTGATGTTAGCTCAAGGTAACAACTTCTAACTGATAAGTTTTAGTATTCTTATTACCTGTTTGCTGGATAGTTTATGGATATTTTAGAGAGATTTTAGCTTTAAATCACTCCTGGAAGTTAAGGGGTAAGAAATAAATACCTTCCTTTCCTCTCAATCTTTGATGGCATAGATCAAAATATATTTGAGTTGAAAAATCAAAACAATGATTACATCGCGCTTTAAGAAAAGGAAATGCTCATATCTCTGTCTAGGTTACAATTCATTTTCTTCGATGCTACTTGGTGAGTGAAAACTTGCTAGTAGAGAGTATTCAATCCGTAAACGACTGATATCATAAAACCAATTTTTTAATTGGAAAATGTGCAAAATGCGAAATGATACCGATATGGACAGCTGGATTAAAGCCAAATTAAAGAAGAAAAAACAAGGCTATCACAGTTACTTCTGTCGCAAATCATTCAAGCTCGATCTTACTCGCAGTTTGATTGGATCGAATGATCCTGATAGGAGGACAAACACATACATGACAACACCGTTAACAACCTATAAAACAAATAGATTCCATGTTACAGTAGGTCTGTACAGTAATAGATCATAGAAGACGCGACTGCGCCACGTGTGTTACTTTTTTGTAGCTACCAGATTTTGACGCTATCCGCGATCCTATGGCAACATGAAACCTGTTTGTTAAATAGATCACGCCTATGATATTGACGCACAACACAGCTGGGTCTGGTCTGGTCTACTCCTCAGGATCAATAAAATTGCAAATTATGTATGACACTCTACTCTACGTAGAAAACTACGCTAATCGCATATAGGTGCCGAAAAATAAACCTGCCTTGTTGTCACTCGTCTCCTGACGCGCGCGGCGCGGCCATAAGCATCACGATCGCATTTCACGCTTCTGTACAGCCCACTTTCACCGCCCGCGTTTGATGGATTGAAGACAGCAAATAGAGATGCGGCAGGTGCATGCTGGGTGATCAAACCTTGTTTACAAATCTTTACAGGCAGCGTTAAATATGTAATTCCTTTCCTCGCTCCAAGATTGCCTGAATCCCTTTGCTAATGTAAGGAAAAAATGCAAACTAACGTGATAGACTATTTGTATACTGATTAACGTTTGCCATTTTATGTACGACTGTAAAGCTTAAAATCTCCAACTAATTGGAAAAAAACCCTCAGATGTTTGAGTTTTGTCAGCGATTTTGACAGATTGTCTGAGCTGACCTGTTAATAAAGCGGTGCATAGTGACAAATAAAAGCATGTTCTAATTCATTTCGCCGGAAGGGAAACAGTAGAATGACGATTATGCGGTAATTTTTTGACACAAGACACGTACATTATGAGTGGTTAAAATACGAAATTAAAATTTAAGCCAGATCTTTTTTCTCCCGATGCAGAGAGGAATTAGCAGCTTACGGTAACTCTTATCTCTTTTATAGCCGTCAGGGAAAGCATTTGTCAACCATGCACTTTTTATTTCATCCTCTATAATCTTTTTTTCTGGTGCTTTACTGAAAGATTCAGGATTGAAATTTCGCTCTTTGGACATGTTAGAAAGTTAGAAGCTTTTCACCCCATTGCTGAGGGGAAAACTCTTTGACGCCTCGATCACACAAAACAAAGGACTCAAATTGAGCAAGAAATTTCTCAAAGGTTTATCGGACAAGATTAAGATTTCAATTGTACACGTCGGAAATAATTTACCTTTTGTCTATATCGACATTAACAAAGTGTTGAAATTTCATCACTGATGGATAACGATTCAGATTTTAAGCTAAAAATGTGATAGATTGTAGTTGTTACCGTAGATTTATATGACAAATTAAGGAGTGTGATAGGCTTGAATCAGTGAAAAGTGATTCCTCAAAGATGACTATTGGTAAATTAATTTTAGTACCGGTTATATTTCATCTTAGAAGAAGGTTTGCCATCTACAGCTCATCAATGATTCCTTCTCAAATCAATATTTAATTCTGTGCAAATGAGAACTAATCAGCAACAGAACTAAATTATATCTCTCAATTTCTACAATAACTTCATTTTATCGATATCTGTAGTTCTTCGATCGATTCGTGATCAGGTAGTTGGATTCAGATTCTTGAACAAACATTTACAAATCTCATTACAGCTATGGAAAAGCGTCAGGTAAGTGTAATCATTTGAGATACCTGGCCGAATTAAAAAAAAAAACCCTAACATTCAAAGAGCTTTCTTGCGTGCGCGTTATTTTCGAAACGTTCCCTTAGTTTCCAATGACAGAACACACTGAGTTAGCTTTGAAGTGATGTTTCTCAAGATCGTAACAAGCGTGCAGTTGTCTTGGTTCATGCACTAAGTCAATCTAATCAATGTTACTTTTATTTCAGGTTATGAGATGAATTTTATGTACCCACGATCTGAAACATTAATCAAGTGATACCGATGTCTCAACATTTGGAATTTATCTTACTTCACATAATTATCTTGTATAAAAACTCCGCTGGCTCTAACAACTGCCCCACCCGTTTTTCAGAACCAGGTCGTATCCTGACAGGTCACGTGGTATACACATTACAACGTAAAACTTTTGAGAGCTGCACTTTTTCCTGCGAAATGGAGTGGCAATGTCATAGTGTCAACTACTTTTTATTGCACAAAACTTGTGAACTGAATAACGCAACTAGGGAGGGTTTTCCTGAAGACATGGTGGAACAGAGTGGAGTTGTTCATGTGTCTGTGGTGATCCACTTCCATGATCCTTGTACGAGCATGCGCTGTGAAAATGAAGGAAAGTGTATTACCAATCCGACATTGAAGTGTCAGTGTCTTGATGGATTCAGCGGTCTCCGCTGTGAAAGTAAGAATCTGTTGACCCAAGTTGAACAAAAAAAGAGACAAAACAAATAATTTTTTTTGCGTGATATTCTCTAAATAACTATATTATAGAATCACCAACATAAATTGTTTTTATATAACGATTCGTTAAGGGTTTTCTCTTTTGACTGTTCTTTTGTTTTTTTGTTTTATAAGGTCTTAAGTCATTAGGTATGGAGAGTGGAATTATCCCAGACATAAATATCGTTGCTACATCATCAAAATCAGGTTACGAAGCGGGAAAAGGTCGTCTGAACAGACCATCTTGTTGGATGCCAGTAAGCAATCGTAGCACTGAGACCATCACGGTTAAGTTTAAACACGGGGTCAAAATTATTGCCATAGCAACACAGGGAGCTCCAAACGATGGCTGTTGGGTGAAAAGTTACTTTATCAAATATGGTATTCAAAATGTCAGAGGATCATTACCCAAGGTAAAAGTAAACTATTATTTGCATCTAAAACGAGTTTTTTTTTCCGCTCAAATGTGATATGTTAAGTTATTAATTCCTTCATATTTTTTCTTTACAATCGTCCATAGTAAAAGAAATTTTTTTTCACCTTGTTGTTTCCACAGGAATACCAGGCAAACTTTGACAAGGAAACAGTAGTTACAAACCAGCTCTCAGCTCCTTTACTTGTCGATTGGATTGAAATTCGGCCTGCAAGTTGGTCCTCATGTATTGCGCTGAGAGTCGAGTTGTATGGATACTAAATTTTTCGTGAGGACTTCGTCATGATTATGGCTACAACTCCCCGATTTGCAAGTCTTGAAAACTGTCATTTTTTGTTTTTAGTCTCTCCCTTCACCCCCTCAGAGTAGTAAAGGTTGAAAGAAAAACTTAGCGTCGAGAAATAAGGTATTAAGATGAATATTAATTAGCAATTAATTATGTTTACATTTTTGTTCAGAGCGTGAAATTAAAATGTTACCTTCCTTTTAACGGAAGTCATCTAATTAATTGTTAGTCTATTATTTATCTTGCTAGAAAGTTCAAATTTCGTTCGATAAGACGACTCTGAACGGAGAAAAAGCGGGGAAGGGCGAACATGTGATAATCAATGATTGAAAGTGCCTCCTTGCGCATGCTTTAATGGTTGGTTTCCAGCTGCGAGTAGAGCGTGACCTTCAGGTCGGAATCCTGGGGTGCGTTTTAGAAAAGTTATGTATTCAGTACACCCATTCAAAACGTCATATCCGGGCGGAAGTTGTTCGCGTGGTAGCGATCCCACCGAACAGTCGATTTTAGCAATGTTTGAATTCCTTTCCGGCGGAGCCCACACCACCTACCAGTAGGATTTGCCGAGTAATCTGACAAGCATTTTAAGCAGGACAGATCGTACAATCCACAAAGTTATTGTGTGTACGCAGCGAAGTGATTTTACATTGAGCATTGTAGTGGTACGAACAACTGTTCTCACGCGGTTTGAAACTATTTTTGGCGCGAGAATTCGAGCGTAACAATGGCGGCTGAAGCGAATGTCCGTGTCGCTGTAGCAGTGAGACCGTTAAGCGAGAACGAACAGGAAAATGGCGACGAATGTGTGGTATGGACGCAAAACGACGAAATTCGGGTGCTCAATCCAGATAGTGGCCATGAGAAACTATTTAAATTTGATTATACGGTGAGTCCCACATAGTCCAATTTAGTGAATTACATTTCAGTTGTCACAAACATGTCACCTGCGTTCCTTGTGCAAGTTGGATATTGAATGTTCGCCTTGTGTATTGATCGCTTGCTGTGAATGCTACTGTTATTATTTTGAATAAAATATTTGGTTTTGGATTAGGTAACTTACTTTTGGAGCCATTAGCCAGATTGGTAATTTTATCGACTAATTATTCAAATGGTAATCTTGCCTTCTGTAGTTTTGTAATTTGCCGACAGAGCTCGCCGAACCACAGGAGAAGGTAAGATTAAAACTAATTTCTTTAAGCTTTTTAATATTAAATCTTGAGTTCCTTCAATGCAGACAATACAATAACAATAACATCACGCGCAATCGAGAAACGTTCGAGGTTTCGTAGTATTTTCCCGGTTTTTATTGTGGTTTGATTCTATAAATAAATTTATCGATCAATTTGGTTAGTTGCTCTGGAGGCAAATTGAACCAAACGGTTGTAAACCTGATCTTATCGTCGTCCAATGATCCGTGAATGATTATTCGTCTGCGAACTAAAGTGGTTTAATCTTTTGAAGTAAATGTATTTTCGCTTCATATTTCTTCATTTAAGTTTGCATGGTTATAAAGGTGCGACCGGAAAAGACAGTTTTTCTTCGAAATGGGAGATGTTTTCGGGCCGGATGAGGAAGGTTTTTTGTTTATCCTATTCCACTGATGAGGTGGGCAAGTTTTCGAACACTTCATCAACTCCACGAAATATTTTTATGCCGAAGAAATCGCCTAAAAAAACGACGCTAGTACTGTATGTGATGTAACCTTGTTACTTTTTGACACGCCGAAGTGTTCGTGTTCAGTTATCTGCGGCAGAATACACGTTCAGCCATCATTTATTATAACAAAAATAATAGTGTTTACCTTTTGTTTCAGAACTTAATTATAGGTCCTCCTCACTTTTTGAGAATATCGATATTTGCGTAGATATTGAGCGCTCTATTTGCTGAGACTCAATTTATGACAGCTTTTAATTGTAATGTTTAACCACTTCCTCTGTGTCAAAAAGGTGAAGTTAAGGTTGCAAAAACTCTCACATAGGCAATTGTAATTACATTAACACATTCAGTATGATATTTTCGACTTTCCTTCAAGCTGAAGAACACTCAAAAGAAAATAGCCTCAAGTACCCATTGAAACACTCCCACGTCAGTGGAAATTAATGTTTGAACATCTGAACTTAAATTTCTACCCATGGAGAAATGAAAATTACTTGTAATTATTTTGTCCACCAGATCAAGCTCATTCGCATAGACCTGATGAATCATGCACAATATAGTTTGCCTTAGGCAATAGTGTAAATGATAAGCAATCGATTTGTGAGATAATGTTTGGCTCATCACAGACTAAACTTAGCTGATGTTTTACCATTTGACCACTGATGTTCCAGTTGAGATGTCTGCCAACTGTGCAAAAGGCCCCTATTCATCATAATCAGATAACAATCAGCATATTGTTAGCTGGCTGTTAGCCAACCATTGACAAATTATAATTTAACTTTAAAACCCATTGCTGAAAATCCAATTGACAAGGGTACCTAGAGTACTCAGGAGCTAATGAAATGGACATGTAAGCGAAGTGTTATATACTGGCATTTGTTGACCCGACAGTCAGTATAAATCGAGGCACAAATAACAGCCCTTATAGACAAAAATTTATTGCAGTACACCAATTTTTCTGGATTAGACATATTTTCCTAGTCTTTATTCAGTCATAAATGGTGATCAGAAGTCCAAATAAACATCTAATTGGAAGTCCTGAATGCTTTCTTGTCCACAGACAGATAAATTATTCTACAATGTGAACGCAGATTTATCTTTGTTTTAATTTGGGTTTAAGTTTATTTTTCTATTATCTTTCACAAAGTATTTGTGGATTCCTTTCATATCTAATAACCCTCACAGACAGGTGATATGCCAGCTGTATCACCCAACTAAATTGATAAAACCAGTGCTTGCTTCCAATTATTATGGTAGAGGAATGAATTTCCTAGCCTGGCATTGTTTGTCAGGTGAGGTTATTGTGGCATGTTTTGCCTCTTTACTTCAATGGTTTGTCTCTAGGTTCACAATTTTTCTTGCTACAACAGGAAAAAAAAAAGACTCAAATTCCAATTCAGACAAGAGACAATGATAGACCAAGGGCCACCTCATGAATTATAGAAACTTGTTTTAGCCTTGAACCATCCTTAAGGTGACCCCTTGTCCACTGTTTTCTGGTTGAATTGTAGTTTTTTTTTAGTGTTTTCTGTTAAGGGGATAAAATAGTGAACCTAGAGAAAAACTCCTGGAATAAGGTAGACAAGAATCATACAGCAACATCAATACTGATCAAAATGCAATGTCAGGTTGGGAAATTCATCCCTTGAACTTAAACCCCTAAGAGTGACTAGTCTCCAATTTCTCTATACATTATCACTGCTGAATCTAACATAAAGGTTATAAGAATACAGAAAATGGTCACCCCACACTCTAAAAGCTCTTGATTGTTAAACAAATTCTCCATGTCAATACCATGAGAAATTTAACAGTATGAGAACAGTATGGAGAATGTGCTTAGTGACGCTAGGGTGTAAAGAGTTAAACACAGCAGGAAGCACTATTCTTGCCTCTGTACCATCCTGCTCAATCCCTGAGGTGATATGTGTGGAATTCTAGACCAGAAGCTAATGTTTATACTTGGTATTATCTTAGATTTTGGAAGATGTTGGCGAGTTTCTTCTTTCATCCTGTTTTAATGGTTATAACACTTGTGTGTTCAGCTATGGAGCATGTGGAAGTGGTAAAAGTTTCATTATGTATGGCTCTGATAAAGTTCAAGGCCTTACTCCTTGGATTTGCCAAAGTCTCTTCAAAAGAGCCTCAGATTATAAAGATGACACTTCATTTAGGGCAGAAGTAAGGTATGCGTTTAAACAAAAAACTTTCATTTATTAACTAAAGTTGTTAATGATACTTTAACCCTTTAACTACCAGGAGTGATTAACATATAACTTCTCCTTATGATATCCATACCTTATCCAGCAAATAGATATTGAGAATTCTCAAACTTATCAGGTACAGGTTGTTGTCTTGATCTAACACCAAATTCTAAGAACTAAGTTACAGGGAAATGTGTAGCAGCTAGAGGGGAGAATTAACAATCAGATCTTGGGAGTTACAGGGTTAAATTATTACTTTGAAGGTTCATGAATTTGACACAGTATGCAATGGTCAGTTTCTTCATTTATGAATTAGCAAGTTATCAGTTTTGCCTCTAGTTTTTCTGAAACTTACACTAAAACTATCTTTTCAGTTTTCTTGAAATACACAAAGAATTTGTGAAGGATTTGTTGGGGAGAAGAAGAAACTGGCAAGACTCTTTAAGAGGTATGCAGAACTAACAAATTCACATCTTGGTTTAACAAAAGTGATTCTAAGCAAATCTGTTATACCTGAAGAGGAATACTTTCCCAAATGGATTCTATCAAGGAAGTTGAATTTAAAAACATGAGAAGAAAGTGCAGCTTGATAAAGATTCAAACCCTCTGTCAACATGTGTAATGGTGCTACCTGAGTAGAAGGGGACACTGTCTTGTATGTATTTTGATACATAAAAAATACATACAAGACATTTAAAAATGAATTATTTAATGCATTTTGCACTGATATTTTATTTCCAATGTTTTTGTTCTTGTGCTTACCTGGAGTACCCTAAAACAAATTACTTCAAAATATATTAATAGTTTAAAAAGTAATACAAAAAAATAAAATGCTAATGAAAAACAGTTTGTGGCTGGTGTGTTGATGTGTTTCATTGCAGGTAAAAGTTTCTTGAAAATTCCAAAAGGTATCACATAAGCTTCTTGTTGGAAATAAAACCCAGTGTTATACAAACCACAAACTATTTTTCATAAGTTGTCAGATTTTGTTTGATATATTTTTAGAACTGCTTTTCCTGTTCCTATGAGTTTCTGCATTTGCGTATTAAGTCTCTCTAAATTGCTTTTGCAGTGCGAGAACACCGTGAACTGGGAGTTTATGTTGACAAGTTGACTAAACACATAGTCACAGATGTTAGTGAAGCATTGGGTTTAATTGATAAAGGAAAGAAAAACAGGTGAGGCAATATTAGTAAGCAATTTTTTTTATATTATATCATGCACGTGATCTTAGTGTGTTATTTCCTGAAATGTGGCGTTCCCATCTGTGGAAAGCTACAAAGTTCCCAATCAACTATTAAACATGGATCAGTGTATTAATACAGTTTGTCTTACAAGTGTATGTTAGAAAAAAAGGGGCAATTTATTATGGTGGGTTGATTTACGTGTAAAAGATTAGAATGTGCTTCAACTCATCAAACTTTTGAACAATGTTGTTATTTACAAATAATGATATTAGCTCCAGGAGCAATGATCAACATACTAGATTGTTCCAAGGATGATTTTAATATCTTTTGATATGCGATCAAGTTCACTTGAAGTCATGAAATTGTTTTTAACAAAATTAACTGTTTTATCTCATCTGAAAAAAAAAAAAAAGCATCTCTAATTTTATTTGTTGATACTAACTAACCAACCATGTGAATGACTATACTGCTGGTCTTCATCTGGATAGAGAACGAATACCAAAGCAATATTAGGTTAAGGGCAAACTCAAGGACTGATAAAGGAACTTCATTGCAATACTTTCAGGCATTTTGAGCATCACGGAAAATCACCTTAGATACCAAATAACATCTTAATCATGATAATTTCTGCCTTAGAAGACAAACAGCGAAGACATGATATTAAATCAGGCAGTAAGAAAGAAAGCAAAGATTAACACAAATTTTTAATGACAAATATACAGTTTAAATAATGGTCTTCTCCAAATTCTCAAAATGACCAACTTGTGACATTATTCTTTTGATATTTTATAATTTTTTGTTTTTGCTCTTTACAGGTCAATATGTTCAAGGTCTTCTAACTCCTTTGCTAGTGGTTCTCATACAATTTTCACCTTAAGGTTTACGCAGGTAATAAATTTTAGATTAGATGCTATTGGTTATAGGCATCATTCTTATCCATATTGCCAGAAAGGTAGTTTCAATCACTGTTGTGAATTTCCCTAGCTTTAAAATGGTAATTTTCAGTCATTGCAAGGACAAAAACATGAACCACACACTGGATGACAAACAGAATAAATTTTATCCTGTTCCTCATCCAGAAGTTGGGCTAAATAGTCAGAAACTATTTTTGCTATTAATATGACTTTAAGAATTGGGTCCAATTTTTGTTCTTGCCATCAGAATGACGCAAGAATTAGGTCCAATTTTTTGTACATTTCAAAACTTTTTTGTATATGTAATCATACATTTTAGGCTCGTTTAGAAGATGGCTTGCCCTGTGAAATGGTCAGTGTCATTCAACTTGTTGATTTAGCTGGCAGTAAGAGCATACATGATGAGGTAAGATCTTTACTCTTTTAAAGTGTCACTTTGTACGATATTTTATGCAATAATTTGATGTCCATTTTCCCTCACTGTTTGTTGAATTGTGTAATTGTGACCATCCAAAAGTTGTGTGAACAATGAAAGAGGAGTAATTTAACACACAGGCTTAATTTTTATCTTTTGTAGATTAGGCCAATCCTAAAACCAGAGCTGTAGTTAGTAACTTTTGATTGCAAAGTTTATTTAAAAAAAAAAGACAAAACAAATAAATTGATGCAAATTAACTTTGAGATACCAGTGCCCATGTCCTCCTGGATTAACGGAGTTATCATATTTCCCATGTCTTGGCATGGAAATCTCCTCTTCACAGATTCTGTGGCAGTTTTAGCCCTATAAAGCTGTAGAGAAGGCAATAATCAGGTTGTGTGAGATAACCATAATCATAACCTTACAATAGATACAAAAAAAAAAATTGAAAACTTGTGCACTGGAACTTTTTACTGCTCACTAAACATTGCATGGATCAATTAGAACTATCAAATTTTTTAATCACTGCATGTTATTGTAACTGTCATTGTTGGGGTACTGATTTGATGCTTGTCAGCACATCTAGATTTAGTATTACTTGCCTGCTAATATAAATTTTTCTTGTCTTTCACAGTGCACTGATAACTGCTCTACTGCTGCTGATGTTGACAAGTCTCTAATGACCCTGGAAAGAGTGATGTCATCATTAGCATGCCCAGACTCAGAGTCTTCTAACAGTGCTACTGTCCCGTACAAGGATTCAGTGAGTACATGAGTTTGCACGAAGCAAGCTTTTGCACACATAAAAGGCTGTCTTTGTTTTAAACCTTTGCCAACTAGCTGGGGCTATTGTCTTTTTGGAAAATTCTCTCACGATCCTTCCCTCCATCCAGAAGAAAAAAACAACTTAAGAGCCAGCTGGAAGGGTCAAGTCGTAATCCCTCTTTCTGAAGCATGAAGCAACAAAGAAGTTTTTCAACCCCTCTTGAATGGGATGCTGGTCCTTTGGACTTCTCCCCCTCCCCCTCCTCCCTTCACATTTTGTCAGATATTCCTAACCATTCTTTGCTACCCATGTTTACCCTGTGGGGTGGTAAAGGGCATTGCGTGAACAAAGTGTCTTTCTCAAGTCTACCACACACGATGACTCAACCATGGCTTGAACAAGGGGTTTTTGATCCAATATCCTGTGTGCTAATCTTTATGCCACATCCGCCCAATCAGTTAACAAAACCTTTATAGTGGAGGAAGTAAACCTTAGAATTTTTTTTCTGAGGCCAAAACGGAGAGGCCACAATAACAAGGTGTTATTAAGTTGGACTTCTGGTTCTGATGCAATACTGTAGACTGTGTGTTGATTTGTCTTAGCATATACTGAATTGAATCAAAGTAAGTGAAAGGTGTTGCGGAAATGTAGCTAAAAAAATTTGTACTGACAGAAATATGCACTAAATGAGAAGGTTCTCTGGGCCGGAGCTAAGCCACTTTAAAGATCCCACATTGTTTAAAGCTGGACAAGTAAACTTGTCAGCTGAGTAATGCTTATACCTCAGCTGTTAACTGCGTCATTGACGTCAGTGTTTGATAACTTGATATTCACTGATACAGGCCCTGACATGGATTTTAAAAGACTGTTTTGGTGGAAATTGCCAAACTGTCATGGTAGCAGCCGTGTCTCCAGCAGCTTCGTCCCATAATGAGACTCTTAATACCTTGCGATTTGCCAACCAGGCCAAGAATATCATGAACGTACCAAAAGTGAACGAGGTGAGAATTTTATTTTCTAATTTGCAATAGTACATTCATATGAATAGTGTTTAAACGGAAGACCACGCTTTCTTCCGGTTTCCTGGCGCGGTTTTACCCTCACGGGTAGAGGAGACACGAGGAAAGTTTACAAAGCGCGAACTTAAGGGGATTGATTTTGGCATTTTCCCTGGAGAGGATCTCCCCATTCATTCATACCAAGCATCTGAATATTCGTTCGTCTATATGTACCCTTTCCTCGAAGAACCCAGTAATTATTTTTTTGTTATTTATTCATTCGTCTGTTCATCCGTTCTTCAACCTTTTCGAGAACTTCTCATCATCTGTAAGCCACATTAAGTAATACGCTTTTCTGTGCCTTTACTCATTTACCTCACGAGTTTGCGCGTCCGCGCGCGTCGTCTTCCTTGCTTAACCTTAACCTTCAGATCCAAAATTCGGATACTGGTCACAGCTTTTAGGCGAAGACACAATATTAAACTTTAAGTGGAACAATTCCTCTTGAGATTGGCCCCCAACAAAAATAATTCAGAAAACATTTAAATTTCTGGAAATCGACCTCTTTTTTAAGTTGCTCCCTTTTAGTACACTGGAAGCGATGGTCAATCACGCTCCCAGGTCTTCTCTCTTTTTTTTAGTCACACAGTTGTCACCAATAAGCCGGTACACAGTTTGTTGGTACGCTGCATGATATAAAAAGAGCATTTCACAATTCTTAGTGCCTTTGGTGGCAAATTGTTACCGGCTTTTTTCGTCTGTATGCTGGAAAAAAATTCTCCTCTCACTAAATCTGGAAATATGTTCTTTTATCTTGATCAACGACGTGAATTATCTTTCTTTTCAACGTGCTTTTTTTTTTCCTTTTGTTGTTGTTGTTGTTGTCTTTTAATTTCGGTTGACGTGGAGCTGTGTAGGCCGGTGTTGTATGATGTAAGGAATCAGTCATCATTTATCGCCGGGGGAAGGAGGGGGGGTCGGAGCATTTTGGAGGGACCATATGGTTTTCAGGGGGGATGGATGGGGAGCAGTTGTCTCTAACAGATTGTAAAGGGGGATATACAAAGTTGACTGCCAATGAGGCGGGATCATTAAAATACTACAGATACTTATAAGGGGGTATCAGGTTCATTTTATTGTGACATGACCTACAACCCCCCTCCCCCTCCTCCCCCTCATGTTAAATGATGCCTAAAGATTACAAAATGGTCCCCAAAGGTTATTACGAACGTCAGAAATGGCCAAAGAATTACTGAATACCAATTCTCCGTTAGTAAAACGTTCTGTATTTTCCGTTGGGTTTTACGTGAAGGGGTATACTGCCGAAATGGTATTTTCGGCCTAAGTTCCTTTTACGAAATTTTGATTGTTTGTGTTTTCAGGATGCGAATGTTAAATTGATCAAAGAACTCCAGTTCGAAATACAGACTCTGAAGACAAGGTTGAAGGTAGGTCGTCATTAGACTCACACAATGATAAAATGATTACAGATTCACATCCAGTATTAGTGGGAATGTTACTGTAATTGTATCGATGTTTTTCCAAATTTGATAATGGTTTAGATTCAGAATTGTTTTTGACCTAAACGGAATTCTTTCATAGCTTTATTAATGTAATTTTTTTAGCATAATACGCTGGGAAACCCTTTTACTGTCGAATATTTTCAATCAAAAATAAAGATTTGCTATTATTTGTATGGTAATAAGCTGTATTCGATTTCTTGGCGGTAATTATGTAGCGCTAAAAGCGTGTTATGTTCATAAAAAATGAAATACTATTGTTGTTCCGGGGCCAAAATGTTTAAAATTTTGACAAATTTTTTTAATGAAATTAATCAAACTTTACGCCCTCGCTGAGGACAAACTTTGGTTCTATTGTAAAATTTGCAAATCAAAAATTATTGACTGAGGAGCGGTTTGAATCGGTTTGTTACGGGAGAACATGCTGTTACCAATGGTCTTTCTTGACGGGTTCAATGCAATAGTTTCCTGTTGAGGCTCAACAGTTGAGGTCGAATGGAAGAAAGCTTTCAAAGATTTTCGTTGATAATTCAAGAACAGTAGTTGACTGCGGAATCAAATTGGCCCTACTCTTTTGTCGAACCAAATACGCAGGAACTGTTTTGAACAAGGCTGAACAATAGAAGGAAAGAGTTATTTTTCATCCAGTCCCGCGGAGGCGTAACAACAGAAGAGCGATCAATTGCGCTCTCGCTGTATTTTTTAAAACTACACCGGTTCTCACAGCGTTCTTTTCATCTTTATCTGTTGGTGAATTTTTTTTGTCCGTTTTGCGTTGAAACGATCGATTAGGTTGTCCTATACGAAAGACAATTTTGTAACCAGCTGCTTGACAAGAGGGCAGGTGGTCTGTCGATAAGGTTACGGCTTATTTTTCATCATTTCAACAAAACCACCGCAACACGACATATTTACTGTCGCGAGCGCATTGCTTTGAAAAAGTTCTGAAACTCTGGAATCCCAAGCGAAACTATCGACCATGCGAGGCAGCGAGGCAAGAGGCAAGGTGAAATCCTTCGTCGCGAACTGCTTTTATCGAATGTACACTCCGATGGAAAAGGTAAAGTAATTAGTACAGATGCTCTTTCCCGTCGATTCTGTCGCAGTTCGGTTTATTAGAGAGCTTGTAGACTCACAAGGACGCTTAGAAAATTTCATGTTTCTTCTTTTCAAAGACTCTCGTTCTCCCTCTTTTTGACTGTCGCAAAACGAATAGAATAGTTTTTTTGAATATTGTTTTGACCTAACTGTACAATTTAGTTTGTTTACCATTTTGCCCAATGCCGGTTCCACTTAAACTCAGCTCTATAGCAAGTAAACAATCTTTGGCGGTCGTGCAGTGGAAGGCAATGACTCTCTATGATATGTAGTTTTGTTTTTTTCTTCTGTTGTTGTCGACTCTCGGACGTGTTGGCGGAAAAATTGAGTCCATTGGTTGGTCACGTGGTTCATTTTACCGCATTGTCATTTCTGCTTACCTCATTTTCAAGACATGTTTCAAATATATAAAGAAGGCGCTAGCGGTTGGTTCCCTCATTTAGCCTTGTAGGAACCAAACCACATCGTTTACCGCCCATTAATATTAAAAGGGGCGAAATCGACCGCTTTAGTCAAATTTTGGCCAGAAGAATGAGGATTGTTCGTATTTTAGCAAATGCAGTATTTCAGCAGGTGGAGCTGTAAAATACGTTTTCCCTTTTTTTTTTTTTTTAGTGTAGATCGAAAAAGTAATCTTTGTTCGCGAAGTGTAATATCTCTCTCATAGGTTGAAGGAAATAACTGTTCTTATGGACCTGATGTTGAATGTCTTTTTGCGTTTCAGAGTGGCAATGTACCCAGTTCTTTGGGGGTTGATAAGGCCGAGAAAAAACTGCAAGAAAATGAAGATCTCATGAAGCGACTGACGGGGATTTGGGAGGACAAGTGGAGTAAGACTCAAAAACTCATTGAGGTGAACACTTCGTAGTCGATGTGCTCAAGATGTTTCCACATTATTTTCTTTTGTGCTGACATCAGTGGTTAACCATTTAGTCGCTCTTTAAGTCGCTTTTTTTGCGCTCATTCATATATATTTTAAATGCTTTGAAACCGTTAAATAGCGCGATAGCGGAATGTAATTGGTAAACAGAGTAAGACTTGTCGAGCACTTGAGGTTCGTAAGGCGATGAAGTTCAAAGAATCAGCTGGCAGGTACCGTAACTTTTCTATCAGTCTCATTAACTGAAGAAAAAAAAGTGGAAAATTATTCGACTTTGTAGAAATTATCTTCTTAAATGGGCCGTATTTGTTGTTTCTTCTTGTTTCTTTTCCAAGCAGAAAATTTTTATCGAAGTAAACGTAGCCTGTTCCTTAGGCTGTGAATTTTGCATTTCATTTTAGCAGGGGAAAGGTAGAGAAAAAATCTATGCTATAAATTGTGATTTTCATTTGGTATTAGTGCTTTTTCTCAGTGTATGTATTTTCTTGAAGAAATATTTAGAACATTTTATTGTTCAGAGTAGAAAGTTTGTTCTTTTGGCGTTCTCGAAGTCAAGTTGCGCAATCGCGGCAACTGACATCATTGCCTTCTTTTCAACGAGTGATGAAGCTATCTATGTCCTCTTTTTTAGCAACTTGGCTTTTTAGCACCGTCGCCTCGCTTCCTACTATGCAAAAAAAATTTCCGGGTTGTCACAAGTGTGATCATTACTTCGATCTTTGACCATAAGTAATTCAACCCTTCGCAAAAATTTTCAGTCCATTAATTAGAGATAGCGCTCTTACGGTACTTTCATGGACGTTGCTTTTAAGCGGTTTGAATTACACTTTTGAATCGTTGGATCAAAGACGAATACCGTTTCATTCTCAGTTCCAGTTCGTTTTGCTTGATGTTTGCGGTCCATCTGTTTTAAAACTTGGAAATTCTCACGTTGCTCACTGAGTTCAGATGCATCATTACTATATTTCCTGAAACGTCAAAGCCTAAAAAGGAAAAGCGACTGGTTTTGGAGGCCCCCGATGGTTTAACTTACCTTTAAACCGCTAAGTAGCTTTTAGACTACGCAACAACCTTTCACCCTAATGGTCTTTCATTGATGTATTGGTTACCGTTTCTAAAAATATTTTCCTTACCACATCGGAATATATTTATTGTTTAGAGATCCTCAGCCGTCATTTTCGGGCGGTGTTTTTGTACTTCTTTCAACTGAAACCAATTTTGCTCTGGTTAGATCGGTACTTAGCTCGAATTGGACCGAAGAGAAGAGTGGAAGATTTTGTCAAACATGCAATTATTCGTCATTAAGAGATCGCAGATGTTCTCGTTATTACTTAGAGGTAAAAAAACTGGCAAATACTCTTTACCTTTGCTCGTAATATAAATTCGAAATGAGATAAAAGCAATATTCAAGGGTCGAATTTTTTTACGAATGATGATTATGTGGGATTAAAGCTCAGAAAAAGATTTTTTAATCTCTGTTTGGACTTTTGTTTAACAACGTGAGGAGAGATCCGAAATTGCCAAAAAACCACTTTTGAGTTCTTGCCTTGATTATGAGTCATTAATCCAAGTGATAAGTTCCCTTGAACCGGCTAATTTACTTGTCAAATTTTTCGCCTTAAAGATGCTTCTGGTCTGAATTTTAATACAGTTTTGACTAAGTTTTATTTTTTTATTTATTTGCCAACCAAACATCTCGCGCTGTCTAATCTGCCTATGGCTTTTATTTAAATGATTTTCCCACTCCTTAGAGAGGATTTATCATATTACTTTGTTTCAGATCTCTTTTTATTACCCGCTATGCAAGCATACTTTATAATAATATGACGCTTCTAGTGATAGAAAGAGCAATCTCGATATTGCAAGATCAGTCAACTTTTTCACCTGCTTTGTCAAATGCGACGAACTGAAATTGGTAGAGTTAAAACAGTCTCGAACTATGTGTTGTAGGGCAAAGAAATGTGCAAATCCAGCACGGAAAAGAAAGACTTAATCTTGAGAATGAAGGGCCAAGGGTTTTGTTTTTTGCCAAACCTTAAACAAGCCTTTCATGGACGGATTAAATAATTTTACGTGGGTAAAAATTGGATAAGTTATTTTCTATCACCTGGGGGGAGGGGTAGAGGACTTTTTTTTGGGGGGGGATTACATGGTTTTCCAGGGGGAACGATGCGGATCAAAAGTCGCCGATAGATCGCTGGGGACTGAAGGGAATTGAGTAAATTCGATCTGGTGAGCTATCGATAGATACCGGACCTTCAGCCGTCTTAATGTGTTATAGACAGCATGATCCAAAAGTCGATTTTTTAAGACTAAACGAAACGATAAATAGCGATAATGCTGTGTGCTTATTCACAAAGTGATGGCCACAGAATGTCCGCCCAGCGATAGATAGAGTTGTCTTTCGTAGTCAATGAGATTTGGCGTCCTCTCAGCAGGCGCTAGTGCGTTATGCTAATTGCTGAAAGCATTATTCTATATTTTCAGCGTTTTTTATCTAAATTTAATTTTAGAGAACCACTTTATCAGAGCAAGAAATCAGACATATTAGAGATTATTTCTCATTCTTATTTGGAAAGAACAATGACAAAAATCTCATTTCCCATGTTTGCGCGTTTACATAAGATCGAATTGGAGATAAATTTCGCATACGAATTAGATTAGTGTTCTATTTGATGTTCAAATCCCTATTGGCGTGCGGCGCCTTTCACCACGATTATCTTTTGACGCCAGTAATTTTAAACCCTGCAGTACAAACGTGCCAGGTCTTTCCTGTGTTCCTTGCAAACATTCCTTGTTACGGTAAACATCTATTGTTATCAATTGGAATTATTGTACGACAATCACCCTATTTTCTAGTAAATATACTCGACAAGATAAATGCGAATTCAAAATTTTGTCTGAGTGAGTGACAGAAACACTTTATAAAAAGACATCGGCGTCATCTTTTCGTGAAGGAAATTAACTTTTGAGTTTGTTTGGCCATTTTTCGGAACAAACAATACTTCACGTTGCACGCAATTTTCGTCAGTTGAAATTTCCGTGTATGGTTATTTCTCAAAATTTCCCAGCTCGTCGTGATTTCGTTCTTTTTAAGGAAATTTCTTCAGTTTTTTTTTTTGCAGTTGTCAGTCTAGCACTTCAGTGTTTGTCTACCAGATTCCCGTGAAATTTAGGTGGCTTTTCCTTCAATTGTGAATGTGAAAATACGACTAAATTTGTGGTTGTCAGGTTGGAGATGAGATTGGAGCTCAAATTTTGTGGTAGCGCAGATGAGGTAAAATATTTTGTGAGCAAGCACTACCAATCCATTTATTTTTTTAGCGCATTCACTGTACTACTTCATATTGTTCTGCTAGAGTACTGCACCAATTGTCGTAACCATTGTACTTCTTTACATGGCTTAAATCCACAATGACTCTACTTCCCTGTTGGCAGAACATCGCCGCCGAATGTGATGCTGTGATTCTGATCGTGTTACATCTTTCTTGATCACAGTACATGACCAAGTGATTTGACTTCGTTTTTTAGGCTCTGAAAGGCACTTACAAAATTTCGACCTTCTGCACGTAAGGTTTCGATTAGAACGTAACTGGGACTCATTTCATTTTGGCATATGAAAGCATCTTTGCCCGCGAGAGGAATGCGTTTATTTACTTTGCATCTCTCTCCTTGGGAAACCTAATAACAAAATGATGGCTGATTTTAAAGCTAACCTCGCAAGCTAGGATAATTGATGTGATTCACACCTTAACTTCTTTTCAAGACAGGGAGTATGTTATGAACCTCTTAGGTGACTCAGCTCAACAACGTCATCTCTGTAACAAAGTTGATTGAGGATACGGTTGCCAAATCGGAAGGTTAGAGGGTTCGAAATCACTCAGGGGACTCAGAATTTTTTTCTTTATTCTTCGGTCGTCGCAAATGTTTCAACATCGTTCTGTAGTTTCTCGTCTTTGTTGGTCTTATTTTTGGTGTTCATCAATCTTTGTCTCTCTTTTAAAGGAGCGCGCCCTTGCTGTCACTGAGCTTGGCTCTGCGCTGAAGTTTGAGACAGATGAGCCTCACTTTGTGAGTCTTGGCGGAGGGCGGCTCAGTATTGGCGTGACGCTGTGTCCAATCAAAAGAGGTAGGCTGTTAGAATTGGCTTTACATTTTATTTACGTGTAGCGAACCATTCAGGAAGAGGAAAACAATTTGGATCATGTTTGAATATGGAAGGATAGAAGTATTGTTCCTTTAGTAAGAGCTGTAAGTTTATTGAATTTTTTGCCGTCATTTCTTCCATAGGAAAAACAGTTATCGGTGTTGCAACAGAGACATGCAAACCCGACATTCAACTAAGAGGAAAAGGAATAGAACCGTGAGTTTAAAAGACGTCTTTATCATGTTTGAGCAATTTCAAGTGTGGATAATTTTGTCACAGCATATCCTTGAGGAATTTTAAGGCTAACTTCTCAGTATCGTATGCATATTTAGAACGGGAAAGTAGTTTGATTGTTAAATTAAAAAATTAACCAACCACCACCAAACGTGAAATCGTAAACAAGGCCATGAAACAAAAGCAAATGCACGTGATTTCTACAGAGCGCGGGAAAACCAACCCGTGTGGCTAAGTTTCGAATGGATCTGGTTCCCACTTGATTGGTTGAACTAGGTGACGCGAGTTTCTTTTCTAGCAATCACAAAGCGTGTTAAAATCAAATCAAAATAGTGCGATTTCAGGATTATTTTCAACATGTAGTTGTGTTTCATTAACAGAGAGCACTGCACAGTGGAATATAATGGGGATGCTGTGGTTCTTTATCCAAAAGCAAATCTATGTTCTGTGGATGGAATCCCCATCTCAGAGCCAACGAGACTACCACAAGGTAACAATTATCGTGTGTTGTCATATCCCACCTTAATGTGGTTAGGTTTAAAACGAGGTAATTATTAGCTGGATATACAATAACTTTTCGTAGGAAAAAATTTTACCGTCCAATCCTTGTTCGTTCGAGGGCAGGTTTTTCCCATACCTGCAAGTGAGGCTTTTCATACGCATGTATGAACGTAGTTTAATGAGTTAATTGGTCTTTTAATCCTAGAGGAGAACGATTTTTAATTTCTCTTCGAAAAGTTAGCCTAACATTTCAAGCAGATGATGAGGATACGAATCTAACACTTACAAGCTACTTCCTTTAATTCATGTAAAGTATCAACAGGGCAAATGTTTAACAGCTAATTGGCAGAAGTGAAGAGTAGGCAGATCTTGGAAGTTGAAGCGTTGACGCGACAAACTTCATCCAGGAAAATGTGGTCGGATGAAGGGGTTGTTAGTACAGAAGTGACTACGCTTTTAAATCGATTGATTGCCAGCATAATTCATAAAAATGACATTTAGCAGGACGATCGTATGGCGAGGTTCCACTTTAGTTAAGTGTTAACAAGACAAAAGAAAATAACCCGAGGGCCAAGCGAGAAATCAGTATAAACAAGAAAAATTTCCTTAGGCGCTTGGAAACACGAGTGACGCATGACCAAGTCATGGCGAGTTAGTTTGTTGTGCATCTGATTGGGTAAAGTATGACAGGAAATCTAAAACCATCACAGAGGGAAGTGAAAGAAAACCAACACCATACCGTATCACTTTCGACACACATTTGAAAGTTGCTTCATCTAGAATTCCTTTTTCTCGGCTCGTTCTTTGTTACACTTCACAATGCTCTTATCCGGGAACTTACCTTTGACACGATTGGTCGTCGCCCTCCCTACCCCAACCGGTAGCCCGAGTCGGGTCATATAAAGTCACAAGACGGTCAAATGCACTTGTTATTTCTGCTCTCCTGCAAGTCTGCCAGATCACGGTGAGAATTTGAAACAAAGCAAGGAGTTTCTGCGTCAACATGCTGCTTTGTTTTACATCTTTAAACTCACTTGAGCAGTAAGTTATTCTCCAAATTAATATTCCTTAGTTTAAATTATTTTTCTGCACGCGCCAATTGTTCATACCTTGGTAGTTTATTTGTTTAAATTTTAAATCTATTTTCTTGCGCGCTTAAATTTATCGGTCAGGGAAGGATCAGGATGAAACAAAATTAGCATGTGTTATTTCTAGTTTCTTTAACGCGAACGACGTCGTGACTTGAATTATCTTTAGAAACCGCAATTATTGCATTTATGCGTTTTTCTGATTTGAAGAAATTGTTCTTCATTGTTAATTTTACTGCTCTGGACTTCATCCATTGTAGTTTTGATAAATTGACGGAGAGTTTCATTAGAGACTCGTAAGATTAGAAAATGAAACTTATGCCTCCAAACAAACCACGTTTGACGCAGTAGGTATTAGTGCAAAAACTATTGTTACCAACTAAACATTATGTCCTTATAAATTACCGTCGAGGCATAAAAATCCTCTGTTTAAATGTTGATTTAAATGATTAAAATTTTAACTCACACTTTTGTCACTGAGACTTCTGCTTGTATAGGTGATGTTTAGTTTTCAGTTGTATATCATTTTCTCGGTTGGCACTTTGCAAGTCAATTTTATAAGTGTGATGTACATTTTGTACATGAACGTTCCGATGTAATTTTGACTAGGATGTATCCATTCTTGGAACAACATTTAGGCATAATGTTGTTTAATGAACCGTTCTCAGAGAATCCAGAGGGATAATGAGCGCCTGTTTCCTCAATATCGTTGTATCCGGCCATGATGTTACATATTCATATCGTTTGGCTATATTTAAATCTAAACGGATGGTATTCTCGCTGATATTTATTCATCGTTACTTGCTTGAAAGTAAAACATTTTTATTTTGCCTGCACATACAAAATACATCTTTGAAACGTCCTTGAAATTGAACTTTGTACAAAAGCAAAGTACGAGCTGTGAGCTTTTACTATACTCTTCAAAGCGTTTATTTGCGTTTTTTTTTGTTTGTTTATTTTCTTTTACTAGTAGAGAGTGAATTTTCTGATTTAACTTCTTCGCATGATCACAAGGAGTCGAAAGATCATTTTAGACCGTTTAGAGAAGGGTCTTTGCAGTTTTTGGTTTTGAACGTCAACCTGCCACATTGGTTTTTCCTCTTGTCTTATAATCGTAGTTTCGAATGCGTTGTTGAGCATTCGTTTCCATTATGCAAATGGTTTCCGAACTCGCCCGTTGCGTGATTATAATCATCTCCATCGCGTGTTCATATGTAACGCTTTGTCGCGTGTGTCACGCCACATAACACTTCGTGACCGATTGTATTGTCTTATAGGTTGTATGATCTGCCTGGGAAAGTCTAATTACTTTCGCTTCAACCATCCCAGAGAAGCTAAGAGGATCAAGGAATCCAACCCTGGAAATCGATTCTCTATCGTTCCGGATCAGTATTATCCTGGTAAGTAAGGACGAAGAAAATTTAAGTAAATTTATTTGTCAGTCATTTGACACTTCACACCCGTGGATCATGAGAGCTTACTTGCTAGGGGTTTTTTGACGTGGCAGTTCTCCTTTTGACGAATACTCGCGAGAGGACAGCTCTACTTACAGTTTCGCTGTACTTTGTCAAAACCTCCCACAAAATCTGTATTTACACGTTTCGTTTACATGGCGTACTGGTGAGAGCACCAGATTTGATCCCCGATCCTGACGTTTGTCGTTAGTTCTCGTCCTTGCTTCTGTAGTTTATCGCCAGTTTCTCGGGTTTACTGTTCCCCACTTATACCAAAGCTTCAAATTTCAGTTCCACTTTGTAAAATTTAAAAAGATCGAGAAAAAAATGTTTTTTGTTCACTTTATTTCAACCCGTATGAAACATCCCTGGAGCTCAACTCCAAGGCATTTTTCGAAATTATTTAGTCTAGATGATAATGCTTCTTTAATTTCCGTTTTCTTCCTGTTTAAACAGATGTTGAACTTGCCATTGAGCAATACAAGAGAGATAAGAAAGAGAGAGACAGACTCGAGAAGGAGAACGAACGTTTGTTGTCTCTGGAAAACGAGTACAAGGAGGCTGTGGAACGAATCGAGTTTGAAAAATCCCAACTTGAAGAAGAACGGCAAAAGCTTCAAGAAATGGAACAGCAGCACAAAGAAGCTGTTGATAGCTTCGAAGACGAAATAGCTGTGCAAATTAAAGAACTAGAGAGACAGCGAGAGGAGCTACAGCATTTTGAAGAGGAGAAAGAAAAACTTGCCATGCTACAAGAAAAGTATGAAGAGAACGTCAAGAAGCAAGAGCTCGAACGGGCAAACAAGGAAAAGAAACGGCAGCAAGAGTACGAACGATTGAAGACGATGAAAGCAAAGTTAGAAGGAGAAGAAGGAACGGAGAAAGAGAGAGTCGCTATTGAAGAATTGAGGCAACAACTTGCGCTTCAAGAGTTGAACAGTTTGGAAGAGGAGCTGCAAACTTACGAGAGGCAGCAGCTTGATAGTGAACTGATAGAGGAAGAAAGGAAAAAACTAGACGAGATGAAGGAACGACAATCTGTGGTTATAAAACAGTTGGAAGAAGAACTGAATGCCCAAATCAAGATGTTGAAAGAAGAAAGAGAAAAGGAGAATAATAAGATAGAACAGGAAAAGCAGAGAATTCAGTTGTTGGAGAAACAACAGCAAGAAGTTTTGAAACAGATTGAGCTCGAACGACAACGGCTTGACCAAGAACGTGAGGAAGAGAGGAGAAGACTTCAACAGGAACGCGAGCGATTGGACAAATTAGAAGAGGAACGAATGGAATTGTTGGAAAATGCCGCTCGGGAGCAAGAACAAGAGAAACAAATGATCGAATCTGAGAAAAAGCGACTCGTAGAGCTAGAGGAAAAGCACGCACAGGCCATGAAGGAAATCGAAGACGCTATGATTTCCAAACAGGATAAAATGGAACGCGAACGGCAAATTGAGTTCGAGTTTTTCGAAACTGAGCAACTTTTGTTGGAAGAGTTGGAGCAAAAACAGCGCGAAGCCGCCGAACAGCTGGACCGAGAGCGAGAGATAATTCGACAGCAATTCGAGAAGGAAAGAGAGGAAGAAAGAAAACAGGTTGAAGGTGAACAGAGGCGCCTTCAAGAATTACAAATACAACAGCAGGAGACACTGCGGCAAGCTGAAGAAGAAAGGCGACGGCTCCAAGCGGAGCTCAAGAGTCAGCGAGAATTAATGCAGAAAGAAAAGTCACGGTTGGTGAATCTGGAGAAAGAATACAAGAAGATCAGATGCAATGGCTCTGAAGCGCCTCTGGTTCTTTCTGCGTTAAACATGCGAGATATATCGCAGCTTGGAAAAGGTTGCTCGCTTGAGGAGAGGAAACAACGCCTGGAGGAAGAGAAAAGACGACTAATTGAGTTGAAGAAAGAAGCGGAAAACTTGCACGCCAAACAGCAAGAGAGCGGTGATAGCGGAAGCAGTGGGGACGAAAGAGCTAAAAACCAAACGGCCAAAAAGCTTCAACGCGAAAAGGAACGAAGGGTTCAACTCGAGAAACAATTAGCTGAACTGCAGCAGAAAAACAACAACACGGCTGTCGCAGACGATGGTCAGAAAGTGAAAGAGCTTGAACAAGCTCTTGGAATGGAACGCTCGAGAAGACAGGAAATGGAAAGAATTCTATCGGAGAAACAAAAACAGGAAGAACTCGAAAGGGTTGCAGCAGCGGAGAGAGCTCGGAAAGAGATGATGACAGAGAAAGCTATTCAAGAGAGGCTTCCTGCTAAGGTAAAAACTGAAATGAAGTTTCTTCTTTTAAACACCTGAGTGTTGTAAAGCAAGAATTTCCCAACCATCTATGGGACGTTGGGCGGGATAAATGGTTGATAACTACTTGAGACATTAGGGCAGTTGCTTACATTCTTCATCGGGTGTAGAGAAAGTGAGAAAGTTAAATTTTTTGTAAACTCGATTATCAGCCATAGAAAGGTGAAACACATTCGTCACTATTGTGGACACATAAGAAATTCCAGTTCCTGGTGTGGAGCTTTTGCCGCAGTGGCGATAAGATGCTATTCTATGAGTCTGAATAACGGTCATTTATTTATATATAGAGGATATTACATGGCGGTGTGGGGATACGAATTTTATCTTCAAGTGCTGAAAGTATCTCTCACAAGTGGGCGAGGCGAACGAGTGAGAGATACTTTTAGCGCCAGAAGATAAAATTCGTTTCCCCAAGCGACCATGTAATGTTCTGTTAATTTATTTATACTGATGAAATTTCAAAAGAATCGGCCGCGCGCCTGAGCGGGAAGTTCTCTTGTAATTGTCTAATCATGTTGGTAATCATGGCGACACCACTATCCTCACACGTGTTAGATAAAATTATGATTTTAGTAAAAGGAAAAATCCTGGTATTTCATCAGTATCTATAGAATATACTAAATTATACTATATTGAAAAGAACGATTGTTCTCTGCCTTCCAGTTATGGTGCAATAAATATTAATTTTTACCTTGTTTGACCTTGCTTATCGTATAGGTCAAAAATGGAACATCACACCATGACAATAACGACCTCAATCTCGTCCAGTACTTGGTTTCAACAGGTCACGTGCTAGAAAACTGTCCATCAGTGCGCGTCACAGCGCATGCGTGCAAAGGATACCTGTCAAAACTGGGAGGAAAAATCATCAAGTCATGGAAAAAGCGCTGGTTTGTGTTAGACAGACAGAAACGTGCCCTGTGTTACTACTCCGATGAACATCAACGTGTGCCTAAGGGAATCGTTTACTTCCAAGCCATTCAAGATGTGTACGTAGATTTGCCCAGTTCACACAAGAGCTCGTCTACAAGGACTACTTTTTGCGTTAAGACCCCTCAAGAAACTTATTGCGTGGCCGCGCCAAGTGGCCTGGCCATGAGTATTTGGATTGACGCTATTCTCACGGGTCGGGAGGGGGCTGACTTTTACAACTAAGGGAGCCATCCCTTGTTTATTATTTCATTTCTGTGGGGGAAAGGGAGAGGAGAGATGTGTTTTTTGTTTTTTGTTTTTTGTTTTTTTGGTTTTGAACAATCCGTAATAATTCTTTACTGTTAAGTTGGGTTCATTTTTTTTTCAGTTTGGTTTTAAAGCATTTTAAGGGCAGTCAGTGAGAAAGTAATGTTGGCTGAGCTTCAGGCTTCAGCTACAATGATAAATAATCCAACCGATTTTGCCTTTAGTATTTCAAATAGGCGTTAAAAAGTATATGGTATCTGTTTCTGTAGACTCCACGATAAGATAGGTTAAATAAACGTATAAAATTTAAGGGCCCAGGTAAAAGAGATATTCAACTTCATTTAACTTAGCAGTAAACGAGAGCCAGGTTATTTTTAGTATTGTTTTATGGTAAAAATTATTTTACCTCGAGTTGTGTTATAAGTAACGGAAATGTATTTCTGATTATACGATATTATTTTATATACATGAAATATCTAGGGTCCGTAATATTGAGCAATAATTATCAAGTTGTAATTAGTAATTTTGAAAACTCGATGTTACGCACGCGTCAAGTGGAAAGAGTGATTGGTTCAGTGTAGGACACTTCAAAGGGTTGTATATAGACAGAAAACCTGAGTGAAACCTGTCCTTTGCTGGCAACTATGGTGTATTGCAGAAAATGACTTTAAAAAGTTTCTCGGAAGGTGACTTTTTGACGTTTGACTTTTTCAGGGCGTATCAATTTTTGAAGATAATTTTGCAGCTTGGGGCCCTGGTCCCTAGAGTTAAGAAAGGGCGAAAGATTTTTCAGAAATTCCGATTAATTTCTGCAACAAACTTTATTGAAAGCAGCTTGAAGAAAACACACGTAAGTTGATTAGTTTGCTCAATAATCTTGTCAGAAAATAGGAGACTTTCTCGGGACAATTGCACGACAGATATCAATGAAGCTTGGCGATTGTATCACTTGACTTGATTAATCCAATGGCGCCTTGCAGATTGGCAGGTTTAAAAACGTTAGAAAGACCTAGCCCTTTGTTCTAACTCCCGTCTTCTTATGCACCGCAATTTAGACCAATGTTCTCCGTAATGCAAACTTAAGATATTTAAAAACATCCGAGTTTCGATATTCCTATTTTTATCCAATTTAATGGCCTCCTCTAAAGAAGTTTCTGCCAGATTCTTCCTCATACTGAAACATACTGATTTAACAGATATTTTTGTAATGCATATGGTGTTAGTAAAGGAAAGTAATATAACGTGAAAAGGTGTAAGGTGTTAAAGTTGTTGTATTGAATTATACGCTAAACCAAAGATACATTGTTAACTGAAGATCAAAAAGCGTTTCTATCGGAGTCACTGTTAGAGTTTGTACCTTAAACTGTTCTTTTGAAATCTCCGGATTTAGAAATTAAGTTTACCAAATAAAGTTGCCTCGAACGGCATGTGTGTATTCCTTGCGTTAGAGGTTTTGAGCTGTAAAATTAACCGGATGGACAAGCTTCCTATCAAATAGCGCATGGAAAATTCAAAAGTTTCCAGTACCGGCAAGAGTTTTCTAATACTTTTTTCACACCCATTAGTTCCATACTTCCCTGGCTCAATTAGTTTGTGTAAGTGGAACCTCTTTCATAGCAAAATAAGTGTAACAAAGTTGAAATACCCAGGGTGTACTTGCCGGAATCGAAGAATAGTAAGTAGCATACCCAACCTTAGCCCCACATTGAAAAGAGAGGATTTCCAAGGTTTTGAAATGAACTCGAGGAACAAAGTTGAGGACATTGAGCTCTTTCTCCACATATGCAAATATTTCTGATATGTGCACTCTAAGACCAACTAAAAACGCAGTTCAAATAATCATGAATTCACGATCCGTTGATGACAACCTCTGGCTTTCAAAAGTCAAATTTTCACTTTAGCAAAGGAAATTGAGCTGTGGCTATTTAACCGCGTGGTTTCAGTCGTGTATTTGACGCGCGTTAGTTTGACGTGTCTAAAGCTAATCATGCTCTAATTACAGGGCAATCTGACTCATAACCCAATGGAAACGGTAACTGAGCGCTCCTCCTATTGCGCCTCATTTTCTCTTCGCGTTCGCCTCGCGGACATCACGCACTTGCCTCGCGGTCATCACGCACTTGCCTCGCGCTTTCCTCTGCTCGCCTAAAGAACGCAAGAATATTGACACCTGTTCTGTCTAATCAGCAAAAGTGCAGGCGAGTTTTCCCCACTATTTCTGAAGAATAATTAGTTGTTCTCTTGGTTTTCGTAAATTTGATATTGATTATCAACTCTTAAAATATACTGATTCAAACCCATCAACACCAAAGAAGAGTTTGCAATTTCTGCAACATCGTTGTAAAGTAAGGCAAAGAGAAAGTGATTCAACAAAGGATGTCTACACAAACCGCTGAAGGGTCCCTTGTGATATGACTACCAAAAAAACGAATTGCAAAAAACTTGCACCAAGTTTCAAGGTCGTTTAAAATACCTTTACAAGACAGTATTGCTTTCATATTGCTTTTAATATTTTGCCCTCTTTATAAAATAGTGCCACTTCTGTCTATATTAACAACATAGGAACTCTGTGTAGGTACAAACTCTCTCTTATCTCATAAACAGTTGGAAAAAATACTGCACCATACAGTCTACCAGGACAAAGCTGGTTGTGACCCCTTTTTTCTAAAAATTTGATAAATAGAGATTATCACAGCAAACTCCTCATACTCCCTGCCCCCTTAATACAAATGGGATGCTAAATAATTCAGCCAGTCCCACACTCCCACCACCTCACAGGTACATAGCACAATCCCTCATAAATAACATATGTGGTGAAAATTAACTCTCTCTTTGAGTTTTAGAAGTTTTAGTAATAATTTACATTTTACATTGAGTAGAATCACACAAATTCCTTGGCAAATATGTTAATCTGGCCTTAAAATCTCTGGTATAAACATGGATGTAATATCAACAATCTGTAAACAACATCAAAACTGAAAAAAAAATTAAAACTAAGACTTGATCAGTTGCTATTTAACATCTAAATCTTCTCTTTTCATGTGTTTTTAGTAAGCGTTAATCTGAAAAGAACTGCTCAAGAGGTCATCAATAATGCAAACCTAATTTTTCTTTTAAACAGTATAACCATACATGGGATTAAGGTTCATTGGAAAAGAAATGTAGCAAGGACTTAGTTTGTACAAGGCATATTACAAATCTTTGGTTCTAGTCATCTATATACACCCTAAATACTATCCAAATAAAACTTTTCTAACAAAATGAAAAGATTGTCCAAAGGAAGAGCAAGCTGTTTCATCTCAAGAGAAGCCTATCTCACCTCTTCATAAACTTAGAGTTTTGTTCATTTCTCAGAAGTGACTAACTTGAGCAGTCAATTTAACCCTTAAAAACCACTGTGATTCTCCTCACTGTCTGACACACAATTCTCATGATGATAGTTTTGAGAATTTGGTATTGGATCAACTGAAAATATCCTAACTGATATTTTTCTTTATTCTCATCACTTGTCTACTTGATATTGTATTGATTTTGAGAGGAGAAATTCTGTTTTGGTCACTTATGGGAGTAAAAGGGTTAAGATCAAGACTGACTGGGCCTTTTTCAAAAGTTTCCCCAAATTGTTGAACAAATTCTATCAAAATTGACAAATCAAATTTCACACGAAGTGGCCTTCATGTGATAAGCAAGAACTAGGGGCATAGATCCAGGAGATGCAAAACTGAATGTTTCATTCAAGGGAACAGTGCCTGTAGTGAGGTTGTCTACAAAGATGTGTAGATCCATAGACAGAAGGTTCTGTTGTTAAGGCCCCTACCACAATAAGTTTGTTATGCCCTTAAAGAAATAACTACCACAAGTATACCATGAAAAAATAACATAGACAGGGTGTCATTTGCAAGACAGGGTACCACATTGGTTGTGGGTGGGGTTCATAGATTTTGATACATTCTGTGAACTTGCTGTCTTGACATTTGACTGAAGACTGATGAGTTGACCCACCGTGGTCTCCATGGTGTGTTTCTGCTGAACAAGACTGTCTTTTTCCTGTAGCTGAGTTACCAGCTCTGATGACACACCTGTAAGAAAAGGAAATCATTTGTTCCAAAAACAGAATTGCAAAGAATTTCATGCTTCAATTCACTAGATCAGTAAACAGTTAATTTTTTCATTTTTTTTGGTTGATTCTGCTACAGTTAGATTTTCCAAAATCAACTACATAATTTGTTGAATATTTTGAGAATTGGAATGCAAACAAAAGGACAAAGACCATTGATGATTTGAGCCAATCCAAAAATATATTACACACTCCAAAAACATACACTTCATTTTTCAAGAAAAGTATTTTGGGATTTTACTTACCTTTAAGAAAATTACATAAAATCTTTTAGACTGCAGTCACTATTGTGTATATTCAACATATTCCACCACAGGACCCCTGTGCATTTTTGGAATTGTTATGGCTACCACCTACTTATCAATATCATAATAACATCAATAAGCCTCTGTGGTATAATGTTTTCTTTGACATATGAGATTTTCTATAAATAAATTAGGTATGCAGAGCATTTTAATAAAATATTCCCAACAGGAGGAATTAAAATGAGAAGCACTGTGTTTGCATGAGAACAATTTATCTTAGAGTCACTCAAAATACAGAAGTCACTGACACTAACCATTTATTCTCCTTTTCAGATCCTCCAACACATCCTTCAGCTCATTCAAATCACACTGCAACACTAACATGATATTTCAACCCTTAAACTTTCATGATCTTAAAATCAATTCTCCTTACTGTCTGTTATACATTTCTTATCATTTTACCTCTAAGAATTTTGGCATCAGATCAAACAATATCTTCCATATGATATTTTCTACACCCTCGTGAACTTTCTGCTCGACAAAGTATTGATATTAGGGGATGAATTCACTCCTCAAAGACAAATCCTATGGTAAAACGGTTTAAATATCTTCTGTCAATTTATTTCATTAAGAAATCATCTTAATTTATGTGCCATTTAAGTAAGGGTCTCGATAGAGTGCAGGTTTTTAATTAACTTGAAGGAGCTGACAGCAGAAAACTAGTGGTAACTGATGACCAATATGAAATATGTTTATCAAACACAGCCTTTCGCGATCTTATGGAAGGGCCTCATCCATCCCTTTCGTTACCAAACCAGAGATAAATTATATTATGAATGTATTTATGGGGGGGACGATAAATAATCACATTTAAATAAATTACAGGCTGTCGTTTACTTATCACCGTTTGAAGTTAAAGTTAGCGATCAAGCTTTAAATCATAACCACAGAATTTAAATAATTGAACGTGATTATACCCACATGTCGATTTTGTGTGCCAAATGAACTTGCTTTGTTCGCTCGCAACGGGAGACGCTGAACCTTGCTGTTCTTCTTCTGAGTCTATAGAACAAATTCGTACTTTACTAGATCGCCATTGTCCTTGTTTGCTTCGTACTTCTGCTACTCGATAAGCTTCTTTACTCTGGCTGAAGACAGAGTAGTCCGAGGCCGTTGAGAAGGACCTTGTTGTTGTGGTTGGTATTGTCCGATTTCGATCGTTCGAAGTATCAGAGACGGGAGTCCAAAATTCTACTGAAGCCTCTCCTGCGCTAATAAAACCCTTGAGCTTATCTTTCCACGTTTTCTTCGGCTGAGGATAAAACGTGTTCTTCATGATAGTGTCCCATCTTTCCAGGCAAATTCGATGAGCAAAGGTAGCCTCCTCTGCTTTCGAAGACTCAATAATGTTTTCCCCCGAGCTGGGCAATTTCTTGCGCAAAATACATGAAATCAGCTCTTCCCCTGTCTGTTGTCCACAAATCTTGCACTCTTCGGTATCGAGACTTATTGTTTCGAATTCATCCATGACGATTCTCCAGTGTAACGAAGGTGTCCGTATAAACAAATTCCGAATGCAAATTATTAATGATTAGCGAGTTATGCTCGTTTCTTTCGTTCCTGTCGCTTCATGGGTCAGATTAGACATCTTAGGCAGCGATAGAACCTTTCAAAATGAGTACCACAGTGTTTTTGTCTATAATCTTGGGGTTAAATTCATCGACTAACCCCTTAGGATCTTCATCGTCAAATAAATAAGTCAATAACTATTAATTAAATTTTTGGCAACAAGGATGCAAGCTCACTCGAATGACGTCATAAATGACGTACGGGGGTTTTGGACTGGACTCTGGAAACTGGAGCAAGTTTACGAAAGAGAGTTAGAGGTTATTGAATGGTTTATAAAGAGAGCTTTAGAACTGTTACTTTAACCCCCCAGCAATTGACACATCTGAAATGAAAGAGAAGGTGATGTAGAGTATGGAGGAGGAGAGGAAGGAATTTAGTCACTCGAGCTCGTAACGATAATATTCTTAAACAACTCAAACCAAATCAAATGAAGGCACTCAACTATCGTATTCTTTTCCTCAGAGCTCACTGTCTCTTTAAGCTGGCAGGACACATTGCATATTCTATTTTCGCTGTGAAGGCACTGAAAAATTGAGAAAAACCACGTCACGTAATGGAGTGGAAGCACGCTACACTCTGAAAACGAGGACGGCCTGTTCTCGAGTTCGCGTGCGCGCAGGGTGATTTGAAGTTTTGCGTCAATCGTCATAGAATCCATTGTCACGTTGACTATGACATCATTTAACCGTTAAGTCGCCTGTCAAAATATTTGAACGGTGAGGAACTTCCCAGAGAAGCTACAACACGAGCGAGAAAGAGAGAGAAAATATTTGTCTGATAGAAATCTGCAATTAACAGAAAATCCTAAAGCTAATATATCCAAACTGTCATGGCTGCAAGAAACCGCAAGAATTTTAAGAGGCAACAAAACAACACAGGAGGTACTACCTTGTGCTTTTTTTCGTCTATTCTCGTGCAGCATTTAGAGTAAATATATCGATTCTCATGTCATTGTGTTTCATGTAAAAGTTGAGTTTCATGATCGGTTTGATACGTTTTCTTTTCTAATGGTCCAGTTGAGGATGCACAGTGAAATTTTGACATTTATGATAGAATATCCAAACAAGTTTAGAATACATTGAGCTCACATTCGATTTTCGACTTGTAAGTACCTATTACCTGAAAGCTTTAACAGCACAAATCTTTCTTAAGGTGAATTTTTTCTGATTGATTAAAATTATTCACTAGCCGCAGATCTGAGTGTTTCTAAGGAAGACCTCATGGCCAGTATTCGAAGGTTGGAAGCGCAGTTAGCTCAGGAGAAGTTTTTCCACGAGAAATCTAAGGCTGAACAGCAGCAAGAGATAAAGGTAAAATGTATTGAGTTTGATTCTTACTTCAGTTTCCATACCACTGTTTCATTAAGTATGGCCGCACAGAAATTGTATCTACAATTAGTCACTCCCTCAAGAGAACTGCCAGTATAATGCGGGAAAAATGCAACATCAGTCCCCATGAGATTTTAACCTGGGCCTATTTGTTCGAAGGCCGATTAGCACTAACCCAGGAATTTGTCAGTATATGTATTATTTAGGGCATAAAACTTCTGTATTATAAGTATCTGGGCAACTGCCCACCTACCCCTCCCCTAACCCAACATTAACCCTAACTTGTTATCGATCGACTGTTGTTGACTTAGGGGAGGGGTAGGTGGGCAGTTGCTCAGATACTGATATTGATCCAAACTTCTCTACTGAATTCTCTTAATTTCTTACACCTTTCAGATTCTTAACGGAAAAGTTAAGAATTTGGAAAGTCAAAAGAAAGCTCTTTGGGTCAAGTTGGAAAAGAATCCGCTTGAACAGCTTAACAAGTTGCAAAGAGAGCTCAATGATACAAAGAAAAAACTGGATGAAGCAAATCAAAAGATAGCTGTAAGTATAACGGTCCCTGGGCACATCTTTTTTTCCAGAGATTTGCTCAAAATGGTTGAAGGTTTTAGGAGCAGAGATCGTGCAGCACTTATCTTCCAGCATCTCTTTACAGTCGTCTTTTCACGCATCAGATATAACCTGTGTAACAAATTTTTATTTTTCCTTCCTTCGAAATGAATTCAAATAAAGAAAACAAAATGTTTAATGTATCTGTGACACGTAATTTAACATGACTGAATAATTTCATTATTATGTTGGAAACAGAACCTCAATAAACAGATGGAAAAGCTATCGCGATCCAATAAAGAAATCCAGAAGGCGAAGGAGAAAGTTACTGAAGAGTTTTTAGAAAAGATCCAGCAAAAGAACTCCAAGATTCATAAGCTTGAGGTCAGTTAGTTTGATTTGGGCTGGAATGGGAAATAAACCTCCATTTCCGCGTATAACTAAAAAGCAATTTAGTGATCAGAGCCTTGATTGTCTGTCTCTGCCTTAATATTTTCTACTGCTTAGAGAAATTGACAATCTACCCTCGAACATCTTCTGATTTTTAGTAATTAACTTTTCATGAGATTTCTTTCTGTACGTCAATTGTTTCGTTTTCAGGTAAAAATTAGAGATTTGAAAACAACTAATTTTGATGTCCAAATTCAAGAATCTCCTGCCAAGAGTGATTCCCTGAAGGTAAAATATATAGTAGATGGGTCTCGTTTTTTTTTAATCATTTGGAATTGATCATTTCAGTAGTTACTGCTTACTACTTTGTTATTGCCGTTACTGCTTCAGGGGTCTGGGGAGAGGAAAAAAGGAAAGCGCGCTGGGAACGATGGGAAGATCAAGGAAGAGGAAAGCCTCCTGAAATTCTTCACTTTTTCTGTTGCCCCCTCCGCGCACTCTTTTCCATTCATAATTCAGACATGTCATGAAAAATGTTGTCGTTTCATCTATGATCTTAATCTCATGACCATATTTTCACGCGTAAATGCACATGGTGTGATAAATTCAAACCTGACATTGTAGAATTCCTCCGAGACCGTGTGTCTTTTTGGATGTAATGAATAGAAAGAGTAAGTTTCTAAAGAAACAGAGTAAAAGGGAGAGTAAAACAGAGTAATTTAGTATTATCACCCGAGTTGATAATGTAAATTGAAGGGCTAACGCTCGAATCGTCAGCTTTTAAACTCGTCACGGTGGCCAATTTACGTTAACAACTCAGTTGATAATTGTTTTTGGATGTAAGCTTGCATCTTATGTTGTTAAATAATGTCTTGTTGCTTAGTTAAGTGACACTACCGAGAAGTCAGAAAATTGGGAAGAAGATCTAGAGATTCAACGAGAGGAAGAAAAAGAACAAAAAGTGAGCGATGTATATGTAATATGTAAAAATTAAATTAGATTCAATCAGATTAAAATCAAATTGTTCACTCCGACCAATCAGAATAGAGAAAAATATTACCTTCGTATGGAGCCAGTGGCGCGAATTTCTTTAGCCAATCAGAAAGGGCAGCAAAGCAAAATGAAAATCATACAAATTTTATATCACGTTGAACCCTTGGTTTCCAATGACGGACTACTTGATAACAGCCTCATAGCCAATTGGGTGTATCGCTTTTATTTTTCACCACATTTCTACATTTTTTTTCATTTATGCATTTTTAACGCCATCAAGCATTAAAGATTGTTTCACAGGGTCCATTCGCTCGGAATCTTGACAATCATTTCTCGTGTTCAGTTTGGCGTCATTTACACAATATTCACTGCGCTTTTTAAACACGAACTTCAAATCATATTCATATGTGTTTTACTGCATCTTTCACAATTCAAAGGTGACATCCGAAAGATATGAAAAAACTCAGACAGAGCCTGTGGAAACTTGCACTGTGAACTTCTTTCCATCTATTCACACCGCGGTTGCTAAAAACAAGGAAGGTCATGATTCCAGTCAGCAAGCCCATCAAGGGAACGAGACGACCTCGATGAATTACTGGGCAAGTTCATGCGCAAGCCTAGAGGAACAACCTCCACCAAGTGAGGAAAACATTCTAGAGAACAAAGGCGAGGATGTCGCACAAGATTCTGTTGAAAAAATTGACGAGTGGACTATGACAGACAGAAATGAGAATAGGAAAAGCAACTGCGCGGAAGATCACATTTCCTCGACAACCTCTGGCACGAATCAACAAGAGCGCACCGCCAACTGCAATAGTACATACATGAGGCGTCTTAGGAATTTATATACAAAGATGGGCCTCGGATCGAAGGCAAATGCGGCTGAAGACATCGCTGGAGCATGCTTACAAGTTCCTGTGGAATACTTAAAGATGATGACTACAAATAAACGACCTCCACCCGGCTTTCACCCTAACGATATTGGTTTCACTCCCATGGCGAGTTTATCAAATAACATCTTGTACTTTGTTCCAGTACAAACTGTTAACAACTTCCATTAAGTAAAAGAAATCGAGATAAGAAGCTTGCTAAGTTGATAATATTGTTACAAAGCTTGTTAAGTTGATAATATTGTTACAAAGTTTTCCTTTGTACTTAAAGATCTGCAGTCTGTTTTGTAATGACTATATAGGGAAATAAAACTTGCATTTACTTCCGTTTGAATGATGTGGTTTTGTGTAATTTTTACAGTTATTTAATTTCTCTTTGAACGGGGCTGTTAAGTCGAATCATTCATTTCTGATGTAAATTCTAGGCATCTATTGTGATCAACCGAAATGCCCTGCACCCTAACTAGCAAATGAAGTCTGTCATCGTAAATATTTTCATTTGAAACAGTGGGTCTTCGACAATAGAGTGGATTAACCTCGATGTTTTTTCGCAAGAGCGCATTTCGATTTAGCGTCGCAAAAGCTTTAACCTGAATTTTTTTAGGTACCTTTTTCTGAAATTTTTCATCAGTTCATTGGTGAGGATGATTTCGTAAATAAATTTACTTATTTACTATTACGTTATTAACTTGTGCATAGTAGACATAAGTGAGCATCATTTGCCTCTTTCTTTTCTTTTTTCACCTCGCTTTTTTAAAACCCATCATCCTAAATGAAGGGCACACTCCGAGCATATGATCTGTCCGGTAGGAAGAAGTCGAACCAAAGAAGAGAGAATCCACAATAAGAAACAAGTCTGTCATGAAACCCAACTGGAAAACGGCACAGCGAACCTTGCACTTCTTTCACACAAGGTAAGTATTAATAGCAAAATAATTTGACATGATTTCTGAACAAAACATCTTTAATTGAAAAGTTCCACGTTTCACTCCCTATGCATTTTGTAATAATTATGATATAAAGAAAGAAAACATTTTTGTGAATTTAATTATAATCTGTACATGTATAACAAATGAGTGAGTGTTTCTATCCATAACATGACTGCATCACTCCTGTGAGATATATTACATAGGCAAAAGGGGTCAAATCATCTGCATGTTAATCCTTTAACTCCCAAGATCTGATTGCTAATTCTCCCCTGTAGCTGCTACACATTTCCTTGTAAATTAGTTATGAGAACTTATTTCTAGATCAAGATAGCAGCTTCTCCCTGATAAGGTTGAATATTCTCATTACCTCTTTGCTGAAGAATGTATGGATATTGTAGGGAGAAGTTTTATGTTCATCACTTCTGGGAGTTAAAGGGTTAATCAAAACCATCAGGAAGACGGTTGTATCTTGCTTGATTAACATAAATAATTATCACTTAGAGGGCTGGTTACTTAAGCAAACCTTAGTCGTTGTTTAACAAAACCATGCTCTAAACTATCTTTAATTTAGCCCAACCTTTTATCTGAACATTCATTTTTATGAACAGTGTCAAGAGGATGAAAGTCAACAGTGGAAGGACATTATTTTATTAAGCCTTTAACTCCCAAGATCTCATTAGTAATTCTCCTTACTATCTCCTATACAGTTCTTCTGATGTTAGTTTGGAGGATTTATTATTAGATCATCTTATAATCCCCTAACTGATATTTCTCTTTATTTTCATACCTTGTCTGCTTGATATTATTTTGATATTGTAAGGAGAAATTCTTTTTTGGTCACTTATGGGAGTTAAAGGGTTAAATCAACCCTCTTCTAGAGAATACTTGAGGTCCATTGTTTGCATGGAACTGCAATTTGTGTTAGACCTTGTTTAAATAACTGGTTAACAGTCTTTTTGTGATTCCATTTGTGTTTTACATGACTGTTGATTACAGTCACTTATCGTCTTACCACATTAAATCAACCATTTTTAATGATTGTTATAAAATACCAAAAGACAGCTTAATTGGTTATGTCAGATCGCCAGGGCAACAACATTAAACACAAAATGTTGGATACAAAAACTGCTTTCATTATTCTGGTTTTTGGAATTTAGAAACGGCCACTGGTTCACATGCAATACTCAAATGATAACCAATATCTAGCCAGCTTATTTGTTTGATTATCTACTTCTGCTATAAATTAAAAAGGTTTATTACAATGCCAACTTTTAATGAAAGAAAAAATTTCAATAAAAATGGCCTACACAGCAGACATAAGCTGTTAAGACAAAGGGGAAAAATACAAGAAGAAAATGTAGGCAAGAACATTGAAATTTTGATTCATTCATTTTCCTTTTTTATGGACAACTTTCTTTTCCTCTGCTCCTTCTGAAATTTTACTCACTTCTTCACACTTACCTTGTGGCATGTTTAACAATCTCTGCTCGGCAGCCACAAAAGGTAGGCTCTTAAAATATAATGGAGGTATTTTGACATTAATCCTTTCACTTTTGTTTAGACATTGAAAGACATAATGTCCCTCCATGACCCCTGTGGGAGTAGAAAATGTTGTACAACTAATGTACTCATGGAGTGCCCCTGGGGTCATTACTGGAAACTCTCCGACCACACCATCTCCATGGACTTCTTCTTTGATTCCATTTGCATCAGTAATGTACCAGTGACGTGTTGTGAGCTGACATTTATTTATAACCTGAAATGTGAAAGGCCAAAGATCTGTTAGTGTAAGAAAAGAAGTTTCTTTGATGCCCACTATAAATAAATGTCTAGTTTCTGTGGCGTGAAGCTACTGATAATCATCACCTGTAATACGTTTGCAAAACAACTGTTTTTTAACCTTTAACTCCCAAGACCTAGTTGTTAATTCTCCCCTCTAGCTGCAAGAAATTTCCTTGTAAATTAGTTTAAAAACTTCTAATTGATAAGTTTGAGAATTCTTATTACCTCTTTGCTGAAGAATGTAAGGATAACATAATAAGAAGTTAAATGTTAATCACTTTTAGAAGTTGAGTGGTTTAAATATCGTCAAATCAAAGTCATGATGGTAACTGCTTTGTGGTAGTTGTACACAACATGATAAACATTTTTAAAACCTTGTGACATGGAAGGCATGAGTCAGTGACAAATTTGCATGATATTTTTCGCATGTAGCAAGCAACAATAGAGAATGATGTCTGTGATTTTAAGGAAAAATTCTTAAATTTTAAGTGCCTTTTACAACTTGTAACCTACCTCAGAACACTTGGGATCCATGGAAATTGATATGCGATATGTGAAGAAAAACAGGGGAGGTTTGACACTACTTAGCTCTGGAAGAAATGCAGTAGTAGTGGTAACTGTGATTCCTTGGGTTGTCGCAGAGGCAGAAAATAAGAACTTGTAAATTTCTTTGTTGATTACTGGGAAGCAGTTCCGAGACAACTGATCTGCATAGTTACACAGCCAGCTTTCAAAATTGCTTCCACTCAGAAAATGGTGCATTCTCATTGGAGAAATTTCAAAATTGTCAGCACTGCGATCTGGGCTTGGCCAAAACAAATCTCCTGGATTACGCCCCTCTTCATTTGTCAATGCCATAAATTGTCCATTTCCAGTATTCACACATAAGGAAACAGGAATACAGTTCCTCAGCCCATCACGGCTCTGGAGTGCTCCAGCAGCTATGCCAAGCTCCAGAAGAGATTCACTTTGGTAGTGATTGGAAATTGCCATGGATCCAATCAGCCCTGGACAGACGAGCTGCTGTCCGTTGTGGATACGAATTGAACATCTCAGTTCATTTGGAAGACTACAACCTGCAGGACAAATAGGTTTTCAAGTTGGCCTTTTTTATCTGTTAATAAGTTTCAAAGTAGAGAGGAAATTTGAACTTGTAGGAGAAAAGGTTACCATGGACACAATACGGATTCATGGAATGATGTGCAAGACAGGGAACTCACTCGTTTAAATTGTGCCAGGCATTCCACAATCTTTCCATGAAACTTTGCCTAAAATGGCACACTAGCCACCGATTTTTTTGTTGGTTACTACCTCTTACTGACAGCATGAAGTTCTCTCCAATGAACATACAATACTGAGTTTCTTCTTATAGTTGTCGTCCAGCTTTGCTAACGATCAACGATATAAAATCTCATATGTTGTCATCTGAATTAAAAATTATTGTTGGATGACCGTGTACAAAAAAAGAGGAAAAAAAAAAAGAGAGACAAGAAAATGAACAAGATGAGAACCATTCTGATTATTGACTTTAAAAATATGAGTTCAAACTCTGTAAAAGCTGCTGTAAATTTAATAACTAAATTATGAACACTCACCATTGAGTTTGTTAGCTTCGGTTTCGCGAATTTCTTCTTCTGACAATCCATCGTTCAAAGATGCATAAATATTAGGACAGTGAAGCTTTGTAAAGTCTTCAATGATGTTCCAAGCTTTTCTTATGGTTGCATAACAAGATTCATAGCGACCCCATTTCGCTTTCCATTCCACAAATAACTGCTTCCAAGTTCTTCCCGGCGGGCATTCTCCGACCAACCACACTTCATTACACCATGATTTCCACACAGGAAGATCGGAGACAACTTGATTGAATCGCGAACAAACCTGAGAGCAACTAAACAAGTCTTTCCTATCCAAGAACGACAGAACATTCACCAAAGGAATAGCAGGCAATGATGCCAAGTATGAGCATTTGGCTGCCATGTTGTCTTAGAGTCATGATCCCACGGGAGCGGAGTAAAGGGGGGGGGGGAAGGTAGTTGTAAGAAAAGGGTAGTACCTTTGCTAATTTCGCTATCAAAATTATCAGTCGACGCTTTCAAATTGTCTTTTCCTATTCTCTTATGTAGGTAAATTCTTTTTTCGTTAAATTGGCACCACACCTGGCTGAATCTTTTCAGTCGCACTCTCACAATTAAAAGAAAAAAAATCATATATAGGAGTGGGGTGGGAGAAAAGCGGTATTCGTCAATATTTTTGGCCCAGTCTACTCCAGCAAGTTCGTTTTTTGTATGTGTTTGAAACTCGATCACTGCCATGTCTGTCTACGTGTTTTCAAAAGTTACACATTAATTTATTACGAACTGCGAGTCGAACCGTTGGCAAATGAAATCGTTGCTGTCAAACCGACTTCTACGAGAGGTGACGACTGTATAGTGTATATTCAGCGTGAATTCTCTCTCTTACAGGTATTGAAAAAATTTTTTGCTAATATGAATGAGTAATGTCATTGTCGTTAATAATACATTGGTCAGCTTGATATTTTGATTTCTGGTTAAGGTTGTTCGTGAAGAGTTTAACACAGTTAACAGAGGAGATACGCTCTTTTGAATTCATCGCTAACAGTACTTAAAAAATCACATTCAAGAAGCTCGTTAGGGGAGAATTAGATAATTTAATAGAGATATTGCGATGGCGAAAATTTTGATGCTCCGCTTACGTACAATATTTTCAATTTTAAGAATTTCAGCCCGATTTGAGTGGTTTTGATCGTATCTTAGTGAAGTGTATACTGTATTGTAAAAATGTAATACTAGAGTCGATTGGAGTTCATGTTTTGTTTATTTTCTGCCTGTATGAGTTAAAGCGACGTGTCATTTACAGCCTATTCAGATTTCTATTTAATTAAACTATCATTGCTCATGGAGGAACGAAAATGAAGCAAGGAAGAAATGGAAAGGAAGAGGAGATTAATTTAAGAAGAAATATGATCTGTATGAGGAAATGTAGGGATAGGGTTTCTTCTAGCCCCATACTAATCGAGAACAAAGCCCTGGTCCCAAAGGTGATCTAATGTCTTTTTTTTCTCCATTGTTCTTTTATCGAGAGCCGTATGTATCGAGGAAGTATGAAGTTATACGGAAACCTTGTCAAAGTATCTCATTTAGTCTCCCCTTTCACTTCCTTGATCTTAGCTGTAAAAGAGCAATTGTAAGGCCTTTTTAGTTGTGATAAACTGTGACGGTGACCTAATCTCATCAATAGTGTGTTTTGAGTAAAAGGGGAAGCAGTAGCCTTCAAGCATCTAAATTCATCTTTATTGTTTAAAATCGATCTGAGGTCTAATAGCGGTCAAATCTGAAGGGTGCATAAATTTTTCCCAATTATGGAATTAAGGGTGCAAGCGCTATTTTGTTTAGTGAAGCTTACGGTTGCTTGCAAAGAGACTGCTATCGATCAAGAACACAAGCTATACAATAAGTCAATCTTTGGGTGTAAAAGTTAATTACTGCTGACAGAGTGTGGCATAGAAAGGGTCATTTACTTCAATAACTCTAAAGCCAGTCTTCCTTAAATTGCTTCCTCTCCAATGTAACTCTTAATCTGATACTATCTTACAAATCATACTTTATACTGGAAAATTTTGGTAATATCTGATTTAAAAGAGAATAGGCTTGGTCTATCAGAGACAAAAGGGTTGGGATGGGGACTGTATCCCTTTTCTCCTAACTGTTGACAGTGAGTAAATTGTGCTCCATTTGACAAATTTTACACTTTATATTTCATCTTCCTACTCTTCCCCCTTACTAAAAAACAAACTTGTATTTTTGTTACCAAAACTTGCTATGTTGGTGTAGAATAGTTGATGGAAAGGAAGGAAGGTTTTTTGCTTTGAAAAATTAATTGAATGCAAAGTTTCTTTTTGTCTCTGATTATAGCTTTGATACATTGTCAAATTTAGCAGTTCAATAGTAATCTTTAAGACTTAAGGCGGATGAAACTCTCTCCTGATGAAATAGGGAATGGTAAGTTGCTGGCTACTTTTAAATAAAATCTCAAAACTTCCTTCTCTAAAGGTTGGGTTACATTTTCTTTCCTTAGAGTTAATTGATTGTAAATTCTAAATGATGTTATTATTTTTATAGCGGAGCTCACAGTGTAGCCCCATAATTATACAAAATAGTAGTAACCCATCAAGCCGAAAAAATTTGGATGTATGACCGTATGACCAACCATACAAGGTGCTACTTTTAGCATGTGCAGCCAACTGTACCACAGGCACTATTTTATAATCAATCCTCTACATGGACACAGAGAAGTTGCAAATGAAAATCCATTAATATTACCACGCACTTTATTCATAGTAGGGGCTTTAGTTTTGTTGGAGAGATGTGCGGGAAAAAAATGCGAGCTCCACTTTTATGCTTGCCTAAATCTATATAGTATTTTTAAAATTTATGAATACCTTGAAGCATTATTGGATTGTGTCTAGAAACTGTGCAATACATGTACAATACAATTCTGTTATTAATAACTACAACTAACTATGAGTTCTTGAAATTACTTTCAGGTTTGAATGTAGACTAAAGAGCTTATGGCAATATGACATTGAGTAATATTTACAAACCTGAAGCAAACAAGTTTTCACATCTTGGAAGTGAAGAGGATGATGATTCTGATGACCTCGATGATGAAATTGATGATGGCTATGGGACGGCATTACTTAGCCCAACAAGAAATGTACAAAAACAGTTAATGCCTCCAAACAGGACTACAAAAATCAGGAGAGCACATTCAAAACCTTGGTGCACAACTAGAGCTTGTTTTGTTTTCTTTCTTTGGCTGGCATTTTTTTCTATTTGCATTACTGGACTTGTGTTGCTCATTCTACAAGCAATTGAATCAAAATCCAAGGATTCTGATGCCCATTTTGTGAAGAAGGTTCTTACAGATAAACAAGATGGCTTCTTGAATGACGAGAATAATTTTGCGCCATGTGATGAGCTTGAAGCCACCAAGGTGTGGCATGCAACAATGCCAAAACTTATGACAGAAACTGCCGTGCGACTCAATGATGTGAATGAAGATGGAGTTGATGACCTCATGGTTGGCTTTTCAACTGGTGTAGATGGCTACAATGCACCAAAGATATCTTGTGATCTGTATTTTAATGGCACCTATCCCTGTTATGGTGGCCTTATGGCTCTTGATGGAAAAACTGGCAAACAGTTATGGAGACATTATACCATGCATGAAATCTATTCAGTAAACTGTAATGGTGATTTAGACATGGATGGTGTCCGAGATTGTTTGATATCTGGAAGGGCAGGAGTTTTTCAAGCCATCAGTGGTAAAAGAGGAGAGCTTATTTGGAATTTTGGACCACAGGAATCTAGAGATACCAACATGAACTTGTACACAGCTCAGTTCATCAGAGATTTGAATGGAGATGGGGTGATGGAAGTTCTTGTCACACATGGGGGGGATCCTTTGGCGTAAGTTGATGATATTGCTCTTGAGTTTTCTCAATTTACATATATTCATTAACAAACCATTGCTAATACCCATTTATAATCCTGAGAAACGAGTAATTTGCCATCAGGATGGTCATAATCTTCTCAATTATGTGGAAACCAGGCTAAAGAAAATGGTTCTCCTGCCAAAATTTCAAAACGATATTTTGGAATTTGGAATTCCCCCCCTCCCCAAATTCCCCCCCAAAATAGGAATTTCTTGGTTGTCGATATTTGTAAGGTACTGTTAATTAATTCATTTATTTGTAGCTTTTTTTTTTTCTTGGGGACAGTGTTCTCTAATTTAATATTTTTAAAAATGAAATCATTAGCAACTGAAGATAAGACATGGTGAATTATGTGCTTTTATTGTTTCCCAGCGAGCCCAACAGTCCTGAGCGTCTGGTTGGACGTCTTTTAATATTCTCTGGCAAAACTGGAGAGGTGTTAAGATGGGTGAGAACTCCAGATGAAAGAGAAACTTACTTTTCTCCAGTTATATACACAAAGAAAGATTCTACCGAGCTTGTGCTGTTTGGTACGGGTGGAGAGACACACCCAGGAGGGCTCTATGTTGTGCCACTGATAGATCTCTTCCATGGCTTGATTGAAAACTCTAAGCTTATCTACAAAGATGATTATAAAGGTATGAAAAAAATCTAAGTGTAGATTCTACAGACCTACAACCTTGGATTTTTATGTTGGAAATCATCCTGCAACCCCTACCCATTCAATGTTGGAAATAAAATGTAATCAATGAGAAGACAATATGTATAATGTTTAAATGGGGGAAGCAAACAGTTGTGTTCAAAGTTGGAACTTGCTTATCAGGTGGCTTTTTATCAGCCTGCCACTTTGAATCTCTTGTTTTCTCCCCTTGCTGTCCCACTCTTACATTGACCTGCTCTTTCTGTTGGCTGTTGGCCAAGAGAAGTGTGCACAGTGCCTCATCATAGAAACCAATTGTGACTTCAGACAGTGGTAAAGTTATGCACCATTCACTTGGCAAAACTGAAAATTATATTTGGAACATCAAATGGCATCAACTAGGTATTATTCCATTTGGAATATTTTGCACTTCATTCTCAGGGAATTCGCCTCTTGCAAGGCCAATCTCAGGTTTCAAATATTTGCATGACATCTTTAACCAGGTGGTTTTATGTAATGAACACATTGCCACTCTTGTCTTATGCTTGATGTACGTTGGTGACCAACTGAGTTAATACCACCAGCTGACTAAATTTTTAAATGGTTAAACAGGAAATAAAACAACAGCTGTATGTGTGGTCAACTTTTTGTATGCGTGGTCAACTGTTTGTCACCTTCAGCAATTCTGATTTTCTAATTGTCCACAAATCACCCAAGGCCATGGCTTAATGTCTTTCCTCAAAAGAGAAATATTTCTGTTTTTTGAATTCAAAATTTTCCTTTCATATTTAGGGGTGATGAATCCTCCTGTTCTTGTGGATTTGAACAATGATGGAACTGTTGACATCACCATGGCAATGTACAACACAACTGTCATTGCTTTTGATGGAGAAAACTACAAGAGGTTGTGGCATTTTGTATTCCCATCAAGTGAATCATATACGTAAGTTCATACATTAATCTTCAGCTTAGTGCTAGAAGTTGTCAGTCATTGCATCTTTTTGCCATATTACGCTAAATAATGTGATATGTCTAGAAATCTCAGTTCACCTTTTAAAATTGATCAGGAACAAAACTGACAGAAATCACCTGTCCAAACCTTTTAATTCCTTGTACTTGAGGCTGATACTGATACCTTGGCTTCTCATTGGCTCTTTTGGATGTTTCTCTGTGTCCTGCTTGGCCATTGTGATTACTTGAGTCAGGTTTTCATTGTACAAAAGTCCATTAAAAAAATGCTACAAATTTAAATACATATTCTCTCTTTGATATTATGAAAGGTCACCAGCAGCAGGTTTCTTCAATAAGGATAACACAACTGACTTTTTGGTGAGGTACAACTATGGATCAGGATTTCCGGTTTATTTTTACTCAAATGTGAGTGGGTTTAAAATAATTATGCATGGTCAAGTTGAACAGTGTGAACAGCTTTTGGATCTTTATTTTTAAGACAACACATCATTACCCAAAGGGAGAGGTACTCGCTCAAATGCACTCTTGGGGTCTTGTCTCGAATTTGTTTTTCTACAAAACCCCAAACCTTTGTATTCTTTCTAACAATGCTGTACCACTGAGCTTCAGAAAACTGCGTGAAGAACTGCTTTTGATAACTTCTGCATGCCAGTGAGTGTTAAGTTGTATTGTATTTTGACTTGCTCAAAATGTCCCAGTAAGAACATTTGAAAATATAGGGTTTATTTCCTTGTTAATTTCTCAGCTGCTTGATTGAAAAGTAGCCAAGATTATTTTTAGAAGAAATCTCAGCCATCTGAACAAACAGTTTTCATTCTTCAAGGTACCATGTCACCCTCCCCCACCTTGAATGAGAAATTTTCTAATGAGATGCTGTTGTATGGCACCTCCCTCCTTTCAAAAAAGCCATCTATCCTCCACGTGAGACAGTCTAATTTTTGAAATAACTTTTGACCAACAGGTGACAGTGATTGATGGCAAAACAGGCAAGCCGTTAGTCACACCTTTCATGAAGTCATCGTCAATGTGCAACACGTCTCCCCTGACAGCTAGCATGCAGGGGCTTGGTAACGACCTGTTTATATACTGGGTTTCAGACTGTCTCGGCCACGAGGGCGAGGGAGGAAACTTTGAGTTTGTGGAAGGAACGAACGTCCATGAGCAAAGCAGAGCTGACACTTGCAAGCTGCGATATAATGCAAAGAGCTTTAGTAAGCTGCGGGTGACTAATCACAATATAGGCTTTCCTGGCAAAGATATTTATTATTCAGGTGAGGAAGTTAAAAATCTACTTTTTATGAGAGTTGGATGCTTAACCCTTGACTCTTTAACATCGGTATGAATATTCTCCATACTACTCCCTTGACATTTCCAAGGGTTCTGAGAAGGAGAATTTGCGTAACGATCAAGAGCTTCTTTAGTTGGTGATCATCTCCTCTATTCTCATGACGTTAATGTTTGATTCAGGGGTGATGTTGTAAGGAGAAATCAGATGTTGGTCACTCTCACGGATTAAAGGGCTAAGGCGATTAGTAATATATAGATTTAGCCAAGCCTAAAAAGCGGAGCTCGCATTTTTTTTTCCTGCACGTCTCAAGGGCACAACGCCTTGCCCCGGCTAGAACTAGAACCCGGGTCGTCCGACTCGGAGCCCAATGCACTGACCACTGGACTACTGAACAAAGCCGTGGCGTTGGCGTGCCCGCGGTGCAGTTGACCACGCATGTTAAAAGTAACACCTTGTACGGTCGTGCGGTCGTACATCCAAATTTTTTCGGCTTGATGGGTTACTACTATTTTGTATAATTATGGGGCTATGCTCTGCGAGCTCCGCTATTAGTATCCGAGCAACTGCGCACCTACCCCTCCCCTGACCCAACATTAACCCAAACTTGTTATCAGTTTACTGATGTCAGGGGAGAGGATGGTGCGAATTTGCTCAGATATTGACGTAGATCCGTTATGCCACAGTTGTAGTGATTCGCGCATTCTTATTGGATAACTTGGAGGCGACTAAGCAAAGCATTGTTCTCCTCCGAACAGCCTGAGAATGACCAAATGACCTGCCCGTCTTTGCCAGTGACAATCCTTTTACAGCAGCTAGCAAAGCCCTCTGCCATTTTTTCAGAGTGCGCACATGGTAGTTGCTGTAGTGTGAATAAACGTGTCAAGAATTAACACGTAAAGTAAGAGCTATTTCAATGTTTATCGCATTTTCAGAGGATTTCCAAGACATAGAGCATGAAAGTCTAAGAGAGGAAACTGGCAGCAAACCAAACAGCAAAAACTCCACATTCACCTCACGAAGAAAACGACACATTGGAGTACCAGATCACGGCGGGTATCAGAGACTTATTTCAACAGGTTCGATGGCCACTTCGCTTGGAGAAGAAGACAATAAAGGAACAATGGACTCCATCGATGTGGTTTTCACTACCTACTGGCAGTATCCAGCTAAAGTACGGATTATTTTACCAGAGGACAAGGCTTGTATTGAGAATTATAGAAATCTCAGCAGAGCAGGTAAATTGCAATCACTTTTTTAACATTAAGGTATTTTGTTATGGCCGTACTCTACTGTTACATCAGTCCCAGGTCGCTTTATCTCCTATCCACACCTTTTGAGTGAAAAGAGCTTGTGGAAGGGTCACGGAAAGAAAAATTAAGTTTTTTTATGTGGCTTTCTTTACATGTTTTTACCGCGCCAAAAACAGAAAAAGCTGTTGTTTCTCCCAGCAAAATATTGAAGAGTGCTATTTGTTTATATTTAGTTTGTTTTGTTTGTTTATTCGTTTGATATTGTTGTTTTGTTTGTTTCCGATTCGAGAAATTCATCGTCATTTGCAACAATTACGAGAGTACAGACCAGACTTCAACTTACGAAATATCTTTGTGAGCCAAGACGTAGATCTGCTACGTGTGATAAGAACAACTTTGCGCAAATCTTTGTCCCTGCATTGCAATTTTGTCTCGAAGCAAATCGTAACAATTCAAACTGGTGGGAATTCGTTTTGGTGATCGCAGTGAAGAGGCTGCAGGTTGTTTACGCGTAAAACGGTAAACAACAATTTGGTTTCCTCTTTTTTAAATTAATGCATTTGAAGAATGCGAAGCTTTTCGCTCGACTCTACGAATGAATAATAGCAGATAACAAAAGGTGAATTTTTCTGTCTATTTGTCAAATCAACAGGGAAATTTGATAATGACGTTGATGAAGACAAGAATGAAAAACTTGGAATATATGATGCAGGAGATTCAGCCGTGAATGAGTGCCTCAAGAAAAAGCAACATCAAACTGACAAGGAGCAAATATTTGTCAGTCAATCAGACTATGACTTGTACAAAGTCCACTTTGGAAGCCTGACCGTGTATCGTTTTTCCTTGAAGTGCAAATGCAACAATCTGTCCCCTTCCAAAAAATGTGCCAAGTTTTTACCTATGTCCGAGCAAGGCTGGGGAGGGTACATGGGAACACTAACTAATGGTTTTTTTAACCCAAGGAAAAGGCCCTAAACGAGGGGGATATGTAAGGATCTTTACCGAGTATACGTTGAGTTCCCCCCCCCCTACTCTACAAAAATGGGCCTTAAGGACCGTTGTGGTGTAACAATGGCCATCGCCTTTTTTCTGTCCATTTATTCAAGTCTGGCCTCACAACCAACCTGCGCTTTTCCATTACCTTCTTGATCAAATTTGTTGATTTGATTTATGTATTTTTGCTCTTTTCGAATTTATTGCGCTCTTACTGCGCCAGTTTACGAAAGACTCGCGTTTATGAAAAGTTCTATTAGCCTTCATGGTCGCAGATTAATTTTCAGTCATGATGAATCTTTCAGTATTGGGATGAGAGTTGGTAACGTTTTAAAGGCTGATGTATTTTCAGTCTCGTAGTCAGCGTAGATTTCAATGGCTGTCATAAAATTAAATTAAAATAAATATATAAGTACAAGTAGATGTACTAAAAAGACAAACTTTACACGACATAATTTATTCAGAACAACTGAAGTTAAGATAAGCCTCTACTGGCGAGAAATTTGACCAACTTCATGATAATAATTAGAAATACGTTTTTAATAAAATGGGTTTATTTCAAAGTCTTCAGGTCTATCAAGGTTCTTACCTTTCTCCTCACGAGAAAGATGTTGCAATCTAGGTTGTTAAATATCTAAAAGATGAATCCCTTAAATGTCTTTACGAAAACTTCAAGACTTCATCTAAACAGAAATCCTTTTATCAAAAGAAAGTGTCACAAAAAGTCTCAGTGCCTCTTTCATCTAATATCAATTTTATGAAAATATCATTAGTACCTCCTGATTTTCAATTGTGTTCTCAAGGTAAAATATTTCACATTTAATTTCTTCATGTGCGACAAAAGAGTGATTTCGAGCACTGAATATTCCTTCGCAAACTCTCGATGTCACAATATCCCGATGATACAAATTTATACAGGCTTCCCTTCCCCACTCAGTCACTGAAACTTCTCCATGTTTTTCCCAACCTATCTACAATTCCAAGAAATTGCTTTATCCCAGGGAGGTTCAAAACTCGGGTTGTACAGACAGACGCAGCCATTTTGCTGCCATGAGGGTTAACTACACTAATCAATCTGTCTAAGATATAATCTAAAGCTTTTCCTTTGTCTTGCGTGGATGGCAGTTTTCTTTTTTGGTGCTCGATGTTCATAAACGGTGGGCGTTGCAGCTAAAAAGGACATCAGAGCTCTAAGTGCTCCGTAATTTCCTCCTTCCCAGGCTCCTCATCAAGGGAGTTTGGAACGGGCGCCTTATTGTGAAGTGGACGGCGACCGGCAGGAGGGTCCAACTACTTCTTTCTATACTATCTACCAAACACTTCATGTAATTTTAAACTCTGGGAATTTGATTTGAAATCATAAAATATCTCCCTACTGATATTTTTCTATTCCCTTGTCATCTTTCTGCTAATAAACAATGATTTACAATTCTAAGTTTTTATCCATCAAGAGTTTTCACATGTTTCTGATGGTTCATCTGTTATGGCTATTTTTTCCTTAATTGCTAATTTTTAGTTGCCCAGGGCACCCATTTATAACAACTTCAGTTGACGGGTTTACCTAGGTTAACTATGTCAGTTAACTAACTTCAAACTGCCAAAACACATCCAGCGATGCAGATAGCTTGTCAAAATACAGGGATGTGATGTCTTGGCGTTTCGAGCAAGTCATCATCCAGCGTCAACAAACCCTGGAAAGACAAACTCGTAAGCATAATGCACAAACTAACTTTTGAATGATTGGTCGTTGCAACTCGCATGCGGTAAAACAACAAAGCAATCGCGAAGGAAAGAAAGGAAATTGTTTTGAAAGCGAAGGAGAACTCGGAACATTCTCAAGCGCGGGAAAACGCGGGTGACCAAGCCACGATTGATTTAGTTTTGCACCTGATTGGTTGATAGAGGGGATCAAGTTTTCTACACCAATCAGAGAGAAAAGAGAAGCAAAGCCAATACAATTCAGGATAACTTTCGACACTTCATTGAAAATTAAATCGTCACGAAAAGAAATGCAAATGAGTGCTTACCAGAAATGAAAGGAATAAAGCGCAGGCGGACAGGAAGTGCCACACGTCATGAGCATCGTAAAATTCCAGGAGGACGCACTCTTTGTTACCCTCCCTCGACCGAGCTGGAGATTTCTGCAAAGGATTCAGAAAAGCGGAATATGGTACACAGAGGGAACGAGTACGAACCGCGACCTTTTGCGTCTAATCATGGAAGTCGCGTAACTTGCTGAATGAGGGAACGGGACTGTCTTGTAGAAGGAGCGGGGGAAAGGGGAACCTAACAACAAAATGCTACAGGAGCAAAACAAATTACCATTACGGTACGGCATTATTGACCAGGTAAAAAGGTTATGTTATAAAGTTTCAAAAACGAGCGCAGACACACACCGACACATCCCCGAACGTGGTGACTGACCATTCCGTCGACAATCGACTGCAATTCGATGAGCCGGCTATAGACCGATTGTAGACCGATGGATTAGCAAGATTGCATTCGTTACTCTCAAAAGGACTAAGAACATTGTCGAAACGTTTCATTCATGCTGCGAAAACCGGAATAACAGATCTATAAGTGGTGGAGTTTGACAGACTTTTGGAAGGTTTAAATGTTGAATCCATGTTTCATTTACCTGCCAAGACGTGAGATTACTCAGGAAAAAAACGAGCGCTAATATCCAACAGAAAAGCGTCAGACAAAGCGTAACCGAAGGGAACAATAGAAGCCTTTCTTTGTTTCTCAACTGAAAGAATAAATACACAAAGACATTTCTTAAATAAACTATGATAAGACGCCCTTAAAAAAATATGATACTTTTAGCAAGGAAGATCATGTCTCAAGTTGTAAGTGCTGAAAGAATCTAGGCAAATCAAGTCATCGAGGAACAGAAGGTTGGACAGGATAGAGTACAAGCAGTCCCTCCTATTCGGCATGAAAAAAAATAAAATGAGGTTAGCGCGCCTCACTCCCAGAGTTCCGCTTGGTGCGCTAACATTTTTTTCCGATGAGTTTTTGTTGCTCGCGTGACGGTCTTCGCCGAGTAAAAGGGAATGCTCGTAGTGACATGCGTAGTAAGACATACCATAAACCCCTAGCCTTGCATTGTCTTCGGTCGATAACAACGTAACTCAATCAACTCATGTATGGATACCTTCATTATGACATAAAATGCCAAATAGAGAATTCCATTGACGATCAAGATAGCCAGCAGGTAGGTAGCAAAGTCATTAGGTGTAACAACAACACCATAGATGGCACTGCAAGTGGAAAAAAGAACTCACTTAAAGAACTAGTTTTCTTGGTCTTCTCCAACTGTTGTTTATAGAACGCTTTGGTTTTCCTGATTGGTCCAAAAACGCGCACCATCCTCTCTACCAATCAGATACACAACGAAAACCAATCGTCCCTTCGTTACTCGCGTTTTCCCGCGCTTCAGACAGTTTGCTTATTTTTTAGGTGGAGCTCTCATTGGTTCCCCGTGATATTTCCCTTCCTCTGATTGGCTGTTGTAATTTCGTTGGATTTGGTTACATAAAAACCAACTTAACATCGTTCTAATGTATTACAATGCCAAACAATAGAGTAACAGCGTACTTACAAGACCCAATTCACTGCGTTAGCAATCACCAAGAGAAGCATGCGATCCTGCGCAAACAGGAGACAAAATACAACAACAATAGCTTTGTTAATTTCAGTCAAGACTTGATCACTAAAAGAGGCAATCACCACTTGCCAAAGTCCACAGCTACAAAAGCCTTGAAAAAAATAGGGATTTTCCTGCCACGAAAACTTTCCATTTCTTCTCTTTAACCCCAGCAACCTTTTTTCTCTGATGTACACAACCTATTTTAAACGTCTAAAAGCACAACTTCGTTAGGCTCGCGCGAAAAATGTTACCTACATCAAAAGGTTTGTGTATGTGTCAAAGTCTCTTACTTTAGACAAAATTAGAACTGAGACAAAGACATTTTTATAATTTTACCTTGTAAACCGGACACGAACAGCAATCATACCGCAGCAACACGAACACTCTTGCAAACATTCCAGCATCTGAAGGTGAAAAAAAATTCACAAAAACATTTTCAAGTTCAATCCTACAGTATCTTAAAGTAATATGCCCTCCATAGAGTCATAAATTAGACAAATTCTAACCAAAACAATGCCTAAAATAACCAAATAAACTTCAACATTTACTATCCAGAACTCACCAAACTTTACTCTTCCCATGTAATAGATTTGTGAGCTGAGATACAGGCATCCAAAGATGTGGATAATGGCAAATGTTGTCCAGAAAGCAAAAGAACTATAAACCTTGAATGAGAGGGAAACAATCAAGTTCTGCGCTTCAGTATATCTCATATCCCCCCCCCCCCCAAAAAAAAAAAAAAAAAAAAAAAAATCCAAAATCTCACTTGGTTATTGTGACAGAACACAGAAAATTTGTCCCTTGTAAACCCTAGAAGTTGCTCAGCTTATCAGAGTTCTTTTTACGTCTGCTGGTAGAACTTACCACCGCTAGCAACACATATTCAACATCTCTCTTAATAAAAATCACATCTTAGACCTTCAAGCGGTTCCTCTGTTTGCAGGAGTGCGAGAAAGAATAGCTGAATATCGTAAACTTTATTCTTACCACTCCAATCATAGCGATGAAGATGATAGCAGCAAATCCTGTGTAAACAATGTGCGCGTTGGCGGCGATGTCTGGATGGCGCGTCTGATAAAGTTTTACTACACCCAGACAAGTGATGATGTACATAAAAGACGTGTCTATAGGAAAACACAAAAAGAAAATATTTGTCACCTCGTTTGAAGAAGATATGACGGTGTACTCCTTATCTGTATTAATACAAGATAGAGAGGGATTCTGCAGTACTGTTCTTACATTTTGAACAGCGTGCGGTCGAGTAAGATGTTACACTTTTCGGCGACTTCTGAATTTTGCCTAGCATGCGTTTTCCCTTCCAAGACAGTTTCAAATGTATAAAGTTAGTTGATATACAGTAACCTTAAAAATAAGCGTTCTTACAGACGTCTGCGTCTAGTTTGTACACTAAATTGAAAACTGTAAGACTTTCGTCATGGGCTGTGAAAACTTACCAAACTGGAAATTAGAATTGTTAGGACACACATGATAACAGCCTGATAAAACTCCTTCCATTATCAAGGCAAGACCTGTTAAAAAACCAAACAAACTGTAAGAGTCAAGAGGAAGTGAAACCAAGGTATTCCCTGTAATTCTGGGCCACAAAGCTGTGGAACTACCTAGGTGATCATTGAAAATGGTAATATACACGGCATTTTGCCAGATTGAGTGTCCTAAAACCAAAATAGAATTACTCACAACATTCAGTCATAAATAAAGAAAATACTATCAGGAACTAATATGGACTCAAAGTAAAAACAAGCTAATTGCGTGGAGCGCGGGAAAAACCAAGTGACCACCATGCAGTGATTCGTTAGTTTTGATCTGATTGGTTGCATGAAAGAGAGGCGCGACTTTTCTGGACCAATCACAGACCAAAGCAATCCTGGATTACGTATGGATTACGCTCCACACTTGACTGAAAACAGACTGAAAAGGGCCAAAAAACCGATACACTCACCCATGGCATAAAATATGGCGTAATGCTGAGGAATGCCGTAATTCTGAAAAAAGAACGTAAGTGTACAGAAAGTTTACCATACATTTAAGAAGTACCTGGTTTCAATTACTCAACGAGACGGACTTAATCAATTCGCGCACTTTAGGGAAAAATGTCCTTGCTCTTGAAAACTTTCCACGTCCTGTCTATTAATTTTTGCTGATTTTTTTAGCCATCAAAATTTACCTGACTTATTAAAGAGTAATACGCGATTCACTTCTCTTGCACGTTAAAAAATCAAAATGTTTAATTTAAGAACAGTCACACTATGTAGTGTAGTGCAGTTTAAACGATGTAATTAAAATTGACGCGCGTAAAATACCTTCTCCAATTCGCTGTTTTCTGCAACATCTAGTTTGTGTTGCCTGTCACTGAAAAAAAATATATATGAGATGTCATAAACGTGACAATAAAGTTGCAAAACACCATGTATTAAGGAAAAACAAGCCTTCAGTTCCGAATGTGTACATTGTAAATAAAAATGATGTAATAACCTAGAAACAACTGTGAACGTACATGACTGTACAAAGATACAGTTCAGAACAAAGTCCTTGTACTTTCCGGAAAGAATGTAATCATCTGACAGCCAATTTTTTAGTAAAATGTTTTCAGTGTACATACCGTCGCAATACAAGAAGAAGGAAGAGAAAACCCAACATGATATATCCAATGTTACTGAACACATTGTTAAACGCACTGCAATAGAAAGAACCACCTTCGATATGAATATAAATACCGAGCATCAGTTTCCAAGCTCATTGCCAATTTTTTACTGGCACAGTGCACAGCTAACTCAACAACTTAATATATTGTATCTTGATACGAGTTGAAGAAGGAAATTTACCTGGATAATATAAAATGAAAAACGGATTATTGCTGGGCTTAAGGGTTAAAAATCTTTCTCATACTGTTGCAACATGGAATGAAAGGGTTGCTCATCACAGAATGAATTGCTCATTGACATACCTCAACACCCCCAGGGGATGAGCACAAAAGAAGTTGTAGTAACATATGTCTTCATCTCCACTAAAGTTAAGAACCTGTATTCAAAATTAGAACAAACCTTCCAATTAACAAAATAGTTTATCTGAAGTAACCCTCATAAAACTAAACCCAGTTTCAAAAGAGAAGTATAAAAGTTTGTCCTTCAGTGTGGTTACTGTGGATGTGGATCGTGACATTTTGATTGCCAGTTTACCAGTGCCAGTTTACCAGTGCCAGTTTGCCAGTGGGTTTGGACTGCACTCAGTTTATCAGCAATTTCTCTATGCAATACTTTAATTATTACATGGCTGGCTTTCCAGGCAGGCAAGATAGCAAGGGTAAATGCTCTTGAAAACAAGAAGTGAGTAACCAGACATACCTTCTGATATGTAATGACAAGCTGCACAACAGGGAGAGCATAAAACACAGCTATCAATAGCAGATTCCTGAAGATAACAAAGAGAGTACAGTCAATAATTAGGTAATACTGAAACAAAAATCAATAACAGGCTTAATTTACAAACCAGTGATAGTGTCTGTATTTCTTCTTCAGATACTTCTTTTCTTTCTTAGCCAGGTCAGTGAGCATAAGACTTGTCTGGTGGAAAAATGAAACAAATGAAACTAATCTTACTTATATAATGACAATACTTTACCATTGATGGAAGGGAAGCTGAGCTAACACAGCCATGATAAAGCCCCACCCTCCCCCCTTAACTTCTATGACTTACAGCTGTGGGATCCTGGCCACACTTTCTATCACACATGGGTTGAGGTTGCTGTTGTTTCTTATCCTTTATCCAAGGTCTTTTTCTGATCATTCTCAGGTTTTACTCCTTCCACAAAAACCAGCACTTAGAATTTCAATTTGACCCAGTAACAGTGGACAAATATCTACTGTACACCTCTTGGAAGTACCATCCATGGAATCTTACTTTCATTTATTTCTAGTGGATCAAGGACTTACATGTAACTAACTTAAAAATATCTACTCTGTAAGTTGTTCCATAAGATTAGTTTACATCATCAATTTAAACCAGCTAGTTTTCAAATCAATAGGAATGTCACCTGTGTTGCAACTACTAATTTAAGATGAATACGTTCTATTCCTGACGCTGCCTTGGTGCAAATCCCATTTACTACATTATAACCAAATTTAACCATCACCAAATCTACATACCCTCAACCGGTATACATCTTTCTCCACTTCAATGTCATGCAGCATGTCATAATGTTTCTCAAAATCCTTCGATGATGGATCCATCACTCCATCATTGACTAAGTGGTCATTTTCAGAGTGTTCCAGACTATCAGTGTCCAGCGGTTCATTGATAGGAAAGATGCCTTGTGGTGTTGATCCATAATGGTCTCTTGATCTTCTTGATCTTCTTGATGAGGATGTTCTTAGTGGTGCACTTATTGGAGCATCTGAGGTAAACAAAATGATTTTTAATTGAAATTAAGAAGGCCTTCATTGCTCTGGATTAACCTGGACTTAAAAATGATTATATAGTTTCCATAATCCAACAATACCGGTAAGTCAGCAGATGCCTGGATTACTGGGGTGTATCCTTGACTCATGAGTGCTTATGTAGCTGCCATAAGCCAACTGTCAGCCAGTGGACAGAAAATGACCAGGGAGGGAGAGGGGGAGGGAGAGAGGGAGAGAGAGAGAGGACGGGGGCAATGGAACTGTCGCCTAAAACATTTAATTTTTTCAACTAAGAAAGATCTCAGAAAAGAAATTCAAGGATGAATTGATGTGCTCCTGTTAGTGATACAGGTATACTTGGAGAAAAAAATTCAGGTGCTCAATGGGTGTCTTAATCTATGACCTGAAAAATGTTCTGAGCCAAAAAAAACTTACAGTGGCTCAGTGACATCAAAGCAAAATTATTGCATGTGATAAATACCCTGCCTACTGCTTGGCTTTGTGTAATACAGGTACAGTATTTGATATGATGTTTTGGAACAGTGATCTAGAAATCTTAAATTGCTCCTGGAAGAAGAAAGTGTCACAGCAAATGCTGTGCTGTTCACACTAAAGAGAAAAATTATCTTGTTAAACAAGCCCTGCGTACCTTTGTTGTTGCTCTCTTTTGGCATCAAAATGGAGCGGAAACTCTTCCTTCCTCTTGTTTGTCTAATGATACAATCCAATAAAAATTTGTCAGAACTTCAGAACTTTCAGTTTGGTTGCATTTGTAGCTGGGGCCATCACCCTTCACAAAATATCATTCAATGGGAAAATTTTGCCCAAAAGTCTATTTCCAAAATAATTTGTAATGAGTAATGAGATTTGAAAATTTCTAAGCAGTGCATTGAGATAGCAAAACATAGACATAAATTTTCAAGTCAGTTCTTGGTGCAAGTAGTAAAACAGTGCAGCCGTTTTATTGTCTGAAGATTACATTCTAAGTGATTATTTACTACTTAACAAAGAGGTACTCACCTACACCAGGTAAACAGAAGAAAAGAAAAGGCAATGATATAGAATGACCCAAAAAACAATACTGGAGCCACTATGGCCTTCACATAGTCCTTTTCTGTGGAGAAAGAGAAGATTGGTAACTGATTACCACAATGTTTTTGGAATTATGAATTTAATAAAGAGATACTTGAGAGGAAGGACTTACCAGACAAAGTACTTTTCACGGTTATTGTGACAGTCTTCTGTCTTTGGGATGATGGACCTGAAATGTCATGAGATTTTCACCTTTAACCCTTTAGCTCTCAAGATCTCATTAGTAATTCTCTTTACTGTCTCCCATACAGTTTTTGTGATGTTAGTTTGGAGAATTTGTTATAATTGGATCAACTTATAATCCCCAACTGATATTTTTCTTTATTCTCATCTCTTGCCTGCTTGATATTGTAGTGATATTGTAAGGAGAAATTCTGTCTTGGTCACTTGGGGGAGTTAAAGGGTTAAGTGTCTATCAAATTCAATAATTATTCTAAATAAATAATAATTTTGGAGGAAGCTAATTTTTCTCTGATTGATAATTAATAAGGGAGGCAACAATGAGAGGGCTTTCAAGGAATAGTTAATTTAAAACTCTGCTCATCTAGTGACCGTCACTTTTATAACACTACATTTATATAATAACTGTCTAAATAGGTAATAAAATTTTATCATCTGAGGTGTAAATTCATTACATTACCTGCAGAATGAGGGTCTTTTGACACTGGTTCTCCAGTGCGTGGTTCAGCAAACCTTTCTCCAGAGACACATTCTTCATCAGATGACTTGACTATCAGTACAACATAAAACTGGGTCTGATTACGCTGATGACAAAAACAAAATAAAATAAGACACAAGTAGAACAGCAAGGATTTTCCAGTCAATCTCATTAGAATATATATAAACCCTAAAGTTCTAAATCTTGGAATACCCCCTCGATAAACCACTGCATGAAGCCCTTTTCTAAAACGTGTACATGTTATTAATCAAGAAAAGCTGTTTTTGCTCATCTTTTTTAAATTCAAGGAAGAGACAATTGTAATGACTTGGTTTTGAGCTACGACCCCTGTCACTCTTCTTTAGCTTTAGCATTAGATTTAGATCCACATAGAAAATTTTGCCATTGCGAATCTTCAAAAGTGTACAAATACAAAGAACGAGCAAGGTGTGATGTTTCAAAATATTTAACCATAATGATTTACCTCTAGTGTGATTGCTGCTTTGGTTGTCATAGTCTGAAAGTGGCCCGTGAATTCCACATTTCTTGCCAAATCATACACTGGACACTGATAAATATTATACAACAAAAAATATCAGTTTTTAAACTCTACACATTTCTGTATAAATAATTGTGTGTTTTCTGCAGGGTAGTCTGTAGAGCACTAATACAACTCAGAAACTGTAAACACAGGTTAGAGAGAACAGGAAAAAAACCCCCAAAAAAAGTTGAATTGTAGTTTTTAGGTTTGTTCTTGTTTCCTAAGCCTTACAATCACGAGTCAGTACACAGTTGATGGATCAAAATCAAATCATAATTTTCAGAGTCTTGGAGTAAACTTAAGATTCCAATCATAAAAGAAAAAATAAAGACAAACCGTAGTTCCCTGGACTGATAGAATGGCACACAGTTTATTATCCTTGGATTCAGCCTTAATAACAACTGTATCCACTTCTTCTGGATACCTCCATAAGAAATACTGTCAAAAGTTAAATGCAAAAAATTATTGGCCCATGCAAGTCAGGGAGAACAGGAAAAAAAAAAAGAGTGGAAGGGAAGGTGGAAGATTATTCTCTGCAAAATTTAGCTGGAGAATTCTGCTTAGTAGCAAAATAATTTTCCAATCTCTTGTTACCTCTTGTTGCCTGTACTTCCTAATGCATATGTTTCACTCATACCACATCTTGTAATTGAGTATAAATTGACTAGACTTAAAAGTCAAGAGCTTTTAACAGTATGCTATGTGCAAGCTTGTCAAAAAAGAGCTACCCCATTATAAAAACATCTATAACCAAGTGTTTTAGACAAACCATTTATTATTGATGCTGAATAGTTAGTAAATAAATCTACATTTATCTAAAGATTATCTTACCACAGGTTGTGCAGGGTCCACTGTAACTGTTAATGGTGCATCCATCCTATAAAAAAATTTTGAATTTTCATGTTACGCAAAGAAAATATTTGGCTTGTCCAAAAATTAGCATGTACAGTGTAGTAGGAAATATAAATTTTCCATTATTCAGTCAATACTGAAAAATTTAAAAGATTGACCAACTGTTAGCTTATCCTTCCTGATTTGATCAAAACCCTTATAACCTTATAAATATCTCCAAGAAAAGCTCCTTTCCAAACTTAACTTTTAATCCAGCACTTTAAAAATTAAATGACTCAATTAGCTTATCTATATTCATGTGGACAAAATCTAACAATTTTTCCTCTTTAAATAAGTGTTACAATCATTGTATTCATTGTTATTAGACATAAAAACAGAACATGATGACTAACTTAAATCACTGCTTTTCCCTGCTCTACAGGGTTTATGTGAGGAAATAGTCATCACTGCAGGTGATTTTTAAGTTCTCAGTTAGACTCCACAGCCTTATTAAAGCAAGCAAATGTATAAAATTTTGGTTCATTATTGCATCTCCGGTGGAGGCGTGGTGGCCTCATGGTTAGTGTGCTTGACTCTGGATTGGGTGGTCCAGGTTCGAGCCCTGGCCAGGGTCACTGTGTTGTGTTCTTAGGCAAGACACTTTACCCTCACAGTGCTTCTCTTCACCCAGGTGTACAAATGGGTACAAGCAAATGTGCTGGGGGTAACCCTGCAATGGACTAGCATCCCATCCAGGGAGGAGTAGCAATACTCTTAGCCACTTCATGCTAAGAAAACCAGAGATAAGCACCAGCCCCATGGGCTACTTGGGCTCGTATAAAGGCTTTACTTACTATTGCATCTCCAAGACAGTTAGTTTCTCATTGAGCATCTTGGAACTTTCATATCTTTTGTGACTATCATATACAACTTATTACCTAACTCATGATACTCACGATAACTGAAATTTGTCAGCAAACATTGCTTTGAGAGAGTAATTGACTGGCTTCTGTGATGATGTTGACACATCAATGGAAATTGCTTCTGATCTATTTAATTGTGTGATACCATGACTGAAGGGACAAAGTGTTCGACTGACAAGATTGTAATTAAACCTGTAAAAGAAATTTCTCCAAATATAAACTCAAAATATAATGTACAATGCATCAGTTATAAGCTTTCCCTCCTATGCAGGAATTTTAAAGTTTAAAACCTGACCTAAGTGCATGATAACATAATTCGTCTTTCAGCTATGTTGCTAACAACTCTTCTAACAGTGCGCTAGCTCCAGTTATGGTCACCTTTGAAGTGTCCTGGGAGCAGTTGCTTGCCAAAGATACCCCTAGTTACAAAGGCAATCAATAGAATAAACCTCTTTCGTATTACATATCACCACTAAAATTATAACCTCACTATGCTTGGTTTGATATCTTTGGACAGGAGTATGAAAAATTACATTTCAGACTTAAGATTGAGGCTTACAGTTGAAATTTCTGCTCAAAAGAATTTCAAAAAGCAACGAAAACAATTTTTCAGGACATACTTTGTTTGACGTCAATTGACTTTTCTGCTGTTTTTTTTTTTTTTTTTTTTTTTTTTGGACCTTTTTATCAAACCAGCCCAACTTTTTCTGGCTTCTGTTCTAAAAAATCACCAGTGGACCTTTGTAAATTGTTGGTTTTTTCTCTCACCCCTCAACTGGTATTGGCCATGAAACCACTCCTCTTTGCAGCCGTGCAACAAACAGCAAAGGATAATCCTGATTAGCTGATTGACTTTCCACTGTCACTCGAACTGCATAAGGCTGGGAAAACAATTGAGTTTTCAGTGACTTTATTTGGTACAAGAATAGAACCACAAATTATATATAAAACATAATATCTCCGTTTCATAAAATACAACTCAATTGTATAAAAACATAAGTGCAAACATAGCAAGCATGCTGCAGTGCTAAATTCAGAAGAAGTTAGACCAAATGTAACTACACAATCATTTTCAAGTCATTTCAGGGGTTCACCCTTCTCTGAGTTTATTGATAATGAATATCTGAAACAAACCAAAAGAGAGTCTACATTTGTTCCATAAATTTTACAATTCTATAATTTTACATATTTTTCTAATTCTGCACTAATCTGGTGTTAGCTTCATAAAACCTCAAACTCACCAGTTTAGTTTACAAGGAATGTATGGAAGTCCGTCAGGAGAATTACTTATTGGATATTGGGGTTAAAGAGGGGTAAGAGTCCAAACAGTCCTATAGTTCATTATGATCACAATTTTTGGGAAAAGAGAACGATAGCGAAAACATTAGATTTCTAAAGGGACTACAGCTTTGTAATATAACTGTATGAGGCTTTGTGGAAATCTAACCGTGAAATTTATCGAAGTGTCATCAACTAAATTCACCTCAGTCTTGTTAATCCAGGAGTAGAGCCAGACTTGTTCCCTGTGCTGGGAGACAACTCCATTTACAGTATGTCCCATGGAGGCGTTGCGATACTCGAGAATATTTGAAGACTCATGTAAAACAAGTGTTCCACAAATAGGCAGGAAATACTCTGATATGCAGAGAATACATAGAAGAAAGGAACACGTTTGTTCCATTGCCATTTCTGAATCGTTCCTAAGTGATAGACATGAAACTTGTAGGATAGCTTGACGTACAGGACGCCGACATGTTGATTTCTGTACAGGCGTCACTTCCGGTAAAGCACGCAAAGTATGTTGGGGAAGGGAGAGCGCCGGAACTAGGTCTCAGTCTCCTCTCATTCTTTCTGTTATTTGTGGTTTCTAAGTACGTGGGTGGTACCGGTGTAGGTTGTGGGATTGAAAATGTCCCATGGTAAGAATATACATCACCTGTTGTCTACATTCTTTACCATCCGTAATTAGAAGCCACTCCCAAAAAGGACGAAAAATTCAAAACCAAACGAAGTGGCGCCGTATATCCTCTGAAAAATTTTAAAGGGCAGAAAATTTTACAAAGCGGGATTATTTTGCTAACACGAGGTCGAGGTAAGGTTAGATTGATATCGCCATTTTTATGCAGTGTTGTAGAGTCTTAAAACGGGATTTTTGATAAATCGTGCTCAATAAGTAGAGATGTATGCCAGGTTGGGTGATTAAATTTTCATTGTGAAATCAAAATCTGAGAGTTGAGTCAAAACAAAACGAATCAACCACTGAAACAAAAAGAAAACTGAAAAAAACGTATCATGAATGGTAAATCTCTGATGGTCCCTGTCAGCTGTGCAACACGTACAGTGTCACATGCAGTCTAGCTTTTTCATCACCACTCTGTTTTTCCGGCTAAGAAACCAGTCTTTTTGCTCGGGGTTTCTTTATCTTTTTTTTATATTTCCATGTTAAAACGCAAAAGTACATAAAAAATAAAGTGCATTTGTAAATCAGGTTCACATATACCCGTTTTTGATGATGGCACAAACATTTAAATTGTGTTTTCATAGATCTGTGATGGTTCTCTGTGTAGTACGAGTTCCTTTACTAAGAGAGAGAAAAAAACATACAGTTTTTCAAAGGCTAAAAAACGTTTCCTAAGCAATTGTTTAAAATAGCACAAGAAAGCAATGCGGGAAAATGAATGAATTTTTCTGGCCCTATTGTGGCTTTTCTTGCCAATTACACCTCGATCACATGAGTACAATTTACATGTAATTCGGAATTTTTCATAATCTAATTGCCAACCGGTTAATTGGTTTAAGCAGCTCAAAGGAAATTTAGCCGCGAGTTTTGCATCTTTAAGTTGGCATGAAAATCTAATAAATTTTGAAGAACTTCGTTAAAACTAACTGGATTTATCAGACCACCTGACAGACTTAACGTAAATGCTAAGGAAACAGTCTGCTCTGAAACTGAATATTCTAAATCGCTCGTAGTTTGCATGTCAATTAGGGAAACAGAGGCGCTATCCATTCCTAAAGTGCCTTTGTATTCAATTTTTCGGCGGAGACGCAGTTGAAATAATTTTATCACAGAGACGGTCCGCTCCCAAGTTGGCGATTCACCTGTGCAGAAGACAGTTTGTAAACATTGACAATTTGCGGCATTAGAGAGGATACCAGTAGACAGATTTTTTCATTATTCAAAAGTGAGTCTTTAAGTTCGAGGGTAAGGTAAACACGCTCTTTCCTCGTTTAAATAAAAGCTTTTCATTATCGCATTTAAGATTCTTTTATCAAAATTGCAGTCATGTTAAAAATCCTAACTTCCGGCGGAAATCACGCTCACAATCTCACTGTGTTTCCATCAACAATTTCTTTCCTAATATGATTTCCAAAATTACTTTCTTCGCTATTAAACGTTTTTTGAAGGATCATCATGCTATTTTTGCGCGAGATACAAACAAAACGATTTAGAACAGCCCGACAGCTATTGTCTTTGCGACCTGCTAAGGAAAATAATAGATTGGCGCGTTCAACGCACAATTGTATTATGATTGAGTGATTGACATATGTCACGAGGTCGCCGAATCGAGAGTGTTTCAAAAGCTCCGCTATCGTTAATAATGGTCATGTCTTCATTACTTCTTTAAAGGTTTTCAGTGTGGGGAACGTTCGTTTCGATTTCAGGAAAGGATAAAAGGGAAAAACAAATAACACAGAGCAGAGACCACAACTTTAGACATCGTTCCCCGTGTGGTCGCGTTCGGTAGGTATTGTTATCCTACTGAATATAGCAAGTTCTGTGTGAACAACGCTTTTGAAGTGTGTCCATTTTTGTGCTTTATGTTTACCAAGCTTCTTGTGTTTGTAGGTTAATTTTCTTAATGCATTCTTTAGAACTAGTCTTGTGATGGTCTTGCGACCAGTTAAATTACTAACATAAGGTTTGGCGCCCGAGTAATCCATGGCATCTCGTAGACGCTAGCCTGCTGACTATTAGCTGAGTAGACATAAACAGCTTTTGGTTCGCTGGGTTTATTTGAACTCCTCGCTCCTAAATTTATCCTCTATTATTTTCTCGCTAACGAATATTCGGGAAGAAACTTGTAAACGTGTTAGGTCGATAACGAGAGGATTACGAGGCTTTTGTGAGAACGGAAGCTACAGATTTTCTTCAGTCTCGTAAGAAGATAGCGAGTCGAGATGTATAATTTCCTTCGCAACTCGGTATTACATCGAATCTCGTTTTGAACCTTGATGTCGAGATCTAAATTACTAATGGTTTTAAAAGTAATTCAAATTTTGAGTCTCCTCTTTAAAAAGCTCTCGTCACTAAACTAAAAGTTTTGGTAATGAGAGCTTCATATTAAAAAATACAATGACCACAATCAATTGGGCCAAATGTGCGAAATTACATCTCACTTTATGAATTTTGAACCAAAGAACGAATTCATTCTCTGTGCTTTGTTTTGAAACATCTTTAACTGTAATTTCATTCGAATAAAGTTGGCTTTTTAACGGAAAATAATCTCGTTTTGTATTTTTTAAAAATGAGCCGGAGCCACTCTCGAATTTGTCCACACCGATCAAAAGCGCCTATCTTTGTTGTGTTTGAGACTAATGTCATACGTACGAAAATCTTCCCATGGGTAAAAGGCGACATAAATTAGCTTCGAGTGTTATTTACCCACATTTCTGTCGTTATCTACCTCTGTTTGCCGTATAATTTACTCAGATAACACTTTGCATGTTTCTTACGTTCAATCTGGCGTCGTTTATAAAGAACGTGTGTATCAAGTTATGACTTCTGTGGGGAATCAACATGTTTTCTTGTGGTTTAATTAGCAAGGTTGTTTTATCGATAAATAATAAAACGTTGAAGAAATCAAAAGTTATGTTGTGATTTCGGTTTGTGTGTTACACGACACCGGTAAACTTCTGAGACCAATCGAAGCAAGGTGCATATTGACGCGAGACATCAATTCTGCGAGATAAGGACAAAGCGGTATTTTTCTTGTAGATCAACTAACTTCATAGGTTGCCATTGTGCATCAGATAGTATAAGCTAATTTTGATTAAAGTTTTAAAATCGTGACTTTCATATCGTGTTTTATTTCAACATCTTTTCCAATGGGAACTCGATGCTGCAATTTTTTTGTTTGACGATTGACAAAAGCTCAGTTTTTCTCAGCTTGCTTTGAAGCTTACGGTTCAATGTAGTTGTTCTTTTGTAAAGACAAAAAGACGCAAAACAATCATGGTCTGTGTTTTTGGGCATTAGAGCCAGAATTATGCGTTTGAATACTGTTTACGCTTTTTCTTTTCTTTTATAAATCTTCCAATCCTGTTGCTCAGCCGATTGTACAAGATCGGCTTTCTCAGCTGGAAAACTTTCAAATATCCGCAAAAGCTCACGCACGTTTGAAAAAAGACAAAGAAAAACTCTACGCGCTGTCTCGATAAACCATACTTCTCAAAGCCTCTTTTATTTTCTTTGTTGTTTGAAACACGTTAGGGACTAAATAAATAACAGTATCTGTGAATGTAATTGCCTTAGTAGGAATCCCTGTTAATAACAATCACTCAACATCTGACTGAGAGGTTCATTTAGCATTCTTGAGCAAGGAAAAAAAAGTCACGCTCAATTCACTTCAAACCTGCATGATAAGCACATGTTTTGTATGTGACTGCACCATTGGTGCTGAAAACTTTAGCTTATGATAGCTAGTGACTTTTTAAACAACAGGATTTGTAAATGTAACAAAATTGAAATAGTGAAGTGAAGTTAACTTGTGGATGTTGTTGATAGAAGACAGTGGGTGTTCAGGTATCAAGTTTTACAGTCCATTTATGTCTGTAATGTCCTAAGGTGCATGTTGCTTGCTCCCTTGCCAGTTCTAACACTTGGTTTTATAATGCTGTAAGGGTATGGCAATGAAAAATTCTCGGACCCATTTTTTCAAATGCTTGGGTCTTTGTTTCTGTATTGGTCTTCTGTTATCAAGGTTTCTTGATGGCTTTCCTCCCCCATTCTAACTTCGAACATTTGTCAAAATTGCACATTTTAGTGCAAGGGAAGGTATTAATGTATTTTCCTATTTACTATCAAGTCACTTGAGATGTCAAAGATGTTTTAGTTGTTCTTACTTTATTGGGCTTGTGCATATACATTAGTGCTCTCGCAGGAACCATTTGGGTCACCATTGAGTGTAGAGAAAAGTTTTAGGGACTAAATTATTCTGTGAAAGTTGATAAATCTCTGACCTGTATTTGGCGGTCAAGTACATTTGGCAAGCTGTAACATTTTAATTTTTTTAATTTTTATGATATGCTAGTATTCTTCAAAAAAATTGAAATTCTTCTGTTTGGTAATCTGATAAATGTAGAAATCTTCAGAGAAACTGGAAAGTTTATTTTTTATTGTCGACTCAAACTATCATCAGTGATCTTCAGCCCTTTTATTGTTATACTTTATATAAATAATGTCACCATTCATGATCCAATATATCTTAATAAGTATTATGAATATCCCAACATCCAATTAAAACAAACAGGGAACTGCTATTCAGAACCCCAATATGTTCTTTGTATGAGAGTTTCAAAATCTGGTAAGGTAGAAGATAGAAGCATGATACGCTATTAAATGTAAAAAGCACATTTGGTGTAAATGTATGGATGATTATTCTTCTCAACTATGTAACTTCCAGAAGTAATTAACATGAAATTTCTCCCTGAAATATCCATAAAGTATCCAGCAAACAGGTAATGAGAATATTCAAACTTATCAACTAATTTACAAGAAAATTTGAAGCAGCAAGAGGGAATAATTAATAATCAGATCCTGGGAGTTAAAGGGTTCACTTTGATATTTCTTAAATTGTAAAGGTGACCAAACAGATGAATCAAAATGCTTGAAATCTCATGTGCATGTACTAGGTATATTATTCGAAGGAACACACGTATCCTGTTTAATGTTTTTATCAGAGACTGCATGTGAGTAATATGACCTTTTGTGTATTTTCTTTTATGTCTCAGATTTTTGGTGGAGGCCATGAGTGTAATCAGCATTGATTGACAGTCTTTTTAATTTCAAGCTTGGAGATGAGATATCAAGGAATGGGACAGTCATCTGTCACTGTGTTCATATTATGTTGCATGTGGATCCAGACTGCTAAGGGTCAAGGTAGCCTCATTGTTGTATTTTATGAATATTGTTTTATAGCAATCAGGGGGAAACTGTCTGTGCACAAAAAGAAATCAAATATTGGAGTTCAGAGGGGTTTTTGATGGAAATGGAATTTATTTGATTTGTGGTTTCTTCTCTCAAGGACCAAGATTTACCATTTAATATGCATTTATCTTTAACACTGGGAATTGCAAATCACACTAGTTAAAAGTCATTTTGATCTTATCTTCATCCAGTCATTCTAATAGAATAAATATTAATAAAAGGATGGAAAATGCAAGTCATTTGGAAATTATTGTGAACCTCCAAGAGCCTATACCACTTGTTGGGCTTAAAATCAAAGAACAGTTGCTCTCCATAGTCAGTATTCTGGGTAGCAGACATTTTTTTCTGATAGATAGGCCTCTCCTATGTTAATTTTCTTTCTAAAATTTTCTTTTACCTGTTAAATAAATTTTGTCTCTTCATGGTCGTAGCCCTAGCTTTTGATAGTGTTGCATCTTTGTATGGATAAACAGCAATTTTTCTGATATAATGCTTGGTTAGCCCTTTCCATCCTGACGTCAGTATGCATATTTTCCATACTGTTCTATGCACATTTGATAACATGCTGACAAGGAGAATTTGTTTAATAATCTGGAGCTTATTTGGTTAGTGATCATTTCCTTTATTCTCATGACCACAATGTTTGATTCAGGGGTGATAATGTAAATAGAAATTAGCTGTTAACCACTCTTAGTGGTCTAATGGTTGATGCTCACAAAGTATTTAACTAGCCAACACTTCTTTATTATTCATCTTTGTGTCCTTACACTTCAGGACGCAAACCTGTTATCACGGAACATCCTTCTGATGCTGTTGTTCTTAAGGGGTCACCAACTGAACTGAAATGTAGTGCCTCTGGATCTCCCACACCATCAATTTCCTGGTTTAAGGATGGAATTCCTATATCAAGTGATAAGAGTGGGAGAAGAACGATTCTACCTGAAGGAAGCCTCTACTTTGTGCGAACTGTGTCAAATAAGCGGAGAAGATCTGATAGTGGTACTTATCAATGTGTGGCTATCAATCGCTATGGTACAGCACGCAGCCAAAAAGCAACTTTGTTGATTGGAAGTAAGTGATTATGTCATATGATGCAGCTGCTTATATCACCAACAACTTTTCTTTTCAAAAATAGTGTAACACTGACATTAACACAATTTGATCACCTATATGTGGCAATTTTGTATAATGTTATTACTAATAATAATCAATTATGCACAATCTCATCTTCTAGCGCTGAAGAAAGTGTTCCGATCAAAACCTTACAACCAAACGGCATATCCTGGAGAGTCAGTTGTTATGAAATGTTCTCCTCCAAGGGGTTACCCTGTTCCTACTGTTTCTTGGTTACATAATGGCCTCCCTGTTACAAACACAAGTAGGACATTCATTTCACCTAAAGGAAACTTGACAATTTCTTCAGTTACTGAGGCTGATCAAGGAACCTACGTGTGTAAATCAAGCAGCCCTCTTGGGAAACAAAACAGCAACAAAGCATGGCTTACTATTGGTATGTAAAAATGTTGATTAAGATTGTTATCAATTTGTATTAAATTGCTTCCTGTGGGATGAGATAGTTAAGTTTTTTTGCAATTGTTATAAGCAGACCTCAGAAATAACAGTTATCTTATAGCTATTTAAAGCTTGAATGTAAATGTAAGTGCTTTTTGTTGAAGGTTTTTTCTTCTCTTTAGAGAAACCAGGCAAACCCCTCACTGTCAAACCAACTTCGCAAAATGTGCTCACTGGAATGAATGCAACTTTCCAATGCTATTACAGAGATGGTCCTCAGGATGAAGTTATGTGGGAAAAAGAAGATGGATCTCTGCTTAGTTCAAGGCATGTTGTGGAAAAAGGATTCTTGACAATAGAAAATGTGACAGTGCAAGACAAAGGAACTTATGTCTGCAGAGTAAAAACAGGTGCACAGGACCTTACACTTCAAGTCACTCTCAAGGTTAAAAGTAAGTATTTGCCAAGAGATGAGCTGCGATTTGTTTTTGTTTTGTTTTGTTCTTATTCAAGATGTTAAACGATGCAGATACAGTTACTGTTAGTAATAACTTATTATCAAAATTTATGGAATGAATTGGTCACTTTGGGGAGATTCAAAACATGAAAGGATTCTGAAAGTAGTCACAGAGTTCTCTTAACACTTGGCACTTGGATATGTAGTATATGTACATATATACATATATGTTATTTGCTGGCTGGGAGGTCCGTATGGTGAAAAACTGTGACCGAGGTCTTGAAAATACTGCCCGAGGCCGTAGGCCGAGGGCAGCATTTTCAAGACCGAGGTCACAGTTTTTCACCATACGGACCGACCCTTAGCCGGTAAATAACATATTTATTGTTTTTAAACTTGACGAAATTCTTTCCGAAAGAACCCGAATGATTTATGGCCGTAAATACGGCAAGATCTTCCATAAACTGAATAATTTTTGAGTGAGTAAATGGTAGTTAAAATAGAAGTGATGCAAATTTAAGAGAGATGCCTCAGCGAAACATTTTCATTTCCGTAACGATGAAGGTGATTTAAAAGGCTTCCAAACAAAGTTGGAAACATTATTTTTAAAACTATCTGTCACAATCTGACACCTGTCAATTAGAGAGCGCGTAAGAAAAAAAAAAAAAAGCAAGAAGATTTGAAAAACAACGGAACTAGTTTGGCAAGGACTGTCACGACAATGTTTTCTTCAAAAACAATCAATGATATAACTGAAAGTATTATTCACTCTCATCGACGATTCATTCATGTACGAAGATTTACCTCTGTTCATTAAGTAAACGGCGAGGAAAGTAATTGTGAGTAAATTCAAATTTTTTATTTTGAAGTTGTGAGAGTTTGCTCGTTTGTTTGCTGCAACGGCGTGTGTAAATCTGGTCTTTCCTCCACAAAAACTGAATTCGAACGGCACACTCCAACGAGACACTAGGGGATTTAATGCGGCCTTTTCTCAATAAATTCCTTCAGTTTCTGTTGTGCAATTTATGGTCCAAATGTCCAAATTGAACGGACTTTGAAAGACTCACCGAGAGCATATATTTATTGTCGAACTGAAATTAAAACTTCGCTTGCTCTTTTACTACGAACAAATTGTTTGAGAAAATTCAGACATTAAATGAATGAAAGTTCCATTGTTCAGTTTACCTGTAACCAAATACCTCACGTTTTAACTTTCTAAGTACTTTTTGTGAATGATTAAAATCAATTGCAGACGGTTTTTAGGCCGCTTGTCAACCGACGTAATGACACCATTGCCTATACAAATTCATTCTGAAACCAATATTTTTTGTCAACTAAATTGATTTGAGAGAGAGAAAGAGAGGATTCTTAAGTCGGCTTGAGGTAGTGACCGATGTGTTTGCTTAAAAATACTGCCCAGCGGGCAAAACGAGGTATATTTATGAAAAATGGCAACGAAAGTTGAGATGTACACGGCAACTCACGAAAGCGTTACCGTGGCCCGTGGGCAGAGATAGGAAAATACTGACCGGGTAAAGAACCAATCAGATTGCAGGATTCGTTACCGTGCCCTCTAAAAAAACAATAAATTTTGATATCCATTGATTTGGATACAGATTACCCAGGAAAGAAAGAATTACTTGTTGTCTTCATAACCCTGAGGTTTTCTTACTAACTTGTTTTCACAAAAAGTTTAACTTTTTGGAAGAGTGCTTCTCTAAAGGAGTAGAGAGGCTCACATAGAAAAGTTTGATTGTAATTGGTTGTTAGTTTTATACAGAGGTAATATTACTCTGTATATTTTCTCACAAGAAACTGGTGATTAGGAATCTTACTAAATATTTACATTTCTTGTTAAATTTCTTTCAGCTAAACCAAGAATTGTTCAACCTCCAGGGGATGTTATTGTCAAGGAGGGAAGCCCAGCTAAGTTTGTTTGTAATGCCACTGGAGATCCTCAGCCAACTGTAATCTGGGAAAAACAAGGGAAAGACTCATCCTCTATGTTCCCAGCAATGAAATATTATGGTGGTAGATTCTCTGTTTCAAGCTATGGTCTCTCCTTGGATATTTCTAGAGTAGAGAAGCAAGATGAAGGGGTGTACACTTGTTGGGCATTGATTCCTGGTGCTACTATATCTGCTGATGCAACACTTACAGTCATTGGTACGAGCGTGATCTGATCTTTGTGTTTTTATTTATACTAATTGACCTTTATCCTCTCTGGGAATTTGAAGCATAATTTAACATTCAACCGATGTGTGAAATGTAGTTTGCACTTACAGGGCGTGAAATTAACTTTTTTTTCTGATAGCCACGTGGCTCCTAAATTCTTCAAAGTGGTAACCAATTCAAAAAAAAGTTGGTTGCCATTTTCAAAGACAAACAAAATCTTTCTTTATGCTATCAGCGTTCTAGATAGACCCAAAATTGAGTTAGGGAAAAGATCTTTATTGTGCTACAAAGTGGACACTAGGATGTATGATATACAACGTTCAGGCTCATCTAAATCCAAGATGGCGTCTAGTTATTGACCGAGATGCATGTGCTACGTTTTGGAAACAAACTTAACGAGGAAGTTTGCCACTGATTTATCTTTGCAAATTTATTTAATTCACTATATCTCTTAGTAAGGTTATGATGAAACGTTGTAGTCGCCAATTTGGCGACTAACTTTCAGGATTTGGTCGCCAAAGTGAACAATTTAGTCACATTGGCGCCTGTATTAGGCGCAATTCACGCCCTGACTTATTATTTATTTTTAAGACCAAGCTTTGGAAACTGAAGTTCAGTTCTTTTAAATTAATATTTATCATTGATGATAAGGTATTAGGCATACAATAATTTTTAGATCTGATAGAATTTGTAGAGGATCATTACTATTATCTCTAAAGGTTCCTGTGCCATATAAAAGCACCTTTTAATTTGGTTAAGGTAATCATGGCAAGTGAGTCATCAAGAGAATCTGTGTGGTTATCCTTGACCTGATTCAAATTAGTGCACGGTTTAAAGAAAAACTGTGCATGTCCTGATTTCTGGAGTTTTGCCTTTAGGACCCACAGATATTGTGCCATCAGTCGTGACAGGTCCACTTAATCAATTGGTGGATGAAGGAACAAATGTAGATTTCTTCTGCGAAGTGAAAGGCAGCCCTGAGCCATCTGTCAGCTGGTTTCTGAATGATGATGACTTTTCACTGCAGAGTACAGCTAGGATTTCAATAACACAGACTGGTTTGACCTCACGCCTGACCATTTCTAAAGCAACTGTGAATGATAAAGGAATGTACAAATGTGTTGCCACTAGCAAAATTGGAACTGCCTCAGAGGAAGCAGAGCTAAAAGTGAACAGTAAGTTTTTTGTTGTAGAAAGATCTCAACCTTGAATTCAGTGAGTAAACTGAATTTTCCTCTATAATCCTAATTGTTGCATTTCTCTCTCTCTCTCTGTCTATTCAGAAGTGATCATTACTACCACATCCCCTCCTACAACGATGCCAACACCAAAACCCACACTTCCTCCTTTGGATGTAGTTGTGACTTCTGTGACACACAACTCTGTGGATTTAGCATGGAGTTCTGTGACTTCTTCAGATGTCTCAGACATCATGTACGTAGTGGAGTTCCGCAAAAGGAATGGCAAGCAGCCATGGAATACAGCTGTAAGCTCCCTGAAGGAAGACAAGCTTACTGTTAAAAACCTGGAATCTGAAACATGGTACTTGTTCAATGTACGAGCAGTGGGCCCAGATGACAGTACTCTCACAAAACCTTTAAAACCACTGTCTCATAGGACCAAGAAAGCACCAGTGGTAGCCATAAGTAAGTTAGATATTACATGTGTAGCAAATTTATTGGTTATTTTCCATGATGATACTGGTTTGTGTACCATGAAGCAACTTGAATTTTTGCCCCTGCTCCATAAGTGGGAAGATAGTCCATTATCAGTACTTCCCCCCCCCCCCAGGCATTTTTCCAGGTTTCCTTGGCATTCATAGGTACTCTTGGTTCCAGGAAGGCACAGAGAGTGTAAAGTATCTTGTGCAAGAGTCAATTATGATCATGATCAGGCCTTGATGATCAGAACTTTTAGTGGAAAGGTGTACCAACCTAGTAGGTTGTTAGAATTTCTTCTCTGTTTAGTGGAAGCATTGAAGTAAAGAGAGAGTTTTGTTCCAAAATGATCCAGGAAGGCTTGGAGAATGCTAATATGGATTCTGTGGGACAATATGACATGAATTAATGGTTTGATTACTTTTGATTCCAGAACCATCTCTTACTGTGGACCAGTGGAAAAATGTAAGAATCGATATTGATGCAAAACCTGCTGGACATAACAAGATTAACATATCATGGACTGTAAGTAAATGAAAAGCTTATATCACGAGAGCTTAGCTGTTACGTTGAAAAATAGCACTGGATTCAAAGTAGAAATAGCCTTTTCTTTTCTTGTTCAAAAGGAGTTGTTCAGAACTGAAGTTCTTCTCTTTTTTCCACCAAGGTAGTGAAAGTGATTCAAAAGAAATATGAAACTATCAGTAACACTTTCTCGTAAGGTTTGGAACCAAATCAACTAGTTAAACCAACTATTTTCTTAATTGTTTATTGAAGTAGCCTTTTCCAGTGGTGGAGGAGTGAAAAAACGAGGGAGGCTGGGGTGACCCGACCCAAACTCTCTCGTTTCCAAAAAATCTCGGATGTCTGCAGAAAGAGAATTACGTATTTGACCAGTTCTTCACTTGCTTCGGTACTACAGTACAATTAAATTTAATTTACAGTGTAGTGCCACGACTAGAAACTTCTGTAAAATTAAATTTTTTTTGTGTGTGTGTGTGTGTGTGCATGCAGATTTCAGAGCCAATGGTTGGAACAAGGGCAGTTATTTATTGGAGGAAGAAAGACTCTGATGTGTTTTACATTACTCCTAATACTTCATTTGGATCGTCATACTCACTGAATGGCCTTCAGGCTAATACTAGTTATGAAATTCAAGTGCAGATCATGAATAAACAACACAAAGGGCCAAAGAGTGACTCTGCTTTCGCTAAAACACTTGCGAAGCCGAAAGGTGAGTTAAAAAGGGAAAACATTGTCCTCAATAGCCTACTTTCGATATGTTAAAATTTAGTGCTAAAAAGAGAAGAACAAATCATGTGGCTCCAGGGAATAAACTTTAAAGTTTGTAGAGTTTTCTCTGTGGAGCCTTGTGGATAATCGAAGCTATGTGGGGGGAATGTTTTGTGATCCAGGATTGCGTTGGATTGCGGTCGGTTGTTTTAGAACGCTCCGTGATCGTAATCGGTCCAGAAAACTTGCGCTACACTCTTCAGTCAATCAGATTCAAACTAAAACCAATCGCGACTTGGTCATGCGCATTTTGTGTAGTTTTCTTGTTCTTACTCTGATTTCTCATTGGCTCCTTGTTATATAGTCCTTTTTCTAATTGGTTGTTGCAATTATTTCGGTTTTGGCTCTACCACCCTCATATGAAAACCGCGTTGTCTTCTCAATTTTTCCTCCATAGGTGTTGACGTTGTATCTAGTGGGGGAGAAATACCCATAACAGACCTTGTTGGCTCCGACGGAGAAGTCAGTGTAGTTGAAGCGCGTACCGACTCAGATGACACCTGGTATAAGATAAAAATGTTTGTACGTCAGCCATGGTTCATTGGTACTATGGGTGCAGTTGCTTGGGTAATCCTCTTAGTCGTGGTACTGCTGTTGTACAGACAGAGGCGACATAGGAAGAAGCCAAAAAAAGCCCTGACCTCAAACGGTAGGTTTTTCTTGCCTCTTCACGGTAACATCTTTTATTTTTGCACTTTCCATGTACAACAAAACTAGTCCGAGGAGCATCGAGATATGATGTCTATATTAATCAAGGGAGGTCGTGGAATTTGATATTTTCACTGTCCATTTAGTTAAAATCCCAAACGCCTGCACTGATCGAACATTTTCACCCAAATCTTTCAAGCTAAATGAGATTGTGATTTGACTTTATTTTTTCTTTTTAGTGTGTTTACCTGCTGACAGCATGCCAGGGAGTCCAGGGTAAGTCTTGCTTTCTTAGTATAGGTAAATGGAAGGTTTGAATTTTGATGACCCCTTTTCCACGGAACGATGCAATACACGTATTGATTCAGCTACGTTACTCACTCTTGGTGCAATTTCAAAGGTTTAGGCCAAATTTTTTAGCGGGTCACTAGCAATTCATTTGAATCTTGTTCATTCTTGATCATCTGTAGTTCATTGCTCCCTTGTCACACCAAACCAATATCTAGTAGATTTCTTCAAACTGAGAGCGGTTTTGTAAGGCGTAAGATAGAAAACATTGTAAAACAAATCACGGTAGCGAGCGAGTTTTCTTGACCTATCACGGTTCGAAGTAAAGCATAACTAGGGCAATCCTGGAAATTGCCCAATTATTGATGTATAATTGTATTTTTGTCTTTTCGCAAAAGTACCCGTGCTTCAAAGTTCTTGTGGATGGAAGAGCGAAATTCAGACCCAACTCACCAACTCACCAATAACAGATCTAGCGACAGCTCAACTTCCGATTGTACACGTCAAATGGCAAATTGCTGCCGAGGGAGAGGAGGCTCGTCTAGTAACAGTCCTGACTTCTCCAATAAAATTTCTTTGAACCAGTTGTCAGGTAGGAGAATTGTTCTTCTTGAAGTAATCTGTTAAAGAAAAAAAGTGAGAAAAAGGAAATGTTAGTTTTTAAAGAAAGATTGTATATTATAGGACAAGTTTGATGAAAGCATTAAGCTTGGGTTAACAACAAAAGACTCTAAATAGTGACAACTTTATCTTTGCAAGAAGTACGAAGTCGTTTTGAGTTAATCAGAACGCACGACGAAAGCACGTGACGCATTCGTGACAAATGCGGGAAAACGCTGCGGGAATCAATTCGTGAGAAGCTCTTGGCTTTAATCTCCTTGACTTGAAACTCACTTTTGTTTCCGATTGGCTAGCATGATACGAAACTCATAGGATCGTGGAAGTCTGTGTTTCCATTTGCTTTTGCACACGAGAAATAGGTATCACGTAATGTCTGTCTTCTTGCCTTAATGTTTGAGTTTTTTAAAAATTATTATTATTTGATCACCTCTATTAGGCAGCGGAAATCGGTTGGATACGAACCACTACAGCCCGGCTGATGTACAGCAAGGCAAAAGTAACAACATACCAAACTCAAAATATCACTATCAAGAGCATTTGAACAAGAGCAACAAGTTCTTGGATTCACCGCCAAATCGTGAGTACATCTTACTTTAGTTTTTCGAAGTACCACAACCCAAGCATAATGGCCAATTAGAACAGAGATCAGTCATTATTAGCCAATTAGAACCAAGAACCAAGAAGAAAAGACAAACTGCCAAAAGGGCGGGAAAACGCGGGAATGAGGTAAAGCGAAAACAGTGGAGTTTCAGATTACTTTTGACACTTAATTGACTACTAAAATTTTTGAGACTTGGAAAATTTCATGATATCGGAAACGAGCTCTATTATGCTCTTTTTATCGAGTCAAGGCCGCACACAGGGTGTAGTAAGACTGTAACTCAAGACGTTTTACATTTCTCCTACAGGGTATGCCACACCCAATGGATCTCGGAGTCCCTCAGAAAGCACTCTCCCGAAGAGCGGGACCAAAGAAAGAATCCGGTACCTGGACTTCCCTGAGAGTGGCACGAACAGGAGCAAATCCAGCACGAGTTCAAGGAAAAGAGACCCGAACCAGGCACCTAGTGACTCCAGCGACACGGAGAAGACCAAACCCAAGCTTAAGATTCAGTCTTTTGAGATGGCTGGAAATATTCCCACCACTAGTACCTTTCATTCTGAACCGCCTCCGACTTACGAGGCTGTCTTAAAAGAAACAGAAATGGAGATGCAGAAATTCCCGCTGACCACCGCCGAAAGGGTGGAACAAATCGAGAGTAAAAACGAGGAAGAACAAGACTCCTCTGCGAAACCCGATGCTTCTGATGCTCGAAAATCCCCAACTTTGGAGAGACCGGCCAGTCCGAGTAGCGAACGAAGCTGTAAAACTTCAACCAGTTGCGGCTCGCTTCAAAGAAAAAGGAAGGCTCTCAAACCACCTCCGCGTCTAGCTATCTTCAACTGGGCGGATATGCTGCCCCCACCCCCTTCAGAGCCACCACCGAGCAGCTTAGGATCCCCACCCCCCTCCCCACCGTTCAGCGAACGAAGTGCCATGACAGGCATGACAGGAAGGACTGGTATGAGCGGTATGAGTGCTATGAGTGGAATGACAGGTATGAGCGGAATGACTGGAATGAGTGGCCAGACAGGATTGAGTGGTATGACAGGATTAACAGGAAAAACCGGAATGAGCGGGATGAGTGGTGTCACTGGGAAGAGTGGACTGACGGAACCTCACGGCCATTCGGGGAGGCGGGCACAGAGAAAGGCTGGAGCCGCTTCTCATGACGGTGAAAACGACCGCGAGTCTGTGACGGGAAAATCTGAGAAGTCCAAGAAATCCCGATCGAAGCCGAAGCCTATTCCGATCGACCTCGAGGGCATTACGAGTGACATCATCATGCAATGGGCCGAGTCTGTGACGAACACTAGCGGTTCCGATGAGGAATCGTCGGCCTCAAGCCCAAGCCGAATAAGTGGCATTAGCAGTGATGGGTCTTTCTTTACTGACGCGGACTTTGCTAATGCTGTTCGTGTTGCCGCTGAATGTGGTGGGTTTAACACGGATGCTTATGGACTCATGGACTCACTCGGCATACCTCCCCCTTATGCTGCGGGCTGGAAACGCAGCAATTCATTTTCTAATGATAACGAAGCTAGCCTTGGAACCGCGGCTGCGTATGGCCCGCGTCCCCTTAGAAAAAGATGGGAAACTGGTAGCGAAGGTGACTTAGAGTATAATCCACCACCTAATCGAGTACGTCCCAGGCAAAGACGAGACAACGAAAAGGGTCCCAATGAGAAGGGACTTAACGATACAGGACCGGTGCGCATCCAGAGAGTGCCCCCTGGTGAGCTTATCAGACAACTTCCCGGTATGCGAGCCCCTGTACCTATAGTACCCTCACAGCCGAGGAGACCACTTCATAGGGTTGCTCGGCCAGGGGGGCCGCCCCTGCAGACGAACCCGGCCATGCTGGTGCAGCCCTTGAAGAAGACAATGACACTTGGCGTGGTTGACCCTCGGGAACCGCTTAAGAAAAAGTACGCCATTGTGAAGAAGATACCTCAAAGTCAGGAAAACGAGAGAGGAACTGGGTATCAGAGTTGTAGCATGAGTTCAAGCAAATCAAGTACAAGTACGGCCAGTACTGTGAAGAGCAGTTCCTGTGCTCCAACCGTACATGATGACTCTGACCTGGAAGGGGTAAGCTGACGATTATTTTGACTAATATCTGAATTCTATGCATGGTGTCCTCACATTTTAAAGGTAAAGGTGACGATAGGAATTAAAATTTCAAGGTTGGCAGCATAGCCGCCTGTCTTTGCTAGTGAACTTTGGTTCAGATAATATGCGAAGCTGTTGTATTCGCATGCTTTCCCTAATTAAATGTCAATTATTTTTTTTTCCCTTTCGTCCAAAATTCGTTTGCCAGGAGTGCCTTTTAGTAGGAATATTTTCTTTTATTGATCGATTATTTCCTTTTCCTTTTCCAGTCGGTGGCATAACTATAAAGCAAGATAGCTATATGGCAATGGATAGAAGAATTGGAGCTTTGTGACTGCTTTTCTTTTCCAAATACATAAAAATTAGAAGCGTTACTCCTATGTTTTAATGCGAAGCGTTCACAAACAGTATTTGGTAACTATTAGTTCGGGTTAAAACAGTTGCGTATGTTTTTTGTTCAAGACATGGAGTTACCAGAGTTGCTTGTCCTCAAAGTAACACTGGAAAATTTTATAACTTAAAATTTTGTACTCAAATATAGCGTTTTTGTGGCATTATACAGCGGTAAACTGATTGTTTTGCTTCCTACATTTTCAAGCTACAGTATTATGAAATGGGATCTTTATATAGATTTGTGTAGATAAATGTACAGATCGACTGGAGAACATTTGTCCCGGGAATTTGAAAGGAGAATTCCTTTTTACTTCTCTCCTAATAGTCAAAATTTTATTTTACAGTGAGTCAATATATTATTGGCTGGAATTGACGTTTGGAGATCAGATGGTGCTCATGAACACGCTTTATTGTAATACACAACTCTAAATTTATTTCTTTTCGTTGGTACTCCATGCGAGACGCTAAAAGAGATAAAAAGCATTTATTTTTCATGATATAAAATTATAGGCAGATTTGTAAAGGAAAAATGTGATTTGTTTTTTTTTTTTATGATTGAATTTTATACATTGACAATGAAAGTGGAGATGCGCCAGGTCTCACTCGCGTGGTCATAGATATCCCAAAAATATGTACGATCCGATTTTTAATTTTGGCAGAATTTAAAAGAATAATATTTGAATTGTTTTGTATAAGAGAAATTGATGTTTACTTTAGAAAATTCCAAATAACGTTTTCCAAAGAATGTACTCATATTCAAAAACAGCAGACAGTAAAATATAATAACGTTATTTTATTTAAGAGCTTTAAAGCCTTCGTTTAGTTAGCATATCTGTTCCTGGTAAGTATTTTTAATGAATCATTTGGATTTTGGCATAAGCGACATTGTATGAACAACAATGCAGTAAACAATAAATTGCTAATTACCTTGAATCAGTGTGCTGTGTCAGTGCGCATACCCCAAACCCCACGGGGGTACTCTCGAATTTTTGTTGGGGGTGTGCAGCCTGGTTTCCCAAATCCTGACTCTCTCAGAGTAAAACGTGCTCGAATTTCAGATCTGTCCTTTCATAGTCTATAGCCATTTTCAGACCTGGTAACGGTGCTGTAGTGAAAGGGTCAGCTCAAATGATATTTTTCTGTTAGGGACCAGTTACCATTTGCCGCCTTGTCGGGGGAGGTAGCAGAGGATTTTTAGGGGGTCAGTCGTCACCAAAAGAGTGTAATAGAGGGGGGGGGCTATAGAGAATAGACTGCCGATCAACTTCTGATGAGAGGGTAGGGGGTCATAAGACTATTACAGAGCTTCCTTAGGGGGGGGGGTACATGTGAATTTTATCATGACAACCAATGTCCTCCCCATCAGCCTGTTAAGCTGTTCCTCACTTCTCTCTCTTTCTCTAGCCCTCTCCATTCTTCACCCGGAGTTGAAGAGACAAATACTTTTTTACGCTCGCATGATTCCCTTTAAAAACCATGACAGACCGAATTTGAGACCATGCTAGTCAAGCTCTAAATCTTTTCCACACCGAGACGGCCCAGTGCCATACCCCACTAGGCTTAAGAAATTTGAACAAGAGAAGAAGAAAAAATCATCGCGAGTTGAATCCCTCGGTGTTTGATAGTCTCTTAAAAGATCATATTCTGGCCTTCCATCATTGGGGATCTCAGCATCTGTGCGTCTCAGTTCGTAGTATTGAATCTTTTTTTTTGGCTACGATACATGCACCCGGATCTTTGAAATTAAATCGACCAACCATTAGTATTGCAGCGTCAAGGTATTGACTTCCGTACCGTACTGTCCCGTCACTCGATCGAGGCTTTAAGTCACGTGTTTGCCAAGAGAGCAATATTCAAGATGGCGCTGCCTCCTCCACCAGCACCACCACCTCCACCGCCTCCTCCTCCTATAGGAGAGGCCATTCCTCCCTCTTATCCCGGTCCAGCTCCTTCGATGCAACCTGTGACAACTGCCCAACCAGCTCCAGACGCTCAAACGGCATCCCAGCCCAATACTACCCCAGGAAACGAGGATAAAATCTGGGAAAGATCGTGGACTGTGGACGAGTTGAGAAAGGGGTCATCAAATTGGACACTCGCTGCTGATTCGGGGGTAAGGCTGTCTTACTTTAATGACTCCGTGTAAAGACTGTAAACGATAGGGCTAGGAAATCGTTGATTTTCTCTAATTATTTTTCTGTGACGGAGATTTTGTCATTTCTCTTCTGCGTCATTTCACTGATGTGTCAAACCACTAGCTGGAAACCTTAGGTGTCATTAAACTACTTGAACTTTACCAAGTAGTGTTGCTGTTTTCTATCTTAAAAGGCAAATCTGTTCACTATATGTTTCTCATATTTTATGAGAAATCTCATAAATATTTAGTACCATCCTCAAATGAAAACGATTACCATAAAGTGGAGTGGTAATTTAATATTATTCAAATTAGCCTACAAAACATTTCCTCACACATATCTGTATTCAAGTATCAGGCCAATCAGCTGTTATCTAGCATGATGAGGAAACAAACTCTACGGCTAAGGAAATATTTCATATCTTGTCTTGGTTCATGAGGAAATGTTTTGTTTTCTCTTCTGTTACATGGAATTAGGCATTTGAAAAGGTAATTATTATGCACATAGGAAGTTTTATTTACCTTATTGGTAACCCTTCAACCAAGCATTACTCATTTCTCAAAATATTCGCCACTACCACGGGAAGTTAACAATTTATTTTGAAGAATCCTTCATTGGTTTGTTGTTATCCAGGAGTCTTCTGACCCATGACTTGGCTGGAAATTAAGCAAACAATCCTATATTTTTTTGCCCTAAGATCTTCCACTGAACAACTTTAAGGTATACTGAGAATATGGTAATTGCTATTTTCACGTACAACTTTTTTCCATCACAAAAGAACACTGGACTGACGAAGTAAAGACTTTTGTTCAATGCCAGAGTAATATGAGAAATCAAATTCTGACAGAAATTATTATTTAAGATTTTGGTCTGACATTCTGCTAAGATTACAGTATATCTGCAGAATCAAGTTGTTGCTGGAGAGAAGATTCTCGGAGTATTGCTATCTCAGCTAAGGCTATCCACTGCCATGCACAATGTCACATCAAAACTTAAGAAAATAGAGTTGATTTCATTTTGACTGTCTACCGTATCTACTTTTTAGAAACTACATCTCACATGAAGTCTTTTAATACTTTGCCTTCAGTGGAAACTATATTATTATCAGCTAAAAACTGTTGTGTAGTCCTCTAAATTTTATTTTTCAATTTCCAGTTTCTCCTTTATCTGCAAGAATTCTCTCAACGAATTATTTCACAAACTCACGACATTGAGACTCAAGTGGATGGGCTGATCAACAGTACAAAAGTGGGTGAAAAATTTATTTTCATTGTTTCATTGATACAAACATCCATTTAAGTCACGAAAGGCTTGCTGTGTTAAATTTATTTTTCTCTATAATTGTCTTGTTTTTCTTAATAATTGCGTTTTAATTTTCCTCATGGGTCATAATGAAAATGAAAACATGGAGAAGAATTTTAAAATATGTTTTATTCTAGAGAAAAGTCTTGTGCCCAGAAGAAATTTCAACATTTCTTTTGCATGAGTTTCATAAACATTTTATTGTATTTTGCTTCATTGGTTGATTGACTGGCTTTTTTTTGTCCACAGGGAATGGATTCTAAAGTGCAGAATACAATGAATGACTTTTTAATGCTGTCTAATACGCAATTCATTGAAAATGTGAGTGTGTTTCTTCAAATAATTGTCTAAAATATGTTTTTGGTATACTCATCAGAGCTGTATATCATCATATTTATATATTTACCCATTTGTGACATTTGTTTTGCAAGGGTGAGCTTCTTCAAGGGTGCAAACTAAACAAAAGTTCACCCAGGGTTAATCTGTGTTATGGATCAGCTTATAAAACTACAAGGGAAAAGAAGAATGATTATTAACAGAAACTAACTATAATTGCTTTCTCTTGCTTTATTGTTAGTATTGTTTCAAGTACAGCCTCTTTTTTACACTGTACAGACACCTTATCCTGTTTTGCAGTGAACAAAACAAGCAATCTTGCGGTGTTCATATTAACTTAAGTAATTGTCTATTTTTTTTATCAGCGTGTTTATGAAGAGGATGTCAGTAAAGATGAGACAAATGAGGAGAAGGAGAAAGCTCCTGAACCAGAAAAGGTATCTTGCATCATTCTCAATGTCATTGCATTAAGGGGATTCTTACCTTGTACACCCCAGCATTAGTATTCATATTCTCCTTTCTGTTCTCTTTACAACTTCTCTGATAATAACAAGGAGAATTTGTTTGACAATCAGGAGCTCCTTTATTGAGTGATGATTACCTCTATTCTTATAACCTTAGCAGTTTATTCAAGGATAGTAAGGAGAAATTAGAGGTTGGTCACCCTTCTGGGATTTAAGGGTTAAGATTTTCTTACCTGTCACCTCTTCCCCATTTTTCCCCTCTTTGCTCCTTGGCCTTTGAACTCTCACTCTGTACCTTGGGTACATCAGAAAATATGGCATAGCTCAGTGTCAACTTTTTCTCAGGGTTTAATATTTGTACTCTCAACAGGCAAAAACAAGGGAGCAGCTTGAGGCAGAGGTTATTCCTAAGCTAAGTGAAGCTCTTAGCCATGGAGTTGGGGTTATGGATAATGCATTTGTTGCAGTTGAGCTCACAACGGAACGTGAGTATTAATTTGATCAGTGGTTCACCAGCACATTTACCTTTATTTTTAGTTAACCTTTAAACTCCCAAGATCTGATTGTTAATTCTCCCCTCTTTCCACTACATATTTTCTTGTAAATTAGCTTTGAGAATTTGGTTTTAGATCAAGATAAAAACCTCTACCTGATAAGTTTGTGTATTCTCATTACCTGTTTGCTGATTAATGTCTGGATATCACGAGGAGAAGTTACATGTTAATCACTTCTGTAAGTTTAGGGGTTAAGTTTCCTACTCAAGTGTGTAATAACCAATTGTGTGTTTTTTTGCTTAAGTTCATAAACTGAAATCTCTTCTCCCAAAGATGCACATAATTCTTCAATTCTTTGTAAAGCAACCATTAATTGCCTGCTTAAAAATGATTGAATCATTCAAGACTATTTCCCTCGTGCAGATTCTGATGATGAAGAAGAAGATGATGATGCCAAGACAGCATTTAAGCCACAAGTGATTTTGGAGCCCAAGGTTTGTGAACTATTTTTTAATCACCCTGTTTTCTGGATTTGATGTTAATCAGCTACTTAATGATGAAGGAGGCTTCATGCCATTTGAAGGATGTAGGATAAAGACCTAACAAGGAACAATGTTTACACTGTAAGTCTCCCTTCTCACTCACAACTTTCTCTTTTTTCACCTTGAAGGATGTTTATTCCAATCGTCCATTGCCACATCTGATTGGAAGTGGAGATTTCTTTAGGGATGAGCTGGTTGGCTTGGGTGAATCTTCAGGAGAAGGTAAATATAATTTCATACTTGAAGTGAATCAAAAAGTCACAATTTTGCGTGGGCCATCTCTGAACTGTCAGGGAATGAATCAATGGAAAATGTTGAGCAGCTTCATGGGAGAAATGCTGAAAAGATTTTTGTGTTTATTATATGATTATAAACAGAAGATGAAGGTGAAGAGGATGAGGAAGAAGCGTCTTCCAGTAGCAGTGGAAGTGAAACTGAATCCACAGCCAGTGGAGAATCTAGTAGTGAGGTAATAATTATAATCATCATCATTATTTTCAAAATTACTGACGGAGGCAGTTTTCATTGCAACCTTTTTTGAAAATTACTTAATCTTGATTGAACCACTATGGAATACTATTCAGTTTTTGTAATTTTAAACATTGAAACTGTGTGATAATGAAAAGGATTATCTTCACATGATTAAAAATGCTAATGGAACTTATTTTTTGAAGTCCCCAGTTGTAGAAAGGATATAAAGATGTCATTAGCTTTCATTGGATAGTTTGATTTTATGTGTGTTTGTTGATTTGCTTCATAGAGCTCCGAAGAGAGTGGCAGCGAATCAGACACAGAAAAGCTGAAAGAGACAGAGAAAAAACAGAAAAGCAAGCCAAAGGTATATTTAAGACAGACAGATGCATAAAGCAGTGGAAAGTGTAAATTGAAATATTTGATACATGATTTAGCTTTCAGCAATAATACAATGTACAAGCATTTCCAGAACAGAAGTGAAGATGTACTGATTGTCATGGTTAAGGTTTTTTTTTTTTCTTTTCTTTTTTTAATCTTCACCTCTAAAGCATTTTCATTACAGAAGGCAAGAAAATATAGATGTGTAAAGAGGTGTACCTGCATTGAGATTATTTGATTTTATCCAAGAAAATTATTGAATCAGAAGAAGATGATGATGATCTGTTTGGTGAAAAGAAGAAGCCGCCAGACTCAGATGAAGAAGATGAGAAGAGTGATGATGAGGAAGAACAGCCAAAGAAGGTAAAACGGTTTGAACTGCAGTTAACTTAACTTCTCCCTATAATATCCATACATTATCTAGCAGACAGGTAGTGAGAATACTCAAACTTATCAGGTAAAGGTTGTCATCTTGATCTGACACAGCATTCTCCTAACTTATTTACGAGGAAATGTGTAGCAGCTAGAGGGGAGAATTAACAATCGGATCTTGGGAATTAAAGGGTTAAAGTTCACCTGACTAGACTTTATCAAGAGGCTGTGAAATTGTTGAAATTGAAGTTGAAAGCCTCAGGAAGCACATTGAGGCAACAATGCTATTGACATGACAGATTTAGGTCATGGGTACTGGAACTAGTTCATGCAAAGAAATTAGGCCTTTAGAAATGAAAATGAAAATGTTGTTAGTTTTGGGATTTTGTCTCTAGACTTACTTATCAAAAGAAGGACCATCCCCAATACAAGAAAAAAATTATTAAGGGGATGTGTCACTGCACAGTCAAATCATTATTCTCAAGAGTGACTTTAAACTCACCAAGTGATCAAGTAAATGAAAAGAAAGGGAAAGTCTTAACCCTTTACACCCTAACATCAGTATGCATATTCTCCATACTGTTCTTAATACATTTCTTAAGGTGCTGACAAGGAGAATTTGTTTACTGATCAAAAGCTTCTTTTGTTGGTGATCATTTCCTTTATTCTCATGACCTTAATGTGTGATTCAGGGGTGATATTGTGGGGAGAAATTAGATGCTCGTCACTCTTAGGGTTTAAAGGGTTAAAGAAACCCTCAAAATGTGACCATGCTAAGAATGGTGTATGGTTATGTAGACTCGAGTTTGTAGGAGAATCAGATAAGAAAGTATAGCTGTATGATTGTTCAAGAAGAGTTTTAACAATGAGCCCATAACAAGAGTCTTCACCCTTTACACTCTCACATCAGTATGTAAGGATCCACTGTATTCTATACATTTCCCATGTTACTTACAAGGATAATTTTTCCAACAATCAAAAAAAACTCTTGAGTTTGCGATCATTTTCTTTGTTATGACCTTTAGGTTTGATTCAGGAGTGATATTGTTGGGAGAAAATGAAATGCCTATCAGTCTTAGGGGTTAAAGAGTTAAGAGAGTGATAGATGTGATTGTTATAATTCCAGGGCTGGTGATGTAGACTGCTGAATAGGAATTTCTTTTTCTCCACAGCCAAAGGGTGGTTTAGACTTTGCCTCTGAACTTGCAGCAAGAATTGGAGTTGCAAAGGTGAAGCAACCAGACAGTGATGAAGATGATAACAAAGATAAGGTGGCTGATGGTGAGTGGAGTGACGAGGAGAATCAAGAGTCTAAAACTGTTGAAGTTCAGGAAAAACAACGCAGCTTGACGAAAAACAGTTTAACAAAAAGCCGCAGTGACAGCAAGACAAAAGAGAAGAAGTCTCATCACCACCACCATCATCATCATCAACATCATGACAAAAGGGAGCGGACTGAGTCACAGGGAGAGCACAAGCATAGAAAACGACGCGGCAGTAAGACCAGCCACTCTAGTGTGGACAAGCATTCAGTTACCGCTGAGGATGGTGAGAAATGGTCATGTAAAATTAATGAATATTTTTTATATACATTTTCCAAGTGTTCATTTCTTCTTTTGTCAGATCTGTTTAGCCAGTCAAGTCCTCAAGAAGATGGTCTCTTTGGAGGTGAAGGAACTCCATTTACAAAGAAAGGAGGGCTGTTTAGTGGTGGAGGAAATCTCTTTGATGATGTTGACGAAGACAAGGTGTGACTCATAATACTTGGGTTACTTGTTAGTAAAGGCTTTTGCATGTTCTCATCATTGGTCCAAAGGTTTTTCTCTTTTCCTCCATTTTTTCCTGCTTGTGAAAAAAAGTTAAAAAAGTTTCACCACATATCATCTAGAAAACAATCTTTTACCACTTGGATTAGTGTTGGTCTTTCACCTAAAAATGTAGAGTTTGCCTTTGGAAATTTTTCTTGCACTGTATTGAATTTTTAATTAATGAAGTAAAGATAAATGTATCTCAAGTCCCATTAAAATATTTGACTTTGCTAATACTGGGTTCAAATGAATGCTGGGATTAGCCAACCCTGTACCAGGTCCTTCAAGGGGCATGTTGTTTCACCTGGCCTTGATCTTTGTTGTTGTTGTCCCAGATGCAGGGCTGAAAAAGCCTTACAAATTCTTTGAAAATTGTATGTTAGCAAACATTTTTTCTTTCCCTGATGGGCCAAGGAGATCATTGATCTATGTGGGATTGTGAAAATGACCATAGACATCCTGAAAGTTACAAAATTCTAATGGAAATGTTTTATTTCCAATTTGTGGGCTAGCCAACTTGCAGCTTGGTAAATATCCACCATTATTCACCTCCACTTCAGTGAATAACTGTCAAATATTGTGCAACACTTCATTATAAATATGTCTTATTTTTTTTCAAACACAGGGTGACTTGTTTGCTGAGGCTTCAACTACGAAAACTAACAAACAAGAAGGACCAACAGAAGGTTGGGAAATTTTGCACTAAAAATGTATAGGGATGTTGAAAGTTAAATATTTCTTTTTATCTGTAACTGACTGGCGCTTTCTTTTTCAGCAGAAGAAGAATCTGTTCAAGTTAAACCCAGAGCAAGAAGCACAGCAAGTGGGAAAAAAATCCCAGCTGGAGCCATCTCGATATTTGGAGGTATTTTTTTTTTCAGATATTATTTGAAAATGACTGGGCAGACTGGATGTTACAAAACAAGTATATTTACTTTTTTCCCAGTTCACATGTCTCAAGAGTGATTGGCTTCCAATTTCTCCTCACAGTATCACCCTTAAATCAAATATAAAGGTCATGAGAACGAAGGAAATTATCACCAGTTTAAGAAGCTCTAGATTGTCGAGCTAATTCTCTCTATCAGAACCATAGGAAATATAAAGAGAACAGAGTGGTGAATATAAATATTAATTTTAGGGTGTTAATTAAGACAATACAGAGAGATGGATGTGCAAATTAATTGTAACAATTCTTTCCTTTAGATTCTGGTTTGTTTGGATCACCATCACCAACAAAAGAGGTGAGGGTTCAGTTTATTTGATTGGAAAAGGTGAAAATTAGCAGTTTGATGCTGATTTGTTTTGAGGTTTCTGTTATATATATGTGTCATGGCTAAATAGCATTTTGCATTTGTGTATCAAGAGTAAGTAGGGATTGCATTTATTTGCTTGAATCCATGAAAAACTACTTGTAGAACCAATTGCAATTTTGTTACTCAAATTTCTGAAATTGGAGCTACTACCAGGAAACATACTGTAGACATCAGCTGCTTCTGCAATTTGTGTTTGTTCTTATTGGCATCTGAAACCTTCTTTCCCTTTTGGATTAATTTGAGTTTGGGAATGGGATGTAATCTGTGGTTTAATCCTTCACTGCTTCTACAAAAGAAAACAAAAAAGCTAGGGTGATAACAAATCCCACTTTAGATTTTGACAACTTTATTACAGCATGTTTTGAAATAGGTTGTTGTTCATCGTGGTAGTTGGATGATATTATAAGTTTGTTCTGTTGTCTTACGACAAGGTCACTTGATGTAGAATGTAACATTTTGACTGCTTACAGCATACTCTTAGTTTTCTTTTGTTGGAGGCATTTCCATCCATTGTATATAATATGACTTTCTTTTCTTTCTATTTCTTCTCACTAAGGACATTACTACCAGTCTGACTAAAAACCATCAAAAGCACGAGGAAACTGAAACAAAACCCAAACCCAAGAGTGGAGGGGGTGGGGGTGGTTTGTTTGATGGTGATGATGATGATGATCTGTTCAGTGGTACAACTTTTAAACCATCTGCTGCGTCTCCGGTAGTTCAAGGTAGATATCTTTCTTGAATCTCTATATTAGCGTGCAAATTCTCAACAACACCTCAGTTGTATTGTCTCAGTGATTGAAAATATTGTGGACAAGTTGTTGTCATTGTGCATACTCACTTTTTCCATTTCTTCCCCAATTTTTTTGTACTTGAATCAGAGATTTTGGACAAGAAGTTAATTTTTTCAAACACTTCTTTTGTCATGTTGGATTTTTTTTTCAAACTATCAGAAAGAGTTAGGGGATCAAATTTGGTTCATATCACAGATACAAAAAGGAGTAGTTTCATCTTTTGTTGTTGTTGTTGTTGTTGTTGTGATCATTGTTACAAACACTATCATTCTCCTTTGAAACAGAAACTGCAAAGACCAAACCCGCAGCAAATAAAGTTGATCTGTTTGGTGCTGACAATGAGGATGAAGATGATGAAGGTGATTTGTTCAGTGGAAAACCTGCAGCAAAGGAACCTGCTCAGGCCCCCCCAAAGAAAAAGGTGTGTTCAAAATAGCAAATCTCTCTTCTTATTTCAGCATGTCTCAGTTTTCAAATTACCAGGATCTTCATCGTCCTGATAAACTGGGTGAGAATAATCATAACATGGTTTACTCTGCAAAGAAGCTAAATAAAAAAGTGCGTCAGGTTAGAGTAATGCGTTCCTGTTTCTTGCACTGTTTCCTTTAGCTACCAGCTGGTGCAGTGTCCATGTTTGGCAGTTCACCACCTCCTTTACTGATGGGCAAGAATACTATTGATGATGAAGAGGTGAGTTTGTCTAATATTTGAGAATTCTAGCATAGATTGCATTTCAGTAGAAAATAAAAAGTAGAACCTCACTAACTTGATCGGTGTAACTTGAGTTTCCCTTTGATATTATTATGATAATGACCTTTTCCTTGCTTATAGGGAGTTATGAATACCTCACATCGTGAAACACATTATATAACAAATATCTTATTTGAAAGCTAAAATATATTATGAAAGATGAATGCAATGCCCAAGGGTGATTTGAAAACATCAGCTTGCTTTAAAAATTTCCCTCCGATTTGATAATTGAGAATGAAATTTTTAAATGACCTTCTTATCTAAGATTATATAGTCAGTCCTGACTGATTGTATTGTTGAGAGCTTTTGAATTAGATTTTGATTTTTTTAAACTAGTTCTTTTGCTATTATTACTCCACAGAAAGATGATACTGGGTTGTTCAAGGCATCCGCCGTTGCACCTAAAAAGACCGAAGTAAAAACTTCCCCTGCTCCTCAGCTAACCAAGTCAAAATCCGGGGGAGGACTATTTAGTGATGAAGACGAGGAAGAAGGGGGAGGGTTGTTTGGGGCTTCAGCTACAAAACCACAGCCCAAGGAAGAACCAAAGTCCAGACCAAAAACAAAGACAACGATTAGTCTGTTTGATGATGATGAACAGGATGAAGAGGAGGATTTCTTTGCTGCACCAGCAGTTTCAAAACCAGCCAAGAATGAGCCAACCAAGGACAAACCCAAGGAGGAAGTTAAGGTCACTAATCTAATTTCATTCAGGTCATTCAGCAATTTTTTTGTAACAGGTTGCTGTTACAGATGCCTTCATAGCCCAATGAAGAAGTCAAAGTCACAAATCTGATTTCAGTTAGTGATTTTTTGTAACTGGTTGCTGTTGCAGGTGCCTTTAGTTAGAAAAATTGCGAAGAATAAGACGCGATGAAATATACGCTTTAAATTTACATGGTTCTAAAAAGCTGCCGGACTGCTGTTAGTCTGATGAAGAGAGCTTTTCCTGGAAGCTTAACCATAACTGTTCACACAGAACTAGATTTTAGTGAGTTGGTGGTTGGTGCAAAGGAAAATAATACTATTTCAGGTTATGTTTTAAACGTGATCGTGTCACTGAGTGATCAATTACTAAATTGTCTCTGACTGGAACCCTTCATGAACACTTTGTTTTACTGCAGGAAACTAAGGCACCCAGCGCTAAGATTTCAGGGCTTTTTGATGATGATGACGAGGATCTGTTCAATTCGCCATCACCTAAACCTTCCCCCTCTCCCAATGTCACGCGCAAGGAGGACAAAAAAGTATGTGGTAAAACTGAGTATTTTATAGGGAAAAAATTGGTTATGAATATTTCGATTTGCTCTTAGAAATTGCTTTGTATTTTTATTGACGTGATTGGCTGATTGACAGACTTTCTTTCTGAATGATTGATTAACGGACCGTCTTGACTCAAATTATTGACTGAATGGCGACTGACTGATTGATTTATTGAATGATTGAATGACCAACTGACCAAGTGATTGATTGACTCACTGATTGATAGATTGATCGACCGACTCATTGATTGATTGACTGATTGATTGACTGACTCTCATTGATTGATTGATTGATTGATTGATTGACTGACTGACTGACTCACTGATTGATTGACCAACTGACTGATTGAGGCTTCGTCGCTTTTCTTCTTTCATTGTTTTACTTTCCTAATTTTTTTATAGGAAGAAACCAAGCCTAATAGGAGTTCTTCAAAAATGCAATCTTTGTTTGATGCTGATGACGATGATGAAGGGATGTTTGGAGGCACATCGGAGGATATTTTTATCGCGTCGACGGTAAAAACAAAACAATAAATACCAAATAATTAGTAAACAGGTTTTAAAATGATGGTAAATTTAACTACCTCTATGGATGAATTTCTTTCGGAAATATTAGATGTCTTTGTCATTGTGCGCGCTTAGTGAAGAATGACTGCTTATCTTTCAAATGTTTTCTCCAGTCTCCTCAGAAGTCATTTGAGTCCGTGTCACCTTTATCAGCGGCCATATCAGAAACGGTTCCGCCTCTTGACGGCACAGATGAAGTTTCAATCAGCAAAGCGAAACCTAAACCATCCGCAACAACAGCAGCGGCACCGAAAGCCAGTCTGTTCAGTGATGAAGATGATGACCTGTTTGGAGGGAATTCAGTGGAGGAACCAAAAGTCGAGGAGAAGAAAGAAGTTATATCAGAGAGCCCGAAACCTAGGAAACCAGTTGGCGCAGTTTCCATGTTTGGTGGTGTTGATCTGTTTGCGGGTAAGAGGCCTTCGTTTCTGGGGGAAAAGAACAATGCAGAGAGCTCAGAGCCAGTCAAAAAAGAAGAAGGTTTGTTTCCTAAGTAGCCTTTGTTTGTGTTTGTCACGCCACACGTTGTTTTGACTCGATACGCTCTCTCCGCTAGAGAGTGTTATTTGAAAGACAAAACAACAGTTGTTGAGGTGATTGCTTTAGTTTCGACTCTTTGAGTTTTGATGATTCTGAAGTCAAAATGAGATGCCAGCAATATATGTGAACTTTTTATTGTTTTTACGATCAGACAAGCCAGCCACCACTGAGAAAGAGGCAGACTTATTCGGTAGTGAACAAGCTGAAGATGAACTGTTTTCTTCCAAACCGAAGAAAACAAAACCAATCGCACCCCCTTCCAAAGCCAAGCCAAGTTCAGACTTGTTCGGTGCATCTCCCGAAGATGATCTGTTCTCTGCTCCTAGCAAACCACCCTCAGGTAAGACTAGGAGATTAATCCCGTCTCGGAGCGGTTTCGCTGTTGGATATACTCCATCGTAAAATTTTAAGGTGTTAGATGTTTGTTACGAGCGTGGAAAAATTACAATTCTGAGTCCACCGTGAGGCTTCCGGTCACAGTTCTGAAATCGTGTTTGAATGGTTTAAAAATTCAGCTGAGGAACGTATAACTCGATGTTGGGTTCATTAGGCTCACATACGACACGCGTCTTGATCAACAATGTCGTCTGAAAAAACCCTTTGGCTTCCATGTTTTTGTTTTTTTTTTTAACATGGTTGCTTTCTAAAGAAATGTTTTCGTCTTGTCACGAGGGTGGGACAAAGAAACATTTCGAACCTCAGGCCTTCGGATTCCGCTCTCCAATCTTCTGCCACTGAGCTATAGATACTCTACGATGATCCAAGATATTACTAAGTTGATATGTGACATGCGTTCCGCACTCTGCTCGGTTCAGCAATGTCGAAAGCTTTGGGTGAGTAAAACAGAATACGAGAGATGGTGCATCCTAAGCTCGGTAATGAAATGAAGAAAGATGTTGTAGATGAGAGTTCACGCAGCAGTTCATTTGTCGTCTAATTCCAGAACCGAAGCCAGTAAAGCCCCCGGTTATCTCGAAACCAGACGTGGAGGATGGACCAACCCAACCCGTTGAGCACGTGGAACCTGTCAAACCTGTAGAACCAGTAAGACCCAAGAAACCTGCTGGAGCGGTGTCCATGTTTGGTGGTGTGGACCTATTTGGCGGCAGCAAATCACCGCCATTTTCAGTGGCGGCCGCCAAATCACGTGTACCTGTAAAACCAAAAGGTAGCACGGTCTTTCTGTTTTTGCCGTTACCTAACCGTGAGACCACCAACACGTCATATATAGGGTTGTGAGAATTGTTTTTGCCTCAACCCTGAAAGCTCCAAGAGTGACCAGCATCTGATTTCCGCTCTTCCCCCCCCACCCCTCCCAATCCAAGGAAAAAAGAGAAACAGTTTTGGGTATGTTTTCCCCTACAATGTCTTTGCTAATTTTTTTTGCAGATCCCTTAGGAGGGGATGACGAAGAAGACTTGTTTTCTTCAAAATCTAAAGTTAAAAAAGAAGCTGAGCCTGAGGTGAAGTTGAGTCTCAGTAGTTAATAAGGTTCTCTAAGTAGCCAAGGTAACATTCAGTATTAAGTTTATATATATATATATATATATATATGTGTATGTATGTATATGTATATATATGTATGTATATACAGTTCAAAATAACTAAAATGAAACACGCATGATTCTCTGTTACTCTGAGTTTCGTGCTTACGCACTCGTCAGACGAGTGCGTAAGCGCGAAACTCAGAGTAACAGAGAATCATGCGTGTTTCATTTTAGTTATTTTGAACTGTATTCCGCTCTACACTCACGTGTATCGAGCACTTTCCTACAGCATTTGGTACAATTTCCCACAATTATATGTATATATATCGGAATGTAAACAGATTTATTGCTCGATGCAGTTCAAAACCGCTTATCCTTTATACTGGTATACACCACACTTAACTTTAAAACCAGTTTACCAACCAGAACTGAAAAAAAACGACTTTCTCTGTTTATTTTAGCCGTCAGGTCCACTTCCGGTACCCAAGGCAGCCTTGTCACCATTCCCCTCAAGCGTCAGCCCTAAAACGTCGCCGGTGAAGCTTGGGTCGGGAATTGAGAAGCTGCAGGTATTTAATCTGCTTTGAAAGGAAGAGTGACATCATATCTGAATCATTCTTTTTTCTCGATCTTTGTGAATCCTTTAAACTCTACTAGTAACTAGTCTCTAATTTCTCCCCACAATATCACCCCTGAATTGCACATTAAGGTTATGAGAATAAAGGAAATGATCATCAGGGAAGGAACCTTTTGATTGGCAAGCAAATTCTCCTTGTCAGCAGAGTAGGAAATGTACAAAGAACAGTGTGAATAATTTGCATACTGATGTTAGGATGCAAACGGTTAAGGAATAAGAGACCGAAACATAAGAATGAAACACGACGAGTGAAGCTTTTCACCTTCTAACTGAACCTTAAGAAGCTAAGCCATTGTTTGTCTTTCGTGAAAATAGAAATCCATGTAATAACATACGTGAAAAAAATTTTGCGCGTCTGATGGGCTGAAAGCGAATGCATTTTTTGCGTAACACGAATGCAAAGTCGTAACACGAGTGCAAAGGCAAAGTTGTAATACGAGTACAAATTACAAATAGTGCGCGCTGCCAAAATTCGTCTGTCCTGACTTTCTGTGATGCATTTTTCATGTAAATTATTTTCAAGGAACAAAATTATTTCTCGTGCAATTTGGTGTAAATAAGCACTTGTAAATTTTTCGTAGACTACAATTTTCACTCGCCGTATGGGCTCGGTGTACGGTACTTATTTGAATGTGTGTTTTTTACTCTTGTCAGAAATCTCTCGCCTTTAATCCCGCCATGTTGAGACCAGGCGCGGCTCCGCCCAAGAAGGAGGCCCCGGCTACTGTAGCTTCATTTGACGAGCCCGCCAAAGTCACCACCTTGGAGAGCACTAACAAGGTTCGCTTGAATCAACTCATTTTATTGTTTTCTTGATATTTGAAACGAGTGAGGGGGAAAAAGTCCCAGTCCTCCTGCAACGTTCAATTTCTCGGTCGGTTGGTCGCTAACTAAGCTACAGAGAACTTGTTGGTACTCATATGTGTAAGGACCTTGCATATTGCCATATGCAAGGTCCTTAAGTAACATGCACTTTGCATATCATTGCAAGGATCAGCAAGGTGAAAAGCATCCTTTGTGAAGGTGGAATTATAAAGATAGTACGTTTTGAGCGTTGGAGTCTATTAAAGACAAGTGAAAAAATCACAACCTTTGCCATGTCAGATTTTTATCTCCTTTGTTTTTTTTCTTTGGTTTCCATTTCATCAACTTATTTTTTTTGCATTATGTTTCAGGCTCGCGCCAAAGTGCAAGTCAAGCGCCGTCCTCCAACACGCCAAGCCCGTCGAGCTGCGGCTGCAACGAGTAGTGCTTCGGACGCATCACTTTTTGGCACATCGACGAATGAAGACGAGTCCATTAGCGCTCGAGTATCCTGGGGAGGATTTCCCTCTCCGGAGGAGGGACTGGGAAAGAGTGAAGTGGATTCTGGGCAGCGACCGTCGAGGACTGAGACCAAGGATTCTGATATGAGCGACGAATTTTTCGGTTTCACTAGTTCTGAGTCCACGCGGGTCAAGAAAGATGTCTCCGAGGACCCTTTAGCGGGGGGACTTTTTTCAGATTCTGTTTCTTCGAAGCCGAAAGTTTCGACAGCTAATGAACTGTTTAAGGACGACTCCGATGATTTATTTTCAATTTCAATCGAGAAAACAAACAAGACAGATGTAGACGATCCTTTTTCTGTTGGTAAAACAAAAGAGGAAAATAAACCTAAGACTGCAGACCCGTTAATTACAAATGATTCTTCTCCAAATTTACCTAGTGCTACATCTCCCGAAGATGATTTATTTTCTTCTGGGACAAATACAAAGGAGAGAAAATCTGAAGCAATCTTAAAGGAAACGCCCAGCAAAGATAAAGAGGACTCCAAGATTTCCTCGCCTCTAGATAATGATGATTTACTTTCAGCTGTCCCTAAAGCCGATGAAAACGTAACTAAAACAATAGCTGCAAAAGATACACTCTCCGCCAAACTTCCAGCAAACCTTTCAGCAAAGGCACAATCGCCAGTCTCAGATGGCGATTTGTTCGCGTCAAGTACAGGAAAAGAAGAGGGCAAATCCGACAAGGGGGAGAAAGAAAAAACGACCGCGGATAAAAAATTTCCTTCCCCTCTCGGTGACGACGATGATGATTTGTTTGCCGTGAGTGCACCGGCCAAGAAAGAAACAAAAACTATTTCAGACAGTGCTGCGAAGAAAACGGCAAGTCCGCTGACCAGCAAGAAGGCGGTTACGAAAGGAAGCTCAATTCTTGACGTAAGTAGTATTTGGCTTCCTTTGAGAAGCATTTAGTGACACAATTAAGTTTTTCTTACCTGCTTCTGCAAGGAAAAATAAGAAAAACATTTTCCTTCACACAAGTACGATAGCAATAACTTGTGCCCGGCGCGCGGTCAGCTCATACGAACGAAAAGGCAGGCAAGCGAAAATCCACGGGGACTTGGGAAGGAGTAACGAACTAACTAGAGCCTATTCCCCCCCTTCCATTTTTTTCTTGCTTGTCCCGATTTTTCGCTCGTCCTCGGAACCTGGAGTACCTCAGTGCATCAGGCTACGTACATGCGGGATTATTTTAGTCGTTTTTGTTCGTTATTTGAAAGACAAGTATATAACAGGCGCAAAACGTGTCGTCGCAAATCTGCGAAGATGCAGATGCAAGTTTGAATTTTTCTCAGTGGATGATATAGCCTGAAAGAATGATGGCTTGGAATCTCTTCGTTTGTCATTATGAATTGAACACGGGAGCGGATTTCAAGAACTATTTTTGGAATAGATCAGTGGCCTAGTTGTATATGAGTTCGTTAAGTTTTTTGGTTTTTTGTTTTTTTTTTTTTTTAATTTTGTTGTTTTTGTTTTGTAGGGTTTCTTTTCTGTCTTTTTTTCCTTCGGCAAATCGAGTTCCCGTCCCAACTGCTTGCCTCAACGAGCCTCTTCTTCTGCCATGCGATCACAGATTACCATTTAGCGCTGAGACATTTCTGTTTTCTTGACTGAGGCTTGAATCGGAGGGGAAAAGACACGCCTGCGCGTATACTAAGACTGTCTATGAGTCAACTTTGCTCTTGAAGGAACGCGCGTCTCTCCCGCGTGGACGTGTTTCTCTAGCGCGATTTCGCGTGAAATTAAGTTGTGAAATGTTTTCATTAGTTGATGCCGAATTTTTTTTTCGGTATAAGACATCTTAATTTTGGTCTAAAAACAACAGTTTGACATAAAGATAACCATTACTTAGTGGGAGGTCTTTGGATTGAGAAAATGAAAACTGTCCCCCGTCGTTTGCGTGGTTCGCGAGTAGTTCCTGTTTCCATGGTACCGAAAAAACAGCTTTAATTTGGAACGATTATTTGATATTCAAAGGCTGATTTCTTGCAAGAAGGAATCATTAGTTAACGCTGACAATATGTAAACTGTTTGACACTAAAAACAGCTATGCCAAAGAGAAAGGGAAAAACATTTACATGTCTACCAGCTTATACACCGACGAAAAATGTGAAACGTCATCAAATAGATTCTTTTTTGGTTTGTTTGTCTATATTGTAATTTCAATTGGATGTTTTTAATCTAAGTTTGCAGCTGACGATAATCGACCTTTTATTTCATGTCTATATTTATATACACAACCATATATTATTTATATTTTTCAAGGGCACATGACTTTCAGGTGACTTTTATTAAATAAGATATATTTATAAACATAGATATTGAAAATATAAAGCGGCAAAACAGATTGCAAATTTTCGAAATCTTTTTAAAATCTTCGTTTTATTTCGCTCAAGACTGTTTGTAATCTTGTGACAAAATTTCAAGGGTAACTTAGGAGAGTTGTTTGTAAAAAATTGCTTTTAATAAAAGAGGAACAGGTGTTATCAACATATGGCTGCCCACCCACTCGCTAAAAAAACCTTTAGTGCTTCGACGTATCGTTTAATTTGGAGAAGAGCTGCAAGAGCTATTGCAGTGAAGACAGCGAAGAAAAACTCTTGTGTGGGAGATCTTTCATTTTTCGTTTGTATTTATATCTTCCGCCATCAAGTTGACATGCTTAAAAAAATATTTTCAAAACATTTAGCAAAAATTTTATAATGAAATTTATATTTGCGCAGCTCGAGTTTTTCTTGATCTTGTTTAAAAGGCGTCCATCATATGTGACATTCGCAGCGCACTCAAAACGTTTTCGTCCAGATATGCCTTTGTGTTGTTTTCCTGTGTTTTTGATGACGTGTTATCTGAAGGTTTCCATTTTGAGAAACTGACTTGTAAGTCATGTTTGTAACGACGTTTCGTATTAGAAGTTGAAAGGTTTTTTTTTTTTAGTATGAATTATTCTGCTATAGTATGAGTTTCCTCGCAGATTGCTTTTTAACTCGTTTGTTAACTGTTTTCAGGAAGACGACGATGAATTATTCTCCGTCAAAAAAACCGAAGCCCGAAAGCCGAAGAAAGTCGTGAAACCGCTGGGAGACGACGACTTGTTTGGAGACTCGGGTGACATCTTTAGCGATATTCCGAGCAAACCCAAGGGACCTAAAAAGAAAAAGTCTGCAACCACTGCACCCAAAGACGACATATTCGCTGAGGGTGCGGCTACTGGAGGTTTGTAATAGTTTTTGTTACGGAAAAGTATCTATCTATTATTGATTTATGAAGTTTTTCCCCGAGTGCGAGTTAAGGAAGAAATACAAGGAAGAGTGATACCGCCGCCAATTTTGTGGTGAGATAGAATGCTCTACCGAGTAACATGAGAGCGAAGTCGCCTTCCACGTTCCTGAAAAAATCGTCAATAGGAAGGAGACTACCGCTTAAGACTGGGAAATTCGGCGGGGTTGGCTGGGGTACGAATCCTTACAGAGGTCTTAGCATTGTTTTATCCAACGCCCGCCAGACATGCGTAACACCTCGTTTTTAGCTCTACTCTCGATTTGAGATCTTTTTATTCTGATTTTTCACGCAGCATGTTTGTTAACGTTGTGACAACTGTCTGTTCATTTACCCAGTTTGTCGGCCAATCAGGCATCTTAAAATTGCCTGTTGATAATTTTAAAAGGTTCTTCTCAACCAATCACGGTAGTCATCGTCCCATATTCAGGCTTTCAGCATCGTATATTCGTTATCCGAACATTTCTAATAACCACGGGTCTACTGTTTACTTTCTTGTCTTATCGACTGTTTTGGTTCCTGATTGCTGCGGTTGCCGTACACTGCTGACTCAAATCTGGCAGGCTCGTTTTCCGTCGCTCTTGGGTCCAGTCTTCGTCCTGCTTTCCCACACCCTCCCCATCCGTGGGCTTATTTCTCGTGCGGAGACTAGTTAATGTTCGAGCCACTTAAGTCAATGCAAGGTCTGTTTGTAATTATCAAAGCGGGAGTTGAAAACGTCGTCTGGAGAGCAGATTGAAACATTTCAACGCCATAGTAGAAACAGTGGCTATGATGTGAATATTGATTACTCTTGTTGGGAAAATGTTGCTTATGTCATTTCCGAAATATATCGAATAGCTTCATATCGAGATCCTTGAATACCCCGAAAAATTCTGAATTTTTATATTAAATTTTGAGCCCTTGAAAGTCCTTCTAGATTTTTTCCTCTCAATTTTCCAAGGTGTACATTTAAAGGTTGTGGTATTTATGTAATCATTTATTCGTCAATTCGTTACAACAGGAGATGAGCAAGCGCCAAAGAAAACGGCGACAAAAGCCAAGAAGAAAACAGATAAAAAGCCTAAAACCTCAATTTTCGATGACGATGTACCAAGTATATTTGACGATCCACTGAATGCTACTTCGAAGTAACAAGTATTGCGACAAAAATTTTGTTCTCAAAACTGATGAGAAGCCAATCCTTTTACACAAATAAATTAGTTACGTATTTTATATAATATAAGAATAAGGTACTGGTTGCTGTCATTACTATTATGTTTTGTGGTATTTTTTGCTGATTCTCTAAGAGAAGTACAGTGACGGTACCACAAGATCAAAGTGATTCGAGGAATTTTAATGTGCTTGAGATTTCTATTTTGTTTAGAAGAACGTGAAAGAATGAAGTGATTTTCTTGTTGCCTAAATTTGAGAGATTAACCATATCCCTTGACAGAGCCGAGCAGAAACTCTGTCAAGTACTCTCTTTCAAAACATTACGCTAATCCATTTTACAAGCTCTTGAAAGACAAACCAAGAGAAACAAAACCATGTTAACATCTCGTTCCAAGATGCAGGCTCACGGTTCGTGAATGTAATAAAAGTAGGCTACATTTCCGTGTGCGTCATTCCCAATCAATTTTGAGATTCTCGCTTTCTAGTACACCGTAGGAAAAATGGCCTCATGAAAGAACCACTTACAAGATTTCCATTTTTTCAGCCTCATACAAGGATTTAATTAACTTTAAGGTTTAACCTGAGGTGAAAGGGTAATTAGAAGACATCATTAGGTACTCTTCAACAACACATACGGTAGAGCCACTTTTGTTTTTCTTTGAATCAAGTCCAACTGATCCTTCCACACGAATTAGAAAAATCGTTTTAGCAGATTAATTTTAGTGCCGTTTAAATTTGGATGTTTGTATAGCTAAAGGGGTCAACTTAAATCTTTAAACCCAAGATTTGGCGGATAAGCATTTCTCAAAGTGTCGAAAATTTTAAAAGCGAAAGTATTGAAGCTCGTCTCCCTAGCAATGGTTATTGTGAACCAGTGTAGTAAATAAATCTATGTTTGCTCATGGATGGGGAAAATTCATCGTTTGCGTGACTTCTCAGATGAAGTCAACCATTGAAGATCTCGTGAGGAAAAAAATTTCTCACTTGGTGTACAATCGATTTATCCTCTTAGCGCGTGATTAGAGAATCCTCCTGCCTGAACAAATACTCACGCATGCAGAGCAGAAGGCGTATGGCACGATTGCAAACAGCGCTGCCCTTGTCAGCAAATAATTTTGTCATTGAATCAAATTCCACGTGGGATCTTCCTGAGTGTAACATGTCTGGATGCGCTGGTATTCACATGTCTTTCACATGTTCTAATCGATTGTTTTTATTTTAACCCGATGGTTAGAATGCAGGATCTGTGTTTAATTATCAAAACAGGAGTTGAAAACCTCGTCTGGGAGCTGACGGGGAGAGCAATATTATATATACATATATACATTTATACACCATTACTCACGTTGAAAAAATGTTGCTCTGATTTATTTGATAAAAATGTGGAGTGGAATTTTTCGAAACCTTTCTTTATATTGAAATTCATGACTTGTTCCGGAAGTATTGAAATCAAAGATCGCAATTTATACCCTTTAATAGCCACCTGTTTGCCTTTTGCGTATTTGATATATTTCCTAACTTTTGTAAAACGAAATAAAGTCGGAGTAATCCATGAAGAGATGATGCTCTCCCAATGATCCTTATTAGTGGAGGGAACTGTTGAAGAGCAGGTTGTGTCGGAACTCTTCGAATGCCTCCGGAAAACCTTCGGCACCTTTTCGAAAAAAGTCGGGTTCTCTATACAGAAAGCTTGTGCAATTTAGTCAAACTAGGCTTGCCTATATTGGCTGGCAAGATAGGTTCTCTATTACAATATTAGATGATGGAGGTGTCTGTTGAATGCGATTGTTGTTGTTTATACCATGTCTGCAGGGCAAAAGTGTGAGTGGGCTGGAAGCTAGACAAAGAGTGTTTGAAGATGATGTTTACTAATATCGGGACCTAGAAAAAAAAGCGATTGAATGTGATTGAAATTGAAACAGAGAAAATCTGAAAAGAGTTCCTGTTTTGCATTTTTGTCTTCACCGCTGCATGTATGTAGGTTGAATTACCCATAATGAATGCACTCTATTTTTTTTTCCCACACACCTGCTGGGAATCGATGAGAAATAAAATGGTACCTTTTGACCTCTACAAAAGGTGAACAAATACCATAAGCATGGAAGTTTCAATTTTCAATTCCAATCATATCAGGGTTTCCTTTGAAAGCGACATTTCATTGTCGCATACTTGACACATGATGTAATTCCACTTTATCCAAAACAAACAGAAGGTCTCAATGATTTGTTTTTTAGGAAGAAAATTAAAAGGTGTACTTCCATTCCTGTATGTATGCTGGACAAACATTGCTTGTTTTGACTCGTACTGATTCTAGTAAGCCCTTTTTCTGAGAACGAAGGTACTATTTTCTACTGAAAGTGTATTTTGGTTTGTTTTTGTACTGAGAGTGATATTGTTTTGGCGGCGATCGCGTCCGCTTGTTGATTTCATTGACCAAACAATTCCTATTTTATCTTTTATGCATGCAAGAAAAGAAGGCATGACCTCATTATTCTATAACACAAGCTTCTACCAAAGGTGAATTCTTACTCTAAGATAAAAAAAAACTACAGGAGTTTTCTTTTTTTCCCGAGAAGCCGGCCCTATGCGAATGTGGTTGCATGGTTGAAAGGTTTTGTACATACATAGACTTGCGTAGTTAGCGCAGGTATCTTCCTGTTTGTTTGCAAGAGTAGTGAGATGTTAGCTAAACTCTCAACAAATCATTGACTCGAGGAGCGCAATTCAAGTCACGTATTTTTACTTATCGTGCCAATTTGTCCCTTCGAGGGGGTATGAAGCTGACCTAAGCTGATTTTGCCTTGCATACCACTTCCAGGGAGGGAAAAAAAACGGAGAACGCGGCCGATAAATGGAAAATAAATTATTCTTCAGACAATGTATCCGTGCAGGGAATCTGGATTACATAAGTCGCGAGGACTCAGTTCTATGTGAACATATACAAAAACCCTTTTTTCCTATATTTCCCTAGTCAAATTGTTGTAAAACATTGTATTTAAATCATCAGAAAGTGGCAATTGATTCCGCGCTTTAAATCATCAGGTATTTGCTTAGGGTAATTTGCCAATTGCGCGTAGTGAGTAGATGTCGACACCTGAATAACTCGTTATATTTTCAGTAAGAGTAACGACAGTTTAAAACTGAAGCAGTAAGTAAACAACATCTGCAACATTCTTAAGATCGATACGATTACTTGCATTTTCAAGTCTTCACATCTAAGGATAGCGTTCTTTCACCTTTTACTCCTAAGATCTCGAGAGCAATTCTCTTAACAGTTTATCATAAATTTCTTTTACTATTAGTTGTGAGCATTTGGTGTTTTGTGATCAGTCGGTGTGCCCCGGCAGATGTCTGGATGCTTCATAATGGACTGATATCGTGTGGAGAAATAACAAGAAAACGGCAAAAAAATTACTTACCTTGGCAATTAAAATACATATCTAACAATCTCAACCTGCAAAATAGAGAAGCTAATCGAGGCGGAAGGGAAATAAACACCAGAAAATAGATTCTTCAAACTTGACAAGTTTGCCCGAACAAGGGGAATGGAAAGCACGCATATACACGAACTATTAAAAAAAACTACGATTAATCATGGAAAAGCCAATTAGGTTTCACGTATGACAACTGGAATGAATTACTTTTTCGTCATTCATGCGAGCGAAAGGGTTTATCCTGATGAAACAGTTTCTCTTGACAATCTCTATCTCAAACGGCGGTATATCTTGCTAGGCTATCGCATGACTGCAACATTTCTCAAATACCTTTCCAATTGAGGTAATAAAAGCTACTCAGGCCACCACAAGCTATGCGCGTTGCTTCTTCGTGCAGAGTAAATTTACTTGAGTGGGACCAGAAATTTTATACCAACTAGCTACACGTTTATCCCATTGTTCACTAGAAGGTTATGATGTGCAAGTTGAGGCGGAATTCTACTGCGATTCACACCTTCAAAAAAATTAATTTTGCCTCGAGTGCGTGGTAGGATCATTATGGTATATTCCTGGGCAGGATCGTAGTTGTCACAGCGGTATTAGTAGTAGTAGTAGACTTAATTTAACGGGGGTAACATTTGAAAGCAGTTGCTCATGACTCTCAGAATAAATGGAAGTGGTTTTTCCATCCAGGAGTATAAAGTAAAACTGAAAAACTGTATAGAGAACTTGTGGGAAGGCTAGGGGGAAACCTCCAATGGAATAGCACCCTATCCCGGCAGGAGTATTGACAGTATTCCTTGTCACGCCAGAAGAGCCTGGTTCGGGTGCTGATTTTAATTACCTGGAGGCGCTCAGGCCGGGGTTTTGCATGTCAGAAAAATTCAAGTGTTTCCTTTTGAAGAAGGTTAAGTGAGATGTACGGCAATGATTATGCAAAAACATGACAATTTTAATGATCCATTGTTTATTTATCTACCTCTCTATACATTCATTTATTTATTTATTTTTTTCTATTTTGTGATTTATTGCTAACAATGCAAAATATACTTTGTTAATGCAAAAGAAAAAAAAATTCTACCCCGCGAACGTAAACAACAAACTAAGCAGTGAGAAAAACGCGACATCAAAGCAAAAGCGATTTGTCAGGTGACAATTTTCACAGCGTACACGCACTAGCCACGTCGAATCTTTTTCCCAGACTATAGTTAGCATGTGTACTTCAGGCTCTGAAGAGTTTCATGTTCCCACCACAGTGCCGCCTTTCAGGTCAAGAACATAAGAACTCATAATTTTTGTCGCCAATTAATAACAAAAAAAAGGAGGCGTTTGCTTTCAACCCCGTCCGTACCTTGTATTAACGTTGACCTTGTTCTTGCCGCTGATAAAAAATTTTCTGATCTTGTGCACTATGGCATATAAATTCATGAAACATCTCCTTACTTTTTGAATGAGCCTGTTCGTCTGATTTAATTATGGCTGTCATATACTTGAAAAAAGCACTTCACGATATATAAATACAGTGTAATTGAAAAGTAGATTGAAGTTTATTTGCAGAGAAAGATAAGAAATACTTTGCTGATAATATTTCTGATAACCAAAACATGTTTCAAGGGTGGTTTAAAATCACTTTGTGTGGCACACGTCGCTGAGTTTCGGCAGGCGCTGGTCGGAATTTTGAGACGACAGAGAAAAAAAATGTGTCTTCTTTGAAAACGGTGTTTTGATGTAAACGCAAGTGATCCCTTTAGTTTTTTGGTAGTTACAACTCGGTGATCGTCGAAGTTATTTGTTATGAGTTTTCCGCAACACCTGCCTTGAGGTAAAATTTTAAAGTACTTCTATGTTAATCAACCAGCCCATGGCTAAAATCCATTAGCAGCCAGACATGGTACTGTCTGAAAATTGGAATGTAATTATTCTTTTTATGTTCAGCGTGGGGGTGCTGTCGCGAAATTTGACCATAAATTTCGGTTTTTAACCGTTTATAAACCGATAAGTCGACAACTACAAGTGAAACACAGCCTGGCAAAATTTGTCCATTGATTTTTTTTTCCTTCGCAAAATTCCCTTAAATCGCTTTGTGTTTGGTATCGTGGATATTTGACAGCTTTGTCCGTTTGGTCTGAATGGCTCTCCCAGACAATAACGAAAAAAACATTACGAAATCTATTGCTTTCCGAGATTCATTGTGAAAATCTGTGAAAGATCCAGCTGTGTTCATCAATAGCTCAAAATAATTTTGTTTTATACATTTTTTCTTGGTTTCCTTTGCATTTCTTTTGCTCTTTTTTTGTTTCTTTATTTTCAAAGTTTATTTTTGGTTTCCCGCTTAATAGAGCCTAAATGGTACTAAATTATTTTCAAATCTTCCTTCTTCGATTTCTTCAGACCGAAGATTTTTAAAATCTTTTGGAAACCCGGTGGAAGCATTTGATGATTTATGAGTCCCAGCTTCTTCTCATAGATTATCTTCGTCATTTTTTCAAGCTTTTGTCAGAGATGAAAATAATCCTTGGTTCTTAGCCCAAAATTGTCAACTTTGGGTTTTCTAGAAAAGTGGCATTAAGCCAGATGTTGGAATGGGTTGACGCGCGTTCCTCGCTAATAGATCGAAGAAGATTTCATTTCTTGCGGGTTACCCGTCATCATAAATGAAAATGACTGCAATCTAAATGTTACTTTTGTCCTCAATAAACAAAGGACTATTTTCAGAAGGGCTACCTGTGAACACGTGCAAATCACAAGTCACCGGAGCGCGTCACACTAAATCGTGTCGAAATACACATTACCCAATCCGTTATATTTTCCATTTTATTTTGTTTCTCGCGTTTTCAGATTATCAAGTCATCAACGATCGAATTCCAAACGGGGTGCCCTCTAATTGATCCTGTGCTTGCAGGAGATTCCGGTGTTTTTCAGAATATTTTTCTAAACTGCCACTTTTTAGAATAATGTAGCAAATCTTGCGAAGTTACCTTATTTACGCGCACCTTTCGTGACTTACTAACTATTCTTGTAACTTAAAACGTACATAAATCCTGAGTTGAATGTGATTGTTTGAATTGGCCTTACCCCAAAAAGGAAAAATTGACATAAATATTTTGTTAAAGCTCACGCGATAGCATGTAAGCGGGCGATCGTTCTCATGTTAAGAGAATGCTTGATCTTCCAGTAAAATTTTCAAAGCTCCCTCTTTGTTGTCGTACCATAATGCTGAGCGGTATTATTCGCGCCATTTTCCTCGATATATTTTCGCGGGAAAGCCATTCATTGCCTCTTGTCACGTGTTTCTAGTTGTCATTTAATCCAATCAGAACACGGGCCTGTAGACTGTTTGCCATTCAACTCTAATTCATTGTTCATGGATGAACCAATCAGGTGTCCTGTCGCTACTCTGTTGTTGTTGTCAAAATGCAAAATAGCTCGTATTTTTGAGACCTCGTGGAAAGGCTGGAAAAAATTTTTTTTGTAGCGTCCCACCCACCACGTCAGAGTTTGTGCGGATTTCGCTGTATTTGAAGGATTCATTCACGAACGTCGTAGATGCGAGAACATGCCAGAATCTAGCATTGATAACAGGGATGTTTTGGAGTGCGTTGAAGCCGGTGGTCGTCGTAAGAAAGCAAGATTTCCCAATCAGTGGAGTTCGAGCACAACACCTCACCAGCGAACATTGGAACTCGAAGGAGTCATCGAGGTTTTGCGCGAATACGATTCAGTCGAAGGCAATGATATAAACTGCTCTATTTGTGGTAACTACAATTTTTTTCTCACGTTTTATTATTACTCTGGTTATTTGAGGCCGTAGACTGAGCAAATCGTACATTCGCTGCCGCTAAATAAAATCTCCATTCAAATACGCGCTCGTGTTTACAAGAGTAGCGAAACGAATGATTGTAAATTTTTACGGTTTTTGGTCTCAATAACCTTCCTTTTTACGCAAACCTTGAATTATTTGCCTATTTTGAGATATCTGCAGTAATTTTGTGCCTTTTCATTAAAATTTGAAATTTTAAGAATTTTTTTTCAATTTTTACTACGCTTCACCCTAATTATTTAGCTGAGCAAACAAATAAGCTAGAGTTATGAGGGGGTTTATGTTGAGACCTGCATTTTATAAAAAGTTTCAAAGAGACTGTCAATTTGTTTCTGTCCTGTTGTTTAATAAGATGCTTAAGTTTGATTTGGAGGCTTTTTTGGTGTAATTGTGTGTTTAGAGCTATGAAAATTTGGTTGAAAGTTTGTAGCAATTTCACGCTCCGTGTCATGTGAGATGCCTCGTGTTTCGCTTTCGTCATCCCGGAACTTTTTTCACTGGAACAAAATTTTCCGTTTTCGAGCAACGAAACCGGTTAAAAATCGTACATCGATTGAAGCTAGAGCCTCAAATGATTTCTATTTAAAGTTTTCGTAGACTATTTATTATTTGTCTTTATTTTTCTTGATTTTATTTTATTGTCAAACTTAGCGACATGTAAAATATCGACAGCATTTGTTTTAGGTAGGAGGGAGGACTTGTCTTAGCCGGCTGGCCGGTGCCTTTGTGTTTATCTAAATATTTTTTTTCATTTTGCAGGAAAACTGTATAAAAGTAAGGTGTGTTTTACAAAGCATTTATGGGAACATAGCGTCTACTGGGATCTGTTCGATGCGCTAAAAAATCAAGAGCGTGTCCTGTCGATTCAGGCTGCAATTATTCTCTCGCAACCATATCTGGAATTTTTGCTCGTAACTTCGCCGACATCGACAGAAAAGAAGAAAGAAGACCCTAAACCGAATAGTATTTTCCGGAAAAATGCGACAAGAAAAAGGCAACGAGAGTCATCAACATGTTCCGTAGACTTCTAATTTCTTAAATATTTTTTCATATTATGTATATTATATGGTGTGGCAAACGGTTCCACACTTGTTTATATCACTTGTAAAAGTGCCTTTGAATTTATAAATATCTATAAATATATGAGAAGAGAAGTTAAAAAAGGTGTAAATGATCAGTATTTTGTTGTGGGAAAAAGATTTAATTCTTGTATCATACACCCACATTGTGAATGATGTTTGTATTTCATTTATTTCCAAAGTGACAAAGCTCGGTATCTCGAGATTAAAAATGAATTTATTCTGAAGTTGTTAAATGCTAATAAAGTTCATTGGATCAAACTTGTGTAGGAGAATAAATGTGTTTGTCCGGGCGATGTTTTGGCTGGGTGAACCATTTAACAAGGTTTTGAATTTCCTCGACAGACACCTCGAATTTTAATTTTCGAGCAAAAGTGAGATCGGTTTTATGGAGATTGTGCACTTACTATGCATAGCTTCTCGGTTGATAAACTTTTTGTAGCTTTTTATGCGCGCAAGAGCCTCTTTCGCAAAGTACACTTATGACTGGGGTTTTGTGTTGTGTTATGTTTACAATAATATCCCGTGGGAATACGTATTAAGTAGTTGGAATTCCAAAAATTTTTCTCAAGCAACAACTTCTGTTAACTTTTTATTAGCTTCCCGCGGAGGTCACACAAATAAGTAATCGTTAGGATAAAGGAGCTGCTGGAAGGCATTTGAAACGGTGTAGGTATCATCACGAACTGGTTTTCCGTCCGCTTCGGGAGTTAAGTTAATACGGTATTTGCAAGATCTTGTTATGCTTGATTAACCTCGCTAGCGGAAACTCGCACCCGCACAAAACGTGTGAAATAAAATTGTTCTCAGTGTAAATAGTAACCCGTCGATTTGAAGTCTGCAAACCATTAGTTTCCACTTCGCCAGCAGCGCTTGGATGTTTTTGTGTTTGGTTTATAGTGTTACCTCCACTTCACTTTCCTCAACAGCCATTTCGAGACGCTCGCTTGTATTATGCAAATGTCGGGATAAAGGTTTCATACCAATTGCATTTTTGTTTTTTCAATTGTCTTGGAATAACTTTCTGCTTCGCTGAGTTGAACAAGCCTGATCGATGTGGTTCTGATATCGCGTTGATTGTGTGTGGAGGGAAAGATAACACAAGGACGTGTCTCGAATTTTTGGGGGTTTTTTGTAATCGAGAGTTGAGCTGATAGGGAAACAAGTGATACTCGCGAAACGGTACGACTTTTTTTTCTCCGCCACCGGAAATGGCTGACTAGTCTGGTTTCTTTTGATGTGATTTACGACCTGCTAGGTTTTGTCTCTCGTTGATCCATACGGAATCGAGTTTGCTTGTTAACATTTATTTTGATTGATAATGCGTGTCTTCTTTCAGAAGAGGCGACCATTTACAGATTGGGTTCTGTTATCACGGATTACACTAAAGAATACCTGCGTTACAAAAACATCAACTTGCGAAATTAGCCAATCAATTGAATATAATTGCATCAACTCCATAAGGTGCCACTGCACGAAGGTCTTTGGCAGTAATATTTTTATCTTCAAGTGCACTTCCGTCCTCCTGAGGTTTCGTCGTTACAATTTTGGTATGGCTTTTGTAAATATTATCGTTTCCTGATCATGTTTCCGGTATCCAAATTTATTTGGGTGGTTACTTTATTTGCTAACTCTTTTATTCTTCTGATAGCTCCGTGAGTTCTATATAAAACAAGTCTAGTTTAAAGAGATTGTAAGTTCACGGGTCAATTGCAAAAATGCATAACAAAAGTTTATCCTTGAATCTGTTCTTGCCTATGCTTCTACGCACACAAGAGGTGCAGACGTGTTAAAGACAAACTGCAGCTAACATCGAAACACATCGCCCACCAACCTGTACTGGTCACATGGAAGTATAATATTTGACATAATTTACGGTATTGACGATAAAAAAGGTTCTGAGCTTGCACGCAATCGATTCTCGACGGTTATTCAGGACTACAGAATTGATTTGGCCCTCCGCGGGCATCTATATATTGCCTGTGAAAACAAACAAAACAAAAAATTCATCTATTTCCGACAAAAAAACAAGCAAGTTGGTAAATATCCCACCAGACCAAGCGTACATAATCGTGTGAAAGGTTGCAGACATCTGTTTTCAACACGCTGGCGGTGATACAAAGGGAATCTTGAGTAACAACGAAATCTAAATTAGCGACTGGTAGCCCAGAGTTCAAAGGGCACTTACCCGTAGGTAGGTAGAAAAAGACTTGTCTTGCAGATTGAAAAACTATCTGGAATAAAGTCAAGATTAGGCAATTTCAAGGAGGTTTATCGTTCTTCCTTTTCCGCCACTTAAAATGAGACTGGAATGTTTTTGCATCACATTACACGACATAGACAGACGACCAAAAGTACACAGGGTGTTGTTTGTGCAAGTCTGTTTCTTGGAATTTGGATCAAAATCCGCGCTTTGACAAGTGACGGTTACCCGCTGTTCTTTTGTTTTTCATCATGTGTTATTTCCCTTCAGATATGTTTCGAGCAGAAAATTATCCGTGGGAAAATAGCTTGTGATTGAGAAAAAATGCCGTCTTTCTCGCGTCACCACTCCCTCACCCTTCCCTCCCCAGACCTTTAGCCCAATGGAAGAAACGTCTGATCACAAGTTATTGACAAACAGGTTCACTCTCTCTTATACGACCTTATTTAGATGCGTATGGAAAAATAGAGGTAAATTTTAAAAAGGTTCAGAAATTCCTGTTTGAAAAAAAGTTTGCAAGCGTCCTTTTGGGGTCACAAGTGAACGGAGGAATAGGACGATAAGAGGAGAATATCCTCTTAGACGGGCGCATAAAATGGTTCTTCATCTTCCTTTGACCCCACCAATCGAAAGCCCTAAATCAAGCTACCCACTGTAAAGACCTTCTGTATCAACACGAGCCTACCTTAATAAGCTTCGTCTGGAGCCGGGTTTAATGAGGGAATCCCACGAAAAGGTAGAACGATTTGAGATTCATAAATCATTCATGGTGCGATGCACGTTGTGAACTATGAGATAAAACTTAGCGTAACGCGTGATCGTGACAATGCGTGAAGTTACTGTGAAGTAATTAGCGTGACGGCACATACATAGCTGTGAAGGTGCCAACCCGTAAATGCACAAGGTAAAGAAGAGTGAGGTCCATTAATAACGTTTTATTATTCGTTCTATGGGTAACTGATTCACGCTCTGCTCTCGACTCCGCTCGCCTAAAACCGCGACAGAAATAACGTCTGTTGTGCAGAGCGCAGACAAGCTTTGCATGAAAGAATCCTCGAGACAGGAAGGTAATGGATCCTTGTGTTTGTAGGTGAGTTAAGGTAGAGAACTTAATCTTCAAAAATTCCCCTCCCTTACTCTGACGCTCCAAGCACAATACAAATGGTTTCAATCTTCCAATAATAGCATCAAGGAAAAACTCAGACTTTCCCCCTTGAGTCACTGAGTTGGTTTAGAGCTCAATTATGCTCTCTAGAGTGCTTGCCAAATTCTACGCGAATTGCGTGTCATTTCAGAAATCTGCTAGTAGTGTCAAAGTATGACGACAAGGTGGACCTCGGTGGCCCTGTATTTGTGTAATTGCTCCGAACTAAAAGCCTATTTCCATTCAATTTCTTTTTACATTTACACAGACAAAATTTCAAAATTTTCTGGATTGTCGTAGTGTTATCCCTGTCCTATAAGGTTAGTCCTAGAGAGGAATGTTGTTGGAAACAGTGACTGACCTTTCGAATTCAACTGAGCAAAAGTCATGATTAGTCGCACGTTCAAACCATTCAGAGTATTTGGATCATCATGTGGTGTCGTTGGAAATTCAACTTCTTCACAAGAACCATACAGGTCCTAAACGGAGACTGGGTGCGCCCCTTATCCGGGCCGGGGCTTCTGTCCCTTATACGGGACACAACTTTCTCAGAAGCCGCTTTTTTTATCTCGTCCGGCCAAACAACAAATGCAAAAGAGACGTAAGTTAACATAGCCGAACTGAACAACGTATGTATCGCGACTCAGCGCATATCAGATCAGTAGGGGTCTCATCCCATGAAGTTGGTTACAGCAAATTCAAACCAGGTAGCGACTCATCAGTCAACGTAAGATAATTTTCTGCCGGCAAGATACTAAATCCATCATTTGTCGGCATTCTTAAAATCCTCCCTTGGCTGAGAGGGTATTATCGAATAAGTGCAAATTGAAAAGCTTTTCCGGATGCGGTAGGTCTTATTTTATTTATGCCGGATATCTTATCAGGAAGAAAAAAATGTTAAAGGCGTTCTTTTTCCTGACCCGTCTGGCCAACTGAGGATAACTCGTGCAGTTTGTTTTCGTCGCGAAAATTTTTCCTCAACAGGGCTTGAAAAATGGCGTTTCCTCCTAAAGAGCGGTGATCGGTATTCCAGGTTCTGCTCCAAACAGGTTCAGGATATTGGGTGCCTTACTGTTATAGCGGCGTCTGTAGACACGTAGAAGGCTTCAGACGATCGTATCCGACCTTGGAGGCGAGGTCACAGACAGACAGAGAGCTATTCAACGCAACTGGCTTCACTTCAGTTATGGCTGTAAAGTCGGATGTGGGAATGGTAGTCCTCTGTACTGCATTAAGGGCAGATGTGGCTGGTGGTGAGGTGATCTCCCTGAGTGCTTTCCTTCCGCTTGGCTCAAGATCTTCTCTTCGCCCAACATCAGCTGTTTGCAAAGCACACTGCGCCATCTACTACCGAGTCGTCCGCTACCTTCTTCTAGCTCTCAATGTCGATGATCAGAATTTTCATGCCGCGTCCGAAGACGTCCATATTGGATGTTATAGCTCAGCCAGACCAACTAACAGGTCTCTTGTCAGAGGCTTTCCCACCACAGAGAAAGTCCTTCGGAATGCATCCATTCTCTATCTGGTAACAAAGCCAGCGTAGCCTTTTTTCTGTGAAATACCTATACATGATAGGAAAAACTTGACGTGTTAGGCCCAACGTATTTGACGACTTGTCACCTGTTGACGTTGAGAAGGCAGCAGATGTGGAAGACGAAAGAGTCAATTATGCCGAGTTGTCCTGAACAATTTAGCATCATCCACGCCTTTAAGATCAAACATGTAAAGGGTAACCCTACTTTGCTAGAAATGATATCACTCATCAGAGTAGATCAAACTGGGGAAGGGATAACACGTACTCGCACCTTTCTTGCCTCAGCTCGCGCGCAAGAAAAAAAGATAGCAAAAACAAAACTGAACGCAAAACGTACAAAAAAAATTGCGTTTTCCTCGGAGTCGAAAGCCATCTGAGCTAACCCTCAGGGTTTAGGGGGGGTGCCCATTCCCTGGGGGCAAAGGCGGGATATTGGTACCACATACAGCCACAAAATACGAACAGTATGTTATTGAAGGACACCTGATATTTGGACTTCACATTACTAACACTTACACCCTTTCAACGGCTTCCAGTCAAGAAAGGGCACCCTGTTTAAGCTAGGCTAAATACACCCAAAAGCCGTAACATGTCTAGTTACCAGTACCTGTTGGGGCTAAATCAGGGTACTTCCCTCTTTCTTCCTGAGAGTTGAGCCTTACCTAGTGTTCCTAGCTTGCATCCATGCAAAAGAATATTTTTGCCCTGGAGTAATAAATCTTTAGTCTTTGTATTATATTGACCTCAAGTGGAAAGTACTTCAGTTTTTCATCCCTACAATTCAGCTGCAAGTCGTGGACATTTTCTAGAGATGGGGACACGGGCCAGGCCAGGCATACAGGATTTCTCAATGAAGAGCTCACATTCAGGGGAAACTACTACGGATGAGGCTCATTTGCAGAAGTACTAAAGAAAATTATTTATATCTTCAATAATCAAACAATATATCTTTAATATGAATTTCACACTTTGCTGATATTGTATTAAGTTATTAAAAAATCTATCTTCATAAATTGTATGGAAATGTAAGAGTGTATGTTAATTTTGGAAAAAATGAAATTTTGACCAAGAGAGTTTGAGAGTTTATATTCAGGATACACAATCGACAATTGTTATTTTCCTTTTGAAATGCTGAAGGATGTGATATGACAGTTTACCAGAACACTTTTCCATATTATGTAACAGTAGCATTATTACAATATACTTATCTGACATAGATGTCAATATCTGAGAAACTTCACACCTACCCCTTGACTGTTGTTGGGTTAGGGGAGGGGTAGGTGGGCAGTTGCTAAGAAGCCCTCATCTGCATGACTAATGTGTTAGATATGGAGGTGTGTGTCTGTGCTATTAACAATATCAAAAATGTCATTTTTGTAAATACTGAGTTTCATGGAAGTTTACAAGTGCTCTTTCCATGGGAGACATAAATATAATATCTGCTTAGAAGATTCAACTTTAAAAGAATGAAAAAATCTTTGAATTAAAAATATAATTTATGCAAATATTGAGTTTCAGGGAAGTTTACAAGGGCTTTTTCCATGGGAGGCATAAATATGTGCTCAGAAGAGTCAACTTTAAAAGAATAAAAGAAAATTTGAATCAGAAAAAAAATGCTGAAGGTGAGCTATAACTGTATTATGATCCAACGTCTTATTCACTCGCTGATGCTGTCAGTTCCATGCTCATTTCCTGACTCTTGATCTCTTTCTAAGGTCGCCACTCAAAGCTAAACTTGTTCTAGCTTTTGTCCAATTAGCACTTGACTTGCGCCTACCCTGGCGACTTGGTGGTGAGACAGTACTTTGGCTGCTTTGAGGCCTGCTGAGATGTTCTGAGAACAAAAACATAACTGCTGAAGAGATTATTTCTCAAACCTAAAGCCAGGATAGCACTCTTTTTTTCAATGTTTTTTAAAGAAACTCTAGAGGCTCACAGACTCTTAACTGGAGGTATAGCAGAAGGGGGAGAAGGTGGCTTACTGCTAGCCTGCTGAACTCCACATTGACCAATCATGATACAAGCCCAGCCCTGTCATGGTTCTATGTCATTGGGTAAGACATTTAACTCTTACAGTGCCTGTTTCCTCTTGGAAGTATAAGTGGAAACCTTAGAAAATGGTATTAGGTTACCTGCAATCAAGCAACATCTCAGTCAAGATGAAGAGATCTAATCTTAGTCACTAAATCACAAAGAAACTGGAAATATGTTGACGCAGTTTTGGATAACTTGGCCTTGACTATCTAATCCTAGCTACAGAGGAAATGTAACTAGTAAGTGAACTGAGTTACTTTCTGCTGTCATTGAGTATTCAATATAGTAACCCCTTAACTGCCAGGATTGACCATAAGAAATTTCCTGCAAAAATACCAGCACACTTTCAAGTAGAAAGATAAAAGGAAAACAGAAAAATAAAAATTAGGGAAAATTGTTTATTCAACACCAAGTTCCTGGTTCCATAGAACATAAGAAATGCCTAGCAGATGTTTTTTAGAAATTATTTAGATTTAGATTTTCAGAGGACAGGGTCAATGAAACAATCAATCTCTGTTTGTAATAAGCAATAAAGCACAGAAGGACTTACGCAGAAAAGATGATGTTATTGTCTTGATGTCATTTAGTAAGGGAGTGTACGTTTCTTCTCCTTCTTTTCCTTGAGACAAAAACAAAAAAGTAAAAAAAAGAAAATTAAAGGAAAAAGCAAAATGTATTGCATAATCATGTAAGTGTCAATCACCTAGCAGCTATAGGATAAAGGGAGTGAGTTTCTTAAAAACTGTGCTACTGCTTCAGTGGAAGAGTATAATAAGGTAATTTAGTATTATTAACTGAGTCGATAATGAAGAGAGTTGATGATGAAGAGCTGACACTTGAAACATTAGCTTTTTATCATCAACTTTCTTCATTATCAACTCAGTTAATAATTGTACTAAATTACCCAGTTATTGGATCACATGGTCCAAATTCAAACCTTAACCAAGGTCAAAATATTGTTTTCTTCTACGAGACACTTTCCTCACAGAGTGACTCTCTACACCCAGGGGCATAAATGGGTACCTAACTTACACTAAATTATTACTTGTTTAAGTTTTCCTAAGCAAAGCATTAAATTCAAGAGCTGGGGATTCATTTTCCTTCCGGTCATATTCCTAGTTTTCAACAACTTTAATAGCGGGCACTACATCTCAAACAAGGATAAGTGAATAATATCTGCTGCTTATTGATAGTTTAATGGCCTCAAGTCATATGAAGTAGTGTAAGGAATAAAGCTTTCAGTCAACTTTTGATTCAATGTTAAATTCTCCTACTGTTTCACAAGAGAAAAAAAAGACAATCTGCATGGAGGATTTAGTGGTCCATCAAAAACACTGAGTATTTTGAGCAACCCTTTCAACCATAGTTCTATTCTATAATGTAGCTGTCCAAGTCCTCGATGGATAAAATTTAATTGAATAAATAAATAAATAACTGCATAAATAATTTAACAAATAAAGCACCACATGAATTAATCAATATTTTATTCCTAGTAAATCTCTATATTAGCTTGTGTGTGGTCAGATGAGTGATGTAAAAGAAGATAAAGTTTCTTGAAAAGAAAATGTATATGGGGCAAATATCATAACCATGATATGTTTATGGTATGATATTACTGGACACTTACTGTCAACTTTGATGAGTATAAATGAATGCCTTGCTTTTAAATGTTGTGTCGCATAATCTCCTTTATGTTCAAGCAAATTTTTTAGATTACCTGACTCATCTGACAAGTCAATTACTTCTGAAAAACAAACCCGTGTAGAGCATTAAACAACAAGCAAACAGTTAATCATCAAACAACTCGCCAAAGTCAATATAATACAAGTGGGCAAGCACACGCGGAAAACTCAACCAAATCTTTAAACACCTTCTCTATCTCGACGACATCTCTTCTTTATGTCCTCTAGAAGAACCTTTGTCATACAGTTTGGGTTGAAGAGAGCTTCTTGACAATCTAAACATATAAAAAGGATGAGTCATTGAGTGAATAATATCTACATTATGTCGAAACACTGACGAGGAAATTTCGTCAGGTTGACTAAAAATCACGTCAATTTGCATATTTCCTACCTCCAAATCTAACAGTGATAAACATCTTGATTTCAAGAATTTTAAATAAGTCTATGTAGAAGAAACAAGTTCACTTTTCCATAAGACAGCACATTTTTTGAAGTATTTTGATCTTTGATTCGGGCATTGTGTTGGAATGTTGTTAAGTCGGCTTGTTATCATTCAAGCGAACAACAATTACCTATTGTTTGACAATTACTGCGCCATGGGGACAGTGAAATTAATCCAAGACAAACAAAACGAACACTAAGAATGCCTTTGACCTATCTGTACTGCTCTTGTGTGAATGATTGCGTTTAGACACGCAAATGATTACCCTTGCGTCACCAAAGTGAGGCCCTCACGTATACTCACGAGAACACCGCTTGCCTTTAACAAGAAAAAGAAATGGAGAAGACAACTGGAATAAACAAACAAGAAAACAAACAAACAGACAGATAATCCAAAATACACGAGGTTTATTTAAAAAGTCTGTTCGTCATATCTGAAAAATTTTTCAAACCTGCGAAACGAGTTCATTGCGTGACAAATCAAATCGGAAGAAACCAAAAAGGGAAAGACGTCATGAAAAGGAAATGGAGCAAATTATTAGAAAAATAAAAACTTGATCACGTTTTCGCATTTTTTTTCTTGATACCGTAAAACAAATATTCATTTCAGATTTTTCCTCTAGAGCCCACCATTTTCTGGCTCCCCGGGCCCCAATAACAGTTACATAAAAATAAACAAGTCTCTAGCTAATTCATTTTTCACTCGAAATACGCTGTTGAGTGACCTTGAACACTGAGAACAAAATGTTAGGTTTGTCTCTCAAAAGTATTTATCGAAATATTATTAATTTAAGATATTTGAAAGAGCCAGATGCTCTGAAAAAATTGCACAATCAAATTTATGATCCATCTTATGAAGGTGAGGCACAAAATATTTCTTCCTAGAAGTTAGTAGTTACCATCAAGCTTGTTTTCTTCTTTCTGATTAAATTTTGGAATGTCTTACCTCACGAGTTCTGTTGTAGTCGAAGGTTAAAAATTTATAAACAAACAGGTCTTTTTCGTATCCCTACTAATTGATATTTGAGGAGGGAGGGGGCAGGGGAGGTGTTTATCCAAGAGGGGGCGCTTATTTGAAAGTTTTGGCTAGGAAAGCACTATATAACATCGTCCTAAACCAGATGAGCCCACGACATATCAGCGGCATCTTGTATGAGTACCGCAGGTTACAACGTGACTTCCGCTTATTCTTGTTAAAGCGTATTTTACAGTGTACTCATGGAATAGGAAGTGCGTTTGAGCCAGTTTCTGGCAGATTTGAACAGAAAAGCGGGTCTTTTGTTCGAGTGTAATGACATTTTGATCGATGGCGCTGTTAACGAAATGTTTGGCTGGTTCGTAAGTTGTCGACCTGGTTTCGGTCGATCTGATTAATTGGCAACACCTCTTGGAGATCCTACACACCATCGACCTAAGCCTCATAGCTGCCAAGTGAGCAGAAGAACAATGACATCAAAATACTCGAGAAAGATAAGTATTAATTTTAATTGCATTTGTGTTAAACTTCTATGTACAGAAATTTCTGAAGAGGTACTTAATCAGAAGTTTATCACATGATAAGCCTTCAAACTTGTATTAAATAAATTGATGTACATATTTCACAATTTTAAGATGATTGTGTGATGACAATACACCGACGGTCAACATTCGAATATTCAGCTTGAGCTTCCTCCTAAATGTTAAGTATTTCAATTGAACTTGTAGAATATAACCTATGGATTAAATGTGGGTCTATAAGTATCATCCATGAAATTCTTACAGGCAATTTTCATCATGATATTAAAGCACCACAAACTCAAGAACAAGGAAAAATAATTGGTTCAATATGAGAAAATTTTTTCCAAATTTGGTCAACAGCAGCTGGTTATGATGAAATATGTGAGTGGTTTTAACCTTTCAGAAACAGGGAATATTTTGAATGAATAATAATGCAAATTATACCAACATTACTATCGACATCAGTAATAGTTACAGAATGTTATAATTACAGAGTACTGAACACTGTATTTTTTAAGAAAATGCATTTATAAAGTCCATGACAGCATTCCATTAAAACAGTGCCAGTGCAAATCCTCTCTGATAAAATTGTGATATTATAGTCTTGACATTGAGTTTGAGGAATGAGTGCCAGTGTAGCTTAAAGAAGCTCTACATGTAGTACATTTTAGTGGTCTTTTGTTGTGATGTATAATCTTTATTCATTCTTTATATATATTCGACATGACAGTGGAAGCAGCACAGTCTACAGTAGACTGATGATCTGTGTTAAGTTAAGTCACCTTAAATTCCCCACCAAACTTCAGTTTCCTGATTCCAAAAAAAATTTAATTGATGGCCAAGTACTTACCCTCCCCATGGGGTGAAATAAGTGATCCGTAGGTTTAGGAAGTAATATGTAAATACGCTCCTCTGTAGATATTGTTTGCTTCTTTTCTGACTCTAGGGATGTTCTCAGAAATTTTGACATTGTCTCCCTTCTACTCTTTGTGTTCTCTGAAATCTAACGATACAATGTTTTAATTAAAATAATATTTGAAAAATTGGTTTCTAAAATATTCACTCTGTTTCCATTTCAGGTAAATTTGTTTCAATTCTGCACAACGAAATGTCCAGGTTGTCTTATCATATGTCCACTTCACCTACATGTAACACAAGGCCCATTAGGATTAAGCGCCCTTTATTAGGCTAGTGATCATTCATGTTAATGGTAGTGTCCCCTGAACCCTTATTCAATAATTAAAATAAACTGACCTTATTTTCAGGATACTTGATTATTTTCCTTAGGTGGATCTTTGCTGGACAGTCACATTTCTTCGTATCCTGCACTATAAAGCGCTGTTTGGTGTTGTTATAGCAGTGATCAGCATTCTCCTTCTGAAACCAAATAGATTATTGGATTGTTAGATAGAGCAGTCATATGGGAATAGTCAAGTTATCAATAAACTTAGAAGTAATGAAAAGTATCCTTTAAAATAGTACTTGATTCCTACCTTATAAACTGCAGTCACAGTGGTCCTTTTTTGCGACTTTGCTTATTTTAACAAATAAAATGTGATATGTCCTTTTACTTGCAAGTGGTAAAAAAGAAAACATTATTGCCTGCTATTAGCCCTGAGGGAGAGGTGAGTGCTCACCAACTTGCTTAGAAAAATCAGTTGGGACTTACCACCTTGTTAGCTTAAGAGCAAATAGGTGAAGGTAAATCAATAACTATGTAATGCCCTATATATGATATCCTCTTTGGGAGTCCTTAAGTAATAATATCATCTTGTTTACATTCTTATTTAGTTAATTATTATGCATGCTTACATCTTTTTGTAGTCTCTTTTGAGCCTCCTTCCTTTTGAGTGCCTTATATCTGTCTGGCCCATTTTGGCATTCTAAAACTTTGACCCCCACAATTTGGAATGGGATGCCATCAAAACTTAGTCTGCATCCTGTCATCTCCTGTGAGTCAGCCCATTGTATACGGTGGTTCTTAGCATTTTTATCTGCATTTTCTTTTATGTGAGAAGAGGAACCAAGCTAAGTTAGCAATACAATACATGTACACAAACACATACGTACATATGTACACATGGGTGCTTAAAATGGAGGGCCTCAAAATCAAGCCTGCCCCACCCAGATGTAGCCCAAGGACTGGTGTAATGGATGGAGATGCTGGCAGCTGTGTGTCAATAGCACTGAGTAGGGTTTTGACACTTTAAGCTTGATCTTAATTAATTAAGCATTTCTTGCCAACTCTTGCTGCAGGCTCACAGTAAATTGACACTTGAAGCTAAGTTTAATTTTAATTACATGTTAATTTTGAAAGTCTAACTGACCAGTGTAAACCGAAGAATAATGATGTGTACATGTATTCTTAAGATATCAATAATTATTGGAAAAAGTTAAATCCCTTTTTTTTATTTTGATTTATCTATATTTCATGTTAATAACACGATCTCACACGTCCCTGGCTTTAAATACCTATAGTGTCTAAATAAAGTTATACTTCACTTTACTTTACTGTCAGTATGGTTTATTTTGTAAATCTTTACATGTGAGCTTAATTACCCAGCCTACTGCAATTTGAAAATCCTCCTGTTTGTTTAAATACAGTGAAGCGTGTCGTCGTAGCTATCTCGTACTGTTTTATGAGTTCGTCAGCGCTGCTTTCATCGTTAACATACCCGGAATAAGGGTCAAACTGTACGGTCCATCTTGAAGCCTAAGGTGTACTGTTATCAGCCATGTTTGTTCTTCTACCAAACATTTAGATTTCCCGCCAATATTTACCCGCGAGCCGCAAAACATAAATGCATGAGTGTTAAATATTAACTGGACTACCCCTTGGCAAATATATTTATTAGTAGCAAATAAGATGTTGAACAAAAACCAAGAGATCATGGTCAAATAAAACGTAAAGATAATTTATTACAAACAGAAAAGAACTGTTGTTTGTTCCAATCGAAAGATTTTACAGTGCAAAGTTATGCAAATGATCTTTGACCTGAATCTGCTTTTGGTCGATGATAGCGAGGTCAGAGGATAACATCGACCGAAACTATTGGGCCGGTCATATTTAAGTGTCGATCCTCCTTTTAACGCCTTTATAACAGGCTAGATTTTTTCTTAAATATGTGATCTAGACAGAAATTAGTTTGTACAAGTTATGGGAAGAATACTTTCGCAATAAAATATTGAAGAATACGACGCTTTATCGTCAGTCACACAGGTCACGGTCTCTTGATTCGCCGGAAACGAGCAGAAAAATAGAAGACTCTCGCTACGATTCCGCTGACGTGTCATGGACTCATCTGGTTTGGGACGATGATATGTATTGCCTTAGGGGTGTTGTCAATTAATCAGATCGACCGAAACCAGGTCGACAACTTACGAACCAGCCAAACATTTCGTTAACAGCGCCATCGATCAAAATGTCATTACACTCGAACAAAAGACCCGCTTTTCTGTTCAAATCTGCCAGAAACTGGCTCAAACGCACTTCCTATTCCATGAGTACACTGTAAAATACGCTTTAACAAGAATAAGCGGAAGTCACGTTGTAACCTGCGGATACTCATACAAGATGCCGCTGATATGTCGTGGGCTCATCTGGTTTAGGACGATGTTATATAGTGCTTTCCTTTTGGCTAAGGGAGGCGCTTATTCGGGGGAGGGCGCTTATTTGAGCGTGGGCGCTTATTCGAGAAGATACGGTATAACGCTGTAGATATTTAATATTATTATTCTTCACATTACTTTTACTGTTATTACTTTTTTTTTCTTTATTATCTTCTCTTTCTTTAAAGTTCAAGAAGTAAACGTAAACGAAGCGTGTATCCGTTAGTTTTTTTTAGATTTTTATTCGACATTTTAATGCATTTTTGGATTTTATCATAATTTTTGTAAATATGTTTAGTGATTGTAGTAAATAAAGATTATATTTCCAGTGATTATAGTGAATAGAGAGTATTTAGACGGATTATTATTATTATTATCATTATTATTATCGTTAAAGGGTGAAGCGCCGATGAAGAGAAAAAAAGTGAGACAGAAAAAAAAGGAAAACAAGAGATCGAATTCCAATCAAGTAAACAACCATCTAGACAAATTGGAAGGTTTCTTTTAATAGCTTTTGAAAAAGTGGTTACATCATTAAAATTTTATTCAACTCACAAGTGGGAACGATCGTATTAGTGGGGGGGTGGGTAGGGTCTCAAACTAAGTGATTATCAGAATTTCGAAAATGAAACGAATCAATGATAGGGAAAAATTAACTAATTTAATTTACTTCATTAAGAGTGCAGTGATGAACAATACACAGAGGGTGCTAGGTTAAGTTTTATGCAGACTGATGGTCGGCGTTAGCAGATAAGCATTGGTAACAAACGCTACCCCTGCTGGTAATTTTTTTGTTTATTTTCACCGGCCGCTTCCGCTGACATTGCCGATGTCTCGAAGGTATTTTTTAAAGTCAGTTTCAGCAGTTCCTATACTTGGACCATCCGGATCGACACGTTTTGTGCATATGCATCATTCATAATTCCTGGAGATTTTTGACTCTGGTGGTTCGGAACGGTGTTATTGAAGGCAGACAGCTGATAAGTCGATTGTCTCAAACACTTGCCTTCTCTGAAACAATATGTTTAACACGAGGACGATTCAATTTCGCAAAAAGCCCCTTCTTGCAATAGCTGGGTTGTCAATTTGTCTTATCCTTTGGATGGTACTTCGCTATCATACATCTATGCCAATGGAGAAGCGTGTTTTAAGGACAGAGAAAGGGCAATTCATGCTCGAGGGAAAACCGTTTCGTATTCTTAGTGGTTCGATTCACTATTTTAGAGTTGTACCGGAGTATTGGAGGGATCGACTTCTGAAGCTAAAAGCTATGGGACTGAACACGGTTGAAACGTATGTGTCTTAGATGTTACTATCGTCTTTAAAATGGATAAATTTGGGGGAATCGAGAGTGTCTGAAACCCTACTCTGCAACCACACCGTGTAAATTATTGAGTGAATAAGCATATATTTAATGTTAAATTGATACCCACACCTTGTTCATTATTTATTTAGCATACGTTCATATAACGACTTCATTAACTGTTTCCTTAGTTACGTTCCATGGAATCGTCACGAAGAAGTGAAAGGACAATTTAACTTCAAAGGAATCTTGGATATGGTGTGAGTGTATATCGTTGCTTAATTGATTTTTTGTCAAGTTTTTTTTGTTATCAGGTGCAGTCTGCTGTCACGCAAGGAATACTCAGGGTAACCTCTACTCAAAATAAATTTTTCTTGTAGAGTAAATCTCCCTTTATACCATCAGATATTTGTTGTCAGGAGCAACTCTCAAGAAAAAAATTTCTAGCTTTAATAACTTAGCCATACAAAACGGAGAATTTTCCCTTAAATCCTTTGCAATTTCCATGACGTGACAAGTTAGTAATTGTCAAGATTTTAATTCCAGCAAACCTCTTCCTTGACACTCGACTATACACTCATTCAAATAATGTCATGTCAGATTTTGACTTTGTACCAGATGGAAGCAACCATGGGAATGGTTCCATGAAATTTTGCTTTTTTCATTTTTTAGTTAGAAAGTTTCATAAAAAATTTATGATAATGATAATTGAACTTCATTTCAAACATTGGTTTTAATTATTTAATTGTAGTAAATTCATCAAGATAGCCCATTCACTTGGTTTATATGTGATTGTTCGTCCTGGACCTTATATCTGTGCTGAATGGGATCTTGGAGGACTGCCCAGGTAAAGACATCAGTAAAAGAGTTGTGTAGCACATTCTGGTAACATTATGATAAAATGCCTTACATACAGCAAAATTGGATATGAAAGTGATCTTTGCATTAATGAACACTATTTGACCAGTAGTGAAAATAAAGCCTGAAAGAAATTCAGGCCATGACTCCTGTAATACCAGTGTAGTGCTCTACCAACTGAGCTTACAAGCCAACTGGGAGCTGGTCATTTTGTTGGTTTGTAATAGACCTGTGAAGTGATGAATAAATGACTGTGAATTTATGAAAATCAGCTGATTGAGAGATTAATTTGAAAGCTATTTTTGCAGTAATGAACAGTTTGCTACATACCTAATCTAATCAAGGTTGCTCTATGCCTCATTTTCATGTACAGTAAGGTGGCAGGAAGCACTCATATCCTCCCTATGAAACCCCTCTCAAAAGGGGTTTGGGAATAGTCAAGTCTGATTCTGAGGGGCTCAAGTTGAAATACATCCCCCTCAAAATTTGTCACAAAAAGCAAGACCCATTTCCTTGGGGTTTTATATGGAAAAAGTTTCTCCTCTCTTTGATATGGTTCTTCAAAAATTATTGGAAAAATGCAACTAAATTTGTAGGGGCTTTATTTTTCAGATTACTGTTGTAATTTACTGAATCAATTCTTTCCTTTTAGTTGGCTGTTACATGATCCTAAAATGAAACTCAGATCCATGTACCCTCCATTTCTCCATGCTGTGCAGAAATATTTTAAGAAACTTCTTCCAAAGCTTGTCCCTCTTCAGGTGAATGTAACATAGTTCGCTTTAATTCTTTTTCACTTTGTATTGTACTATTTGTACATGTATGTAACTGTAAAACCACACTCTAGAAATATTATTTATTTTTGATAATTAAAGAATTTACTCTGAAACCATTTATATGTCTAATTCAGGTTATAAGTAATGAATATGCTGCTTAAATATTGAGTGGAAGATAGCTTTATAATTGAAGGATTACTATTAACAAACAGAAAGAAAATCATCTTTCTTCATGCTTGCCTTATACATACCACTTTTGTTTTAACTTAGAAGTTATAATAGAAATCATTTTCTATTTTCAAATTCAAGTTATATTTACATAACATGTAATTTTCCTTTTTTCTTCAAATGACCCCATAAGCTTGTAACTTAAAATTTTATGTGTATAAATAAAGGTCATTTGTCTATTCATCTATCATAGAATTCCATAACAGCAGTTGAATTAACACATTAAGCCTTTGACCGAAGTCATATCTTTTATTTTCAATGTTGAGTGCTTTGATGATAATTATTATCCTACTTGAATTTTTGCCTTTCTGTTGATTGTTTTTTTGGTAATTTATTTTTTCCTTATAGTTTTCTCATGGAGGTCCAATTATAGCTTTCCAAGTCGAAAATGAGTATGGCAGCTTTGGTGATACAGATCTCAGCCCAGATTATATGGCTTATCTCAAAACAGTGAGAAACTCCATATTGCTTTAATTCTAATGATTAAGTCAATAGCAAATGGCTTATAACATATTCACTTTTTTTTAATATAGTATTAATTAATTTGTTCAAGGCTATCTGGCATCCTTTGTTCTGGTTGGTCACCTTGTTGATCAAGATTGGCCGAGATTGCCCACTTTGATCCCATAAAGAAAATCTCTGTAGGTGTTTCATGTACTCTGTAAGTTCTTTCCTCGCAGTTTTTATTCCAGAGGATTTGTTGAACTTATTAAAAAAAGACCTTCAGTTCAATGTCCAGTCCTCTTGACCTCACGCTAAGTCAGTAACACTTGTGTTTTGCCCAAAGTTTGATATTAGGATTGAGTTTCTCTTGTAGGAGGGGAGAGGTTGTTGGCACATTAAAGAATCAGACAAGCTGAGTCTATTGTCTGCTAAAAGATTCATTAAGTATTTTGATGCAATGTAGAGATTATATTTCAAGTAATGTAGACTACATGATGATTTTTCAGCTTATGGTTAATGAAGGAATCTCAGAGCTTTTGTTCACATCAGATGGTGTTTTCCAAATGGAGCAAAAATACTTTCCTGAGTTACCTGGAGGTAAGAAAAAATTCTCAGGATTTTGGGCTAAGAAAACCATGTGATGTGCCTGTATACAACAGTTTGGAGGGCATTAGATAGCAGTCACAGGAAAAATTCACCAATGCCCCATTTCTGTTCTGTTTGACTGCATACATTTTTTCAGTGTTACCATGCAAGCCAGCAAGCAATAGAAAATACAATCATGGTAACCTCAGAATTTTTTCTCTATTTCATTTAACTCTATTTTGCTTTCTTGAGCTTGGAGAGAAAAGAAATATGGTCTTGTGCTTGCAAAATCTAGAACTTACACCTCCCCCATTTATTTTATTTAAAATGCAGTGATTGTCTTTTGTAGTGTTGAAAACTGCAAACTTCCAGAGGAATGAGACTGTTAATCTTAACAGACTAAAGAAACTTCAGGTAAGTGTTACCATCTCTATCAGCAAATAGCATCCATTGGACAGTGTTTCAACATTCAGAGCAGAGGTTGTCAACAGAGTTAAGAGAAGAGTTAGTCATGAATTCAAATTTTTATCACAATTATTGGTAATGTTGCAATCTGATTGGCCAATTTGCAGTTGTAGACTAGAGAACAGACAATGCTGCTCAAGTCAATGTGTCATGCAATGGTCATGCACTGAATAATTATTTTCATTGACACCGGTATTGATATATAAAACAAATCAACAGTGGTTTAACATGGTCTCTACTCTTAGCAACAAGGATTTTCCTCATCACGGTGGTCAAAATTTGTTGAAGACTTGCTTGGCTTCACCTTGTAAGTCCACAACATTATGACCTCTGTGATGAGGAATATCATTGTTGCTAAGAGTACAGACTACTCTAAACCACTTTTGATTTGTTAGATTTTGATAATTAGCTTTACGAAATAATTTTTAACTTTACTCTCATGATAAGCAAAATCATGCTGGCTAATGTGCACCAACTGTCAGTTGTACATTATCTTACACAGCCTGACAAGCCATTAATGGTGGCAGAATTCTGGCCAGGATGGTTCGACCACTGGGGAGAACAACATCACAAGATGGAAGTAGATAAGGTGGTCACTAGAGTGTCTAACATACTTGAAATGGGAGCATCTATCAACCTCTTCATGTTTCATGGTAAGTTTGACACAACTCACCAGGATCCCTGATTTTAAGACTGTCAAAGCTATTTAACTAAATGCAATTATTGTGAAGTTAACCCTTTAACTCCCAGAAGTGATTTACATGTCTCTTCTCCCTACAATATTCATATGTTAACCAGCAGATAGGTAATATGAATACTCAAACTCATCAGGTAGAAGTTGTCATCTTTATCTAACACCAAATTCTTGTAACTAATTTCCAAGGACATGTGTAGCAACCAGAGGAGAGAAATTACAATCAGATCTTGGGAATAAAGGATTAATGATATAATAATTGATATAATCTTCTTTGTAACCCCTAAGGTGGAACAAATTTTGGCTTCATGAATGGTGCCAACGCCGTACAAAATCAGTTCAAGTACCAGCCAACTGTTACTTCTTATGGTGCGTGAGTATGAGTTTACTTATAAAGAATTAAATCATTTTTGTTAAGTGGAGGTCTGAATTTAACTTGAAAAATGATGATTTTTTTGGTCATGAGCTTGGAGCAAACAAAAAAAAGCCCCCTTGAGCAGTTGAACCTCCGAGTTTCCACCATTGAGCAATAGAAAGTTAAGGGTGAGTGACAGCTCTGTTACTAGGTTTGCATAATTGTCCTACATAGTGCTCGGATCAGCAATGTGGAAGGCAATATGTAAATAATTGGGAACCCATTTCTTTGTTCAATACTGTAAAAAAAAAATCTTTCATTATTTCATTTCTTTGCCCAAAAGTGACCAATTGCTTTCAGTCTATTTAGAACTGAAATTATTTTTGTTAAGTCAGGTTGGAAAATTTTAAGATTTTACCTTCTACATTTGCTGCTAAGATTGTATGAAATGTGCTTCATAAGTAACCAATAATTGGTTGTTTTCTGTAATTCTTAAGATTATGATGCACCACTATCAGAAGCTGGGGATGTCACTGAGAAGTTTCTTGCTTTGAGAAAAGTTTTTCAAAAGTACAATTCACCAAAAGATGAGAAACAGGGTAAATTTTTGAGATGTCAGGTACAGTTAGTTGGCTTGAGTCATTCAGGATCAAGACAGAAATAAAGAGCAAATCAGTGGTGAACTTTAAAGAAAATGGTAGTCAGTCAAGAGGTTGGGCTGAGTGAATTCTTAGGGAGGGCATGGAAGGATGCATTGGATTTATCTTTTTTTCTTTTTTTTCTCATCTCTCTCCAATCACATTCACATTTTTCTTTTTTTCCACCAAAAGTGAGCCTATTTATGTGGTAGCAAGTATGAATTAGTCGCAAAGTTTTAAGTTTTATCAATGGTTTCATTTTCTGTTTCCTTTACAAAAATGTAACATTTTTCCTATGTTAAACTTTGTAGTGTCATTGGGTGACTATCAAAGAAGAGAAGCATATGGTGAGAACGCATTAGGTTATTTTTGTTATTAATTAAGGATTTATAGCAGTTATGTAGGGAACTATATTTCTACTTGAGCTAAGATTGTAAACAAGTTTGCAGTGATTCATTGGGGTAGACACACTATTGGAGTATGATTGTTGGTATGAGTATGAAGTGTAGTATGATTGTTTGTCTTGTGATGTAATGATAGCCTGTGTACAACTGCCCCCTACCCTCTAAAAGAAAATCAGGAGGGAAGGGAGGGGGGGTGGAGCAGCTGTACATAGGCTATGTAGTGACTCTCAGTTTGACTGCATGATGCAAGTCTTCTTCACACAAAAAGTTCAACTGGATATACATCCCCTCGTGAACCATTGTGCACAGCTGTGACTGGTGAATTTAAGTCATTGATAAATTTTAACCATTTCACTTTAAAGAGGATGTGGAGATACAGCATTTTCTGGAGCTTGGAGAATTCATAAACTTATTTGTAAGTAACAAGAACTTTTCTTTTTTTGTTTCTTCTTCTCCAAAACCTCATTGGGCATGCTCATCAGGCCTGGTCTTTGACCGTCTCCAAAAGAGCCGTTCAACGGGATTTCCCCGTAAAATTAGCATAATAATAGCGATCTGCCAAACCATGCTCACTATTTCAAGCTCCAATCCTTTGCTTAAATCACGTGTAAAATTGCTCGACTGCAAAGAAGGAAAGTTGGTTTTTGAGCGCTTTGATAGGTGTCTCGGAAAACTGTGCAAAACTATTTTAGCTATTTTGAGTTGTTAATGAAACTTCACTTGTGCCACCAAGAATAAGGCTGATTTCATGATTTATATTATGTAAACTATAGTCGTAGCAGTTTTTTTGTCGTTTTCTTTTACAAACGGAAATAACTCCTCTGCAGGCCGTATGTTTTGGATGATAACAATGTGATGAAACCTGTTTACTTCACTTGCAGGAACCTGTTAAAACAGAGAATGTTATGTCCATGGAAGGCCTTCCAATTAACAACAATGGTGGACAAGGGTATGGTTTCATTTTGTATCAAAAAGAACTTGACAGTGTTCCGGACGAAATCATCATCCATAACGTCAGCGACCGAGCGCAGGTGAAAGTTTAGGAAAGCTCACATTGAAAGTAGATACCAGATTTCAAAATAGCTTGTGGGTAGGTCCTATTAATTATTAGCGCTACGGGACACGCGTTTCTCCACCCGCGGGAAGATTTTTGGCGCGTCAGGGGAGAGGTTTGCCGCAGGTCTGGAACTAGTCCTCCAGCAGACCTCTTCCCAGACCTTCCGCTGGCTCGCGTTGTTTAAGGCCTTACATACACTTTTCCGCGGACGAAGGAACGTTCGTGCCGAAGTGCTAATGTTGAGGATCTTTAACCGGTTTTCCTGGACTGACTACATTGATTATATTCGTGGTAAGATCAGTAAAAAGCTAGGTCTCTTAAGGCGTATCAAATCTTGCCTCCCCCTTAATGCTATAATTATGTTTTTTAATAGTTTCATTTTACCTCCTTTTGTCTATGGGGATATCATTTGGGGAGATCGCGGAAATGCCTCCTTAATGTCTGAGCTACAAGTGTTACAGAATAAGGTCGCTCGCCTCATTTTAGATCTTTCTGCGCATTTTTCTGCAGCTGAGGCGCTAAAGAGACTTGGCTGGAAGCCATTATTGCGACGTAGAAAGGAACATCATGCTATTTTTATGCATAAATTGATTAACAACCATTTCTGTCACTCTATCCCTGTCACATTCAATGGTGATTTTCATAGTTACTACACAAGATCGAGAAATGACATTCGCAAATCTAGTGCCACAAGAAGATGGGGTCATTGGTCGTCAGTAAATTTTAGCGCTGATATATGGAACGGGTTAGACACCTCATTAAGGAATGCAGAGTCACTGCCTGCTTTTAAACGCGGCCTGTCCAAAGTTATCTTTGATTCTTAACGACATTCTTTGCTTTTTACCCTTTGTATATTTTTATCTTTTACATTCCTGTGTTTTTAACTAGTTATATTTGATGCTTGATGATTGTATATACTCTTTCAATCTTTTAAATTTTTTTATGTTTAACTAGTTCTTAATTTAAACTTAGTATTCTTCTGAGGACCCTTCTGTAAACCACTTCGTTACGTTGGCATCCTCATTAAAGATTACTTTTTATATATATCTTCTCGCTCGCAGGCTAATTTCAGAATAGAGCATTTTGCTTCAAGCGTTTTTGTTTTTGTTGTTTTTCCCTCGAACGGGAGAAAACGGTCTTGTTTTTTAATGCGCAGGGAAGGTGGTATATTTTGAGCTTAGTCGTCCAATATGATCGTAGGACTACGAAACAATGCGAGTGTTCCACGGGGGATCGAACCTTTGATCTTCGGATTTTACGCTCCGATGCCCTACCGCTGGACAACAGAGGGCTCGATTGTCAGCTGGCTTGTTGCTTATGTTTTTAATATCAGTGGGCCAAATGAACTGAAAAGTTGCAAAGAAATGTGAGCTATTCTAGCAAAGAAAGCTTTTTTGTCATTGTGTTCCTCTTTTCTCTTTTCAGGTTTTTCTTGATTTCCAGCTGGTCTATACCATTGACTACATGAAACGAGAGGAGAAGATAAAATACATTGATGAAAAAGAGCTTTGGAAAGTGTCGATAACAACAAACCTGGAACAACTGCGTCGAGAGAAGGTGAAGTTTTGTCTTTCTTTTAATGATTTAGGATTTGATAGCTACAATAGATTTAAGAATTAGTTTTTACTTCGAAAAGGAGAGAGCTTAGTTCCCACATGGTTATACATCACATGTAATACATGGTATTACATCACTATACCTTTCGTACCTCTGATATCACGCATGTTCAATACTAACACTCAACGCGATTCCTTGTTACCTGATCCTTTTTAGGCCTTTGAGCCCAAAAACACCATATCAGCGGTTGACAATCGAGCCTAGTTAAGTCTTCATAAGCAACTAAGTCTTGGTTTGCATTCCGTTGCTTTAGCTTCCTTGTATCATTTTTCTCAGATACCAGGTTTTCATCTTTTAAAATTTTTTAATTTCTTCTATCCCTACAGCACGATAAAGTTCAGCTCGATATTCTGGTTGAAAACATGGGGCGAGTTAACTTTCTGAAGGAAATGAACAGACAGCGAAAAGGTGATCGATGTTTTGATTTCTCTTCTAAAGCCACTCATTAGTCTACAGATAAAATTGTTCTAGGTCGTTTCGTTGTCGACAATAGTAGTCACAATTAACCATCTTTGTCGTCCTATTTCCCGAAAGGATAGTTTCTACATTATAACATGAACCTGAAACAGTAGTTGTCATTTGAACGTTGAAAGTAATCCATGATTACTTTAGTTCTGGTTTACTTAGCTCCGTGTCAGGTCCAGAAACTCACGCCACTTTCTCATCCAATCAGACTTAAAACTGAAACCAATTGCAACTCAGGCAGCCGCGTTTTCCCGCGCTTTAGGCAGTTTGCTTTTTTTTTCTTCTTTGAGTTATTATTGGCTGATGGTAATGTTTTCCTTTATTCTTGTTGGCTGTTTTCATAAATTTGTTTTTGGTGTTGCGGCACTCAACCGAAATGCGCTCCATAAGGCCCTACAAGGCCTAGCTTACCATCGAGTGTTGGTTCCCTGTGCCACAGTTGATACAGCCTCCAACCGCAAAATCGGATTTGGCTCGGGGTCCAATCCTCACGGGGGACTTTTATTCCCAAGAATGACTAAGGAGTGCACCATATATCCTCACAATCTCAAAAGGCTATTTTAAATCAGACAGGTGATGAGAATAAAGAAAAATATCAACGTGGTAAAATTATTTGATTTAACACCAAATTCCCTAAACTACAATAAACGGAGATGTATGACACAGAAGAGAGAATAGCTATTGAAATCTTGAAATCGAGATTGAGAGGGTTTTCATTTTGATTCGACGACCAACGCCCTGTTTACCCCCTCCACAAAAAAAAATTCAACGTCTCATTTTATAAACCCAGCTGACTGCAAGGCCCTGAACGGTTCGATGGTAAATTTTTCGCACTGAAAACTAATTTGTCTTCTCTTTTGCTTTCGTCGATTTTTTTCTAGGCATACTCGGTGATATCCTAGTTGATGGAAAAAAGCAAACGGGCTGGAAAACTTATCCAATGGACTTCAAGAAAGGCTTTTTCGACAAGTAATCATTCATATGATTAATTATTTTCACTATTGAAAAATACACAGCACTTCAACCAGTGTTCTTACATTTTTTGAAACATTCGTATTAATTTTAAAAGTAGAGCATACCAGCGAATTTCGTCTTTGACAAGGTCTTCAATGGACAAATCTCCTTTTCCAAAATCCAGCTCAGTTGTGTTTTAGCGCGGAATTTTGCCGAGAAAATGCCCGTTAACGAATCGCATTTTTTCAACACGTGATGTAAAATAATTCCAAGGGGTTGACAAAGTTTGTTTCAGTTGGTTTTTTTGTATCGTAGATTGAGCACGCTGTCAGAATGGAGGAAAATTAAAGAAGGGGAATTGCCAACCATTCCTTCGATATACCGTGGTACATTTGGGGTCACGGGTGAGCCTAAGGACACCTTTTTGCATATGAAAAGTTGGACCAAAGGCGTGTGTTTCGTTAATGGCCACAATCTGGGCAGGTACTGGAATATTGGGCCACAGGAGACGTTATACTTACCAGCTCCATGGCTGCGCAAAGGGGAAAACGAGGTAGATGTATTGAGCAAGGAATATGGTAAACTTTGCGCTCCGTAATGAATTCAGAGAAAGTTGTTTTTGGTCACGTTACAAGCCTGGGACAAAGAATAAAATAAATACGTCTTGGTCCCCATGTGGAATCGCACCTCAGACGTTCAAATCCCTCCTGCATGGAGACTCAGATGTTTTTCTTTGTCTCTCGCTCTGATCTATCAACCCGTTGACCCCTAAGAGTGACAAGCACTAATTTCTCCTTACTACATCACTCCTGAATAAAACATTAAGGTCACGAGAATAAACGAAATGATCACCAATTAAAGAAGTTCTTGATTGTCAAACAAATTCTCTGTGTCAGCACCTTAGGAAATGTAATAAAAACAGTATGGAGAATATACATACTGATGTTAGAGTGTAAAGGGTCAAGAGGGTGGCGGTAGTCTTTTTAGTCCAATTAAAGTGCACAGTAAAGCAAAGCCTGAACAATTCCAGATTACTTTCGACACAGTTCAAAATTGCTTTAAGTGCTACGCGATCCCATTTCACGCTTTTCTTTCTAGCAATTAGTCACTTCACTTGGCAAGCTTATACTTGGAAAGCTTACGTTCTTAATTCTTTTCCTTTCCCTTTCAGCTGCTGATTTTTGAACTAGAGAAGTGCGAAGTTCCTGACGTACCATTTGTGACAGAGCCAAAGAACAAAGGAAAACCTCTTTTAGTGCTATAATGAGGAGTCTCTGACGCTTACTTAGCAGAGAACGGGGCAACCTCGTTCCCAGGGTTCTCTCTATTCCTTTGGCAAGGAAATACGTTTTCGAGAGAGAGAAAGAGAGGGAACCCTGGGAACAAGGTTGGAAATAGAGTCAGTGTGGAATGACATGACACTTAATCATTTAAAAGCCACCAAAAGTGTGGAGGCTGTAGAGTCAATGAGCGACCAAGCTCGTCGGTTTTTTTAGGGGAAGGGGGTCATATTTATCTCCTCTCCGCCACTGTGGTGCTGGTCCGAAATACGACACGTTCATGAAGCAAACTTTTTAAACAGGAAGAGAACAGAATCTTTCGATGAAGACATATTATTCACGTTTTACGGATTACTTTTCAGGGTTTACATTTATTTAGGATTTTTCGTAACAAAATTGTTGAACGGCGGGAAGACATTTTTAAGAGATAGTCAGTATCATGTCAACAGAATATAATATGAATTTATCAAAATTGAAATTTTGAAACAGGTATCAATATTCGTCTATATTTGAAAACTGGATGTATAGAAGTTAAATAACATCAGTAGCAGCACAGACGTAAGTTTTTCTCTTTCTTTACTTTAGTACATTTCATGAGAAATAGTACAGCATTAATGGTCCTTATAAACAAGTTGTTGTTTACAAATTCCGATCAAAATTGAAAATAATATCCACACTGTGTAAATTTAAATCTCAAGCAAGCGAAAGTCTTTCTAGTAAAATACAAAAAGACAATCTTGTCGTTGGCCCATTGTGACGTAACGGTTTGGTAATTATTAAAATCTTTTCACGAGTTTTTTCTTTCCTTTTCTAACTGATAGTGGTAGACTTCTTTTTAAAGAGAGGTCCTTTACGTAGAGCAGTTTCTCAAGTGTTAAAATGTAAATAATTTGTAAACGCTTGAGGAGCGTGGGAGCTTTCAAAAATTCAATTTAAACTGAATCGAAGTGGAATTAGAATTTAGACCTCTGTTTTTATGGCGGAAGAAGAGCCTGAATAACCCTCGCAACGAGGAAAGGAACCAAGAATACCGTGAAGTACCATTTAACTGGCGACACGTATTCTTTACTGATCATTAAGTTCTTTCCATGCCTCTCACAAACATCGACATAAGAAGATTGTTCGTTATACCCAGGTTTAGTCATGGAAAGTGTCTTTTAAAAGGATCCACATCGTTAACTAGAGGCTTGGTTTATATGACGACGGGGCTAGGTTTCGAACCATTGTCCTACCCTACTCCACAAGGTATATGACGTTTTCATCAGTTTTTCAGGTTACTTCACCGGGAAAGTATTCTGCTTCATAATCTGAACGACTTCCAATCAATGAAACCTCCCTACTGTCTTGTAGACGTCAATGAGTCACTGAGCTGAGAGAGTCGAGTCAAATTCAAAGCAGCTCAAATACTGTGCTCAAGCATTCCTCAGGAGATTTTTATCCTCGGTAAAACGGAGATGTTCTGAATGAAACTTCAGCTGCTGTCATATAACTGTGAAGCTCCAATATGATGAGCTTGGAAAGGAAAAATCCAACCATCAATAATTCAATACCATGGAGTAAGAAGAAAAAAGACTGACAATATAACACGGCCAAGGCAGATTTTCCGAGCTTAAAACAGGGATCATATGCATTTGACTTGTGTTTCCACCGGCTCGTTAGGATGATATCATTAACACGGTTTTTGTGGATCATTAAGGTGAAATAAAATAAATGGTTCCTCTCTTGACGTCGCTTCCCTTGTGGATTGCACCGTTTCAGTTACTGGTCTTCTTACACGTTGCGTTCGACATCAGAAATGAATACATAGTAAACAAAACATAGAAATTTTATTCTTACTCATTAGTCTGTTTACCTAGTCTCTGTTGGCTTATGTAATTATTTTGGTTTCAACTCTCATACTCACTTCATTGTCTCCTGTCCGTAACCATGGTGCTGGAACATACAAAGTTCGCTGAGGTCCCCTTTCCCAGTACCTTCCCAGGTTATGTCCATTAATGAAACACACTCCTTTGTTCCAATTTGCCATATCCAAGAAAGTGTCTCTAGGTCCTCCACTGACCTTAAAAGTTCCGTTGTACAGGAATGGACCGATTGGTCCTTTTACCGGTACTTTATCCCATTTTCCTTTCTCTTTAATGCTGAAAAACATGACTTGATACTTGACCAACAGACGAGAGTTAAAATTTTAAATTAATTCAAATAAAATACTACAACTCGGATACTATGCGAAAGGGGGGAGGTGTCATTTCTTGGCACGACACACTTGTCGAGAAGAAATACAGATGTGGGCATGGAACGACAGAAAACTGTACAAGTTCGTTCCTGAAATAACAAAAATAGATACGATACATTTTGAAAGAGGCTTCTCCTTACAGTACTGCCACATAAAATATAATAATTCTGGTGCCAAAAGGCAACAAATTGTGGAATTGTTCAAGTGGCGTTACCTTGCCAGATCTTGCGGCTTGAATTGAAGTGGGTAAATTCGCCATTTGGTAGGACTTAGACCATCGACAGTCACTTTCCCAGTAATACCTGAGAATTGACAACACAAAGCGGTTAAACTTTGTTTAAGGAAGAGTCCGATTTCCAATTTTGGATACTAATGTCCGATTCCCGATTTTGGACACTTTTGTGTGACCAATTGCTTGGTCACACAATTATCATTGGTGAATGTTCAGAATGGAACTCAGACTGACATTATCATCTGATTCATGTAAATGCAGTGACAAAAGTAATAAATACTACTTTTATTAAAAGCAGCAACTTCCTCATAGGCAGCAATAAGTCGTGGCTTTTTGCATATAGTTGCTACATTTCGAAACGTTACCTTTCCGCATCCTCTTCATGTCCCAAACAAAATTTGTTCGTCCCATGTTTTCTACCAATATCTCCAGCTTGTGCTTGGTTGGCTCGGCTGAGCGTTGTGACTGCGCATGATTCTGACTCACTTTAATCACCACAGGACTTTCGTATCTTGTACTTGCGTCATATGTTTGAATCAGAATAGAATCTAAAAGGATCTGAGGCAGACGATGTTATAAAGATATAGTTACACTGATTAGAACTTGGCTTCGTTCCTGACGTTAAACCTTTAGGAAAAAGGTAATTTTCAATTCAGACGAGTGGTGAGAGAAAAAAAGAGAAAAAAGAAACACTTTCTAAATATTCCCCTACTAAAAAATGGTTCTAGATATCTATGGTAAGAACTTGTTCTATCTGTGAGATTAGCCAACTTAAGGAATTCCTCTTACGTACAGCATTACTACGATGAATCTGAGAAGCAAGTTCAAGTTGTTGAAATTTGGCTGAGAAACACCTGTTCAACAGTGCCTCCCCACCCCACTCCTAGAGGTTTAATTGTTTACATTAAATTTGGAGCTGCTTCCTTCTATTGTCATCTATGCTGTATGTCATCACCCACTGGTGAAATCTCACCCTACTCTGCCCTGCCTTGCCCCCATCAAGAAAGGAGAGGCAGAAAAAAACGAACAACTGATCAGAGGATATGTTTGATGAATGCTATCATCAAGTTTAAAACAGTGGACAATTCCAAGCAGATTACCGAAGGGAAACTGCTTAACAAACAAATGATCAAGCTGTACCTGGGCTCTGTCCAAAACTTGTTCCATTACAATCTCTTTTGGATAGTGAGGTAACTCTGTCTGGTACAGTATGAAACCATACCCTTGTCCGCCATTATTGTTGATTGGCAGTTGTTCCATTGGCATTACATGACCACTTTCTATAGGGGTCTAAAGCAACAAAAATTTAATACTTTGTAAATACCATATAGATAAGGTAACTTGCATGTAAAAGAAGATAGCTACATATCTTCTTGAGTATTGAGCTCCACTAGCACAGTTTGCACACAAGAAATTTCGATGTTCAGCAATGAACTGTACAACTGATATAAGCATCAACTGAAAAGAAATGTCTTTACTACAGATTATTTGCATTTGAATTAAAATTCCAAAAAACAATGACATCTTTATCACCTCACCTGATATGAAAGCAGGTGGGTTAGGGACATAAACTGCTGTAAGGAGACTTTACCTTTGAAAAGCAGGGAAGAAAAAACACAAATAAAGAAATGTACCTTTCAACTAGGGAGGTATTAATTTGATGAATAATTTGATCCTTAACCCTTTCCACCCTAACATCAGTGTTCATATTCTCCATACTGCTCTCTGTACATTTACTAAGGTGCTGACAAGGAGAATTTGTTGAACAATCAGGAGTTTCTTTAGTTGGTGATCATTTCCTTTATTCTCATGACATTCATGTGTGATTCAGTGGTGATATTGTAAGGAGAAATTAGAATTCAGTCTCTCTTAGGGGTTAAAGGGTGAATGAAGCAGATAAAGATTCTTACCATAATCCTTTCTTGAAGAGTTCTCTGAAACTTGAGGAAGATTCTTGAGAACTACGGTTTTGAGAATCAAATGATGTGGCATTAATTTATTTAAGGGACAATAATCAATCAAAAACAGTCCAAAATATTCCAATTTTGTCTCTTAGATATTGTGACAGATTTAGCTTGGCACATTTGTAGCTTAAATGCTATTCATTTTTAGACAAACAATTTGAAAATGTGCAACTCTTATCTTTCTGTCTGTACAAGTTGTAGCCTACAATCCGCACTTATACTGCACAACATAGCAAAGAACACTCCAATCATTCAAACACGAGTGCTCAGTGTTTGTTGAATAAAGTATTAATCTATCAAAAGGTCTCTGAGGTATGCTTTCCATTAATTTTAAAAATTCATCAGTCTTTCTACACATCCAAAAATGTGTCAAACTACCCTTCAGGTAAGTTCTTATAACAGCTAATCATAATCACTATATTATGATAAAAGTATTTCATGGTATGAGTCACGTGTCTGACTACACACTAACGAGAGTGTTCTGGTGCATGCTGTTTTATGGCATCTTTAATGGAGCGGTATTTTGGTGTCATATCTCCAGCTTCTGATAAAGGTGCATCATAATCTAAAATAAAAAAGTTTTTGCATTGTTCAATTGTGCACAAGTAACACACAAGTTACCCTAATCCCATGGATTTCTCATGATTTTATAAAGTTTAGCAAAAGTAATTAAAACTGATTTCTAGATTTTCAAGCTGAGCTATCAACACTACAATAACTTATTCCAGTTTCTGTAACATGGAGTAACAGGGAGCCATGCTACACTAGTCTTTGCAGCATACTCCTGGTCATGTTTCCCAGACAGTTTCCTGTTACCAAGTGATACTGGTGGGCAGTGAGAGGAACTGTGAGAGTGAGGTGTCTTGTCCATGCATTCATGAATGTTGAAAAGAGATCAAAAACATACCACTTGATAGAGATTCTTGCTTGCTTACTAATAGGCCCACATTTACCTCCAACTAAAATTAATCTTATGTGCACATGATTAAAATAGTTTAATTTTCATCAAATTTCAAAAACTGTCATAGACATACCATATGAAGTGGTGGTTGGTCTAAGGCCATTTGCACCATTCATGAAGCCAAAATTTGTTCCTCCTACAAAACAAACATGAAAGCTTCTAGCAAACAAAATTGGGTTCAGAAAAGGACACAAAGTCATGCAAAGCGACTCCTAAGGATCGAACATTTATCAAGTATCATTAATAAGAAACAACACTTATCCTATTCACAAAGATGGCTGGCCTGTGCAAGTGGACACAGGTTTCTTGCATTCTAAATGCTGGTTTACCTCCATTGATAAATCACTTTTCATTGATTCATAGTGTTGGCAAAGCACAGTGTACAAAGTGAGTTAAAACCTTCATGCAAGATGGAAAGAACTAAATGTAAAAGTTTCTAACAGTGATTTTTGAACATTCAAAATCTGATCCAAGGAAGTGCACTTATGATGTCATTTATCTATCAGTTTTAAAAACAAAACAAAAACAAACCATGAAACATGTAGAGGTTGAAGGAGGCTCCAAACTCCAGAATTTCTCCCAAGACTCTTGCTACACTTCCAGCACTCTTGCCATCATGGTGTTTATCATTTCCCCATAGATCAAACCAGCCTACCCAGTATTCCATTATCAAAACAGGTTTGTCTGGCTTCAAAGTTTGCAAAAAAAAAAAGGTATGAGCAGTGTAATGACTTTTTTTTGCTACTGTCAAACTCAGATTTACATGTAATATGTGGGTAGTTTAGTATTGTCAACTGAGTTGATAAGGTAAATTGGCCACTTTAAAGACCTTAAAGGCTGACATTTTGAGCCTTTAAACTCTTGACAGTGGCCAATTTACATTATCAACTAAGTTGATAACACTAAATTACCCTGTTATACTCTCCCACCAATGCAGCACATACAGTTTATTTAGAAACTTACCCCCTTCAATCAGATATATGTGAGCATCTGAATATTAGCTTGGAAATGATCACTGTCAGTGTCACCAACATATCAAAACACATTTGCCATATCATCACAAACTAATACTTCTTTCTAACCAAGTTGAAGTCCACATTGTAAGTTACAGATCAGACAAGTTTTTTCTGCTTTGGTTTATGGCCAGAGCATGAAACTTGCGGTCCATAAATCTCAGCAGAAAAAATGAGGTTAGTAAGATATTTATTATATTTATGGGTTCAAAGAAAGGAGGAGATTTCAATTAAAACAAACTTTTGAATTTAGCGGGCTGTACAGAGAAATACAGCTCACTAAATGAGAAATAAGTTATAATTGCCATGATTGATAATTGCTGCTTACAACTATGCAACTTATAACAGGAGTTTCCCTAATTGTATATATTTTTCTTTGTCTAAAACTTAATATCATAATTTTACCTGTATTTCTTGTAAATATGAGAGTTCTTGTTTCACATTAGGTTGAACATCTACGTTGATTGTTTTCAGAACTGAAATAAAAATGTAAAGAACATCAGAAAACACCTTTCAAAAAACACTTCTCTTTTTTTCAATTTGTCCCCTGCAATAATGCATATTGGACATTATTTGAATTGAAATTAGCTGCATGGTGATATTTACCATTTTGTAAGGTAAGGAACTCTTTCTTCAGTCCAGAATGGTTATCAGATGTGAAAAGTAACTCTGTTATTCCTCCATTGATCATAAGCTGTCCAAAAGAAAATCTTGTCAAATTTGTGCTGTATATTTTATTTCCCTCTTAAGCCAAAATTTAGCTAAGCATAACATTTGAGGTTTGACAAGCTCAAGACATACTGTGCACAGTGGAAAAGTAAGAAAATTGTTCAGTAAGTTAGACCTTGAATATTAAAATACAGACCATTTTTAGGTGTTGCATGTAGTCCACATCAGCAGAAGCATAGCTTCCATATTCATTCTCCAATTGGAAAGCTATAATAGGACCACCCTTAGAAAACTGAAAATAAGTAAGCAAATACAGACAAGTAAGTTAAAACCTTTATCTTATCACCTTTTGGTTAACAATTGCTCTATGCATCAAGGGTAATTCACAGAATGCCAAAATCATGTTGAAGGCCTGAATTCCTGGTATTTAGTAGAATAAAACTTATTCTGCTTCATGCAAAATTTGGCTTGATTTTGGTGCTAGCACTTCTAGTTGTCTTGACAAATATTAAAAAATAAACAGAAAATAGTTTCCAGGTCTTATTTGTCATGTACATTACCTGCAGAGGAACCAAAATTGGCAGAAACCTTTTGTAAAACTGATCAACAGCTTCAATGAATGGAGGATACATTGATCTTGGTTCCATGTGAGGATCACTCAATAGCCAGCTTTGAAAATAATTATGAAAAAAAAAATTATTAGATGAGCAGTAGTGATTCTATTAAAAGCCATCTTTTTCAAAGCCTTCTTAATCCTTTAACTCCCAGATCAAATTTGTAATTCTCCTTACTGTCAACCATACAATTCTTAAAGTGTTAGTTCAGAGAATTTAATATTGGATCAACTAATTATCCCCAAATTGATATTTTTCTTTATTCTCATCACTTATCTGGTTGATATTGTATTGATATGTGAGGAGAAATTCTGTCTCGGTCATTCATGGGAGTTAAAGATTTAAGTAACCTCTCTTCCCATTTCCCCTTTCATTGATACATTCTTTTTACCACTTCAACATCTGGGAGCTGACAGAACTAAGTTGTAAGAATTTGCTAAAGATTAGCAAGAAGCTCACAAAGACCCTATAATTTTTTCTTTCCTTTTTTTTCCTTATGTATTTATCTTTTTTTATTAACTTTATTTTGCAATACACTCAAAGTAGTTACAATAAGGACATTTAACTTACAAGAAAAAAAAATGATAAAAAGTATACAACCACATTGGCTTTTAATTTTAACCTACTGTAGGCTGTTTCAAATGATCAAGGAAAGAGGCTCAAGAGACAATTTATGAGACATTCAATGAGACATTCAATGAGGTTATGATGGAAGAGAAAAATTTTAAACTGAGGACAAATCCATATAAAATATCATGTGAAGAGATGGGTTTTTTTGCTTTTGTAAAACAAAGACTGTTTATATAGAGATTGAGAGTGATCAAAAATAAATAAAGGGAGAGAGAAGGAAAGAGAAGGAAGGAGAATAAACAAAACTAAGTTATAAAATAGTTAAATAAAATTGGGAAAACCCCCCATAAGGTATGTGTTCAGTCCTTTTTTTGTTTTAACAATTTCTCACTGCAAAACTCAAGTTAGGGTTGAAGGGCAGTATACCCTGTCTTTAGTTCTTCAAGGTAATACTGATAACAGTTTTTAAAACCAGTTATAGCTTAGTTATATGCGTAATTACTAATGGTGATTTGAAGGTAACAGATGTAGCCAAAAAGTAGGCAGGTGCATATTCTTCCAGTTTAAGAGTTGATTCATGATTACTAATTCCCTTCTTGGAGACATCAAAGAGTTTTGATAACTGAAGCTGAGACTAGCCAGTGGAACCTTGCAGAGTAACAATCAGTCAAGTTTGCTATAAACTAGTGCATTTTCTGTCAATCTTACCTTGGTAATCCCCCGAAGTCCCACTCAGAACAAATGTAAGGTCCTGGTCTCAAGATAACATACAAACCCAACTCCTTTGCCAGCTTGATAAATGCACTGTTGGTAGAAAAAATGTTTGATTATATACTAGTCATGATCAGTTAGCCACATTTGTAACCTTAAATCCTGCATGCAGGACTGACTCCCACAACTGAGAATTACAAAATAGTACACTTTTGACATCCCTTGTTATTTAAAAAAGATGTCAAACCTTTCTGTAATCATGCACCTCACATTAAAATCTTTATTGTTAAGAAACAATGAGACTCAAGAGTTTGCAGACAGCTTCTGAAATAAACTTTGAAAACTCATTGTGTCCTTACAAAGTAGAAAAATTGTTCTCACCTGATGTCCAAGTTCCCATCAAACTTAAAATGACCCTTCACTTCTTCGTGTGCATTCCATGGAACATAACTGTTTACCAGATTTAAGCAAATTTATGTTTAAAAATACTTCAGAAATGATGGCAGTTTATTTCTGTATTTAGAGTAGTACCAATTAGCAAGCAAAGATGTATCAAATAATCAACAATTATAAGTGGAATTAATATCATGCCTATATTACTAAACAATGATTACAATTGTGATCACTATCATTATCATCCAACTGCACTGAGCAGAAGAAACATAACGCACAAATCGAGAACAAATATCCCGCCATACTGTAGGGTTATTTGAAAAGTTTATTTTGCACTGTAAAAACATCGTGCGTTTCGCAAGACGTGTCTCAAACCACGCCTCTAATAGCTTTTGGCTTATCCAGCCTTATAACAAATACACATAAAATAAAACCGAAGGATAATAAATAACTTGTGAGACGTTTTGGTACTTAGTATCGCTGAGTATTGTAACTCATTGTTTGTATTTTGATTGGCTAATTCTTTAGAACAATACAATTCTTAAAAAACTCAGCGATACTATACACAAACACGTCTAATAAGTTATATAATCATTACTCTTCTGTCTCAATAGATACCGTTAGAATCAAAGCACAAGCAAATCTATTTGAGAACAAATGTTCAAAAATCAAGCTTTTCGTAAGCGGTAAACGTCCTCCAGCTGTTTTGACATTCAACAGGTTGCACTGCACAGCTGTTCTTTCCACACACTACTTGAACAACAACTACTGAAAAACTATGAACTTACGTCTCCACCGTATTCAGCCCCATGGCCTTAAGTTTCACCAATCTATCCTTCCAATACTGTGGAACGACTCTAAAGTAATGTACTGCTCCACTCAGAATTCGAAGAGGTTTTCCTTGAAGAAAAAAATCCTTCTCTCCATAAGTTAAGCTTGGTTCTGAAAGTTGAGATTTGGTTTCGCTAGTAACTATAACTTTGGATGCAACTTGGTGATGTTCAGCGTGAACCAGAGAATCGGCCCTCAGGCTCTTCTTTTCAAGGAGCGTATATCCAACAAAAAGGACGATAGCGACCGCTAGCAAGAAGAGTTGTTGTGGGCTGAGATTAGGCTTGCGGAAGAAGATTGTTCTCATCGGCATTTTTGTCAACAAACACAACTTAACAGAAGTATTTGTGCTCAAAGTTCTATTTCTATTTGCAGACTGCACGTGACGAATTGAGTATAGAGCCAATATTTTTCCCGGTCAGGTGTGAAAGGCATGATGGAAAAAGTTTCCAAAATTCTCTTCCACGAAGAACACCATGTCATGCCAAGATGATACGGGCGTTATTTTGCAAGGTAATTAGAGATGAAACTGGGTACGAATTAAATGATAAGCATCCACGATCGCGCAAAAATCGCACACGAAGCGTTGATCGCGGAGCTCACGCGTGAGGTTCACGAGTAATAGAGAGGCAAGTCCTATCTTCTGATTGGTCGACTACCAAAGCAGCAATCTTAGCGAGCTCATTTTTCCCACTAAAATGTAGGATAAATGAAGAAGAAGAAGGAGACAACAAAGTAAAAAGATTCCACTGAGGAAACAAAGTTTGAAGCCTCCAGAGTATTTTTCCTTGTACCAGACAGTGTTAAAAGCATTTCAGCACCAATGGTTGTCCCTTCCATGTTCTGTCTGAGTTAAGAAAAGCAAGATAAGTTGTATCAATTTACTTAATAGTGGTGATAATGATAATGACAATGAAAATGATGACGATGAGAAAACTCACACATCGTAAATGTAACAGTCATTTTAGGTTGTCCCTGGACGTGCCAAAGGAAGGGGAGAATTGTACATTCTCAACCCATGCCTTCCTGTAACACAATTCACTCCATATACCACTCAAATTACAACTTACAATGTGGGTAACTTTAAAATCATTCAAGAAAAAGGTCATTTTTATTCAATTCTGTTTCACAACCAGCATGAAATTGATGATTTTTTACAAAAAATTTACCCTGACCTCAGGTAAATAATAATTACAAAATTCACATTTAAACAAAAAAAAGACTTAAAGGAAAATACAATTCCCTGTATTTGTGGTTGTACTTAACTGAAATTAACAAAAAGCAAAAATTAACAGAAACAAAAAAAAGAAAAATCTTTTAAGTGGATACAGAAGAAGTGTCACCACAATCATGTATAAGCCTTTGCCTTCTTGAAGCAATTCACAAGTAAGTTCTTCTTTTAAAATGATTAAAAACAATTACTTGAAAACCAAAGTGAAAGGCTGGATCTCTACAGTCACAGTTGCAAAATAGTCTCTTAGATGTCACAGTGGTGCCTGAGAACCACATACAACAGAAGTACGGTGCACAGTTAAAAATTATATTGTATTAGATTGTCATATTTCAACTGATTTAAAATACAACAATCACTGCCACTAGTATGGCTAAATTACAGACTAAAGCAATACTATTCTTGTGCAACAATTCACGATCACTGCAAAATAAATATCAAAGTAAAGATTACACAATCTTGTCTATTAACACGTGGAAGGGTCTAAGATCATTTTAAAAATATGATTGGAGAAAGATGTATTTATGGCAAAATAATGCCTTTCTTAAGGAAAAGTTTTAGTTTAGATGGCTTGTGGACGAATTCTTAACCCTTTAGCTCCCAGAAGTGATTGACATAAAAATTCTCCCTACAATATCCGTACATTAATCAGCAAACAGGTGACGAGTATATTAAATCTTATCAGGTAGAAGCTAATATCTTGATCTAGCACTAAGTTTTCATAACTAAATTACAAGGAAATGTGTAGCACCTAGAAGGGAGAATTAACAATCAGATCTTGGGAGTTACAGGGTTAAAGATTTAGTAGCTTTGTTCTCTAGCTTGTCTCTTGTTACGCAGTTGCTTGTTTGCTACAAGATACGTTTATTTGAAAACAACCCATTTACATTTTATTTGCATTTATTTGCACTAATCTTTGCTTTGTGCAGCTTGAAATAGACGATTTCTCAATATTTTTGACATCAACTATTTTCAGTCTTTTGGTTTTAGTTTGTTCATTTCATTTGTACTCAAATGATCAAAAGAGAGGATGCTATTAATAATATATTAATTTCATCTTAAAAATGTTTGTCTTACTTGTATTTTAGTGAAATTTACTCTTAATTATGCAAAGGCAGTAGTTTCTAGAGAATAGTAAAAGTTAGTTCTTCAAATTAATCTCTTTCTGTAAATTTCTGAAGACTTCACATCCACAAGAAACTCATCCAAAGATAATGACATCTATGGATAAAAGATCACTTCATGTAAACTGTTGTCTTGCTTTTTGTTCTGCTGATATTTTCTCTGTTGCAGATTTTTGCAGCTCTTTTATCCATCTTCTTGAAAAAGAGCCTGGCATGTGGAATGAGTGCTGGGAGAGTGGATTGGATTAAACAAATTATTGTTAATTACTTCAGGCATGCTCACACAATGTTTACTTATTAACTCCCAGTTATGTGATCTACATGTAACTTCTCCATATAATATCCTTCATTATCCAGCAAATAAGTAATGAGAATACACAAACTTATCAGGTAAAAGTGATTTTGATCTAACACCAAATTCTTGTTTCTAATTTACATGGAAACCAAAGTTAAAATCCAGAATCTGTCTCACAAACCAAAAGGCTTCACATCCCCCACTAAGGGGATCCACCAAGGAACCAGTCACATATTTTGGAGTTTGAATTTCAGGTCTTGCTTACCTCCATAAAACTATGACAGTCCATTGTTGCTGGCCCTTTGGTAATCTCCTGAAGTCAAAAGTCAAGAAGCTTCTTTAATGGAGCAGCACCTTCACAAAATTTGAGTTACTTTGTCAATCTACCTTCTCCTGGAAGGTAGATTGACACAACAATGTCATTTTGATAAGAACATGAATTGTTTGAGGGTGTAGTCAGCAGCAAAACCCATTGTCCCATTGTGAAAAGTGTCCTAGTACTGGAGTTGAGAGAATAAAATAATGTCTGAGTTTAGAGTAACAGCTGTTTTCTTGCAGGTTTTCCTCAAAACATGCTTAAGTTACTAACCTTCATAGCTGTGCAAAGCTGAGCAAAATCATGACAATTCATTAGTTTTTCCTCATTAAGACTCAATAGTGTCAGTGCCACTCTAAGAATCACTTTTGATCCTTCATAAAACAGGCAGTCCCAGATGCGAAGTACTGTCTGGAATCAGAAAAGAAAACTACCATGAACTTAAACATTTTTTCCAATATCTCTCTACCAATGATATACATTATCAACCATTCACATTCCTCATGAACAAATAAGAACATGACCTCTGAGTCCAATGTCTATCAAATTAATGCAGGGATCCCCGTCATAGCTACAACCAAGACATCTTATCTACCCTCCAATATCTTGCTGCAACCTATTGAGTCACACTTTATTGTAAAAAAAAAAAAAAAAATTTACAGTGCTTCTCTCCACTTATGGAGTATGATTGAGTACAAATGTTGTAATCTGGGATTAACCTTGAATAGACTGTCACTTCATCCAAAGGGGGAGGGGGGGTAGAGAGAGGAGGGTAGGACTTGTAAAACTCCTAGAAACTTCCCACTAATGAAACTGGGATTAAGTCTGGCTGGAGGGTCTTTTGGCTCTTAAGCTGAATCTACCCTTATCTTTATCAAAGTAACAAGGGAAGCTAATTTGGTTTAATCAAGTTGATGACTTTAAGGGAAATCGGCCACAATAGAGAGTTCTACAGCAGTTATTTTGAGAGTTAGCCCTCGTTAGAGTGGGTAAAGGAGTTGAATGGACCCTGCAGAAAAGGGAACTAGTGAGTGAAGTTTTCTACTCTCACATAGGGGGGGAGAAAGAGAAAGTAAGATAATATGATATATCCTCAGATGTAAAACTACTTTGTTTACCTCAATTGGTAGCACATCGATGTACAGGCAGATGAACCACTTGGTAGAGAAGATTGTGTATGATACACCTAGTTTTTCTATATGCTCAAACAAAGCTGGTAGCTTTACTCTGCATTTTTCACAAGAGGTAAAAAAAATTTAAAAGTTAAAAAAAAATTTACCAGTGCCTAGCTACATTTGGAGATACACACAATGAATTATACATTAAAGCAATACATAGGATATACATGTCATAAGTTGATCTTTTTGCAATTTATTTTAACTGAACTTTAATTTCCTAATTCAGTGCTGAAATTTTTTTAATTAAAGGCACTGAACAGTGCATGATGGGTCAGAAATTAAAAGATAGCAGAGAAAATTGAAAGATGTACAAGTATTGTCCTAGGATGCTCAATACCAATTTCATCTACCTTACCACTGCTACAAATTTAAAATGAGTGCCTCTCCAAGAAATCATTAGATCAATGTTAGTAACTGAGCAACTGCACATTTACCCCTTCCCTAACCCAACACTAACTCTACAAGTGTAACTTGTTATCAGTTGACTGTTGTTGGGTTGGGGGAGGGGTAGGTGGGCAGTTGCTTAGATACTGACATTGATTCAAATCGTTAATGAACAGAATGCTACTGTAGCTTTCAATATTCTTTTGTCTGAATAATTCATGTTCATTCTGCTTTTATTTCCAAGGAAGTTAAGCTAACAAGTTTGTTATTTTGTTTTGCTTTGTTTTATGTTTTTATCAGCTTTTCTTCCCATTCATTCAACTATAATTAGGGTTACTTATAAAGTTGCAATCAATTAATTATACAGCTGATGCCAGATAAGTTAAATTGCACCTACTTACCTAACTACTTCACGAAGTGTTTCTTGTTCAATTTGTAAACCAAGCATGTCCTTGGCATAATAATCTGCAGAAAAACAGTGATAGATGCATTTATCAGATGAATGTAAAAAGCTGATTCTATAAAGTTTGGATAAGATCTATCCATTTACTTAAAAGAAAATCCTAGTACAGGCTTTAATCATTCAAGCTTTTCTAAGTTCCTCATTTGTCCAAGGTTACAGCTCGCAGCAGTTCCACTGCACAACACAAAGGCTTAGGTTTCATACCTGGTAACAGATTCCCAACAATAACATCTAAAAGCCAAAATGCAGCTTCTTCTTTGTTAACAATGAGAAGCATCAATCCGGCAATATAGTTTAGACCCTATAAGAGAGAATAATAAACAATTAGAACAATAAGACTTAACCCTTGAACTCCCAAGATCTGATTGTTAATTCTCCTCTCTAGCTGCTACACATTTCCCTGTGACTTAGTTATGAGAATTTGGTGTTAGATCAAAACAAAAACCTGTACCTGATATGTTTGAGAATTCTCATTACCTCTTTGCTGGATAAGGAATGGATATTATAGAGAGAAGTTACATGTTAATCACTCTTGGGAGTTAAAGGGTTCTGACTGTACACTCATGTCCCTAATAATTCTTTACCTACTAGAAAAAAGTTAATCCATCCAAGGAGAAATTTAGTTCATCAAAAATAACTTATTAATACTTAAACTCCCATGAGTGACCAACACAGAATTTCTCCTTACAATACCAGAACAGTATCAAGCAGATAATAGCAATAAGGGGATTATATGTCAATCTACAAAGTGTACTACCAAATTCTCCAAACGAAAATTATAAGAATTTCATAGAAGACAGTGAGGAGAATTTCTTATGAGATCTTAAAAGGGGTTTACAATGAATAAAAGTTGTATAATTAGTATCCTAAGAGCACCTTGTATGAAAAGTTCTGGAAGTTGACAGTGGGCGTAGCAAGTTAAAATACACATACATCAATTACATTAGCCCTCAAATTATTTCAAAAGCAAATTGCTACTAATAATGCAATTGCATCTTGATCTATAAATTTTTTTATATATTGCAATTCTCCAAAGGACTCTAAAAAAATCTTTTGTCTTCAACCCTTCACAGCCTAACATCAGTATGCATAATCTCCATACTATTCACAATACATTTCCCAAGGTACTGAAAAGGAGAATTTGTTTAATAATCAACAGCTGCTATAGTTGGTGATCATTTCCTCAATTCTCATGACCTCAATGTTTGATTCAAATATAATATTGTAAGGAGAAATTAGATACTAGTCACTCTTAATGAACTCATTCTTAATTCTTTTTGAAGAAACACTCAAAATCATTTTGGATTGGATTCTGTTTAGCAGAATTATTATTGTTTGAGAAGATAACTTACTTGGCAATATCCTATTCTAGGATTGTGTTTGGCATAGGCAATCAACACATTTAACAAGGCTGGCCTCAGGTCATCTTGTGAACTAGAAAAGCGAATGTTATCTGGAAAGGTGCGATCAATATCTGTAAAATAAGGCAAATTAAAACAAAAAATGTTAAAAACTACTCTGGTTGCATATACTTGCATAGTCTGATAACTTGTGTCACAGTAATGCGAGATACCTGTTTGTATGCTGTGCATGGTCATTTCATCAATCGTTATATTTTCTGCCAATAATTTTTGATAGCTGCCAGGATTTAACTTCATTTTCTTCCTTGCTCCACTGGTGTCCACCCAAACCTGAAGGAAAAATGACTTGTTGAAAATCATAAGTAGAGGTAAGTTTCTAAATTCAAACTGTGGTTTTTCATCTTGAATTGATGGGGTATTACATGTTTGGTATAATTGACTGAGTTGATAATTGTAAATTGGCCACCATAGAGAGTTTCAAAAGCTGATGTTTTGAGAGTTAGCCCCTTGTCAGTTGATAAACCAAATCATCTTGTTGAGAATCAAAATTGGTTGATACAGAAAATGTCAATTATTTGAATTGCAAAGAAAAATTTGTTGGTCATACAGTTCACTTCAGCAAATCAACATTTAAAGGGTAGCCTTGAAAATAATTTTATAAATTACACTCAAAGTTTAAAGGAATAGGAACAAGTTAGTTCATGTTACCTGGGCTCGAAGTTCTGTAGGAATACCTTTCCTTACAAATCTCTTCACTGAAAGAAATCAAAAGGCAGTGAAAAATATTAATTACTGAAAAACATTATTTTTGTTAACCTGGTAGGGTAGGTATGTTTTCAAAATGGTGCTGAACTGTCCATCTTTGATCTCGCCATCTCCATTAACTATTGAAAGCAAGTACTGTTTAAGGCCAACATAATCACCTCTTCTTGACTTTCTGACTTTATTCACGCCCTTCATGAAGTCATCCCAGCGTGAGGCTCGGTGTGCCAAAACCCTAATGTAACTTGACATAAATTCTTCATAACTTGAATAGTCGAAGTCATCTGGCCTATGAAAGCCATATTCATCTACTGGGCTATGGATTTAACATAACAATCAGAAAACTATTCAGCTGTGTTCACATCAATTTTCCAGCCAGGAATGGAAACAAAGGAAGATATACATTATAGCCATGGGTTAAATTCAGAACCAGAGTATCTACAAAGCTATACAGGCCTGTACTTGACAGAGCCTGGGCACCACTCATGAGTAACTTTTGTCTTGAGGCAATTTATATAACTTGAGTTGGTGAAAGCCTTTAACAGCTAGACACCCCAGATTTTTGTGACTAAACCCTTCAGGTATCAGTGAATCTTCAAGAAAGTTTATCATTCAGCACCCACAGATTTTATCATAAAAGAAAGCATTTGAAGGGATGGGGAGGTCTGCTTGTACTCTATCCTTCCCTCCAGTAGTTATATATTTCTGTGTGAATTAGTTATAAGAATTTGGTGTTAGATCACGATAACAAATTCTACCAGATAAGTTTGAGTATTCTCGTTACCTGTTTGCTGGATAATGTACTGATATTGTAAGGAGAAGTTATATGTTAATCACTTGTGTCTACAGGTGTTACTATCCACATTCCCCTTAATTAAAAGATGCTAACAAAAATTAAAATATTTTAGCCTGACATAGGGTTGAGTATTGCCAAGTCAAAGGTCTTTATAACAAACTACTTTCAAGTTCTATTTTAATGCATGATCTCATCTTAAGAATAAGCTTTGATGGACAGTTCTTTTATCAGCATTTGTTTACATTTTTAGAGTAATTTGTCATTTTGTTATGAATCATAAGAATAGCCCTTTTTCAGGGATCTTTTCTAAATTGTTCTTCAAGGTTCTTCATAGCTTTTAAAAATAAAATTTTCCTTATGCCAATATCATCATTGGCCATTATTAAAGCAGAATTGAGCACTGAGATGTAGATTCCTTTTAAATTATTTTTCTGTGATTACAGCGAAAAAAATTTATAGAATTTAATTTACATGTATTTCTACACACCTAGCAGGAAGTTGTCTTCTTTAACTTCTTAAAAACCGTAAATTTTTTAACCAAAAATTAAATGTCGACGGCGCGTGCCCATTGAGAGGATACTCAAACCCTATATTAGGCATCTGACTAATGAATATTTTTTCTTGTAACGGCAGGTAGGGAGCTACAGAGCTGTGAGTAGCTATACTGTATTGGTTTGGGATAAAAAGCACCTTCAAATATAGAAATCTTTGAGGACATTGTACTTACGAAAGTACCTCTTTGATTTTAAGTAGAATAACGTCACCAATATTTTTTATCTGAGATTATCTTGTTTGCAGGAAAGCTCATATTCTGCCCGAATATTTTTGAAGCGACGTAAACTGCAAACTAACGAATGAGCGAGGATCGAGAATTTTCCAATAAAACAACAAAGATCTCAAGGAAATACCTCTGAATCGTCGACATTTCTGTCTAGTTTGATCTCAGAGCATACTCAGTGACCTTTTTGTTGGAAAAAGCGATGCAAAGTATGTATTAACGGGATGTTCCTATTACTGACACGTCGAGCACTGCAATTCCTCAACAGGAAATAAACTCTAGACAAGATGGATGCTTATGACACTCCTATCAGCGTTTATGATTGGTTCTTGTTTTACAACCACTCTAGAAATTTCCTGTGAGAGATCGGATGCTCTTTACAAATTCAGCTGAGTGGCATTTTTTTTTTTTAATTATATTCATGAGCTGCACAGGTTATAACTAGCCTTTCTACCTTGTTTTACAAATAGAAAATAACGATTGTAATAGCCGGTTTAAGCCGGTTATGTCTTTTATTTTTATTATGACGAGTACACCAATCAAATCATGCGTTATAATGTTAATATTCGGCTCCGGAAGCAAAGAGCTCTGGGAAGCAACATAGAGGCGAGGTTTTAATATGGCTGTGAGATCTCCAAAATATATTTCTTTCGGTTGATCTTAACATAATAATCAGGAATATCAACAATTTTCCCTCTTCCGTCTCTATGATTTTGGAGAGATGCAGAGTGAGAGTGATTCCGACAATGAGTTCTTCGATGCTGCAGAAAAACTTAATTTATCTGAGTCTTTCTCTTCAGATTCGAGGTAAGGAGACTTTACGTAGCTTGAATGCTAATATTTTTTTCCTACGTAGATTCCAACTCGTGCAAAAGTGCTTCGTTTCATCGTCATTCATGGAAATTTCTGTGTTAATTATTCTGTTTGTAGCAAGGGATAATTATTATTCCTACGCTTACATTTGTCTGTGCGCGATTTACTTTCAGTTTGTTGCAAAACAACATTCTTCTGGGAATTTTAACATTTTATAAGCGCTTAAATCTTTCCTGCTTTTCTCAGCCTTTAGTTTTCTTCAAATTTTGTTTTGTTCTTTTGCAGAGGGCCAAAGGATGAAGAGACCGCACAAAAGGTAACTTTGTTTACCTGCATTTTAACTGTGCACATGTGCCACATAATCAGCACGAAATTTTAACGCACTTTGAACAGGACGAACACCTGTCATCACTCTATGATATTTAATCCAAATAATCCATTCATTGGGTTTTTAATCGTTGCATTTATTTTTAATGGTGGCTTCTGCCCGTGACTGTAGGTTTTCTCTTGTGTCTCTTGTATGGACTTGTGGCGTTGTGTTTCGGGAATACAATCAACGTCAAATAAATTCTCTTTAGCTACTGTCATTTTTCTAACAAAGGTAAACGGTGTCAATTTGATCTTAAATTCTAAATGCGAAATGTTTATTTTTTGCAACTTACACAACATATTCTGTGGGTTTTGCAGATGAGATTATTTTCTGGCAGTTGAATATACCTGAATTATTATTTTTATTGCAAATGAAGTTATGAAAAGTGATGCAAGACTGCAAATGAGAATATGCAAGTAAATATAGAGATATGAATGACAATGGATTTTCCACACAGGAACATACATGCACATTTTTGTTATATTTTTCTGTTGTTTATTTGGTGTTAGTAACTGTGTTAACAGTTAACAGTTAACAAATTCATATATGTGGTAACTTGGAGGAGAGATTGAAGTAAGTATTTGGGCACTGAAAATATACTTTGGAATATCGTTTTGCCAAAATTTGGAAATATGGAATTAAAGGAATATTTTTGATGTCAATTAATGGCAGAATTTTGGAAACAGGAGGTCTAGAGAATTTTTTTTTAACAATTAAGCAGCACACTCAATAAGTCAGCAAGCCTTGTCTAGCTACTGGCCAGAAAATTAGATTTTAAGTTTCTACAATAAAATGAATCTATCATCTTGTCAATGTGTCATAGGGTTAGAAGTAATATGCTGATATTTGTTTGATTTCTTGTAGGATGTAGTGGATGGACTATTTAGAGATCATTCAACTGATATTTCTTTGAACGACCAGACTCCAGGAGAGGACTCAGTTCAGGCAGAAAGTTCTGTGGTTGAGCAAACAAAAGAGGCAGACATTGTCAAAACTCATGGGGAGAGCACTGCTTTCCATCAGTCAACCAGTGATTTGGGCAACCGAGAAGAAACCAGTGATGCATCTTTACCTTTACACATGACTCATAATGATTGTAAACTTGACCCAGAAATAACAGATCCAAATAGTTCAACAGACTTTCACAATGTAGCTCAGGCTTGTTTAGGTGAAAGGGAAGTACAAAGTGACAAAATGGCGACAAAGGAGACAACTGAAAGCATTGTCACAAAGGAGAGTGTAGGGTCTAATGCTACTGTTGTGAAAAAGACAGAATTTGCAAAAAGCAAAACAGATGCCAGTCAGATTGTTGCTGATGTTGTTGAGAGTATAGAACAGGAAAGTGCACCTCCTGTAGCTCCTCCCAGAAGACGGAAGAAAAAGAAGAAAGCTTCCATAGGAGACCAGGTGAGTTTACAAAAGATGTGTAATGGATGATGTAATAAAAGTTAAGTATCCTGAAGTCAGAATCACAGGTTTTCTTTCTACAAATACAACCTTCTGTACACTGTAATTCTCCCACAACTTTTCTAAGAAAAAAAGACTTGCTCCATAGTGGCATGATTGACTGCACTCACTTGCAGTGTTAATAAAAACTCATCTACATTCCAGCTCATCTCTGACAATAGCTTGAGTTTGGGAGACAGGGTGGTGGTGATGACCGGTGTGCTAGTCACAATCTTTGCATCAAAATGTCCAAGTCTGGAAGCCTTACTCAGGGGTCATTGTGGTGTGTTCTAAGAACACACCACAATGCACAATGCCCTAAGAGTGACCAGCATCTAATTTCTCCTTACAATATCACCTCTGAACCAAACCTTAAGGTACCAAGAATTAAAGAAATGATCATCAACTAAATAAAGCTCTTAGTTGTTAAAAAATTCCTCCTTGTCACCACCATAGGAACTGTACAGGGAACAGTATGTAGAATATGCATACAGATGTCAGGGTATAAAGGGTGAGGAACAAAGCGATAGCCTCATGTCAGCTATACCTCTCTAATCCTTGTAAGGCTGCATAGTAGTAATATCTATTTAAAGTATTTTCCAAGTTCAACAGAAGTTATTCCTGAAGCGGAAAGCCCACCGTGTTGACTTCCTCTTTATTACCTTTTAGAAACCAGGGTCACCTACACCTTCAGAAAGCACTGGGCCAGACTCTGCTGTCTCTACACCTACAGAACCAGAAACACATATTCCTGCAAGAGTGTTTGCCAAAGCAGTTCTCTCTAATGAACAGGATAGCACAACAAAAGAATTCGAATTCCAAACTACTGGATCTAATCAAGACAATCCTAGTATTCATGTTGATGCAAATAACAAGGAGATGAAAACTGTGCTGGACAGAACAAGTTCAACAGAAGTTATTCCTGCATTGACTTTAGATTCCAGACTGAAATCTGACAGTGTGGCCTCCATTAATAGTGCAAAATCAGATAGCTATGGAAGTGTTGCAAGTAATTTATCAAATGGTATTTCTGAAAAAGCGGGTTCATTCACTTCTGTTGCTAGTAGTTTTTCAGTTCATCAACCATTTGGATCTCACCATGGTTTAGTACGATACAGATCAGCTTCAGGAAGACCCTTGTCTGATATTGTAAGTACACTCTGACTTCTTGCACACAACTGATACCATCACACAGGGCTTGAGAGTATGACTGACACAGGTACCAATAGGACTTACATTTTCTTGCTATAGACTAACAGTTCTGGCCTCATCACCACTTTGGTTACAAGATTTTTGTTTATTTTATATCAAAAGTTAAACTAGTCAAGTTTGAAAGTACATCATATATACCTAGTAGTTGTCTATTTTTATTTCCATCTATTAGGGTTTTCTGTTTTTAAGGAGTCGCTTTTGAATTTTAATATATTTCATTAAGATTGGAATTAGATATTTTTAATTACTTTTGTGGTCCTAAGCTTAAAAATATCCAGTTCCCCAATCTAAGACATTGTGCAACACCCAAAGCAGGTTTTACATGAGAGTTCTAATCTTCTCACTTAAATGTCTCCTCCACCATGGTCTCTATTTAATCACTCAAGCTTCTAAGTGTGTTGTAATTTTTTGTAGGAAATTTTAGAACAAGTGATGGTAAAAAACCTTGACACTGGTGAAGCTGTACCACTGAGTGTAGCAGAGGAAAAATTACCAAAATGTACCAACCCTTTGGCTTTACAGATCATGAGATTAACATCTGAGTATTCAAGGTAACGTTACCCTCTAACCCCTAAGAGTGACTAGTATTTAATTTCTGCCTACAATTCACCCCTAGATTCAAACATTCAAGTTATGAGAATAAAGGAGATGATCACCAACTAAAAAAGGTCTTGATTATTAAACAAATTCTCCTTGTCAGCTGCTTTGGAAATGTGATAGGAACAGCATGAGAATATGCAAGTTGATAAGCATGTTCAGGTGTAAAAGGTTAATGACTACAGAGCACTGCTTTGTTTTATAGCCATTTTAAAGATTGCAGGATTACCACTATTGAGGAGGAAGGTTTAAGCATGAGACTAAACATTTTGATGAAAAATACCTTCCCTGATACATGTTGTATCTCTCTACTTTCCCTGTAAATGTCGGGTGCTCTTACTGATATTTATTTACTCATAATTTTTTCAGCAATCCAGACCTTGCAAACCAAGATAATGAGGATGGACTGGAACGAAAGGCTGCAAAGAAGACGTAAGCTATTACCACTGTTTTTCTATTTTCAATTGTTAATCATTTTTAAGTTACTAAGATTCAATTTTAGAGGCCAATGAATAAGTTTATGTTAACTTTATTTCTCATAGGAAAAAACTGAAGAAATTTTTTGGGAAAAAAGCAAAGAAGCCTGATAAACCTGCAAAAGGTTTGTGTGTCATTGTATTGGTTCAGGAATAAGAAGACTTTCTATTGGTGTACTGGTGTAAAAACCCGCATGGGATGTTGGGAGAACACTCGAAAAATCCTCCAACATCCCACAAGGGATATTATATTGGTAAACCTGTGGAAAGTGCAGTCTATTGCTTTTAAGGTATTCTACTCCAGTGCAAGGAGCTTTTGGTCAAATTACAGTTTAGGTCAAACCTATCATAACTTGAACTTGATGAGATGGCAAAAGTAAAGTGACAAAGCCTGTTCCTTTGTTGGATTTAGGATAGTGAGAGGTCTTAACCACTTTTTGTACTGCTAATAAGTACTTATAGGAATTTTTGAAATCTTATCAAAAGATGCTAAAAATAGTTTAAAAAAAAATCATCATCTTTGAAAAAGATGTTAAATATCTGTGTAAAAGTGTTGCCAGTCAATCTGTACCTCATGTTATTATGATTACATTTTAGCTCGCAAAGAAGATAGTTCCTCCAGTGATGAAGAAACTCCTCAGGACTCTCCAGCTCCTCTCATCAAGGTCAGCTGAAGCTTTAAGTATATATGTAGATTACCTGTTAGTTCCATGCTGTTAGTTCCATTATGTAGAGTGTTACCTGTATGAGGGTGGTGGGACATGTGACTGTTAATTCCTATACAAAGCAGGGGTATGGATATGATTCTTGTGTTGTTTGGGCTGATTTTTTGTTTTGTATCTTTGTGTAATGGTGTTCTCCAGGGTCTCTAGTTTCCTCCCATTACAAAAACAAACACTGCAAATTCCAACTGAAGCAGGTTAAGGGTTACCTTATGAGCAACTCACTGCTGAATTCCAAATTAATATTTAGTTTCCAATTTTTCTTTCTCAATTTAAATGTTGCCTCTTGTTAAGTACATTGTACCTGCTTGAGCACCAGTATGGGAAACCCTTGCACCACCTAATACATTTTCCCATGTCACAGCTGGCTTTCTTTTTTATCTACACTTTTCAGGTGTATCTCTCATTGTTATCAAAATGCCCTATGTGTTTATCTTAATTTCACCTAATTTTTCGCAGATAAAATCTGGTCATGGTAAAGGTCCACCTGAGTTTGAAAAGTTGAGAATTTTGCAGGATCTTAGTGGGGAGCATGTGGTATGTAAACTATACTACATTGTAACTTTAAATAAAGAAACATTAGTTCTTAATTTTTCACATTAGGTCTTTTAGTGGGGATTTAAGGTGATTAAGTTAAAAAGACCATGGTGCCCAGTGCTTATAACAGGTATCTGTTGATTGGAGTGGCAGGGAGTTTATCAACTCCTTGTGGATGGGATTCTTTTTCATGGCTGGTACCACTTTGACAGAATTTCTCCTTACTATCAAACAGAGAAGCAATGAGAATTAAGAAAGGTATAAATTAGAGGATAATTTATTGATCCAATACCAAATTCTCCAACTGCATGACAAACAGTAAGGAGGATTACCAATTAGATCTTGAGAGTGAATGGGGTAACCCTTAAGTATTTTTTCACGTTACCCTGTTAGTTTGGGTACCATGTGTGGAGAGAAGCTTCCCAAGAGTAAATTGCCTTTCCCAGTAACACAACATCCCCTTCCTGAACCCAGGATGCTTACCAATTTGTTTGCTGGTTAAATTGAGCAACATTTTATTTATTTGGTTTGTTATTATTCTTATATTTTTTTATTAGGGAGCTGTGTGGACAATTAAGTTTACTCTCTGTGGCAGACTTATGGTAAGCTAATCTCCTTCTCTACCAACATGCTGGAGGTGAGCATGATAGAAATTCTCTTTTACAGGTTAATTCTGTTTTTTCTTTCTCACAATTTGTTCTTATTTTGCACCTGTAGGCTACAGCTGGTCAGGATCATATGGTGGTAGGCAAAAAAAGTTTTATTGGCACTAATTCTCTTGACTCTACCACTCCCAAGATTGAATTTTAGTGTTTAATTCCCCTGTCAACATGTAGCTGCTTGTTATTTCCTTTCGGATCAATAAAATAATTCATGTTGTCAGTTTTTGTGGTATTTCTTGTACTCACTTCACTGGTTGTATAATTGTTTTTGAGAATTCAAACCTTGGTTTTCTTTGTGTTAATGTGTAGAGAGTTTGGGTGCTTAAGGAATCTCAAGGTTATTTTGAAGAAATGAGAGCAAAATATTCAAAAACAGGTAAGATTGCATTACATGGGATAAGCTGAATATTAAAGAATTGTGTAAGTTATCTAAAGTTTTTTTGCTAGCAGATAAAGGAGCACTTGAATGAGTATTACAGTATTATGGTGTGAGTTGCTTTTTCATTTGCACTCTGCTTGGTATTTGTATTTGGAGGTCTCAAATTATTGTGTATAAGGAAATCTTGAACATTAGAGAAATTTTTTCAAACATTGCTTGGATACAGTGTCTATCTTTCAGTTCAATTAAGTGGGGCCCGAATGAGACTTAATTTAAAGAGGATGACATATGACAGCCAATAACCCTGTAACCCTGTTTGTTTTTTGCTAGCTTGTTTGTTTGTTTAATAAATATATTTATTTTTTAAGGTGATAATTCATCATCAGAACAAGAACCAAATTCAGAAGAATACTCACAAATGGAGGAAACTTTAAAAGGAGGTGAAGAAAACACAGTAGATGCTGTAGAGGGGCAAACAGAAACCAGTGAAGCCAGTGAAGTTAGTTCCTCTTTTTCATTTTGAAACCAATTTTTTTTTGTTTCTTTGGTAAACATTGTAGTAAAAAGTAATGACAAATAACTCCCTTGTGAAATTGAAAACTTGTTCTTAAGTAGCCATGTGTGATTGTTTTAGGAGCCTGTTGCAGAAGCCCCTGTTGAAGAGGATCTGGGCCCATATATGAAAACACCTCTGTGTACTTATTGTGGGCACACTGGAGATGTTCTTGATTTGTCTTGGTCAAAGGTATGAAGAAAAAAAGTCATTTTTTTTATTATTTATTGGGGAGCAGACGTGATCACTTGCTTATTTTTACTCATCATTTTGTTAATTTTTCTGACAGAACTACTTTCTTTTGTCCTCCTCAATGGATAAGACTGTAAGGTGAGCACATTAAATTTGATAGATGGAGCCATGTATGGCACCAGTTTTCTCCGTCAGATTACTTGTTACATTTTCATTTCTTTCCTGTGTATTTTTTTAAATAATTATTTTCGGGAGAATTATTCTGTTTACCTGGGGGGGGGGAGAAGGGGGCACAAAATATTTTGAGAGATTTGAAGAACTGAAATGATCAAAGGGCAGATTACAAGATTTTTAATATTTGTTATTGCAGGTTATGGCACATCTCCAGATCTGAATGTCTGTGTTGTTTTCAACATATAGACTTCGTGACAGCTATTTGTTTTCATCCAAGGGTAAGTAACTGCTAACTGCTATGGTGAAAACGAAGAGAGTGTGTGAGGGAAAGGAAGGAAGGGTTTTTTTCCTTTTTTTTTTTTCAAATCTGCCGTCGATGAAACATTTTGATTTGTTATTGAGAGAACAACACCATGAAACACTACTTGCATTTGGCGATTTTTCAGACTTAATACTAGTTTGGAATGATGTTATTTTTTGCTTCAGGATGATCGGTATTTCTTAAGTGGTTCACTCGACGGGAAAATTCGTTTGTGGAACATACCAGATAAGAAGGTAGCATTGTGGAATGAAGTTGAAGGAACTGGTAATTACCTTCATTTCTTCTCTTGATGTCTGTTTTCAACTATTATTTTTTCGATAGCGCTTTTTGGTGGCAATTTGTATTGAATGAAATGTCACCCAAACGAGCAAATTTAGACTGACGAGAAGTCTCTCCTTTTCATTGGGGTCTGTCGCCAAAGAATAAAAAGAAATTAGTGAAAAAAAAAATTGATGTCAGCGCGTCACGTGATGCTCTGGTTGTGCGCACTCCCAGAGTTCCGCGGGCCGCGCGACGGACAACGCCGAAAAGGAGGGACTGCTAAGAAAATTATGTGTTTACTCCGAAATTGCAGCAGCATCTCTATTTATTTACGTTCGTTCCTATTTTTCTTGATAGGGAGTAACCTAATAACTGCTGCAAATTTCTGTTTGAATGGCAAATTTGCCGTTGTTGGTACATACGATGGACGATGTATCTTTTATGAAACAGAGGTAAGGCCCGTATCGCTTTGTATTTAAGAATCTAGGTCTCGAAATCGACGCTTTGTTTCAGGTTTCCCCCGGGAAAATGAATCCGCACTTTGTCTTCGTAACAAAGAGCTAAGCCACAGTCCGCCCAGCCTGAAATGTTTTAGCCTCAAAGTGTCAAGTTTTATCATTATCTCCGTCCTTTGCTATCCTTGGTCATTTTTTTGCTTATTGTTGTTTCTGTTGTGTTTTTGTATCTCACCAAATTTACAATCCGTGTCAATCTTCTCCATCCTAGACGATCCTTTCTTCTTGGTTAGTTTTTGTTTCCTCTTTTGTGTTTTTTCTTATCTTTCCAACTAATATTTTTTTGTTACTTAAATCCTTGTTAATCTTCATCTTAAACCAATCTGGCTCCTTTCCAAATTTTTTGTTGTTTCAGCATCTCTCTTTTCGTTCCTTTTTTAATAACTTTTTCTTCCTTTTTTTTATAACTTTTCCAAGAATTTCAAGTTTGGCATAGTTTTTAACATTATGATAATTCTCGTTTTACAGCGACTCAAATATCATACACAGTGGCAAGTGCGAGCTGCCAGAAACAAGAAGGCTCGCGGCAGAAAGATTAGCGGCATTGAACCAATGCCAGGGGAAGACAAGGTCTTTACAGTTGTATTACTTACGCTTGAGTACATTTTGATTTAGTTTCAAACGTCAGCTGGGATTGCTAAATGGTTTCTCTTCACTTTGCTCTGTGATTGGTTTGGAAAACTCGCGCCGGCCTTTAACAAATCAGATGCAAAACTTAAGCTAAGCGCGACTTGATACTTACCCTTTGGTAAATGTATTTGTATTTAATAATACACTTCCAGTTCTCATTAGGTGCTTGCGATGTAATCATTGTTCTCAGAGGCCATCGTGACAATCTTAAAACAGCGCTCGGTGGGATATGCTTTAACGTCTCGGAAAGTTTTCAAATAAATAAACATGTTTTTTCTTGTTTCCTCTTCAGGTTCTTATCACATCAAATGATTCAAGAATAAGACTTTACGATCTCAAGGACAATTCTCTGAACTGCAAGTACAAAGGTTGTGTAAATACCAGCAGTCAGATCAAGGCGGGTTTCAGGTAACAAACGCAGGAATTTTTTCATGTACGCACAATTGTGTTAATCTTGTTCAGCCGGAAAAAAACTAATGAAAGGAAATACAAACAAAGAAAGCAGCGAAATCAGAGGAACTCTTGTGTAATAAAAATTAAAGAAGAGGAATAATCATTGGTGTAACTGTTCTTCTTATCTGATCACTCAACTGCATTAGCCAATGAAAAAAGCGTAAAACATGTCATAAATGACATTACGAGCCAATAAAAAGAAATTTAAAGCACGTCAGCAGCGTCAAACTTTAAGAAAGGGGGTGGGGGAGGGGAAAGGGATCATGGCTATGTCCAACAGACAATGTTCTGAGATAAGTAAACTGTGTGTATAGACGAATTGAAAAGTCGGTAAAGCTGAACTAAAATATTTCAGGAATATCCGACACAGCTAAATAATTACCTTTCGTGATAATTCACCGTCAAATATTCAGGAGAAACCCAATGAAGAATGTAAGGCATACAGGGAAAACAATTTACTGATTTCTTGTTCTATATTTTGTAGCCATGACGGTCAGTATGTCATTTGCGGCTCAGAGGATCATTTCGTTTACATCTGGAGAACTCAACACGGATTTCCTTCCTCCAGGCGGGACAAAAACGAGTTTTATGAGAGTTTTTCAGGTGAGACAAAACTGTTGAATGTTAAGAATCTTTTCACGTGTAAAATATTCCGCTGATGAAGACCAACTCTTATTCAATAATGAATAAAACGACTTTTTTGAACGTAACGGTTGAGCTGTGAGACCAAGTGTTGGGGATCATAGCTACAAACAATCACAAATTCCAAGGGGCCTCTTCAAGTCTTAAATATTTATGAATTAAAGTTTGAATCAAGAAGAAAAACGTTTTACTTTTTAACGCAAAACCGCGTTGTTGAGCGCATTTTCAGTCAAATTTGCCACCAATGAAGTACTTCATTGACACTGTCTACAAATTGCTAACGAACCATTACATGCAGTATCCGTTGAAACTGTCCACTCTTATCTTTTTTTTCTCCCAAGCCCACGCGGTTGTGGTGACGGCAGCAATGTTTGCCCCAGTTCCCTGGCTAATCGTTCCTCTAGACTCGAGCGTTCATCAAACCACGACAGAGGTACTTGTGACCGCTGACTGGAGCGGTGCCATCAAATTGTTTGTGAACAGATGACACGCAGCTGCCCTTATTTGGAATATCGGTGGAAACTGTTTAGCTGGTCTAGAAAGTCCTCGTCACGTGGTTATTCAAATTCTCTGTCTAACATGATGGTCTACCCAGATTGTGAACGGGAATTACGTGACAACTTTCTTTGCGTATCCTAGACGAACACCAGTGTACAGTGATGTGGTATCATTTGCAGTTTATTCTGCACTCGTTCTCATTTTTTCTATCTGGCACGCGGCACGGTAGTACGTTGGGTGATGGGAAGAGGACTGAGAGAGATGACTTCCATCTCACTTTCTGTGGCTGTCACCCTACCCGTCGTGCCTCGCGCTCCCTTGCTGATCCTGTTGGCCGCCGTTGCTATGAAGACTTAGAAAAACATAGGCTTTATTCGGTCACTTTTCCGTGAAAGCAAACAGATGAAATATTTGAATACAATAATATACTCAAGATCCAGTAAACTCATTCAAGTAATGAATCAATTCTTTTTTGTTTGCTGGACTTGAGCTGTTGCACTACTCGTGCTAAATTCGCCAAGAGAAAGGGATAAGTCCTCCAATATCCAGGCTACTTAAGTCTCAGTCGAAAAATTGTAAACAGACTTGAATATAAAGCAATCGAGTGAAAAGCTCTCTTTTTTAAGCTGTGGAAATTTAAAAATTTTAATTTGCCTATCAATCGACAGAGTTTTTTTTATTTGGTTAAATATTTTTCCAGGTGGATTCTGACAGTCGATTGGGGATGTAAGTTATTTAAAATTTCAATACAGATTCTAAAGCTATGATAATTAATGTTATTATAAACAAAGTGGTCGTAGCCGTAATATTAGACATATCAGATAATTTGTAATTCTATTTAAGAGTGAATTGGCAGGGAATCGAGGTTTATTTGAATTTTGATCTGTTATATTTGTTTTCGTGTACGCGGGGAAATGAACCGTGTATCCCTGTGGTAGTTATCGTGATTAAATGCTCTCACACATGAACGTGCTTTGAGCTGAGTGTCTTCTATGAATTGTATGGTAGTCTTGTGTACAATTTCAAATGTCTTAAATCCATTTCAAGCGGTTAAATTTTGATGATCTGAAAGGTACTGAACCCAATTCCTACAATTACGTACATGAAAAGATCGACGTTTAAATCGTTGACGGTTTTCATATCTTATTTGGGTCGACCCAAGAATTACGTCCTAGTTGTTTAACATGGGAGGGTCGACTGGAAAACGACTCAACTTCAAACGTCCAACTTTTTATGTCCTGAAGATAGCCCATGAATAGGTATAATTTATTTTTGTTCTTCAAAGTTCCTTCGTCTTATTAAAGAGTATGTTAAACTGATTAAATTCGTCAACTTTCATTATTGGGTCCACTCAATGGTAAATTTGAGATCGATTTATGAAAATTTTGGCGTTTGATCTAACTGGTGTAACTGGCATACAAAAAGGTGTTACTGACTTGTCTAACTAAGGTCGTGTTCTTAACACGAGAATCTCCTGCAACTCGCGTTTTCCTACCGCGTCGTGAAATCGACTGGGTACAGGTCATCTTACTTGTGAGCAGTGGTTTCACAGTCATCCCAAGACGGTCATAAGAACACGCTGGTGACCCTGATGTGTGATTGTTATTCAGTGATCTAATTGACAGCAAGGCGTTTTCAACTGTTTTAGCGGGAGCGAATGCCTGTTAATATCTGCATACTATGGAGGTAGGCTATGCACAGCAATGAAGCCTTACGAAATTGCCATTTTCTTTTGCCTATCTGTTGCATGTCTTGCATTAAGAAGTCGCGATGGTCCTAACCGGGCCTGGTTTGAGCACTAGTACCGTCATTTGTTTCGTCTTCTCCAAGACAATTTGGTCTCGACAGAGAAACAGGAATGAACTATTGACCATAACTTGTCAAGACGTACCTACCGTAACATATTGCGCTTGAAATTCGTTCATAACCCAGCTACGGCTTAAAAGCATGCAAAAAAAAAGTTAAATCCCAAATGCACCAGATGAGAGCAATGATCCTAATGCGTTATATTTTCAGAAGCGTATTTCTCTAAGTAATAGTTACTCCATGGTGCTGAGAGTTCCTTCATGTGCACTGCGCTAGTAACACTCGCCCTCAGTTTGGGGTTAAACACTCCTTTTTCGATATCAACGTCTGAAATACAAACATAACATCAATCTGTTAGTTCTCCTTGGGAAACGGCGTTTTAATTGGGCAAGTTTTCGATGTGACGCGGCCGCAGGTGTTGCTGGCCAGTGTATTCGCATAATGGTAAATTTTTGCCCATGAGATATTGGCCTGGAGAAGAATGGGGAGGATATGAAGGGGCTCTGGCAACCGTACCGTCATTTGGGTGAATATAGAACAAAAGTGACATGATGATAACAAGTACCACTGATTCAACAAAAACGACGACAACAACAACAGAAGAGGTCAGTTAAGTAAGTAGCAAATTCCGTTGTACTTGGGAAAATTTTCCGCATGTTCGCAAGCCATCGCTAAACTGAAAGCGAAAACTTTCTAACATCAGCATTCTTCTTTGGCCTGTCATTTCTTGTCCAGGAGAAACCAGCTACCTCTTTTATAACAATTGCTTTAGATGGATTTTACTTTTGAAATACGCTTTATATGAAAAATTGAGGCTCCTTACTTGAACATCTCCTGATATGTATTCGTATTTTTATGGAAAAAATCTCTATCAGAAGAAAATAAAATGCAAAAATAATGTGGAAAGATACAGACCATCTGGTGTCGTTCTCTTCTTTATGCAAGTATTCCTCAGGGAACCAATCAGCAGGAAGGTGACAAGAATACCAGCAAAGGCCAGTAAAATGAAGTGGAAGGGTTCCATTCCGTCCTTGGATGACCTTTGCTTCATATCATATCGGTATTTTCCATGGCTGTACTTTTCAAAACAGGAAAACTGAGAAGAAAAGAATACACCAAGGTATCTGAATTATCGATCTTCAGAACTTCTACGTCCAACCTAATTTATAAATTATACTTCTTCACAGCGAGAAGCAGCTATGGGTATGGCATCTCAACGTGAACTCAAATTTCAGTTGACAGAAGTTTATTATTCTGAATTCGTTAAGTCTCCCTTTCTACCTGAAAATTGATTGTTACAAATCGAAAATTCGCAGTAAATAAACGGGCCTGGGATGGAACTCAGACCCTCGGTCCACAGTACCTCGCACCAAAAATATCAGGTTATGGCGTCTCTAAACTGAATCAGCTTAAATGAATTCCTTGAAGTTAGAGATTAAATTTTTGGCGTCTAAGTTAATAAAGAACGGCTATTTGAAACAACAGAGGTTCAGTTTTCTCTCCGCTTAGCGAAGAATTTCTTACTCGGTCGGCTTGGATTCTAACGCCGAACATATCAAGAGTACCTGATGCATTCATCCCCTTTTTACAATACAAGTTTTTGTTCTTCTGATCCCTAACTGAACAGGATAAATATTAATACGGATTACATGATGGGTTAGCTTTATTAGCGGCCTGTGTTGATGGACATAGAAAATCGCGGGGCAATGGGAAGACCTCTCGACTGCAGGTGAATTTAATCACCCTAGAAATGAGATTCCCGGTAATCAAGTCGATCATGACGATTTACATGAATCTTCATCCTCGCATTAATGGATACGCCAAGCAATTTTAGCCTATCACCACGATCGAAACATAAAATACTTAGCGTATTTCAGTTGTTTACAAACCTGCCAATCCTCGTCTTCATAGTCGCAGCCGTAATCATCCATCTGTCCTGTTGCCCTTTCTCCGTACATCCATGCCTTAGCTCGCCATTGTAAACAATTTTCAATATCTTCGTATCCCTTTTTTGCCGCAAAACCCACCCTGACGCTCAAATATTCTATCGATTCGTCGACTATCGTCAAACGAGAAAATTGTTTTTTCATTTCTTTGGTACCACAGTCGAACAGCCATATTTTATCCACACTACCATCCATCAAGCCGTTTAGGAGTTCGCGTTCTGTGGGATATTCTGTTTTGAAATCAGTCGGAATGAAAGAAGTATTTTTGTTGATATAAAACATACCCTTATCATTAAATTACCTTACATCTGATAATTGCTAGTACCAGTCCTCTTATCACGTGCCATCCCGTTAGCGGGGATGACCCGGCGAATCCCTCCAGCATATGTACAACGATGTTTGCAACCCCCCATCCCCTCCCACCCCCTTATGGATAAAGAAGAAGAAGCTACATTTGTCCCTCCCCTTGGGGGTAAAATTAATATCCTTGGTGTCTGCTTTGCTTGGGTTCCGTCTGATTCAGTACTTCTCAAATCGTTTGTAGGACTTAAGGTTTCTGATCTACATTGTTTGTTGCTATAATTTTGTGATTGAGAGAAATAGCTAAGGACGCATCTCAAAATAAAATGAATCTCACAGACTTAAAGTACCTGATCCAAGGATTGACCTAGGAATGATCATTATTAAGAGACCTTTAATGAGCTGTCCGCTGAGCTTACGCAATGCAATAAGCAGCGCTTAAAGGGAGGTGGTAAAGGAGATTCTTACTGTATTAAGCAGCAGTGGAGTGCCACTAGGCCAATCCAAAAACGGCAACAATAACAACATAAACAAAGAAACACAAGAAAAAAAATGGAGTTTTGAAGTCAACGCACCTGTGATGTTGGTTCCATGGTTGTATTTCTCAAAGAGTTTTCTACTTCCCAAGGGAATACCAACCTGCGACGAATTCCATCAATACACAACTGTTACTCATAGCTAATCTCGTAACCAGATCCTACTGTTTAATTTAACTGAAATGTATGTTGGTTGTGAAAGGTCTGGTTACGAGACTAATTCATAACATCACTTTCCTAGCGCTTGGTGTTTCTAACCAAGGTTCAAAGACTGATGTGATATGCACCATTGAGTATCGGTAAATATACTATCAGGGGTTGAGAGCCCGGAGGGGGGATGAAGAAGAAGTTTAAGAGTTTCACCTCTATATTTCAAGTCGGTTAGACAAGATGGAAAAACACAAAAGAGTTGATAACAAAATAACTAGCAAAACGAATAGTGATAATAATGACAATTAGACTTGAAAGAACAACAACACCCATAATGGCGAATTATATCGATCGTAAAATGGAATGTAAAATGTGCTACAAATTTTCTTTGCCAGTCTGAGGACGAAATCACAGACGTATGGAAGTCGATTGCTATAGGCCATGAATGTTCTTTCGTTAGCGAATGAGATTCCAAAATCTCTCATGACGCACGAAATTTGAATGTCATGAAAAAAATTATCAAACGCTGTTTCATACCTTAGATCCAAACACATCATTAAGGGGACGAAGTCCATCAGCAGTGATGGACGAGGAGATTTGGGCTGTAATGGTTGACATCAACAGCATTCCGATGATCATCCACAATGAAGCATACATCCGAGCCAGCGATGATTTAGGAGCTTTGTCACCATAGCTACCATGTCAGTGATGAAAAAAAAAATACAAACAGAGTGTTATTTTTCATACACATTATTTATGTTAAAATAACTAGACTATGCGCACTTAATTTCAATCCGTGATAGTTTACTCGGGCCTCGCCATCATCGACCATCACATTAAAGAAATGTCGAGCTCACACACCTGTACATGTAATAATCAATTTGTTAATTATAAAATGTTGTCATGATAAGTCGGCTACATTGTATGGCAAGAGAGAGTATCATGCAAAATTAAAGTTTGCAGTCTCTTACCCGACTGTTGTCATGGTAACCACTGCCCACCACAATCCGTCTTGAACACCTCTCCAAAACGAGTCTGGAAAATGACCTGAATTTGCTCTGTGATCCTGTAAAAAGGTTAATTGTTTTTGAAACTAAAGAACAGTGACAACTGTTATGCGCAGGTGGCGACAACTATCGAAATACGCTCTCAAAGGACACGCGATACTTATTTAAGTCTTCTTTTACGAACTGAACAAATTCCTGTTTCAAATTGATGAATCTGAGAAATAAGTGAGCAACGCATGAAAGTAATGCAGTACAGAGTATGAACAACCTCCAGTGAGCCGATGAAATCTCCGCAGAAATTTTATGCATTACACGAGGTTTGAATATAAATATGTCGATATTCTGTTGATAATGTCGTCAGTTTTGGTCTGTGTTCCAAAACTGTTTTTGAAGTGAGGCGACAGGTGCCGTAAAGAATTTGTATAGGATATGATGATTAACTCATGAAGCAATTTTTTGTTTTTTTTTGCTTCGTTTGGACTATTTAGATTAAGTCGCTATTTTCCTATTTACTGATACCAGTCGTTTCGAGAAATGGGAAACTTGCCTGAAAAACTTTTTTCGTACATATCAATTGACTTTTATTTCGTCGCTGCCACTTTTATGGTACATTTCTTAGGTTTCCTCCGTAATGATTCCGGAGATGAAGATCTTTGAACAAAGCTTGAATTTAACAACTGTCAGTGACATGACGCATCCTTCAAACTTTCCAGTTTGAAGCAAAGACAGTTAACACATTCAAATAGAAACTAAAAAAAAAAAAAAAATGATATAAAAACCATTCGATTAGCTTTTGTTCATGTGGATTACAATTTCTCTTTCAACTCCCTGAAATATTTTACCACTGTCAGTGCAATCATAAAGTTTCAGACGGAAAGGTATACTTATCATTGTCAGTATCAGAAAAAAGAAAAAAAAACCATCCTTAATATCCCCATGAATGTTGAGTCGATTCAACACCAACCTTTGCCATTCGTATAATTCAGACGATCAACTTTTGTAAGGATACAAAAAGACTTCGGAATACCTACCAAAAACCAAATGACAATTCCTGACAGCATGGCAGCTATTATGCAAAGAACAAGAAGTTCCCACATTTGTGTAAATGCGTGAACGATTTGTCGGCCGGTGGTAAACGATTCCTCTTTGATGACCAATACAGAGGAGAACTCCCTTTCTAAGAGTGTAGCATTTGAAGAGCAAGAAAAGAGTGGAAATGTTACATTTACAATTGGACCGTTACAACCAGTGGTTTCATTGACTTTTGAATAATTTGAAAGGCAGTCTTCTATGATCTCATTCACTGTGTCGTTCCACTCAGACTGCTTATGTCTCGCAAAAAAATCCTCAGTCCAGTTGAAGCTCACACAACCATCGATTGAAGCATTTTGATCCTTCGATGGATGAGCCACTTTGACCTGTGTGATGATTAAAACGAAGAGAAAACACTTGCACGACATTTTGGTGCAGGAGACAGCTCGCACGTTCTGTTGGTTCTTGGAGGCAGTAATATTTACGAACCAGTTGAGGCAAAGCATTTATCAATAGCACCTTGTCATGTCACCGACAGATGTTTCAAGGAAACTTTTTTTAATTGCAGGCACTCAAAGAATCGTGGCGGGAAACCTTCAGAATGAGAAACTTTCGGATGAATATGACAATATGGTAACAAAATATTAATATTGTGTCAGAAACTCCCGGGGGGGCATTTCCATATCATAGTGGGGCATTTCCATTTTAGGTCTTGATAATGAGTGTCTTTTATGAATTGTATTGTAGTCGTATGTACAACTTCAAATGTCTTAAACCCATTTCAAGCGGTAAAATGTTAATGATCTGAAAGGTACTGAACCCAATCCCTTCTATTACTCACATGAAAAGATCGACATTTAAATCTTTGACGGTTTTCATGTCTTATTTGGGTCGACCCAAGAATTACGTCAGAGTTGTTTAACATGGGAAAGTCGACTGGAAAATGACTTAACTTCAAACTTCCAACTTTTTATGTTCTGAAGATAACCCATGAATAGGTATAATTTATTTTTTTCTTTCGTCCTATTAAAGTGTACGTTAAACTGTTTAAATTTTTCAACCTTCATTATTGGGTCGACTCAATGAACTATTTCAGTTCTATACAGGAAACATTTGGCCTTCGATCTTTTAGTTTTGAATTAATCAATGAACTTTATTTATCGAAGGTGCATATAACAGAGTGTACTAGTACACTAATAGCTCTCAACAAATATTGTATTAAAAAACATCTTTAAAACAGATTTAAGCTTTAAATTGTGAATTATTGTCAAACAAAGAGTTGTAATTGACTCGTCCAACTGAGGTCGTGTTCTTAACGCGCAAGTTACATTTAAGTTCGTTCGCGCTTTAGCCACGACTTACTTTTAAAGCGTACAAAAAGAAAAAAATCTGCATTTCACCAGAGGGAACAAAGATTCTAATTGGTAATATTTTCAATAGTGTTCTGCTCTGTTTCATAGTGAAGTATCCGTGTTGAGAGTTCTCTCATAGGCACTGCGTCAGTAATACTCGCTCTCAGTTTGGTGTGAGACACTCCTTTCTCAATATCAACATCTGTAATAGAAATACAACAACGATCTGTCAGTTCTACTTGGGACTAGCGTTTAAATTGGGTGAGTTGAGGACGTCACACGCCCGCAGTTGTTGCTGGTCAATGTATTCGCATAATGGTAAATTTTGGCCCCGTCAGGGGAATTTTAATCACCACTGATGCATATTCAGACAACAGTCCTTCTCAAGTACAGGCAGCCGATGGAGTAAGCAGAAAATTGCAGCGAAATATTGGAAATTTTTGTGAACCTGAGAAACTTCTCTGTGTTTGTTAGCAAGCCATCAGTAAACTGAACGCGCAAATACAAATCATCAGCAGTATTCCTTGTCCTGTCGTTGTTTTGTCGAGAAATCCAGAAACCTATCGTATGAAAATAGCTTTATATCTGTGGATTACTGTTGAAATAAGCTCTCAATAAAAATGTTCAGTCCCTTAATTTGAACATCTTTTGCTACGGTATTCCTTTTAGTATGGGGAAACCTCGGCTATAAGAATCTCAACAGAAAAAGAAATAATGTGGACTGGTACAGACCATCTGTTGTCGGTCTCCCCTTCCTGCACGCATTCCTCAGGGAACCAGTCAACAGGAAGATGACGAAAAGGCCAGCAGAGCTCATCAAAATGAAGTGGTGGGTTTTCACTCGGTCATCGGATGAGCCTTGTTTCATGTCATGTCGGTATTTTCCATGGCTGTACTCTTTAAAACAGGACAGCTGAAAAATGTACAGATATACCTAACTGATTGATCCAAATCGTACCTGATTTCAAAATTGTACGAGACAGCAAACCTCTTGCTACTCATCGGGAACACTATGTTCACTGCAGCTGACCCCACCCCTCTGCCCTTATTCGTCGATCAATTCCTTGAAATTAGAGATGAAATTTTCGGCGTATAACTTAAAAAGAATGCCTATTTGAAATTTGATCAGCTCAGCTTCCTCAACGCTCGCCCGAGAATTTTTATATGGGACCCGCTTGGATTTAAGACGTCGTCCGTGCCAAAAGTTTTTCATGCGAAGCATCTAATGCATGCATTTTTTTTTTCGGTACAATGTTGGTCTTCTGTCCTTAAACTGAACTGAGTATACATACCGATAGGGACTATTTGATTGGTTAGCTTTATTGGGGATTTGCATCGATGAACGTAGCAAATTGCGTTGTAAAAGAAAGACTGTGCCAATGCACGGGGGAAGGAGGGATTACTTCCCAGCTATAGGGTAATGAGGATGTGTCAGTGGATGAGGTGTCATTTTTATGGCTGATATGACTACATGGGTTTGTATTGTGACGAGAGTTACTAGAATGGGGTCGCATGTTTTCGGGATTCTTGGGGTAAGAAAATTCTGCTAAGTAGGGATTTAAAATGGGAAGACTCATGGCTAAAAAACTGTTACCGTATTACTAAAACTGAGTGAGGAGGGGCCCATAATTGGCCGAAAAAAATAGATTACATTGAGGTGGGGGTTCCGAGAAGCTAGTTATAGATACCCAGCAATATTTGACCCAAGTACCCCTTTAACTCCCACCAGGTACAATTGCCTGTGAATTTAATCACTCGAATTTCTGACAGGTTGGAAATCGAGTTCCTTAACCAAGTCCATCGTGGCGATCGACGAGATTCTCGATTCCTACTCTGATAGATATGCCAAGCCATTTGAGCAGATCTCCGCTATCGAAATATAAAATCACGTAGCGTATTTCAATTGTTTTCAAACCTCCCAATCCTCGTATTCATCGTCAGGGTCGCCATCGGCATTCGTCTGTTCTGTTGAACATTCCTCGTTCGTCCAATCTTGCAAACATTCTTCAAGGTTTTCGTTTCCTTCTTCCACCGCAAAACCCACTCTGATGCTCAAATTGAATTCCGATGCGTCAACTATTGTCAAATGAGGAGACTGCCTTTCCATTTCCACAGTGCCACAGTCGAACAGCAATATTGCATCTACACTACCATCAATCAAGCCATTTAGGAGTTCGCGTTCTGTGCGGTATTCTGCAAGAAATTCAAACAGAGTAAAAATGTATATCCTTGCTGATATCAAATGTACTCAAATAGTTAAATTATTTATTGGTAGTTGCTGGTTTTGTGCCTCTAATCAGCAGCCTTCCTAAGGGAAGAATAACCTCGGGAAGCCCCCGAGGATTTGCGCAACGATCTTTATAAATCCCCTCCCCCCCAACACGCACACCATGGAAAATGTTTCTCTGCTGTACGCCGAAAAACTATAATTGCAATTATCACGAACCTCTCGAATCCTATTGAGGATTAAGGCTTCTAATAAACATTGCTTGCTGGTAGTATGTGCAAATGGGGAAAAATAGATATGACTCATATCCAGAATAAACTAGATTACGCACGCTAAATGTCCTAAGTCTTAGGAGTACTCATCATTGAGAGATCCTAGAGAGTGTCTTTTGAGGGTGCGTAATACGGTGACTAGTTTTGAAGAGTAATAGGGCTGAGTCACAGAAAACAAAAAACCGTTCTTGGGCCGCGCTCAGAGGGGGATAGTGCTTTTATTGTGTCGCTTAGCCGCATGGCACCTCGTAAACAATCGACAAGCAACAGCGATGAACATTTAAACAATGAAAGAATCTCAGGGGGAAAAAAGAGTGTTTAAGTTAAAACACCTTTCATATTGAATCCATGGTTTTCTTTCTCGAGGGGCTTTTTGCTTCCCAAGGGAACACCGACCTGTAACAAATTAAGTCAAGACGTATTAGCTATTCACGGCATCAAATGGTCAATTTTACAGTTGCGAGCTTGGTTGCCAAGCCTTTGAACAGGAGTAAAGCTAAGGGTGACCTTGTTATGCTACAAACGTTGTTGCTTTTCAAATGTAAATTTCTTTATTATCATACTAACCAGATACTGATCTCTATCACAACAAGGTCACCACCTTCAGCCTCACTCCAAATCAAAGCTTGGCGACTAAGTACAAATAACTGTGAAATGGGCTATTGCAAGCAATTCCATTTTCTAATTGAGGCTTTGGAGATTGATACAATAGGCGCGATTTAAACATTTGGTTTGGAGCAGACGAGAATTTACCAGACCTTCATAGCTTTATTTTTGAGTCTGCTGACAGTTCGGCAAGATATAAAAACAAGAGAGAAGTGATAGTAATCCAAGAAGGAACATCGATGCAAGGACCTAGAGGATTAAAACAGATCGAAAATGAAAGACTTGAATACTAATGAAGGCAATGTCTAAGGATGTATAAACTATGACGTAGTTCCCTTCGTAAATTCTATGAAATATGAAATTTCGACACTGAACTAATGAGGCAAGTAAAATACGAAGAATTTCTTCTAAATTCAACTTCGTATTCTGAATTGGACAATTGTGACCATTAAGCTTGAAAATAACACAGGCAGTCGCAAACCAGATCGATCATGAAATAGAACAAGAGATGTTCTCCAAATTTCTGTCACGACAAGAGGAAGTTAAAAACAATTGAGAATTAAGCTCCATAGGCAATAAATGTTCTTCATTCAAATGTTGTTTCATACCTTAGATCCAAACACATCATTAAGGGGTCGAAGTCCATCAGCAGTGATGGACGAGGAAATCTGGGCTGTAATGGTTGACATCAACAGAATTCCGATGATCATCCACAGTGAAGCATACACCCGAGCCAGCGATGATTTAGGAGCTTTGTCGCCATAGCTACCATGTCAGTGATAAAAAATACAAATGACTTAAGCGGATAAGTTTCTAAAGAAACTGTAGTGCTGCGTCGGTGGGAGAGTATAACAGGGTGATTTGGTATTATCAACTGAATTGATTACGTAAATTGGCCACCGTAAATAGTTTAAAGCTAACGTCTAGCCTTTGAACTCTTTACGATGACAAATTTACATTATCAACTCAGTCAGTGATAATACCAAATTATCCTGATAAAAAATACAAACTTAAAGTATTGTTAAAGAGACAGTAACCGAACTCGCGTGGCGCGCGGGCTCAGAGATATCTTCAATTTGTAGGCTTGTAAGCAAAGTGACGTTAACAATTATCGCGTGCGCGAGTTTAGTTCTTTGAGAGCCGTCTTTTTGAGGACTTTTTACGACGTTTTATTATTAGCTGTATTACTGTGTTGAGGTTTTTTTGGCAGATTAAACGTGGATCTTTTTCCCGAAGGGTTTTCCGTAATTGCATAAGAACAATTAACATTATAAGGCTTTATCGTGATCACATCACTTGGTTGACGGTCAATTCGTCAAAAAGGGACTCAAATCGCCATAGGGACTCGGAGGTGGAACTTTAACCGTGAAATGAAATAAAACATGTTGATATTACGTTTCGTGATCAGTTTGTGAACAGCCAAACCAGGGGTGGCGATTTGACTCTCAGTGATGGGGAGTTTGATGTGGTTGCTAATTGACCGGATACCCGTCACTTTTGTGGTCGTGTGGAAACTGGGTATGAGTTTAATTGGCTGTGTTAGATGACAAGACAGATTATTATTTAGCTTGCAGTTTCTAACCCCACTGTTGTCATAGTAACCACTGCCCACCACCATCCGTCTTGAACGCCTCTCCAAAACGAGTCTGGAAAATGACCTGCATTTGCTCTGTGATCCTGTGGCGGAAAGAATATTTAGTTGTTAAAAGTAAAGAACACTTACATTTTCTATGTGCAAATAGCAACGCAGGAGATCCAAATACGCTTTCGCAGGACAAACGATACTCGTGTCAGTCTTCTTTTTCGAAAGAAAAAAACCGTATCAAGTTATTCACACTGAAAAATGAGTAACCAACGTATCAAAATCGTGCGTTATAAAGCATTAAACACATTCATGCTAGACGATGAGATCTCAGAAATTTTCCTTCAGGAGGTTTGAATATTAAAGAGGAGAGAAACATCTGCTGATGATATAGCCATTTTTGGTCTGAGTTCCAAGATTGTTTTTTAAGTGAGGTGTCAGATGTCTTAAGAAGTATTAAAAGATATGATAATTAACTCATAGTCATGTTGATTTGTCTCCAATGTTTACTTTAATGTCGGAAGCATTTTTTTAAAAAAAATTTTGCTTGGTTTTAGATCATTAACTATCAATCTAACCTTTTCTCGATGCAGTCGTATGAGTCGTCTGTTTTCTACTTTACACCGTTAGGTTTGAGAAATGTCAATACCAGTTTGAAAACGTTGACCTTTTTTGCATACTCATATTTTGACTTATTCGTACTCATCTTTTGACTTCATCTTCATCATTTGACTTATAACCAATTCTCCATCATTTTAATTCTTCATCTGAGTTTAGCTTTTCATAGATTTGGAAATGACTTGAGAAAATCCGTGAACAGAGTTTGGATCAAAATGAAAATTTTAGTCTTGGGCAAAAGTAATTAACGTATTCAGAAATAACTTTAGAAAACCGATGTAAAATCCATTCGGTTACTTCTTATTCATGTGGATCAATCACAATTTGGCGAACAGCTCACTGAAATATTAAAAGTTTAAGACCAAACGGCAAAAAATGATTATCAGAGGGTGGCAATGGGTGATAGTTTTTACAATTAACGGTTAAATTTTCCCTTTTTTACGGCAACAGGCTAACGCAAAATGACACATTCTAGAAAGGCAAAATGTTTACGGTTAATTTTTGTTACGACTAACGGTTACAATTTGTCAATTTTTACGTCTAATTAGCCGTTTCACATCTAACGATTACCCCCATTAAGAACCTGTTATCAATATTTTCTTGCATATTACAAAGAACGTATATTATTATCACAAAAAGAAAAATTATGCGGATAAAGAATTCTCGATTTTTTTATTGTCGATTTAGCACTAACCTGCGTCACATACATCATTTGAATGATCAACTTTTCTAATGGGATAAAGTGAGAAAAAAGAGACTTCTGAATACCTACCAAGAACCAGATGATGATTCCTGACAGCATGGCTCCTGTTATGCAAATAACAACGAGTTCCCATATTTGTTTAAATGCATGAAGAATTTGACGGCCAATGGAAGACGATTCTTCTTTGATGGCCACTAAAGGAAAGAACTCTGTCTCTAAAGTTGTAACATTTGAAGGCCAAGAAAAGAGTGGAAATGTTACGTTTACAATTGGGCCGTTACAACAAGTTGTGTCATTGACCTTTGAATAATCTGAAAGGCAGTCTTGTAGGATATCTTTGACTGTGTAGTTCCACTCAGATTGCCGACGTCTCGCAAAAAAATCCTCAATCCAGTTGAACCTCACACAACCATCGATAGAAGCATTTTGGTCCTTCGACGGATGAGCCACTTGGACATGTGAGATGATTAAAAAGAAGAAAAAACACTTGCACGACATTTTGGCGCAGGAGATAGCCTGCACGTTCTGTTGATTCCCGGAGGCTGCAATTTTTAAGGACCAGTTGACGCCAAGCATTTATTGATAGAACCTTGTCATGTCACCAACAGATGTTCCAATGAAACTGTTCTTGCTCTGACCTAATTGCACCGTGCAATTAGGTCAGAGCAAAAACAGTACGGCGTACTCAAAGAATCGTGGCGGGAAAACTTCTGAATGCCGGAGAAGCTTTTAAATAAATACGATCATATGGCATCAAAATATCAATGAACTCAACTTTTGTTAGGTGTTCTTGGTGTATTCCAAGGAGGAATTTCCATATTGGATCTTCATGAGTATGTGCCTGTATTAACCTTTAGCCCTCGTTTCCAGGTTCTCTTTTCTTCCCGCCACCTGAGGCAAGGGAAAAAGAGGGAGAGTCTCTCGGTGTTGGTCGCATGTCTCTCCAGGGGAGGGGTGGGAAGAAGGAAGGCCCTGGGAACGAGAGTATAACAAGTTATCTTGTTGTTCTGGAGGCCTTAAATAGGGTGTGAACATTGGTTGCGATTGTATCTAGCGGTAGTCTGCTCTTTTTTCGGCTTCAGAAGCAGAGGGAGGCAATTTGTCTGTGCATACTCTGTAAATCTTTGCTTGATACGAGAAACTGCTGGTATAGACCTACGTCGGAAAATACGTTGGAAAAAATAGTAGATCGAGTATTTGAGAGAAACTTTCTTGAAATGTTTCCCTCTGTAACTTAGATGGAAGCGTCAGAGTCTTAAAATTGTCGTGTGGTGTGTGTAAGGAAGTGATTTTCAGAAAGCAAAAGATTATCTAATCGACTTCGAGTCTTTGTTTTATGATTGTTTTGAGCGATCGATGGAGATGTTATTTGTGAAGGATGCAAGAGGCCTGTCGAAGAGCACAAACGTAGTGGATAGTATACTTTTATTGTGTCATTGCTATCTCAAGTTATCGTTGATTATTTGAAGTACTCATTTTCCTGTGAGCGTTTTTTATTTTAGCGAAAAATTAAAGTTTACAGAAGTCTATGTTTTGTTTCAAAAAGTTTTTTTGACATGAAACTCAACCGGCGGGGCCGATTACCGAAACAAAGAAGGTCAATGTCGAGTAAAGACAAGTAAGACAACGCTGGTACAAGAATTCGTTACATCAAAGGAGAGCTTGTTAGAAATGTAGGAATAATTATGGATTTTATTGGAGTAAGGAAAACTCTTTTCAATCACTAGTCTCAGAAATATCATCAGATATGATCAATGATGTGGGGAAATTGTAATTTAAAACAAGTGCTAGTTTGGGCTTCCAGTTGTAATATGAATATTTAAATAAATCAATTATTTCCTATCAAAAATCATATTCATTTATCATTTCAACTGCACATCAAAATCTTATACGCTCTTTGCAACCTTATTCTCCAACCTATTAAATCACAAGTTTTGTGACAATCTGATGGTCTGAAAATACTCTTATTACAAGCCAAACAACAAAGAACCAGTAGGGCTGATATTAACAGTGAGAGATGAAAAACAAAACATTTCCAAAAGCCTTTTTTTTCCTAGGAACAAGACTAAATGAGATCAGATCAAACTAATGTAGAGAGATTTATTTATCTCTATATGAAAATAGATTTACACCTAACAGATTTCAGAGAAATGAGACTTGAGTTAAAAGGGGACTTTAACATTGCGTATTATGCAGTAATGGGCACCGACTTGGATGCCTATTTGAGGAAATTCATAGTTTTTTTAAGCCAGGCATTTGGCTGTGCCAATTTTATGGCAGACAATTAATTAAATCATACATCAGTCACTTAGGACGTTTTATAGCTCTCATCAGATCAAACATCTCACGATCGTTTCCACACACAACTTTGTGATTCTCGAAAGTAAAACATCAACGTCTTAAGACAAACCTTCAAAGTTTGTTGTCTCATGTGCACATCTTGATCTTCAGTAAATCAAATCTCATACTTCAAGTTTTCGAGCTTCTTTCGCGTTCTGTTTGCCCTTTGATCACTAAAATATCCTCATCCGAAGAGTCAGCAAACACCACGAGTATCCAAAGAGTTAGAAATGTTAGTAAACTTGTCATACTCTTTCATTCTTCTCCAGAAAATATTACAAAAAGGTGTAGATCACCCAGTTGAAAACCCGTGTAAGAACGCTGAAATATCAAAATGGTACCGAACGCGCCGAACAAATTCCATTGTCACGTTTGCAGGAAAATGCCCCTATGCTGCTATGCATAACTTTAGTTCCACTTGAGAAGTAACGATTATCATAACTTTGGTCTCGAGATCATGTTGTTGTGGTGAGCTGTCTCCCTAGTCTATTTCTGGTTCTAACGCTTTCACTTTTTCCTCCAGCACCTCATAGGGTACATTACTCTTTCCTCCAAAATGGTCACCAAAAGTTTTGCCTACCGATTCATTTCCGTTTTAGTTTCATCTCCGGTTTAACGTTACGTTGTGTGTCACGTGACAATCTTTAGGAGATTGCACGTGCTTTGGAGAGAGTTTTGCCTTCATGTAGCTGTTTTGGTTTGCAAAACAGTTTTTTAACGTGATCGTGATCGTGATTGTAATGTGATTGTTATTACGATTTCCCTTTTTTTGTACGTTATCTTGTAACGCTATACACGGATTACAAGCGAAAGCTACGAAAGTTAAAAGTGATAAGCAGAAAGAAAGTTTATACACTATCGACAAAGAAAAACCCTTTGAAAGTAAGCCGTTTGAACGCCATTTTAGCGGTAAGTTAAAATATTTTCGCCTATTTAATAATCCCTCCAAAAAGATGCACAGAGGAATCTGCAAGGAAAAAACAGGGAGAAAGAGATGGAAATTGTCACTGGAATGCATGCAGTGGCAGTGAACTAGTAAACGACAGTTAGTCTCCTGCTCGGGTTCAACTGAGAGACTCTTCAGCGTCGCGTACACAACGTTCCTGTGTTCTGGTATAAATCAAGCGAACCGTACATTGCATGTAAGGTAATCACATAAACTTTGATAGATTAAATCCCAAATGCACCAGATGAGAGCAATGATCTTAATGCGTTGTATTATCAGGAATGTACTTCTCTAAGTAATAGTTAACCGATGGTGTCGAGAGTTCCTTCATGCGCACTGCGCAAGTGACACTCGCCCTTAGTTTGGGGTTAAACACTCCTTTTTCGATATCAACGTCTGAAATACAAACATAACATCAATTTGTTAGTTCTCCTTGGGAAACGGTGTTTTAATTCGGCAAGTTTTCGATGTGACGCGGCCGCAGGTGTTGCTGGCCAGTGTATTCCCTTAATGGTAAATTTTGGCCCATGAGATAGTGGCCTGGAGAAGAATGGGGAGGATATGAAGGGGTTCTGGCAACCGTACCGTCATTTGGGTGAATATAGAACAAAAGTGACATGATGGTAACAAGTACCACTGATTCAACAAAAACGACAACAACAACAGAGGAGGTCAGTTAAGTAAGTAGCAAATTCCGTTGTACTTGGGAAAATTTTTCGCATGTTCGCAAGCCATCACTAAACTGAAAGCGAAAACTTTATACAATCAGCATTCTTCTTTGACCTGTCATTTCTTGTCCAGGAGAAACCAGCTACCTCTTTTATAACAATTGCTATAGATGGATTATTTTTGAAATACGCTTTATATGAAAAATTGAGGCTCCTTACTTGAACATCTCTTGATATGTATTCGTATTTTTATGGAAAAATCTCTATTAGAAGAAAATAAAATGCAAAAATAAAGTGGATAAGATACAGACCATCTGGTGTCGTTCTCTTCTTTATGCAAGTATTCCTCAGGGAACCAATCAACAGGAAGGTGACAAGAATACCAGCAAAGGCCAGTAAAATGTAGTGGAAGGGTTCCACTCCGTCCTTGGATGACCTTTGCTTCATATCATATCGGTATTTTCCATGGCTGTACTTTTCAAAACAGGAAAACTGAGAAGAAAAAAATACACAAAGGTATCTGAATTATCGATCTTCAGAATTTCTACGTCTAACATAATTTATATTATACTTCTTCACAGCGAGATGCAGCTATGAGTATGGCATCTCAACGTGAACTCAATTTCAGTTGACAGAAGTTTATTATTCTGAATTCGTTAAGTCTCCCTTTCTACCTGAAAATTGATTGTTACAAATCGAAAATTCGCAGTAAATAAACCGGCCTGGGATGGAACCCTCTTACTCGGTCGGCTTGGATTCTAACGCCGAACATATCAAGAGTACCTGATGCAGTCATCCCCTTTTTACAATAAATACGGGTTACATGATGGGCTAACTTTATTGGCGGCCTGTGTTGATGAACATAGAAAATCGCAGGGCAATGGGAAGACCACTCGACCGCAGGTGAATTTAATCACCCGGAAATGTGACATCCTAGAAATGAGATTCCGTAATCAAGTCAACCATGACGATTTACAAGAATCTTCATCCTCGCAACAATGGATACGCCAAGCAATTTTAGCCTATCACCACGATCGAAGCATAAAATACTTAGCGTATTTCAGTTGTTTACAAACCTGCCAATCCTCGTCTTCATAGTCATAGCCGTAATCATCCATCTGTTCTGTTGCCCTTTCTCCGTACGTCCATGCCTCAGCTCGCCCTTGTAAACAATTTTCAATATCTTCGTATCCCTTTTTTGCCGCAAAACCCACCCTGACGCTCAAATATTCTATCGATTCGTCGACTATCGTCAAACGAGAAAATTGCTTTTTCATTTCCTTGGTACCACAGTCGAACAGCCATATTTTATCCACGCTACCATCCATCAAGCCGTTTAGGAGTTCGCGTTCTGTGGGATATTCTGTTTTGAAATCAGTCGGAATGAAAGAAGTATTTTTGTTGATATAAAACATACCCTTATCATTAAATTACCTTACATCTGATAATTGCTAGTACCAGTCCTCTTATCACGTGCCATCCCGTTAGCGGGGATGACCCGGCGAATCCCTCCAGCATATGTACAACGATGTTTGCAACCCCCCATCCCTCCCACCCCTTATGGATAAAGAAGAAGAAGCTACATTTGTCCCTCCCCTTGGGGGTAAAATTAATATCCTTGGTGTCTGCTTTGCTTGGGTTCCGTCTGATTCAGTACTTCTCAAATCGTTTGTAGGACTTAAGGTTTCTGATCTACATTGTTTGTTGCTATAATTTTGTGATTGAGAGAAATAGCTAAGGACGCATCTCAAAATAAAATGAATCTCACAGACTTAAAGTACCTGATCCAAGGATTGACCTAGGAATGATCATTATTAAGAGACCTTTAATGAGCTGTTCGCTAAGCTTACGCAATGCAATAAGCAGCGCTTAAAGGGAGGTGGTAAAGGAGATTCTTACTGTATTAAGCAGCAGTGGAGTGCCACTAGGCCAATCCAAAAACGGCAACAATAACAACATAAACAAAGAAACACAAGAAAAAAAATGGAGATTTGAAGTCAACGCACCTGTGACGTTGGTTCCATGGTTGTATTTCTCAAAGAGTTTTCTACTTCCCAAGGGAATACCAACCTGTGACGAATTCCGTCAATACGCAACTATTACTCATAGCTAATCTCGTAACCAGATCCTACTGTGTAATTTAACTGAAATGTATGTTGGTTGTGAAAGGTCTGGTTACGAGACTAATTCATAACATCACTTTCCTAGCGCTTGGTGTTTCTAACCAAGGTTCAAAGACTGATGTGATATGCACTATTGAGTATCGGTAAATATACTATCAGGGGTTGAGAGCCCGGAGGGGGGATGAAGAAGAAGTTTAAGAGTTTCACCTCTATATTTCAAGTCGGTTAGACAAGATGGAGAAACACAAAAGAGTTGATAACAAACTAACTAGGAAAACGAATAGTGATAATAATGACAATTAGACTTGAAAGAACAACAACAGCCATAATGGCGAATTATATCGATCGTAAAATGGAATGTAAAATGTTCTACAAATTTTCTTTGCCAGTCTGAGGACGACATCACAGACGTATGGAAGTCGATTGCTATAGGCCATGAATTTTCTTTCGTTAGAGAATGATATTCCAGCATCTCTCATAGCGCACGAAATTTAAATGTCATGACAAAAATTATCAAACGCTGTTTCATACCTTAGATCCAAACATATCATTAAGGGGACGAAGTCCATCAGCAGTAATGGACGAGGAGATTTGGGCTGTAATGGTTGACATCAACAACATTCCGATGATCATCCACAGTGAAGCATACATCCGAGCCAGCGATGATTTAGGAGCTTTGTCACCATAGCTACCATGTCAGTGATAAAAAAAATACAAACAGTATTATTTTTCATATAATGTATATGAAAAATAATACTTGATACTAAAATAACTAGACTATGCACTCTCAATTTCAATCCGTGATAGTTTACTCGGGCCTCGCCATCATCAACCATCACATTAAAGAAATCTCGAGCTCACACACCTGTACATGTAACAATCAACTTGTTGATTACGAAATGTTGTCATCATAAGTCGGCTACATTGTATGGTAAGAGAGAGTATCATGTAAAATTAAAGTTTGCAGTCTCTTACCCGACTGTTGTCATGGTAACCACTGCCCACCACAATCCGTCTTGAACACCTCTCCAAAACGAGTCTGGAAAATGACCTGAATTTGCTCTGTGATCCTGTAAAAAGGTTAATTGTTGTTGAAACTAAAGAGCAGTGATAACTGTCATGCGCGGGTGGCGACAAAGATCGAAATACGCTCTCAAAGGACACGCGATAATTATGTAAGTTTTCTTTTACGAACTGAAAAAATTCCTGTTTCAAATTGATGAAACTGAGAAATAAGTGAGCAACGCATGTAAATAATACAGTACAGAGTATGAACAACCTCCGGTGAGCCGATGAAATCTCCGCAGAAATTTTATGCATTACACGAGGTTTGAATATAAATATGTCGATATTCTGTTGATAATGTCGTCAATTTTGGTCTGTGTTCCAAAACTGTTTTTAAAGTGAGGCGACAGGTGCCGTAAAGAATTTGTATAAGATATGATGATTAACTCATGAAAATGTTGAGTTTTTCACCAATGTTAACTTAAATGTATGAAGCAATTTTTGTTTTCTCTTTGCTTCGTTTAGATCATCTAAGTTGTTATTCCTCTTTACTGATACCAGTCGTTTGGAGAAATGGGAAACTTGCTTGTAAAAGTTAACTTTTTTCATACACATCAATTGACTTTAATTTCGTCGCTGCCACTTTTCTGATACATTTCTTAATTTTCCTCCGTAATGTTTTCGGAGATGAAGATCTTTGAACAAAGCTTGGACGTAACAACTGTCAGTGACATGACGCATCCTTCAAACTTTCTAGTTTGAGGCAAAGACAGTTAACATATTCAGATAGAAACTAAAAAAAAATAAAAATGATGTAAAAACCATTCGATTAGCTTTTGTTCATGTGGATTACAATTTCGCTTTCAACTCCCTGAAATATTATACCGCTGTCAGTGCAATCATAAAGTTTCAGACGGAAAGGTATACTTATCATTGTCAGTATCAGAAAAAAAAATCATCCTTAATATCCCCATGAAGAAATACTCGATTTTTGTTGAGTCGATTTAACACCAACCTTTGCCATTCGTGTAATTCAGACGATCAACTTTTGTAAGGATACAAAAAGACTTCGGAATACCTACCAAAAACCAAATGACAATTCCTGACAGCATGGCAGCTATTATGCAAAGAACAAGAAGTTCCCATATCTGTGCAAATGCGTGAACGATTTGTCGGCCGGTGGTAAACGATTCTTCTTTGATGACCAATACAGAAGAGAACTCCCTTTCTAAGAGTGTAGCATTTGAAGAGCAAGAAAAGAGTGGAAATGTTACTTTTACAAGCGGAACGTTACAACCTCCATCTTCTTTCCTCACTACTGAACGTAAGCACTGATGTATGATCTTTTTTACTGTTTCATTCCACTTAGATTGCTTATTTTTGGGAAAAAACTCTTCATTCCAGTCGAACCTCGCACAACTATCATTTGAGGTAATTTGGTCCTTCGATGGACAGGTGACTTTGACCTGTGAGACGATTAAAAAGAAAAGAAAATACTCGCACGACATTTTAGTGCAGGAGACAACCCGCACGTTCTGTTGGTTCTTGGAGGCAGTAATATTTACGAACCAGTTGAGGCAAAGCATTTATCAATAGCACCTTGTCATGTCACCGACAGATGTTTCAAGGAAACTTTTTTTAATTGCAGGCACTCAAAGAATCGTGGCGGGAAACCTTCAGAATGAGAAACTTTCGGATGAATATGACAATATGGTAACAAAATATTGATATTGTGTCAGAAACTCCCGGGGGGGCATTTCCATATCATAGTGGGGCATTTCCATTTTAGGTCTTGATAATGAGTGTCTTTTATGAATTGTATTGTAGTCGTATGTACAACTTCAAATGTCACATGAAAAGATCGACGTTTAAATCGTTGACGGTTTTCATATCTTATTTGGGTCGACCCAAGAATTACGTTAGAGTTGTTTAACATGGGAAAGTCGACTGGAAAATGACTTAACTTCAAACTTCCAACTTTTTATGTTCTGAAGATAACCCATGAAAAGGTATAATTTATTTTTTTCTTTCGTCCTATTAAAGTGTATGTTAAACTGTTTAAATTTTTCAACCTTCATTATTAGGTCGACTCAATGAACTATTTCAGTTCTATACAGGAAACATTTGGCCTTCGATCTTTTAGTTTTGAATTAATCAATGAACTTTATTTATCGAAGGTGCATATAACAGAGTGTACTAGTACACTAATAGCTCTCAACAAATATTGTATTAAAAAACATCTTTAAAACAGATTTAAGCTTTAAATTGTGAATTATTGTCAAACAAAGAGTTGTAATTGACTCGTCCAACTGAGGTCGTGTTCTTAACGCGCAAGTTACATTTAAGTTCGTTCGCGCTTTAGCCACGACTTACTTTTAAAGCGTACAAAAAGAAAAAAATCTGCATTTCACCAGAGGGAACAAAGATTCTACGTGGTAAAATTTCCAATAGTGTTCTGCTCTGTGTCATGGTGACGTATCCGTGGTGAGAGTTCTCTCATAGGCACTGCGTCAGTAATACTCGTTCTCAGTTTGGTGTGAGACACTCCTTTCTCAATATCAACATCTGTAATAGAAATACAACAACGATCTGTCAGTTCTACTTGGGACTAGCGTTTAAATTGGGTGAGTTGAGGACGTCACACGCCCGCAGTTGTTGCTGGTCAATGTATTCGCATAATGGTAAATTTTGGCCCCGTCAGGGGAATTTTAATCACCACTGATGCATATTCAGACAACAGTCCTTCTCACGTACAGGCAGCCGATGGAGTAAGCAGAAAATTGCAGCGAAATATTGGAATTTTTTGTGAACCTGAGAAACTTCTCTGTGTTTGTTAGCAAGCCATCAGTAAACTGAACGCGCAAATACAAATCATCAGCAGTATTCCTTGTCCTGTCGTTGTTTTGTCGAGAAATCCAGAAACCTATCGTATGAAAATAGCTTTATATCTGTGGATTACTGTTGAAATAAGCTCTCAATAAAAATGTTCAGTCCCTTAATTTGAACATCTTTTGCTACGGTATTCCTTTTAGTATGGGGAAAACCTCGGCTATAAGAATCTCAACAGAAAAAGAAATAATGTGGACTGGTACAGACCATCTGTTGTCGGTCTCCCCTTCCTGCACGCATTCCTCAGGGAACCAGTCAACAGGAAGATGACGAAAAGGCCAGCAGAGCTCATCAAAATGAAGTGGTGGGTTTTCACTCGGTCATCGGATGAGCCTTGTTTCATGTCATGTCGGTATTTTCCATGGCTGTAATCTTTAAAACAGGACAGCTGAAAAATGTACAGATATACCTAACTGATTGATCCAAATCGTACCTGATTTCAAAATTGTACGAGACAGCAAACCTCTTGCTACTCATCGGGAACACTATGTTCACTGTAGCTGACCCCACCCCCCTGCCCTTATTCGTCGATCAATTCCTTGAAATTAGAGATGAAATTTTCGGCGTATAACTTAAAAAGAATGCCTATTTGAAATTTGATCAGCTCAGCTTCCTCAACGCTCGCCCGAGAATTTTGATATGGGACCCGCTTGGATTTAAGACGTCGTCTGTGCCAAAAGTTTTTCATGCGAAGCGTCTAATGCATGCATTTTTTTTTTCGGTACAATGTTGGTCTTCTGTCCTTAAACTGAACTGAGTATACATACCGATAGGAACTATTTGATTGGTTAGCTTTATTGGGGATTTGCATCGATGAACGTAGCAAATTGCGTTGTAAAAGAAAGACTGTGCCAATGCACGGGGGAAGGAGGGATTACTTCCCAGCTATAGGGTAATGAGGATGTGTCAGTGGATGAGGTGTCATTTTTATGACTGATATGACTACATGGGTTTGTATTGTGACGAGAGTTACTAGAATGGGGTCGCATGTTTTCGGGATTCTTGGGGTAAGAAAATTCTGCTAAGTAGGGATTTAAAATGGGAAGACTCATGGCTAAAAAACTGTTACCGTATTACTAAAACTGAGTGAGGAGGGGCCCATAATTGGCCGAAAAAAATAGATTACATTTCCGGGTTCCGAGAAGCTAGTTATAGATACCCAGCAATATTTGACCCAAGTACCCCTTTAACTCCCACCAGGTACAATTGCCAGTGAATTTAATCACTCGAATTTCTGACAGGTTGGAAATCGAGTTCCTTAACCAAGTCCATCGTGGCGATCGACGAGATTCTCGATTCCTACTCTGATAGATATGCCAAGCCATTTGAGCAGATCTCCGCTATCGAAATATAAAATCACGTAGCGTATTTCAATTGTTTTCAAACCTCCCAATCCTCGTATTCATCGTCAGGGTCGCCATCAACATTCGTCTGTTCTGTTGAACATTCCTCGTTCGTCCAATCTTGCAAACATTCTTCAAGGTTTTCGTTTCCTTCTTCCACCGCAAAACCCACTCTGATGCTCAAATTGAATTCCGATGCGTCAACTATTGTCAAATGAGGAGACTGCCTTTTCATTTCCACGGTGCCACAGTCGAACAGCAATATTGCATCTACACTACCATCAATCAAGCCATTTAGGAGTTCGCGTTCTGTGCGGTATTCTGCAAGAAATTCAAACAGAGTAAAAATGTATATCCTTGCTGATATCAAATGTACTCAAATAGTTAAATTATTTATTGGTAGTTGCTGGTTTTGTGCCTCTAATCAGCAGCCTTCCTAAGGGAAGAATAATCTCGGGAAGCCCCCGAGGATTTGCGCAACGATCTTTATAAATCCCCTCCCCCCCAACACGCACACCATGGAAAATGTTTCTCTGCTGTACGCCGAAAAACTATAATTGCAATTATCACGAACCTCTCGAATCCTATTGAGGATTAAGGCTTCTAATAAACATTGCTTGCTGGTAGTATGTGCAAATGGGGAAAAATAGATATAAGACTCATATCCAGAATAAACTAGATTACGCACGCTAAATGTCCTAAGTCTTAGGAGTACTCATCATTGAGAGATCCTAGAGAGTGTCTTTTGAGGGTGCGTAATACGGTGACTAGTTTTGAAGAGTAATAGGGCTGAGTCACAGAAAACAAAAAACCGTTCTTGGGCCGCGCTCAGAGGGGATAGTGCTTTTATTGTGTCGCTTAGCCGCATGGCACCTCGTAAACAATCGACAAGCAACAGCGATGAACATTTAAACAATGAAAGAATCTCAGGGGAAAAAAGAGTGTTTAAGTTAAAACACCTTTCATATTGAATCCATGGTTTTCTTTTCTCGAGGGGCTTTTTGCTTCCCAAGGGAACACCGACCTGTAACAAATTAAGTCAAGACGTATTAGCTATTCACGGCATCAAATGGTCAATTTTACAGTTGCGAGCTTGGTTGTCAAGCCTTTGAACAGGAGTAAAGCTAAGGGTGACCTTGTTATGCTACAAAAGTTGTTGCTTTTCAAATGTAAATTTCTTTATTATCATACTAACCAGATACTGATCTCTATCACAACAAAGTCACCACCTTCAGCCTCACTCCAAATCAAAGGCTTGGCAACTAAGTACAAGTAACTGTGAAATGGACTATTGCAAGCAATTCCATTTTCTAATTGAGGCTTTGGAGATTGATACAATAGGCGCGATTTAAACATTTGGTTTGGAGCGGACGAGAATGTACCAGACCTTCATAGCTTTATTTTTGAGTCTGCTGACAGTTCGGCAAGATATAGAAACAAGAGAGAAGTGATAGTAATCCAAGAAGGAACATCGATGCAAGGACCTAGAGGATTAAAACAGATCGAAAATGAAAGACTTGAATACTAATGAAGGCAATGTCTAAGGATGTATAAACTATGACGTAGCTCCCTTCGTAAATACTATGAAATATGAAAAATTTCGACTCTGAACTAATGAGGCAAGTAAAATACGAAGAATTTCTTCTAAATTCAACTTCGTATTCTGAATCGGACAATTGTGACCATTAAGCTTGAAAATAACACAGGCAGTCGCAAACCAGATCGATCATGAAATAGAACAAGAGATGTTCTCCAAATTTCTATTACGACAAGAGGAAGTTAAAAACAATTGAGAATTAAGCTCCATAGGCAATTAATGTTCTTCATTCAAATGTTGTTTCATACCTTAGATCCAAACACATCATTAAGGGGTCGAAGTCCATCAGCAGTGATGGACGAGGAAATCTGGGCTGTAATGGTTGACATCAACAGAATTCCGATGATCATCCACAGTGAAGCATACACCCGAGCCAGCGATGATTTAGGAGCTTTGTCGCCATAGCTACCATGTCAGTGATAAAAAATACAAATGACTTAAGCGGATAAGTTTCTAAAGAAACTGTAGTGCTGCGTCGGTGGGAGAGTATAACAGGGTGATTTGGTATTATCAACTGAATTGATTACGTAAATTGGCCACCGTAAATAGTTTAAAGCTAAAGTCTAGCCTTTGAACTCTTTACGGTGGCCAATTTACGTTATCAACTCAGTCAGTGATAATACCAAATTATCCTGATAAAAAATACAAACTTAAAGTATTGTTAAAGAGACAGTAACCGAACTCGCGTGGCGCGCGGGCTCAGAGATATCTTCAATTTGTAGGCTTGTAAGCAAAGTGACGTTAACAATTATCGCGTGCGCGAGTTTAGTTCTTTGAGAGCCGTCTTTTGAGGACTTTTACGACGTTTTATTATTAGCTGTATTACTGTGTTGAGGTTTTTTGGCAGATTAAACGTGGATTTTTTTTTCCCGAAGGGTTTTCCGTAATTGCATAAGAACAATTAACATTATAAGGCTTTATCGTGATCACATCACTTGGTTGACGGTCAATTCGTCAAAAGGGACTCAAATCGCCATAGGGACTCGGAGGTGGAACTTTAACCGTGAAATGAAATAAAACATGTTGATATTACGTTTCGTGATCAGTTTGTGAACAGCCAAACCAGGGGTGGCGATTTGACTCTCAGTGATGGGGAGTTTGATGTGGTTGCTAATTGACCGGATACCCGTCACTTTTGTGGTCGTGTGGAAACTGGGTATGAGTTTAATTGGCTGTGTTAGATGAGAAGACAGATTATTATTTAGCTTGCAGTTTCTAACCCCACTGTTGTCATAGTAACCACTGCCCACCACCATCCGTCTTGAACGCCTCTCCAAAACGAGTCTGGAAAATGACCTGCATTTGCTCTGTGATCCTGTGGCGGAAAGAATATTTAGTTGTTAAAAGTAAAGAACACTTACATTTTCTATGTGCAAATAGCAACGCAGGAGATCCAAATACGCTTTCGCAGGACAAACGATATTCGTGTCAGTCTTCTTTTTCGAAAAAAAAAAAACCGTATCAAGTTATTCACACTGAGAAATGAGTAACCAACGTATCAAAATCGTGCGTTATAAAGCATTAAACACATTCATGCTAGACGATGAGATCTCAGAAGTTTGCCTTCAGGAGGTTTGAATATTAAAGAGGAGAGAAACATCTGCTGATGATATAGCCATTTTTGGTCTGAGTTCCAAGATTGTTTTTTAAGTGAGATGTCAGATGTCTCAAAGAATTATTAAAAGATATGATAATTAACTCATAGTCATGTTGATTTGTCTCCAATGTTTACTTTAATGTCGGGAACATCTTTTTAAAAAAATTTTGCTTGGTTTTAGATCATTAACTATCAATCTAACCTTTTCTCGATGCAGTCGTATGAGTCGTTTGTTTTCTACTTTACACCGTTAGGTTTGGGAAATGTCAATACCAGCTTGAAAACGTTGACCTTTTTTGCAAACTCATATTTTGACTTATTCGTACTCATCTTTTGACTTCATCTTCATCGTTTGACTTATAACCAATTCTTCATCATTTTAATTCTTCATCTGAGTTTAGCTTTTCATGGATTCGGAAATGACTTGAGAAAATCCGTGAACAGAGTTTGGATCAAAATGTAAATTTTAGTCTTGGGCAAAAGCAATTACATATTCAGAAATAACTTTAGAAAACCGATGTAAAGTCCATTCGGTTACTTTTTACTCATGTGGATCAATTACAATTTGGCAAACAGCTCACTGAAATATTAAAAGTTTAAGACCAGACGGCAAAAAATGATTATCAGAGGGTGACAATGGGTGATGGTTTTTACATATTAATGGTTAAATTTTCCCTTTTTTATGGCAACAGGCTAACGCAAAATGGCACAAAATGACACATTCTAGAAAGGCAAAATGTTTACGATTAACTTTTGTGACGACTAACGGTTTCAATTTGTCAATGTTTACGCTGAAATGACCGTTTCACATCTGACAGTTACCCCCATGAAGAACATGTTATCAATATTTTCTTGCATATTACAAAGAACGTATATTATTATCATAAAAAGAAAAATTATGCAGGTGAATAATTCTCGATTTTTTTATTGTTGATTTAGCACTAACCTGTGTCACATACATCATTTGAATGATCAACTTTTCTAATGGGATAAAGTGAGAAAAAAGAGACTTCTGAATACCTACCAAGAACCAGATGATGATTCCTGACAGCATGGCTCCTGTTATGCAAATAACAACGAGTTCCCATATTTGTTTAAATGCGTGAAGAATTTGACGGCCAATAGGAAACGATTCTTCTTTGATGGCCACTAAAGGAAAGAACTCTGTCTCTAAAGTTGTAACATTTGAAGACCAAGAAAAGAGTGGAAATGTTACGTTTACAATTGGGCCGTTACAACCAGTTGTGTCATTGACTTTTGAATAATTTGAAAGGCAGTCTTGTAGGATATATTTCACTGTGTTGTTACACTTAGATTGCCTTTGTCTCGCAAAAAACTCCTCAATCCAGTTGAACCTCACACAACCATTGATTGAAGCATTTTGGTCCTTCGACGGATGTGCCACTCTGACCTGTGAGATGATTAAAAAGAAGAGAAAACACTTGCACGACATTTTGGTGCAGGAGACAGCTCGCACGTTCTGTTGATTCCTGGAGGCAGTAATTTTTAAGCACCAGTAAACGGAGAGCATTTATTAGTAGTACCTTGTCATGTCACCAACAGATGTTCTAAGGAAACTGTTTTTGCGCTGACCTATTGCATGCACTCAAAGAATCGTGGCGGGAAAACTTCTGAATGCCGGAGAAGCTTTCAGATAAATACGATCATATGGCATCAAAATATAAATGTACTCAAGTTTTGTTAAGTGTTCTTGTCTTAGAAACTCCAAGGAGGAATTTCCATTGTGGGTCTTTATGAGTATGTGCCGGCATTAACCTTTAGCCGTCGTTTCCATGTTCTCTCTTCTTTCCGCCACCTGAAGTGAGGGAAAAAGAGAGAGAGTCTGGTCGGTGTTGGTCACATGCCTCTCTAGGGGAGGGGTGGGAAGAAAGAAGGCCCTGAGAACGAGAGTATAACAAGTTATCTTTTTGTTCTGGAGGCCTTAAATAGGGTGTGAACATTGGTTGCGACTGTATCTAGCTGTAGTCTGCTCTCTTTTGGCTTTAGATGAAACCTCACCCATCACCTGATCTCGTACCCAGATCCTACCGTATAACTGTACCGTGTACAACCGCTTGGCCGTGGAAGGTCTGAGAACGAGACCACTCAATTCCTGACAGCTCTTTAATAGTTGTGGTGAGCTTTCTCCTTAGCCTATTTCTGGGTTCAGCGCTTTCTCTTTTTCCTCCGGCACCACGTAAGGTACATTACTCTCTCCTTCATTACCATTAACAAAGAAAGTTTAGTTTCTCTTTAACAACCGTAGTAAGCCGTTTGAACGCCTTCATAGCGGTAACTCAAAATATTTTCGCCTATTTAATAATCCCTCCAGAAAGGGTTGCGCACACAACATTCTATATGTGTTCTGGTAGAGATAAGCTGGCGTGCGCACTCCGATTGCGTTGCATTATGGTAGGTTCATTTTCAACATGGCGGTGAAAGCGGTAGAGATCGGCAGATTTTGACTGAACATTCCGTAAAAGTTAGGCCGTTCCTTTTTCCTTTCGCCATAGTTAAATGTAATTTTATTTATTCTGATTGTGTCTCGATGTCCTCAATGATACGGATGAGACCATTGATTCTCTCCTGGAGCGCGTTAGTTTCAACAGAGGAAAGCATGTGGGAAGTTTTTTTCCTCATTCTGCAAAGGTGCTTAACGAGCGGAGTCATATAGGGTGGATCCCTTAATTGATGACATTCTAACCTTGATTGAAGGAAAACTGTCATTAAATATTGGTTGAAGAATGTTGTTCAATGATTAGACGCTTTCATCGGGGTCTTCCAAAGTGTTAAAATGCTCCAATCAAGTGCCGCTAGTTTTATATCCATGTCGACTTTGCGATGTTCACGAACATCTCTGAAGCTGACATATTTTCTCTCAGGCTTGGCAGGGGTAACGGGCAACAACGTAACAGCCAGGTGATCAGACCTTGCAACGCCTTTGAATACTTTTGCTTGTTGCCATAGAAGCGGATAGTTCGTAAGAAATATGCCCAAAATACTATGGCCAAGTGTGGACTTCGTGAGAGTATTTTCTTTTGATTTCAGCTAGACTTTCGACTGTCTCGCACTATATAGTTTGCGATAAGTTGAAGGCCATGGACGTCAATCCTTATATTACCAATTGGATCATAAGTTTTTTAACTAAAAGGCAACAACGGGTTGTTGTAGATGGGAAGTCTACAGAGTTTGCCAGTTTAATAGAGGTGTTCCTCAAGGAACTGTATTGGGGCCCATTTTATTCTCTATAGTGATTAATGATATCACTGCTGTACATCCCGGAAGTAATCTGCTTCTTAAATATGCAGATGACTTGACACTTAGCATTCCATTCACTCTCGAGGTGGGGAACATCCAACAATGGGCCTGTAAGAACAGGATGAAACTTAACCTAAGCTAGACCTGGGAAATGGTATAAAGAAGGAAAACAACCAAACAGGCGCCTGATGCGTTACTCTCAGTTGTAAGGAAGCCTGAACTTAAATTGTTAGGTGTAACCTTCAATCAAGACCCCTGTAACTGGGACACTCATTTTGATATTCTGCTACGTAAAGCCAGTTCTAAGCTATACATAATGAGGGTTTGTAAATTTTATGGTTATTTGCAGGAGGAATTGACGGCCCTTTTTGATAGCTTAATTATGTCATTACTTTTGTATGCAATTGAAGTTTGGGGAAGCGCATTAGAATGTAAATACCTTAGCCGAATCGATAAGTTCTGTGAACATGCCCACAAATATGGTTATTTATTGAATTTTACACCCATTAAAGATATTCTTCGTGCCAGAGATAAATTGTTATGGAAACAGATCACGAAAGACTGCGATCATTGTCTATGTGACCTACTTCCCATGCAGAGGGAAGGTCGCTCCGTTCTCGCGGCCATAACTACATTGTATTCGTACGGAACGTTTTAAGCGAACTTTTGTTAACAGATGTCTTTTAAGTTTTATTTAGATTACAATTAGTTTTCTCTTTGATGATGAATTTTTGTAAACCTTGTATGTTTGTTTTTAGGTATATGTTGTTGTGTAATTAATAAAGACTACATACACACACAAGGGTTAATTTTAAGGTGTCATTTCCCTGCCTGTATGAGGGGGGCATTGGGGCCTGTTAGAAACCCTAAACCGTAGAAAAAGTCATCCAAAACCGAAAAACCGAAAAAAAATTCGATCAAAACCGATACATTTTCACATCCCAGTTATTAAAACCCTGACTGATCCGATACAGTGGTGACAAGTGGAGCATACAGAATAAACTACACTCATTTCATTACAGGATTTATGAATGCCGTGAACTTGGAATTCGTATCGTCTAGTATCTGCTTAAATTAACAGCTGCTCTCTCGAGGACCTCGAGCGTGGTCTCTGTGGACCCAGCAGCTGGTAATGAAGCCTGGTTAGATTAAGGAAATTCGCACAAAAGTCCTCTACAAGATTGCAACTTTGCAGTCGCACATAGCTATAGCTTTGAAAAGTTTCATCGAAAATCCCTAATCCAACATTTCCGTTTGCGAACTAAGACCTAAAAGTTTGGAGAATCTATTGGAATGTTGAATCAATCAGTCATGTGTGGCCTGTGAGTTGGTCACCAACTTCGAGGTGGCGTTGATAAAGAAACTCTGGCAATGTTCCGTGCTTAGCCGTACCCTCCTTAGGGATCCATGCGATATTTCAATTGGTTTGTCACGCATTCCTCTCGATAACATTTGCATTCGGCGGGCATTCGAGGTCAGTGGAGGCGCGAAATTGCCGCTCAGACCGAAGAGAAACAGGAACCCAAATAGGTCAAAGAGGAAAAACCGAAAACCGCATCGGATTTTAAATACAAAAACCCGTTAGTACTTTTCGCGAAAACCGAAAACCAAATACTTAAAAACGGAATATCCGCAAACCGCAATGAACACCAAAACCGAAAAACCGAAGTTTTTTGGCGCAAAAACCGAAAAACCTATCTAAAAAATAGCTAAAACTGCAAAACCGTAAATCTCAATGCCCCCCCTCCTGATTGTTCCTGAGGTTTGTCAAAGCCGGTTGAGATTGTGTTACAAAAGTTAATATTTTCATACGTGCGCACTATTTTTTTTTTTTTGTTTTCAAGTCTCTCCCGCAGAAAATAACTCCAAAGATACGTTTCTCAAAACCTCATTGTAGTTATCCTCTATCCTTTAAGCATATTTGAAACTCCATGTTTTTTATTAACGTTGAGCGTGACGAATTTGGTCTTAGACGAGTAAAGCTTCTCCTTCCGCGAATCCCGTATTTACACCGTTAAGTGTAAGACATGAAAAATAGTTCGTGTATTAGAAGGTCGCTGTCTCTTTATAATGCGTTTGCATGTCAAAGGGTCGATTCCCCGTTGAATAACTCACTAATTTACATTATTCACACAGCCATCGGCTGTGAGTGTAACTGCTGCCAAATGAATAGATTCTTGGACAAGGCTGCAGTTGCCTCCTAAGAACGAATTGTTACGGAGGGATAACAAGAGTCGCGTAGGCCCACAAACACTTTTTAACTTTCGAAGGAACGGCAACAGAGACCGAATCCCCACTACATTCCACGTTTATTCACGCTATCTCGCGTAAGCACTAAAACATGAAACGACCTAAAGTCACCTACAACTACCTACAACCACCTCAAAAATTTCAACAACCATCTACAACACACACACGCCTGCTACTGAGGGAATATGTAATTAGCATGCTCTCGCGTTTCATTTCGCGAGATGGTCGATTATACATGGGACCAGGGAGAGGGGGAGGGGGGGTGTTCACTCAACCGCAACGTGTTATTATGAGTCGCTTCACGTCCACGACTATAACGCAACGGAATTGAGTCTATCATCATGGTGGAGACTGTGCAGTTTGGTAAAGTTGATTTTGCCGTGTTTGGAATTATGTTATTCCTGTCGACCGCTATTGGAATATACCATGCCTTAACCGGAGGAAAGCAGCGAACAACGAAAGAATTCCTCTTCGCTAACCGCGGGATGATGGCGATTCCTGTCGCACTTTCTTTGATCGCATCCTTCATGTCAGCTATCACAATTCTTGGTGTGCCTGCTGAAGTTTATAACTATGGCACACAGTACTGGCTTATTATTGCCTCCTATGTGATTCTCTTTCCTTCCGTAGCACTGGTTTTCGTTCCCGTGTTCCGCGCTGTAGATATTTCCAGTTCTTACGAGGTACGTAAGCTGATCATGTGTCGAAACGCTGATCATATATCTATCACTCTGACGAAGGGCTAACGCTCGAAACGTCGGCTTTTTTTTTTTCTTACTGTGGCTAGTTTACGTTTTCAACACAGTTGTTAACACTAAATTACCTGCAAAAATTAAAATAACCGATTCAACGATTTAACTCGTGTTGCTTTGTTATATCAAATAGGATATTCTGAAGTCGCCTTTTTAAGTCATTATATTCTTATTTTTACTTTTTTTCTAGTAGTCTTTTGTTTGTAGAAAGTTTGAAAGTGTTTAACTTATTTCCACTACTGGCTAGGCCATTAATATTCCACGTGTTTTATGAATCACTTTTAACCCACATGCTCTTTGGGTCAAAGTCCACCAAAGTCCACCAAAAAGTGAAAAACAGAAAAAACTCATAGCCGGTTTTTTTGCTATTCGCTTAATGACTTATCTTAATTTGTACCATAAAAAGAGAGTTTGTGCTTTTATCCACAGTCACTGGATATTTATATAGTAGTAATCTTGTTAATTAATAAAGAGTTATGGTTAATGTTTAAGGCATATGTCAGTAGTCTAGACTTCTTTTGATGTTATTTATAATAAAGTTCAGATATAACGCGTGCTGTCATTGGTTGAAAGAGTGTGCTCTATGAGAGTATAGAGCATAGAGCTGAGCTAAAGCTGTCATGCCATCTGCCAAACTGTACTATGTTCGACCTTTTCCGGGACTTCCTTTTAGCTTTTTTCCGATAATTGAAAATGAAATTTCGGAACAAGCGAGCCGGCAAGTAGCAACAGAAGAACCAAATAAAGGTTTGTAAACATACCAGGTGCCATAATTTACGTTATTAAAACGTGAGCAAATATGAAAATCCTCAAAGGAAAAACAAAATAGACATTTGAGGTTTTAAAGATTGATTCACGCTCAGTTAGATTGCAAGCTTACGTATGGAAATAAAAATCAAACACAGCTAACACTCATATAGTATATAAAGTTCAGTGTTCAAAAACAAAACAGAACAAAACAGAAATGATGAAAAATATAACCAAACTGGCATAACTGTTAAAATTCATTCTAATCATGACGGTGTCTGACCGAATATGATCATGCTGAAGTTCATCGCAGCTCGCTCATCATGGCAATCTCTGGTCATCACAGCAAGCCTCAGAAACTACATCGGCTGCCCTTCGAGTGAAGAAATAAGAGCTTGTCTCGTGTTTCTCCCTACACTTCTTTCGTGCTCTAGTGGCTTCCTGCATGCTTTATAACAGAACAGAGCACAGCCAAGGCTTCTCTATTTGTTAATTATATAGATTTACGTTAGTGACACAAAACATTTTGCCAGAGTATCAAACTACTTAGCTCCTGTTGGGTCAGGTTCAGACACCGTACTTCAGCTGCGCCAAATTGAATTTAACGATGGGCTGACCTAAATTAGTTCATCCTGGTTGAATTGATTCAAATGCCAGACTTAATTCAGCCGAAATTAATTAATCAAAGAAAATTGATATTCAGTCATTGGTGTAGCATGCAATTGTAATCATGGCAGATGCCATGGATTCTGGCAGCAATCTGCGAACAAGAGCCTTTCTTCTGCTCAAAATGCTGGAAAACAAAAAAGAAGAAGAAGAATGCAAACCGTCTTAGCCTATTTTGCAGCCAGAAGAGGACCACTGATAACCATATCATGCATTATTGAGTGGTAGCGATGTGTCTATACAGCTGAAACATGAACAACACTTGTCACTGTCATCTAGTTTGGCCTGCCAAGCAGCCATTTTTCTCCTGCAAAACACTACTTTGCACATGCTCTTGAGTAAAAACAGCATGAAAAATAATTTATGCATTTGTTTCAGCTCAGTTGAAATACAGTGTCTGAATCAAAGCCAGCCTACAGCCGCTCTTTTCTGGCCTAGGCAGGTGGGATTAATTGACTGAGCCAATATAAATTAAATCAGACGTTCTGAATTGATTCAGAGGCCATGTTTTTTATGAACTTAATTCATTGAATTTGATCTGCTTGGCTCAAGTAAGGTGTCTGAACTGGGCCGTAGTTTTTGAAATAAAAAAATTAAATGTGACCATAGCATGCTCACAGCATGTTAGAATGGAAAATGATTTCACTGGCTTGTGATCAGGGGCACAGGCTTTCTTCAAGTTTCAATTAAAAACTTATTGTCTAAACTGTCTGATTTAGATGTGTCTCCTTTTATTCATAAGAGAGTTACTTGGATTTATTTTCTATGATGCTGATATTGTTTAAGAAGTAAATGAACAGAATGGTTTAGAAAGGTGCTCCTTAATGAATATACCCCTTAAACAACAACAACAATAATAATAATAATAATAATAGGTCTAATTGAATACATTAAAGTTCACATGGCAACCAGGTGGACAATCAGACATGGTTTGATGCTACTCTGGTTTACAGAGTTAATGATTTAATTATATATTAATAATTATGTTACCTTTACTGTTACTATTTGGCCAGTGATAAAATTTTACACCAAAATTGTGTGAAGATATATAATGTAAAAGATAAGAATTATTTTAAAGTAATCTGAGACTTTTTAACTTCTTCAGTTACATTCATTAAATCTGTAAACCAGAGTAGCATCAAACCATGTCAGATTTAATTGAATTCGCTCAATTTTTCTAGCAGTGGTATTGCACATGTACAAAATAAGCTAGCTTTAGGTGAAGAGTTCCCAGCTTGATTTGAATTGGGGAAGGAAAAGGGAGAACCAAGGAAAAACCCTCAGAATAAGGAAAAGAAACCACAAGAAACTCAAACCATAACTGATGCTAGTTTTGGGATTAAATCCAAGAAGCATTTCTAGAAGATGAGCATTCCCTCTACTGCCAAATCTCTGCTCCCCCTTAAACAGAGAATAAATGCTCCTATTACCAGGAAATTGATAGAGATGTTTGGAAACACGTCTTTTTGAGAGGAACTTTGGAAGTAAGCTGTACTAATATAATTTATTGTTGTCAATAACTGAGTGGCATACTAACAAGAATTTTTTCTGTCTTAGTATTTAGAAAAGAGATTTTCTAATGGAGTGCGTATCATTGGCAGTGTCTGTTTTATAGTCCAAACGGTAAGAAGTCTACTTCCTCTTTCTGAATTAAATTTGGGTGTGTTTTTCATCCAAAATGAGTTATCAGTTGTTTATTTATCATGAATATACTTTTCCTTTTTTTAAATTATACATTAATAATAATGTTACCTTTACCATTACTATTTAGTCAGTGCTGTGTGAAGATATATAATGAAAAAGATAAGAATTATTTTAAAGTAATCTGAGACTTTTTTACTTTTATTTTATTTTTATGTAGTCTCTTTACATGGCTATTGTGGTTTATGGTCCGGCCATAGCATTAGAAGCAGGTAACTGAATTATAAATTATCAAGTGGTACTGAAATTAGTAAAGAATATTCTAAGTCTGTTGCTAAATGTTTTTTCAATTGTTTTTTTTAACACAGTTACTGGATTTCCAGTTTGGGCGTCCATCATATCCATTGGAATTGTCTGTACTTTCTATACCACTATTGTAAGTGTGCTATCACCATTTCTGTTCCACTTTCCACTGGATGGAGATTTTCCAATGAATAGTGTTATCCACACTTCGAATGACTGAGACCTGGAACACAAGGTGCTAATTTTAAAATGAATGTGTCTCCCTTGACCTGTGACACTGGTCAAGAGAATTGGGAGTTGGGATGGAGAATATAATCATACCTTAATTATAACCTCTCAGGAAAAAGTGTTCACCATGTGTTGACATGAGTGTCTTGTGGTTTTTCAGGGAGGTATGAAGGCTGTTATTTGGAATGATGTGTTCCAAGCCATTGTTATGCTTGGAGGTCTAGTTGCAATACTGATTGTTGGCACACACAAAGTTGGTGGGTTTGGAAATGTGTTTGATCGTCTTGAGAAGGGCCAACGACTCAAGTTTATTGAGTAAGTCGATAAAAAGTTCCATGAATTTACGTTATGTCATTTTGAGGTCTTCCCTTACCTGGATAATAACAATTTATAATTGGAAAGGGGGCAAAATGTTTTGGAGTTAGAATTCTCAACATTTTATATATTACATGTACAGCTATTTTTTTTGTGTTTTTACAGTTTAAACCCAGATCCTACTCAACGTCTGTCAATTTGGAGTCTGATCATTGGTGGTGCTTTTGGTTTGTTTCCACTCTGGGCTGTCAACCAAACTGCTGTTCAGCGATTTTTGGCAGCAAAATCTAACAAAGAAGCAAAATTGTGAGTGAATTGATTTTTCCATTACTTGTCTTGCTTGGCAGTAAAAGGAAGAGTTACTCTCCTCTTCAGGTAGAAATTGTCAAACAGGCATGGGTAGTTGCACTTTCTTGTTTTCCATTCTCAGAGTTTTGCCATTCATGTAAAGGACCTGTGTCAGGCAAAGGTAGACTTAGGTGATGTTGTTGGGTTTTCTTTAAGAAAAGAGGATTTTTGTAAAAGAGCAGGGAACTCAGGCTATCAACAATATGGCAGAGAATTCTGAATAGAAGCAAGAAGTATGCTGATTAGGATGAAAAATAAGCTGGCTCAAAGAGTGATTTGATAACAAATTCTAATCCCAATCTTTTGGAACTGCTTCACAATGAGGCTGCCTAGCTTCACATTTACAAGATGGTGAAGACAAGATATGGAAACAGGACATGGCAAAGAAGTCACTCAAAACAAGATTTGATGCAAATTCCCTTACAAGTTGTAGTGGCATCAATGCGCAACACATTAAAACCATTTGTTACACTTAACCAAGTAATTGCCAGCCAAAATCCAGCCAGTGACTACCTCTTTCTTAGCTGTTAAACTTTGCCAGCAGTTAGCAGCTGGCAACAATGCTTTTAAGAGGGAGAATTGTGAATTATAGCTTGAGAATTATCCATTCTCTGTTTGCTAATACACACCCTTACATTGTGTGTTGAATTTCTGTAGAACTGAGTCTTTTCAATCTTGTTCATTCTGTAGGGCTGTTTGGATTAACTTGCCTCTCAGTATTTTAGCAGTTAGTCTATGTGCCCTGTGTGGATGTGTAATTTATGCATTTTATGCTGACTGTGATCCCATTTCAAATGGACAGATAAAGAAGGGTGACCAGGTAAAAGAAACAAAGTCTTTGAATAATTCATCACTAACTTCATTTATATAGTGGTTTATATGATAAAAGTGTTGGAATCATTGTAAATTTCCCTGTAATTGATTTGCCAAAGACAAAATGTTCTTTCATATTTGCCATTCCTCCTTTAAAAAATGATGCTCTATTCCCATCTACATTGTAAATGTTTTTAGACAAAGCAGTTGAACACGAATCTTGGACAAATTGATTTTAAACTAGTTTCTTTTAAATTATAAATTATAAATTATGGGTATTATTAAATTATGAATTATGGTTACTACAATTTTCAGGAAAAGATAAATACAAATCAACCTAGTTTGAGATTATTTATTCCAAATTCTATTAAAGTCAGAAATAAATGTTAGCAAACAGCATAGTATTTGCATGCAGTGGACCTCTTACTCTGGTGGCAATTTTAACCAGCAGCATAGACAATATTTCCAGCCTTAGGCTATCCAGCTTTTTAGAGTCCTTGCATCCTCACTGCCAATCTATTAAAGTGTATAATATTATTTCATAGATCCTGCCATATTTTGTTATGCATGTTCTGGGATCACTTTATGGAGTTCCAGGTTTATTCATGGCTTGTCTATTTAGTGGAACACTGAGGTAACTTTAAGCAAATACTTGTTATTTTGTAGGGTGAATGTTGTAACAGTCAGTAAAATTATGCATTAGAGTGGGGGAGTTTCCCATAAAGTTGGTTGATCCAACAACTGCATCCATATAACTATGCAGTACATCAAAGAACTATGACAAACATATTCATGAGCGGGATCTAGCAAGGCACCATGTCCCTGCCTTTCAGTGGAATTTTAACATATTAACTAAATACTCAAAGGGTAGGGTTTTATTAAAGATTAGAATATGAAGAAAGCTTCCCTTCCCTTGCATAAGGATAACATTAGTAATTAATCCAAGAATGAGATTGGTAGAGTGATAGGTTTGAAGTGGGATTGAAACCTTCTGAATTTGTGAAGAATGTGTAAAATTTTTCATTTACTAATTTACCAATCTGATTCACCTTAAAAATGTGTTCTTTATTCTTGTTTGCTTTGTTTTAGCACTGTGTCTTCTGGTCTAAACTCGCTAGCAGCTGTAGTGTTGGAAGACTTCATCCGACCTTGGACCAGATATAGACAGAAGGAGTTGATGGAGACTCGTGCAACCTTATACTCTAAACTTCTTGGTGAGTACATTTGAAGTTACACTGTCCATCTTAATTAACTGCTGCAGACTAGCTAGGGTCTAAAGCAAATGGACAGTGTAGTACTCCATGAAAATTGCTATTTCCTCCACTTAGACATCGAGAATTCCATTATGCTCAATCTGGGGTGGATAGTTTTATCACCAGTTCAAACAAATCAGCTAAATCTTAGACCTTTAGTCAAAGAGGGAAGTCATGGTCATCATCTTTCTTCATCAGAGGAGGAACATTGGCAAGGATTAAGTGGAGGTCTTAGATTGTTGGTTCAACTTGTTGTTTCTGAACAGTTGGAAAGAAAGCAACAACAAAAACATGTTTCAATTTGTTCATTCACAATGGTTCACATGTTGGTGCAATGCACAAGAAAAGTTTATCTATGTTTCAATGTGGCATTCTCCATATTTTGTAACTTGTTGCAGTGTTGTAAAAAGTAGTTCAAATGCTTGAGTATAGAGGAACTCGGTACAGTGCATTGAGTTTGACTCATCACATACAGCCCCACACTTTAAAGGTTCCTCAAGACAAAGTATTTTTTTTTTTTTTTTCCATGCAGCATTTGCGTTTGGAGGTTTAACTATCGGCTTGTCTTTCCTTGCTACCAAGCTTGGTGCCATTTTGCAGGTTTGTCGCAATTGTGAATGAGAGTCATGGTTAAATTAACAATAAGGAGGTGTTATAGTGTAGTCTCTTTTACAAGACAACTGATTCCTGTTGGTGGGAAGTTGTTAGATATACAGTTTTGTATTTACTTTTCCTTTTGCCAGTAACCCAGTGACAGTCCCACAGTGACTCCTGACTTTTCAGTGACCTCTCACTCTGTCTCCACTGTAATCCTATGGGGACTCTCCAATGACCCTTGGTGACACCCTAGTTACCCCACACAAACCTCACAGTGACCTCTCAAAGCCCCTATGGTTACCCTGTTGTAACATCACGAAGCCCCAATAGTTACCCTGTTGTAACATCACAAAGCCCCTATGGTTACCCTGTTGTAACATCACGAAGCCCCAATAGTTACCCTGTTGTAACATTACAAAGCCCCTATGGTTACACTACTGTGACCTCATAAAGCCCCTGTGGTTACCCTAGTGTGACCTCACAAAGCCCCTATGGTTACCCTGTTGTAACCTCACAAATTCGCTCCCCAAACTGAGGCTGAAATTCAGAATTCACTTTCTTAACTTAGAGGTAAATGATCAATAATTTAGCTCCCAAGACCTGTTTATTAATTCTCCTCTCAAGCGGCAACACACTTCCTTTTAAATCAGTTACGAGATTTTGGTGTTAAATCAATAATGTACATGACAAAATTACGGGCTTCTGATCGGCTGAAAACGTGTGCATTCTCGTGTAACAAGAGAGCAAAGTTGTAACACGAGAGCACATTTTCAATAAGCACGTAAACACTTTCAAAATTTCGTCTGTCTTCCCTTTCTGTCGTGTTTTTTCAGCTATGATTTCTCTCTTTCAATTTGGTTTAATAAGCACTACGGGTTCGTGCTCTTTTTTTGTCTTTAAAAAATTTACTCTTACTTCTTAACACCAAATTGCACTCGAAATCACGTTAATACCTATACTTAAAGAGTTAACATCAAATTCCTTACACTCCTTTGTTGTATTATTTAGACATTTTACAGCGTGTTTGGAGTTGTTGGTGGGCCTGTGGTAGGAGCATTTTGTCTTGGAATGTTCACTCGTCGAGCTCACTCCAGGGTACACAGCATCCTTCCTAAATAATCTTTTGTTGGGCTTTATCTAGCATGTTAAGTATACTTATTAGCTCAGGGTGAAGTTTTACGCGCCCAGTGACGGCAACCTGCTGTAGCTTTTTCCGATTTCTGTGACACGAAGTTGCGTAGAGTATTACTACTCATGTTAGATTACTCGTTAGAACAGAACACAGTTACGTGGTCATCTGATGACTTAAGCATGAACCCTGGACATAAAGATTAGTTTTTGAGTCTCCCTCATGGATACCAATGTTCCCTTATTTTATCAGGGTGTGTACATTGGATTGTTACTGGGATTTATCGTGGGGCTGTGGATCGGTATCGGTGCTAAATTATACCCTCCGCCCGCCGCTAAAGCTCCCTTCTCCACAGAAAAGTGTGAAATTATGCCAACGAACAGCACAATCATGATGAACTCAACCAGGTGAGTACAGGCGCAGGGTGGAGACTGGAACTGAGTTTGAGCCTGATTTGACCATTTGCAGGATAAAACAGCGCGACACCAAATTTTCATAAGCTATGCGTGCAAGTTTCCGTCAAAATACTCCGCTTTTGTGACAAAAAAGAGGAGAACTGGAACGCAGTTTGATTAGGCATGAGTTAATGACATCAAGCGTTTTGATTGTTGTTGTTGGAACGGGAGGGTTCTGAAACATCACGGTGGTTCATTGCGCAGAATGCCTATTGTTCTCGAGACATTTACTTGCAGTAGCGAAAAAATTTATAGATCCGTAATATTAACGGAAACGTATTCTGGAGAGCTCTGATCGGTCAAAGATGACGCGCGCATTCCTCCTCAGGGAATATTGCTTTAACTCATTACCTTGTCAAAGTGGAGCTACGAAACAATAGCTTAGAAAGTCATTGTTTCTGTTATTGGTAAAAAAAAATCACACACTACGTGCGTGTGTTACAACCTGGAATAGCGCTCGAGTTTGAAACCGTCCTGTTCTATATTCATCTCTTTCTTCAGCGTATTCAACAAATGCTTTGGTTCTATCATTACCCGTTCAGGATTTGATTTTCATCGGAAAAAATCCACCTGCACAATTTCTACAATAGAGAGGACGTTATGAGGCCTGTAAGTCACTCTGACACTTGTTTCTTCGAAAAGAAATAAAAGTCACTCACTGTGCGAAGAGTGAACTTATGCAGTGATTAGTTCTAACTCCTAAATCATAGTTATTAAAGTTGTTGTTTGTGTGGGAGGCCGAAGCTTCCCGAGTTGTATGTGATCATCACCCTGTCGAAGTATCCAAAAACAGCGACCCATCGAAATATGTGAATAGTTTGTTTCTCTTTTATCAAGAGATAAAGGGTTTACGATAGTTTCCTCGTTGCTGAATACAGAAATACACTTGCTCGTGTACCCACGTCTAATACGTAGAGTTTAACGTAATTAGCCGTCACTGTGAAATAAGGCTGTTTTCAGTTGACTGTTGAAAGTAATCCGGGATCACATTGCTTTTACCTCACGTACTCTCTGATGAATCAAGAAAACTTGCGCCAAACTCTCGGTCAATCAAATGTGAAACTAAAACAAATCTCTACCTAGTCCTTCCCGTTTTCCCGCGCTCGAGACCGTCTCGTAATGAGTGTGATTTCTCATGGACTTCTTGTGTCATTTAACAAGAGTCTGATTAAAAGTTTTGATTACTTTTGTCTCATGACACTCGAATTGATTTTGCACCCTATCTAAAAGTGCTGTAGTTTTCATATACTGTCGAAAGATCCACATGCGGTGAGCCATTTCTAATTAACCTTAAGAAATGTCGCTTTGAAAGCAAGGATGAGATAAGGTACTGAATATATACTTTGTTTTTCTCAAGTACACCGCCTCCAGTGAAGGAATACGAAGGCCTGGCATTTTACAGGCTCTCATTTTTATGGTACAGCGCTGTGTGCTTTGCAGTGACGTATCTAACTGGACTGATTGTCAGCGTCTTATGGCCTGGTAAGTCGTGCTGAAATGTACGTATTTATTACAATGATACAAAATTCAAAGTAACCTGGCGAAGGTTCCAAGGTTTTTTTAGGTGTCAAGATTAGGGACTTCATTACTTTAATCAAGTGTGGAGTTCTGTTACTCAGACAGGTTTGATGACTGTTGTGCACGCAAGGGTTAAGGTTTTTTTAAACAAGTTCGATCCGTTTGTGTAAGTAGATTCGACCACGGTAGTCAGGTATTTATCGATCAAAAGAGTTTGACTGGTTTCGTTCGTAAATAGAGAGCTCTTACCTAACCCTCTAAGTCCTAAGATCTGATTGTTAATTGCTGGACACATCCAGTGCCAGTCTCGTCTTTCTTTGCTTAAACTAAAGATTTGGAACTTTCTTTTTTTTCAGGTGATCATAGGATCGGTGATGTGGACTCTCGACTTCTGTTCAAAATAGGTTACTGTTTACCAGATCGCGCACTGAATAACTCTCGTAAACTACAGGACGAGCAACAACAGTTAAACCAGGTGCGTGTAGAAGCAGACCCTAATCCGAAATTCTCTTTAAGTTTCTATTCATTTTTCTCAAATGATTGGTCTGAGAATTTGATATTACATCAAGCACACCTATTAGATGATAATGTTCTTATCTCTCACCACCTATCATCTTTGAAATGAAGTGATTTCAACATAAGGAAGAAGTTGTTGACCAGTAAGCTAATCAATGACTTATTCGACGATCAAGCTCAAAATTTGTCATCTTAATCAATTTAAAAATGAGGGTTTTTCTTTGTTCCTTGCTCGTGACAAATGTTGTCGAAAAAAATTTGTGCCACAAAACTGACGTGGTAACGAGAAGGTAGATAATGTCCATATTTTTGTTCCAGGTTGATAGCGAAACAGCAAGGGAGAATGGAACGACGTCAAAATCCGGGGGGGGCATGGAAGACGTTGAGGAGGATACAGAGGGTGCATTACTTATGACCACAAGGATGTGATGAAGTCATAGTATCATAGAGGGTGACCTGGTGACTAAAGGGTTTAAAGAGAAAGAGCTCAGGTGTTGGGAAACGTACTGTCCGTGACAGCTCTCACAGGCATGAGTCGCGTGACGTTTGGACAAAGGAATTCGTTTTGTGACGCATTTGGTCACGACGCTTTGAAAGGGCCTTGGAGTTCATTTCTTTTAGATATGAATTAGGGAAAATGGAATAATTGATTTAAGTCTTTGATATTTATTTAAAGTGTTCGCTGTTCAGAAAAGCGACTTAATGATGTTATATGGTCTTTGTTGTAAATTAAATTTTTCATACTTACACGGATTTTACCTAATTTGGGAAAAAAAGACCGCGCTTGGGTTAGATCTCGAATGACTGAGGTTATTTTGCGATCTGTATGTGAAGAGCTGAGTCCAAACCGCGAAAAGTGGAGTATTTGTTTGATCGTAAAGGTGTAATGCATGTTATTGCGGTTTTCTATGCATGTGTCAAAACTAAGTGTATTTTTTTATAACTCTCTAATATTCTGATGTTGTCGAAATGCCCTCGTGAAAGTTTATTACTAGGTTAATTTATACCGAGAGTTATTTTGGATTGTGGTAATAAAGACCTTTTTTATGAGCATGTTCTTTTTCTTTTTCCAACTTAATCTCAGTATATAAGACCCACAATCACATTGAAATTCCTTACTCCTTTCTCCAAACCGTGGAAAACGAGGGTGACCATCGTAAATCAGCGGGAAGAGTCTGATTTCGTTGTGAAGGTGAAATGTCAAAAACGAGTGCGTCTGGAACTGAAAAGCCAGATCTAAGTTATTAAAACCGTGAAAACACTAAGCATAAACCAAACCAACGAACCCAAAAAAGCTTTCAGCCGTTTGTATACCCAAGGTAACTAATACTTGCCTTTACTGTGAATAAGAGCTTTAAAGTTTTCTGCTGGGTTGATTTAGGATCTTTATTCAGGAAAAGTGAGCATTATCCGATCCTCTTCAGCTCGGCTAAGGGGTTCCGTCTTCCTCGAAGTTCTTATGAACTAGCGTGGAATGTACTGCAAGAAGTACCATTAGCTTTACACATTTTTTTTTTCAACAGAACAGCCAAGCAATTTTCGAATGCGAGACGAAAGTATTGATAATTGTGTCTGGTTTAATGGGTCCAGCAACTAGCGCTACTCTCTCAACCAATCAGATGCAAACTTACTACACATCATGACTTGGCCACTCGCGTTTTCCCGCGCATTTGGCAGTTCTCTTGTTTTTCCTGTGAGTTTTCATTGGTTGCCTGTGATATTCTGTTTCGCTCTGATTGGCTGTTGATCCTACTCTAGATATGGTGTTTGGTCATTAATCGAAGTGAGAATTGAAAGGTTTGAAACCATCGCGGAATCGTATTGAAATCTAAAGACGATGTTTATTCTCCGGCAACCGGGTATGTTTCAGTTTTTTTACACGCTCTTGACCGTTACTTCGCGGAAGAGTTTTTCCAAACAGACTCGTCATTTCCTGTCCTGTCTCGCATCTTCGGCTTCGTTGTCGATTAATAATCGGGTTGAGACCTGAAATTATTTTCGAGGAAACTTCAAAATGTTTCAAATTCATTTTTCTGTTGATATTTTCAATTCAAAGTTGGGAAATATTGGGTTACCATTGTTTTCCTTCATTTCGGCAATTTTGTTTTTCATCAAGGATTTCTAGTATTAACTAAAAGCTCTTTTGTGTTGGTTGAAGAAGTTGTGTATTGATTCCACCTGTAATTAAACACACACTTGACTCATCTGCGGAGAAAAGATTGTTTTTAATACACAATCTATCATAAATAAATTATGTATATAGATATATATATATATATGTATGTGTGTGTTCTCATTTATATCCCGCTTCGGAAACTTGCAAACCTCTCAACTGCTTTACGTCGTTGTAAATATATTTACCTAAATGTTTTATTTTACTTTCTCGTCACTACAAGCCATTAAAACCCAGCTTCAAAACCCGCTTCAACTATGGTATTCTTTTGTGTACAGAGGACGAAATTTCAACACTGACGCGTGCAAATTAACAATTAAGATAGCAAAAAATTCTCCAGGCGCTATTCAAAACGCTGGTCAGCTAACCACACATCCACGCTATTGTATTTTTACAACTTAAATTATGTATTTAAAGCAACATTAACCTTTGTCTTATAGAACTACTAGTTACGACGATTTTTATTACTGAAATAAAAACTGATTCCATTCGATAAACATATACCAGCTGAAGAAATTTCAAACTGTCATTGGGCGTTGACCGATTTTCCATTCAACCTCAGATTTTGAAATAATCTGACTGAAACTTAAACTTGTTAGATTTCAAAGAGAAATCCTATGTCATGAATTGAAGTCCTTGAGGATTGTGCAGCTTATGATTTTAATCAGTGTACTTATTGTTTTCCTCTAAATATTATGTAAATTGTTACAGCGGAAATGTTGTCAAATTTCCTTTAGTTCAATACAAAGACAAAAAGAAAAACACAAAGGAATATTTATCGAGAGAAATCTTCCTAGAGGATATACACATCCTTTCTTAGAATTGAATAGGAACGTTAAAAGAATGGAAAGTGGTTTTTCATTGTTATTTAAAGGGAGCCCTCTTATGGACGATAATCATATTTTTGTCGGCAAAAATCCAGTATTTACCCAGAACTCGAGGCAAACAGTTCAGATCGTAAACTAATAAAGTACATAACCAGCTGCCATCACTGAAAAAGCATTTAAAAGAGTTTAACATTGTTTTGTTTTTCCTTTGCAGTACGCCTTGTAATTAAAACACCATCAAAGACCTCGGAAAAAGCTGCAATATTTGAAAATAAATAAGTTCTGTTAATCACCTAGAAGTGATTCGGCCGAGAACATGCTTAATACTGTACTGGAATAAGTCTAAACAAGATTATCTACTTTTGAAAATGGATAGTAGTGAGCAAGCGTTGTTGTGTCTCGTGTGTTTCAGTCTCAGTGTGATTTCGGTAATCTTCCGGGACACATTCAAAATTAACTTCATATCCGAAACATAATCTCATCTTTATAGCGCAAACGAGTCCTTTAAATCCCCTAAGGAAAACAGAGTTTATCCTTGCTCAATGAAACCGGAATTAACAGACACGTTTGCAAGGAATCAGTTATTCTTAGCACGAATCCATCTACAATGGTTTTAAAGTTTCACCTAAAAAATTGCCGAAAAATTTAATAACCCACATAGTGCAGAAGGAGAGAAATTGTGGTTTTTGTTGCGGATTTTACATATACTGTCAACACAGAAATATAGTACTTAAATTCGCATCTGTTTCTTAATTTGTTTTCTGATGGAACATTTTTCAAAGTGAAAAACATTGGGGCGCCATAAAATTCTTACACAAATGCGCCTTTTAACAGCAAGATATAAATCCCACCAATTAACGATCACGTTAGTCTCAGTTTTGACCTCTTTGAACTTGGCTAACGGATGAAATTGCCTTTGCACGAGACCTCTAGACCTTGACAGCGCAACCTAAAGGTTAAATTTTCCTCTTCATCCCGTTGAGATAGGAAAAAAATTGAATAAAAGGATAATTGCAACGCCGCACATAAACTCATTTGTAACACTTAGTTCGTAACCAGCCTAAAAACCTGTAGTCCATATTACCGTTTCTTCAAGCCTTTAAATCTTCTTTTCTTTGTTTAGATTCGATGTGTTTCTCTCTTGGGTTCAACATATTTGTTCAATGTTCCTTTCTTAGCTTTCGGTTTTTTCATGCTTCCATACTCAGTAGTGCATTTCTGAATTTCGCTTTTAGTGCGTAATAATTGTGTAGTTCTGAATTTCCATGTCTCCTTTTAAATCGTTTAGTTTAGTTCCTTGGCAGACTACCTTTGTAAGAGTTTTAAATTGCTCTTGGAGACGATTGCATGACATTTCAGTCTCTATACATTTCGGAGGATCTTGACAGAGAGAAATTGATGGTGAGTGTGCGAAATCGCGATGTAGACGAGGACGAGGCAAGCTCCCCTGGTTGTATGCCATCCCTTTTACAGAGAGATTTAAGTGCTCTGGAAAAATCTCGCTTGAGAAACGCGTACAAAATGGGATTTACGAGAGACACAGAAAAACGAATAAAGTCAACTGTCATAAATACCTCATCTGGTATTGCCTCTATATGCAGCCCTGGGAGAAGAATTAAAAATCCGGTGACATAAAACGACAGCCAGCAAATTATGAAAATTGAGAGCATCGCCACGAAGATGATCAGAGCGCGCGCTTCTGTAGCAATCGGAGCACGTTGACTGTTGGCGCCCGTAGCGCGCGTGTTGTACAGGCCACGGATCTCCTTTATCTGACGGTGAATTACCATGAACATGCTCACGTAGCTGATGGCCATTAACAGAGCAGGCAGAAAAAAACAGAAGACAATTCCCACGATGGTGTAGGCAAGTGCGTACTGTTGAGAGGCTGAATCGCGAGGTTTGAAGAATCGTGTTGGATCTTCCCAAGTCAACTGGATAAGCGAGATAAACATTGAGAACAACCAAATGCCAGCGATAGCTTTGAGCACCCGTGGTGCCGTCACGATGTTAATGTACTTCATTGGATACATCACATAGATGTACCTTTCTAGAGTCACCACAAGGATGTGGTACATGGTTGAGACGGCTATAAAGCGGTAGATCAGCGCTCCTGCTGTACAAACTCCGGCTTTTAAAACCGCGTTACAAGCGACGATCAGAGGGATCCCCAATAAACCAGCTAGTAGATCGGAGACGGCAAGACTGATGAGCAAACTGTTCGTTTTTGTCTGTAGATATTCGCGGTAAAAGAACAGTGAAATCACCAGTAAATTTATGGCGATTATCATAACGCTTAGAATAATCAGTGCCCCATCATATGAGGGGTTAAAATACGTTTCTCCGGTAGCTTGCGCGGCCGTAGATATCTCTGCACTGGTAGGGAGGTTTGACTCGTTGTTTTCCAATTCCGTCATCGTTGTTTTGGGATCCAACGCAAGCTGATCTGAATAAAGTATATAAATTCAACCAAGGAGTCGATTTACTCGATGGAGTTGTGTCTTTACTGTTGATCAAACGCGATCTCTTTAAGTATTTTAGTTCAATCACGCAATGTCCGTCGTCCCAGTTCTTTCCTGATGCGGTTAATCCGTAGGTTTTCACTGTTATGACTTTCTTTACAAAGAAGCACGGCTAATATTTGAGATTTCAGCCCGCTCTTAAGTAGGGCAGTCCCAAAAAACTAAAAATTGTCGCTGTTCGATTCTTTCTTAGATGTGATAGGCAAATGCGCCTTTTTCAGCCGAGGTGTGTTTTAAGAGATGTGAAAACGCGACTCTTGTCCTCGACCTCGAAATGGTTTGCAGTACTGTGCAGATGATGAAACGAGGAACTTGATCTGGTAAATGACAGGCTTTGAAATTCTTTCACGAAGTGGCATCTGCTGACGTGAAGTCTTTCCACTCAGGGGATCAATTTCTTTTCACCGTATTTGTAGGTTTCATGCAATCTATTAGCCTTTCGGCTAAAGAGCGGTTCCTTCTCCTGTTTATGTCTCAATTAAGTGAATTAAAATCAAGTACTTGATTAATATGTAGCTAGACACGGTTATTCTGCTCGCCTCCCAGTGCGTCGTGCGTAAAACGCCTACACTAGTAGCCGTTTAGCAAAATACACACTCTTTTTCTCTCCTTCAAAATGATCAGTGGCGTCGCGTATTGTTCCGCTGCAGTCCCGACGAGAGGAAAAACTAGCGGCTACTTTGTGGTAAACTTTTGGCGTTTTTATACCAAAGTGGTTGTTTTTTTTTCAAGGCCCCATTAGCAAGGTACCTCTTACGAAAGGAGTTTTACCAAGCGCCTTGGAAGAAAAAAACAACAAATTGGTTTTGAAATTCGGACAACAGCAACCTCACCAGTTGAATTTCCAAAACGGACTTATCAGGTCGCGTAGTCTAAATAAAAATCCGATTTCACAAAACCAAGTTAATAAAATATTAAAGAGAGCTGCTTTTTCGCTGACAGAACGTGACAATAAAATCTCCTTGAAACACTAACTGTTTTTTGTCGCTGATCAAACAAAGAAACCGTCTTTTTGCACCATTTGTGTGTATTATCGAGGCCCTATTGTGTGGCGTCGGCAGAATGTTTGAAGTGCAGTTGTTTGACAACGAGTTTATAATGATTTCAGCAGATAAGCAATTTCAGTGCGCGTTCATTTCCCGTTTGGCGTTCGCTAGGGTTTGAACTTGGTTTAAAAAAATAAAAAAATTAGACTTTGTAATTATCTCTGTTGGACTTGCATCATTTCGGTAACAGAAGTGCGAAAAGGGGATTGGCACTTCAGAGAGATGAAATTCCATGGTAAACAAATAGCAAAAAGCTGTTTGGAAAGCTTCGAAATATCATGACGTATTTTACGATCACCGGATAATTTATTGAACGAGGATGTCTGCTGGAAAACCCTTCTAATGCAGCAGCTTTCTGTGGAAACCATAGCAACGGTGACAGGAAGAACACGACTATTATCAAAAACCGACTCTTATCGCAAATATTTTTTTCTCGTTTGTTTGTCTTACTTCTTTCTTCTTTCTTGACAGTACAAGGCTACATTTTCGCCTTTTCATGATTTTGTTTATTTAAATTCATTCTTAATTAGCGTATTTTTCAGTGGAAAGAAATAAAAGAACCCCTTTAGGCGACGAGAATTTGCTTTCTACGGAGTTTAAATTTTCCGCCTCCGCAAAAAAAGAAACACTATAAAATTAAGTTTTGTTTCACACAGACGTAAGATTACCATTCGAGTGCAAAAAACTACGAAATCTTCAATGCCTTTCTGAAGCCGAAAGTGGCTTTCAATCTGTTTGCTCCTAATTCACACGAAACAAACATTAACATTGTTGGGTCATGAATTTTAGAAAGTGATTGAAAAAATCTCCGCAAATCCTCGACCCCGCAAAACCCACGCCCTCGAAAATAAGCGCTATGGTTTTCCGTTTATTTAAGTTAATTTCCCATTTTCCGAAAATGAATGTTCAAAATGGTACAGTTTACCGACCCCTCGATTTCTTTGCTCTTTTTTCTTTTGCACGTTAATAAAATTATTGAAAGTGTAGTTCCAATGAGCGCGAGATAAGAAAGCCGTACTGTTTTCATGTTAAGTTATATCGTAAATGAAACATCATCTGCCGGGGAGAAAATAATTCCTGAAATGGAACATTTCGGTAGTCACTTCTGAAAACGTGTCAATATTCTTTATTAAAATTTACAAAGCCTTTCTAAACTGTCAACCGAAGAGTCTATTTCGTGTTTTTCAAAACTGATCTCTTTGCTTGAGGCAATTTGGTCACGTAATGTAATTTCACCACGCTCAAAATTGACATATGGCATGAAATTTCTGAAAATTCAACGTATCAAATATTAAATTTTTTTGTGTGCATAGAAAGTTTTTCCTATCCTCATGTTTTGCGCAAACAATTTCTTTTTGTGGTTAGCCGAATATATCCTTAATCAGTTATCTTCGAAGTGTAATGAACACTGGTCGATGAACCTTTATGAGTAGTTATTTTGGATGCCCTCAAAACTTCCCGTGCGGTAAATGTTGATAACAAGTTAATGTTTGATACATTGAAACATTTCACGCCATTTACATCTTTGTTATTTTTTCATTATGCGCGACAGTCCTCGGGTACCCAAGTCCTTTTTTCGCCTCTGTGATAAGTCCATGACCAGCCATAAAGACAAAACAAAATCTACAGAAATGTGTAATCCGTCTAAAAAAGCAAGAAAGCAAAGCAATTCTTTTTTCGGTGTCTGATAAATTGAACATTTGTCAAATCAATGAAAAATAAGCTTGCGAATACGGAAGGAAGTTGAATTTTGCTTTTGATCACTTTTTGTTTATTCACAAGTGGCACAAAAGAGGTTGTCTCCTCCGTGAAAAGAGGATTTCTCACTGAGCCTTAAAATGAAAGCTAAAACATGTAACAAAGTGCACCCAGTAAAGGACACAACATCTTTGCTATCGTATTTATTGACTCGGCCTATTGAGACCTTCAGCGTATCTGAAGTATTTAAAAAGACACCGAATCATGTTGCATCCGGTGCAAACGCTTTTTGGGGAGTAAGAAAAAAATATCACAATATGTTTTGGCGAAATGTAATTTTTTATTGCTGCTATGGAGGCGTATATTTGCTGGTTAATATACAGCAGTCTAACCCTGAAGGAGCGTCTAATTTCCTTCTTGTAACAAGCAACTATTGCTACGTAAATTTAGTGACAATTATGCTGTTTCAGCCGGATAAAATGAAACAATTCACCGGATGAAACTAAACTGGAAACTATTCGTGTCAAAACGCACGGACTTATGTGAGCATCTTGCCGAGAAAACATCGGTTGAAGTAATATCAAGCTTATTTGAGTTACACTAAAATCTGGCTGCTTTGAGAGAAAGAAATGAAAAGTCATTGGTAGGTATATTTAATATGCAGATAGTGTTTAATTGTCATAAATGTTTTATTCCTAAGCTAAAGATTGACTAAAGTAAGTGAGTCACGGACATAGAAACAACAAATTTTATATATGGAAAAACACAATAATAACAGTGATGTAAGCTGTAAAAAAGTACTCTCATCTTGTGATATTTGACAAGTTTGATTTGGTTACCGGAAAAATCAGTATAGGGCTTGAATTGGGGATTAACGGACTAAATATAGTACAAAATTCGACTGTGATTATTTCTCATAAAGAATCTAAATAATCTCACTTCAAAGACAGCCGTCCCTTGCCTGGGTTTTCGTTTCTTCCAAAACTAGAATCAGCTGCGTTTGTTCACGAACAAGTAATTGATGAATTCTGATGACTAAATCATGAAAGATCTAACAGCGTATTTCTGACGGTTGTGGAGAAAGCCATACCTGACTTAGATTTTAACCTTGTTGTATAAAATTTCTACTCATAACGATTGGAAGCGACGGAAGGAAAACTCTGCGTGAGGCCAATCCACGACTGGATGTTACGTTTGTTTGTCCTTCTATTTGTTCGTCGCTTCATTGTTGAGATGAATGACAATTTTCCTTAATTCTCTCTTGAAGAGGATCATTTGAGCTGTCAAAGACATCCTATAAAAATCATGGTATTGCTTGAAGGAATTACCATTGATAACAGCTAAAACAAAATACAGAAAACCTTGATGAAAAGAATCACATTTTTCATGTTACAGTTAATTGCTGGCGTCGCTGTTTTGTTTTGTTGTCAGTGTTTTTTTTTCCTTTTCGGATCTTGCATTGTCACTCATAGTAAAATTGTGATTGTTAGTAGTATTCGCAAAAAGCTTTTGACATTACTATTTCTAGCTTGTCATTTACCAACTTACTTATGACAAGCTCACAAAGTTCTGGCCGCTATGATTCCTTATGTGAAACTTAGCTTTTCTCCCACGCTCGTTACGTAACTACGAAAATGCATGTACGTTATGATGGAAAATAAAATATAATTAAGTTGCATAATGCTTCAAAATGAACTTCATTTCATTATTGAAAAATTTGGTAAATTCTTTGTTTTGTCCAAAAAAAAAACAAATCAAAAAAAAAAAAATCCGCCAAAAAAAAAAAAAAACGATATCACACAGCTGTTATATTTGTGATAAAGATATCCGCCATTCGGTTTCTGAAAACTCTGAATCTACGAATTGAAAAAAAGGATTCTTCAATCGGCCTTAAGTTGAAGGAAATACAGGAATATTTAGGTACGGCATTTATTTTGTATAATTAAACATTTTATGATATATATTTGAACAATTAAAAATTACAAGTCCGACTGTTAGTCAGCTGATGAAATTTTCCTCATAAGCATGAAAGACAGAACCGTGAGTTTTTCCATGAATCGATGTCAGTTAATACAGGTGAATAAATGGTAACCCTAAACAGGTATGAATAAAAATGACAATCGCACACAGTTATTGCACACTCTCAAAGTTACATTTAAGATATTAGACTGACAGTATTATAAAAAAAAAAAAAAAAAAAAAAAAAAAAAAAACAAAAAAAAACAAAAAAAAAAAACAGTGACAGAACCGTTTAAAATAAAACTGCCCGCGGCGCGAGCCTCAAAAGGCAAAAAAAAAGTTCAGTATGTCTATTGACGCTAATAATTTCCGCCGAAAACACATTTTCTACGTTATTATGAGCTTTTCTAGTTCCAAGTTTATCTTTAAAATCACTACCTAACCCTTCACTTCTCCTACGCCTCTAGTTGGAGAGTCTGAAAAACCACTATCCTGTCACGTAACTACAAGATAAAAAGTGAAGGAGTAAAGAGTTAAACACACGCACAAAAGGATCTCTGTTCCAATTAAGTTCTTCAATCTGTTCACCACAGGATTCTGCCCGAAGTCAGAAATCATCGAGTGAATACACAAACTGCGTTCGTGCCCAGATTTAATCACTCATAATCAAAATTACAAATCTAAATTTGTTTTGGTTTAAAACAAAACAAATTGTAATGATGCGAAGAGAAGGACGTGACTTTTCTCCTGTTTATGCAAGCAAACTGAAGACATCACGTTATGTCAAATTGGAAAACTCTCGAAAACTCTGACTACCATATGCTAAAGACGACCTCTGCAAACAAAGACCTGACATATTTTTATGCCCGTTGTATCCGGTACGTGCGCTTTAAGGCGAAAGTCGAAAGAAAAATTAGTAATTACTTTTTGAGGCGCGATGCAATATTTTCCTGCTTCCGAAGAAGTCTACTAAGCCTTTTAATATAGATAATAGCTATAGATGGCACCTACAGTAAAAATACAATGTACAACGTCAAACTAATGACAGATTTATTAAGATTAAGTTCAGAAAAAGAAAACTAATTTCCGGAAAGAACCAAATTGGAAACTTCGTGTGCCACGGTCCAAGCACGGGCCCAAGTATTTCCTTTTTCGTTTTTTTTGTCAAACAAGAGTAAAATGTGATTGAAATAAACGCCATTTTAGTTGAAAGCAGA